GTTGCAAGACACACATTTATCAGAGTTTTGACAAAACTTGTTAAATTTTCTCGTGGGAATTAGAAACCATTGTCAAAAACATATAGTCCCGAAATTAAGGTTGGGACGAGAGCGCATTTGTCAGTTTTTTCTAAAAAATCCAAAAATGAAAGAAATGTGACTATAAGATAGTGGAAAACAAAAAGCCTGACGTCCCGAGATTAAGGTTAGGCAAAAGTTGCCGGTTTAGGTAGTACTAGAAATTCAGGTTCCCAGAAACAAAAAGAAAACAAGATATCTACGAAGCATGTCCGTAAGGGACATGACCATGACTACTACTAATACTATATGAAATGGGAAGGTGAAATTTTAGTGTTCTGATGCTAGAAGACATTGTCGTCTGGTGTTTACGCATCTCAAAAAAAGGAAATATGCAAGAATTGTGCGATCCAGGAATGAGTCGATGTCTGTTTTGAGTGCAAACTACCTCCGCTGTAAATGAAACTATAGCTTGTGATCTTACTCCACCCCTCTCAGATTAGTTTAATTTATCTGCGAGGCAAGCGCTGTTTTCATTTTTGGATACATACTATGCAAAAGTATTTGCTTATTGTCCTGCAATTTATTGTTTTTGTATCTACCCTGTTATGTACTTGGCTATTACAATATTATTGATAAATTACTCCTGAGATTGATCCATGTCTTTGGAATAAAAGAAACGCTTTAAAGGACTTCATTTAATAGCTGTATCTGAAGAACTTGTTTTCAAAGTCAGTATAGTCTTTGAATCCATTGATGATACCTTCTTTTTCCTTTTCCTCATCCAATTCACCGTACTCTCTATCTCTTGATCTATTCCTGTAGTACATCAAACCGAAGTACACGATGCTTAAGAACATCATACCTCCATATGATGCAATTAAACCCTTCATACCTGTTATGTATTTTGGGGCTTCGTTAGCATAGAATATCTTCGATCCAATGATATTTCCAGCAGTATACATCAGGAACCACATAATTTTAGCGGTAGATATTTTTGAAGAACCCGCAATTGTAACATTCATAAGGACCCAACACATGATAACGGGTCCACCAATGATGTATAGAAGCCAACAACATCCTACTAGTGCCCATTTATGTTCAAGTGGAATCAGGTGAATACCAATTAATCCTGCCAATGTTGGAATACACAGAACAAATAGTAGTATTGTGCGAATGTTTTTCTTTGAGAAGAGAGCTAGTACACCGGCCGCGAAAACGCAGACAAGCTCAATAGCACCTGTTGGCAACTGTAATAGAGTGGCGTTTAATCCTGAGAATCCGAAACCCTTAATTAGTGAAGAGATGAAATTGGAAGTACCTCCGTTAACTACACCACAGCCAAGACCAATTAAAGCCAAAATCCAAGAGTTCAAATCCAAGAACGCTTCTTTGGCCTGATAATACTTTAATTTGGTATCTTTTATACCCATTTGGTTTTTCGATACACGGTCTACCACTTTCAGTCTTTCTTCATGAGATAAGAATCTAGCAGTTGCCGGAGAGTCAGGTGCAACGTATAAGAAAATGAATCCCCATACAAAGTTTATCAACCCAATTACCAAAAAAATGAGCTTCCAAGGCTTCAAAGAAGAACTAGTAGCATGGCCAAGGCCGTATGCCAAAAGAGCACCTACCATAGTTGCAACACCGTTCATACTCAAAAATGTGCACATTCTAAAAGGTTGTTCTTGCTTATTGTAAAACATTGAACACATCATCATGTTTGATGGAGAAATAGAAGCCTCCATAAGACCAAGTAAGAAACGCAGAGCCATCATATCAGCGTAGTTCTTGGCCCCAACGTGGGCAATTAGCAAAATAGCCCAAACTACTAGCGCACAACCGGTGTATTTGGCGACGGGTAGCTTTTGAATGACCCAATTTGCTGGAATGGAACCAACTAAGTAGCCGACATTAAAAATAGCCGCAATATTCGAATAGTCATTTCCTTTCAATCCAAGATCCTCCTTTAATGAGTAAGCAGACGCATAGTTAAGCGACAGCTTGTCCAAAAATTGCAACATATAGGTAATACACAAAACTGGGAGCAACCATCTGTCGATTTTACGTCTGATAGGGGCGTATTCAGAGTCATCGGTTTGTAACTCAGACTCTAGTAGCTCTTGAAACAAATCAACACCCACAGCATGTTTATCAGCGACAATTTTCTCTGAACCGGAACTTGAAACTAATGAATCTGATCTTTGAAGTACTTCTCCTTCTTCAACTTGGTAGCCTTCCTTTTCGAAAGTTTTATTCTCTGTTGACATCTTTTTGTTGTTACTTCACTGGTTAATGTGATGAACACAGCATTCATAGGATAACGTCTCTCTTTTTATAACATTTGATTTCGGTGCTATATCAGAGATAGAGAGATTTATCCAATCTTCATTTTGCGACCTAACTCATCGAAATGCGATATATCTACATAGTGAGGATCTTCGAGAAATCACAAGTTCCTTATCAAACGCGGTACATTAGTTTATCATAGATAGGTAGCCAGGGACATGAGGCTGAACTTGGCGGACCCTTTCTGTTGAATGCGATTTTGCTATGAAAATTCTTCTATCGCTCCTTAACTCGCGATGGATTGCCATGATAAGGATTTTCGGGTTTCAGATAAGGGGCGCCTGAAAAAGGTATCTGGCAATTCCGTGGATTATTGGTTTGCCCAACGTTCGTAAAACATGCTATATTAGTGATGACATTTTGAGTTAAAGATATTATATACCACCTTTCAACATCATTTGAATGCAAGTCTCAGTCAAAATGCTCTCTCAGAAGCTGTAAAAAATCGGATGGATAACTGCGCCATATTATCGACGATACAAAGTGCTTTCCGCACATTTTGATCGCACGCTCTTGCTCATACTCAACATCAAAGATATGGTCGAGTCCCACCGGTTCGAAAAAGAACTATAGTATCGACGCGTTTTTTAAAGAAGTCTCTGAAGCAAATGTATATTATTGGTAGCCTGTGAACATTTCGGCATCTAGAAATAGACATTTTCGTTTTGACAAAACTGTTTATCAAAACTGTTTATTTTTAATGTACTATCGACTATTGAAAAGGGCCCGAAAAACCGTTAGGAGCCTAACAAGAAAAGAGAATCACATTTTCCGACTCTAAGATCATGATATCACTATATAAATTGTCGCCAAAATGAACATTTACCTATTACCCATGTGAAGGAATCACATAAAGCAGCTTCGTATCGATATCTGTTTCTATATTAGCACTGCGATTAAGATGCATTCAGAATTGAGAGAAGCATTGTTACTGCCCACTGCTTTCTCGAACTATAATTGCACCAGTGGGTTAATGACTACTTAAGATTCTGTGCCGCTTAACATGAGCTATAACATGCGCATGTACGAAATACTCTCCATAAATATCGTTAACAATGACACTTAGATGACCATAACCCTCAAGGTAAAGGTGCCATTACCTTTAGGGTTGAAAGCGTCTAATTTGAGTACTAAAAGGTGATCATCAATGCAAAGTTTTCATTGTTCACAACACAAGCAAATCAAAACCGTTAGAAAATGGACCCTGTCAACGCCCTTCATTACGTCACTAAACGAGATGAAGATACATGTGAGAACTCAAGTGATTACGATGGTCGCGATAACCTGAGAGTGTTAGCACTGTTCATCATTTTGATATCTTCATCTCTTGGCTCATTCTTCCCAATTCTATCGTCTAGGTACTCTTTCATTAGATTGCCTAACTGGTGCTTTTTCATTGCTAAGTTTTTCGGTTCTGGTGTTATCGTCGCAACTGGTTTCATCCATTTGTTGGAGCCTGCCAATGATGCTTTAACTAATCCTTGTCTCACAGGCACATTCGAAGATTATCCTTGGGCTTTCGGTATCTGCTTAATGTCTTTGTATGTTCTATTTTTGGTGGAAATCGTTACACATTTCTTTGTCGCCAAAGTTAGCGCCAAAGAAGATGTCGAGGTGGAAGATAAAGAGTTTAAAGCTAATGACGAAGAGTCAAGCATAATTGAGCAGGAAGAAGTTCGTAGGACTGAAAAGATTTCAAGCATTCCCGGAGAAGATCATTATGGTCACGATAATGTTCATCAAGATTTGGCTCAGGCCAACACCTTAGCAGCTTCAAAGCAAAAGGAAAAATATTTGAATCAAATTGTGTCCGTTTTCATTTTAGAATTTGGTGTTATCTTTCACTCTGTCTTCATCGGTTTATCCTTAGCAGTCTCTGGTGACGAATTCATTACCTTATTTATTGTATTGGTGTTTCATCAAATGTTTGAAGGTCTTGGTTTGGGTACAAGAATTGCTGAGACCAATTGGGAAGCCAAGAGATGGTACACACCTTGGTTGTTGGCTCTTGGTTACAGTTTGTCCACGCCTATTGCCATTGCGATAGGTCTAGGAGTGAGACATTCTTTCTCCCCAAATTCCAGAAAGGCATTGATTTCCAACGGTTGTTTCGACGCTATCTCGGCAGGTATCCTAATCTACACTGGGTTAGTCGAGTTGATGGCCCATGAATTTTTGTATTCAAACCAATTCAAGGGTGAAAACGGATTTCGTAGAATGATTTTTGCGTTTATAATCATGGCTGCCGGCTCAGGATTGATGGCGCTTTTGGGTAAGTGGGCCTGATTAAACTTTGTTTATCATATAATGTATCAATCATAGTAATATTAATAACAACTTCTCAAGCAAAAGCACCCCGATCTTAATGAAACCTATAAAAATTGGTCCCATTTTACGATAATTACCTTTTTTCCATACGTTTCGTAAAATGAATGGGCCCGGTATCTGTACATCGATTTCGGGAATCGAAAAGGTTGCTGCGCTAGAACGCTTTAATTTCTTTTTAATGTAATTATTCCAGAAGGGTTTTTCTTGCTCATGATTTGCTTATTTTGACAAAAATGACCTCCAAATACAGAAGACTGAGGCACCAAGCAGCAGGCCATGATGGTTCTTTGACTGATTCTGATGAACTTCTTATTTTCAAGCCATCTAACAAATCTGAAATTGATTTTTATGAGATTCTGCAGGCAGAGGAACTCAACGTTGAAAGTCATGATGATATACCGCTAAGGAGATGGTTGCCCACTTATCTCGGAAATTTAGAAGTGGGGGTATCTAGTAAGGTTTCTATATCAGAAAATGCACAGGTCTTTCAAGATCTTGCTACACATGCTAGTGCATTAAATGATGAGATAGCATCAAGCAATGCCAAACCTTTAGTGGTTCTTGAGAACCTCGTTAAGGGCTTCAGCAAACCAAATATCCTAGATGTGAAATTGGGCAAGATATTATATGATGATTATGCCTCAGAGGAAAAAAAGGCTCGATTGTCAAATGTTAGCAAGAGTACAACTTCGGGGTCTTTGGGATTCAGAATATGTGGCATGAAAATTCAGAATAGTGGCAAAGTCGCAAGATTGAAGGAAGAACATTTCGAGAGTGCACCGGATGGATACGTGTGCATAAATAAGCTTTATGGTAGATCACTCAAGGAAGATAACGTTTTGGATGGATTCGAACTATTTTTTGGTAACGACGCCCTTTCCTCCCACCGGCAAGAGAAAGTGATAGACATGTTCTTCAAACGCCTTCAGCTTTTTTACAACACTCTTTTGAGTGAAGAAGTAAGATTAATATCCAGCAGCCTGCTATTCATCTTCGAAGGCGATCCTAAAAGATGGGACGATTTGAGAGACACAGATCACTTGCTCAGAGATGAGTTTTTGAATGGTGAAGATTCAGATAGTTGTTCAGATGAGGAATCCATTTCTACTGGAAGCGATCAGATCCACACCTACAAGACCCAGTTATTGAGCTCTTTGTCTTTAATTGATTTCGCACACTCCTCCGTTAGTAAAGGCCAGGGTTACGACGAAAACGTATTATGTGGGGTGGAGTCTTTGATAGACATTTTCGCCAAAATGATAAAATACAAGACTGAAGTCCACTGATTAATTACGTTATTTATGTTAAATATCAAATCACTCATAGAACGCGACCCACTGAAAACAAAACAACTGCATTTAGCTAGTGTATAAAACAGCACGTCATTTGATTAAAGGTTATATATTCTAATCGAGAATTTTTACGATTTTTCCAATGGCAATGGTAGTACCCTGATCTCTCAAAGTAAAACGACCAAGCTGAGGATAATCCTCATAGGTCTCGACGCACACGGGCTCCTCTGTTTCAAGTAAGGCAATAATCTTCATACCCTTCTTTGCAAAAGCGGGCGGTTTCTTTGATTTACGATTAGTTCCTCTTTCTAATTTGTGCAACAATCTAGTAATTGTTACTTCCTCAATAGCGGTGTGAATATGCATAACACATGAAAAACCAGCAGATATGATAGATTTTAGTTCAACAATGGCAATTTGGGCAACAAAACGAGTGACATTTTTCACGGGGTTCTTTGGGGATGTCAAAACGAAACCAGGAGCAATGTCTTCTTCTTCGACACCTTTAATCTTTAACCTCACTTGCTCACCGCAAACTGCCATATCCACCTCGGATTCAGTTTCATTATAGATAGACAAGATTTCAACTGGAGTCTTATTAGGCATCAACAAAGTACTACCACCTTTTCTGATATGGCCCGATTCGATTTTACCTTCCACTATTGTACCCAAATCCTTCATTTTCGAAGCAATAGGTAACATGAACGGAGCGTTGACATGACGATCTACGTGCGACATGTTGTCTAGATATTCTAACAAAGAAGGCCCTTTGTACCATGGACAATCCTTCTCGTTGACGCGATCTTTTAATCCGGCCCCTGAGTATCCAGAGACAGGCATGAAGATGACATCTTGCTTAACATTGTAGCCAACAGCTTTGAGGAAATTAGATAGATTTTGAACGCAAGTATCATAACGCTCCTTATCCCAGTTTACTGTAGGGTCATCCATCTTGTTAATAACAACAATCATCTTGTTGACACCTTGGGTCTTTGCCAACAAAGCGTGTTCTCTCGTTTGTCCACCTTTTTCGAAACCTGTTTCGTATTCACCTTTTCTTGCAGAAATAACTAAGATTCCAACGTCAGCCTGGGATGCACCACCGATCATCTCAGAGACATACATTTTATGTCCAGGAGCGTCCAAGATAGTATACCGTCTCTTCTCCGTTTCAAAATAAGCCCTTCCAACCTCGATAGTTTTACCATCATTTCTCTCCTCCTTGTTGGTATCCATAACCCATGACAAATACCAACCCTGTCTACCGGCATCTTTGGCTTCTCTTTCATATTTCTCGACAGTTCTTTTATCAACTGAACCCGTTAAATACAGGAGATTGCCACCCATGGTAGATTTACCTGCATCGACATGACCCATGAAAATGATAGAAAGGTGATCCTTACCACCAAACATATCGTTCACAACCTCTTCGTCAACTTCATCTTCCTGTTCCTTGATAAGAGCGTCTGCTGATGAAACGTTGGCTGAAGGTGTAGATTGGGCAGCTTGATTCTCAGTTTTCGCTGTTTTGTCTTCGGATATCTTGAGTTCTGCGACATCTGGAAGATCATTACTAGCATTTTCTGAGGGAGCTTTAGTGGAATCGTGCTCACTTTCATTTATATCGATTGAAGCTTCTTCCTTTTTTGGAGCTACTTTTTGTGTTTCTTCTTTCTTTTCAATTTCATCAGGCTTCTTTTTTGCACCAACCAATTTGATTCCCGAACTAGATGCAAGTTTCAACGTTTTCTTAGGCTTTGGTGCGGTACTAGCAGTAGATCCTACCTTCTGCTTTTGAAAATCATCCAATGTCATTCCTCTCGTTTGCTGAGGTTGGGCAAATTGCTGTTGATCATATGCTTGATAAGCTGGTTGTTGATTATAGGTTTGGTAACCTTGATAGCCTTGATTGGAATTCTTGAACCCTCCGCGAGTGTTGCTGTAGCCCCCACGACCAGTTTGACCATACCCCTGGTATCCTTGGTAAGATGGGTAGGCTTGATATCCCTGCGTATTATAATTTTGGTAACCTTGACCTCCCTGGGCAGTTTGATCATACTGTTGGTATCCTCCTTGAGAGTTGTAGTTTTGATAATATTGCTGATAGTTACCAGTTTGCTGTTGAAAGTTCCCTTGTTGTCCGGCTTGCTGGTTGTAGTAGTTGTAATAGCCTTGTTGCTGGTTCTGTCCCTGCCCTTGGGCTTGGTTCTGGCCTTGATCTTGCTCAGACATGAGACAATGAGTTCTGATTGTAGTCAAGGAGAATTGCTGATTGACATTCGAGATGAGATGGCGAAAAAAATTTTTCACAGCTGTTTTATTAGAGGTGATAAAATCATGATATACGTGCTTACCAGCTATGTCAGCTATCTGGTTAACGTTTACATAATCTACATAGGCTGTACAGGATTGGGATTTTCCTCGAAGACCAATTCTTCATCGGGTACATCTTCAATTACAATTCTTCTCTTAGGCTGCAGTTTTGTAGTATCATCTTTGATTTTAGGGATTTTTACTTGTAATAAACCATTACAATATGTGGCCTTGATCTCCTCGTCTTTGATGCGGGGAAGAACAGGCAGTTTTACAGACCTCTCAAACGCACCGTATTTCACCTCAGAAATCCTCAAAAACTTCGAGTCGATACCAATTTTGTTTTCAACGTTGCCTTTGATTAGCAGTTCATGAGAGGATGGATGATAATCAATCTTAAATGATTTCGAACTGGCTCCAGGTAAAGCCAGAACAACAGAATATAATTCCGGCGAGTCGTAAACATTTACCTCTGGTGAAAATGGCAAATCCAGACGACGCTGAGGTTTAGAAACCTGCAAAGGATCTGGGATGGGTGAAGGAATTTCAGGCTTTGGTAAGTCTAGTGCTGATTTAGTGTCTTTCGCTTGCTCTTCTTTGCCAGGCTCAATCGAGTTCTTACTAATTTCCTCATGGTTGTTCTCTTCTCCTTTGAGAGCTTCCTGAACCTTGTTTTTCAGCGCTTCAACAAATGGATTCTCTAACTCATTAGGCTCGATATTTTCATTTTCCTTCTTAGCTTCCCCTAAAAATGTATTAGCTGGAGCTGATTCCTCAGATCCCGCTAATTCTTGCCCCTCTTCGATATCATTATCTAAATCTCCATCATTTTCTGCTTCATAATTAGCTGGTGTGTTCCCAGCAAGCGCTCTTAACAATTCTGCTAGGTAATCAGATTGATCCGGGATCGCACTTTGTGTTGAATAAGGTTCATCATACCCATCTCTCCCGTAATACACTGGATGATAATACGTCGCCTCAGGTTGTACAGAGTAATAACGAGTTGGATACTCATAGCCCCTGCCATATCCCTCAAAGTCTTGACCAAAAACTCCAGGCGCTCTCCGACCCTGCTGCCTCCTGTAGTGAGGTTGTTCCTGCTGGCGTCTTAGCGCGGCTTGGTTGGAAAGAGCGTTAAGGATGTCGTAAAGAGAAAGGGAGGGTTGATAAAAGCTCATGATGGTTTTCTAGCTAACACTTTAAAGGTTGCTCAAACTACCCAAGCACAAACATCAATTTATACGCTTCTTTAAAATAGTCCCCTTATCCTAGAATAATCTGGAAGATTCTTTGCTCCGGGCGCGTGCTCGCTCCGTGCTAAAAAAATGCCTCCATTAAAAGTTCAGCTGAGGCTGGATGTGCTATGTCAATCCCAGCAACAGCATACTACAAAGCTAGACCTCTGAAGCTGTTGTATAGCTTTGTTAGTTGTATCTGAAATCTTAGACAAAGAGTAACTAACGCAAACCTGTCGTCTTGTGATGGAAATGTTGTTCCGCGGCCAAAAAAAGGGCGATTTTTACCCTTCAATCAAATATCCTACCTACTCAAGTACAAATAAAAATATCAATTCAATTCAAATTTAATTGCAAGCAAGCCTGTGCCGCTTTTTACATATCTTACATCACATCAAGTCTTATTTTATCTATCAATCCTAATCTATTCAAAGTTGTCCCATTGTCTTCCTTGAACGTTCTTCAACTCCTCAGCGGACATCACTTTACCAGTTGTGAAATAACCAGAATTGATTTTAGCATCAATTTCAACTCTGGAGTCAGGAGGAACAAGTTCATCAGGAATTGGAATTCTTTCAATGATTGGGATACCTTGTTCGACGATAGCATCGTGCTTCATGTTAGACATAGAAAGCATTCTGTCAATCTTTGTAATTCCTAGCCACTTCAAAACATCTGGCATTAATTGTTGGAATCTCATATCTCTAACACCTGCAATGCATTCAGTTCTATGGAAGTACTCTGCAGCAGTGTCACCTCCTCTCTTACGAGCATTGTACACCAAGTACTTCGTCACTTCACCTAAAGCACGACCCTCTTTTCTGAAGTAGATGACAACACCTGAGCCACCATTTTGGGCTTCTTTGGCAGCTTCCTCAATACCAAACATCAAGTATGGTCTACATGTGCAAATATCAGAGCCAAAAACATCAGAGCCGTTACACTCATCGTGAACTCTTAGGGCTAGTTTCTTGGATGGGTCGGACACGAATTTTGGATCACCGAAAATGTAGACGGTTAGACCGCCAATTGGTGGCAAAAACGTCTTGATATCTGGTCTAGTAACCAATTCAGGGTACATACCGTTGGTGTCCTCAAACAAAGCTTTTCTCAATTCATCCTCGGTGATGCCAAATCTTTCGGCGACACCTGGCAAATACCAGACAGGCTCAACAGCAACTTTTGAGACGCTTAGATCACCGTTTTCGTTCAAGACAACGTTTCCGTCGACCTTTAACCTTCCTTCAGCAACCGCTTCTTTCATTTCAATAAGCTGCATAGTAGCCTTGGTGATTGCAATAGTTGGTCTAATTTCGACGTCTTCAGCCTTGGAAACCTCGTCGAACAAGTATGGAGTTAGATGTCCGAATGCGTCCATGGCGACAATGTCCTTGTCGTTGTACCACGATTTGTTTTCAGGAATACTGAAGGCCGGTTGAGAGTTAGTGTAATCGGCAACGTGGTTAGGATCCAACTGCTTAGAACCGACTGCCAAAGCGTGGTAAACACAGTACGAACCGGCATGGGCACCAATGGTGTTATGCTTTGCCAAGCCATTTCTGTATCTGGAAGCGACGACCGGACCTCTGGCTTCTGGAGAAGTAGCACCCCAAGACAATGGAATAGGGCTCGAGTCCTCTGGATAAGTTGTTAGCACCAAGTTTTCAACTGGTGACGATTTTGTCACATGAGCTTCTGGCACCTTTGTGTGTGCACAGCACGTTTCAACCTTTGGATTTGCACCTACTGCAATTGGAGACATTTGGAAATAAAATAACTAAGTAACGAATAAAACTGATTTATACGATGATTATTGAAACATAATTCCTCTTCAATATCCTCATCAAACTGTCTCTACTTATACTACCCCTCGAGCCATACTTTCCCTCTATGTTGACATGCCCTACCACGTTCCCCGTGTTAGGCTAGATAATATTCCCGATCAACTCCGTCGTTCTCCATTGGAAATGTTTCCCCTGCTTGCATTTGTTCCCTCCGTCGCCCCTTGGCTTTCGAGAAAATCGCTCTACTTACTGACGCAGCGAAATTTACCTGGCGCCAGATAACACAAAAACAACTTAAAGCCGAAGGTAAAACAATTTGTCCGACGGATATATGATAGAATAATGATCTCTTTTCAGTAATGTTATACGGTTCACAAACCCATACCTTAACAAAACTATTTGTTAACTAATCACGTGGATCTTATGTCGTACTACATGCTTTATCAAGCCACCGTGTAACTCTTCAAAGAGATAGGGGAAGAAATTGTCAAGCGATGGTTACTGGCCAGTGACGGAAACGAGCGAGACATAAACATGACTCAGACCACCGCGGACGAAGCTCAGCAGGATTCGCAAAATGTGTCACTAGAAGTTGACAATGCCTCTGTTGCTTCTGTCTCTGGGCAACAAGGCATTTCCCCCGCTGCCAATCCTCACCAAGAAGAGCCTGTGGAAAAACCGGTGCAAGATCATAATATCGTATTGCCTGAAATTCAACACTCCAGGGACGTCTCTGTAGTTTCAGTTGGGCAAACTAATCTGAAATCGACTGTAAGTCTGGTAAAGAGCACATTCGAATCTATTCTTCGAGAGAAAGATTTGAAGAAACACACGAACACTCAAAAAGTCCTGGAGAGAAGTGTGAAGAAGCTACAAGAATCTATGGACACCACGAATAACGACCCCAAATTTTTGGACTCTATCTTAGTTTTCGAAGCTTTGCGGTGCAGTTGCCGGACCCGGTCGACACCGATTGTAATCAAGGCCTTGGATTGTCTAGCTAAACTTTTCTCCTTCCAGGCATTAGATGACTCTATTACCGTGAACCCTCCTGACTCAATGGCATCTAACGATCAGCAAAACGGGGCTGCAGCGGGAATTACTCCGCCTCCTAAGCAGCGGCTTATAGACGCTGCTATCGATACTATCACGGATTGTTTTGAGGGTGAAGGCACAGACGAACGTATTGAATTGCAAGTTTTACGTGCGCTAGCAAGCTGTATTTTGAACGAAGAGTCTGGAACTATGTGTCATGGAGGATCACTTCTGAAAGCTATTCGCCAGATTTACAATATTTTCATCTTTTCTCTAAGCTCTTCTAATCAAGGAATTGCACAAGCAACTTTAACTCAAATCGTTAATTCTGTGTTTGATAAGGTCAGCATTGGACTCGTAAGTCTAAATTCAAGATCTTTATCGAAGGCGAATCTACGAGCCTCCATATCAGATGGGACTGATGTTTCCACCGCTACATCCGAGATAAAGCCTTTAACTTTACAAAATTTGGACAATTTGAATGACGAAGAAGAACGTATAGTGGATGAACAGCAGCAAGAAGAGATTTCAGACGAGCACGCACTCATTGTAAAAGATGCGTTTTTGGTGTTCAGAGCGATGGCAAAAATTTCTGCAAAACCTCTAGAAAATGATTTGGACATGAGGTCACACGCAGTCAGGTCAAAGCTTCTATCTCTGCATATCATTCACTCCATAATAAAGGACCATATCGATATTTTTCTATCTCACGATATCCTTCTTCCTGGTAAGGAGCACACCTCTTTGGTAGATGCTGTTCGTCAATATCTATGCCTTTCATTGTCTCGTAATGCTGCGTCGCCCATTTCTCCTGTTTTTGAAATCACTTTAGAGATCATGTGGCTTCTCATTTCTAATTTGAGATCCGAGTTTAAGAGAGAAGTTCCAGTCTTTTTGACTGAAATTTACTTTCCAATATCTGACTTGAAAACATCTACGCCGCACCAAAAGAGATACTTCTTAAGTGTTATCCAGAGAGTATGTAACGATCCGAGAACCTTGATTGAGTTTTACTTAAACTACGATTGCGACAGTCGTATGCCTAACGTCGTTGAGATTATTGTCAACTATTTGACTAAAATGGCATTGACAAGAGTCGAGATCACTCCATCACAAAGAGCCTACTATGATGAACAGCGCACAAAACCTCTCGCAACATACAACTTATCCCAGTTGCCTTTGCTGTCTATCTCGAATCTCTCGTCCTCAAGTGCTGTTGATAATACAACTTTGCCATTCCCCGTCGAGTTTGCTCTCAAGATGACATCTCTCAACTGTATGGTTGCAGTCCTAAGATCTTTAAGCTCTTGGGCTCATAAAGCGCTGAATCCAGCGGCCCCGCTGACATCGCGTACAAGAAGCGCGTCAGCTACTACTCTCGCTGCCGGGCATGGTAGAATGCCATCTTCCACACGCAGTTCATTCGTCGAGATGAGCGACGCTGTCAACGGTCAAGTTAATGGCGACCAAGATAGTCGTGCACAATCTGAAAGCACAGATGAACTAGACGACCCAGCACAATTTGAAAATTTAAAACTTCGCAAAACAGCATTAATGGACTGTATCAAATTATTCAACTTCAAACCGAAAAAGGGTATCAAAAAGCTAATAGAAGGAAAATTCATCACCGATGATTCTCCCAAGTCTATTGCAAGATGGCTTCTGGACACCGATGGCTTAGATTTGGCAGCAGTAGGTGACTTTTTAGGTGAAGGCGATGAAAGTCATATTGCCATCATGCATGCGTTTGTGGACGAATTTGACTTTTCCCATTTGTCGCTTGTAGATGCTTTGAGGGTGTTTTTACAAAAGTTTAGGTTGCCCGGTGAAGGTCAAAAGATAGATCGTTTTATGCTAAAATTCGCCGAAAGATTTGTTGATCAGAATCCGGGACTGTTTGCAAAAGCCGATACAGCATACGTGCTATCATATTCGATCATTATGTTGAACACCGATCTGCATTCTTCTCACATCAAAAATAAAATGACTTTACAAGAGTTCATAGAAAACAACGCAGGGATAGATAACGGAAACGATTTGCCAAAGGAGTATATGGTTAAACTGTTTGACGAAATTGCTGACAATGAAATCAAGTTACAATCAGAACAGCACCAAGCGATGCTCTCGGGCGATATCAATCCTACACAACAGCAGCAATCTGCTTTCAATTTCTTCAACAGTCGTGATCTCAACAGAGAAGCTTATATGCAGGTTTCCAAAGAGATTTCGTCGAAGACGGAATTGGTTTTCAAAAATTTGACGAAATCTAAAGGTAAGGATAACGAAGTTTTTTACGCTGCTTCCCATATTGAACATGTGAAATCCATCTTCGACACTCTCTGGATGTCATTCCTTGCAGCGTTGACCCCTCCTTTCAAAGAATACGATGATATCGAGACTTCCAGCATGTGTCTTGAGGGTATTAAAATCTCCATCAAAATCTCCTCGACTTTCGGGATAGACTATGCTAGACGATCCTTCATCGGTGCTCTAGTTCAATTTGCAAATCTTCAAAACGTTCAAGAAATCAAAGTCAAGAATGTCAATGCTATTATTGTTCTACTGGAGGTTGCATTGACGGAAGGTGACTTTTTAAGAGAATCATGGACAGATGTCCTCGTAACTGTTTCTCAGGTGGAAAGGCTACAATTGATTTCTAAGGGTATTGACGGCCAAACTCTGCCTGATGTATCTCAGGCAAGGTTGGCGAATCACAGGAGCTCTTTTGATTCAACAAGATCGGCTTCGATGGGGTTTTTTGAGAGATGGACTAAAAGATCGACACCAATGGAGTTGGCACAAGAAAAACATCATAATCAAATTCTTTCACCCGAGATTTCAAAGTTTATCTCTTCAAGTCAGCTTGTGGTTCTCATTGATCGTATATTCACAAACAGTTCGAATTTGACTGGTAACGCAATCGTGGATTTCATTAAATCCTTAACTGAGGTGTCTTTCGAAGAAATAGAGTCCTCCCAGAATGCAGCTAGTCCACGAATGTTCTCATTGCAGAAAATGGTGGATGTTTGCTACTACAATATGGACCGTATTAGACTCGAATGGTCTCCAATTTGGGCTATTATGGGCGAAGCTTTCAACAAAATCGGTACAAACTCAAATCTTGCCGTTGTATTCTTTGCCATTGATTCGCTACGCCAACTTTCTATGAGATTTTTGGACATAGAAGAGTTATCTGGATTCGAATTTCAGCACGATTTCTTAAAGCCATTCGCTTATATTATAGAAAATACCTCTGATACAGAGGTACAAGAAATGTGTCTCGAATGCGCTCGAAACTTCATTTTGACAAAATCAAGCAAAATCAAGTCCGGATGGAAACCTATTTTGGAATCCTTGCAATTTGCAGCCAAATCCCCGGTTGAGACCATTGTCTTAAAAACATATCAATTAGCTACCAATGACATTGTTAAGAATCATTTCGAAAGCGTGTTTGCCCAGGATAACTCGTTCTTGGATTTGGTCGCTGTTTTCAAAGAAATCACCAAGAACAAGAAATTCCAGAAACTTTCTCTTCACTCCTTGGAAGTGCTAAAAAAAATCACCCAAAAAGTAGCAGACATCTGTTTCATGGATAAGAACGAAGCTTTATTACACGGGAAGGATCTGTTCCACGACGTTTGGTTCCCTGTTTTGTTCTGTTTCAACGACACCATTATGACAGCAGAAGATTTGGAGGTGCGGTCACGTGCCCTGAACTACATGTTCGATGCGTTGGTAGAGTACGGCGGAGAATTCGACGACAAATTTTGGACTCAGATCTGTACTAAGTTACTGTTCCCCATCTTCGGTGTTTTGTCAAAGCACTGGGAAGTGAACCAGTTCAACAGCCATGATGACTTGTCCGTGTGGCTGTCGACCACGCTGATCCAAGCCCTGCGGAACATGATTGCGCTGTTCACGCATTACTTCGACTGCTTGAATAAGATGCTGGACGGGTTTTTGGGTCTTTTAGTGTCATGCATATGCCAGGAGAACGACACGATAGCGCGGATTGGGAGATCGTGCTTGCAACACTTGATTTTGCAGAACATGAGCAAGTTCCAGGAAATCCACTGGATTCAAATCACCGACGCCTTCGGGAAGCTGTTCGAGTTGACCACGGCAACAGAGCTGTTTGAATACGACCCTCTGCACCAGGGCAGACGGACCTCCGAGACGATGGATTCGAGCGCAAACTCACAGTCCGTGGACGAGGAAGTCGAAAGAGCACACAAAGAAGAAGGCGGCGAGGATGTGGGCAACGCAAGCACCGAGGCAGACAAGCCGGTCAAGCGACTAGTGAAGACCAAGAGCAGCGAAGACCTCCGCGTGAGGATCTCTGTCAAGAACGCGATTGTCGTCAAGTGCGTGCTGCAATTGCTGATGATCGAGTCGCTCAGCGAGTTGTTCGAGAATGAGGATTTCTCCAACTATATTCCATATAAGCAGGCCATCAGCCTGACAAATTTACTTGAGAAGTCGTACGAGTTCGCGCGCGACTTTAACGAAGATTTCGGCCTGCGCTCCCGACTCGTGGATGCCCGCGTCGTCGACAAGATCCCTAACTTGCTCAAGCAGGAGACGAGCGCGTCGGCCGTGCTGATCAACGTTATGTTCAAGCTATTCCTGAACAGCGATTTCGACTCCGACGCCGACAAGAAGCAACTACTCGATCGCCTGATTTCCATCTGCGTCCGCATCGTCCAGAGATACGTGTCGCTCGACGACCGCACCATGGAGCGCAACATCACGTCGTGGCGGCCTGTCGTGGTTGCTATTCTACAGGGCTACTACGAATTCGACGACGACGATTTCAAGAACCATTGTCCCCTCATGTACGATCTCGTCATGCAGATCTTGGACAAGAGCGTGCCAGCCGACCTGAGATACGCCATAAAGGTGTACTTGGTGAGAGTTGGAGAGCTATATTTGTAGATTACTACTAGTAAATAGACGTGTGTGATCAACACAGTTGCTTTGACGTGACGAGGACCCCGCCCTGCCCTTTCGGCCGGCGCCGAGGCCCGCGGATTCCTTTTGGCCGGGAAAAAACAGGGGCGCCCCCCCCCTTGCAGCAGCTCAACCGCCGGCCCAACGCAGCGGCTTCCAGAACGCCGCGGAAGCCAGCCAGCTGGCCGGCTTACCGAGGGCGCAAAAAGAGCTTCAAGGCTTGAGATTTCCAGGTTGCTTGGTACGGGGAAAACGTCCGAAAGGCATCTCGCTCGCACGACGTTTAAACGTCTCATTGCAACGGGTGCAGTCGGAGTTGCCAAACAGGCGATTAGGGCGACGTAATCACGACGTGAATGCGACGCATTCGCGACGCATCCACCGCCTTGTCCGACACCCGCTTGTTGGGCCCGTTTCCGTATCCGACATCCCCACTTGCACTTGCGGTGGTAGTCGTAGTCGTAGTCGCAGCAATTGAGCAGCAGTGAAAAAAGCTTTTTGTCTCTCAACGCGCGGGAACGAGCGGCGCTCCCTCCGGCGTGCACCCGCGCGCGTTCGTTTAGGCATTGTATGAGGTGTAGCGGGTCAACCGCAACGTGCCTCGTGGCGGTCGTATGGTCTCCACCGATGCACTCATCGGGGCACCGAGACGCGCTGCACGGGTTTCTGTTGGGCACAGCGCCTTCCCAGTTGTGATGCGATAAACCCCGGAGGGAAGAATGCGGCACGTGACCGGGACTTAGCGCTTCCAGGGCGAAAATTATCGCTCGCTCGGTCAAATCCAACAAAAAATTTTTCCAATTGAAGCGCGCGTAGAAGCGTGCATGCTTCCCTTCAAACCGATTTATCTTCTCTGCCAGCCACAAACGGATTTCACTGGTTTAAGTAGAGCATCAACGTTGAGGTTTCAATTGGGTGAAGCAATTGTGAATTTCGCCGTAGAAGCCTAGTTGTCTTAATATTCGTTTATTTATAATCCAAGCATGTCTGCCAAAGAACACAAGGTCGTGCACGAGGCACACAACGTGGAGCCTCGCCATGCTCCAGAGCACTTCTTCAAATCTCAGCCCAAGACGGGCCACATCACTGACATGGCGCAGTACCAGAAGATGTACGAGCAGTCGATCAACGACCCAGAGGGTTTCTTCGGGCCTATGGCGCGCGAGCACCTGCACTGGGACAAGCCCTTTACCAAGGTCCAATCCGGTTCGCTAGACAACGGAGACGCTGCGTGGTTTTTGAACGGTGAATTGAACGCTGCTTACAACTGTGTGGACAGACACGCGTTTGCAAACCCATCCAAGCCTGCCATTATCTACGAGGCTGACGACGAGAAAGACAACAGAGTTATTACTTTTGGCGAATTGCTCAGACAAGTGTCTGAGGTGGCCGGTGTGTTGAAGAGCTGGGGTGTCAAGAAGGGTGACACCGTTGCAGTCTACTTGCCCATGATCGCAGAGGCCGTTGTGGCTATGCTTGCGGTTGCTCGTTTAGGTGCCATTCACTCTGTGATTTTTGCTGGTTTTTCCTCCGGTTCTTTGAAAGACCGTGTGGTGGACGCTGGTTGCAAGGTGGTAATTACCTGTGACGAAGGTCGTAGAGGTGGTAAGACCGTCCACACCAAGAAGATCGTCGACGAAGGTTTGAACGGCGTCGATTCCGTGTCCCACATCTTGGTCTTTCAAAGAACGGGTACTGAGGGCATTCCAATGAAGCCCGGTAGGGACTACTGGTGGCATGAGGAGACGGCCAAGCACAGAGGCTACCTACCACCTACCCCAGTCAACTCCGAGGACCCTCTGTTCTTGCTATACACATCTGGTTCCACCGGTTCTCCAAAGGGTGTTGTTCACAGTACCGCTGGTTACCTGCTGGGAGCTGCCCTAACTACCAAGTACGTCTTCGACATTCACCCAGAGGATGTACTATTCACCGCTGGAGACGTTGGTTGGATTACCGGTCACACTTATGCATTGTACGGTCCCTTGGCCCTAGGTACCGCTACTATCATTTTCGAATCCACACCTGCCTACCCAGATTATGGTAGATACTGGAGAATTATCGAACGTCACAAGGCTACTCACTTTTACGTTGCTCCAACTGCCTTGAGATTGATCAAGCGTGTTGGTGAAGCTGAAATTGCCAAGTATGACACTTCTTCTCTGAGAGTATTGGGTTCCGTCGGTGAACCAATCTCTCCAGATCTATGGGAATGGTACCACGAAAAGGTTGGTAAAAAGAACTGTGTCATCTGTGACACAATGTGGCAAACTGAATCTGGTTCCCACTTGATCGCACCATTGGCCGGTGCTGTCCCAACTAAGCCAGGCTCTGCCACCGTTCCATTCTTTGGTGTCAATGCTTGTATCATCGATCCTGTTTCTGGTGAAGAATTGAAGGGCAACGACGTCGAAGGTGTCTTGGCGGTGAAGTCTTCCTGGCCATCAATGGCAAGATCCGTTTGGAACAACCACTCTCGTTACATTGAAACTTATCTTAAACCATACCCAGGCTACTACTTCACAGGTGATGGTGCAGGTAGAGACCATGACGGTTACTACTGGATTAGAGGTAGAGTCGATGACGTCGTGAACGTCTCTGGTCACAGATTATCCACTGCCGAGATCGAGGCAGCTTTGGTTGAGCACGACGGTGTTTCTGAAGCTGCTGTTGTCGGTATCACTGACGAGTTGACCGGTCAAGCTGTCATCGCCTTTGTTTCTTTGAAGGATGGCTATTTGCAAGATAACGCTGCTGAAGGCGATGCTTCTCACATCACCCCAGACAACTTGCGTCGTGAATTAATCTTGCATGTCAGAGGTGAAATTGGTCCATTTGCCGCTCCAAAGACGGTTGTTGTTGTTTCTGATCTTCCAAAGACTAGATCTGGTAAGATTATGAGAAGAGTTTTGAGAAAGGTTGCATCCAAAGAGGCTGATCAATTAGGTGACCTATCTACTTTGGCTAACCCAGATGTGGTTCCTTCCATCATTTCTGCAGTCGAAAATCAATTCTTCGCTCAAAAGAAGAAATAATCGGGACGCTAATATGGATTCATATATTCAATTGCTAGAGGCATTAGCATAGATTCCACCCAATATGATTCATGCTGGTTTGTGATAATTATCGTTATGGTATGATAGAAATCTCAATGATTTGTTATCTGTTGATATAAAATATATACGCTCTTTCAAGTAACAGGTTAGGCGCCTTAGATAATTGCAAGGTTAAAATCTTTTGAAAGTATCAGTATATGTTTATTTCTTTAAAATCAATAAAGTCAGTTAAAAATTAACATTTTTTCGGAAAATGGACAATTTAGAGAGTTCACTTTTAAATATTCAATGATCGTTCTCATATTTTTGGAAAAACATTTCGTTAATTACATTACAATCCCAAAAGTATATCCTATTCTTGTATAATGACTTCCTGGAATGGCACACTAAGCTTAATATGAGATTAACTATATCAAAACTGATATCAAAATTAGCCACACGAAGAATTCTGCGATCTAGCCTGCAAAATACCTTTTCAACTGCCAACATAAAATCTGAATTTATTTGAGCCGGAACATCATTCCGAGTGTTAACACTGCCGCCATTGTTAATCCATATATCTAAGTGTAGCAAGAGATCTAATTCCGCCTAGGTGAATGTAAACTACACCTCAATGATTGATCAAAGGTTACCAAATATAAGAAGATGATTGGATCACACGTTTTAAGATATACTAATCTCAACGTTCATTATCCCAGTTCTCCAGTATCTAACAACCAAATTGAATAACGCCCCGAAATATCGACTGATATTGAGGAACGATAACTAGAGTTGTAGCAAGGATTCAATATCGGAGTGGGTCCATTTCCTAAGCTTATACGCCAGGGTGGATTCTTGAAAGCTGTGGAAAAACGAGGTTTTTTTTCCGACCTTGATGTGACAAGACAATTATTTTCCAATATTGCCGTCTCCAAACCGCTATAACGTTTTCATCACAAACCAAAAATCCCTCGCATGCTTGTTCTTGACATTATATCATTCAGATCGTGACATGTGGGCCAAAGTAATTGCATGAAAGTATTGAAACTCAAATGTCGCAAAAAGCTCGTGATCATCAACATGGCGGTGTTAAAAAAGTAGCGGGAGGATAAGCTTCGAGAGCGGCTAAGATTCCCCCTTACATATGGCACATATTGGATGCTCGGTGTTATGAAAAACCTCTTGGCAATTTTGGATCTCCGTTACTTTTGATTTCTCCCTTTGTGCAGAGAAAAACAGTCATTGCAAGGAAACCTGGGGAAAATCTTATCTATGGAGAAAGTAGTCTCTTATAAACAGACAGCAAACAGGATATAAAAGTTCAGTACCCAGGTGTTCTACTACTAATGAACTGAGATAGCTTCTTGAAATATTATAACTTCAAGTGGCAGTCAGACAAACGTCGGGTAATAAGCAGTCATATCAAATTAACAGTTTTTTTCAACTTTTTGATGGAAAAGTTGCTGCATTTTCTAAAGAACTAATAGATATCCACTAAAAGATGAGTATTGGGCTTGGAGAAGCTATATATGCTGCTTTAAAGCCAATTTTGAAGATTTACGTTATTATTTTTGTCGGTTATTTGATTGCAAGATATAATATCGTCACGGTTGAGACGAGCAGAGGCATCTCCAACATGGTAGTAAACGCTATTCTGCCGTGCCTGACCTTCAATAAAATAGTGGGTAATATCTCTGACAAGGATATCAAGGAAGTTGGTGTCATAGTCCTAACGGCAATGATGATTTTTGTGACTGGTGGCTTGGCTGCATACTTAACTAAATGGGCAACTAATGCACCTAAGAGTTGGTACTGGGGGCTCCTATTTGCGGGAATATTTCCAAACATTTCTGATCTACCTATTGCCTATGTGCAGAGCATGAGTAACGGTTCTATCTTCACCTCAGACCAAGTTGACAGAGGTGTTGCTTACTGCTGCATTTTCCTGGCAACTCAGAGTTTCTTAATGATGAATTTTGGAATGTTCAGGCTTGTCGGTCTTGATTTCAGGCAGAAAAAACAGGATGAAGAGGACCACCCGGAATCCGTACAATCTTTTTCCCCTCCAGAGAAAAAGCATGAAATTTCCTCCTCTCAAAATGATAATTTATATCATTCGGAACAAGAAATCAAACTATCAAATGCTGGTGCTCCTCATGGAGAGGACCAGAATAGCTTACAGTCATCTTTGAGTGAGAGCAATGTGGATGATGATAACAATCAGCAGGGGCCAGTCCCCTTTCGCCAAAATTCAGTTAAATCATTTATGATGAACGAGGACTTTACTTCTCAGCATTCAATAAACTCTCAAGACTCCTTCACCGGCAGTTCGTCCTTACAGCATATTCACACCCTTCCCTCAATTTCAAATTCCCTTGCAAGAAGCAACTCTCTAAAATCTAATCGAAGGAGATCTAGTTCAACGAACACAAGAAGGTTTCGCCACAGAGCTAATTCTCAAAACGTCGATGATGTTATTAACGAATATAGCGCAGTTAGTCGCATCAGAACTGGAGAAATAGATTTGTCAAGACCCTTATCATTAACGCAAGAGGTGGGGACTGGAAATGCCTCAATGGGCGGCGATCAAGACGAGGAAGATGAAGAAGAAGATCAAGAATTAGAGGAAGTAAACATGGGAAAGGTATCAAGAGTTTCAACCAGAAGATCAGTCAGCCAAAAAAAATCAAAGTTTTCACAGTTTATTCAAAAATACAAACTGGGGTGGTTTCTTTATATACTGATCAATTTCGTAAGACCGGCCTCTTTGGGAGCTCTCCTAGGAATCATATGCTGCATGATTCCTTGGGTTAAAGCATTATTTGTGCATACTGATGTCCATATGCATCAGGCACCGGACGGGCAACCGGTCTTGAGCTTCTTGATGGACTTTACGAGTTATATCGGCAATGCGTGCGTACCATTAGGACTTCTGTTGCTGGGTGGGACTTTGGCTCGTTTAAAAATAAAGGTTTTACCGAAGGGGTTTTGGAAAACAACAGTTATGATGACAGTATTCAGATTGATGGTGTTGCCTATCATAGGAGTAGCGTGGGCAAACAAAATTTATGAACTGAACTGGCTTGAAAATGAGGTAGCCAAATTCATCACTATATTAACATGGTCAATGCCCAGTGCAACTGCTCAAATATATTTCACTGCATTTTATACTCCATTAGAAGGTGATCATTTGCAAATGGATTGCCTTTCCGTTTTCTTCCTAGCCCAATACCTGGTTCTCTTTATTACATTATCGTTTGTTATGAGCTACACTTTAAAGGTAGATTTAAAGGTCTGACTCTAATACTGGTGAACTATCTAATATTTGCTAATTAATCATTAATATATTCTCTCTAAGACATCGAACCTAAAAGAAGTGCATGTATTTTTTATAGCTCGAAGTGCAAGAAAATATTTCGAAGATTTCGGGAGAATCCACTTCTAGTAAAGAAAATGCAAAGTTCAATTCAACTTTTGAAGAACATATCAAAGTTCAAACTAGGGTACTGTTTACCGCAATCCTCATTATGGCCAATTCATAGACGCTCTGCAGTACTTATACTGCTATTTGTAGGTTCGTTCGGAGAGCTACGAGTGCTATTAACCAAAAGATCAAGAGGATTAAGGAGTTTTTCCGGCCATGTTTCGTTGCCTGGTGGAAAAGCAGACAACATACAGGAGAACTTTGAAACAGTCGCTCGTCGAGAGGCCGAAGAAGAGATAGGATTACCATGTGATTCTGAAGTTTTACTCAAAGAATATGGTTTGAAAGTTGATAATCTATGTATGGAACTTCCGCACTATTTATCAAGGACGTTTCTCAGTGTGAAACCAGTTGTGTGCTTCTTGTACAACTCTAACTTAGAGGGCGATTACAAGTATGAGCGACCTTTAGATGCATTGAAGTTTTTTGGCAAGTTAAACCCAGGCGAGACTACTTCGATGTTCTCCATACCGTTGTCAGATTTGATAGCCCATGAGCACCAATGGAACAATTACCAAGTAGAATATGTTCGCCGAGAAGACGTGAATACGAAGTGGGGAGGCACAACTTGGCTCTTAAGACACTACTATTATCCAAACGAAAATTCAAGAGATGCTGCCTGGCTAAATGATATACTTGATACTAGCTCCGGTGACGAGGAACTTGAAGGTGTCAAATGCAAGGATGTGTGGGGCCTTACAGCGAAAATACTCTACGATCTTTCAAAAATAGCTCATGGCCCTCCTGAAAGATGTGAATCCAGTGCTAGACTGGGTCATGATGATCTAATATATGGCCTTCACGACCTCGGCGGCCAATTACGTGATCGTAACCGAAGCACATGGGAAAGTGCTATGATAGTCAATAAAAGAGGATATAAATATGGCGACGTCATTCCTGAATTTTACATGAAGCGACTCTTGAGAAGTTGCCCAAAATTCTAATCACTGCAAGGGTTTCTTGAATTTTCCGCTACTCTTCGTCATGCAATAGAACAGACAAGGAGAAGGTACATAAACAAAACCTACATACATGGAAAAGTAATGGTAGAACGGTTGAAGAAGGTGTCTTTCAAGTCAAGATTTAAGCCAAAGATGGGAAGTTCTTGGCGTTGACGGCTGGCTTCTTTTCAGCGGTGTTGGTGTTTTTAGAAGCCTTTGGCTTACCACCACGTCTTGGACCATTGTCAAACTTTCTTGGCTTAGGCTTGGAGTCGGAGAAAGAAACGTCGAATTCCAAAAATTGCTTGGTCTTCAATTGCTTGGACTTCAAGTTCTTGACCTTAGTTGGCTCAGCGAAGACTTCTTCGGTCTTGACCAACAATTCGGCGTCGTCGAATTTTTCAACTTGCTTTGGAGCTGGGGCTTTGTTGAATTCGTTGTTGTTGATTTCATTCAAGTAGTCTTGCAAAGACTTCTTGTTAGAAGCTGGGGCTTGTTCTTCAGTTTGGTCAGCGGCAATTTCAGCTTGGGCATCACGCTCAGCGGCGGCCTCGTCGGCTAGCTCCTTGTTGTCATCACCCCATCCTTGTCTGACCTTCTTGTCAGTGTCGACCTTACCACTTCTGGAGTGACGGTCGGTAGCTCTTCTGGAAGCGTTAGACTTCTTTGGGGCAGTGGCATCTGGAGCATCTCTGACTTTGTTGTTCTTTCTGCCGGCGGTTCTGTCTCTGAAGGCAGCCTCGTTACCGGTTGGCTTTGGTCTGTTCTTGTTGGCTCTAGCTGGGTTAGCAGATGGAGGTGGGACGTCAGCCTTCTTGGAAGAAGTGTTGTTCTTCACAATTTCCCTTGGTGGAGGGGTGACAACAGTAGCGTCTTCAACGTCGTTACCTAGCAGGTCAAATGGGTTCTGCCATTGAATGTTAGTACATTTCGATCATTTCCTGCAATTTCATGGCACCTCAATAACTTCGGCAGCCCAATGCACATTTAAATACATACAGACATCACGGTGATCCTGGATCTATGCAACCTAAATATATTTCAAGAACAACTACAACTTTTTTAATCTTGCTTATGTTTTAACAATGTGAATTGCAGGAGGACAGCCCGGCCCTACTCCCACGCTCACCTCCTGCCCTGCGATGTGCTGAAAAATTTTGAAAAATTTTCTGGCCATGACCCGCTTGAGTAAAAGCTGGTCTGACATCTGCGAACATTTTGGTCCAGGAGCCCCCTCTCTGTTTTTGGGGTCCGGTGCCTTTGGTTCGAAACTTGCGGGTATCAGAGAAATTTTCGTCCAAAGTAGTTTTAAATGTGAAAAAAACCGTGCTATGCGCGTTTTGCGAAAATGAGTCTTAATTATTCAGGGTAGAAACCATTGTGGTTCAGTCGAAATCAACGCAAAGATATATGAACGGTAAAGAGCTATCGCCGAAATCCAAAGAGGATCAGACGTTGGTCAAGGTGAAAAAAGAGATAGGTGCTCGAGTGGCAATTGGTAACAAGACAATTTCAGCAATGTCAGCGAGCGGTGTTTCCGCAGCGCAACAAGTGACGCCTCAGAGATTGTCCAATCTATTGTTATCAAGGGGACCGCTGGCGATCAGATTCATCACACAGGCGCTGGCGTCGGAAATAGCAGGGTTCAAGGATTTGTCAGCGTCGAAACAGAGACGGTTGATTATGAGTGCTTTGGACGCAGGCGATTTGGAGCACTCTGTCGTATTCGCGAAAATAGGTTGGGGCCAGTGGTCAGCCAAAAAGGTGGATCCAGAGACGTTTGAGCAGGAGCGTGAGACCACGAATATTGCCAACGCTAAGGTGAAGGATATGGTGTCCCAGGAAAGACGTCGGAGCAGCAGTAGCAAGAAGCACGTGGCTAAAAAAGATCTGGGATTGAGCCGCGTTGGCAGAACCACGTTCATTGACGAGAATGCGCTGGCTTCTGAAGACGAGGACGAGGGTGAAGAAGGTGACGAGGAGGGCGGTACGCTAAATTACGACCACTTCAAGAGACGGAAGTCTAGCGTGGTATTTGCCGATTCGCCACCAGAAGACATCGACCACGAGCTCATATCACATGCCATAAGACCAATTCTAAAAAACAGCCACCGCCGATCATCATCGAAGCTGCGTTCTCCGTCTGTGTCCAAACCTGGATCTTATCGTAGCTCAGTGGCAAGCCTGGGATCCAATGGAAGCGGCGACGCCGCGGAAGCGACCTTCAGGAGGCTATCGGTCACTGAACATCACAGCAGAAGCATGGTTGATCTGCAGGCTTCTACTGACAAAGACGCGGAACTGCTCCAAGGTCGCTCCAGAAGAGAACCCCGCCTTTCCTTTTCAAAAGAATCGTCTATACGGTCGACCCTGCTAATACACACACATTCCAGGACGAGTCCTCCAACTCCTTCGCAGCAGCCTCTCAATCCGGGAAACACTGACAGACTTCCCCGTTACCATCTGAACAACCTTTCGTCTCAAACACTTGAAGATTTGGACCATTCCGACACAGATGAAGAGGACTGGGAACACATCGGTGCTGCATCACTAAGGAATAGTTGTGGTCCCCCCAGTTTACAGTCACCAGACCCTGCTTCAGCCGGCCCTGTGTCAACTGTGACTCAATCCACACATTTGAAGCTTAAATCTCCTCCAATAACACAGGGAATCCCAGAACCTGGACCCTTTAGGAAGGAACCAGAAGATGCGAAGGACGCTGCTTTTCTGCTGATGAGCTTAAAGTCATAGTCATATTAACCCAGTCACATGTCACAAGGTTTAACGTATTACCTATAATTTCGTACAAAATAATCAAAGCAAGGGGCTTTACAAGTAATGTTCACGTTATGATGATTGAAAAAAATGAGGGGACAATGACAAACCCCTGAGACGCGGAATATAAAACGTTATAATTTTGCTAAGATCATTTTATCGATCAACTATCAATACAAACGCTTGTCCGATTTATCAGGAGATTTGAAGTGTTTTATTTCTTTGCTAGTTTTTTTTTGTTAGAGGGATGACCATTGAGGACAGCCCAAATGGGCAGTTTGATGACGGTGATACTGGGACCGACAAAATATTTCAAAATTATCTCATGCCTACACTGAGGTTATATGATACACGAGTTTCTATAAACCATTGGCAACTGAGAGATTGCGTCAAGCGATCCTCTACGGAACCAGGAAAAGTGTATTATATTTTTGACCATTCGATCCGATCATTGGATACAAGAACTCAAAGAAGCGAATATCAGGGCACAGAAGACAAAGCTATGAGTCCAAGGCATCGGAAAAGGCGAAGCAGCCTTCCCCAACGACGTTTTAAACCTCAAAACCGGTCACCTTCTCAAAAGGTAGTGGACTTTAGCTTCAAGAGTAGGTGTTTTCAAGAGAATAATGGGTTGATTGTGTCAGGTGGATTGATGGGTCCGGATGATAATGGTAGCATTGGAAGTATTTCAAGGCAGTCCGTATCGCTGAATGACGAACCCGCTAGTGGGCTTCCAACACAGGTGGAACCTATCAGATTAGCAAGTTCAAGTATACTATCTGACCATAGCACCTACAGTAACCAGTCCTCTTGGAAAGGCATTTTATCACTCTATAATGAGGAAAACAATGTCTCCTTGACATACAGACTGGGACAGTATATCAACAACTGTGTGTCACTCCATCAGAGAACTTCTCAACAGTACGATCTCTTTGCATGCAACAACGATGCCCATCTGTATCAATGCGATGTTAGCAACAGAGGTGTGGAACTGACGAGAAGATATTCTGATTTGAAATTTGCATTAAATAACGCCACAATTTCGCATGACGGGAAGACTATGATTGCCTCAGGAGATTCCAGTAAGTTTGCCATTTATCATGAAAATCAACTAACGGGCTGTTTTTCGCTCCAATATGATACACAGCCGGACTGGGGAAGCTCAATTATACGCACAAAAAGGATTCCACGGTATGCATTGCCCGATCGATCTGGGTTTTTAGATCACATTTACGAAGTTCCTGGTGGGGATCACGGATTTTCGACAAGCTTTGCTGAAAATGACCTACAATTTGCGACAGTTTTTCAAAATGGCACCTGCTGGGTATATGACACTCGGAAAATGGAAACACCGTTGGCAGAGCTATATTCAACCAGAAAACATGCGCAGAATGGTGCATTTCGTGTTTGTAAGTTTAGCGAAGGTTTGGATGATCTGCTATTTATCTCAGAGCACCAGGGAAGAGTGCACGTAGTGGATACCAGAAACTTTTTGAATCACCAAGTCATAATGATTCCTGATCGAATCAGGGAACATACAGAAGAAGAGGGTGTCAACCCTTTCATTCGAAGGAATTCTATGCCGACTCACCTTTCAGACCCTTACGTAACATTTGCAAATGATATCCCAGTGAGCGAATTGGAGCCTGAAATTTTGCCTTATCCGAAGGTTGTCAATCGCATGAACAATACCTGCCTAAGTGATGACAGCCCTTCTAATTCACCAAATCGTCGTACATCTCTGGCAAACCGTAGTCAGAGAAGGAGATCATTTTTTAGAGTAAGAAGAATCTCAACCTCACATTCGACTCCTTCAACTTCACTTGAATCGATAGACCCTTCTATACTGGACGCGAGATACACGGAACAAAATTATAGAGCGGTCGATAATTACAATTACGTTTCTGGTTCCGCAAGGGCTAATGAATCAAATTACATGCGAGTCAACAGGTCGGCGGAAAATACGGAAGAAGCTATATCTGATGATCCCATGGAGTTTGCTGATACATATAATGATGTAAGCGACGACAGCTTTGAACTTTTGGGCAGGCGTTCTCGCCGCCGGTCTCGGCATAACGAATCCAATTTACTAGGCTATCCGCATAGTTATGACTACTCTCGGACTGGTGGTACCACAGTTGTCGTGGGTTCGACGGAGGAAAATCATATATCAGGAATTGATTGGATGGAAGATGGGGAGGGAAGCTCTTTAATTATTGGCACTGAATATGGGATCATGAAGTGGAATATAAATTCTTGGGCGCGTAGAAGCTTCCCAAGCTATGATTTCTGCTAAGGCAATAAATGATATTTGAAACGGGGGTTTATGAACTACATAGGAGTGTAAGGGATGAAACTAAATTTATACTTACCGTACATCTTATATATTGAAAAGAATAAGCTTAGTCTACCACTTCTGAAGTGCTTACAAAACCGTCCGTGCTTGTGGGGCTTGACTGCCCTTCACTCTGAACTTTTGAGTTCTCATCAATTGATAGATCCTCGATACCCTGCTCGTTATGATATTGCTCCTGCAACTCCCTGAATTCGTTTTCATCTTCGAGTAATGCATTCACAGCAATGATGTTGCCTTCATTTAGAAGGTCTAATACCTTCTCGGCTTCTTCAATTGGCATATCCGCAAATACTTCATTAATTCTGTCTAAACTCTGGGACCTCACCGCGTCTTGCATTTGAACAGGCAATTTATTGAAAGCTGCTTGTTTAAGCTGTTCTTCATGTTGAGTTGATTCAAAATCCGGTAGATTAACTTCTAACTTGACGGAATCATCTAACGATTTTAGCTGGATGGTTTCCACTCCTTCTTGTTCTTCCTCTTGCTCAATTACTTTGACACGTTGTTTGACATGCTCGATCTTCGCATTAACAGATTCTAGAAACGACTTTTTGCCCATTTCATTACTTTTATTGAACATTACTTTTTCGAAGAACATCTTAATGACCTCTGATAGTTCTTTGACTTGCAAATGAGGAATCTTTTTCATTTCGTAAATTTCGCGAATATAGGCCAATAACTCAGATTGATGAATGACTCTGCGCGCCATCGCCTCTTCACCCGCCATTTGATATTCAAACGCAGACATCATAAGAGCATCTTTTTGCTGCTCCGAAATAATTGGTAGATGATTCAGGAGGAAAGTTTCCGAAGCCTTTAGGTCAGTTTCCGGTATCTTACCGAATTCTTCCGTTTCTGGAGCAAGCTTCATTATATCATCTTGGTATTCAATGAAAGTCTGTGGTGGACTAGGTAGGACTATGTCATTAGGAGCGTCTGCCTTTCGAGGCAAAAAGCGCCCCTCTTTATCTTCTTTTTCACTTGCTTTATTGACGAAGCTTTTTTCAAAACCCGTATGAATATCTTCAGATGATATCAAATTACGCTTCTCTTGGTAAAGTTCTTCCAACTTTTGTCTGGCTTGCTCAGAGACATTATCGATCTTGGCTCTGTGTTGTTGGATCATAGATCTGATTACTGAACCGTCACCAGGGTCTTTACCCTCTTTTTTGGCATCATTTTGCAGTTGCTCAATCAAATCCTCAACCATTTCATTATAGGGAGGCATATCTGGATCGACATTGTCCCCTTCTCCCTTCTCGGTCTTATCAAAATTGGCATTTAAAGTTTTGCGCACTATATCCAAATCCACAAGCTCTTGATCAGGAAGATCTTTAAGTAATTTGTCTACCCGTTTATTTAATCGGGAATTCATTTCCAATTGAAACTCTAGGTTTTTGATATCTTGGTTCCTTTTAGCACGCTGCTCATGTATACTCTGTTGCTTCCACCTGATGAACGATGACTTATCCACATTAGGATGAACTTCGATATCGGAATCATCTGAAAGTTCAATCTTATCCCATTTAGAGTAATCGATAGGCATTTTAGAGTTTCCTGATGTTGACCTTTATTAATATACACAAAATGAAGATGATACATCATAATTAAATACAAGAACCGCTCTTCTCTTCTAAAGGATTCCAGAAAAGTCATCTTCAACGATAAAAGTCTGGTCTAGCAATGTTTAAGCCGTACTCGGAAACTGCACTGCTCAAGTCATTAACAGTTAAAACCACCTTATTGGCCTTTGTCCTTTCATTTTGCTGCTGTTGCTGTTGTGTGAGTTGCCCCGGCTGTTGCTGTCCAAGAATTAATTGTCTTGCTCTTGCTTGTCCATTGTTAGAGTTATGAACTGTAATAGCAGATCGTATGCGAGAATATTCATACGCATCAGTTGCAATATCACTTACAAACTTCTGTGTTGCTAGTGCAAGTAGTCTTTTGACTCTAACGTCTGCACAGTCAAATCCGTTTCGGGTAAGATAGTAATCGATAACTGCATCTGGGATAATGGGAGGATTGTCTTCCATCATATTTAGGATTTCATTAAGGGTCTTATCCTTTCTGGTGAACTCTGGTATTTCAAAGAGTTTATCTGCACCATTCTCTAATCGCGGTTTCCCGTCATCTTCTTCCCCGGGGTCTTTGAATAAAGCAGAGTCATCGATGGCTCCTTCTTGGTTATCATCAAATTCATTAACATCTTCATCCACATCTAAATCATCTACTTCAAGTAACTCTTTTTCACTCATGCCTTGACTTTTGGCTATCTTGCTCGTTTCCTAACGACGGGAATTGACCAAACCTTTAGTATTAATCTCCATATCCGGGTAAATAACTTTATAATCATGAACGACAGAATCATGATTTACAGACTGAATGATATTGTCACTCTAAGGATATGTAGTGTCTACTTAAATTAGACAGTATCTTAACTCAGATTGCCCATGCTGCTGCTTCCGCCTCATTTTCAATCAACGGTTCGTCGATTGTGTTGATTTTTATGTCACTGCATAAACAGCATTTGCTGGATAATAATTTATCAAGTTCCTTTGCATCGACAGGTGCCTTTTTATTCGAGAGGCCCTTCTGAAATGTTTCAATCTTGCTCTTAAGGGTGAAATCTGTAGAGTCCAGGATTTCTTTTATCAAGCAGTCTGTGTGGAAATTGTGGCCACAAGGGAAAACAAAAAATTTACGCGTTTGCAAGACTTGCCCACAACAATCACAAGAAGCACCAGGCTCCAATACTTGATAGCGTTGTTTGAGTGACTCAATGTCCTCAACAATTTCTTTCTTGATCTTTATTGAGTTCTTGATTTCCTGAGAAATTTGCAGCATTTCTTGATTATGTCTCTCTAGGCTTTTCACAAGCTCTTCCTTGAGATTTGCAACGGTAGTAAATTCATCAAACAAGGGAAGCAGATCACGCATGGTCAAAATCTCATTTGAATCCAGAATAATACTTTTAATGGTCTGCTTGACGTCATTTCCCGAGGAAAGCATTTTCTTTGCTATCTGCAACCATAATTTGTGTCTTAACGTCTCATTAACGTCCAATTCTGAAGCGCTGGCCACCAGTTTAGCAGAGTCCACAAGGTTCTTATCTAATGCTAACGTTACAGCATCTTCATAGAGTTTTAACTTTGAGTACAGGTAAATGGAGATTTGAAATTTGTCAAACTTCAAACTCAAACGTAAAACAAAGTCTAAATCGAAAGAGCCTTGGTGATCTTCCATAAAGTTGATCGTCTCGAGTTCCTTTTCCTCACCATCAAAACCTGCAATCATCATATATATCGCAGTACTGTAAATGATCGAATCACAAGAGTCATGCTCCTCAATACACCATTTTAGATAGTTTAATCCATAATTTTGTAAGGACTGCATTGAACTTGCCAATTGGCGTTGCTTTTGAAAATTTGTGAAATAGGTCAGGATGGGATGAATTAATTCTGATGGATTCAATTCTCTTATCTGCATCCAAGTACTGACAGTTGAATCAGGCGAATTTACTAATAAAATAGTCGCATACTTGTATGTGCATTCTGGATCTTGTAACGTTACAAGAACTTTCAAAGACTCATACCAATTATTCGAACGTATCCAATATGATAAAATGAACCTATGATCTTGGATAACGTTGGCAAAAAACATTATTTCATTTTTGCGATGCTGATTTGACATTATTTGATAAATGGTTTCTTTATCGAGACAGTCCACGTTTGATGATAGAAAATCTTCTAATGATTTATTGACGAGTGATTTTCTTTTGTGCCAATTTTCAAGATTTTGAGGCTTTTGTTCAGAATTGATACATTCATCAATCTCATTCAATTGCTGCATATAATTCCAAACAATCCAGCTTGAAAGAAGTATTGATTGTGACTGATTTTCAGAAGTTCCTTTTAGACAGTGCAATTTTGTCGTCAAAAACATTTGTAATGAATCAAGGTCTTTATTGTCAAGAAACTTCAAGGCACTTATAGAAGTGGAAGTACATGTACTCACACCGAAACATTCCGCCGCTTCCGCCAACCTATTTTCAGAAAAAAGATAATTACCTTTCTCCTCATAGATTTGGTCTCTCTCGAGATGATGCAAGCCCTTCAAGCCCAGTGCTTCGTCAAATTTCTTTTGGTCACACAACAGCTTCCACATGCCACTGTTCTCATCTTGAAGAATTATTTCATATATGTTAGCCGATGAAAAACACCATATAGTTGGCGGGGTTTGGGAATAATCTACTGCTAAACCGGTCAGTTTTTCCTCTTCTTGGACCCATATTGTCTCTTGAAAGACGATTTTGTTATTTAGCTGATTCACGACTATAACTTCACTGCCGCGAAGTAGTATTAAATGGTATTTAGTCAGCACAAAATCTTTTATCCGATGTTTGGACTGTGGCAATTCAACAGTCAGCAATATAGTCGCTGAGGTTAGTACTTTACCTGCAATATCAGTGTTGCCAAATACTATGCCTGACTTTATAATCCATGCAAACGTTTGCTCATTATATGTGAATTTCTTCCCAATTTTATCTATGTGTTCGAATTGCTCAGTTTCATTAGGTATAGTTTTTGTAAAAGTTGTCGATGGATCCTTAACATCCTTCCAAAACATAATTGTATTACTTGATACCAGAAATGCTCCCGTTTGTGGGGAAAATGCCACGCCATCAATTGGATTTGGTGATGAATGCAGCTTGATAACCGAACCATCCGCAGAAAGATCTACCAAATAAAGAATCCCTTCTGCAGTACCACATATAAACTGGGATTCCTGATACCAGTCAATGGAAATGATATCACAATTCTTTTTAGATAACTGTTTTAAGGGTGTGCACTTTCCATGTCCTTCCAAAATTGATGGTACTGGACAAGTGAAGTACTTCGCAAAATTTGTTTTGGCAAGTAGAATAGATCCATTTGGATTCATCCAAATATTCAATATTTTCTCATGGTTACTCGCCAATAAAGGAAGTTGAAATCGAGCAACAGTAGATGGTGTTGCAAGATCTATAAGGAACAAATGTCCGCTCTTCAGTGCGAACGACATGATGTTTTGCTTGACCTGAAGAGAAGATATATTGTTCTCTATCTCTTTGAAGAACTGTAGCTGCACATGCTCTATGATCACGTTCATTGTTGATGATGTATTTCGCAGCAATCATTTTTTTTTTTTGCATGTTATCACATTAACCAGTTACTCAGCTACATCTCAAAGCGCACCGACAAAGAATTAACGTCTTCAATGAGTGCATCTAGTATCCCTATCAAGCTTCTAAACGAGGCACAGGGTCATGTTGTATCTCTGGAACTTACCACTGGTGAAACATATAGGGGAAAGTTGGCTGATAACGAGGACAATATGAATGTACAGCTAAGAGATGTCACGGTTACCGGGAGAGATGGCACGGTGACACACGCAGACCATATATTTGTGAGAGGATCGCACGTCAGATTCTTCGTGGTACCCGATATTTTGAAAAATGCTCCAATGTTTAAGCAGGGTCCTATGTCGAGACCACCTCCACCAATTAGAGGACCTAAGAAAAGATAATGAGATGTACGTAATAGCTGTATAATATTTAATTGAGAATTGCCTTTTGGAACCTGTCTTGGCTTTTTTTTTTGACTTTCTTAATTGAAATTCTTAAGACAAACCAACTTTTAGAAGGACAGTCTATCAATTATGAGTCGCAATCCTTTCGCTTTCGAGGAAGACAATTTAGCTGATTACTACCATCTTAAGACCCTTGATCCGAAGACATCTTGGGAAAATGACTCCAATGCGTTCTTTCCGCTGGACAAATTCCAGAGTGAAAACTCAGAGGAGTCCTACGCGATTTTAAATGAGCTTTTGCAACAAGAGCACGAGTTCAATTCTAGAAAGAAAAGTAATGTCGAGACAGCAGATCTTCCAGATCCTTTAGGATCAAAGGAGTCTCTTTCCAAATTACTTGATAGAAGAGGGATTCCGCAACGTGAACGATATAAGTATTACACCAACAGCAAGAAGTTCAATTCAAAGCTGTATTTGAAAAACGTTCACCCTGATGACGACTTTCAGCACCTATCCGAGTCACTGGATTATTTAGACCGATCTTTGCAGGCTCAGAGCGAAGAACTAAAACAGCTTGTTCAACGCAATTTTGTCAAGTACGTGAGATCCAAAAACAACCTAGATCGGATCTACGATCAATTTAACAAGTTGTCGGCAGGTGGAGCAAACGAGTTAGGTGTAGATAAACTTGGCGGGTCTGTGGACGAAACTATAAGGGAGACAACATTACGTCTTAAGCCTTTAATGGACGCGAATAACAAGCTAAAGAAATATCAATCAACAATCTCATTTGTTCAAGAAAACAAGGAGTTCTTCAATTTACCACGCCTATTAAAAAGTTATTTGAACAAGAAGGACTATACGAATCTATTGTTCGAATATACCAGAGCACAACGTAAGTATAAGGCACTCCTTTCCAATAGTGGAGCTTCACCAATTTTAGATCGAATTTGGAATGAGGTCGAAAATACGGTGGACACGTACAGAAAGTATACATGGGAAATGCTAATAACCGCTAGAGCAGATGAAACACAAGAGCACTTTTTGCCGTTAATATCCAAATTGCTTGATCTGAAAGTTGAGGATAATCCTATCATAAGTTGGATAAACACAAGACTCGATGGTTTTGAATCTCAGCTGGGGAACTTATGTGATCAAATGCTATCTAAAATCGTTCATGCCCAACAGAACATCTTGAAAGATGGCGGAAGTGGTGCTGTTGATCTCTCGTTTTACCTGTCCATTGACACTTTTCCCGACCATTCTGAAAGTAACGAAAATGCAGTGACTGCCAAAATGGTAAGAATCAAAAACCACGGTTTAACAGATACTCCGATCATCATTGAAATGTGGTTATTGATTCTAAAATTCATTGCTTCTATATCCACCCAGTCTTACAGATTCATAGAGTTTTGGGAGCACGTTGAGAAATTTCTTGATGGAACTTATCAGACATCACTCATCAATGACAAACGGAAGGACAATATTCTAAATGCCAATCTTGAAACTAGGGACAACTATCGATCATTTTTAGAATTAGAAGAGTATCAAATCGATGAAGTTAGAAAGCGCGGTGAGCTCTTCGTTAAACATTTGTCTGACAGATTAAGAACATTTTTTCTAGCTTCCCAGGATTCTTTAAGGGACGGTAAGGAAATAAACAAAGATACTGGCTCTCCTAATGATTATGGTTTCATCCCACCGAATGCCAATGGGTTAGGATGTCTCAGGTACTTACCCCGCATCGTCGAACCCATACTGAAATTCACAACGGAATTGGCACAGCTGAATATAACTACTAGTACCATTGAGACTTTAAGAAAACTTGACACTGCAATTCTTGATAGGTCTGTTTCTGCCATTTCTTCTACCAGACTAAGAGACATATCCGAATTTCATACTTTAGAAGATTGGACAATTTTCCGTACTTTTGGTGATCAAAACTATGGCGTGACTCAGTTCCCTGAAATTGTTCGGTCTTTCCAAAAGTTGAGCATCAAAACGATCAGAGATATGCTTTTTTCATTCGAGAAGCTTCCAATTCTAAATGGTATATATGTAGTCACACATCCTTCGAGGCAGTTGATAACTGGAATTGAGGTTCAGCAGATCATATCCATGGAAGCAGTACTCGAATCTACCTTAAAAGATGCGGCAAAAGACAAAGAAAGCCCGAGAAATCCCCGTACGATCTTAACGCTTACAAACTTACAGTATATACGGGAACAGATTTTCCCTGAGATATTACACTATTTTGACGAATGGTTCGAATGGCACTTGAGTCAAAAAAATTTAGAAATTTTTGCTTTACTTGCTAAAATGGAGTCTTCAATATTTGGCAATTATCTATCTGATTTGAAGGTAAACTTAAGAGATGTTCTTGAAGACAAATTCCACGACATAAGTTGGCCTACTTACAGTTCGCATTCGTTCCGGGCTGGAGATTATATCATAGAAGCACTTATGATATTAGTCACTGTTCACAGTGAATGCTTCAGAATAGCACCTCAACTTATCAGCAAAATTATAAAGGAGACGCAGATATTCATCTCAAGATATCTGTTCGAAGCATTCAAGCCTTATATCGGCAACATATCCTCAGATGGTTTATTGCAGGTCACAGTAGATCTGCAGTTTTTTCAAAGGGTACTTGGAAAGCTTCTCGAAAGAGAGACTGAAGCGACGTTGGTGGCTTGTCTACAAAACTGTTTTGAAAATGACGTTTCTAGGATGCAAAGATGTATTAAAGAGACTGAGCCAATTGTCACATCGAATCTGAATAGGACAAATGTACAGTTTTCCTCATTCAAACAATAGGCACTAAATACCATTAATTGTTTTGATAAAATTATGGCTAGCTGTAGCTATCGTCGTCAATTTGACAAAACTCATCCATATCTGTCCTTATTTCATCGTTTTGTTTCTTCAAATTTAAATAAAGTCCATTGACCTCTTCCTGCAGTGCCAATATTTCATTCATAAGGCTTCTTACATTGTCGTCAGAAATAATTTGTTCTGTTAAAACTTGGTCAGTTGAAACACCTGCACCTTTGAAATCTCGCTTACTTCGTTCGGAATTGTCCGAAAAGCTGTCCTTTTCAACCATATCCACTACCTGATATCGGCGAATCGCAGTTTTCTAGAGATTGAAGCCGAGATCGATTAAGGAGATAGTTTACCTTTAAAAATTCAAAATTGAAAATTCGGCTCAAGAAAAATTTACTTTGTTGTTGAGCTGCATACCGCGGAGAATTTCTGCCGTATTGACAATTAGTAGATAAGATCTTCAGTATAAGACCTCATGGGGAAACTTATTTAATTTTCAAGCTCTATACTACACATATATTTACTGCTGCAATTTCAATGCTCACCGCGTTTCCTCAAGGATGCTACATGATACAGAGGATAAATACCCTCTTGTTCGATGTTTGCAATTTCATTATCACTCAGCCTACTGTTGATGAAATCATCAAATTTTTGTTGCTTGGACTGGTTTATGTGAAACTTATCGACATCCATAGAAATAAAAGCCACGAAGTTTTTGTCGTGGGAATTTTGATTGTCCAAGGTAGCAATGAGCTCCCCGGTTGTCTCGGCACATGCCAGAGAAACAACATTGTAAGGAACTTCTAAAACCTGTTTTAATGCTATTTTACCACTATCGCGGTTGATCTGGCAAGTAAAGATAGCCTTTGTAGCCTCTATGAAGAAGGCAATTAAAGGCAGACTATCGAATGTGACAATTTTTGACACAGAGTACTCGATGAGGTTTCCTTCCTTATTTTGAAATCTATCAGGCGCAAGATGGTTCTCAGTCAGAAAGGGTTGAATCAGTTCAGCAATATTAAATCTGTCAAGTAGCTCGCCTGTTTGCCAATTCCATGAAAAAATAGAGCTCTCCCCACCTGCACTGAATAACAACTCAGGTGCCCATACAGGCAAACACATTGTCGATATGAATTCCTTATGCCCAAAGAGCCATTTATCGATGATGAAACTCTGTGGAAAATGCGTTATTCTAATATGCTCATCTCTGTCAGACGTGAAAACAAGCTGCTTTCCGTTTGAGTCTAAACCAATCGCGACGTCAGTCAATAGTGAAACATGACCTAATATCGGCTCTGGATTCACACAAGGCTGGTCATCATTGACTCCAAATGAGTACAAATCTCCAAACTTGTCTGCAACTATTAATTGCTTGTCATCAATAGTGGTAGTAATCGCGTTTGGCCTTTTTGGTAATCGTTGCCGCTTTGCAAGCCTTAAACAATTGTTTTTGTCCTCAGCGCTAATTTCGAACATGACAATGGCCTTATCCGAATCTGTACAAGCAAAAAGCCATTTACCATCGCGTGACAATTTCACGTTTCTGATATATTGATAAATTGGCGGAGCACCTTGACCAGGTTTGGGAATTTTCGCTTCCTTGTGTTCTTGAGGAAGAGCGGTGCCGTCATTCGCCTTCAACTTTTTTGCTGTATTTTCGGCCAGCTGTCTCTGCTGCTCTTTGGTCACCTTCTCTTTAATAATAGCAGTACTATCTGCCTCATCGCTCCACTCGCCAACAAGCTTAAACTCATCATTCGAATCTTTCACACTGTACACCAGAATACTATTTTTAATCACAAAGAATAGTAGAGAGCCATCCGAGTTAGACGCTACTGATTGAAAAGGGTGTATCATTTCGATGTGATAGGCAGCAATGATTGTTGGAACAAGGCAATGTTCATCTCATCTCATCTCATCTCATCTAGAAGTTGAAGAAAAATTTTTAAATCGTCATATACGTCGGAATATACAAGATGCTTAGTCAAGAGATTAAGCCACTTGTGATAGTCTACATGAGCGTCTTTTCGACGTGGAATATATTGGCGCTGTGTCGACGATATTTCAGTAAATACGCAATGGCCTTCTTCGCTATCTGTTGTAGTTCCTGTGAAAATTTCTGACGAACAAAGACGAATGAAAAAGCTCTTACCATTACATATTATAACTTCTGAAGTCAAATTAAAATGATGAAGTCCTCGCAAATCAGGGATGGATGGTTCACGGAATTGAGCGAGAAAAACTTTCCTGGACAGGGACTATCTTTGAAAGTTGAAGAGGTTCTATATCATTCTAAGAGCGAGTTTCAAGATGTCTTGGTTTTCAAAAGCTCCACATATGGCAATGTGCTCGTTCTTGATGGAATTATTCAAGCTACTGAAAGGGACGAATTTGCCTATCAGGAGATGATAGCCCACATTCCACTTTATGCACATAAAAAACCCCGAAATGTGCTTGTGATTGGTGGTGGTGATGGAGGCGTGCTTAGAGAAGTTGTGAAACATTCATGCGTCGAATCTGCTACTCTGGTTGAAATTGACGAAATGGTGATTAAGCTAGCTAAGAAATATTTACCTCGCATGGCATCGTCGTTTGATCATCCAAAAATTCAGGTAAAGTTGTGTGATGGATTTCAGTTTTTAAGAGATACTGCCCTCCGAGGTCAGCGCTATGATGTAATTATCACTGACTCGTCGGATCCAGAGGGGCCTGCAGAAGCATTTTTTCAAAAGGAATACTTCGAACTACTTCATAATGCGCTTAACGATGATGGCATCGTTATTGCACAAGCCTCTGAAAATGTGTGGCTTAATATCAAGTACATTCAAGACTTGATGTGCACTGTTAGATCAGTGTTCCCGCGGTCACAATATTGTTACACAACTGTGCCTACATATACTTCTGGCCAACTTGGTTTGGTTGTTTGTTCTAAAAGTTCATCAACTGATTTAATTTACCCCATTCGCAAACCGACTGATGAAGAACAGTCTAAATTATTGTACTACAATACAAGAATACATTCTGCATCATTTGTTCTTCCAACTTGGGCTAAACTGACAATTGATGGAGAACAAAAATAATTAACATAGGACCCTTTTACTATAGATAGATTTATCCAAAAATATCATCAATTACTGACCTCTTTTTCTTTCCTTTTTTAGCTTTTTTCTTAACCTTGGAACCTGTCGTTTTGACTGGATTCGTCCGCTCAAAAGATTTCACCTCATTGAATTTGTTCAAGTAACCTTCCGTGACTTCTTCTCCTATCTCCTCTCCGTTGATATTTTGCAATCTCAGCTGGGTTGAGGACTCTATCCTTCTGGGATCATGAAAAACGCATCCAAGTTTAACAAACCTTTCTTCTTTCAACTTTGAAATTTCGGTAAAGATCCCGTATACGCGTGCTAGAAGGCCAACTAAGACAACGCCAAGTGTCACGAATTGACCAAGGGCTATCACGCCATTGAATCCGTAGTACATCTTCGACACTTGCTGATTCCTCAGCCGCTTGAGCAGGGAGAATAACGTAATGCCGTCTTTGTCAGATGGCTTATGTTTTCGTAGTTGTTTGAGGACTTGAGATACCGTGCGCTTAAGTTCATTGAACTGCCTCCACCAGATAGAAGCTCGATGCTGATTCTTGTTTCTGTGATATATAAGGTGGATGAGAAGGTACTCTTGGTATAGTTTATCACAGAGTGCAACTATGTCCCCGTCCATTTTGTTCCATTGGTAGTGTAAATAACGTTGCGTCGAGAATTTTCAACGCCTTGTATAAAAAAGACAGTTACTGATCTCAACCAGCGCAAGGGAACCAACTTAAAAAGAGTGCTATTCGTAAACGGCATTTGTAACTCTTTATATCATTGCTCTTACTATAATTCAAATTTTAAGTTGTTACAGAATATTGGTATAAGTGTGACGGATATCGGACAGAAACACAAAAGGGATATTGTTAGAAACTGGTAATCGCTTCCTGATCTTCTGTTCTCTACTTCGGAAATTATAACAAAAAAAGTATGCCATATGATAGACCTCTGATGCCACTTCCGCTGACGGAGAGCGATTACTACGGTAGGCCGCCTATTCCACCGCCTTACTCAGAAGAAAGCGAAAATTGTGAACCTGGTCAACCGCCAAAGTTACCTCCGAGACCATATACCGCTGACTCTTCGCCTCCGCCACTGCCAGCAAGATTATCTACTGACAAAGATTTAGAAGGAAATACTATGTTCTTTCCCGTAGAATCTACTAGCATTTTTTCTAGTGCCATATCTACCAAAGATCCGTCCCAGATCTTTCCCAAATCGGTTCATCCAGTCCCAATACCTCCAAATACAATATCCAATGGTAGACCAATTCCCACAAATAAGTTCTACGGCAATATGATGTTAGGTGACCAGACAAACCCTGTGTGGACGCACCCTTACTCGATCTGGCTTTCACGAGACTTTTACTTCGGTATGTCAATTTCATACACAACATCTGCGCAACGCGTTTTTTCACCCAATAACCCCCCACAGTATTATTTTTCCCCAACAGGTATCAAGTCATTCACCTTCAGCGCTGAGGATTTCTCTTCACCCAACGATATGAAGTTAGAGTTTGCAAATATCAATCATCTGTCAATTAACGCTTTATTGAAGAAATCAGATGACCAGTACATTATGTTTCCCTTAGTGCAGGGTATGGGATTTGTGACCGCGGCTTATTTCAGTTTGGTTCCTAAATTGTCTTCTGCAGTAGGTATTAAATCAATGACAGTATTACCTTCACCACGACCTGGGATACAGAAATATAAACTTGATTTACATAATGGAGTTTCTTGGATACTCTATGTCACTGTACCAAGTGGAAAGTCTTTATCTTTAGTCCTGAAGAGTGAGAATGTCATCCTGGGCGACCAAAAAGTTCACAATTGCATATTTCAAATCGTTGCAGATACAAATCCTGCAATCGATGTAGCTGCAGGCTGCTTTCCGGTGTCATGCAATTTATGGGGATGCACGAGAAGTTCTCTGGGTACTTACAAATTAATTTATGAAACGTCTGGATTATCCAACGGCGGTAAGACTTTGATGTATGCCTTACCCCATCATGTAAAAAGTTTCACACCAGCTATGGCAAGTAAGAAAATAAATTCCTTTCTGGATTCTACCGTGTATGGGAAAATGACAGCATATATCACCAAAGAGTTTGAAATGGAAGTTCTAATTCCTAAAGATTTAGGATTCCATCCTTTTTCAACCATTCCGGGCAAAGAAATCCCGTCGTACTCTTCCAATGTCATAGCGGCAATCGAAGAGGCGGCTTCCTTTGAAGCTCAAGGAGATATCGATGCAGAATCAGACTTAGATTCAATGTACTTTTCGGGCAAAATTTTGGCAAAGTATGCTTGGATCTTGTTTTGTTCTCATTATATTCTCAAAAAGGAAAATTTGGCTAAAACATTAGTACTAAAACTAAAAAATGCATTACAAAAGTTTGTGATAAATCAGCAGAAATTGCCTTTAAAATATGATACAACTTGGGGCGGCATTATATCATCGGGCTCCAGTTCACAAGATTTTGGGAATTCTTATTACAATGATCACCATTTCCACTATGCTTATCATGTTATAACGGCAGCTATAATAGCTAAAGTCGACAACGATATTGGCGATGGAAGTTGGCTTGCTCATAACAGAGACTGGGTTGAAACTTTGATTAGAGATTATTCAAACCCAAGTAAGGCGGACCCCTATTTCCCAGAATTTAGATCTTTTGATTGGTTTGCTGGTCATTCTTGGGCGAAGGGTCTCTTTCCTAGTGGTGACGGGAAAGATCAGGAGTCTAGCTCCGAGGATGTCAATGCGGCATACGCATTGAAACTATGGGGTAGTGTTGCCGGAAATGCAGCCATGGAAAGCATTGGTCTTTTGGAGCTAGGAATAATGAGGATATCTGCCAATGAATACTTTTTATACACCGATGATAATACTACACAGCCCGCAAACTTTATTCCCAATAAAGTGAGTGGAATTTTCTTTGAAAACAAAATCGATCATACCACGTATTTTGGAAATAAGTTGATCTACATTCAAATGATCCACGCCATTCCAATTACTCCGGCGTCTTCTTTTATTAGAACTCCCGCTTTTGTCAAAGAGGAATGGGAGCAAAAGTTATCATCAATCTCTAATGAAATTAATGACGGCTGGAAAGGCATTTTGATGTTAAATGTGGCCCTATTTGATCCAAGACAATCCTACGAGTTCTTTAGCAGTCCAACGTTTGCATCTACTTATCTAGATAATGGCCAAAGCAGAACATGGTCGCTGGCATATTCAGGAGCTTTCATATGAAGCAACGCATAACATGCAGGAAGGTCTATAATGTTAATTAGTACCAAGGGAATTGATTAGTCTAATTAGAAAGACTTGTAGTGGTTAAATAAATTGCTCAAAACAATGTTGCAATAAGAATGTTCAATTGATAGTAAAGCCTTAATACGTATTTAGCGATATTTGTACTGGGTAAAACTGTCGTCGTTCTCGAGTAATTTCAAAGATATCAAACTCCAAAAACCCTAGAGATTTGGGCGCTGCCAAACCAGTACGAAGGCAATGTCCGATCTCGTTGAGCTACAAAGAAATTGTATGTGCAATATATACTTTACAGGAAGGCATGCTTATTTTTAAGACTCGTACTAACAGATTCCAGATATCGTCTCTCATATCAACGAGATACAGACTGAGCATAACTTAAAGTTTCTAGTGATAGATGAAACTGTCGAAGAGCTAATCGACTCTTTATTTGTCGATCGCAATGAACTTTTGAGTATTGTAACCGCGGTTGATAGAATAGACGGCTCAAAGCGGAAAGGCCAGCCATCGGTGGAGGTAGTATACATGCTACAACCAACCAAATTCAATATTAACTGCATGGACGCTGATTTCAGTAATAGGCCACCCAAGTATAAAAGAGCACATGTGAGGTTTTTGCCCGGTTTCGAAGAACATCTTGTCAAGTATTTTCACTCAAAAAGATATCTTCCTCAGTATATAGGAAGCTTAGGGGAAATCAAATGTGCTTTTATTCCTAAAGAGCCGCTTTTTTTTGAAACAATGAATATCGACCAACCTCTACAAATTTACTACAATAAAAGTTGTGTTAATTTGATAGAGAGAAATATTAAACGAACCGTTCAAAGTTTATTAAACTTATGCATTATTACTGGAGAGTATCCTGTTGTAAGGTACTCAGAACCCTCTCCCGAACTCTACCAAACTAGTACGGCAACAATCTTAGCCAAAAAAGTAGCATTCGAATTTCAAGAATCCTTAGACGATTATGCCCGGAAGAATGAAAATTTCCCCCCTCCATCTTCGAGGCCCCGATCTGTTTTTATTATCACAGATCGTTCTTTAGATCTTTTCACGCTTGTGTTACATGATTTTTCTTATCAAGCAATGGCGTACGATTTGGTTCCAGAAGTGGATACGCGAACTGATACTTACCATTATCAAGCAGAAAATGAGGTAGGAGAAAAAGAGGACAAAACTGCAAAGTTGGTAGACCTTTTAGACCCAGATTGGGTTGAACTGAAGCACCAGCACATTATTGATGCGAGTGAGTATCTGACTGCTAAAGTAAACGAACTAATTGCAAAGAATCCGCTCCTTGTTGACAGATCGAATATTAAAACAACAACAGACTTATTGAGTGTCGTAGCCCATCTAAAGGATTTTGACGAGGACAGAAGAAGAATTATTTTGCATAGAACACTGATTGATCAATGTCTGTCTATCAACGATCAAAGACATTTAGCCGAGTTGGCGGATTTTGAGCAAAATCTGGCTGGTTTCGGGCATGATGCCAATGGAGATAAATGCAAGAATTTAACTGAAAATTTACTGGAAGTGCTTCTAAGCAAAGATGCTAATATCACTGATAAAATTCGTTACATCATTTCTTATGCACTTTATCGTGGCGGATTGATTGAATTAGATTTTGTTAAGCTTCTATCTTTCATAGGAGTCAATTCCGGCCATACGTTTTTCCAGCACTTCATGACTCTTTTTAAGAACTTTCAGCATCTGGGATTCAGACTCATAAAAGAAAATCCCAAAGATAAGCCTTTCAAGAAGGAATGGTTTCACGAATCAATTGTCAATGATCCAAACACTTATAACACCTCGAGGTTTGTGCCGTGCGCAGGTAATATTTTATCCAAGGTTATCACAAATCCTTTGCTGTTGAACGAAGATGCTTTTCCCTACGTAAAAGATAAACCTATCGATGTGATGGAGACAGACTCTAGTGATAGTTCCGCCTTTGCATATTCGTCAACTTCTCTAAGGAATCCAAGGCACAAAGCCTCGTGGACCCGGAATGCATCTCAATTCAAAGCTCCCAGGCAGAGATTCTTCTACTACGTGGTGGGTGGAATAACGTACCCCGAAATAATGGCAGCGTACTTGCAGACTCGGTTAAAAAATAAGGATGTATTCATAGGGAGCGACGGCATATTCACACCATTAGAGATCATGCAGGGTATCGAAAAGCTGTCCGAGCCTCGAGAACATTTATCTCTCAAAGATGACCAAAAGGAAGACGAAAGGGTACCAGAGCATCTTTTTGATCGAGCTGTTACGTCTCCAGCTGTTAATCAGCATGTTCATACTGTTTCCCATCAACGATCAAAAGCAGATGCCAAACCGCAGATGCCAGCTCCCCAACCTACCGAAAACAAAGAAAAGAAGCGCAGTAAACTCAAAAAGTTTCTCAGATCTAAGTAACTCTTCTGTGCAATGACTTTATAGTTCAAATAACATAACTGACCATATTGTATACGATTTTTAAGTTACTTGATTACTTTTGCTTATAAATCATATTTCTTAGCCACATTTTCCATTTTTCGTAATGCTTTAGGTGCTTTTGATCTACCGTCATTGCGTTTAGGCTTACTGACTTGTCGAGGTGGCAATGTTCCAGATCTAGATTTCTTTATTTCAATTGAATTACTAAGTTGCGATGTTGGTGGTGGAGAAACAATCGTTGACTGCTGTGGGAAATTATATGCAACGTTTTGGGAAGAAACATAACCTTTTATAGAGCTTTCAAGTTCTTGGGATGGGGCAGTTGAACTATTATCGAATGGAAAAGATGAAGGTTGACAATGCTCAAATTTGAGATTAGAGTAGTTGTTGGCGGCACCCAGAGGTGAATTATTTGCCCCGTAAAACATCCCTGTACTCAAGTTCTGTTGATTCTTATTACCAGTTTCATAATATGCTTCCGTCTTTGGGCGTGAAATTGTTTTCGAAGTAGGGTTCTGCGGTGGGTCTGTTTTCAAACCTTCAAGACCACTTGCGTTCTGATTTTGAGCAAGGCGAGTATTCGATGTACAGCTCAGAAGCTCACCAGGTGAATTGTTGTGTGTGGAGTTTTTTTGCTCCTCTTGTTTTGCACTGTCGTTAGCCAAAAGTGATTTTACAATTTCTGTATTCCGTACTGCATTCTCAATCAATCTCCTATCTTTATGCACATGATTAATATGGCGGCTACCTTTATCATTATTCAACTCCTTAGAAATTAGTCCATCCATCGTAAAGTGCTGCTGCTCATAGACCTCCGATGCTAGTGCGTCTTCCTTCTCGATTGTTTGACTACTGTGCGATGCTGTATCATTTTCACTTCGGAACGCAATTCCGGCCATCTTAAGAACACTATAGTCCATGCACATTGTCTCCAGATATTCTGTGTCCACCCTGTCTAATCTTCCAATGCTATAATTTCTTTCATTCTCCTGATGTCTTACTGCCGCCTTTCTTAATCGCCGCTCTATCATCATTCTTTTAAAAGTAAAACTCTCCGGGTCCTGCTCTAGTACTTTTTTGTCCCTGAAATCTAATATCTTTTGCATTTGTGAAAGGCTTTCGGTTGTGTCTTGCATGATTGCTGCTTGTCGATTAGAGTATTTAGATAGTTCACATTGATGATATACGTGACAGGTGATTATATTGATGCGGCTTTATTTAATTTTGTGCTGCTAAATCGAAACTGTAAAGTAAAGGTAATATTCTCCATCATGAATTGATTTGCAAAGCTAAAAGTCTTCTGTTACCATCACTATCGTAAACTTTTTCAACTGGATTATGTTCAACATTTGTTATATCCTGACATGAAGGTGTTGAGTTGGGATTGTAGTATAAGACTATGTGACGTGAATTGTGCTTTTCTATTAATTCGCACAGATGTTCAGTTGAATCCAAAAACATGGTGATATATTGCCTGATTTCACTACCTCGCGTGACTAAAGTCTTATAAGCAAGCTTTACATCATCATAAGAAACGTGACTGTCGTCCGCTTCGATGATTTTTCCATTTCGCTGACCAATATGATTGTCATCTTCATCTTCATCTTCATCCACGTAGTCCTCTCGGCGGCAGGCAATGCCACCCCATTCACACAATGCGCCCCGAGGTAAATTAGAAACTTTGACTATAAGTAGCAAACTGGTCTCTGCCTGGCAGGATTCTCCGTCGTGCTCCCAGCACGTGGCTAAAGATTCGCAATACTGCGCCCATGTCCTGGCTACGACTGCTGGCATGGAATCATGGGAAATATAGCATATCATTGATAGCTGATGCCTGGCACCTATGGTTTCTTTCAGGGTGTGGAAATGCCGTAATGAGAGTACGCTTTGAAAGATTGCATCGGATAGAAAGTCAACCTTATCAGGCATCGACATTGTGGAGGGTATAAGTGAAATTTGGCCACTGATATAACACACACTATTGACGTCATTTTTTACCCATATTGCCTGAGAATATGGTCCAATGTTACAAGGAGCCCAATAAGACCTGCCTTGAACATGTAAACCATCTTTGTTATCGTTAGTTAGTATCTTGCCTTCTTTTATCAGCTTGTGAGAGTTATCCACTATCACAGACAATTGAAGTGGACTGTTCTCGCCAAGTAAATTTGATTCAACGCATGACCTCGATGGTGGAAGAGGACCCATATTTGAGACGTCGAAGAAATTGTTGTAGTTTTCGTTCACAGCCGCAAAGTTTTCGATATTTGATAGTATAAGTGTGGAAGCCAGAATTTGAGATCGAGTAAGATGTCTTTCGGAGAGGATTCTCTCTAATTGAGCGAACACATCACGACATTTTTCATCGAGGCAACTTCCTTGAAGCGGCCTTAAATTTGAAATGTGCAAATTCCGTCCTATTGCTTCCACACAAGTGCGGGGGGAGGTTATATCATTGCCTTTTAATATATTACCATCCCTTGGCAGTTCATAATGGTCCTCGAGTAGCTTCTTACGCAAAAGCTCCCAAGGCTCCTCAAGAAGAGGAGGGACAGGGAGCTCTCTGATCAAAGCTTCAACTGGTTGCGTTGTTTGTCGCTCAACTACTTCCACTTCCAAGCACGTGCTGTATACACCAGCATTGCCTTCAGACGTTCCAATGTTCTGCCCAATAACTCTGAGATATCCGTTCACAAAGAATGGTGCATCCAAGACCAGTGTTTCAAATTCACCACCTTCGCCGCATATATGCACTTCATACATGCTATTCAATCTCTGTAATATTGGAAAAATTTTCGGTAGAGACTTACCTAAATGGCGATCGTCAAGGCCAGCAGCAGCGACTTTGATAATCCGAGCATCCATTTTCGGTTCAAGTGTCTCGTCTGTTACCTTTGACATTGTGCACATTTCGCTCATTAGTTCGTATTGGTCTCTTTGCCACAAGTAGCTCAAAGAAATAAGATTGAGCCTTCTACAAACATCTTCAACTCTTGTGCGTTGATATGATGATAGAATCGCGCCCGCATTGACTGCCTCAATTTCCGGCATTTGTTTTTTTGCTTCCTTGAGTAATTCATACAAGTCTTCTATTTCGTCATCTCTCGTCGGCGAATAGTTCAAAGATATGTTTTTAGAACCCTGTGGCTTGATAGGTCTCCTGAACATTGGTAAGCCGGTACATTTTTCATAGAGAGAAACAATATCATGACCCACTGTTTGAAACATGAAACTATCTAGTTCTTGTTCGTTTTCGTCAATTGGATGAAGATTTGCAAGCGCCACAATTTCATGGCCCTGACGTATACTGTGTAGAATACTGTAGCATGAATCTTTACCCCCTGAAACAAGGGCAATAAATTTCATGATCAAGTTTAGTTTTCGTCTTAAATAGTTGATGTCCATCTATAAAATACCTTCGAAAAATTTCATGTTGAAATTAGTGATCATATGTGACATATGTAGGCCATCAGTAATTAATGAAATTTGAACAATGTCAGATGTACCTCGAAGGGCATGTTGTGATAGTGGCCATTTTTTGTCCAGGTTAAAATTTTGGAAGTAACTAAGAAATTATTTGCATGCTGCAATGTATCTTAAGTTCTTTGGCTTGACTCACAGATCTATTGCGTATTGGAATTCAAAGAATATTGCATGTAGACTAAAAATTTGTCTTTTTGCATGATTAATGGACATCATATTGTAGAGTGTTACGCAGCGTAGAATTTGGAGTTAGTGTGGAGACACTTTTCAAGCATTAATTCAAGTACCATATGAAATTAGTACATACATTATTTGAACTATCGTATTTCGAAAAATTGGTATTTATTAACAAATACTTCGGTTATTGATAGTATTAAGTAAAGATTTGATAACTTTTCAAGAGGAACCGATTAATCTTGTGTTTCAAGAATGACAGTAGTTATACAGCCTGACAACGTATACTTACTAGAGTACAGTCAAAAACAATGCTTCCTGCTACTATAAGTTCTACTTGATGCATATTAAGAATTAGAATTGAAGTCGGGGTAGGTGTATACTCTTACATCCTATATAGTGTTCGATCTCTGAGGCCCCCCGAACTGATCGGTTTATGCCAGCAGATTGTATGTATATCAATGAAGTTGAGAACATGAAAAGCGACTTTATGGAGAGATTTTGAATTTATGCACTGAACATCGTCTTCGTGACAGCTTTCACCAAGGGCCAGCCATTGTCCGCTCTCACAGCATCTCCATTTTCTTGTAATCTTCTCAAGAGGTAGTCCTTAGTCTCTAGCGGTGGGCCCCATGGAACATATTTAATGATATTTTTAGCCCCGTGGTTTGCTATCAGATCATAAGTCACATTGTCAGCCATACCAAGGAGCTGACCAAGCACAACGTTAGCCTTCCCGACACTCCCGTCCTTGGCTTCCAACATCTTTGTCGCTAGCATTTGAGATTTGTAGTTATGGGAAGCTACCACTAAGTGCCCATACGTAGACTTCTCGCCTTTGTCTAGAAGATCAGAAATTACTTTCGTCATCACAGAGTTGTAATTTTTATCAGTACCTTCTTGATCAGAGAAGATTATAGTATCACGTTGTGGTTCTGAATGAATGTAGGCGCCACGGACGATTTTCAAGCCAAGTCTGTAACCTCCTTTCTCAGCTCTCTCGTAATCTTTTGCCAAATCAGCAGCAGAATCTGTAAGATAAAGTTGCCACGTTCCGATGCATGAAATGAGAGGCGAAGACTTAGGATTATATTTTGAAAACAATATTCTCTGTAATTCGTAGACACCAGCCTTCTGCAGATCGTACTTTTCAGCATCAATTGTAGAGACAAAAAATGGAGTTGTCCTTTCAGGATACTTCTTTGAAAACTCTTGATTTAACTTGAAGACTTCTTCTGTAATAGCTGAACAGTTGGCGATTAGGGCATCACGTTGTGACTTCCATTCAGGATTTTGGAAGTTTAGTAAGACCTCATATGGATTGGAAACCAAAGCAGAAGGTTTCAGAGCAATATATCCGGGAGGGATACTGTTGATATCACTAGCGGTAGACAGCTGCTGTTCCAGATTTGGCTTCAAAATTTCGTGGATAGAAGCTATTGTCTCCTTGACGATGTAGTCGATGTCTATATTTTTGACACCTTCAGCATCTTCGATGGTTAAAGAGAGCATCATATTGTTAATACCACGTTGTTGCAGTCTTTTACCTGTTTCTCTCACCTCCTGGAAGTTTTCTCCTCCACAGTATAGGGATGATACCAACAACTTCATCAACCATACCGGAACAAATGGAAACAATTTGATGACTAAATCTAGCATAGGTTTATTGATACTAGCGACTCCAATCACGCCCAGTGAGAACAGCTCACTTTTTGACAACGTTTTGAGATGAGCATCTGTCGATGGTGCCTTGAATGACATCGAAGAAATTGGGGGGGTCTTCACCATGACGGTTGCGTTCTTAGAGCTTGTTTGGCTAACAAAGTTTCTCAACATCAAGCCACGAGAGCTGATGCTCTTCAGTGACTGGTAACAAGTTCTGGTCCTACCTAGGGACATTTTTTCTTCACGTATACTATTTGGAGCGGTATCGAGATTCAAGCTACTACAGAATCAGCTACGTGAAACACCCTACTTCCGACCCCATATTTATATGATTTGATTGCAGGGCACATTAACACAAATTATCGGGATTCTGTACCCATCTGTTTCTCCTTGACTGATAAATGTTATTACCTGCCGTTAAATGCAAGAGACGGAAAGCCTTATCCGTTCGTCAAAAGGTATGATAGGAATTGGTATTCCGATGACTTCCACAAAGAAACTAGATTTGATAATCCTGCGTACGGCATCACTCAAATTGAAACTCCTCGAAGATGGCAGGCGTAATCGGAGTCGCAGACAAATCGGGGGAAGCTGGCTCCTCTAAGTGCACTGGTTGATGTGAGTTTCCACTCAGGTATTGTAATAGAATATGCTGATATATGCAAGAGTCATACATGTCTTTCTCCTCCAGATGCTGCTCCTCTAATTTACATAAGAGTGTTTCCAGAGGGTTGTCAAGCTGATTGTAGGTATCATCTTGAATGAAAGACGTTGAATTCCGGTTTTTGTGGTTCATATTGTAGAGCCGTTTGTGAATAGTGTTGAGCGGCTGTAGGTCCGTTTTGATCTGGGAATAGTTGCAAGGTTTGAGAAAGCAGGCCGCACTTTCAGCTTTGGCAATTACAGCTGGAACCACGCCCATCGCAACGCTTTTGCTCTTGAACAACTTTCCACTCTCGTATTTTAGGTTAAACTTATTCAAAGATGTGATGACGCTGTCAGCAAGCGTTGGGGCGAAATGGCCTTCATGCCGCATGGCGGTAATTGCCCGAGAGACGTCTTCCTTTGAAACCACATGCGGTAGCTCTTTTTTGGCTGATTCTGCTATTACTTCGTCTTCTGTTATTTCCATAGCAATACAATTCCCAGTAGTATTCTTTTGCTCAATAATTTTTCCCAGTTCATCGAAGAACCGATCTTGATCATCCAAAAGACCTGTTGGAAGGTATTTCTCTTCCAAGTTTGGAAGTACCACATACCATAGAAGTTTGCGTGTGTAAGATTCCACACAGTGTAGTAAATACTGAAGAGCATCTTCTGGAAGCTGTGGAGGAATTCTACAAGCAGGATGGTACTCTGTTAATCCGTGCTTTGAGTAGATGGAATCCCATCTTTTTTGCCAGTTTTCTAAATTTATCAAATCCATAGAATCACTTCGAGACGTAGCCTCCTCACCTACAGCGTTCCTAATCATAAGCTTATTACACATTTCTTCTTCAAAGTCGATGAAAAAGTCGTCCATCTCATATGCAATCGGAAAGTGTTTCTTGGCAAGTATTCCCCCATGTTTTTTGGTATTTAACCTCTTCAATTCATCAAGATTTGCACGCAGGACCTCATAGTAGGTAATAATCTCAAATTTTGATTTAGTCGGCAGTTGCCAATACCAATCATCTAATCGATGAATAGAGTATCGTGATAAAAAGTGGAAAAACGTTTGCTTCTCTTGTGTTGTCCAAAGTGAGCCCATACATCTATCATCATTTGATTTATCATTCGGTTCGCCATTCTCGTCCTCACTTGAAGATTCGTAGTAGCGACCTTCTTGCATCTCATCTTCAAGCCATTTCACCTTACTATTGACATGAACATATGAATCAGTTAGATCTCGATTGGACGTGTAGGGGTCCATGAACACTTTCACTTCGTTATTATAAATACTATAGTAAGCCTCGAACACCCCTTCATCACCAACATCCATAGTATGATTGTTATTGCTCACTTTAGTGCGCAAGAACCACCGTTGATACTGATGTGAAAAATTTCAAGATTTCCGCTGAACATTCAAATCTAGTTTCTAGCGTGTCATAGAAAACTAATATACAAGCAGGCATCCGATTTCGATGCTCCCACTTACTTCATCTCGAGCCCTTCGAGCTGAGAAAGCATTTGTTACATTAAAATATGCGCATATTGTAAGAAACTTTTATAGTCGAAGGTTTTATTCATCTTCAGACGATGTACCTAAAGAACTCAATCAGGACCTTTCACAATTGAAAAGCACAAGAGGCAAGAAGCTAAAGCCAGAAAACGCTAGATTCGTTGTTTTGAATCCAGCTGAAGCAGGGATATTCAAGAAAAGGAGAATACCAGGTTACTTCAAGCCTCATAATAGGCAAGCAGAACGATTAAGTGTTCTGGAAGGTGTTGAGATAGGAGATAAGGATGTTCAACTTCCGAAAGAGTCGAACGAAATTCTACAGGAAATTGAATCACAACGAAGAAAGTTACTTGTTTTCAAAAGCTCAGTCCCCAAAGAACAAGCGGTGAATTCAATTCATGATCTGAAACCCTCTGACAATTCGAGAATCATGTCATCGAAGAGGTATGAACAATTGAAAGGACTCTTAGATATGGCCTACACTTTGTCTCAATTAAAAGAATACGTTAGACAACATTATGATGTGACGATAAATAGGTCTTTGTCAAAAAAGAAGCTCATATCTAAAATACTCATCGAGTTATGGAAATGTGAAGTTGATGAGACCATAAGTGAAACCGATGACTTAATAGTGGAACGCATTATAGACGTTGAAAAGAGAGACATTTATCTTTTACTTTTGACCAATAATGGCAAAATCTTACAAAACTTTGCACGTATTGGAGCAACATTAGCTGTGGCCCTGAATGAGAATAAAATCATTGTTAGGGCTACAGGACCTCTTGTCAAGTATGTGGAAGTATCCTTGAGAAAAATTCTGGACAATGTCCAGAGAGAGCAATTACCAGTTGATGACATAATACGCAATCATACACCTGTTGGATCCGTCCCAATCATGCCACCAGAAGACCTAATCTCACTAATTCAGAAGGAAAGTGCAGTATACTTCGAGAAGCTTCTTGATGATGATCCGAACGGTTACTTTATTACGGCTTTTGGTGGCAAGAGGATAAGAAAGGCAAAAAATCTATTACTTTGGGCTTTAGATTACAATCCTCAGAGCACAAACAGCATCCAATTCTTAGGAGATCAACAAATGAGTTTGTATAAGAATTATCCCTTCACTGATATCAGTTGTTTGGATTGGACTGAAAGAGATAAGGAATGGTTTCGTCTTCAAAAGCCTGCCGTAAAGGAATCCATCGTGAAAGACATTAAAGATTCGGTCAACCTAAATCTAACCGAGGAAATAATAGATGAACTATATGAAAAACTAGTGACTACTGCTGATAACCACATTGCTAAATTCAATGCAATTAGCAATACCCAAAATTTAGGCATCACTCTCGGCCAATTCTTGAACACATCAAATGGAAGTAACAGCACCTTTCAACCTAAAATTGCAAATATTGCCGCTCAATTAATGAAACTACCTCTATATGACGATATGCCAAATTTGGATGAGTTATATACAGTCGATCAGCACGAATACTATGTCCAGCTGAAATTTATCCCTGACCTCTCAACAACACAGTCTAAACGAAATATACCTCCTCTTGAGCTATGGTTTGAATTAGACGACTATGATACAGCAATTAATAGCTCGCTTCGTTCTGTCCTACATCTGGAAGATAGAAACATTTTTCTACGCACACCTCAGTTGCCCTACGATTATAAGTTGAACGCCGACCAAATTGTAGAGGTATCACAACCATACGAAGAAAATAGTGAGAGCTGGCTGTCTGATCAACCCGGTCTTAAGAGCTTTTTGAAAGACGCTCAATTGACTTTTCAGAGCAGGAAAAAACTCTTTATTCCCAAACGACTTGAGCTAAATTTGCATTTGGAAGGGTGTGATACTCCTCAGCCTGTTATGTTCGATTACGTCAAAGTAAACTATCGGAGAGTCTTGAAATTGAAGTACATGGACAAATATTTAGTCCAATTTTCGGACATCAAAGGTGGGTCTGGGAGCGGGAGATATACCCAAGTTGACTTCATTAACACGGAGAAAGTCACACGTGAATCATTTGGTAACTTCGTCAAGGATATAGTTAGATTCTCTTGAAATACCTTAAATGAGCATATCTTGTATATATTAGGTATTCAAACAAAAATTTTAATGATAAAAATGAGACCAAAGAGTGCAGGAGATCCTGGACTTTGACTAGGAGCTAATGACCACATCAAATATGTCTTATTCATAAGTGTCACGTCCATATCAGTGCTTGAGTTGGTATAACATTCATTAGCCATGACGAATTAAGACTCTCCACGAGACTTCACAGTCCTGGAAAGGTTGGAAATACTTACTACCGTTCAAGAGACGGTGTTTTAAGTGGCCTTTTAAGACCATCTAAAAGCCAATTTATTGGGTTTATAGCTAATTCCATACGCTTCATTTAACAAATTTGTGAAGAAATTCTTGGTGGTATTGACTTTTAGTGAGATCGCTTGTGTATTTGCTCTTATCATCTTTATTCCTATTAGAAGAGGAGTTAACTTTTCTACGTCTTCCGAAAGCGGTACGTGATCGCCAATCAGATTTTGTTTTGAAGCTTGGTTCACTCTCCCGTTCAGCGTCCCCCTTAGCTTGCTGCTCCTCCATCTTCTTCATTAAGCGTTCCTGTCTTATTTTGTTCAGTTCACGTAAGAGAGCCTCTTGGTCCTCGATTTCTTCCTCTTCTTCTTCCTCTTCTTCTTCCTCTTCTTCTTCCTCTTCTTCTTCTTCTTCATCAGACGAGCTGCCTGAGATATTATCCTCAGAGTTACTTCCTACAGTGTCAGCAGCACTTTTATCACTTTCTAAATTTGAAGTATTGTCACCGTGATTCAACTCTTTGTAACTGCTGTCCTCTTCGTCGGATGCTGAAGTTTTTTCTGCCAAATTCTCTTTCAAGTTTCCAGATACTTTGAGCAATAATTTGCCATTCTCATGCTTGCGTTTCTTATTCTCTTCGTTATTGTTTTCCCTTGACCGTTCGGACGGCAAGTGCGTCTTCCTCTTCCTGTACTTAAGTTTTGTATGACTAGGCAAAAGTCTTGCATGCTCGATGCTGGTTGGAACGTAGCTGCCCTTGGCTCCATTACGAGCCTCTAGCTGGGGTCTGTGTGATGTCGTCATTTTACTGCCCGCTGCGGAGGCCGTTCACTTTTCGACAAACCGATGAACTGTGTCGAGGGGCGCAGTGAACATTTTTTTCAAAATGGATCTCAAACACGAACAACGGACCGCTTGGCTTCGTAAAAGCAATTGAACACGAGATAACTTCAATTACAGTACTGGTTGCTAATCAGCAATAAGCTCTTGGCAAGTCTCCCACGTCCTTCTCATTGAGGTAGCAACCGATTCGGCCTATGATCGACCACCGAGAAGCACACAACATGAGCGAGGAGTCAGCACTCGGCTACATTTCTATAAAAGACTTCGCATATGAAACATCTAATCCATTACACTACGGATATTTTGAAGAATTCTCAGATGATGAGGGGTCAGTTAATAATGAAGGGCATGAAGAGAAAGAGGAACACAATAAAAGACAAAGTATAATATTGCCCAGCGAGTATATAGTAAATCACAAGGCGGTAGCGATATATGATTTTGTGCCTGAAAACGATAATGAACTAGAGTTAAAAGAAGGAGATGTCGTTTACATTAGCTACAGACATGGGCAAGGGTGGCTAGTGGCTGAAAATCAGGAAAGGACAAGGACGGGACTAATTCCTGAAGAATATGTTTCGTTTTTGGAGGAGGATGAGGATGCAGAGGAGGATGATAAGGCTAGGCCGTTCTATTTAACACAAATCATCACCCAAAGTATGCAAAAGCCAGTCGACGCCATCTCTAAAAGTGATGAAGAATGGGAGGATATCGATGACGTTGAATCCGATTTTGCTTCCAACCTAAAAATTGCAAACTCGGACGTAGAGTAGACTTCTGTCATTATATAGCGAGATTGTGATTAACCTGTATATTATTTAGTGAAATCATTTCATGCATTGTTCGATCAGCTTTTCTTAGTCGAAACGTATATCTAATGTACAGTTTAAAATGTTCCCGAGAGTGAGGAATTCATGATTCGAATTCTTCATCTTCCACTTCGAATTCCTCGTCCTCATCTTCGTCTTCTTCACCTTTTTTATATTTCATGAGTTGAACCATATCAACAGGGCCACCTAGCTCCTGGAGAAGTGCCCTAGTGCCACCGACTATCTCTTGAACGAACTCATCATCGGGATCATTATTTTCAGCTAGTTTCTCTGCTAATGTGAGTGCACATCTTGCCTCATGCAGGTCTTCTTGAATAATGGGGTTTCCTTGATCTAGGGGGAGTTCTTGGAAGTGTTGATTGAACTCGTAAACATTTTCTGCCGAAAGATTAATATTTGGATTGGCAAGCTTGAATAAATTTAGCTTGCATACTAAGTAATGCGTAAATCCCTCTAGATAGTATCCTTCAAGGTTATCTTCATCAATGTCCTTTACAGCGCCAATTATCTCCAAGGATATATCATAAAGACCCATTTCAATACACATCTTTGATAAATTCAGAAGCGGTTGAAGCAATTCAACAAATTCAGAATGTAGTGACGCACTAGCCACATTTTTAGCCGCCTCCTCAATTGCCTCTTTCTTTACCTGGAAATATTTCCAAGATTGCGAAAACGCTTCAATAGCCTCCAAAAATCTTTGTTGAGAAATCCTGATTGAACCTAACACGCTCCAAGCTTCAGGAGATTGATTTTCAGATACTTCCATTGCCTTTGCAATAAGCTCTTCGCATTGACTTTCAGCGTTAGCTTCCATACAAAGATCTGTCATCCAAATTTCGATCATGGAGAGCAATCCACTGACAATCTTGTCAGCCTGCTCCTGTTGTAGAGAATCGCCTGCTTGGCTAGAGATGCTTTCAATGCCCTGCATAAACATTTGAATTCCATCACTTCCACCCGCAACCTGTCCTAAAATAAAGAACTTTTCAGACCCACCAATCTCACCTCTTGGATCCAATTCACAGGCGTGAACCAGTAATGGATAGGCTTTTTCCAGTTGGCCGTTTTCCAGGTATATGTCCGCATAAATTTGATGCAAGGGAACATTCGATGAATTGACATTTTTCAGGGACTTTTTGTAAGGTTTGAGGATATTCAAAGCTTCTTTGTGTTTACTTGAAGCAAGCGCTTCTCTAGCCCGTGAGATTGCACTCTCCAATTCTCCCATATCAAGACGTTGTTGCTGATTATGATATCTTTATTTGTAAATTCCCAGCTCATCGCATGCTCGGATAAAAATTTTTTTCCATATTTCTCAATCGTGTTCAATGATATCAATTATCAGAACATCCACGTGACTATATGCTTAATTCGTTCTCTGATGGTATTAGAATATTCATTATGCTCGGTCCATATCATGCGATCCATCTCACGTCTGCCGCTATCCATATCCAACTGATCTAACTTTTGAATTTTCGAAGTGCCGAAAACTTTGTAACCAATGTAACAAGCGCTGAAAAATATCAATCCGCCATAGGAAGAAAAGAACATTTTGGTATTCCAGAAGCCCGAAAGAAAGTTTGTGAATCCCATTAAAAGTACAATAAGTACTGAGCCCAGCAGGCCATAGGAAGCGAGGAAAGGCTGGAATGGAGAACGATATGGAAATGTGGGGTCATCTCGCGAAATTATTCCTGATCTTTTCTTCAAAGCATAATAAAATCGCAAAAAAGATACGTTAAGGCCTATCCAGATAATTGAAGTAGTGGCACTTGATATGTTAGCCAAAGCTTGAAATGTTTCCAACGATGTAGCATCGACCACAAGGTAAGCAAGAAATCCAAAAAGTCCAGAAAATAACACTGATACAAACGGAACACCACGTTTTGAACATATTCTAAACATTTGGGGTGCTTTCCCTTGAATTGCCATGGAATACAATGTTCTACTAGAAGCATATAAGGAGGAACAACCAGCACTCACTCCAAAAAAGACCAAGATTCCATTGAACACAGATGAAAAGCTGCATAGTCCAAAGCTTTGCAGCGCCAGCACCCATGGGCTTTGATTGCCGTTCGTAAGGTCTTGTAAGCTGAAGGCATAATCTTTAGAGCACACTTGATCAATTTCCCACAATGTACTCGACTTGAGGCTTGACATATCTGTTGTAATTTCATCCTCAGTAGTATAATATCGCAGCAATCGATAATCGCCACTATATATATTCAAACTGACAACAAATATTGACACAATGTAAAGAACGATAATCGTGCAAAATGTACGCTTTGTAGCCGATGGTAATGTTTTGCGTGGATTGATGGCTTCTCCACTAGCCACGAAAGCTAGCTCAACACCGCTAAAAGAAAACGAAGATATCAAAATGACAACTAACAAAGACAAAAACCGGCCTTTATCTCCACCAATCCCGTTCTGACTTCCGCTGCCCAAGTCATTCAAGTCAAAAGTTGGTCTAAAAAGGCCATAGGTCATCCCATGTATAGACTTTGACGAATCCCAATATCTGAATCCGATTCTTGGATGCGTCTGCTCCCCACCCCCTGCGTTCAGAACAATCATGGTAATAATCATCATGACTGCTATGAGTATTTTGAAGAACGTGAAACCATATATTATTTCGGCTAAAATCCTAACATCCAAAAGATTCACTGATACTGTCATCACAAGGAAGAGCGTTACAAATCCGGGTATGGCTTCGCGATGCGTCTTAATGAGTTCATAATAACTTAACATAAGTGTACTTGCGACAATTTGACCTGGTAATGCAATAATAAACGAAAACCAGTATGACCAACCCAGTGCAAACCCAAAAGCATCTTCCACAAACCTTGACGCCAAACCTGAAAACCCTGAAGAGAGGGGTATTAGTGTCGAAAGTTCTGTGAATGAAAGCATTGTTGCGAGAACAATGCTAGCACAAATGATAAATCCAAGCACCGAGCCGAAAGGGCCACCTATTGAGAGCGCCTTTCCCGAAGATAAAAATAGCCCCACACCAAATGAAGCTCCGATTGCTATCATTTGTAAATGACGAATATTAAGCTTGCGTTGAACATAGTATTTTTCGTGGTTTCTATTCCGCCGTAGATCTGGAGGCAATAAACGCTCACATGCATTAAGCAGATGTTTTGGACCCCTTGAGGGCCTAGAGTTCAAGTGAGATTCTTCAAACTGGAGCTTATGATCGTTTTTACCCAACGAATAGGCATAGTCATCATCTATCACCCAATTTTGCTTTTTTTCTAAATCAATTATTTGTGTGTCTGCAGATTCGGACCTAGTGTGTACCAATGGATATAATTGAAAAACTGAGCTCGAAGAAGACGCTACTGATCGGGAACGATGGTGGCCCACTAAATTTCTCAGCTTACGCCTAACTCTAGAAGGCTTCTGTAAAATGGAGGAGCCTTCTTTTCCTGCAACAAACTCATCCACGAGTTCATTGTTGTCTAGTATCTTTAGTGTTTGATCTTTTCGGTGCTTCAAAAGTTCTTCCAATTTATCCCTCATCAAATATTCTCTTTCTACCTTTTGACTGTACACTTGAAAATCGTTAAGATCACCCTGTGCCTTAAAGTTATCAGCATGCGGTAGCATCGTTTTTGTTTTATCTTCATAAAGATTTGTCAAATAAAATCTGTCATTCCTCAACTTTTCTTGGAACTCCTCAGTAAGAACATCTCTTTCCTCATCGACTACCTCTCGAAGAATATTTGTATTAATGCTATCTCCCATACTTTCAAGCTCTTGTTCATGATTCTTTAATGATTCGTCATCGCATACTGTTGGAATCTCTATATTGTTAGAGCCCGGAAATAAGGCATATATCTGGTTGGCATTTGCCATAACAATATGAAGCGCTGCTGATATACAGCACTACCGGAAATGTTTGCTTATTTTCAATCAAAGGCCGCACAGTTATCTACCTCGATATAGTTCCGTTACACAATTTCTCTCATAAATAACTTATGCTCATAAGACACGAAAAAACACAACTTACAAATTCCGGTCCAAGAATTTGAATCTAGGATGTACTCTCATCTGGCCAAACGAGTTTTCCAATGATTACAAAGTCTCCAGTAATATTGAACTGATGTCTAAACTTTCGTTAAATAATTTATCGCCAGTTTCGGCTTCGATGTTAATAACTAGTATACACGCTTTCTTATCTATAATCTCGAAAATTCTACTTCTTGTGAAAAGTCCGTTCGATAGCACCCTTTACACCTCCAGTGTGTGACTCTATTTTAGGTGGGGGAGCAAAAGTCAGCTGGGGAGCAGCTTCCTCGTCGTCTTCATGTCTTGGAGCTGAGACATGCCCCAAAGCAGTTAATCTCCTGGCCCTTTCGACTGCAGTTTCGGCTTCTTCCTCATCTTCTTCCTGCTCACTTTCATCGCCGCCTTCCGACAGTGAGTTTTGCGAATTATTATCACTCCAGGCTTCATCGCTATAACTATTTTCTGCTGAATCGTCCTCTGTATAATCTTCCGCGACAGAGTCATTCTCACCGTTATATCCTTGTAATCCGCCAGCTGTTGGAACTGGTGTCAGCTTTCTGCTCTTGATTTTTTCACTTGAATCCTTCGCTGAATTTGCCACGGAATTCCCAGAAGACGGCGGACTTTTAGCCAAACCGACAGCGGATAATGCACGGGTGACCATACTCGCACTCTTTGCTCTTTGTTTATTATCTTTCGAATCATCGTGTGTATTAATCTTATAACGTCTCAAAACTTCACCATCCTCATTTTCAATAATAAGTTGATTATCAATTTTGTATGCAAAATACCTTTTATTACCCTGTTCGTCAATTAAAGTTTGTCTTCTGAACCTTGCAGGAGGAGTCAATACCTTCTTCAACGAACTCACAGTCCCTGCAGACTGATGACTAGCTTGGCGTGACACTTTGCTGCCTACACTTTCCTCTTCATCTCTTGGACTACGATTCAACTCTGCCTGATCAATAATTTCACCCTGCTTGTTCTCGATTATTATTTTATTTCCCTCAGCATAAGCAACTGCCCCTTCGTGTTGTTCGACCTTCTCCTCCATTTTGCGCTTGAGTTCATCAAATTTACGAGAATAGCTGCTGATGGATCCTTTGCTTGAACCTTTGTCAGACTTTTCATCGTAATAATCATTTGAAGAAGAAGTGGTGCCTCCACCAGGGAAAGGAATTTGATCCTCCGCAAATGTATTGGGGCGAGTGATGTGTCCCTCTTTGTCGTTCAACGGCGCCCCGACAGGTTCATTTTCAAATGAAGGGATATTAGATGCCATTTTGTCCAAGTTGTTAATAGCTGTTGAGGCCTCTGTAGGATTTAGTATATTGACAGTTCTCTCGACTTGTTTATCATCCTCATCGCTTTCTTTGTCGTCCAAATGACCATCATCGTAAGTACCATCTTCACCATCAGGCCGTAATTGGGAGCTCAAAGCAAAGGCAGCAGCTTGAGCCTCTTTTTCACGCTGCTTTCTTTCATTGTACAAGTCATCTTCATCTACATCCTCATGATCGGAGGCGGCCCTCGCTCTGAAAATATCTCTCCCTCTTCTCTTCTTCTTATTCTTTCTTCTTCTCATACCACCAGCTGGTTTAGCTGGAACGCCACTAGTCTCAACAGTATCGCTCTTGGAAAGTACATCTGAAGGTGCCTTAGTATCTATACGCTGTAATGAGAATGATCTTCCAGATTTTTCCAACGCAGGTAATCTTTGCATCCATGAAGTTCCTTTACCGTTGGTAGTATGCGTTGTAAAGGATTTCGTTAACGTTATGGTATTCAAATGACGTCCGAGCGTTATAACAGCCACGGAAGATCCATGTACAATAATGGAGGTCACGATGAAAAAACAAGTTATAGGCCAAACACAAGAGATAAGCTGCCAGTTCTTTGAACCCTTCTCCGGTAGCTCCTTTAAAGGCGTCTCTTCACCAGTAGCATTTGACTCAAGCTCTGAGCGTGCTAATATTGCGGCGAAAACAGCACCGACGCCAATTGGCCCAAAATGGCCAACAAAAAGAGCCTCACGCCATGATTTGATATCTGGAATAAAAACTTTGAAAGCCATAACAGCAGGTATCCTTCTTAATGTGATGACTACAATAGCAAGGATGATTAGCCTCCACACATTTGTACCAATTTCTGGGTCGTTGAATTGCTGCCACGGTATAATAGCTCCAAAAAATACAAAATATGCCAAATTTAGGAGAAGATCGATAACAGTAGAAACATTACTTTCCTCTGTGCTCTTAGCAAACCATCCATCCCATGCAAAGGCTGCCCCAGCAGAAAATGAAACTAAAAGGTCATCAACACCTAAAATAGAACCAAATCCAGCACAAGTAAAAGCCAAAACGACGTAGAAGGCAAGAAAGGATTCTCTATCGATTAACTTCCTTTCTTCTGCGAATCTAATGGCACGTCTGCCCGAATAACCTATTACGACTCCCAAAAGGCATCCAAAAATACACTCATAGAGGATGGTAACACAGATCCAGTCTTTCACGATTTCACGCCCATTCCCAGGATGGAAAATCAAGTTCAGGGACAAATAAATGAATGGGAAGGCCATCCCATCATTGCATCCACTCTCTGCTGATAATAGGTTTCTCAAATGGCCTGGGACCCTCTGAGCGAATTTACCCGAGACCACAGATTGTGCCAGGATTGGATCGGTCGCTGTAATACAGGATGCTACTAGTAAAGATGCCGCAAAGTTAAGGCCCGGTATTAATATCCAAACAAATAATGCGATTATCAACCAGCCGGCCGTCATTACTGGAACTAGTAGCATTAAGACAGATAGCCAATGCTTCAGCATGTATTTCTTAGGAAGTTCAACTGCCACTGCAAAAATCTGTAGACATAAGACTATTCTTGTAATTTCTAGCGTAATAGCATCTGAATTACCCCATTTTAGTGGGTTGAACCAATTTAGACAATGCGGCCCCACAATCAGTCCGAATATGACGGCCACAGTAGATTCACCAATGTAGAGTCTCTCCTTCACAAATAAAGATACCAGTGAAAATATGGATGAGAAAACACCTACACATGCATAAGCAACATGTGCTTTACTGACCTGATAATATATCTTGTTAGCAATCTAAGCTTGATCTTTGCTCCTTGCTACTTCACTCTAGCAATATGGAAAAGTGGGCTATATTGTTATGCCCTAAGTTAGTGATCACATACCTCTAGATGTTCCCAGACTGCCATGGTGTGAAGATTTCTTCCTCTATAGCTTCGTTTGTTTTAGTGCTGATCTTTTGCAATCGTAATATTATATATTATACCGTATAAATAGATTTCTTTTTCGATGTTCGAAAGGACCCTTTTGTGTTAAGTCCGGGTAATTGAGTGACATGCATGGGGTTGCCAATGGTGATAAATAAGTTGAGCCTATAATAATAGTTATAGATACATATAGTACATTAGTGCTTGTTTAGTTTTTTCTTAACAGATGCAATTAAATCTTTTAGCTCTAAAACACTGTCTGGAACGAATTTCCCAGAGCTCTCCTCCATTGAAGATTCCTCGGCACTTGGAGCCTGCAAAATGTCATTGATGACTCCTTCAGGCCTAGCAGGCATCTTGTTGGACGGCGTCGAGAAGGGTGAGCCAAAAGTTACATTTGATATGCCACTAGTGTTTGCTGCTCTGCGGCTACTTATGGATGCAATTGGAGGCGTACTTTGAATTGCAGGACAGTCTACTGTTAAGCGTCTTGGATGGCTGGGAGTGGCCATCGACACAAGTCTCGGGGCAATATGCTCGTGATGGTCGAATTTAGTTGCTAAATGTGAAGGTGCAGAAGGAACAGAATATGAGGAGCCTTTCCGCATATGTGGACGGAGAGCCAGAGGTGTCTTAAATTTGCTATTATGGGAATCAGATAATAATACAGGGAGCTTCCTCCTGCGTGATCTAGGAGAGGCGGCCACATGTGACCTCAAGTGTGCATATGTGTTATTCTGATCTTTTTCTTGACGGTACTTCTCCATTTCCAGCTGCAAAGCATTGTGCATTTTTTCGTCGATGTTTTTAGTTGGCTGGTAGGCGGCTGACAAAGATGCGCTTAGGTTTCTCTTGCGTAAAGACCAATAATATATACCGCGCTCAGTAAGTTCAAATTTGAAAGTACTCGCAATTTTGGATACGCCATTCACTAGGGTTTGATGTGGGTCATTGCTAGCCATTTTGACTATTTCGATGTCGTTGATCACAGTACTAAAAATTTTGGCGATTTTATTAATCTTAAGAAATTTCACTATTTCGTCCGTTGACAGTGGATTTTCAGCCGACTCCCAATAAACTATTAGTACCGAAAACTTGAAATTGGTATTCAGTGCAGCCCCGTGAACTAACTCAATAAGTTTTTCTCCATCTTGTTTTAGTTTCAAGTCCAAATCGAATATATCATTTTCTGTCACGCCACTATTGAAAACTAGCAGCTGAAGGTTTTCAAACTTTGATGGTTTGAACTCATTTCCAAGCGGATAAACATTTACGGATATGATTTCATTGCTCAATGTCAAATGCTTTTCAGGATTTTCGTACAGACCAAACTTATTCAAAAGCCAATTTCCAGATATACAGTTCCAATTTCTGGAATAAATGAATATGTCAACAATCTCTTCGTTTGAGTTTTGAAGGTCATTCAGATCTATTGAACGAAAAGATGAATCTTTCCGTTCAAGATCATAATTAGCTGATATTAAATCCAAAAATGATTTTTTCAGATCAATCGGTCTCCATATGTCAGAGTTTTTTCGCATAGAATTAGTGAAATGACTCTCTTCGTTTTGAGTCGGTGTATATATTAATGGACTGTCTGATGTGCAAGGAAGAGAGAATGAAAAATTGTCAGCAAGATTTGAATTGTCTGTCTCTATCCTCGACCGTTTAATCAATGGCACGCCCAGTTGTTTTCCGACTTGAGTAATTTCCTCCATTCGGCGTCTTTTAACTGCCTTTTCTTTCTGTTTCGAAGCTGCAGATTCCTTCCAATGTTTAAAATTATGCCGCAAGATACGAAGCTTATCATAATTTACTGCTTTAACATCAAGATAAATGAAATAAAGTTTTTCGTGGATAAAAGCTCGATATAGCTCCTTTGATAATCCTTCAATTTTGTTCTTTCTTTCCTTCTCGGCACAAATTCTTTCATCTACGCATTTGGTGACACATTGATTGACTGTTTCTCGTATTATTTTTTCCGCTACGAAACCGACTACCTGATGCTCAAGTTTTTTGTCCTCATTTTTAATCTGTGTCTGAAGAGCTAGTTTCTTGTTCTCAAACTTAAGCCTCTCTATCTGTTCTTGTTTGACTTTGTCTTGCAGAACTTTTTGCTCCTGAATTTGTCTTTTAATCTCAGCGTTATTTGTGAACGTTTGCGCAGGAATCTTCTCCGATTCTTTGTTGTTTTTGTTTTGATTCTCATTCAGGTTGAGATTTTTATTATTTTCTTTCATTTCGTTTTTTCGTTTTGCCTCTACAATGTGGGCTTTATCAGTGCTTTCTTTAAAATTATTGAGAAAGCTAAATGGAGTGTCTGAAACCGTCTTGCCGTGTGTCTGGTCGTTTTTATTTGTATCGTAGCCTGTTCCAGTAACGAATTCAAATGCAGGTGGAGTGGGCGTAGGTGTATTTGACAACTCACTGTTTGAAAGAATCAGAGCGTGACTTTCTGAAACTGCAGCAGCGGGCAAGGAGGTTTTGGATTCTAAAAGTGGTGAGGCTATATCATTCGAAGAACCCGAGTTAATGAGCTGCACCAATGATGTCATCTGCAGCTTGCCATCAACACAAAGCAAGTAGCTCTGTTTCAATGGTTTCGTGTCCGGTAGAATGTGCGAATGATGCTCAAGAGACGTAAGTAGAACACCGTCCCCATTTATATCTATCGAATAATACTTGCAAAAATTTCGAATTTCTTCATCGTTGTTGAAAAGAAGAGTCTGTTCCAAGTATGACATGGGAATTGGCTTATGCTTTCTGTTAATCGAATGTGATAACGATTTTACAGCGTAAAATCTAACTTCATTAACATAAACTTCTAAAAAAGAGCTCATTAGGAATGGGATTTCTGGAGATTGAATTAGCTGAAAAAATCTGGCGTAAAGATTCATGCAATTTTCTGTTCTGATGTAGCCTCTTTCCGAATAATTCGAGTTTGATATAATCCTTCTAAAACAGATGGCCAGCTGAACTTTGTCGTCACGGAATATATTCTCGGGTAGATCCTGAATCATCTTATCATATTCGGGGTCTCTTATTCTGCTCAGTAGCGAATATGCTCTAAATTCTGCTTCATTGGGACAAAATCCGCCATTTAATCGCACTTCATCATAAATCTCGGACAGTGTAATTAACGCTTTATGAAGTTGTTCCAATTCTTGTTGTCTACTGTACTCAACATCTGATTTCGCCATTATGTGTAAGATTAGTAAATGAATGCGAACAATACGTTCGTTGCAGTCAATTGCCTCTGGTCCAAAATAATTTTGATATGTGAAATCTTGTCTAATGGACCTCATTCTGTCCCAAAGAAAACTTTCGCAATCTGGTAGTTGTTGGATAATGTTCTCGACAATGTAGTCTAAGGTCTTTTGGAGAATATGGGGGGGCCGGACATCAGAGGGTAGAGGTGGAGCTGCTGCTGCCGCTGGTCTTGCGAACACCTTCAGCGCTTTTGATCTTGAGATCCGCTGACTGTTTGGATCATCTTTTTCATACCCCACAACATTGTTTTCAACACTCCTCCTAACACGTTCGAAAATTGGGCACATATCTAGGCAAGTTCCCTGGAACGTAATAGCTTCATTTAAGTCCTTGGCGTGGTCAGCTTTATCGACAAGTTTTTTATCTTCCATTACTTTCCTCTCAACTTCCCGCATCTTCCTCAACGTTTCCCAAAGCGTGGTTACATCAGATATGGTGTTCTCCAATTGTGTCATTTTCTTCTGATTTTCAAGGTCCCAAGGATCTTGTTTAAACATTTTGCGCTTTAATTGAGGTGTCTGCTGTATCAGATACTTAGGCATCTCTCTGGGCTTATGCGATAAGCGTTGAAAGCCTAGTTGTTCTGGAGAGAAGGAATTTAAAAGTGGGCCCGCTGCAAAAATGCGCTTATCATCCTTAGTCTCCCTAAGCAATCGCTTGCCTTTCTTCTTCGGAGCTCTACGCTGATTCTTTGGTTGATCTTTAGTACTCGTCCTTGAATCAACGAACTTTTTCCTCGAGTCTTGCTGCCTTTTAGGTCTATCTTTTCCAGACGCATTCTTAGAAGTTACATTGTGCTGAGTCCCACTATTGTTGCCGTTGCTGAAGAAGCTGAATCCCGATGAAGGAACTACAGTTCCAAAGGCAGAGCTCATGCTTGGTTCGGCTGCTCTTTTGCCTTCAGGGATTAAAGACTCGTACTATTTGTGGTGAATCTGAGGTAAAATTCTAAATTTTTTTCTCCTTAGCTACAATGATATATAATAAAATGCAAATCGAGAAGAGTATATCTCAGGGTCGAGCACGGCATATATTCGTAAGCCGTATTTATCAACTGCTTGATCCAGAAATTCTTGCAAGATATCTTGGTCTCTTAGTTGTATGCCGATAATAGACCTGACAGTGTTTCCAAGTCGAGAGTAAAGGGACATCAATCCATGCAAAGTCTTTAGAAAGGGGTCTATCAGAAAGTCATTGTAAACCACATCCATGGCAAGAATGTATATGGTTCCGGATCGAGATGGTAAAAGTAGGGAGTCGACTTTCCCGGCATCTGGCTTAAAGGTTTCCCAATCAAGAGATACAATGTCGAATAGAACTTTGGAAGTTGTTTTCCTAGTAGTACAAGATCCTAATGTAGTACTTTCCACGTTCCGGAGGTATATCTCGTCGATATTGTCAGTAATATTACGTTTTAAGCCCGAAAGAAGTGCTTTTTGATCGGTGCACACAAACTTCTCTACATAATTCGCCAGAACGGTTGATAAAATTCCTGCCACCCCGGAGCCTAGTTCAAGTATGTAGTAGAAATCATGCTCTTTACGAGTGCTGAACATGGGAGGTATCTGTAGATATGATCCATCCTCCATTTTCAAGTTGGCGCCTTGAGTGAAACAGCTTCCTGACTGAGAATAGAGTAACCATCGAAGGAAAAATGGAGTTGTACTCCATGCAACGTAACCTGTGGTTGAATTATTGTTATTGGCAGATGAGTTGAGACCTGTCAAGGATTGTGAAAGTGTGAGTGAAAACGAGTCTTTGGTGTGAGAGCTTTCTACTGGATCAAATGAAAGTTCCAAAGTTTCTGCAGCGCGGGAAATGATTCCCAAGTCCTGCTGAAGTTGGCTTGCATTAGCTTGCAAGAGAGAGTATCGTTCGAACAAATGCTCATATGCTGAGTCTTGGTCGAGCAGCGCAAGACGAAGTGACATAAATTTTTATATTTCGGTTGCTCATTCGTAAATTTAGCGATGAAAAATATCATGGTGTTTTAAATATATATTAAAAAAAAACTACATCGTTCTACTGAGTAGAATTTTGATTAAATGTACTTCTTAGCCAATAGAATCTCAGCAATCAAGATACCAGCACCAGCAGCACCAATAACGGTATTGTGAGATAGAACGACCATCTTGAAATCGAGCACAGGGTCCTCTCTAACTCTACCAACGCTAACACCATAACCACTGTCTCTGTTACGGTCTAGTCTTGGTTGAGGTCTATCGTTTTGCTCTAGAACGTGGATGGTTTGCTTTGGAGCGGAATGACATCCCATCTTGAAGGCGTCACAAACGTATTCTTGTAGACACTTCTTGACGTCGGCCAAAGGAGGAGCAGGTCTGTTCTTGAATCTTAATGAGATGCATTCGGTGTGACCGTCAGAAACGGCAACTCTGTTACATTGAGCGGAGACCTTCATTTCGTCGTCAGATAGTAGGTCAACGGTGGTCTTGTCAGAAGAAAGAGAACCCAAGATTTTCTTGGTTTCCCATTCCATCTTGTCCTCTTCACCTCCAATGTATGGGATGATGTTGTCGAGGATGTCGATACCTGGGACACCTGGAGAGAAACCGGCACCGGAGATGGCTTGAAGCGTGGTGGTGGTCAAGGCGTCGATGGGGCCGAAGGACTCAACCAAAGGCTTGAGAGGAGCGACGAGGCCCGCTGTGGAACAGTTGGAAATACACACGATGAAACCGGGCTTGGCCTGGCCCGCGGATTGGGCGCGCGCAAGCTTCTCACCGACGATCTCGAGGTGCTCAGGGTTGACAATTGGCACCAATAGCGGCACGTCGGCTTCACGACGGTAGTTTTTGGCGTTGGAAACCACAGCAAGACCGGCCTCGACAAATTCTTTCTCGATAGGACCGGCGTACTCAGCGTCCAAACCAGAAAAGACGACGTCACACTCCTTGAAGTTTTCAGCCTTACATTCGCTCACGACAATGTCCTTGGCAAACTCCGGTAGCAAGTCAGTTTGCTTCCAGTTGACAGCGTCGATGTATTTCTTACCAGCAGATCTGGGCGAGGCACCGAGCACCTTTAGCTCGAAGTCTGGATGGTCTGCTAACAGCAGGATAAATCTTTGTCCGACGGAACCAGTGGCACCTAGGACACCGGCAATTTTTCTAGCACACATTGCGTTGATACTCTGGGAGGATGTGAATGAAGAGCGTTGGTGCAAACACTTCAAGATGAGCCTGACTCACATTGAAAAACTGAAAACCTGAGTGAAAACTGGAAAAGCGTGCAGCACCCACCGTCAACACCCACACACCGCGCACTGCGTCACCGCACGTGACGGCTCTGCCTGGCCCGCGTCCTCCTTCCGTCTCACGTTTTCCTATCCATGCTATCTATTGTGTATTGTGATCTTTGATACACGAGCTGTTACGTACCGTATACATCGCGGGTCGCTCAGCTATCGAGCACCGCTGGAGGAAGGCCCTTGAAGTCACGCTCGACGCGGCGCAGCTGCGCAAGCGTGCCAGCCGTGTCGGCGTCGGCGTCCTCCTCGCGCTCCTGGATGAATTTGGCGAGAAAGCGCAGCACGTCGTCCTGCGAGACGTGCTCGCGGGCGCCGGCGTGCACCACAACAGGGTGGTCGACAGCACTGTGGGGGGATCTTCTGCTTCTCATTGCTGGGCGATGAGATGCAGAAAGCGGGCCGGAGAAATTTTTCACTTTTCGGCGAGGGAAAAAATGGAAACGGAAAGGAATGGCACCACGTGACCTGGAATGACCTCGCGGGTTTAGCGCGGGTATTACCGCCGTTGCTGGCGCGACGTTTCACACCCACACCCTCGTCGCCACTGGCAACCACGGGCTCTCGCCGTACGAAAGCACACAGGCTGTCGCTGACACTTTTTTCTCGCAGGGCAAAATTGCAGCTCAAAGCGGAAGGCTCGTTTCGCTTGCTGACACACGCAGTTTGTTGGGTAGCACCGGAAGGCGCACCCTGTGAGAACCCGCAGACGCATCAGTATGTAGCCACGTAGACATTGAGCACGGAACCGTGCCGCTTCGCCCAGAAAGCGCACCCGAACGACCGCTAGCGCGCCCGCAAGCTTGCGGGCGCGCAAACTGCCCATGCGTTTCCTCGCCAGGAGTCTTGTTGCGGCCGAACCCCCCGCACTGGCACAACATGCGCTCTCGCCCGGTGGGTGCTGCTATATTTGGCTGGCAACGTCCACACGTGCGCAGCCGCATGGAAGCTCGTGGAATGGTATGGAAGCCGGAAGTTACCCGGTGCACCCTTTAAAATGGTTTCCACAGCAAATTTTCGAACCTTCCCCATCCCTCAACACTCTTCCGCCACCTAGCAGTAGTAGTATTCAACAGCATGTCCAAAGTTTTCTTCGATGTCGAGGCTGACGGCCAGCCAATTGGCCGTATCACTTTCAAGTTGTACAACGACGTGACCCCAAAGACCGCTGAGAACTTCAGAGCTCTCTGCACGGGCGAAAAAGGTTTCGGCTACGCCGGCTGCCCATTCCACAGAGTCATCCCAGACTTCATGTTGCAAGGTGGTGACTTCACCCACGGTACCGGTGTCGGTGGTAAGTCCATCTACGGTGGCAAGTTCCCAGACGAAAACTTCGCCAAGAGACACGACAAGCCTGGTTTGTTGTCCATGGCCAACGCTGGTCCAAACACCAACGGGTCTCAATTCTTCATCACCACCGTCCCATGCCCATGGCTAGACGGCAAGCACGTCGTGTTCGGTGAGGTCGCCGACGGTTTCGACGTGGTCAAGAAGATCGAATCCCTAGGTTCCCCTAACGGTGCCACCAAGGGCCGCATCATCATCGCCAAGTCCGGTGAATTGTAAGTGGCTGCGGCTGCAGTGCGCTCCGGCGTGCCACCCCATTTTTTCTAGATAAGTATGCGTATATGTAACGTTCCGCAACGTTTGGCCTTTGCCATATTCTGTCCCTCGCACTTGCACGCAGCGTGCGCACTGAACGACAGCGTTCTGCTGCGTCCCGCTGCTGCAGACACCGCCACAGGTGATACGCACCTGGCGGCCACCCGTGGTGGGCTTTAGCGGCGTTGCTCCGCACGCAATGGCTTCCAATTGCAAGATTTGTTGGCTGAATTGGCGCAGGTCACGTGCGCGGTCCAAGTTTCCGAAAACTGCCCCTTTTACAATATGAAAATTGGTTGAAAAAAAAAAAGCGTCTGCCAGCCGAAAAAGACTCTAGTCACATCACCACATTTGCTCGTCTGGAACACACACGCATGGACTCTCTGTCGAAAAAGATTCAGAACCTGGGCATTCACGATATCCGGAATGCTGCACGGTTCACGCAGAACCTCATTGTGCAGTATGAGCCATATCAGGTCGACATCCGCCGCGCAACCAACACAGACTCGTGGGGTCCCACCCCAAAGCATCTTGACAAAGTATTGCGCAACAAGTACCAGGTGCCACTTTATCTTATGACAGAGTACACGCTGAAGCGTTTGGTGGACCACATCGCAACGCGGCCAAAAAACCTCTACGAAAAAGCACGTAAACAGTACGTTAATTACGGTAACGAGTGGCGGGTTGTGCTCAAGTGTTTGGTAGTTCTCGAACATCTACTGCTCAATGTCGACTCCGGTAGCGAGCTCGAGCAGGTAACCAGCTGTCTCACCACCCACAAGGGCATCCTAACACGCGATCTGATGCAGTACCGCGTCGGATTCAGCAACGACGGTAAAATGGAAGTGCACGAGCGCGGGATCAAAAAGAAATGCGAGCAGGTGATCCAGTACATCGAAGATCCCGCCTATCTCAAGCGCGAGCGTGCCAAGCACTATAAAAACGTGGCCAAGATACAGCAGCGCTCAACGGCATTTCCCCAGGTTTCTGGTGTGGGTGGGTCGTCGTTCGCGCAACCTGTGTACGGCTCATACGATGACACAGAGGACATAGACGACGACTTTGGCGGCGATGCGGACTTCAACGACGTCCAATCCAGCGTGCCCGACCAAAGGCGGCGCAGATCGTCTGCACTCGACGAGCAGAGACGTCAAAAGCGCGAAATGCTAAGAGAGAAAATTAAGGCCAGTGAATTGCAACGCAAGGCGTCCCTGCGCAAAGCACAAGAGCCTCAAGTGGATTTGCTAGATTTCGACGGGCCAGAACCTCAAACTGCCGCGCCTGCAACTTCCAATTCCGCGGCCAGGCCCCCAACGTCACTACTAGATGACAACGATGACGATGACGAGTTTGGCGATTTCCAAAGTGACAGCACTCCGCAGCCAACCGCCGCAGCTACTGCCACGTCCCCAGCTCCGGCCCCAGCGGCTGCGAGCCTCGACCTGCTCGATTGGGGTGTGCCTTCAAATTCTGCACCCACCACCACAGCATCTGGTGCGTCGGCCGCTGCACCAGCTAGTGCGCAACGCACGCTTGACGGCTCCGTTGCGCCATCTTCTAACAACAAGGACGCGTTTGCAGACCTTTTTTCTTACTCCAAGTCTCATATCTAATCAAAGTTTGTACTGTACATTTATATGAAATTCGTAATTTTACACATTCGGGTCCTCGTCCACGTCTTCGCTGCCGTCTAGACCTTGCTCGAATATCTGCCTACCAGAAAGCTTACCGTTGTGTGCAGCCAGCCTACGTGCACTGTCCCGCTCGTCTAGTCCCATTTCTTTGCGGAATTGCTCGCGCCAGCGCAGGTACGATTCGCGTGTCACTTTGGTGCCCTGGAACTTCTTCTGCTCCTCTTTTTCACGCTCCAGTAGCTTGCGCTCGTGTTCACGCTCGAGTTTGCTGAGGCTTTCTTGGAACCACCGTTCTGCAGACTCCTTAATCCACGACACCAGGGCGAAACACATTTGCATGCCAATTAGCATGTCCTCGTCCGCTTGTTGCTCTAGCTGCGACACCAGCGTGTCAGCGTACTCCTCAAAGTGTATCTGATCTGGCAAGTTGGTTAGTTTGGCCTCAATTGGATTGCCATGTTCGTCGTACTCGATTTCCTCCGGTTCGTCGTTGTCGTCTTCATCTTCATCATCATATGCACCACCCTTAGGCTCTTCTTCACATTCAATCTCAACTTCTGGCACTACCTCTGGATACGTTTCTGGCAGATGAACTTTCACTACCAGATAGTGGTCTACTGACAGAGAGTCGGCTGTGAAAGAGCTATCATCGTGCGGCACCAAATCCAGCTTCAGCCGCACCTCGAACCGCACTCCGGGGTATTGTGTTGACACCTGTGTCAATTCATCCGGATAAATCGATTCCAGTACTTCAATCTCTTGCAATTGCTCCTCCTTGTAGTCCATCCTAACCGGTTCTTGATGTGGTCGATGCGCGATGTTCGATTTTATATCATATTTCTAAAGTGATAAAATTTTCATATATTTCAAGGAAACAAGAAAAAAAAAGAATTCCAGGTCACGCGACCAGAAGTCGTTTTTGAGTCACATACACGTGACTCCGGAAAAACGTAACGGTCAACCCACACACCAAAATAGCGCCGGGCTCGCATAACAATTTTCCGGTTTTTGGGTTCGGTGTTTTTTTTGGTCGATCTGGAAGCCGGTGGGGAGACAGCGCACCCATTTTAAAGTTGAAGACACCCAGAATAGTTCATTAGCGGGCGCCACGATATGCAGGTCCTAAAGAATATATATAGATGTATGTATAGGTTGATTCTGTCATTGCAGATCTTCGTTTGATTACAAGGAAAGCAATTGAGGTTGTGGGACATGGAATATAGAGCGCAAATGCAATATCTAAACGCAGACAGCATATCCTCACGGTCGACACAGACGTCGTCGGTATTCTCCGGGGAAGGTGACGACTATGATGCACGTATCAAGGAGATTGAGGAGTACTACATGCGCACGCTGTTGAACGAGAACGAAGACGCAGGTGCGAACGCTGGTAAGAACGCTCCTGCCAAAGCGCAGCACTCGTGGACCAACTCGCGCTCCGTTGCCAAGGCCATTTTGGAACTACCTCGTCAACGGTCGCACCCATGGTCTCAGCCACTTCCAGTGCGTCCCAGCGCTCCCACACAAACTTCACCCGACCTTGAGGTTGAGATCAACTCTCAATACCGTCCTTCCAACGGTGTTCTGCCACTGACGAGCGAGAATCTGAAGTTACTGCAGAACCCCAAGTTGATGCCTCAAAAGCTCGAATGTGGTGATGCTGCGACAGCAGCAGCAGCTGCCGAAACACCCTCTTCATCGCAGGGTCGCAAACAGGGTGGTGGAAACGAGAAGTGTAACAAGGCGCTCTACAAGACCGAGCTTTGCGAGTCTTTCTCTACAACGGGCTACTGTAAGTACGGTAACAACTGCCAATTTGCCCACGGGTTACAGGAACTAAAGTTTAAGGAGCGCAGCAACAAGTTCAGGACTAAGCCTTGTATCAACTGGATGCAGCATGGCAAGTGTCGTTATGGGAAGCGGTGCTGCTTCAAGCACGGAGATGACGAGGACATCCAAGTGTACGTGAAAGCAGGCACTGTGAAGAATGAGATCGATAATGGTCATCCTCGCAAGAACCTCCACGCTGACGTGCAAGCACTGCAAAGAATTATATGGTAAGAATAAGGTAATATTCTCTACACGCCATCTTTTTTCATTATATATGATGAGTATTCAGGTAATATGTAAGAGGCGTACTTATTTATTAAATCAAGTTTAACAAATTGTTAGGTTAGAAAATTATTTAGAGTTACTACAATTACCTCATTTGGTGGAATAATCATACGACCTACTCAATTGCTTGGCAAGTCTATTGATGATCATCAGCCATTTAGAAAAGGAAAGAATGTCGAAGTCGTCAAGCGCCTCCTTTAATCCTGGTAGGGCGAATCCCTCGTAGCCCGTGTCTCTGCCTGCAGCGTACACAATGTGCTTGAACCATGGTCTTCCCTTGAGACCCTTCTTGTACAAAAAGTTTCTTTCAAAATATCTCAACTTATAGTTCAGGCCCTTGATCTTGTAGTGTAGTGGGATGATCTTCCAGAAGGGTAAGTTCTTCGAGTTGTCCCATTGCAGCTGTAAGTTCTCGGCGTAGTCATCAAATACCGTGGCGTTAGTCTTGAATTCGTTCAACTTTTCTTCGGTTGACAAGATTGCCTCAGATATATTGCCTAGACGACAACTCACAGGTTCACTCAGCCACTCATCAGGCACCTTAGCAGTTAGGGAAGTAAAATAAGTCTCCAACTCACTCGCGTAGTCTGCGATTTTCGTTGGAATGACCTTTCGTTCGGTCAATTTCAAGGCGACAATGCCGAGATATTTGGCCAAGGCATTGTGTAACTTAAACCCTGGATCAGCCATCGTACTCATCCAGTGATAAGAGTCATAATTAGAGTGGTAATGGTACACAGGGTCTTCCGCGGAGCTGTCAAAACCCATATCGACAGAAGGAATTCCCAAATGTTCTTGAAAGACTGTAAAATCGGAGCCACTACCTAGTATACCAAACTTTTCATGACGATCGAAATAGTGGTCGAAGAGAGATCCGCCAAATGGATATTCAACCAAGTGAAGAGCTTCGGTCAGCACTTGGTTCAAAAATGGCGAAGCTGCAATGTTCAATTTCTTCCCAGATACGGATACATCAACATTCAAGTAGGCGAGACAGTTGGCTTTCAAGTCTTTAGCATTCTTCTCACCAAATTCGGTTGAACCTAGGAGAGCGTACTCTTCACCGTCCCAAGAGGCGAAGACGATCGTCTTACGTGGTCTCCAACCTTGAAGGGTCAGCTCGTGGAAACCACGAATTACCTCTAGCATTGATGCAGATCCACTGTTTGGATCTGAGGCACCGCCTTTAATCCAGGCATCTCTGTGGTTACCAATCAAAATATATCCTTCACTTGGATCAGTACCCGTCAAATTACCGTAGACATTATAGATGGGGACAATATCATATGATTGATTATTATAGATGTTAACAGTGTATTCAGGATTTGGACCTGTCCAATATTCAAAGCCTGGTAAATCGCCAACCCATCCATCTCCTCCAATCTTGGACGCTTTTGACCCAAATCCATTCAATTTTTCGAGAATGGGTTTGATCTCTTTGAAAGAGACCGGCAAACTTGGAATCTTTGGAATACTGTCGTGTGGGTCTACACGTATCACATCTCCTTGAGATGGAACACCTGGGGTGGTTGGATCACCTGGTTGCTGACTCAAAAACTGCACAGATCCCCTCTGTAGAGAAGAGGGGTTTCTGGCAGGGCCTTCGGGATACGCTTTGTCACCCTTTGACTCCCTAAAATAGTCATCTCCTGGATCAGAATATAGTAGGACACCAACACAACCTGCTTCTTGAGCGAACTTAACTTTGAGTCCTCTGAATATATGACCATATCTTGCAATTGCAATCTTCCCAGTGAGATCCACATTGAGATCAGCGAGTAATTGAAAGTCTTCTTTTCTGCCATAATTGACATACACATATTGCCCAGTGACATTACCAGATGCACTGTAGCCGTGGAAAGCAGGAACTAAGTCATCCCCTCCAGTGGTAGGATCATCAGGTAATACATCTTCCTTCAAAGATGCCTGGTAAGCCAGACGAGAACCGTTCTTACCTTCGAAATAAAGCTTCAATGAATTGTCAACAGGATAGTTCAAGTATATGTCAAATGTTTCGATCTCTGTTTCCAATCCATATTCCATAAACTTCTCAGCGGTCCAATTGACTAGGTTAAGACCTTGTCCCGCCAGATGTGGCTCCTCTGTATACTTTTTTGACCAATTCGATGCCAGATTAGTCTCCAATGACTTTAAGAAGGCACTTTCCAGAGGCTCGGGAACTCCAGGGATACTTGAACCACGTATCTCAAACTGAGAAGGATTTGGGCACACGTATTTGAAGAATAGCGCGAGCGAGATCAGCACCAATACAACATTGCTCAAAAACTTGAATAAAAGCCTAAATCCTCTGCTCTTAGAGTGTTTCTGTTCACGGGCGATGACTAGGGACTCATAGTCCTTTTCGTCATCTGTCAACTTGATAGCCATCGTCAGTAGTCTATGTCGCCTGTTGATGAGATCGTTACTGCCATTGGTAACTTGTCTAGCTCATCATATTTCTTTTATATGATAACAGTTTCCTCCATTGGCTGCATCGTTCCTGCAAACAATGCTATTTTGGTAGTGATAAACCTATACGGGTAAACCCGAAACAAACAAAACAAAATAACACCTGATCATTTACCGCGTGGTGGAAGGGTTTAATCGGCATATCCGTCAGGAGAAAGCAGGTTGCGCGTGGTAGCGTTTAGATCCTTAATGTCATGTCATCTTTAAACACTACAGAGTTATCTAAAGTTACCACTAGAAACAGGGGACGGGAAGAATTTTCGAAACGGGACGGAGCATTCATTTTCTAACCGATTTCATGGATGTCGACCTATTAACCTTACTGGAAGAGGCTAATCTTCTCGTAGATGATAACCTCTGGTTAGCATGCCGGACGCTCTCGCCCGGGAGCTGATAGATCTTATTCGCTTCGGGTGGGTCCGATGCGCCATCTTCATCTAGGTTGATACCATCCATGTTCCTTTGGATCAAGTAGCGTAGCGAATTAAACCAAATGTTGTGGCGTTGACGAGTCGAGCAAGTGAATTTCACTGACCTTGCCTCGGTCTTCACGACAATACTCTTATGATATAGACCAGTTGGATATGGGTTGGAATCACTGACACTCTCCACCCCAAGAATAGCAGCTGCACGAGTCTTGTTGTGAGCAGGGCTTTCCAACACCGGGTTAGAACTGGACCAGTAGAGTGTCATTGTATATGGATGAATCCAAAAGTACCTTTCATGGCGTGAAGATAAGTTTGAAATGGGTCCCAGACGGCGATAGTACTTATACAGATACTCACCAATGACAGTTTGAGTTAGAGCAGGAATTATGCTTGGCTCGCTTAATGAGGCCATGGTTGCCAGTGAGATGCCAGCATCAAAGGACGTCCGACGTACCTGCGGGCTTTCGCTTTCCATGCTATATGCGATTGTTCTGTTGATTGAGGATGAGCGAGAGTGGCACCTAGACTTGGCCAAGTGGTGCTGCTGCTCAAACTCATTATAGGCAGCTGAAGCCGCTGCCTCCGCTAAACTCTTTCTAGTGTTCGATTCATTGGATGCAAGTGATTTGTTACTATTTTGCCGACTAATCCTTGATCCGAAAAACGCTGCATGAGCAGACGCCGGCGCACCAACCTCCTTCTTTGTATGGCCAACGAGGAACCCACGCTTCTTTGCCTCCGCTTGAAGCTCATCATTTGTAAGCCTGTCGAAGGTTTCTTGTTCCTTTGCCAACAAATTGTGATAGTACGTAATCGGTAGGACAACAACGTTATCAGAATCTGGGACACTACACGTTGAAGTAGGCACGAAAGAGCTTTCAGGAACGCAAAGGATTCCCAATTTTTTTGCGAGACTGTTAAGTTTCTTACGATCCGATCTGTTTTCATCAAAGTCAAAATCAGCTTCACCAGAGTGTGCTTCGTCGTCGTCTATTATCAAACTTGTAGCATTTACGATAGATTGCCGCTTGAGAAGCTCATAATCATCCAAATCAACCGCAGCAAGCCCGAAACTATTTGCATGTTCGACTATTTGTTCTTTTGTCAACGAAGGATTGGCGAGCTCCTTCTTAATCTGATCAAATTGATCCTTCTTTATGGGCACTAATCCAAATTCTGCTGCTTTAAGCATAATATCTTCAACCGTCAAATTCTGCGAACCTCTCGCCAACTCTTCTTTGATCTGTTCAAATTGATCACTTTCAAGAGGAACTAAACCTAATTGGTGTGCCTTCTCAATTATCACTTCCTTTGAGTAGGTTTGTTCTTTAGTTTCGTTTGCCATTTCGTAGAGGCGATCATAACTCTCTTTTGATATCATGACTTGATTACAAGGCACTGTATCCTCTTTAAGTTGATCTTCACTGCATGACAGCGTTTCAGGTCTCTGAGAGGAGGCAGGCAAATTAGCATATCGAATCTTTTCAGAATCGTACCCTTGAAGTTTTTCATTCATATTATCGAATTGCTCTTTCTTTAGTAAAACCATCCCTAGTTTGCTTGCTTTTGCCCGCAAAGACTCCTCACCTTCAGATTTTGGCACTGTCCTTATACCTTCGGTAGCGTTTATATGACCTTCCTCAACTGTACATGAATTTTCTTGCATTACTTCTTTTGGAGTACCATATGCTTCTTGTTTCATGACGCCCTCATGAATACCTTTTGGTTTATTGAAATCATCTGGAATCAAAGACATTGAATTTACGATTTGCTTCATTTCAACGAATTCATCTTGAGACAGAACATGCAAACCAAATTGCGGAGCCGCACTAATTATGGAATCTCTTGTATATTTGCCATTTCCCGAGAAAAAGTTCAGGCTTTCTTCACGCAGCTGTTCTGTACCAAGCGCCTTATCCTGAACGTCAGTTAAAGAAGCTGGTGGAGCTATAAATTCAAGTTCGCAAGATCTATCTTCTAAATGAGTCTGAGTCTGATTTTTTTCTTTGCCCTTCAGCGACTCATATTCTTTGTATTGACCTTGTGTAATTAAGACCATACTGATTTTTGCAGCTCTCAGTTTCAATTCTTCTTCATCCCAAGCATCTGTGAAAAGCTCATTTACGCTGTCATCGTCACTAGCCGCCAGATCTGGAGTTACATTTTCTTTATTATTTGTCTGATGAGAGCTTTCAGGAGGGTTAACAGAACTCCTCGAGTCCGCTGTCAATGACACAAGCTTGTAGCCCAAGCCCTTCGCCATACTACTGAGATCTTCAACGGTGGGGCCGTGGGAAACAGGTTCATCTCTTACTGTGGACACTTGAGATACATTATCTTCAATTTCTTCTAAATTATCATCAAAAGCGTCTGTGTACTGCGAGTAGTTCGTTTCAGAAGTTGACAATGAATAATTTGTACTAACTGAATTAGTGGATTGAAAGGCATCATAAAATTCTTCTTCATCAATCGATGAGGCACTTGAGGATATAAATGATTCTCTGTCAGACTGTTCAGATTCTTCGCTATTATCTATAGGCTTTGCTGTTTTAAGTTTTGGTTCAATAGGTATTAACCTCAAATTGAGACGAGTTGCATAAGATTCCAGCTCTTTATAAGTGACTTGCCGTGAGTTCTTTTTCTTGAGAAGGGCCATGTATTCTTCAGTTGGTATGATCGTGAGGTCAAACTCTTTTGCACCATTATAGAGATCAGTTTTGCTCAGAGTACTGTCTTTTTGATTCTCGACCAACTTTTTATATTCGTCCGACGATAAGGTCACTAGACCAAGAGACTTCGCAGACTCTAATATTCTCTCCTTCTTTTGGGGACTACTTTCTTCACGAATAACCTTTTCAAAATACTCCTTGCTAGCTAACACCTTGGATGGCTTGCCGATATTACCTCCTGAGGTGGTTCTTGCACTGGCTTCTCTTGATAAGTCATTGTATTCCTCCAAAGGCACAACTGTCAACCCCAGTTTCTGAGCACCTCGTTCAACTTGTGCTTTCGTTGGATTTTCAAGCTTTTTGGAAAGTGTCTCGTATTCTTTTGATTTAACAAGTATCAAGTCAAGAGAATCGGCAGCTTTTTCGATGGTTTTCCGGTCAGGGTGTTCGGCCTGAACTTTAAGTGTGTCATATTCTTTTCTTGGTAAGGCCACATACCCAATGTCACCAGCAAACTTCTGGAGTTTCTCGACACTTGGCATTGTGATGAAATCATTGTACTGATCAATAGAAACTGTTTTCAAGGAAAATCTGTTACATAGATCAATAACCTCTTCTTTGCTGATCTTGTCCTTTGTAGAGTTCAAAAGAATAGAATACGTTTCGGCATCCATAACAACTTGATTATGGCTCTTTAGTCCTTCTTCAAGCTTGCTCAAAGAGGGTTGCTCCAGGGATTTATATTCTGAAGAACTCAATAAAACATAGTCATGCTCTTTTGCAGCATTTTTGATATCAGGTAGACTTAAATCCTTGTCTTTTTCGGTCAACAACACAAATTCATCCTTACTCAAAGCGACAAGGCCCTGGTTCTCCAGTTGTGCATATAAGTACTCTTTAGTTGGACATTTGATGGTACTCTGCATTTTCTCAAGTTCTTCGCTTGGCAACAAAACGAGATTATGCAAGGAAGCACATCTCTTCATAGTGTTCAGATCAGGATTCTCAGCAAGATCTTTTAGACCTCTCAATTCATCTTCATCTATCAAAATCTTGTGATATTTCATTGCATTATCTTTCAGATATTCTAAAGTAGGTTGCTTGATGGCTTTGTCAAGCTGTTCAAATTTCTCCGCTGGTAACATGATTCTGTTATATTTGGCGATATTTTCTTCAAGGCAACGCAAAGATGGATTATCCGCCCTATCCAGTAATTCTTGATATTCAGCGCTTTTCAAGATTTTCATATTCACGAGAGAGCATTTTTCCTTCAAAAATTCTATCCCGGGTGCTGATACTACATCCTTTAAAGACTGATATTCTTTGGAGTCAACGAGAACTTTGTCAAACCTCTCCGCATTTTTGATCAGATGGGATTCGGAAGGCACATTTGCAAGGGATTTCACATTCTCAAACTCAGTATTAGGTAAGGCTGTGTAATTCAGCTGCTCTGCCAACTCTTGAAGAATTTCAGGGTTTGGATTTTTTAGCAATTCGAGTTGCTGCCTAGCCGTTTCATAACTCTCCCTATCCATCAAGATTAAATTGCGGTGACTGGCCAAGGATTGCAAACGGTCCATACTAGGGTTTTCATTCTCATCTTTCATATTTCTGTAGCTTAATTCGGACATCAATACCGCAGAAATATTCGAAGCACGTTCCGACAGCTCCTCGAAGCTGGGATTAGTGAAAAATTCCATGATCTCTTCGTACCTCGCTTTATCCAACATAATGATGTTATTCGCTGCAGCTGTGCTCCGTGCAAATTCCAGCGGTTCCTTAAGGATCTTAACAACCTTCTCATGCTCGTCAAGAGGTATTGTTTTCATGTTCAGGGCACTTGCCTTCTCCTGTAACTCCTCTCTAGTTGGAAAGCTGTCTTTCCTTATCAATGTATCATACTCAGCCTGCCTTATTATGGTTTGACCCATCTCTAGCGATTTGGTGGTCAAATAAGACAGCGGAGGATGCTCAAGTTTAGCTTGGAGATCGTCTAACTCTGATTTGAAAATCACTGCTAAGCCTAACTTGCCAGCCTTCTCCTCTATAAAATCCTGCGAGGGAGCAGCTAAATTGTTCTGCAAAACTTCGTATTCGTTGCAAGCCACGATTGTGTATCCTAGGAGGGAAGCTGAATGAGTGATCATATCTAGAGATGGCTCTCGTATAATCTTCATGTTCTTTTCATAGACCTCTTCATCTACTAACAGTTTCCTTTTCTTAACAGAGTGCTTCTCTAAATATTCCAAAGAGGGATTTGCTAGATATTCCTTCATTTCTTCGAAAGCGGATCGAAGTACAACGACATAACCATGTGATTCCGCTTGTTCAATGAGCTCTTCTTTCGAGAGAATTGCATCTGGGTTAGTTTTTAAATCATTATATTCCTCAACGGGAACCGCTTTGAGGCCGTATTTCTGGCATAGAGAAATTGTTGTAAGCTGATCAACTGTCTCGAGGAATGGCCTATTCAATTCTCTAAACTTTTGAAAGGTAATAGCATAATATCCGAAATCCTCTAAGCGTCTCTTTAAGGCACTTAGAGACGCATTTTCTATCCTAGAGCTTTCCAAGGCAGATATTTCTCCTAACGGAAGAGCAACATATCCGTATGAGGTAATAGCATTAAAGATTGACTGTTTTTGAGTAGCATTCTGCAGCTTCTCATGTTCAGTTTGATCAATTGCCACAAGGTCATGACATGCCGCCATTTTTTGAATAAAAGCTTTAGAAGGATTTTCAAACGATTTCCGTAACTGGGAGTATTCCTCCTCTGGAATAACGATATGTCCAATTTTTTTGGCGTTCTCTGCTAATTCTTGAATTGTAGGATTCAATGCTCTCCTGATAATAGCTTCGTGCTCGTGTTTGGATAGGAGGTCGTATCCTCTCATTTCACTTTTCTCGATGAGGAAATCCAAGGAAGGAGAATTCTCCAGCTCCAAAAACCTATTGTAAAGTTCAAGGGGGATAATTTGGGAACCAACTGCCTTTGATTTCAAGTAGTCAAGTGAGGGATTATCATAGCGGTCCATCAATTCATTCAATTCGTCATTGGCAATGATCGTATGCTGATAGTTACGAGCCTTGTTTTTCAAAAATTCCAGCGAGGGAGTTTCTTTTATTTCCAGTAACTCATCGTGAATAGTAGACGTGATCAGTATGTGACCTGAATTCTCCGCTTTCTTCGATAAATACTCTCTAGAAGGCTCTGCAATCTGGTTTCTTAGTTGCGTCAATTCGGCGATGGTTATCAGTTCAAGACCCTGAGTAGAAGCTTTCTTCTTCAAATATTCTTCCGCAGGGTTTTCTAATTGCATTTTCAAATTCTCATGCTCAAGTTTTGCAAGCAAAACACCACCCTGTGCAGCAGCTTTTTCTTCAAGGTACTGTGAAGTAGGCGTTTCTACACTTTTTAGTAGTGCCGTGTATTCGTTGCCTTGAATGACACGATATCCGAGATCAGATGCCTTTTCTTTTAAAAAAGTAAGAGGAGGATGCTCAAAGTTACTGATTAGTTGCTGACTATAACTAGTGTCAATTAAAACTTTCCCAGCCGTGTCGGCATATAACTTTGCAATTTCATATGGTGGATTTTGGATTTGTGCTTCCAACTTCTCATATAAAGCCCTTTCGACGACAACATGATCTAATTCGTCTGCCCTGGAGGTTAAGTGAGCAATGTCAGGGTGCTCCAAGGAATCCAGACGATCCAACGTCTTTTGATGTTCTTCCGCCTGGACAAGAGTAAAATTGATCTCATTAGCTTGCTTTTCCAAGACAGAAATAGGTGGATTACGAATAGTTTTGTACTCGTCGGTTGAAATCATGATATAGTCCAGCGAGGAAGCCATCTGCTTCATTTTCTCGATCGAAGGATTGAAAAGTTCTTCATAATTCTCAGGAGATAAAAGGAAATACCCTATTTCACTTGCTTCCCTCTGCAAATTTTCAAGGCTAGGGTGCATAAAATCTTCGTATTCTTTTTTCGATATTACAACCTTTTCAGCGTGTGAAGCTAGTTCAGAGAGTTTTCCTAGAGATGGATTAATTAGCTCAGAATGATCGTTCTCGGAAATCAAGTGATAATTTGCGCTACGCGCTTTCTGTGAAAGAAATTCTACAGAAGGATTATCGACTTTTGAATTTAAGGCGGAGAGGGCATCTTCTTTTATTAATGTATAACCACTTTTTGTCGCCATTTTCTTCAATTCATCCAGTGGTGGAGAAATAAGAGTTTCGTACTCGCTGATTGGAATAACCTTATTTCCACTTGCGCTTAATTTTGATCGCAAGTATTCCATAGATGGATTGTCAAGCTCCCTCAACATTTCTGCATATTTTTCTTTAGCTACTGCTTCAAATCCTAAATGTTCAAGTTTCTCAATAATCTTCTGTACTGATGGCTCAACTAACTCCTGGTACTTTTCATTACTTATTAATCTTTGATCAATTAAGTTAGCCTTGGACGAGAGAAAGGCTTCTGTTGGAAGATCTAAGAGAGTCATTTTTTTTTTAATTTCCTCGAAGTCGTCTTCTGAAATTACATGGTACCCGTTCTCCTCTAGGGAATGTATTTTCTCTTGTTGGCTCAATATATGTGGTTTCTTTTCGGTCGAGATATCATTAGGAAATGCAAAAATGTTAAGTTCTCTTCCTGAGCGCATAATTTCTTCTTCTGACTTTAAGCGTTCAGAATGCAAATGCTTGATATTTTCATATTCTCTGTTTGGCAACACTACTAAATCATGTGCATCCGTGTATTTTTTGACTTCCGCATAGGTAATTGAACTTTCTTGTTCGTCTTCATTGTCACTATCAATCAGTTCATCATAGAGTGGGTTTCTAATCACATCCATGGTTTCTGATATATCACTTTCGCCTTCTGAGTCCAAATCAACTGCCCTAGAGTCCTCAGATAAACCAAAAGAATCAGCTGTGACATCACTGAGCAAACCATGCACTGAGGCTCGTGTGTCGCCACTAGACGATCCACTTTGTTGGGTCACATTAGTTGAATCGTGTTCTGTCGCTTTAACTTTGCTAGGAGTGGAAAAGTCTTTGAATTCTTGTACCCCATTTGTCCTCCTGACAGGTACTGGCGTGTTAGTTCGGGAGGATCTGATAGTACGTGGTGAACCTTTACGCTCTGCTTTTAATCTGAGAATCTGCTGTCTCAACTTTCCAATTGTTTGGTTGGCTTGCTCTAGATTTACTTGCATTGTTTGCGACTCCAAGTCATTTGGTTCCGAAAACCTCAGTTCTTCCGTTGCCAACTTCGCAGAAGAGGAAAGATTATCAAAATGATCTTTGTCCTTGTTGATGTTGTCCTTCTCGGCGTCAGGTGGCTTGTCGCTGACTGATTTTGTGTTTCCTACTTTTGACGCCAACTCATCTACCTGTATCTTCAATTGACTCATTTTCGAATGAAGTTGATCGTTTTCTTCATTAAGCTCCTGTATATGGGCTTTTAGATCTTTGATTTCAATCGCGTATTGTTGCTGCTTCGATTCCAGTTCTTCTCTCAAACCTCTTCTTTCCAAAACAACTTCTTCAAGTTCAGCTTTGAACTCTTCGCAAACATTTCTCTGCTTTTGGAGTTCTGCTTGTGTTTTATTATATGATCCACTCAGATCTTTGAATTCTTTCATCACGTTTTGTAATTTCGCTTCTAATTCCCAATTGGCATCCTTTAGTGAGTCTTCTTCTTTGCAAGCATGTTGGTACTTCGTTGTTAGCTGTTGAAGATTCTCTTGTATAGAAATATATTCTTCGTGTAGGGTTTTGAGTTTTGCAGATTTCTTCTCATTTTCAGCCTGTAGTCTCCTGCATTCTTGCAATAGATTTTCACTAAGACCGACAACAAAGTTAACATCCTTTGATGAGCCGGAATTTAAAACTCCCTTGTGTACGTCACTGCCAGCAAATAAAGGAGCAGAAGTTCTTTTATCTCTTTTAGTCAATATATTTGAAAACGGAGTAGATTTCTTGTTATTTCTCTTCGACAGAACATCCTCTGTTTCTGCATTAATTCGATTTTGAATATGCTCTAGCTGAGCCTTTAGATCGCCTTCGGATGACCGACCCTTTTGAATTTGGTGATCCTGCGGCATTATGTCTTAATAGGCCCTAGATGGACACGATTCCTCTATTCCCTTGAGTACGGTCCTTGTTTCACCATAAGAACGCGTTTGTCCTTTTTTTAGAGATGCGAAATCTAAAAACAATGAACCGTCGATAAAAAAGTCACGTGACCCGATATATGTATTAAACTATTATAAGCACAAACTATGGCCCATTCCTGAGGCAGATACCCATCTGGTCTGCCCAATCACGTACTACAGATTCTTCAACATTGTCAATGAACGGATTTTTATCAACTAATATTCGCATTAGGTCAGAAAGAATAATAGGTTCAAAAGTGTAAACTTTTTCCAGGAGTTCGGGCATTTGTTCGACTAGTGATGTGAATTGCATAAATATTTCCTTTCGTTGCTCGACTTCTGTATCAGCCTCGAGGTTTTGAGAAACAGCTTCCATCTGTTCCAACATTTGCTTCCGTGTGCGGCCAGGCTTCAAACCTATGTTTCGGAGCTTTTGTCTGAGTTGCTGTGCAGAAGGTGGCACGGACGACTGTTGAGAAGGGGTTGGCGCTGTTGGGGTTTGATTTATCTCCGTTTCTGCATCCGAATGTACAGCGGATTCGATCACAGGATATTGTAGTTGCTCCAGTGCCAGCCTGGGCCGTTTAGGTATTCTAAAGTCAAAAATGCTGTATTCGCCGTCCTCCTCGCTATCGTCAACGCAATCCTCTCGGTTCACCAAATGATTTGAAGGGGGCTCTGAAGGATTTCTTGCGTCTCTTCTCTTGGCTTGCTTGAAAATCTTGATTCGAATAACATCTTGAGAGGGCGTGTGAGAAGATTCAAGTGTTACAGGAAGTGCCCCTTCGATCAAGGTGGGATTTCGCGTAGCAGGGACTTGTACATCAGCTTTCAACGGAGAAATCAATGACTTCACCACTTTGAACGACCCATGCGTTAGATCTATTAAATTGTCTGCACCACCATGTTTATTAGGAGACAATCGTGAATATTGCGTTTGATGTGATGCACCAATGGAGTGCAATGACAAGGGTCGCTGCAATACGTTTGGCTGAAGTGGCTGAACGTGGCTAGATAATGGCACTGGCGATAAGATCTCGTTTTGGAATGTTCCGTCTGTAGCAGCCGGTGCAGAGGCCAGCTCTGGTGAATCACTGAGCATTTTTTTTCGGAACTCCAGAGCAAGTTTAGGGTCTATGCTAATCTCCGAACCTACCTCATCTACACTGTTCGAGATAATGCTGCGGGTTTCAGTAAGGAGCCTTGTATTTGACTCTGCCTCTCTCTGAGGGCTCGGAATCACCATATTTTCAGAGGTATCTGAAATTCTTTCTACGTCATCAGGATCATTTTCGAGTTTGCTTAGAGTTGGAGCTCCTAATAAGGGTTTTTGTGATTCTAAAGATATCACATCTGGTGTGGTTTCTTGCTGCCGCCCTTCTGTATCTTCCATAACTTGCGACAAAGAAAACACCAAAGGTGCCTGTTTCGGCAGAAGCCCCATTTCAGACTCTTCACAGCTTTCTACATCAGACTGAGAAGGTGCATACTGAGAAGAATACCACACATCACTTTCATCTCCATACATATACCGATGAACTGCGCGAACCTCAGATCTTTGGCATTGGGGAAATTGGCAGCGTAAAAGCCCTAAGATGTACTTCCACTCTTCTTGTTTGTATGTACAGAATCGGGTGCGTTTGTCGCTCTCATTCTTTCGTTCTAGTCGCGTCAAAATGTCCTTAACTTTGCCCTTTTTCCCTGACAGTAAAGAAACGAGATCCTGCACCCGGCGCCGATCTTTGGAGCTGTCGGAACTTTCCGTGCTGTATTGCGTGACGCTTTTGATCTGAGATGAATCCTGCCTCTTTCTGTGACTCGGTCTTGCTTGTTTTGTATTGACCGATTTGTCCTTTGCTGAAGTTCTGGCTGGCCGTTTCATAGGACTCTTCACAGGGCTAGCGGCAAGAGCAAATTTGTTCAGTGAATTTTTCATGTCATCCTGGAGCTTTGCTTCATCCAGCTTACTCTGTATCTGTGTATTGATGAACACTTCCTCTTCACTGCTGAATCCATCAGGAACCTGTGTCATGGGAAGTTCTTGCGATTCCATCACTGCGCCGTCGTCTTCTGCGCCTTCCAGTAGCCTGAGACACCTTTGTGCCCTATTAAAATCCATGTTTCTACGCCTAGATACATAGAATGACCAATTCGAAAGCCAAAAAAGCCTCAAACGGGACTATGTCGTGAAGCTTTACTGTACAGAGAAAACTACCGATGAGCTTTGCTGATATTTACTGAGTTTTGAGGTTCAATCAAATGTGCACGTGATCAGAATGCATCTATATATCACATGATTTTGATTATATCATTACCCGGAAATGGCACGTGATTGATTCCTGACTTCGATTTTTGGTTTCGGAGCCGAATCTCTCCGATGGACCGAGTACATTGGGCAAAAAGAGGAAAAACACCGTTATAAATAGGGAGAACTCTTCAGACAAAATCATCAAGGTTCGTTGGATTGGTGGTATCTGCGGTTACGAGCTTATTAGCATGCTTTCTAGAACAGTTTGTACGAGGAGTGTCTTGAGACCGGTTGTTGCATCGGTGTCAAAGAGGACAGTGTCCAAGGTTTCCGGTGAGTTCATCGGTTCTTCATCTAGTTTCAAACTAAGCAGCGCTGCGCGCAATGCACGTCTATTAGGACTAAGATACGAGTCTACAGTGGTTAAAGTTCCTCCAATGGCAGAGTCTTTAACCGAAGGATCCCTAAAAGAATATACAAAGCAGGTTGGCGAATTCATTCAACAGGACGACCTGTTGGCAACCATCGAAACCGACAAGATCGACATAGAAGTAAACGCCCCTGTTTCTGGTAAAATCAGCAAATTATGCTTTCAACCCGAAGATACGGTCACCGTTGGTGACGAGCTTGCCGAGATTGAACCCGGCGAAGCGCCTGCCGGTGGTGCTGCAGCATCCGAGGCACCTGCCAAGGAGGAACCTAAAAAAGAGGAGCCTAAGAAGGAGGAAACTCAAACCCAAGCAGCTGCTCCAGCTACTCCTCCTAACGAAGAGCCTAAGAAGGCACCCTCCCCACCTCCAACCCCCAAGAAGGAATCGGCTCCTGAAAAGGAAGTCGCACCTGCTACACCTTCTGGTGCATTTTCTCGTTCCGAGCATAGAGTGAAGATGAATCGTATGCGTATGAGAATCGCTGAGAGATTAAAGGAATCTCAAAATACCGCTGCATCATTGACTACTTTCAACGAGTGTGATATGTCTGCGGTGCTAGAAATGCGTAAGCTATACAAGGATGAAATCATTAAGAAGACTGGTGTGAAATTTGGTTTCATGGGTCTCTTCACAAAGGCGTGTACACTAGCTGCCAAGGATATTCCTTCTGTTAACGGTGCGATTGATGGTGATCAAATTGTATACCGCGACTACACTGATGTGTCCATTGCCGTAGCCACGCCAAAAGGACTTGTGACGCCTGTTGTGCGTAATGCTGAGTCATTGTCCGTTATCGAAGTCGAACAAGAGATATCACGTCTGGGTAAGAAGGCACGTGATGGTAAGCTAACGCTCGAAGACATGGCTGGCGGTACTTTCACCATCTCCAATGGTGGTGTATTTGGTTCTTTATATGGTACACCAATTATCAATATGCCACAAACTGCAGTGTTGGGCCTCCATGGTGTGAAGGAAAGACCAGTAACCGTGAACGGACAGATTGTTTCCCGTCCGATGATGTATTTGGCTTTGACCTACGATCATAGACTGCTGGACGGTAGAGAAGCAGTCACATTTTTGAAAACTGTAAAGGAGCTGATCGAAGACCCAAGAAAGATGATGTTGATGTGATTTTTAGGAAGTCACTCATCATGTCTCTCATTTTCGATTCCGTACTCTTATTCTTTGATGTAAAAATGTTTCACATGCAACACGAAATAATTTATTTATGTTACACACGACAAAGCAAAATAAACAATGCTACTAAATAAAGCTTGCTTTAAATCATTTTAGTATCTAGATATTTCAGCTTAGCCGATTTTGGTAATTCTTCTGGTGAAACTAGCCCGAACTGAACCAAGTCCCCCCAAAACAATTGCATCTTCTCAGTGGCATACAACAGATTTTCAAATGAATCAATATCAACACCTTCTATACTACTGCTGGAATCAATGCTAGTCACTTCATCTTCGTCCATTACCGTGATGACGTATCTCTCCCCTCCGGGACCTTCCTCGACAGTTTTTTCATCCTTAGGTGCGTCAAGCTCACCGCTTTGAATGATACCCCATAAACTCCAATGCAAGGAAACGCAGGCTCTTTCCTTAATTATTTCATTATAGATCTCACGAACTTCATCATCGATGCTGCGGTCTTCTGTCGGCCGCTTATGAGAGGCGTAGGAATATATGAAATTTAGCATTTCCTCCTTGTTGGGAAATTTTGCTTCATTTGATTTATAAGGCTCTGAACAATTGTAATCACACATCCATTCACTAAGGTGATTGGCTAAGTCGTACGCAGGTGGACTTGCTCCTGAATATTCAAAATCAATTACTACTAACTTCGAATCTTGAGCTTGCTCATGAATTGAAGGATGAATAATCTCATCTAATGATATATTAGAAGATGTTGGAAAAAGAGATGGCGCCGTTGAAGATATGCTTGACGATGTTGTCGTCGTGGAAAGCGGAACTACGGGTGCGGTGAAAAGTAGGTTCCCATATTGTGCGTCGTTATGGCAAAAAGCTAGATGTTGAGACGATTTTCTGTTTTTGTCCAACCATTCGTGATATTTGTTTACGGAATACTTGAAAAATTCCCAGTCTTTAGAAAGTAGAACGCTCTCGAGATTAGAAGTCTTTTTTGACCATTCCGATTGTTCAATTTTTTGAAGCCATTTATAGATTCTGGTCCAGTTTATGGACCCATTCTTTATTTCTGTCGAGTTCAGGGGAACTCCCACATGCAATTCCTTCATTCTACGTGCAATTCTTTGAGATGTTCGCCAATTGCGTATATCGTTCTTGTTCAATGTTGTTGAATTCTCGAGGAACTGTTCAAATCTTCCATTGGTGAAACAACCAAATAGGGAAGGACCAACCTTGTGCGATGAAAGCCTAGCAAGGACTTGTAGTTCATAGTCTCTATCAATGATGCTCTCAACGTTAGGGCCGTAGATTCTCAGTAAGAGTGAGGGTAGGCCGGCATACTCCACCTTGAAGATGGCATTCGTCATTGCACCTGTAATTTTCGTTATTTTCAAAGATTCTGTGTCCAATGTACTCCCTGAAGACTTTTTGTACCATTTTTGAATTTTTAAGGCTTGGATTAAATTCAATATGTCTTGTTTTAAGTAGGAGTTGGGTAAAGTAGAATCGAGGGTCGCCTTCACAAATGGAACCTCTATAACTTCGTGTGAACCTCCCTCTAAAGTTAAGTGATCCATATCCTGTGATACTACACTTACATCACCAGTGGAGCCGAACTCCGCGCTAATCGTGCGAATCAACCTTTGCGAAGATTTCACACGAGGAAACGATGGCCTTCTTGGCTTACTTCTGGAGCGCGACCTAGATCTTACGGTTGCAACTTCACCACGGGAACTTCTCTCAGGCATTGCTTTATTGTTTTTCTGTTGAGATTCTAATGATGGAATATTTCTAGAGCACTTTTATATGAAATCTTTAGCTTTCTTCCTTTTCGCCATGTGAAAAATAAAATCAGAAATTTTCAAACTAAAGGAATACCTGGAGAAGGCTTCGTTTACAAGCTAAGAAAGGGACTGAGCATGGACATATTGCAATCAAGTTATTGCAGTAGTAGTGAAAGTGAAGAAGAGGAAGAACTTGTAGAGCCCGTTCCAATCGTTCCTCAAGCTGTTTTAGACAAGTATTCCATAAGCCCAAATATCGCAAAATATCAGCCTGGTTCAGAAATGAATTTCGTCAGAGGTAGATGGAATACATTTGCTTTCATTGAGATGAGAACAAGTACTCAGCAGCGAGCTTTGTTGAATAAAACTATAGCATGTGTAAATGAAAAAGCGCGGTTGTTGGGTGTTGAATTTGAGCCCCTACATCAAAGCGAAATGGGGTCTCCACAGCCTCTCCATGTGTCTCTGTCTTCTAACGTCGAGTTCTCAACACGGAAAGAGCTTGACTTGTTTCCCAAAATGCTTTCTATAGAACTGATGCAAAAATTTCCACTTCATTTTGATGTGCAGTTTGAACCCGCTCTTAAACTGTTTGATAATTACGACAAGTCTGCTCTTTTTTTAACCTTGAATGTTAGCGACAGCGTAAAAAGACGTTACTTGTCAAAGCTTTCCACTATCATTCAGGAATCTATCGATTGCTGCAGTCTTGAAGATAACACGAAGCAGCGACAGCAGTGGAATTTCGTCAATGCACACATGTCGATAGGTAAAACTTCTAAGACCGAAATGACAAAGAGTTATCTTCACGATATACATGGCAACTCCGATCAAGCGGAACTAGGCTTTACTGAAAAATTCAGGATGCTAAATGACGTAATTGACACCGTACATTTGAAGAACTCAGAGTTAGACCAGTTCAGTTTTCGTTGCCATGGGCTTAAAGTGACGAAGGAACGAGCCAATATTTGGGTGCCCTTTGGAAACTCTACGACGGTGTGAATCTACAAGTCATCGAGACCATTCCTGCATGAATGATTATGTCAGCATTTTAAGCATCTGTGTCAGGTGACCTGGTGTTTACATATTTCCACATACGGAAACCCTTTTATATTCCACATTGATGAAAATGAACTGAACATTAATGCAAATCATAACTTACTCTTCTTAAGGGCAAGCTTTCCAAAAACCATTCCATTAAATAACATAAAAGCTATACTATCCGTCCTTCATTTGCTATCTATCGAAACTTATTTTAAATTGTGCAAGAAGTCACACTACAAACGCACGGTTCGACAGTGGACTACTATACAATATTCAAAATACAGGGCGTTTCATCGGACATACTTTATTAACGCAAATGGTCTCCACGAAGGAACAGTGGTTTAACCCTTCCGACATGTTGGATTTGACTGGTTCAGATCAAAATGACATGCTTTATAATCAAACAATGGATGTGGGCAGCAAATCATCTCAAAATGAAGCAATGCCTTTGCCGGATGAGTACTTCAACAATTTTCTATCTAGCAATTATGAAGAAGTTGATGAATTTTTAACTCAAGAGCTAAAAGATCTGGATATTCCTATGATACCCGAAAGGACGAACTACGCTAGCGCAGACGAAGACTTGATGAATTACAATTTGATGTGGCAGGAGAACAATGAAGATGGAGACACTCCAAGAAAAATGCACAAGCGTGGACCGAGTGGAACAGCCATCTTTGGTTTCGCAAATCATAACAAACAGCTAAGCATTTCAAAGATGGGCATACCGCCAGCTCTTAAACCTTCGCAATCGGACGGTGAAAACCGCGCTTCAGTTCTTGACCTGGAGTGTGCCAGTTTGAGCAAAGATACAGCACCCAAAAATCAAAATTTAAACTCACTTATTTTGAAACAACAGGAGGAATTAAGATTGGCGCTAGAAAAGCAACAGGAGATGAATAAGAAACTGGAAGAACAGTTGAGACACAGTCAAATACAGCAGCAGCAATTGCAACTGGCTTTACAAGAACAAGAAGTTGTAACTCATCATTTATCAGCTAATGGTTCTCCCGTCAAAACTCCGTCGTCGAAGGCTTCTCAACTTGAAGATCGCAATATTATAGTGACCTCAAACAGTATGACTGGAAGTTATCAGTTTCCACCTCCATCTATGTCAAGAAGTTCCAATGGTATAATTTCGCCAATTTCAGGTACTTCCATCAATGGCTCACCACCTCGAAGAAGTCAAAAATCCAGAGCGCAAATGATTAATGCACATGGAGCAGTGAATATGATGAGTTTAGACGTTCATAATGTTTCGAGCCCAACTCATTTTGAAAGTTCAGCCTCTTTAGAGGGGAACATTTCCCTAGAAGCAATTCAAAAGATGTCAAGGTATTTTGAAGGCCTTAACGATCAAATTTCCGGTGGAGAATCTGCAAAACAGAATATCATAAGAAAGGGTTTCCGGAATAGCCCAATTACACCTCAGCAGCAGATAGTTGCAGGTCATAACTCATCTTCCTCATCACCAGAGATACGAAAGCATGTGACTAAAGACTCGATTTCTTCGAGTGCATCAACCATCCCACAATTTCACGACGATGATGGAAGTGATACCGAGTCAAATCGATATCAAAAGGTTGTTGGATTAGGGATTCAGTTCCGCAATGATAGCAGCAGGCCGAAATATACACTTAACAAGCCACCGCATTTAGATCTTCTTCCCACAATACCCGGCTCCACAGATAATACCCCAGTTGGTAAAAAGACAATACAAACAATAAACTCATCTACTTTTCCCCAGAAGCATGTATTTCAACATACACCAACTAAGCCAAGTGCTAACGATCAAGAGTGTTTCACTGAGACGTCAAAACCTGTGCAAAACATATTTGGAACACTCAAAACAGATTTGAGAGCTCCTTTACTACAGGCTGAGGATGATGAAGATGATCCAGAAAGTGAATTTATTCAAGCACAAACGCCATCTCCGATTCTAAAATCTCAGGGAGCTTTCGATGGCTTGTCACCATCGATGGAGTTGCACCATTTGAGTCCTATGAAAATTACGAGAAAACCAACAACATTACCGCCAGGAGAAATAGATAAGTACGTCAAAGAACTTCCGGACAAAACTTTTGAATGTTTATATCCTCAGTGTGGCAAAAACTTTAAAAGGCGATATAACATCAGATCTCATATTCAAACTCATCTGGAAGATCGACCTTACATTTGTGATTTTGATGGATGTAATAAAGCCTTTGTAAGGAATCACGATTTAATCAGGCACAAAAAAACACACGCTGAGAAATGTTACGTCTGTCCATGTGGTAAAAAGTTCGTTCGCGAAGACGCATTATTGGTTCATAGGACTAGAATGATTTGCATTGGGGGTAAGAAATTTGATAATGTTGTAATTAAAAAGTCCCCTAGGAAACGCGGCCGGCCAAGAAAGGATGGTACTTTAAGTGTTAGTAGCAGTCCTATAAAAGAGACCATCGCCCGGGATAATGATGGAACCGTCGCATTAAAAATGGAGGAACAGCTCCGAAAGGAGTTGATCGAGCACGGTTTGCTCAATCCCCCGTCTAACACAGTGAACTCGATCGAACGGGAACGGCTTCATGTAGTATGATTATAAAAATTGGTATATAAATGAAAAAAAAAAAGAGATGATCTGATATACTCAATTAATCAAGGTGAGTGACGAAGTCGTCATGAAAGAAAATGATGAACGGCCTTGCCACGACTCTCATTAATGCCCTCGCTTTTCGACTTTCGAATTGAGCACATATAGTCTCCTTCTTGATTTGCTGTTTTCCGTTCTCTTTTATAGTTATTATGCTTAAAGATCTATATATACAATTGATGTGAGACTGTGAATTCAAACAAAGTGAATTCATCTTATGAAAATCACGACAGAGTTTCGAAAACTCTTTTTTTGGCAAGCTTTTCTTGTTGCATTTTTTGGTCATATTCATCAACGAATTCATAGCTGTGTTTCATGTTCCATTGTTGTTTGATGAACTTGAGACCTTGAATGTTAAAGCCCAAGTCATCTGCCTTGGACTTTAGAGCATTTCGAAGTGCAATTTTTACTCTATCGATCTGCATCTTAAGTTCCTCGTTTTTCTGCGACACCAATTCATTATGATTGGATTTGATAAGGAAAAACAAGTTGCGGCAAATTAGCGGTAAGTGATTACTGGCTATGTTTTGATCTTTGATGACCAAATCAATGAATCTGAGGAATTTCAGCACGTAGGAAAAAGGGAGAACCAGCAGAGCATCCTCGAGTTGGGAAGGTTTGATTCTTACTAGTATTTCCATAATATACTCGACCGGAGTTTTATTCATGGCAACAAGTACACCATTAGCTTGAGGTTTAACTGGAGGTTCGTTTGAACGCTTTTTCTGCCATTGTTTGAACTCCAGATCATATTTTTCAAGGTTTTCAATTTCTGTCATACCCAGGTCAAGAGCATCCATAAGTTTCTCACTTGCCTTCAAAGATTCTACAGTTTGTTTGTGGACTTCTAAAGCCTTGTCGACATCTTCATCGGCGTTCTCATCGGAATCTGCGTGATTTAGATTTTCCTCTGTATCCTCTAAAGAGTTTAACAAGGTATTTTCATACTGTTCATCCATTTCCTTTTCTCTTTCTTCTTCTAGGAATACTTGGTCCTCTGTTTCTTCCCAAATTCTAATACTATGGTCATGAGATGTGGAAATTACAAATCCGGAATCATTTGAGATAGCTAGTGACCAAACTTCACTTTGATGAGCAGCAAGCTTTTGAATACACTCAAATTTATCACCATCCCAATACTTAACAAATCCATCCTTGCTGCAACTAAAGAAATTGTGCGACTCAGGTAAAAACTTGACATTCATGATAGAATCATTGTGGGCGAACAAGGATTTGTGACAATCACCGAAATCAAGACCCCACACCTTTATGTTTTTATCCGCTGATGATGTGATAAGCAGTTTAGAGTCAAACGAAATGTCCACTGATAATACTGGCAGCTTATGCCCATACAAACTCAAGAAGAACTTCATTGAGTCCAGAAAAAAAACTTTGACTGTATTATCCAAAAGAGAGACTGCCAGAAACTTGTCATCAGGAGATATTTTTACTGCCAAGATATCATCATCCAATTCCAAAGTAGTGTCATGGAAAACCTTAAGCTTTGGAACGAATTTATCGACGGTCCCCGGAACTAATTCTTTCTCAATTTGGAAATCCCAAAATCTTACAGTTTTGTCCGCCGATCCTGTGACCAGTCTTTTTCCATCACTTGTAAGATCAAGCGACCAAATGGCACCATCATGGGCGCCTTCTTTGTTCTCAAGCATGGTTGAAGAGGCGAGATCAAATAGCTGAAGCTCACCTGCCCTTGTACCTAAGATGACTAATGTGCCGCCTGGCAGAAATTTACAAGTTAACGCATAACCACACTCGAAAGTCCGAATGCAGTTGTGAGTCTTTGTATTCCAGATTTTCAACGTTCCGTTGGAAGAAGTTGCTAATAGCTTGTTATCATCGCTGATATCAATACTTCTGACGTCTGTTCTGTGACCTGGGAGATCTATGGTGTATAGCTTGATTGGGGCAGGATGAAGAGGATCTCTCTTCTGATAAGGGATTGAGTAGTACTCAATAGTATTACTGGAAGTAGTAACAACTAATTCTAATTTCGAGGGTGTTGTTATAGCCCAACAGACTGATCTAATCTTAAACATAGATCTGAGAGTTTGGAATGAATGCATTATGAAAGCGACATGGGATTTTTCGATATTCTCTTGGATTTCCTCTTTGGTCATCCCTTTCTCGGCTAATCTTTTTTCTCTCTTCTTGATGGCTTTCGATATCTCTTCTTGAGTTCTAACTCTGAATATTTCTGTTGTTCTATCGGCGTTCTGGATGAAAAAAAATGCAACACCGTCGCTAGTAGTGGTGAATTCGACTGACACACCTCTTTGTTTGCTTTGCTTGTCGTAAGTACCCTTCTCTAGCAGTTTAGAGCCAGCTTGCCTTTCATAGTCTAATTGCCAAATCTTTATTTGAGTTTCGGCACTTGTTGTGATTAATAGATCGTTATGCACACCGAAGCTCCAGCATTCCCCTACATGTGCCATGTGTGTTTCTACGCACTGTTGGGTTTTCAAATCCCAAATCTTAATTAAACCATCTTTTGAGCTACTGATCAACCATTCCTCTCCTTCACACCACAGTCCTGTTATGGAATCCTTGTGGGACCGCAGTTTGTAGAGTCCCACCTCGCCTACCAAATCCCATACAATTATGTCTGAGTCTCTTGAACCAGAAATGAGCCTAGTACCAGTACTATCAAACTTTAAAACGGTAATCGCTGATCTATGCCCATTTAAGTTCATCAAAACAGACCTTGAGATTAAGTCCCATACTTTGATAACACCGTCTGCATATCCCACGGCCAAAAGGTTGGTATCTGAATGGTATTTCATGTACGTAGATTCAGCAGGCTTTGTGGACTTTGCGTCAGCAGCACCTGGTGGTAAACCATCTGATAGCGTCCCGAGTAATTCCCCCGTCTTGATATCCCAATGATTGACATTTTCCAGAGCACCTGTCAATATTTGTCCAGATGAGGTCTTATTCTCGGGTGCAATCCATACAGAGTTTGTATTGCTAGCAATAACACCAAATACAGAGTTCTGCTCGAACCGCTGATAAGACTTAACCATTGTATACTAGCTGCTTTCTGATAGTAATTCGTCTTAAAGTGAGATGCGATGAGCTTAAAATTTTTCAACAAAAGAAATCTCTTGCCACGTGACTGTTGAAAACTCGAACCGCAGGTTTATCAAAGTAGCTTTCGATGATATATCTCAGTAAATTGCGACCTCACGTCCCGATGTAAATTAGAAAGTATTCTTCCCCTGGAAAACTCTTTCCTCTTGAATGAATTTTTACTCTCAAAGTAGCATTATATAACAGTTACAGGCACTACTTAGAAGATGTTAAAGACTGGCTTTTCGTCTCGGAGTTACCCGCAACCGCTGAGGCTGCGGCAGCCTGTGCAGCATTTGCAGACTTCACCACTTTTGCTGCATTTATGCCCTGTAGCTTTTGATTGTAAGATGAACTAGGATTCCACTTCCTCGTACTTCTTACTTCATCTGCGGCATACCCTGGGACTCTGATGTTCCAGTTTCTTTCTAGGTGTAGTTGAATGTCTCTCACATCAAGATTATCGGACTTTCTATGCTTCGCCAACCTGCAAGCAAAGCTTGTTACATTCGTTATGAAGTCGTCCGCCAAATCCAAAAGAAGTTCTTCAACATCACCATCTATTGTAGTTTCACCATCACCTTCGTCCACGCCGACGGATTTGACGAGTTCTCTCAGCTTCCTTTTGGACATAACTCTCTCACTGTCAACTTCGTATGGTGGTAATTTTGTCATCACAGGCGTGTTGAGCGCTGCTGCATTCATAGCACTTCCACCGGTTATTGTGGGCCTATTAGATCTGTAAACCACGGGAGTGGGCATTTTTTGTGTAATAGTCTCTGAAATCGGAACCGAGGGGTTCGGTTGCTTAAATATTGCTTGTCGAGTAGCAGATCCAGAATTATTAGCTAAATGAGCAGCAGCATTGACAGAAGTAACCTGCGTAGGAGACCGGCTATTGGCTGCTGGTGTGCTTTGGGAAGGCGAACCATTCTGCTGTGGAGTCTGTTGCGTCGGAGGCCTTTGATAGCTAGGCGCTTGGGCATTGGTTTGCGTGACCGTCTGAGGTGCTGGCGATGAAGAGTTCAGTGCATTCATAGCAGAATTTGCTCTTTGTTGTTGTGTAGTTGCTTGAAGAAATCTTTTAAGATTTGGATTTGTAGCTGCGCAGTCGATATAGAATCTCTTTTTATCTTCATGAAGTTTCTGCGTAAGAGCTTGATACGATGCTCTGAATCCCCTCAGTCTATTGAGCAGTTCAGCCTTATTCGCTTCGATTTGCTTGACAGAAGCTGGGTCCGACTCTCTTTTTTTGATTTCAGCGTCAAGAATATCGATATTCCTCTTTAGATATTCATGTTCACCATTAATTTTCTTGACATTTTCCTCATATGTCTGCGTCAATTTGTTATAAGCTTCGCTTTGTTGGGGGGTCAGCAGCATTCTTATATTGCTGGGACTATTATTGTTTGCCGCCCCATTTTGGCCCGGGGTGCTGGCAGCTGGGGAGGCGACGCCTTGACTAGGTGCAGGTGACTTTCCTTGTCCAAATGCTTGGGCAGCTTGCTGCCTTTGATTGTTATACGCCTCGTAAATTGCCTTTATTTTTGATGCTTTTTTTAAGAGCTCACGTCCTTGAGGAGTTGACACACCAACTCTTCTGGCCTCGTTATAGCATTGGGTAAATTTATACGCCAATTGTTTTACTGATGCGGGGGTCAATTGCTGAAATGGTTGTGCCTGTGTAGTAGAATTCTGGGACGGATACTGCGGAACATTATTATTATTCGTGGACATCGTAACTTATTATGCTAGTTCTTAATCTATCTGATGGCCTCAGAGAGAGAATGTGCAAGAGATGCGCTGAAAGTTTGAGAAAAAGAAAATACCTAATAATATAAACTTTCTTAATGTGTTCAGTTGGAGTGCCCTTATTTCCTGACCACTCCCAACAGGTATTTCTAAATGATCTCTTGTCAACTATGTCAATTCTGTCCTTTAAGATTGTTGTTTCTCCTTGTAAAATTTTGAAATATTTAAAGTAAGTAGGGTAATCAACTTAAAGCATACACGACTTAAAACTCGGAAAGGATAAATGATCCATAATATCAGCTAGACTTGACCGATATCTTCTAAATATTCATAATACTCATCGATCAGCAGTGGCCATGCATCCAACTCGTTGTAATTTTGTCTCAAAGATTCATTGTCGGGAAATTTAGTGATAAACATCAAAAACATCTGCCATACGTCTTTCGATATTTTGCTCGTATTTGTGTTAACGAATCTATACCAAGAGTCCATTCTTGTTTTATCTACTTTAATTGCGTATTGTTTTGTGTCAGGAAAGAATAGTTGCCAATAGCTAACTGCCGTGTCGACATCTAATTGCTTTTGATTCTCTTCTAAGGTCAGTTCAAATGTGCTTATATATATGGAGTTAAAGTAAGCAGCATCATCTTGAAGTTTATCTTTCATACGATCCATCATTGCTTTCATATGCCTGAGATTCTTACATTCATGATCAAGCCAATTTGAGAGAAACTGGTCCCTCGTTATGCCTTCCTCAAGCGAAGAACATTGCAGTAAGTCGGTGAGACATAATGTGGTTATGTCTTCTAGTTGATAACCCAAATCACCTATGTACGTAATTAGCCCATCAGCCAATATCTTGTCAGATTCTCTATCTCGGTAATTTTCAAAAACGGCTATCAACTCTGAAGGGTAAACCTTTTGTTTAATGACAAAGCTTCCCGTCTCGCTATCATAGTAGTCATTCAGTGCGTAGTCCAATGCACCATTATTTCTCGATAGGTATTTACGAGCTATCTCCTTAGTACACTGTGTAAGGGCGATAAATTCACTAATATCCTGTTTTCTCTTATCCAACTGTTAGTTTTCAGCTACAGTACTGCTATTCACTTTATCACCATACCATTTGATCATCTGAAGAGGGATTTTTGAATATGCTCGCTTTGTGTCTTGTTTTTAAATGCTTTCAAGATCGCTCTTTTTTTTGTGTGTCATTTCTACAAGAAACACGAACCAATGAAGGAGTCCATGGCCTTTCTTAATGAGGAACGAGTGTTAACTAGGCGTCTTCAAGATTGTGTCAGCAGTGTGAATCCTAGCCTCATCGATGACTTAGATGGCATTCTTACGTGGCTGAACCCTAATGAGCAGGAAAGCAATCATCAAATGAGACCACCAAGTTTGAGATTAAAAAACGGGTTCAAACTGTTACTGGATAATAAAGAGATACCCTCCACCTTTATTGAGTTAATCCGTGAGTATTTGTTCTTGCAAACAAGAGCACACTTTTTCCGTAATTTTGAGAATGTTCGGTCTTTCAAAGAGGTTCAAAAGCTTGAAAAATACTACGAGTTCCCTTTAAAATATGTAAACTTGTTCAGTACTGACGAGTGGGACAATGAACTAAATGGTTTCAGAGCATACCTATTCTCAAATAATGCCATTTTACGCTGTACTATCAAGCAGCGTTTAAGGCAATTGATATTAGATGATGATTTCGATATGGCAACGAAAATATATTTTTGGATCTGTCAAGCACTGGAGTGCTCACTGGTTTATTTAATCTTAGATATCCTGATGGATAAGGTGTGCGAGTATGCAGAGCATAATATGCGCGGTTCCTATCGTAAACGGTATGTCGTTATGGAAACATTTAATACATTTATCAGCAAGTATTGGTCTTCTTTTGCGAACATGCTCAAGTGTGCTGAAGATGAGCATGAAATAACAACACAGATATTCAACTGTTTTGAAAAGGAGTTTCTACGAATTCGCACCTCAGAAATCTTCGAAATATTTGTTGCTAACTATCCTGATTCGAGCCCCACTCTTCTAGAACTGCGAAATGTTCTCAAGAGTCCCGAAGACTTCACACATCTTATATCTGAATTTTTGCGTCAGTTTGAGGAAAGGAGAATGAATCCAAGTATAACCACAGCTGAAATTTTGCTGTCATACGTAAATGCAGTAAAAAGCATTCTTACTGTCGATACTACAGGACGATATTTTCAATTATTGACCAATTTCATACGTCCTTACGTTATGGAAAGGAGAGATGCAGTCACCACATTTCTCTATGCCATGCTCGAACTTGATGTTAGTGAGATCAGTGACCCAAACGTCACTTCAATACATATGGAAGTTCTGAAAGATTTGGCGAGACAGTTAAAAGACCCTGAATTCACTTCACTAGAGAGATTTGCAGCGGTTGAAAAGAATAAAGGGTCAATTGACACAGGTTTTCCAGTTCTTTTCGATCATGGAAAAGCATTACATGAACAGATTCTGGATAGTTTCCTGCATTGGACCCCAGAACCTTCTGGTACCATTAGGACAAAAAGCAACAGCCCATTGTTGAATAAAAATCTCCTCGACATTATTTTGGAAATCTTTGACTCTAAAGATGTTGTGATTAACGAGTTTTTGGCAATTTTTACTAGAAAGTTACTTGCATTGAAATATTATAGATTAGATCCCAAATGGCTTAGAAGTCTTAAGCTTCTCAAAAAAAAGTTTGATGTGCGAAATTACTCTAATGGTCAAGATGTTTCTAATATTAATAATATTGATGTCATGCTCAAAGATATCAAACAGAGTGAAGAATTATCTACGAAAATGCATGCCATTCCTGAATTAAGTGATAAAGTCTACCCAAAATTTATTTCGTATTTGTTTTGGAATGCTGCCACAGAACCCTTCAGTAAAAGTACTGAATTTCGCTTACCTACCTGGTTGAATAACGAGGTTGGGAAATACGCTCGGGTTTACTCTCAGATGAAACCAGGGCGTAAGTTGCATCTATTCAAATATCAGGGTACAGTTGAGTTATGTTTGACGTTTGATGACGGTAGGGTGCTTGAGAGTGAAGTATCTTTCGACAGAGCTGCAGTCATTTCTGTCTTTCTTGAACAAGATTCTCAGCAAGGTTTGACTTTGATGCAGATAATAACCAAGACGGGCCTTATTGAAACAACCGTAAAAATTCACCTACAGTACTGGCTTGATATGGCAGCTTTGTACTTGAATTTTGATGAAGGTGTTTATAAAATTCTTGAGAATTATGAGAAAGCAGCTCAGCAAGAACACAATGTTCCGGTACGGCAATTAAAATGTAAGCTTCGTAATATTGAAACGAGCTCTGAAACTATAGACAATATTGATGATAAACAGCATCAGCAATTCATAGACTCGATGTCTAGGGCTCTACCTTTTATACAGGGAATGCTAACCAACCTAGGAAGTTTGAAACCTGAGAAAATTCATTCTTTCTTAAAAATAGCGGTACCTAAAGAAGTCGGTTATTCTGCCACTCTTACACAGTTAGAAACTTACTTGAACGTACTTGTTGATGAGGAAAGGTTACTTGCAACTGCTAACGGGTCTTATAAGCTCAATAAAAATACGGATCCTAAAAGGTAGATTTTTCATAAAGAAATCTGCATTAACATACAATATTAATCTTTTCTGGACTAAAACTGAAAAATCGGCATCTTAATGCTGCTCGTAAGTAACGTGGGTATTTATTGCTCACCAGAGTTTAATATTATGGCATATTTTAACCTGCATTAACAATTTGTTCACACCACTGAAAACAAATGTCTTACGCTTCGCTTATGACTCATCACGTGACAAAACACGGCATTTCTCAAATTGCGTAACTATCAGATTTCAAGATGATTCGTTATCAGAAATTGCAACCAGTTTGTTATATTTCATTTTTGAGATTTGTTCTCATCTTGGTCTCAGTACCTAGTTAAATACTGAATAATGGCGGCGAAGATAGCAATATTCAATGCTGATCATCTCAAAGAAAATCTGAAGAAATGGGGCGATTTCGCTGACATGGCTATTACAATGTTAGAGCAATCCAAAGAACCGGGGCTCGATGTCAAATACGTGGTTTTCCAAGTGCATAAAAATGAGTTTCCTTCGCTTGAAGAGTTGAAAAAGGGAAACTACGTAGGTATTTACATCACAGGCTCTGAGTCGGACTCTTTTGATACACATACCGAGTGGATCATCAATCTTAGAAAAATTATGTATACCATCCTCACAGAACCCGATTTTCCACCCGTCGCAGGAGTTTGTTTTGGGCATCAAATTGTCCCCGCCAGCTTAAATTGTAAAGTTCACCGAAACAATGTCGGCTTCGAGGGCGGTATGGTACCTGTTGAATTGACTACAGAAGCCCTTAAATATGGTTTGTTTCAAAAGTCAGGACGTGTGCCCACCAATAGTATCACAATAGGCGCAGTGCACAGTGATATAGTTTATGAGATACCAAAAGGTTACTTTAACATTTTAACCTCGCCGAAGTGTGAGATACACGGGCTTTACAAGAAAAATCGAGTCTTGACATTACAAGGGCATCCCGAGTTTACGACAGATGTCGTAATGATTTGTGCGGAAAACGCTCATAAGAAAAAACTGCTGAAAAGAGAGGAACTAGAGCACCTGAAAGCTCAGGCCTCTCAGCTTGGCAATGATGGAATTTTTGCCTCAAAATACATATGGAAGTTATTTTATGGGGAAATCTAAAAAGAAAGTTGTGATCCGTGTGCTCTAACTTCATAGCCACCTTGACTTCAGCTTGATTAAAATGAAAGGAGAGCTGGTAATGGGAGGAAGCAAAAGAGAAATATGATTAATACTTTTCATTTAAGACTTGCCCCTCCGTAAGTAACCGGGAATTGCCTTTCGGATAGCTGATTTCTACTAATATTTGATAAATAACCATTAATTAATATCATAACTTTTACCTCATTGTGGATTTTTCATTGACTGTAGCATCCGTGGCATTGTCTTATGTAAAACGAAAGAATTCCACTATCAACTAGGTTCTTCATAAGAAAGAGTTTTGTTAAAGTAGACTGATGCGCTCTAATTCTGTTTGAAAATAAGTTCTAAGATCTATGAGACCTCTGAGCGGATTTTGAGGACGTTCGAAGGTCTCACCGATAAACAGTGCGTTCATGTTAGCATAAGAGGCAGCGGCTTTCTTTGAAAATCCATTCTTGAGATAAAATGCATTCCATTCCTGCTGTGGTATATATTCTACGCGCACAGATCTATTGAAAGATGCGGTGAAACAACGGGCAACATCATCAGGCGAATAGTGGCATGGTCCTTCGATGTAAAACATTCCTACATTTTCAATCTCACTTGATAAGAGTTGCGCAGCCAATTCGCCAATATCTTGAGGAGCTACCATAGGAACGCTCAAGGTACTTGGGATGAGACTAGGTAAGACACCTGTTTCCTTAGCACCTGCCGCGAGCGATAACCAATTGCTCATGTAATAAGCTCCTCGAATCACGCATAAAGGAATTTCTAGCTTCTGTGTTTCCTTTTCAAATTCGTAAAGAACTCCTAAATCACCACAGTGTCGCCCTGGCTGTGCACCGTACGTCGACTGAACTACAATCTTCTCAAGACTCACTCCTTTCAAAGCACTCAAAATGGATGATACAGAGCGCCTCTCTTCCTCATCGGTATCACCTGACGGATTTGCAGGTGGATTTAACAAAAACGCACGTCTTGCCTTCTGCAAGAGGGCATTTAAGGCTTGCACATCGTGAATATCAAGTACGGCGGCTTCAGCTCCGAGTTCCCTCCATTTATGGGCTTTTTCGGCGTTGCGCGTAACAACTGTGACGTTGTGTCCCTCCTCTAAAAGCTTCTTTGCAACATACGCCCCAACGTGGCCTGTCGCACCCAGAACAACAATCATAGCATGCGTGCCAAATACAACAGATTGGCTATTTTTTAAAATTGTAGAAATGGTCGACCTTGAAATTGAACAACCCTCTCACGAATTCACCGTAAAGATGTAAGTTTCTGTGCATGGGTTTATTCTTTCTGTAGTTCCTTTTGCCTGTCATTTCTTAGGCAATTACGAAATATTCAGAATAATCCAGGTTTCTCCGAAGTGACAAACTGCCCTCCCCTCAGAGTCAACTTTTGGAATAGCATCTTACATAGAACAATTTCAAATTACACTAAACTCAGAGGCCTAAAATTATTGGAGTAGGATAATTGTACTGACCAGCCGAAAACTTGCTCAGTTGGTGAAAAACCTAGAAATATGCAGCAACTTTGTAAGAAGCAAAGATGCCAGGAACAGAAGACGATTCCTCAACTTTACAAAAGCGTAGATATCAATTCTTCGATTTGATGTAACATTACGGTGGCATGGCCCCTGTGCTTTGACGGTAGATATTCAGTGTGCACTGTACATTTCATTATGAAATTCGTGCATGAGGAGAAAGGCACACGCTACCATCATCGACCGTTGTGATTGTCTGAAACAAGCAAAAGAGACTAAGTTTAAATTCTCACTGCAAGGAGTTCCAATTCCCACTGCAAGTGCATACCCTGGAGTTTTTTTATCCTTTGCACGGATGATCAACATTAAGGTACTTTTTGCAAATATTTGGAAGCAATTTTCAACCTGAGAGAAAACGCCCTTGATGGCAATGTGCAAAAAGCCCTGTGCAGCAATAAACCCTATTTTCGTTAAAGGTTCGTAGGTATGGAGTTATCGAGCCCTCTAAGCCTTTGGCAAAATAGACGTTATTTTTTTTCGCTCAATGCTGGTAATTTTGTACATTTGTCATCGGCCTCCTTCATCATAACGGAGTTTCACGGTAAAGCCAATTATAAGCGGCCTAGAATGACGAAACAAGCGTTAAATTATGTGTAGTTGGATATGTAGACATTCAAGTTGTAGCTTGCATTGGGGGTCTTTATATTTACGACAATTTACTAAATTGTTCTCTCGGTTTCACCTGCATAGTGCGCCAAAAAGTTCAATGAAAAAACGTGCTTCTCGCGTAAAACTAAAAGATACCATAAGATCAAGTCATTAGCGGGGTCTAGTTAGTTGGAGATGTCTTTTTGTAGTCCATTTCGCCTCGATGGTTGTGGCGGTGTATTCTCTGCATCGTGGCTTAAATGAACCCTTAATTAGTTTTTCTTTTCAAATACTTTTTCCGTTAAAAGAAGAGGCGCGTTTTTCTTACTTCACGAAAGTATATATTCTCATTATTGCTAATAATCTAAAGAGCATACGAAAAGCAGCCCTTATATTCAATTATGAAAGTCAAGTGTACTGGGTTATTGACGCTGCTTGCAGGCCTAGCTAGCTGTGCATCAGTTACCAAAGCTGAGCTCGAAGATTCTCGAGCAAATTATGTGAAACTAGGCTTCGACAAATTAAAGGGGAACACGTTTAGTGACGCTACAAAGCACGCTAAGCCAATTGCAAAGCTACATAAAAGAGATGACGGCTATGAAGAAATGACAATAGTCAATCAACAGTCTTTCTACTCCGTTGAGTTAGGAGTTGGATCCTCGGATCAAAATGTTACCGTTCTCGTTGACACAGGTTCTTCGGATCTTTGGATCATGGGTTCAAACAATCCTTATTGTAAGGCAGGTACTGTGTCTAATAATAAAAGACGCGTGGGGATCCGTCACCCTGAGAAAAGAGCAGAAGACTTTGACCCTTTTAGTTGGCTGACCTTCAGTTCTAGTGAGGGAAGCACTGCTACAGGAACACAAACAATTGTACCAAGTGCATCGGCCACTTTGACCTGTTCTCAATATGGTACTTTTGCGACCTCATCCTCTTCTTCGTTTCAATCTAATGATACAGAGTTTTACATTCAGTATGGTGATGGAACTTTCGCTCTTGGTACTTGGGGAACTGACACGATCAAAGTTGATGGTCTAGAAATTTCAAATGTATCATTTGCTGTTGCTAACGAGACAGATTCTTCAGTAGGTGTGTTGGGTATCGGTCTTCCTGGTCTAGAAACAACCAATTCTGGTTCACTGGTTACCAGTGCCAGGGATGCATATGAATATGAAAACTTCCCATTGGTCTTGAAGCGCGATGGTATTATCAACAGAAATGCCTACTCATTGTTCTTGAATTCGTCTGATGCCCAAACGGGGTCTGTCCTCTTCGGAGCTGTGGATCACAGCAAATACACTGGTACCCTGTATACTATTCCTTTGATCAACACTCTTAGCGGTTATTCTGAACCTATCCAGTTTGAAGTTACCTTACAAGGCTTAGGTCTGCAAGCAAACGACACAAACACAACATTGACCACCACTAAAATACCCGCTCTTTTAGATTCTGGTACGACTCTCGCATATTTTCCATCGAACTTGGCAACTATGATTGCCAGGGGCGTTGGTGCAACGTATTCTTCTCTCTATGGTTATTACATGATGTCCTGTTCTGACATAGACACCTCTACAGAAATTATTTACGATTTCGGTGGCTTCCTCATTGCCAGTCCATTAGAAAATTACATCATTCAAACCTCCGGTTCCACCTGTATTTTGGGGATTCTGCCTCAATCTGGGAACTCCATCATTTTGGGTGATACTTTCCTCACATCAGCCTACGTGGTATATGACTTAGAAAACTTGGAGATATCTTTAGCTCAAGCCAACGTCGGTTCAACAGGAAGTGACAATATCGATGTCATCTCTTCAAGTGTACCAAGCGCTGTTAAAGCGCCCGCCTACTCTAGTACATGGTCAACCTCTGCTTCTATTGCTACGGGAGGTAACATTTTTACTGTTACTGTAGGATCCTCTCAGAACAATTCTTCCGGTACCACTACGACCAGCGGGAGCTCAGGTACCACCACTCGCGCGACTTCAACTACAACTTCATCCACAAGGCAAAATCTTGCCATCGCCATTCAACCCTCATGGCAATTCGTTTGGACTGGTCTTTGCATGTCAACAGTTGTCTCAATTATATCTTGGTTTTTGTAAGTTCTCAAAAGTCTATAAAAGTTACAGACAAGCGCAGAAAAAATTCCATGCTCATTATATAACTTCTTTTCCCAATTTCAACGTCTAGATAATCTTGTATGCTAGTTATTCGTCGTTTTTACACACCCTTTTGTCTTGAAATACTCCCAGCCATGACTTCTGATAAGTGCGATCTTGCGATATGGCTGTCTTTTTTATTCGTCTGAAGTTACATGTGATCGCCTTACTGCATAATTGTAGAACTGAGGAATTCTTTTTCTTGGACTTTCCAAATTGTTATAGCTGACTAAAGAGACGTGTAGAACCTTGGGTGTATGTCTGGTTCCAGGTATGTATCTAATGTGTGTCATGTTGCTAAATATGAATGATTTCAACTAACGTTTATTGAAGGAATTCGGAATCTGACGATAATCCTCCGCTTGGGAGTACCCCGCAAGATCAAGGACAGGAAGAAGCACGCAGGTCAACGAGAAACATTACAGTTGCGATTCAATATGCTTTCGTGAATGGACTGAGGGAACCTGCTGATGGAAATGGAAATGCTGAGGCGGCCAGTGCTGGGGTGGGAACTGGAAATCAACCTCTTCCTGGTGCATTTGTGTTGAATTTCGCTGATGTACCTGAGTCGACCACGCCTGAGAGGTTCAATGAAGTTATTGCGCTTGCAGCCGATGTAGCAATGAATAGGTTGAACCGCAGATTCAAAAGACTCAAAGGGATCTCAAAGGACGCTTTTGAAGCTCTTCCGATGTTGAAAAAAGAACAAGTTAGAGGAGAAAGCTGTAGCATATGCTATGACGAGTTCGAGGATGAGGAAGAAGATGAGCAAGCATCCGAAACATCCTCGGATGGAGCTAGATATTTGAAAAAGAGGCAAAGAGAAGATGACGAGGTACGCGGCCCGGCTTCCAAGAGGTTGAGAGAAAATCAAAGTCACGTTGGAAGTTCGCGAGGTGATTCGAGGTTAGGAAGCGGGTCAGATGAAATAATCACACCTCAAGAGCCAAACGATTCGGTGCCCAAGCCAGATGAGATGGGTGACCTCTACAAGCACTCCCCTGTCAAGTTACCATGTGGACATGTATTCGGGAGGCAGTGCATAAGTCATTGGACTAAGGAGCACAATAGTTGTCCTATCTGCAGAGCTGATATAGTTGATCAGACAGGATTGAATCAAGATGTTACTGATGACGACACTGAGGATAACGTTTCGTTTGATAGAATAAGAAGATTGCTATATGGTAGGGCTTTTGAAGGCGATGCAACTCCAACTATAGTACCCGCATCGGGCTCAGCTAATGTTAGCAATCCACCTACACAAGAAACTCAACCTGAAGGAAATAGGAGGAACTTTTTTGTTTTGAGACCTAATCAAAATAGAGAGAATGAAGATCCAAGTAATACTTCTACAAATCCTTTAGATCCCATGAACTCTGCACTTGCGAGGCATGGTTTCGGTCTGATACCTGTCACTTTTGTTAATCTGCGTCCACAAGGAGACGCGAATTTAAACAATTTGCGGTCCGATGCTACTGGGATACAACCTCCTCCTGCGGCACAAATATCTGACACAGGTTCACCACCGAACAGTAACACTGCAACTGGCAATAATTCACCGGGAGTTCAAGATAATGAAAGATTGATGAGCATCCTTGATCATCTATTCAGTATCACGAACGCGAATAGGGCAAGATCTTCTACTTCCTCACAACCCGGTGACACCTCTGATTCCAACTCGAGCGCGGTAGAGACGGGAGATCATCTACCTGGCCTCAATGTTAGCGGATCTAATACTTCAAATGGTCAAGAGTCTGCTTCAAGACCTGGAAGGGCTCATATATTTAACAACTTCTTCAGATTTGCAAGGCATTTGAGACATTCTCAAGCAGCACGCCATGCGAATCCTGATTCTGAGCAAGGCAACGATGAGCTCTTTAGCACTGGGGTTGCTAGTGTTAGAAACCCAAATGGAGTGTCGACAGTCAACTTTCATGGTGAAATGCCAACTCCAAATAGCTTATCAGGAGAAGCTCAGAGCGAGAACAACTCTCAGCAGAGTGACAATGGCACTGAAAATCAGTCATCTACCTCTTCTCACAACGTAACTCGTACGAATTAGTGTATAAGCATTCAGTTTAGTAGCATTCAATACCCACGCTTCAGCGTTTCATAGGGATTTCCTGTGGGGTTAGGTTGACCATAACGTCATATAAAATAGGTCGCTTTATACTGCGAAAATTGATCACTGGAAAGTTTTACCCAAGTTCATTTTCTGGGGTAGCCAAGACTAAGAGTTTTACTGGTCACTGGATATTGATTGGGAGTTGGCCAAAGATGTTGAAGTATCACATGGACGGTTACAGTGGTTATGGCGTCCAGTATTCACCTTTTTTTGATAACAAAATTGCTGTTGCAACTGGATCAAATTTTGGTTTGGTTGGAAATGGCAAACTTTTCATTCTTGATATAGATAGCAACGGCAGAATGATCGAAACGAATTCATTTGTTACTCAAGATGGTCTATTCGACGTTTCTTGGAATGAACTGCATGAAAATCAAGTTTTAGTAGCCCAAGGCGACGGAACGTTACGCCTTTTCGATATTCAACTCCGCGATTATCCAATAGCGATTTTTCAAGAACATGAAAAGGAAGTTTTCAGCTGTAACTGGAATCTCATCAATAAGCAGACGTTTGTGAGCAGTTCCTGGGATGGAACGGTCAAGATTTGGTCGCCGTCGAGAACTAGCAGTTTAACCACGTTGATTCCGAAACCCATGGTGGCACAAAACCCCTTATTAGCTAGTAAGGATGTACCCATGTCCAACCAGCAACAGCACGCATCACTGTCAAAAAATAAGAACTGCATATATCAAGCTCAGTTTTCACCTCACGATCCTAATGTCGTGATGTGTTGTGCAGGGAATTCATACGTGACCATGTTCGATCTGAGGCAGCCGACTTCTGGCCAATACAATTTCTTGGCACACAATGGTATGGAGACATTGACTTGTGACTTCAACAAATATAGACCTCACATTGTAGCCACCGGTGGGGTGGACAATATGATAAAGATATGGGATTTAAGAATGGTCAGAAAAATGACCACAAGTCTAAGACAGCCTATGAGCATCAACGAGATCCGCGGTCATGAGTTGGCCATTAGAAAAGTTTCTTGGTCTCCACACCATTCGAACATGCTTCTCTCAACATCTTACGATATGACATGCAGGGTATGGCAAGACTTGAGTGACGATGGGCGTAGACCTACCGGCAAGACTAATAGCATCGATCCTGTGAATGGATGTAGACAAGTATTTCCGAATCATACTGAATTTGTATTTGGCGCCGATTGGAGCTTGTGGGGCCAGCCGGGATATGTTGTGTCTACTGCCTGGGACGGGAATGTTTGCATTTGGTACGCTTTTGCAAAGTGAGATGGTATAGAAACTACTTGTTCATCAGAATTTGACATAGAGTTAAATAAAGGTTATTTTGATTCATTCGCTAGAGAATTAAATTTAGTCCAAGTCTCTAGCTTTTCTCTTTGCAGATGATAATTAGTTCGAAGCTTCACGTATGTATCTAAGAATTCGTCAATGTCTAGCTGACTTTTTTTGTTAACATTATGGCTTTTTTCCTCTAGATCATGCAAGTCGGATTGTAGTTGTCTAGTGAGCGCATTGTTGCTAAAAACCGTAGACATCAAGTGGTGTAGTTCTTGCCATTTGGTAATATATTGAGTTTCTAAAACCTTGTATTCACCCAAGCTCTTGGCCACACGTTGTCTTCGACAATCTAAGTCTTTGAATTCTTCTAAAAGCTGATTCAACTTTTCCTTTTCATTTGCAGCGTCTTCTTTGATTGATTCGCAGCTGTGGAAGCGGAGAATGAACTGTTGTAGCTTGTCGCTGTACTTGGTCAGGAGATCCTGAACATCCTCAGATCTCAAAAGATGAATCTTGTCCGGCAAGTCGACATCCGTGAAATGTTGTTCAGGTTTCCAGTCATCTGGTTTCGGTGGCAGTTGTGGTTTCTCCATATGTGATGTTAAATGAAGATTTAAAACTCGAAAAATTGAACCGATCACTCTCAGGTTTAATAGGTTCAAATACATTGTTTATTTTTGGGCAGAAAATTACTGATAAATTACCCATTTATATACAAATGTCTGGTTTGAATGCAGTTAGAGTTGGTCCTTTGAGGCAGCCTGCAAAGCAAGCATTGATCTTCGTTCATGGCTTAGGTGATTCGGGATCAGGATGGTCCTTTTTCGCAGAGTTTCTACAGCGAGACCCTGCTTTCGCTCATACCAGATTTGTTTTCCCTAATGCACCCATCATGAACGTCGCAGCAAACGGAAACTATCCAATGCCATCATGGTTCAATATATATGAGTGGAGCGATAATCCATCGAAATTTGATGTTCCTGGCTTTGTTAACTCGCTGAACGTTGTGAAAAACTTTGTTCAGGAGCAGATTGACAGCGGCATCGATCCCCAAAACATAGTTGTTGGCGGATTCTCACAAGGTGCAGCATTGGCGTTGGCTAGCGCTGTTACGTTACCTGTTAAGATTGGGGGTTTTATCTCTTTGTCTGGCTTCTCAAGAATTAATGCTCAACTTGTTGAGATGAAAAATAACTTGAACATCGATACTCCAGTTTTTCATGGTCATGGTGACCAGGATCCTGTAATCTCGCTCAAATTGGGATACAGTGCAAAAGAGTTTTACACTGTTGTTTGTGGTTTACGAAAATATACTATGAAGGTTTACCCAGGAATGGCACATTCAACTTGCCCAGAAGAAATTGACGCCGTTGTGAGGTTTATCAAGAGCAATTTGAACCTTTAGGCAATAGGCAACGTACAGGATATGATTTCTCAAAGCGTACGGCTAGTTACGTAGAGGAGTAGTTGGTTCAATCTTTAATTATATAATCACGTGACTTACAGAAGCTGAGTTTCGTCTTTATCAGAAATTCGTTCATGATAATGCGCCGACCTTCTATTTAGATGATCTCAGCAAAAAGGGAGATTAAAGTAAGCGCACGCAAACCAGATGTTGGTGCCACTTAAACCTTTGTCAATAGATTCCAATAGTAAGCAATTGGACTCGAAACAAAAGAAATATCATGCTAGTGTCGAGCGGGCGTTGGAGCATTTTGATTCTGTTACCGAGTGGGCAGACTATATTGCTAGTTTAGGAAAACTCTTGAAGGCTTTACAAAGTTGGTCTCCTCAATTTCAGAATGTCAAATATTACGTACCTTATCCCTACCAAGTGAGCAGGAGACTTTCGTCTTCATTGTCCCCTAATTTACCATCTGGTGTGCATCAGAAAACGCTTGAAGTTTACAACTTTATCTTTCAAAAGATTGGAATTGAAGCATTAAGCCGCGAATCAAATATATGGATACCAGGCATACTGCCATTAATGTCGTATGCTTCAATATCGGTCAAATCGCCGCTTATTGATCTTTATGAAAACTATTTAGTCCAACTGGAATCATCGATTCAACGCATCCTTATTAAGCCAATCTTGGCGAGCTTATTTCCAGGAGTTGATGACGAAAGTAGTGAATTTCAATCATCTACACTGGCATTGATTGATTCACTACGAGAGAATCTCGCAGATGATGCACTTTTCTGGCAAAGTTGTTTCATGGTCATAATAAGTAACAAGGAAAGAAGAATGGGCGGTCTCGTATGGCTCACAAAAAAGCTTCCATCTCTTAATGCTGTTCCACATAAAGTCGCCAAAAAAGCGCTCGAGCATCAGGTGGATGAAGAGTCGCAACCTTCGTTCAGTGACAAGAAGCAGATTAAAGAGGAAGCACTTGAATTACTGCTGCCAACCGCGAAACCTTTGGTCTCACCAGATCCAGGCCTTCTTATTAGATGTCTGGTCTCATGCCTTTATGATGAAAATGAGCTTCTGATTAAAAGAGGGACACTAGATCTTCTTTTACAGAGAATCCATCTAGACTCACCAGTTTTACAGATACTATGCTCGGAAACTGACCGAAAACTTCTCATGGTCTCATGCTGTAAAACTATGTTAAGCAGAGACATGTCTATCAGTCGCCGCATATGGAATTGGCTGTTAGGACCCTCTTCAGCATCCGTCAATCAGCAACAATCAGAGCAATTAAAGGATTATTTTCCCCGTTATGGTCTTGATTGCTTGATGAGCGGATTATTCGAAATGTTCACAGTGTCAGGATCTCTACCAGATGCTTTTCGCATATGTCTTTCTTTAATGGATCGGTGGGAAATAGCTTCGCTAATGGTCCCTCGTGTTTTCCTACCATTAATGCAGGCCGCTCGCCAATCGAATGATAATAGTTCTATTATTCGAAGCGCGTCGGCTTTCTTTGATACTATTGAAACAGGCATCATATGGGGTAAACTCTTCGATACAGTTAACAAGGACAAAGACTACTCTTTGTTGAAGTTTGTTTTGGCGAACTTCAATATCGGTAGCGACGAGGAGGTTGTGATCAGACATTTGCCTTTGATATTTCTTACACTTTTACCGATAACAAGTTCAGAGTCTCAAGTTGAAGTTTATGAGCTTCTTAACATATTGGTTGATATGATTCCTGAAAGGGCATACCTTCCAATCAAGCACTCTAGAATGAAATTTAGTGATGTCATGGAGCAAGATGAAGTGTTAGACCGTATAGAAAGTTATTATCGTGTATTATCCGATCCTTTACAAACACAAAATGTCGATAATTCTAACGACCTTACGGCTCCTTTTTCTACCGAAGACCTTACATTAATTACAGTTGAAAAAGTCCATTCTATTTTAGTAAGAAGCTTAACAGAAAATTCACATGTCAATCAAGCGAGCGTCCTATTCGTAAAGCTAGTTGAGAAAATTCCAGAATCTGCTAGTGACATTGAAAGTCAAAGTGATACCTTAAAAAGTTGGTCAGATGATGGATTAATCGAAGCAGTTTTTGGACTGAGGGACAGCTTAGCGATTGAGGCCTCTGAGACGGTTTTTGGCGTTGTTGAACTGTACAGCAATTATCTAGCTCCTCGGATGCCCATCCTACAGTCAGTCAAGCTTTTGAAAATCATTGTCATATCGTTGTGGAGTTTGCTGACTGATCCAAACATGCAAATGGAAGCGGTCAGATGTTTGGATGCTCTACGGCGATCTGTGGATGTTAAATACATTGAGAGTGCCTTGGCATACACTTTATTAAAGGAACCCAAAATTTCCCAGAGATTAAGTGCACTTGACGCTTTGTGGATACATCTGGAGAACAATATCAGTGTCACACGTAGACCCCTCGAACTCATTCTCGATGAACTATTTGATAAACAGAATCCAAAGTATCTCAACGTTTCTAAGTGGATTCTGTCGATAATAAATTCCGGCTCTGCAAATAGATTATTTCAGATTCTGACTGAAAATTTGCTGCGTTGCGGGTTCTTAGAAAAGCAACGCTTGGATGAACTCGATGACATTGATATATTTTCTTATCATGTCCAAACATTGACCAATGTGTTATCTACAAACGGTAATCAAGTCGTGGCAGCTTTTAGCACGGAGCTTACTTCTGTTCAATCGTTAGACATGTGGAAAGGCGAAGACATATCAACGTATAAAAATTTGGTGTTAGCACTTTTACTCAGGTTTTTGCGCGTGAAAAACAATACCTCAAGCAAAAGCATCAGAAGTTCTTTGATTTTAATGGATATTTTAGTTGACGGAACCGAACATAATTTCAAAGACATTGTTGCATTTTTATTGGCATCTTCGTTGGAACATATTTCCTCAGAAAGCCAAGAATCTGAATTAATCTCAGTCTCATTACTAAATATTGTCTCCAAAGTTCTTTCACTTTCTCATCAAAAAGTGATTCAACTTGATGTTATTGGTGATGATAAGTCGCGCCTCAGATACATTGATTTCTTAGTGACGGGAATATCGCATATGGAAAAGCCGCTACTGATCAGTTCGTATATTGAACTTTTGACACAAAGTATAAAATACTTCAACGATTCTATTTTCGCAATAATACTACCCCTCACCACTTCTATGACTGAATGTATAAGTCGGTTGTTCCAAAGGCAAGATTTGAAAGGAGGCAATTACCAATCAATAGCGCAGGTTATGAATGGATTGGAGGTCCTCCTGCACGATTCGCACAAGTATCTGGCCGCAGCCGACAAGAGTGGTTACACGTCTTCAGCGGTATCGAAGAACGATTTCCTGCAGACGGTAGTAGCTAACGTGTTTTCAAACGACAATAGATATGAAGATTCAAAAATCCAATATGAGAGAGAAATAATCCTCCAATCTTTCAAACTAGTTGTGGACTGTTGCTTAGATATTTGGGTATGGGCACATCAATTTTCAAAAGCGAAAGGAAGCATTGTCAATTTTCGTACTTCCGGCGAACACAGTTTTGATGAATCTCTGCATCACCAAGCATACAAATATAAATTCAAATCTAAGAAGCTTTTGAGCACTTTGTTCAATATGGAGCCCTTGGAGATACTGGAAGATTTGATAAGTCGTTATTCGGATGATTTCACTATAACACTAATTCACGTTTTAGATGGTAACCGACCAGCACTCACTTTACCGTACCTATTTCGCAGTATCGTTTTCCGCTGTAACAGAAGCTCTTCTATAACATTTTCTACAGCATCATCGCTGAAAAAAGCAAATGAACCGTCATTAATGAACCACTTGGATGCTGATTTCATTTTGCGATTTGTTATAGAGTACATTACGACATTGGAGAATGCAGCTGTGGAGGACTTTTATAATGATTTCGTGCTTTTCATACGGGATGTTTCAGGAAACTATCAGTGCTATCAGCACCTTGTCCCACAATTACTAAAAATGATTGCAATTGTGGGTGAAAAAATAAGCAATTCGAAGTTTGGCGAACAGAGACGTATAAAGAAAGACATCTCTGATATATTCTATAAATGTCTTTCAAATGCTACGGTGGAGGAAACCGATATCGCAAGTTCTGAGACGTTTGAGAGTTTGAACTATGTGTGCTCGAAATTGCAATTTGTTATCAATGAGCTTCCTTCGGGAGATAAGTTCAATAACTCTATCTCACTAATTGTTCAATCAGCAATAGCTCCACACTTTAAAAAGAAAACGGGTGAAGTTTTGCCTGGCTATGTATATGATTTGGCTTTGACGATATCCAAGATTGCTGGCAGGGTAAAGAGCTGGAAGATATTGATTGGTGATATCTTCCATAGCGATAAAAAGTTCACATTGCTTCATGAAAATGAAAAATGGAGAGAGATAATATATGAATGGTCACAGTATCCAGATAGTAAGGAAAGATTGATGGCAGAACTCATAATTGCCATCGGGTCTAGAAATAGTGCTATAACGCCAGCGATCAACCCATTTAATTCGTGGAGCGAATCTGAGGTGAACATCAAATGTCAGAATATGAAGAGAATTAGTTATCTGCTTTTGATTTCCCCACAAAATACTCACTTGTTGCATTTTCAATCAATCATGTCCCAGGTTGAACAGCACCTCCTCTCGAGTGACTCCAAAATCAAGACAACCTGCTTTGTTCTTTTGAGAAGCTGTCTACTGCAATTTTCGCCTATGCATTTTAACGATTACTGGAGTGTTATTTCGTACTGTTTACAAACGGGGCTCCAAAGGTTTTATGAATCATTACAAATACAGCAAACGTTTGACCCCAACTTAGTTTTGCAGATTTCAAAATCTGTCGACCTCCTCTTAACATTGAATTTTGAAGAATTCACAGCAACTTATGAGTGGTTATTCATTATAGATACCATGAACTGCATCTATAAAACCGATCCTTACATGAGCTTGATAGATGAAATAAGCACGAGTCAAATTTTCGACAAAAGTGATGATAATGAAATCAAACTGGCTACCGCGGAAACTGGCAAAGTTCCTTTGCTCAAAGGGGTGCGTGCCATTAAATACCTTGGTCAGTTGAGGGCATTTTTCCGAGACTTAAGTTATATTCATTATGAAGAAATGTACGGAATGAAAGAAGCTGACGTGGAGTCCTGCAGGTATGATGCTTTGTGTGATCTCTTTGCAGCGTGATAGATAGCTTAGTTACCTGTAAAACTTGTATACGCTCAACACCTCCCAACCTGCCTTTCTATGTTCTATAAGTTCTGAGTTCCAACCCCAACTACGTATCCTTTCGGAAACCTGCTCTGGTTTATTTCTGGCACAAAAAAGAATATAAGCGACGCCCTCTGGGGCTAAAATTTCATCAAGGCAATCTAAAAGCCTATTGGTCACTACCATGCCATCGTCTCCTCCTAATAAAGCCAAATCTAACCACTGATCGATATCTGATTTATGTGAGGGCACATTCGGTACATCATGAGCAGGTACATATGGAGGATTGAATACCAACACATCAACTTCACGTGGACGAAAAGACCCTGCCAAGTCCATCCTTATAGGATTCAAATAATTTGTTTGACAGTTATTCTTATCTGCAGTTTCTCTCATTGATTCTAAAGCCCATGGATTGATGTCAGTAGGAAAATACAGAGTATTTTTACTTGGAATACAATTTTGCATCATAAATGTTGTCACAATTCCGGAGCCGCATCCTATTTCACACACGATGCTAAGCTTGTCCGCAAATTTCTCCTCTAGTGAGGGCAGCTCTTTTTCTAGAGCATCTAGTAGTAAGAAACTGTCTTCAGAGGGCTCGTAAACCTTATTGTAATCACAACTGACGTACGGTGTCGGTAACATTTTGCTCCGCTGCTGCTGTGCGAATAAAATATAGAAAGGCTTCAATTAATTTTCAAAAACCTAGCTGTCAAACAGAAAACTTGAGATATGGAACTGAAGGTGAAGACATTAACTGGGAAAGAAATCCCAGTAACGGTCGATCCTGAAGACAGGGTGTACCGCATCAAAGAATACCTTGAAGAGAAAGAGGGTATCCCACCATCTCAACAAAGACTGATTTTTCAGGGGAAACAAATGTATGTCAAATGCAGCAAATCTGCAAATTTCAACAAAGTACTAACTTAGCATTCCAGTGACGATGACAAGACAGTTGCATCTGCAAACCTGAGCTCAGGAATGCAACTTCATTTAGTACTAACCCTTAGAGGAGGGATTTGAGTATGCATCACTTTAATCGCAATATTCGAACCCGTTTGAATTATCAACATTTTAATAGAAATACATAGCTCAACTTAAAACTAAACAAGAAGTGCTCATTTTTTTGTAGATTCTGTTTTCTCGCCATAGTTTTGTTCTCTGATAATGTGAAATAAATGTAAAATTTACCAACAGTTTCGCATATCTTTGACGGGAGAAGCGAAATGGATGAGAATCAGAGACAAATAACTGCAGATGATATCTTGAAGGATATCAATAAGCGTCAGAAGCTTAAAAAGACAGCGAAGGTCGATATTCTCGATTTAGAAGAGTTGAAGGAGTATCAACGCCGAAAGCGAACAGAATATGAAAGCGTATTGAAAGTGAAGAGACTGGACATCGGCCAGTGGATGAGGTATGCCCAATTCGAAATTGAACAACACGACATAAGAAGAGCACGTTCTATTTTCGAGAGAGCTCTACAGATCAACAGTTCCTATGTGCCTCTATGGATAAGATACATAGATTCAGAAGTCAAATCCAAAAACATTAATCATGCTCGTAACATTTTAAATCGAGCTACCACCGTGTTACCTCGCATAGAGAAGTTTTGGTTTAAGTATGTCATGATCGAAGAGTCCCTTAACAACATTCCCATCGTGAGATCTTTGTTTGTCCGATGGTGTTCTTTAGAGCCTAGCATCAACGCTTGGGACGCCTTTGTCGCATTTGAAATAAGACATAAGGAGTATGAGAATGTGAGGAAGATTTACAGCAGGTATGTAATGGTTCATCCTACGCTTGATACATGGCAAAAATGGATCGATTTTGAGACCAAGCACGGCGATACGCAGACGATTCGTTACGTATATTCTCTTGCTCTTGATACTGTTTCTACATTTGACGCTACTCCAGAAGAAGATATTGTGGAATTAATTCGCAGCTTTGCCTTATGGGAAGCAAATAAACATGAGCTGGAGAGAGCAAGTGCATTATTCAAAATAGCATCCAGCAGGTGGCCACATTGCACTGAGCTGGAGAACTCAAGGGTCGAATTCGAGAAAATGTTTGGACACAGTACGAGCGTTGAAGAATCAATTCTGGCTAAACGCAGAAGGGGATACGAAAAGCAATTAAAAGAAAATCCACGCGATTACGATACCTGGTGGTTGTATCTTGACCTTATCCAACAGTATTTTCCTCTGGATCTGATAGATGCTTTTGAAAAGTCTGTAAGTGGTAATGAACCTATAGAAGAGATAAAAAGTTTGCAATGGAAGAGGTACATTTATCTTTGGATAAGATATCTATTACACTTAGAATTGCATGAAGATGATGTTGATGGCACCCGGAATCTATATTTAAAACTCATCAATGGTGTGATACCACATAAGAAATTTTCATTCTCCAAGATATGGCTCATGTACTGTCAGTTTGAACTAAGACAAGAGAATCTAAACGCCGCCAGAAAGATTTTAGGACAGTCATTAGGTATTTGTCCGAAAAGCAAGACCTACAAGAAATACATCGAACTCGAAATTGAGCTGAAGGAATTTGATCGCGTTCGGAAACTTTATGAGCACTATTTGAATTTTCAACCTGAGAATGTCAATATTTGGATTTCATACGCCGAGTTGGAAGAAAATCTGGGAGATGAAGAGAGATCTCGTGGCATTTACGAGATAGCGTTAAGTGATGAGGTTGGACTCTCAAACACAGATAAATTTTCGTTGTTCAATAGATACATCACTTTTGAGGTTGATGCTGAAGAATATGCGAAAGCTAGAATGCTCTATCAACGATTTTTGCTATCTAGCAACTATGCCGCTGCAGTTTGGATCAATTGGGCGATTTTCGAAAGTTCGGTGCCAACGGAATCACATCTCATCCAGAAAAATAATAGAGAATTGGAAAGTGACGAAGAAGAAGAGCTGGAGTTTGAGATCACAGATGACAATCGTAAGAACTCCAGGGGGGTATTCGAGAATGCCTTAACTTATTTCAAAGGCAATAAAGATAAAGAAAGTCGAAAATCGGTACTTAAGGCATACGAGAATTATGAGAGTATACATGGCTCTGCAGAAAGCCTGCAGAGAATAAAAGCTCGTCTTCCTGAAGTGGTCAAGAGGAAAAAAATCGAAGGAAACGTGGAAAAAGAATATCTTGATTACATATTTCCGGACGATAAACCTGTTACAAATACATCTAATTCTAAAATTCTTGCCCTCGCCAAGAAATGGAAGGAGGATAGAACGGGTATAAATGCCAATTAAGTAATTAAAATGCATATTCATTAAATAAACTTTTCGCTCTCGGCATAACTTTTGGATACTTCGTATTTATAAGCCTGGGGGTCCGCTCAATCCCGGTGGACCTGACAAACTTGGTTTTGACTCAGAGGAGTCCGTTTGAATAGTAGATCCTCCAAATGAAGTATTTAAGCCTGGAGGAGCCTCTAAGCCAGGAGGTCCGGCGAGTCCAGGCGGGCCCTCAATTCCCGGCGCATTGCCTATGCCAGGAATTGTACTGAGCCCAGGTGGCAAAGTCTGATCATTTGAAGAAACTACAGAAGCAGAGCTGACATCAGATTTCTCGGGAGAGAATCTTTGTGTATCTTGATGCGCTGCAGTAGAAGAACTTAGCGCGGAATCGAAAGGAGGAATTGTTGCAGGATTGCCCCGGTTATACGGCACGCTGAGGGGAAGAGAGTCATTTGCTGGTGATTTCCCACGCGTTTGCCGCGACCGGTAAGAGGTGACAGTAGAGGCCGGGCTATCATATATACCATATCTTGTTTCTGACGTTCTGTACCTTGAGGTTGTTGAGGTCTCACCAAAATTTTGCCTTTTCCAATCCGCTTGCTCACTCTGATTACCGTAAAATGGTCTTTTATTCACGTTGTTGGAAAACTCGGCGTTTCGTTGGTACACATGAGCTGGGCTATTTGAATTTGGGTCAAATCTGTCAGTGGCATTAGAAAAGGTGCAATCTTGAGTGGCGTGTCCAGGTTGCCCGCAATTTTTGCAGACAATTTTTTGAGCGAACGACGTCCTGTTAGGACACTCGAATCTTTTGTGGCCCTGTAAACCGCATATTGGGCATGGTCTATTGTCCTCTCGTAAAGTACCATTTAATTCAGCCAGTTCACGTAATTGTCCACGTTTGAGATCATTCTGGCCTTCGGGTGATGTCACAGCTTTCACCACTATATTTTCACAAGCTTTGATACCTCTCTGAATTTTTTCCTCACTATCTGCAGTTATTACACAGTGGAGAGGCTCTTCAAAGTTCATGGCACCTTTCGGTAACTCAGAGGCATTTTTACCCTCTTTAACGGAGCCTTGTCCTCGAATCGCGATTTTACAGCCTGAATCTTCTTGCAATTTGCGCAGCGTATTACCACGAGGCCCTAGTAAAAGTCCCATGAAATTGATATCTGGATATTGATCAATAGGGATGTAATATTTGTCTTGAAACTTTGTCGGTCTTTTGTAGTCATCTGGAGCAACGAAATGTGGAATCATTTTTAGAGCAATCTCGACCATTCGATGCCTTTCTTCTTCCAACTTTCTTCTGTATCTCTGTTCTCTGGTGTTCGTTCTTTTGCCACGGGCATCGTAGACTGGGGGTGGAGATGGTGACCGGCTGCGACGATATGGAGGAGTTAGATCATTCGTTCTTAGCCTAGAAGTGATTTCTTGGATTCTATACATAACCTGGTATGCCACAATCTGCTCTTGCGTCAATGCGCCAGATATTTTCGTTGGTAATGGGTTATGTATATTCAGAGCATTTGCCTTCGCGGAGTCCTCCCAGAGGAAATCGGATGTATCTCTTGCTCTCCCTCGTTGCTGTGATACACTATCTACCATCTGTTTTCGTTCTGCTATATATAATGGGCTTTCTTTTCCTTTACTCGATGCTCATCCTTTCCCATGAAACTTTTACTCTAATACGTGAGATATGATTTTGAAAAGCACATATATACATTTAAAGATACACACGACAAATTCTTAAGTCATGATTGATTATTAGCCCCTTATAGAACTATCAGCCAACCTTCAAATTGAATGGTTGGTCTTTGGCAGAATTTTGCCCTTGGTGCAGGCATGCGTTAAACCATAATCAGAGGAACATGAAATTTTCTTGTCTAGCCAGTAGAGCTTTAATACTAAACTTTAGCAAGCATTTCAGCAACCGCATTCTTCACTTGGTAGAACAATTCACTGGGTGACCCATCAATAACAGTTTCTCCATCACTAATTTTCCTGACGGCAACTTGGTCATCAACAACTAGCGCACCTTCGCCTTTGAACTCGGCTACGTGATTTCTCTGAGTGAGCTTTCTCTTCAATTCCGCAAGTTTAACGTCACCAATTGAAAAAGACGATTTGGGATGGATTCTAGTGGTATTTGAAATAGGTTTCAATACAAGCTTTTCTCTATGTTGGGTGCTGTCTGCGCTTTGAATCGAGTCTTTTACTAGTCTTCCGACAACGTGTGCTACCGTGTAACCATCACTGATACTTTGCCATTTCAAATGTTGTTCCAAATCTGGATCTATTGAGATATCTAGAGACTTGATAGTTGTGTCAAATGCAGCAGTTTTGTTGTATTCGAGATTGACGATTTCCACATTTTTCTTTTCGAGTGCTGCTACAGCTTTTTCATTTTGAGTGTCTGGAGGAGCTAAAAGCAGTATTTTACGTGGCTTGAGTGATGGCCAAATAACAGTCATGGATCGCTGATCTACCAAGCTGGATAGATCAATATAAGCCACTGAGCAACGGAAATTGACCTTGCAACTGCTCTCAGTGCGATGAGAAGGTTTGTTCAATGAATCAAGGTAACTAACGTCATCGAAATTTTCTTGTTTTGTAGCATTTCCACCGTCGTCCCTTCGCCTCTTTTTGCTATTCTTCTTTGGGCCCTCAAGCTCGTATGGATCATCTTCTTCATCAACTGCATCTCCAATCGGTCTTTTTTCCGCTGTCTCCAGTTGATCTATTGGGATGAATTGAGTAAAGTCAACCACATCACCATAGTCATCCCTTTTAATCTTTCCAGGCTGGAATGGAAACATTTTAAATCTAGGAGGGGCATTACTTTGAACTTTAGTGTCAATGGGAATTTCTATAGGTTGCAATGCAGAACTCTTTCCATTGCGATTCGCCGAGCTTAGAATATCTTTGACGTCGTCATCCTCGTCCTCGTCTTCTTCGCCGTTAAGGGTGTCAATAATTCCATTAGGTCCTGTAAGACCATCTTTTATGGAGGCATCTTTCGTCAATTTTGCTATGAGTTCCAAGCGGTCACTCCTTCTAATTTCAATCTCATTTTTATATGAATTTAAGGCATCGTCGGTGAGCGTCTGTAAGTTGAACATTTTCAATGAAAGCGTTTCCGAAAACATGATCGGCTTCAGATCGAACGCATTATTTTCACCTTTCTTATTGAATTTCATCCATTTAAGATACATTGCAGAAACTATATCGTCGGGAGATCCTTCTTTTTCGCAAGGTTCAGTAAGTAAAACTGTAGTTTTCTCGAGATGCCCTATTTTAACCAAAACCTCATTAATCAAAGTTTCAACTTTTGATACAAAACATATCTTTGAGCCAGTATAATTTGAGAGTTCGTCTGGAGAAATTATTTTCAAGCGAGAGCCTATGTCAAAAGGTGATCTATTATTCCGACCTTCCCAAGTTTTTACAACCGTAGATGATAGCCATTCTAACATACTTCTCGCATATGTAAGAGTTCGACCTTTTGCATAGGAAATTAAAAGAATAGGGAAATCATTTTGGACACGCTGTCTGCGCTGTTCAAAGATCATGTCGTGAACGAGCACGAAAAGGTCTAAAAACTTACCCCCGATTTCGGTTGGTATTACTGCAGTTCCATTTTTAGAGATAATGTTGCGCAATAGTTCTTTAAACCTTGAAGCACGCTTTTTATAGGGCAGGGAAGACCCTATCAATGTCGTTGTTGTGATAACAGCGGATGGGCGCATCAAAGATGAGGTCGGTTTACCTGTACTATCCAAGATCGATGCTCCATTTAATATGGTATCTTTAGTATGGTTCCAACGAGGAGCATATATAACTTTTTCTGAGTATGTTGTGATGCAAAATATGGCTCCACCAGGAGCATAACCCGAATTATACGCGATCAGAGTAAGTCCTTCGAACTTTGACTTGAGGTCCACAATTTGAGAATGCTTAATAGTGACTATATGATCAAAAGCCTGTTCCAAATCACCCATATCCATAACATTTGAGTCGACTGCGCCTATCACACCTTCTGATGTATAAAGATCTAACGTGGCAACGCGGCCTAAGTTTGACACTGGAAGGGTAGCATACACTGCAATACGCGATTGGAAATGGCCTAGAAAGTTGTAGTAGAGTGATGCATAGGCACCTAGGCAATCTGATGTAGGCTGTGAGAGTAGGACTATGTCAACTTGAGCGATGAGACCCGACCAAAATTCCAAGGACTCTTTATAGAACTTCAAATTGCCATTCCAGGAAGGATCGAGTAGAATTGTAACGTTTTCAAATCTTATCACCGAGCATTTGCTATTACTGGAGGCGTCTGAGTAGCACGTAAAGCTGTAAGTCATCAATCAGCTGCTCGGTTTAAACAGTGATGTTTTATGGTTTAGATGTTCACTCGAAAATTTTCGGTTGACAAAAGAACTCTCTGTCTAAACAATCTTGAAAAGAAATAGATTTAGCGCACCTCTCTGAAATTTAAATTGAGTTTGAGGTGGTTAGGTGCAACATATATTATATCATCTGAATGAATGGAGCTCAAATACTTAAAGGAGTTAGGAGAGTAAGGGAAGGCTATTTCACGTGATACAAAACTCGGGGCGACACTTCTCTCTTATCACGAGTTGGGGGGTGCTCTCTTTAGCAAGAAGCAGTTACAATTAGCTGCAATACTTTGAAGGCGCATGGAATTACCCACGGAAATTTTAGCACAGATTGTAGCTAGTGGGCTCGACAGTTTCGCAACTGCTAAATCATGGTGCGAGATCTCCCCTTATTTCAAATCGCAGGTAACCAAGAATCTTGGAATTGTCGTCGTCACAGATCTAAGTTCACCCAATTCCGAAGACACCTTAGACCCGCTGAATTACAATATTATGAGTAGCGACCTGAATACCGTGTTTACAAATTCCGATCAGTTTGATGCGATAGGAGTTAAAACATTTGCAAGCGGATATGGAAGTATCCTAATTGTAATAGTCAGTGACAGGGCATTCAGTGATCCATTATTGACAACTCTGACGCAACTAACAGAAGACTTGGCCAATTGTGCTAAGCATACTCCAAAAAATATATGTGTCTTATACAAGACCACATGTAACTACATTAGTAAGATGTATTTTCGGCAGTTCTTCTTGAGTAAAAGATTATTAAGGTTGTGTGAGCTGCACGTTTTAGGGAATAAGAACTGGAATGAAACTGATATGTGTGATTTAGATATGATATTCGAATTGACATATTTACATGATATCCAAACTCTTTACAGTTTAAACATCCGAACTATGTCAGACAAAATTATTGCACCGTGTCTCCGTGCAATACGTCAATTGGAAGTCACTCCGTCGATAAAATTGGACCATTACCTTTCTAACTGTCCGAGAATTCTGCAAATTGAGCAATTCAAGCTACCCAGTGGACTAGGTAAAGAACCTTACGTTCTTCCAAAATGTGAGTCCCTAACTTTGGTGAATTTTAATCCAGATGTCCGTCATTTAAAAGTGGATGGCACTAACGTTTCAAAGGAACTGATAATTATGACATCTCAAAAAATAGAAGGTTCGACGTTTTCAAACTTGAACTTCCCAAACATAACCAAGCTTAAGGTTGAGTTACCACTACTCACTATGGGAGAGATTACCTTTTCTAACTGTTTATTTCCACAACTTGTCTATTATGATTGTTCCCCTTCACTTACACTCACGAATTGGGAGAGTCTAGTATCTACAGGTGCGGACATAGACATGCTCAAAATGTCAATAAGTAATCACAGGGATTTATGGTCACTCAAAAAATGTCCTTTCACTGTAACCAAAAAGCTTACAATAACTTCTGCGCGTCCGGAAGAAGTTACTGCATTATTAATTGATGATATGGACCTGGATACAGACCAGCCCGGCTGGTCGAATGCCATATCATTTTGTGATAGAGTAAAACTATCTTTGAGATCTTTGTGGGATTGTATAATATTCCAAAATCTGATTCTACCCAGAATTTCAAGCCAGTGCTCGCTCTGCATTGGCATAAATACACCAGGTGTGTATCAATCATTTTCGAAGTTGTATCAAAAAGAAGGGCCAGATGTTACAGAACTATTAGCACGATGGAATATGCACTTTTTCAACAATACCTTTCACTTCTATTTTCCATCTTTGAAAACCTTGACGCTCCACGAATTAGCCGACAGTTCGAGTGAAATAATCTTCGATATGACAGAAAAATTTCCGAGCTGTGATGTGCCCAATCAATATACGGACCCTCTGGTTTCTGATCCGTATGTTACCAACCTTGCAATATCTCCTTCTGAGTTTCGAAGGAATAGTTTAGCAGGTATTGACTCTGTAACGGCGAGGCGAAATAGTGTTCTCAAAATTGGAGGTAATCCCTCCTCTTATTATCTACGGAAGAGAAGTTCAGGTAGCTATTCATTAGGTCAGAGGCCTGATATTTCAAAAAGTTTATTACTAACTCGATCGGAAGACGCCAGTCTTGCTAGCCAAAACTTCTTTCAGTTTGCCCTCGGGGACCCTGATAATGTCCCAGAAACCATTACGACAACCCTGGATATACTAGAAAACTGTCTTGATTTACGTGAATCTAAAGCGCAAATACAAAGATTGGAGATTTTTCTGACAAATATAAACTGCAAAGACTTATCTATTGCTCAAATTTTGGCCGATATTTATGAGAGAGTCATCGACATATTGCATCATCCAATTTTGAAGCCTTCTGGAAAGTTTTTGTGTAAGGAAGTTGATATGCAGCTGCCTCTCGTTACTAATAATGACATTAACTTTGAAACTTTATTGAGAGATCTGCAAAACTTTTTGATCACTAAGGGATTGGTCAACATTCAAAGTTTTAGGGTACACGAATCATACTGCAATACAGTTCTACTTCTTAGATCTCGTGTTTGTGAATAATTAACGCGATTACTTCAGTTTTCAAAAAAGTTACCATAAAATATGTAGAAGGGAATAGAACTTCTTCCATGCTATAAGTTAAGGTCCATTCAATATTCTGCCACGCATCTCAAGCATCTTGCCTTTCACTAAGGTCATCTTTTTCTTCAATTGAGGGGTCGCTTGCCGTAACTTCCTCATTAATAGGAGAGACGCTGACACTCTCAGCTGTTGGCTGAGGCGTTTCATCGTTTCCTGTGTCAAATGCATTTTCTTTTTTTTGCTCTTGGTGGCTTCCCAAAGTACCTTCTTGAGAATCCTCTCCGTTCATACGTTCATGGTCAGTGGTTTTCACGGAATTGTCAACGGAGGGACTCGACTGTTCCGTGAACTCATTTTGTGAAGAGCCAATATTGGGGGAAGCTTCATTCTCAGCTTTTGACTTTTTCAAGAGTGTTGTCGATAGTTCATCTTCCGCCTCTCGCTTTTTCTGATCTTTATTTTGAAAATAAGATCGGGCCTCCTGGAGTTTTTTTGCATGCTTCTCCCTCTCTTCGTCTTCTAAGTGAAGTCGCAGATTCTTTTTCTTTTCCTTCGAGCGCTTGATTAAACTATCTTCGAATAGGCCGTTGATACCAGTACTCTCGTCAACTTTATGAAAGTCGAACAAGAAGTCTGATTTCAGAGAACGAAGGTACTGCCACTGCTTGACAATGCTTTCATCCAACTGTACCGTTCCTTTCCCATCAGTACTGTTGTCATGTTCCTCTTTCAAAGTAATGTATAAATCTTTTGGATTCGGGTGATTATTCTTGATTTGGTCTAAACCTGTCTTGATTTTCCATACTTTATCGATTTTTTTATTACCCAGAAGTATCCATCCAAATTTCTTGAAAGAGTGATCAGGCTTGGAAAGAGTTCCAAATGGCTCCTCTAAATATTCGAAATCACTTAATTGTTTTGAGCCCCTACTTATCTTGTTCCTCATGAAAAGCTTTTCAGTCTGTAGAGCTGATTTTATTACCTGCGAAAATTCCTTGTCACGGAAATCATAAAAGTTGGCAATCCTATCCTTGATCAAATGTCGACAAAAATCCAAAGTTTCGGAATACTTGGTCTCACTCGGTATGTCTGTGCTCTGGCCCGGCATTGCCATTTGAGCTTGATAAAATTTGCTTACAGATTCATCACTCAAAATTGCCTCTATCAAATTAAATGTAAAGAGGACCTGCAAGACGAAAGATTTACGGTAAAAGTCAACATAAGGACTTCTTAATTGTGCTAGAACTTCATTTGTGTTCCATGTTGCGTATTCAAGAGGCAAAGGCCGTAAAGAAGTTTCTAAGCTCTCTTGTAGAACATATACTTCCCTCCAAAAATTGACTTTGCTATCGCTAATCGTTTTCAATGTGTCTTTCTTTTCGACTTCATATAATTTTGTTTGCAACTTCTCTGGGATTTCTTCCCTGGGCTTCCTACTTGCACGCAAATACTCTGATTTAACCCGTTTTATTCTAGAATAAAAGTCCGACTCTTGCTTCAAAATCTCGTCCAAAAGGTAAGTCAGTGGCTTTTCAAAAGCTTGTTGGTGGAAGCGATCGCTGAAAGCCCAACGTATTGGATCTTGAAGAATATTTTGTTGAACTTCATGCCAATGAGTAGAAAACCCTGATTGATGATGATCCAAATCATCTTTTTCCCATAATTTCTCTGGCATTTCCTTCGCAATATTTCCTCGTTTGTTGGTGTTAGCTTGTTCATTAGGGGAAAGACATTGGGCTAAAAACCAATGCATTTTCATTGCGAGTTTGTAGTGGGATGGGCACAATAACTTAGAATGAAGTTGCATTGACTGCAACATTTTGTTAAGCTGGAATACGACCTTCGAGAATGGTGCTTTTATTGCACTTAGATTGGTGCGGCCATATTGTGATTCAACGGAGAGGCCCTCTTTAAACCAGCTTAAACGCGAATCAACATAAGGCCAGAAGTGCAGCAGTCCAGATGGTACCTTCAAAAATCCCAATGCAAGTCTGAACAGCTCGAAAAAGATGAATGCCCAGTTTTTTGCCGAATTGTCAGCTTCATCGTATTTCATTGTATGACAGAAGTCCATTACTACTGTAAAGCCCAAAACACATTGCTTTTCGTTTAAATTTGTGAATTGGTAAAATAGTTTCTTGATTGCAGCTTCTTTAAGAGCGAAAACGTCTTCATCTTCGATCGCTTCATTATTCAACGTGGGCCAGTCACCACGTAGGAGATCTTCTGAAAAAAAGCTTCGATCTAAGGGAACTGAAATATCGATATCATTGATTTTCTTAGCTTCAAACAATTCATTTTTCAGGAAATTGGTATAATTCTCGATTATAGAATCATAAGAATGCATTACTAGTTCTTTGCTTCTCATTCACATGTGTTTAATACTTCGTCTTAGAGCTGCAAGGTTAGAGATCAAAATGAATACATGTTAGTCATATGTAACGGCTCATTCATATCTATAATCAAAATTAAAAGTGACGCCTCGTAAATATACTAATCATGCGTGAAGCAGTGGTCGTTCAAAAAAGTGGCACTGAATGGATAGATGAGTTCTGTTGAGGAAGTAATATTTGGATTGTGCCTCGTAGACTTTCATCATTCCAGGGGTCCTGAAATTGAGTACAGCTATGGGCTTCCAGAAGGTGCGGATGCATCAGAGCTATGGCCGTATCTCCCTTTTCAGGCATTGCCGGACGGATCACACTCTTTTGAAGAGACCTTCACGTATTTTACTTTACTTTACAATCATAAAGAACAATGTGGTCCTCCTCGCGGTGGTGCTGCTGAAATTCCTGATGATCAATTAGAAGACTTCACCACTCTCTTCGCTATCTCGTGTTCAAGGCAGATCAAATCAGAAGAGCTAATTCGAAAGAGCGAAGATGTTACAAGGTCGACTGTTCAGAAAGCTGTAGTTGTGGTTTCAAGAAAACCAATTTTCGGACAGATAAAAGATAAATTGAGTATAATTACAAACGCTTTCTTTCTGCAGCGAGATTTTTCGAACAAGTCCATCATAGACACTTTGTATGGAAATTTGACATCGATGTACAACTTATCCAATTTGAATGATGAAGGCCATTTATACGTGGGTTTGTGTCTACGGCGAATAGTTTATGATTTCAAGCGAGATGTGCTAACCATTCTTAAAGCAATATTGTTAGAGCGACGAATCATGTTCTTTGGAAGCAACGTCGAAGATCTGTGTAATTTGCAATTTGGATTCATCAGTTTAATACCTAGTCTTATTTCCCATTTGCAGGATTGTGGTTCGCCGAAATTAAACAGTTACAGAAAAACACTTTCCATGGCCGATTCATTCAAATCGAGTGACAGACAATCAGTGTTGAAATTTTTGGGGTTCCCATTACAGATATTTGGTAAAGGAGGTTTTTTTTCGTCTTATACACCTTTGCAGCAGCTAGATGACTTGCGCTCTAAAAACACGAACTTCTATGTAGTTGGGACGTCTAACTCTCTGCTATTAGAACAGAGCTCTCAACTGTGTGATATTTTGATTAATGCGAACACCAAATCTGTGGATATACTATCAGATGATAAATCACTCCATCATTCATTGCAACTGACTTTTCATGACAAGAAATGGATGGATTATATTGTAGCTGACGTCACGGGTACCTGGAATGAAAATGACTACTCAACACCAAAAAATTTACAATTTGAAGGTAGTGAAGACTTCATCCGATGGCAATTTGAAGATTATTTAACGGGATTGTTATCAAGTGTGAAGCTGGAAGCATTTTTACAGTCCTATAAGGATAATGAAATGGCTATGAGATCAATTCCGGAAGAAATTGCTATACAATCACCTATACATTTTTTTAATCCGCGTTGGGTTCAACTTTGGAAGGAAACTCAGAATTTCGAGATGTTCAACAGTTTCACAGACGATCGAATATTTGATTTATTTCCACCAAAGCACGTATACAATGGTACTGATACATTAAGCGCTTTGCAACAAAAGTTACAGAAGTCCTTTCAGTCGTTTAAGAAAAAACAGGCCGTTCATGCACCAACTAAAGAAGGAAACCACGAAAATCAGTCCGGGGAAGAAAATCAAGAAGAATCAATCTCGAGATCATTGTCATCGAAAGCTCAAACTGAAGAGCAGACAGTATGGGGCTCGTGGAAAGAATATTTCAATGCCAAAAAAAAGACGAGACCTTCTAAGTCAAAATCTGAGATTTATTCATCTACCAATAGCATAGCCCTTCATGATTCCACCCCTGCAGCCATCGGAACGGCACTTTTAAATTTAGGTTTAAACGTGGTTTCAGATGATGAAACAGATGCATTATCAAAGGGCACACAGGATGACATAGAAAGCACAGAAAAGATTGAGCATATCACAGAAAGGCAAAATGAGTTGGGTAGAAGAAGCGAGACGGATAATCATTCCGAAGAGGAGTTTTCCAATCCTTGGAAGTGACAAACTTCTCAGCTATTGACCTCCTTGCCTTTACCTTTTTTTGTGTAGGAATAAATTTTGTACTTTAATCATCTAATTCTCTCTCTCATCCGGCTTACCAGCCACCAAAATCTTTACTCGTGGGCAAAATCGATATTGGAACATGGCACATAAACTCTTCGCCCTCGAGATACTTTTTTGCATGAGATAATGAGCCATTCTTATCTTCGTAGAACTTATCTAAAGAGTTGCTCTCTTCAGACTTACTCAGCAATACAAATCTAAATCTCAACATCCATTTGAGCTGAAATACATCAGTTCTGAATTGACTAGTTATTTGATTACTTGGGGATTTTTGCGGTAGTATCTTCATCGGTATAGAGAAACTGTTGTCGAAGCAGATCGCTCGATTTTCGTACAGTATATTTCCCTCTGGCTTTGCTTTTGCAGATGATCCATCAATGCAGAATTTTGGGTTAATGAGTTCGAATGACTCTAATGTTGCAGAAACAGCAGATATCTTGTATGATTCATCTTTGCACAGTTCGACAACTAAATCGATATCATCCGAAATATCATAAAAATACTTGGAGAAGCTTACCTTACAAATGAAATGTCCATTGCGATTGATAATGTATTCTTTTTGGCAGTTCTTGATCTGAGGAATTAGACCTTTGAGTTCATGTTCCTTCTCCGCATCTTCTGCGGGAAGATATATTGCTGCAGGGACCGATCCAGAAAGATTGTTAATATTATGCCTTACCGATCCAATACTATCCTTTCTTACTCTAGGATCCAGTTTCTGCATTTTCACAAGATTATTTTGTTGAGATGGATTTCTTTCGTCCTCATCGTCGGAGGAAGATTCATACTTTTCGGGTCCAAATTGTGTATCGAGGATCTGATCTACCAAAACTTCTAAATCAGCTTTAAACTCGTCCGTTGAATTGAGCTCCAAAACTAACTCTTTAAACTTATCCTTCGCTTGTTGGCTAGTGCGTAGTCGATTTTCGATGGAATTTGTAGGAAGTAAAGAGCTTCTCCTGCGGGGAATAACTGAGGCAACCGATTTTCTGCGATTCTTGGAAGTGTCCTTATATTCTTTTACACGTCCTGGAGGAAGTATGACCAAATCCTGGTTCAAAGATGAGGTAAATTGACAGCCACGAGCGTCAATGAATGGGCAAATATTCAAAGAGAAATCAGCATTGAATGGCTTGAGCTTATCATCTTTGACATTTGTGATCCCGAAGTTCGCAAAATATTGAATTTTTATATGTTTCGAGCTTCGATACGTTGGTGGTAGATCATAAGGTAATTTAGGGGATTTAAATTGGTAAGTCTTCACTTCGCCCGGCTTCAAGGACACTTCCGAAAAAAGCAGTGTCTGTGGGATCAATAATATTGGGACAACTTCCAAGGTCGGTTCATTACCTTTCACGGCTGCCGTTGTCATTTCATCAAAGCTGGTAAAAAAGAAACCAGCTACTGTTTCTGATAAAGAATGAACCGCGTATGAGGACCTAAGGGAACTCACACCAGCCAATTTGTTGACTTTACTGAGTTCGGTGCGATCTATAACCTCTGGATCGTACTGAAACACACCGTAGATTTGAACATAGCATGACATCAAATCTACCGCTTGATGAAAACCCATCTTTTTGTTGATATCCTCTTCCAGCTCTTTGTCATGCTCCTCTTCAGCTTTCTCGTCGCGATTAAATGGATCTAAAAGAGACTTTACTAGCCATGGCTTATTATTACTACTTCTTGCTTTCGCTCTCTCTTCAATTGAAGTTTTTAGTGTATTCCTTTCTACTTCCAACTGCTCGAGCCTTCGCTCTGAACCCAGGTGTCTTAATCTGATCAGTAGCTGTATTCCCTCACCTGCGAACGACGGGTTTGATTCGTAAACGACCTCAAGTCTAACATTTTCGGTCACAAGTTCTGTATCTACCCGATGACCATGCATGGTTTGGTCTAGAGCTGTAAGCGAATGTTTAAAGACAGACCTTCTCGTTAGAGACGTTAACTGACCAAACCGCTATCAAATAGCCATTTTCTCAAAGTTCCGTACGAAAAAATAAAAATAATCCTTCCCCGCCAGGAGTCGAACCTGGAATCTTCTGGTTTCAGAAGTGGATACAATCGTAGCCAGACGCCGTGACCATTGGGCCACGAGGAATAAGAATTATTTGTTGTTTGAAATGTAATACCGAGCAGTATTAAGCTTTTACGGCATCTTTATTACATTATTTCGTATTTGATGGTGCCCTGACGAGCCATCGCAGCTTATATTTCATATGCATGCATCCTATATTACATTTTTAATACTCAGAAGGTGTTGGAACGAAATACAACTATCGACCATCGACTAGTATTCGTGTTACTAGTATATTATCATACACGGTGTTTTAAGATGACATAAAGAATGAGAAACAGTCATTGAAATTAGTGGAAGCTGAAGCGCAAGGATTGATAATGTAATAGGATAATGAGTGAAAATGTATAAAAGGAACAGAAAGAGTAAGAATATTTGTAAGTAGAATTATTGACTCTTCTTTCTGGATTCTTAGAAAGATGAGGAGAACTTCTAGTATAACCATATACCAATAATTACAGCCTTAATAAAAAATGGAATCCCAACATTTAGCTCAATATTCACCCATTTCTCATGGTAGCGCCTGTGCTTCGGTTACTTCTAAAGAAGTCCACACGAATCAAGATCCATTAGACGGTTCAGCTTCCAAAATCAACGAATATGATAAGCTTTCCACTAAGGCAAATTCTCAACAAGAAACAACACCTGTGCCCACAGATGTTTCAGAGAACACTCATCATGCCTCTCCTCACACTGCTCAAGTACCATTGCCCCAGAATGGCCCGTACTCACAGCAGTGCATGATGACTACAAATCAAGCCAATCCATCCAGTTGGCCAATATACGGTCACCCATATACGATGCCGTACACACCTTATCAAATGTCGCCCATGTACTATCCACCTGGGCCACAACCACAGTATACACAGTATACACCAACTGCGGGAACGTCTTTGAGCGCCACACCCCCCGAGCCCGGTAACACACTTACCAAGCCACCTTCAACGAAGTCAGATATGACACCCGTCAACAAATCTGTTCGACCACCACCAATTTTAACATCATCAAATGATTTTCTAAATTGGATCAGAACTTACGTTAAATTTTTACAAAATTCAAATCTCGGTGACATTATCCCGACGACAGACGGAAGACCTATACGTCAGGTAACATACGACGAACAAACCTTCTTGTACAACACTTTTCAAACGTTTGCTCCACCTCATTTGCTACCTACTTGGGTCAAAGACATCTTATCTGTTGATTATACAGATATCATGAAGGTTCTTTCGAAAAGCTTTGAAAAAATAAAAACCGATACTCAAGATGCTAACGACCTGATAACGATCACTAATATCCACTACAATGGCAGTACACCAGCAGTCGAGTTTGAAACAAAGATCACGAATACAATCGAGCGACTAAACAATAATGGTATTTCTATCAATGACAAGCTAGCATGTCAATTAATTATGAAAGGTCTCTCTGGGGAATACAGATTCTTACGCTACGCACGTCATCGCACCCAAAACATGACAATCGCAGAACTGTTCCTGGACATTCATGCCATATATGAAGATCAACAGGAATCGGAACGCCGTAAGCCTAGTTACTCAAGGATTCCTAAAGATGACAAGAACATTTCTCGAGTCTCTTCAAATATAAACAAAGCCAAGACTGTAACCCGAAACTCTCAAAAAGCAAGTAACTCAAAATCAAGAACGGTCAAAACTAATAACGTGTCTACATCTCATAACTCTTTTGACAAGAACAATGATTCGATCAACGAATCACCTGATAAAACGATACACTTGAACAATCAGTATGACCTTCACCTTAGGCCAGATACATACTGAGTCCAAGGTAAATCACACGGATCATTCAAATGATGAACTTCCTGGACATCTTCTTATCGATTCAGGTGCATCACAAACCCTTATCAGATCCGCTCATCACATACACTCAGCATCGCCTAATATTGACATAAGCGCAATCGATGCTCAAAAAAAGGAAATACCAATCAACGCCATTGGTAATCTCCAATTCAAATTTGAAGACAATACAAAAACATCAATAACAGTACTACACACTCCGAACATAGCTCATGATCTACTCAGTTTGAGTGAGCTAGCTAAGCAAAACATCACTGCCTGTTTTACCAAAAATACCCTAGAGCGAGTTGACGGCACCGTACTTGCCCCTATCGTTCGACATGGGGACTTTTACTGGCTATCCAAAAAATACTTGATTCCCTCGAACCTATCAATGCCAATAGTTAACAATATCGGTACTGATAAAGCCTCACACAAGTATCCCTATCCTTTGATTCATCGCATGCTTGGCCACGCTAATGCTCAAACCATTCGGAACTCTCTAAAGAATAACTCAATAACATATCTAAAGGAAGCAGATGTCGATTGGTCTAAAGCTACTACATACCAATGCCCAGATTGCTTAATCGGCAAAAGTACTAGACACAGACATGTCAAGGGATCACGAGTAAAATACCAAAACTCGTATGAACCTTTCCAATATCTGCATACCGACATATTCGGTCCTGTTCATAACCTGCCAAAAAGTGCACCATCCTACTTCATAACATTTACCGACGAGAAAACAAGATTCCAATGGGTTTATCCATTACACGATCGTCGCGAACAATCTATTCTCGAGGTATTTACCACAATACTAGCCTTCATTGAAAGACAATTCAAGGCCAGCGTCTTGGTTATACAAATGGACCGTGGTTCTGAATACACAAACAAAACTCTCCATAAATTCCTTCTTCAACAAGGCATCACTGCATGCTATACAACCACAGCAGACTCTCGAGCTCATGGTGTAGCTGAACGATTGAACCGTACTTTACTAGACGATTGTCGCACACAGCTTCAATGCAGTGGATTACCAAATCATTTATGGTTTTCCGCAGTGGAATTCTCAACCATAGTCAGGAACTCTTTAGTTTCACCTAAAAACGAAAAATCTGCACGGCAACACGCGGGTTTAGCGGGAACTTGACATCAGTACTTTACTACCATTTGGTCAACCTGTGGTAGTCAATAATCACAATCCTGATTCGAAAATACATCCCCGCGGCATTCCTGGCTACGCTCTACATCCATCCCGGAACTCTTATGGATATATTATCTATCTTCCATCTTTAAAGAAGACAGTGGACACTACCAATTACGTTATCCTGCAAGACAAGCAATCCCGATTGGACCAATTCAATTACGACGCACTTACCTTTGATGATGACATAAGTAGACTAACTGCTTCATATAAATCGTTTATTGATTCAAATGAAATCGAACAGTCCTACGACCTTCACATGGATCCTAATCATGATTTTCAATCTGAGATAGATCATGACCCTGAACTCCGGGGAGATGACAGTTCCACAGATCTGATTGCAACTGGTTCGCTATCAACTCCTACTCAACCAACGAGATTGGAATCTGTACCTACAACTAATGCTCGTGCACCCAAAGAAGTTGACCCTAATATATCTGAATCAAATATTCTTCCGTCAAAGAAGAGGCATAACACAACCAATATTCCTGATCCAGACAATACCTGTTCGGGTGGTATGAATAGATCAGATGTATCAACCGATATCCCCGTGCACAGCTCTGTCACGCAACAATCGAATAAATCCAATGATCACGATCAAGTGAGCGATTCAGATTCACATCGCCAAATCAATACTAATCCTAAAAACGACACAACACCATGTTTGGGTGGTACCAACAACAAGACTATATCAGAGTTCAGTGATCAGGCTACCGAGAAAAGCTTGATAAACTATCCAATTCCACTATTTGATCCCCCACAGGGAAGTGAGATACCAAAGTATAATGCTCCTATTGTTACACCAGATACCTACTCTGAACATGATGTCAAGGAATATATTACAGAAGATCTTCCGCTTCCCGACTTACCTTCAGAATCTCCTTCCTGTTTCCCCGATGCATTTAAAGAAATTCCACCAATCAACTCTCGTCAAACTAATTCCAGTTTGGGTGGTATGGGTAAATCTAATATCTATGATACTATCAATAGTAAGAAAAGATTATTAGAAGATAATGAAACTGAAATTGAGGTATCACGAGACACATGGAATAACAAGAACATGCGTAGTTTACAGCCTCCAAGATCAAAGAAACGTATACATCTGATCGCAGCTGTGAAAGCAGCAAAACCAATCAAACCTATACGAACAACCTTAAGATATGATGAGGCAATCACATATAATAAGAATATCGAGGAAAAGGAAAAGTACATTCAAGCATACCACAAAGAAGTTAATCAGTTGCTAAAGATGAACACATGGGACACAAACAGATACTATGACAAAAATGAAATAGACACCAAAAGGTGATAAACTCAATGTTCATATTTAACAAGAAACGAGATGGAACACACAAAGCCAGATTTGTTGCAAGAGGTGACATTCAACATCCTGATACGTACGACTCAGGAATGCAGTCTAACACTGTACATCATTATGCATCGATGACATCCCTGTCACTTGCATTGGACAATGACCACTACGTCACACAACTGGACATATCTTCGGCGTACTTGTACGCAGACATCAAAGAAGAATTATACATAAGACCTCCGCCACATTTAGGCATGAACAACAAGTTAATACGATTGAGAAAATCACTTTACGGCTTGAAACAAAGTGGTGCAAACTGGTATGAAACTATCAAGTCATATCTGATAGATAAATGTGATATGGAAGAAGTACGTGGATGGTCATGTGTGTTTAAAAACAGTCAAGTAACAATCTGCTTATTCGTTGATGACATGATACTATTCAGCAAAGACTTGAACTCAAACAAAAGAATTATAGAAAATCTAAAACGACAATATGACACTAAGATCATAAACCTAGGTGAAAGCAATGAAGAAATCCAATATGACATTCTTGGACTAGAAATCAAATACCAGAGGGGTAAGTACATGAAACTAGGTATGGAAAACTCATTAACTGAGAAATTACCAAACCTAAACGTACCTTGAATCCAAGAGGTAGGAAACTTGCCGCTCCAGGGCAACCTGGTCTTTACATAGACCAAGAAGAGTTAGAACTGGAAGAAGATGATTACAGAATGAAGGTGCATGAAATGCAAAAGCTAATTGGCCTAGCATCGTACGTTGGATACAAATTCAGATTCGACCTACTGTACTACATCAACACTCTCGCACAACATATATTATTCCCGTCCAAACAAGTTTTAGATATGACATATGAATTAATACAGTTCATATGGGATACCAGAGATAAACAACTAATATGGCATAAAAACAGATCTACGAAATCAGGAAACAAATTAGTTGTAATAAGCGATGCTTCGTACGGAAACCAACCGTATTACAAATCCCAGATTGGTAACATATTCTTACTCAATGGAAAAGTCATTGGAGGAAAATCAACAAAAGCATCACTAACGTGTACTTCAACCACAGAAGCAGAAATACACGCAGTCAGTGAAGCCGTTCCGTTACTAAACAATCTAAGTTATCTCGTGCAAGAACTAGATAAGAAACCAATCATCAAATGTTTACTTACTGACAGCAGATCTACAATCAGTATAGTTACATCCAAAAATAAAGAGAAATTTAGGAACAGATTCTTCGGCACTAAAGCAATGAGACTCAGAGATGAAGTATCGGACAATAATTTGTACCTATACTACATTGAGACCAAGAAGAACATTGCTGATACATTGACAAAACCTCTTCCGATAAAAACTTTCAAGTTGTTAACAAACAAATGGATTCATTAGATCTATTACATTATGGGTGGTATGTTGGAACGAAATACAACTATCGACCATCGACTAGTATTCGTGTTACTAGTATATTATCATACACGGTGTTTTAAGATGACATAAAGAATGAGAAACAGTCATTGAAATTAGTGGAAGCTGAAGCGCAAGGATTGATAATGTAATAGGATAATGAGTGAAAATGTATAAAAGGAACAGAAAGAGTAAGAATATTTGTAAGTAGAATTATTGACTCTTCTTTCTGGATTCTTAGAAAGATGAGGAGAACTTCTAGTATAACCATATACCAATAATTACAGCCTTAATAAAAAATGGAATCCCAACATTTAGCTCAATATTCACCCATTTCTCAGAAGGAATAAGTGAAAATTGTGACGTCTTTCGTTGTCTTCCTGTTTGTCAGCATTGAATTTGGGAAGATAAGGCTGCAAAAAAAATTAATGTTCGATGAGGCCAACAATTCTTTCTCGCAAATCTCAATAGATATTCCCTGTCCGCTTAGCTCAATCGAAGAGCATATGGAGGAAGAGAGTAGTTTTTATAGGGGCAATGATATGTTGTGCCGATTATGCGAAAGTAAAGAAGGGTTCGGGCCAATTTCCTTCTATGGAGACTTCACGATATGTTTCATTGATGGTGTCCTGTTGAGTTTGTCTGCTCTGTTCATGCTCGTCTTTGGCACTAGAGAGCTTGTTAAAATTTGCCGCAAGCCTCACCCCGGTATTAAGTATAGAAGGAATTGGCTAATCTTCTCGAGAATTGCATTAGTCATGCTACAACTTGTTTTTGTGTGTGTTGCGTTCGGAAAGTCCAATGGAACCGTGGAATCCGAGCCAGTATCTCAGATACAATACACTCTGACACTATTGTCAATGTTTGTATCTCTCAGTCTCCATTGGGTTGAATACAACAGGTGTAAAGTCTCTAACGGTGTTTTATTGTTCTATTGGCTTTTTGAAGCGGCATTCAACCTATTCAAAGCAGCCAACTTCGAAATCAGACATACATATGAGCACACCTGGCCTGTCCGGCATGATATTTTCGTATTGACTGTCTTCCAGTGTGTGAACGCCATTTTCATTCTCCTACTCGAATCGTTATTTCAAAAACCTAAGTTGCCATACCAGGAGATTACTCAGTATTCCAAGCATAAGAGAAGTCCTTACGATTCAGCTAACATATTTTCAAAGATATCCTTTTCTTGGATGACTGCGATGATGAAGACTGGCTACGAAAAATATCTCACTGAAGATGACCTATACAGGCTTCCAGCAAACTTTGGCAGTTCTGACATTTCTAAAAGATTCAGCCATTACTGGGACAATGAAATTAAGCATAAATCGAAACCTTCTTTGCCGTGGGCGATGTGCTTAACCTTTGGTGGCAAGCTACTGCTGGGTGCTAGTTTTAAAGTTATACACGATATCCTTGCTTTCACACAACCTCAATTGCTGAGATTGTTGATCAAGTTTGTGTCCGATTACACAGAAAATGACAAAGTTAGCCAGCCAATTGTTAAGGGATTTATAATTTCAATTGGTATGTTTCTCGTCAGTGTTATACAAACTTCGGTTCTTCACCAGTATTTCTTGAATGCTTTTGACACAGGAATGAATATTAAGAGCGGTTTGACGTCTGTAATTTACCAAAAATCTCTGGTATTATCGAATGAGGCATCTTCCACGTCGTCGACGGGTGATATTGTCAATCTAATGAGTGTGGACGTTCAAAGGCTTCAGGATTTGACTCAGTGGGGCCAGGTCATTTGGTCAGGACCTTTTCAAATAATTTTATGTTTGATTTCTTTGTACAATCTGTTAGGGCCTTGCATGTGGGTTGGTGTGATCATCATGGTCATAATGATTCCAGTCAACTCAGTTATAATGAGAATTCAGAAAAAGCTGCAAAAAATTCAAATGCGAAACAAAGATGAAAGAACCAGGATTATAAGTGAAATTCTGAACAACATCAAGTCTTTGAAATTGTATGGTTGGGAAGATCCTTATAAAAAGAAACTGGATCATGTAAGAAACGAAAAAGAGCTGAAAAACTTGACAAAAATGGGTTGTACTCTCGCCTTGGCTAGTTTCCAATTTAACATAGTGCCATTTTTGGTTTCATGTTCAACGTTTGCTGTGTTTGTGTTGACTCAAAAGGATCGTGCTTTGACCACAGATTTAGTCTTTCCAGCATTAACGCTTTTTAATCTCTTATCTTTTCCTCTCGCAGTAATTCCAAATGCCATCACATCTTTCATCGAAGCATCTGTTTCTGTGAATAGATTGTATGGATTTTTGACCAATGAGGAGCTTCAAAGAGATGCTGTTCAAAGAAAACCAAAAGTAACAAAAGTGGGTGACGTCGCTATTAGTGTTAGTGGTGATGCCACATTCTTATGGCAGAGAAAGCCTGAATACAAGGTGGCTTTGAAGAATATAAACTTCCAGGCCAGAAAGGGTGAACTCACTTGCATAGTTGGTAGAGTGGGAAGTGGCAAGAGTGCTCTTATTCATAGTATTTTGGGAGATTTGTTTAGGGTGAAAGGGTTTGCGACTGTGCACGGTAACGTTGCATACGTTTCACAAGTTCCATGGATCATGAATGGAACAGTTAAAGACAATATTCTTTTTGGGCATAAAAATGATCCTGAGTTTTACGAAAAGACGATTCGTGCGTGTGCTCTAACTGTTGATTTGTCTATTCTTCCTTTGGGAGATCAAACCTTAGTGGGTGAAAAGGGTATATCTCTTTCTGGAGGGCAGAAGGCCCGATTATCTCTTGCAAGAGCTGTTTACGCCAGAGCAGATACGTATTTACTTGACGATCCGTTGGCTGCGGTGGACGAGCATGTGGCCAGACATCTTGTGGAACATGTTTTAGGGCCAAATGGCTTATTGAGTACGAAAACCAAAGTTTTGGCAACCAACAAGATTTCCGTTCTGTCAATTGCCGATTCAATTACCTTACTGGAAAATGGTGAAATTGTGCAACAAGGTTCCTTCGAAGAGGTATGCAAAGATAAAGATTCTTCTTTGTCAAAACTGATTGCTGAATATGGTAAGAAAAGTGACAAGGGTGATAGGTCTTCGCCAGATACGAGTTTGGAAGAAAGCATAGACCTAAAGAAACTAGATGATAATATTTCTGACAATGAATCCCGTAGTTTGAGGAGGGCAAGCGATGCTACTCTTCGTAGTATAGGTTTTGGAGATGAAGAAGCACCTCACAGGAGGGAACATCGTGAACAAGGGAAAGTCAAATGGAACATTTACCTAGAATATGCAAAGGCTTGTAATCCAAAACATGTGTGCGTTTTCTTAGTTTTCATCGTGTTATCGATGTTTTTATCGGTTATGGGTAATGTTTGGTTGAAGCATTGGTCTGAAGTCAATACTAAATATGGCTATAATCCTCATGCCGCAAAATACCTAGGTATTTACTTTGTTCTAGGTTTAGGATCAGCTTTATCGACATTGATTCAAACGGTGATTCTGTGGGTTTTTTGTACTATTCATGGTTCCAGGTATTTGCATGATTCTATGGCAAAATCAGTTTTGAGGGCACCAATGGCATTTTTTGAAACAACCCCGATTGGTAGAATTCTCAACAGATTCTCAAATGATATTTATAAAGTGGATGAGCTTTTAGGTAGAACTTTTTCGCAGTTCTTTGTTAATGTTGTGAAGGTCACTTTCACAATCATTGTTATTTGTTCCTCAACTTGGCAGTTTCTTTTGGTTATCTTACCCTTAAGCATACTGTATATCTATTATCAACAGTACTACTTGAGGACTTCAAGGGAGCTTCGTCGCTTAGACTCCGTTACGAGATCCCCTATATACGCGCACTTCCAAGAGACATTAGGAGGTATTAGTACGATTAGAGGGTACGGTCAACAGAGAAGATTTATTCATATCAATCAGGCCCGTGTCGATAATAATATGAGTGCCTATTATCCAGCCGTTAACGCAAATCGTTGGTTAGCTTTCAGATTAGAGTTTATTGGTTCGATTATTATCTTAGGCGCAGCAACGCTTGCTGTAATGAGATTGAAACAAGGCACTTTAACCGCTGGTATGATCGGTCTATCTTTAAGTTATGCACTTCAAATTACTCAATCCTTGAATTGGATTGTGAGAATGACAGTGGAAGTTGAAACAAACATTGTATCCGTGGAGAGAATAAAGGAATACTCGGAACTAAAATCGGAAGCACCAGCTGTTATCGAATCGAGTAGGCCAGCACCTAACTGGCCAACACATGGTGATATTAAGTTCGAAAACTACTCAACACGCTATAGGCCAGAATTGGAGTTGGTGTTGAAAAACATTAATATTCACATCAATCCGCAGGAAAAAATTGGTATTGTAGGTCGTACCGGTGCAGGAAAATCTTCATTGACTTTAGCATTATTCAGAATAATTGAAGCTGCACAGGGCCGTATTTTGATAGACGACGTAGCCACTGATACGATTGGTTTGAGTGATCTCAGACATCACTTATCAATCATTCCACAAGACTCGCAAGTATTTGAAGGTACTGTTAGGGACAATATCGATCCCACAAACGACTATAGCGATGATCAGATATGGCATGCTCTGGAGCTATCACATTTAAAGGACCACATACTGGGTCTTGGTGATGATGGTTTAAACACCAAGTTGACGGAAGGTGGAAGTAATTTATCTGTTGGCCAGAGACAGCTGATGTGTCTAGCGAGGGCGCTACTGATACCTTCTAAGATTCTTGTGTTAGATGAGGCGACTGCAGCGGTTGACGTTGAGACGGATCGCGTTTTGCAAGAGACCATAAGAACGGCGTTTAAGGACCGTACTATTTTGACAATAGCTCACAGGTTGAATACGATCATGGATAGCGACAGAATTATTGTTCTCGACAAGGGCCAAGTGGCTGAATTTGATTCGCCTAGCAATCTGTTGAAAGATGAACACTCACTATTTTATTCCCTTTGTCAAGAAGCGGGTCTAACCGAAGATTAGTGGATAATGAAGATTGAAGGATTGTTTACATATATGTATATCTATATATGCGTTTCTACATGATACAATGTCGAAAGAAAAAAATTGCACTTATACTTCGAAGGCAAGACCGTCAGAGGGCCTTCAGCGTCGAGTTTAGATTGACCTCAGCGTCCCTTGCACTCACTTCGAAGCAAGACTTTTAAAGGACCTTCAACGTCGAGTATGGATTGACCTCAGCGTCCATTTGTTTTTTTTCGTGACATTATCTCCGTTGCACATAGGCAACTAATTATTGCAAGTGCCCGACGAAGAAGTAATGGTAAAAAGAATAATGAATGTGCTACGGGAGCAAGTAGCGTTGAAAAAAATCAATACTCATTGAAATTCGGTAGCGTATTGTGCAGCCTGGTTTGCGTAAGTGTTGAGGGTATCGTTTTGTTGAGGTGCGTCAGCGCCATGTTCGGAGGATTGCTGTTGAGCAGCCTGTGCGGCTTGGGCAGCTGCAGTGGCAGCTGCGACCTGGTCGTCAAAAGTTGCGTTGGGATCTATCTGGGAATTGCCTATTTGGTGGAAGTCAAGGATTTCGGAGTACATCATGACGCGCCAGGTGTCTACCGGCAGATCAGCGTCGTTGAAATGCCAGTCGAACTTGGCGTCGGCTACGGGCTCGTCGGTGGGGTCGTGATAAGGTGCCAGATATGGATGGGATAGGGCGTCTGCCGCGGTGATTCTCTTCTTGGGGTCGAACACGAGCATTTTTTCTAAAAGATCGACGGTCTCTGGCTCGACGTTTTTGAAACGCTCAGAGAAGGGCACGGGGTCGCGATGGGGCAGGGAAGTGACGAACTTGAGGGTGTTTTCGGAGCAAATGGTGTTGATAACGTCTTCTGGTGGGGACCCAAGCAAGTCTGTGATGATGGAGAACTGGTGGACGTGGTCTTTGCCCGGGAAAAGAGGCTTGCCCTCTATCATCTCGGCGAAGATGCAGCCTGCAGACCATATGTCAACCTCGACGTTGTATTTCTGCCAGGTTAACATGATCTCGGGGGCACGGTAGTAACGCGTGGAGACGTAGCCGGTCATCTGAGGGTCCTGGATACGCGCCAGGCCGAAATCGCAAATCTTGAGGTCGCAGTTTTCGTTGATGAGAATGTTGCTAGGTTTGAGATCGCGGTGGATTACGCCTGCGGAATGCACGTACTTGAGGCCGCGCAGGATCTGGTACAAGAAGTACTGGACAAACTGTTTCTCCAGGGGCCGCGTTTGCAGCAGACGGTGAAGATCCGTGCCCTGAAGCTCGGTGACAAAGTAAATGTCCTCCAACGGCGACAGGAAGATGTCCTCGAGGCAAATGAGGTTTTCGTGTCTGAGATGCTTGAGAAGCTTGAGCTCACGGTACGTGCGTTTGGCGAGAACCGCAGTGGAGAACGGCTTCATGATTTTTTTGATGGCGACGGGCTGGTTGGTGTAGGTATCGGTGGCCGAGCAAACCAGGCCAAAGGCGCCCATACCGACTGGGTTGAGCTCTGTGTACCTGTTTGTGATCTCGAAGACGGTTCCGAAGATCTGAGTTCTGATGAACTCTTCTTGAGCAGCCATTGTACGTTGCAGTTTGTGTGTGGGGGTGGATGCGGCGGTAGAGGATTCGAGCGTTTGAGGAGGCGGTTTTCGAGCGGTAGGGAAAAGGAGGGAGGAGAAAGGGAGAAGAGGGAGAGGAGGGTACGATGTCACTGTGGACGGGCGAGCGAGCGCGCGCGCCGCGGTGGTCACGTGCGCAAGCCGCGGGTGTGTGGGTTGCTTACCTCAGCCGGGCCGATGGGGCGGAGCGCCGGGTAACCCTTGCGCGACGCATTTGCGTCGCACACACGCGCGCATCGTTTCGCACGGCCGCTCCCCTCCGCGCGGTCCCGATGTTTATGTTTAGGCCTATTGGGAGAGCTTTAGTGAGTTGCACGGGGGACCATAACAAAGGACAGTGGAAGCGCCCAAAACAACAACGGGACGGACGTCGTGTTGTCAGAGTCGTTTCGTAGCATCTTGGTGGCAGTATTCTTGGTGGGCGTCCAGCGCACTACTCCGGCGTAGCACTCCCGGCGTGGCCCTCTCGCCGCGGGCCTCGTGGCGCCGCCAGCGATCCTCCCATGGCCCATCCCTGTCATCTCTCCCTCCCATCGCTTCTCCCTCTCGCTCGAACCGCACTTGCCTGCTCTTGCCTTTTCTGTTCCCCGCTTGGCGCTGGCCGGTTCAGACGCGCGCGCAGGACGCGTCCTGCGCGCGCGTCTGTGCGATACCGTCAGCACCGCGCGGGGTCGCCCGAGACCCTCGAAAAACACCACGCGGTGGCTGCGTGAAAACAAGATCTCAGGGCTTCTTCGACGCTGCAACCAGCCTTTTCGCTGCGTTGTGAACCTCACCACGACGTGCTTGCGCTCCTCACCACTGCATCGAAAGAACCAGCCTTCCCCACGCAGCTACCCTGCGACCCTGCGGGAAACCAGCGGCCGCTCGGCGGCCGCTGGTTACTGCCCAATCTCCGTATCTCTCTTGCCCCTGCAGCAAGTCACACCGCTATGCAGGTTTCCCCACTTTCGGCCCGGCAGGAGACGTCGTGCTGCAGGCGCGCTGCGACCGCTTCTTGGCGGCCGCTGCAGTCGGCACTCCGCTACCCAGTCACCTAGGCAACCCCTTGCGATTTCACCGCAACCCTTACCCTTTCTCGTAAGATGCCCCCTTGGCCAACTCCCATGGCTGAAACCGCGATTCCGCGGATTGCTACAATACCGCCGTTTCTCCTCCTGGCTGCCTTCTGAATCCTACATGGGAAACCTTGAGGCGCTGCTACCGTGTCTGGGCGACAGCCATGCGGCGTTCCTTTCCCTCCGTGCACCTCACACCACTCTCGGGCTTTACGCTTTCCGCGCCTAATCGGGAAGCGTGTCCGGACGAGAAGCGGTGCCTCTGTTATGGTCAAAGACGTAATCGCCCAATCAGGCAATTGGGAAGTGGCCGGTCTCCGCGGCCGTCTAGCGGACGCCAGCGCGGCACCAGAGCAACGCGCGGCAAGCGCGGGCAACGCGGGCTGCGGGGCCTTCTAGGCGCGTGTTTACGCTTTTGCAATCAGAGGTCTCGGCCCGGCTTTCTCGGTTTGGCCTCTCCCAAAAATAGTAGCGTGGTCGAGCGAGGGGCGAAAAAAATTTTCGCCTCTCTTGAAATGTATATAAGCAGGGGGCTCGAGACCTCTGTTTCAGGTTGTATACTCCTTTCTTTTATACATCACAGATTTACATATCTCCAGTCACTCGCTTACACATATTCCAAATGCAATTCTCTACTGTCGCTACCGTTGCCGCCGTCGCCGCCGTTGCCTCTGCTTCCAACACTACCACCGTTACCCAAAACTCTACCACTTTGGTCACCATCACCTCTTGTGAGGAAAACGTGTGCTCTGAGTCCGTCTCCCCAGCTTTGGTCTCTACCGCCACTGTCACCATCGATGACGTCATCACCGAGTACACCACCTGGTGCCCATTGACCACCACCGCTGCTCCAGAGAAGACCAACGCCACCTCCGCTCTACCAACCTCTGCCACCGTCACCACCTACACTGGTGCCGCTGTCAAGGCTTTGCCAGCTGCTGGTGCTTTGGTCGCCGGTGCCGCCGCTTTGTTGTTGTAAGAAGGGTGTTTTCAAGCATAACTATGTAGTTTGAAGATATCTCCTTTTTATAAACTCAAATCGAATACGTGGTAACACTTTTGGACTTTTATTAGAATGCTGGACGATAGAAACGCAAAACCCGGCCGGGGCGAAACTCTGCGACTAGTGCGCGCTATGCTACAGTGCGCCCGCGAGCGTGTCCTGTGCGGATTTTCTCGGGTTTGAAGGCTCTTAATTAATAATAACAATATATTTATATTGGGTGTTTATAGTTCGTTAAAGATCAATTGATTTGATTCCGTCCACTCAGCTTTGGTAGTTCGTTTCTCCTTTGTCTGTCGCGAGCTTTTTGCTTGTGGGTTGTCTCCTTTCTCGCGGCATCGCGGCATCGCGACGTCCCGCCATTAGTAATCCGATTTGAAATTCTCTCGTAACGGGCTCTGTTATAAACCGCTCGCCGTCTCCGCCTCGTGTCGGACCCTGCAACCCGCCCAACACGCTTCATTGGGAAGCACCTTCAGCGTCCTCGCAGCCTCTTTTGTAAAACCCTAGCTATTCCACCCGGCATGGCGCTTTTCCAAGACCCTAGCGACCACGTCTTCGACCCGGCCGTCCCTCAAATCCTGCCCTACGAGAAGATGTACCTCGTGCAAATCGGGAACAAGCCGTTCCGCCTCAGCGGGGCGTCGCTGAGCTCCGACGCCCCCAGCTACTTCACCGAGTACTTCAGCAAACGCCAGAACTCGGTGTCGGCCACGCACGTCAACGCGGACGACGACGACGCGCTGGTCATCGACCGCTCGCCGCAGATCTTCGAGCTCATCTACCACCACCTGCAAGGCTACTTCGTCCACATCCGCGACGAGGTCGAGTTCACCATGCTGTACGCGGACGCCATGTACTACAACTTGCCGCGGCTGCGCGCGCAACTCCAACACTCGGACTTTTACTACGCCTGCATCGGCGGGGAGTCCTTCCGCGTGCCCCGCGGCCTGTTCTGGCAAGACGGAAACTCGCCCAACTACTTCGAGCTCACCTACAGCGCCACGTACGCCGACATCGAGCATATCTTCCTGTCCAAGAAACTGATCCGGCCGCCGCCGCAATCCCCGCCCTTCGTCAACCGCTCTCCCGCGCTGTTCAAGGACATTCTCGCGCTGCTGTCGGGGGCCACTTTGAAACTGGACGACGAAAAACGGCAGTCGCTGATCCTCGAGTGCCGCTACTACCGCCTTCAAAACCTCGAACAACGGCTCCTCAAGTGTAGCGTCGGCTGGAACCCGCTTCTGCAACGCAGCGAGATCATTCTCAACCTGTGCGACATCAAGAAAGCCGGGCTGTCTTTGCCGCCGCCGTCCAACGTCAAGGGCTGTATCAGCACCCCCAGCACGCGCACGCCGTCGCCTAAATCCCCGTTGGACGACGAACCCGTCAGTCCTCCGCCGAAAAAACCAAAGGTGTGTACAGAGAAAAACTGGGCCATGACCGCCTACAAGAGACCCTTCGTCGACCGCGAATTTCACGAGCTTCTTTTCCAAATTGACATCCCCGACGTGACCATCCAGTTCAACAAAAGATCCAAGACCATTCATGTGTGTTTGAGCGGCGAGGCGGCTCACAGGTTCGAAAAAGTGTTTGGCGGTTTGCTTCTCGACAACGTCGTCGACGTTGCAACCTATTGGCGGGAACCCTCGCTTAATAGCAAACCCTCTCGCGTGCTCGCTTTGCCAGCCTGCATGTCTCTATGCGACTTCAAAGTCAACGGCGTCAAGATCCGCAGTTTACGCATGCTGGTAGAAGACCCTCAGTTCACGTCGCAAGTCCCTGATCTCACCTCCAAGGACGGCGCCACTGCGCTTGGTATAAGAATTTACTTGACCAAATCTCTATGGAAATTGGGTATCATAAATGGGGAGCTCATGATGGTCGCCATCAAAGCAGAGGGTATATCGAGTGTCAGAGAACATAACAGATCCCTAGAGTTTCTTTGACCCACCCGATGTTTCAATAATCTAGCTTCGTTATTCTACTTAGTTATCAACTTCTGTAATATTATGTGCATAAACCGTTTCACGGCGGAATCGAACCCAGAAAACACCATCTACGGCATCAACGTGTTTTGTAGCTTAAAACCACCATTTACAATGCTTTGAGCCTCCTGGCCTTGCCGCCGTCGCCAGGAGATATTGTCCAGTGCTTTTCCAAAAAAAATAGTTAAATCTCTTTGTAAAACGGTTCATCCTTATGCAGGGGAACTGCTGATCATCTCTGTATTGTTTCAAATTGACCAAATGTCCAAAGACACCGAAATGTCCCGGACGCAAATTTTAAAAAAAATACATTATACATGATATACAAATCTGCACGTGATCACATCCTTCGAGCGTATTAATCATCAATTGCATGATTGGCATCTTATGCCAAAATGCGTCACTAGTAGAAGGCCACTAATGCTCGATCAGCTCCCCATAGAGATTATCGAGAGGGTAGCGGCCTTTTTAGGTCAGAATGATCGAGTGGCAGTTATATATGTTTGTCGAATGTTGCGGCAGAAAATGGTCCCATTGCTTTACCGAAACCTTTACTTGAACGAGCGGAGCTATTGCCCAAGCGATGTTGCTCCAATGCTGGGCAACAATTGGTCTGCACTCAATTTTTCAATGGAACATGCAGATAAAGCGGATCAAAAGTTTGCAGCGCTTGTTCGAACATTGCAAAACTCGCCTTATCTATGTTCACTAGTCCAAAGAGTACATTGCACATGGCACTTAGATCCAGCCATACTACACAAACTTATCGGTGTCTTGAAGGAAAGGGCCCCGAATTTGACGGAGTTCGAAAACTTTCTCCAATTGGATGTAAGTAAAAGGATTTCCAAGTTTTCTAAGCGATTGATGTCGATGGACCTTCCTCCGCCGGCAGTATTACCGAGCGAAAAAGTACGAACAACATACTTAGAGGACTTGTCGAAGCTAACAAAATCGCACTGTTTTCAAAATATTACTTCTTTAACGATATATGTCGACGCAACATTTTTCTTCCCCAATTATTGTCCGTTGAGTGACAAATTGCGTATTCGCGATCTCTGCCTCAGTCTGAGAGGCGATGTGTTCGAACCAGATGCTTTCCCCTCTGGCAGGGTTTCATATGCAGACATTTTCGACACAAATGCATTACAAAAACTGACAATCCTCTCATGGTATGAAACTTCTGAAGTCGACGTTTACGAGGTTTTTCATATATTCGAGCTTCTCGAGTTTGTTCATATTCGGGAGTTGAGTTTGATGTCGCTTTTTGCAAATGATGGTTTTTTAAAAGAGTGTTTAAAACGCTTCCACAATCTCACAAAATTGAAGCTGGATTACATGCTAGATTATCCGGTTCCTAAAAGCATTATAGAGTTGTTGTCATGTTCTCCGGCCAGAGTTTCTCTTCGATATTTGGATTTACGTTTTGAAGAATTAGATCCGCCACTCATAACCATCGATCAAGATGAAGTATCTCTATTTGAAGTTAATCAAACTTGTAAATGTGATTTTTGCAAACATGTTTTTGAAAACATCTTATTTCGAAAATATTTTCCCACACAATCATCGTTGGCAATCAAAAATTTTGATGATGTCAATGCAAGACATGTCTTGGTCCAGTTACTTAGACTCTATCCAATAATTCCTTATGCGCATTTCGTTGATACGTATCCACCCGTTGCCTATCGAGCGAGGCCATTGAAGGATTTGGTGAAAAAATCTAATGAGCTCCTGAATAAAGATTCATTATTTTACGATTACCAGAAGGACGATGACGCGGTAACGGAGGAAGACATGATTAGCATTTATCATGCACATATTCATTCACTGCGACGTACCTATGACTATTTTTTGCAGCGGCTCCCAAATCTTGAATATTTGAACATTAATGAAGTTCCTACCATGGTGGTAGATTTTGCCGGTGACCAAAAATGTAATATCCCGATATTTTACAGTGAAAACTATCGAAGCAATCAAGTTTACGAAATAGTTGACGCAGAGGAATTATTTAGTTAGCAGACGTTTTTCAATTTCGTATAGTACCAAAGCATGTCAAGTAGGGCATTACCTCAATTTGCTTATGAAGGAGAATTATGTGAATAACTCTTTTAAGTTGTAATTGTGTAATTCTTTTTTTGTTATTTACTGACACCACTTAAAACATAAAGTTGTCGTTTTCTGAATTCTGTGTAAGAACAAATCTACACATGGTGAACATAAACATTAAAAGGCCTTAAGCAGCACATTTATCCTTTATGGGTCCACCGGTATAGAGTATCAGAAGCAACGCCAGCAGAACTTAATCAACTCCAAGGTAGCTCTCAGACACATGGCGATTCATTAACTATGGTATCTTATATCACGTGACTAATATCATTTGTTTACATTTCCAAAATAGTACAGACATTTCAAACAGTTCAGAGATGATGCTAAACAAGGAATCGCCATTAGAACTCATTCAACCACTGCTTAATCAAGATTAAATATAAATGAACAACGGGTCACCTATCCGAAGACACGAATACGTTTTATCCGATATTGGAAACAAAGTGCGTTGCTCCCCATCGAAAAATGTGTACAAACGACTAGGGACATCACCAATGAAGAAGTATTCGAACGACCTTTCAAAACCACCGATGAGAATTTCTCCCGCGAAAAGGCAACCACCACATGAAGGATCTAACTTTTTTCAAACCACTCCAAAAAGGCTGCGATCTCCTCAATCCTTAAAGGCTTATCCTCGAGAAGGGACTTCTAGCGTAGACAGAATCAATTTTAAAGGCAGTGAATCTGTAAACTCGACTGGCACTGACTTTGTTTTTCACACGTCACCTGTAAGGCCAAAATTTAGCAATATAATAAATGTTGGTGGAGACGGTTCTCTAAGTAGGATAAGGACAAGGTTTAGTAATGGTGTGAAGTCCCCTCAAAAAGAGAAGGAAATACATTCTGCTTATCCTGATAAAGTCCAAAAGAACTTGTTCGTGCAACTCCAACAACAAGAGTCATTGCACAACTCTTTAAGTGACTTCAACGATACAACAAGAATTAACACGACTATAAATTCAATGAAGATACGTCCACAAGATGACAAGAAAACCATAAAAAAACCGAAATCGCTAGCAAAAAAGAAAACAGTGAAGTTTGAACTGAACGAAGAAAAGAATCTTAAAAGCGAGTTATCAGAAATTAGGGCACTTCTGATGAATTTAACTGAACGACAGGATCAGCTTGAACAGAGACTATTTTCAAGGGAGGAGAGCTATTCCCCGAAAGATTCATAATAAAAATATATACAAATTTAATTCATCCTAATTTAATTGCTATTAATTCCACGTTTTTTGGTTGATCGGAATGCCAAGTTTGAATTTCAGAACGTCCATCGTTGCAATTGCATCCTCTGAACTATCGTGTTCTCCACTCTGAATTCTCCTGCTTATTGTCTCAAAAGCCAAATTCTTCAAGGAGGATTTGAATTTGCCATGGGGATATAAAACAGCTGTGTCAATGATTCTGCGATGAACAATACGTAAGACGTTCAAATCATTCTCCATACCGTGACCAATTAGTATGCTGTTCCGATTTATTAGATTCTTGCTTAGAACTCTCGTCATTGTTTCCTCAAACGAAAGAGATTTATTCTTTTCAATCAGATGAACACCGCTAAATTCTGTATTGAGATCAACTATTTCCCCAAAAGGTTGCACTATTTCATCAAATAAAACCTTAGATGTGAAGAAATCGACAATGGTCAATCTAATAAGCTCGTAGCCCATGGATGTAAACGCCATCTCACAGTCGAGAGCTAACACGTTTGATTCGCCTTCAATCAAGTCTGTCGTCATGAATCTGGATATTTGTGACATTTCTTGGAATGTTTCTGGCCTAAATACATGATGTGACATTGTTTTACAACCGAGACCGAGTAGAGACGAAGAAGAAGTAGTTTCGCCACAACAAGGATATTCCGCAACCTTTGTGTTTCTGTTATAGCGTCGTTTTTGAATGTGATAACGACAGGTTGTGGGCTTCATTATTTGATCTTTTCTGAACTTCGTGTTGCAGCGAATACAGACTTTGTGAACACCACCCTTGGCATCATCATCTGAATCGACTTCCAACGTAGTGGTGAGGAAATATCCATTCTCTAATAGCTTCTCCACAGGAAGCAGAACGGCAGTCAGTTTTTCCAGCACCTGAGTCTTCAATAAGGTCCCACTTGCTTCATTAATTTTTCCATTGGCCTTCGTTGAGCGTCCATTGGGCCGCGATAAATCACGAAGGAGCACACTCGCATTAAAGCGGTAGCTCTGTCCGGAAGAACTCTTCTTGGCAACTTCACCTTCCAGTTCAACTGCTTTCCTGTCACAATTGGATAATCTGGATGCTGAAGATTTCTTCAGAACAGCATGGATTTTTTGAATAACTTTGTACCTCACCTGATATGGTGCTGGTTGGCTCTTCAAATCAATAGGGCGTAATGGGGGCATTCACTTTCATCTACCGTCGACTTGTCCCAAATGTTCATGGACTTGAGCATTAAAATTGAAGCTCTTATTCCATCGTGACGTAAAAACGTCACAGCGCGTTCGTATTACTTTTCCTTTTTCTTGGGAAAGAAAAATTTTAGAGATGAGATGAGCTCCGATACCAACTATTATTCCACGCAGGATAGCATAAACAAGATTGAAGTCGGCAAGTATATTTACAATGTCGGAGAACCATATAAATCTCAATCTGGATGCTTGCGAGGAGAGATTTCACTTGTTTAAGAGTCATTTCCCCTCTATGGAATTGAATTCATATTATAAGTTTGACACTGATGTCTCTGCTGAACAGAATCTATCTCTTTTAGCCGAGTATGCATTAGATCCAAATGTGACAGTGGCCTATATGTGTATTTACAAGCCAATATTTTTGGATGTAGTATCAAGATGGATATGCTATGAGGATGTCAATAAGTGCGTCGACATAGTAAGTGCAATTGGAAGAATAATTACATTTTGCCCAGAGGCAAAGAGTTTGAGCGAAGTTTTCTTCGAGAAATACAGTGATCATCTCAATTTGACACTACAAGCACATAAGTCTCAAACAGAACAGACTTTGCACAAAATACTTCTGGCATATTACAGGCTTCTGCATGAAGATAGGGATCGCTTTATGAAATATTTGAAACCGGATGTCCTTTACTTATTACTGAACTGTACTTTTTCTAATCAAAGCATTAAGTTTTTGGCGGCCAAGGTTTTGACCATTTACCTAAACATGGCTGAAATGGCAGCTAACGAACTGATTGATAAGTATGCTCCTTTCACAAGTTCACTCATAGCTCCCTATGAAGGAGGTAGTGATGCTGATTACATATTCTTGGAGCTTAATGAAGCCAAGCGATTCTCTAAAGTTTCAGCGTTATCTCTAGGCTGTGAAACACTCCCAAACGATGTGTCTCGAAAATCATATTATATCAAGCAAGATGAGCTTAGCAAGTTCGTGGTATCAGTACAAAATATCCTGATCCCCAAGGTATTCAATAGAGGTCAAATGACAACCGGTGATTGCGAGGATGGATTGGTTCCTACAGATAAATCTGTACTTGCAATGCGCAAATTAGCTACTTGCATTCAACTTTCCAAGCCAGTGCTTTTGTATGGTGAAGCAGGTTCAGGTAAGACTTTCCTGATCGAAGAACTGAGTAAGATTATGGGCTGCCATGATGCCATGGTCAAAATACATCTGGGTGAACAAACTGATGCAAAGCTGCTCCTGGGAACCTATACGTCTGGTGAGATTCCCGGTACCTTTGAATGGAGGTCTGGTGTTCTTACAACAGCTGTACGGGAGGGAAGATGGGTTCTCATCGAAGATATTGACAAGGCACCAACTGAGGTATTGTCGGTTTTATTGACATTATTGGAGAAATCCGAGCTGACTATACCGTCAAGAGGCGAAACTATAAAGGCTATAAACGGATTTCAACTTATCGCTACTATACGGACATCAGAGGATAAACAAAGAAAGCAAGATGAAAAAGGAAACTTGCCGGACCTGATTGGTATGAGGCTATGGGAAACTGTACATTTAGATGAGCCGGAAGAGGATGACCTAAAACGGATTCTTTGTTCAAAATATCCTATTCTTAAAAACCTCATTCCAAGATTTATCAAGACTTACAATTCAGTTAAAGACATATATTCACACCCTCAGTTCATATCCTTGAATAGGGGTGTCCATCCTAGAGTTATAACGATCAGAGACTTAGTAAAGCTTTGCCAAAGGGTGGAATCTTTGTTTCTAGAGAATGATGTAGTCAACGCAGACCAATTGATCAAGACGACTGTTTACGACAATATTTTCGCTGAGGCTGCGGACTGTTTCGCTAGTGCAATCAGCGAAGTTAAGATTCTCGAACCTTTGATTCAAGCTATTGGTACTTCTTTAGAAATATCAGCCTCGAGAGTGAGTCTCTTTTTGGCTAAGCATGTGCCAAACTTTCACAGCTCAGATGATAAAGTTCAAATTGGTCGAGCCACACTCCATAAAAATCGGGCGATCACTCAAAAGAAATCCTCTAACGAATTATCATTTGCCCGCACCAATCATTCGCTCAGGTTAATGGAGCAGATAGGTGTGGCTATCCAAATGACTGAGCCTGTTCTTTTAGTGGGTGAAACAGGTACAGGTAAAACTACTGTTGTTCAGCAAGTAGCTAAGTTGATGAACAAGAAGTTGACTGTGATAAACGTCTCCCAGCAAACAGAAAGTGGTGATCTATTAGGTGGCTATAAACCCATTAATAGCAAAAGCAGAGCAGTCCCTCTTCTAGAGGAATTTGAAGAGCTATTCGCACTTACTTTTTCAATGAGGAAAAATGAAAGGTTCTATAAAATGCTACACAAGTGCTTCAACAAAAATCAGTGGAAAAATGTGACCAAGTTGTGGACAGAGGCTCACAAGATGGCCAAAAAAACCCTGGGAAGTACTGAAGATGAAAGCGAAACGAAGAAAAAGAAAAGAAGACTTGACTCACATACCAAAAAACTGCTGCTAGATAGATGGAATGACTTTTATGAAATGGTTAAAAAGTTTGAAATACAGTCGTCTTCCGTTGAGAACTCATTTGTTTTCAATTTTGTTGAAGGTTCTATGGTCAAAGCAGTGAGAAACGGTGACTGGCTTTTGTTGGATGAAGTTAACTTAGCATCTCCAGATACCCTTGAAAGTATATCAGATCTACTTGCTGAGCCCTCTTCAAGAAGTTTATTACTTTCAGAAAAAGGTGAGGCAGAGCCAATAAAAGCCCATCCCGATTTCCGCATTTTTGCATGTATGAATCCCGCAACAGACGTTGGTAAGAGGGACTTACCAACTGGTATTCGATCGAGATTCACTGAAATCTATGTTCACTCTCCAGATCGTGATATCACTGACCTCTTATCAATTATAGATAAATATATTGGCAAGTTCAGTGTCAGTGATGAGTGGGTTGGCAATGATATTGCAGAGCTCTACTTGGAGGCAAAACGCTTGGCAAATTCTAACAAAATCGTCGACGGTTCAAATCAAAAACCCCATTTCAGTATTCGTACTTTGACTCGCACATTGATATATGTCACAGATATCGTTGGTATATATGGATTGCGTCGCTCGCTGTACGAAAGTTTCTGCATGAGTTTTCTGACGTTACTAGATGAAAACTCTGAACAGATTTTGAAGCCACTTATTGAGAAATACACTTTGGGAAGATTGAAAAATGCCAAATCAGTAATGTCACAAAGTCCACCTTGTCCAGGGCCAGACTACGTAAACTTCAAACATTATTGGATGAAGAAAGGACCCAATGAACTCATTGAACAACCTCAATATATCATTACTCCTTTCGTGGAAAAAAATATGTTGAATTTGGTAAGAGCCACATCTGGTAGAAGATTTCCTGTTTTGATTCAAGGTCCCACATCTGCAGGTAAAACAAGTATGATCAAATATCTTGCAGATATTACAGGCCATGAATTTGTCCGGATTAATAACCATGAACATACAGACTTACAAGAGTACTTAGGTACTTACATTGCTGACGATACTGGGAAGCTTGCATTTCGCGAGGGTGTTTTGGTAGAAGCGCTGCGAAAAGGTCACTGGATCGTTTTGGATGAATTAAATCTTGCCCCGACAGATATTCTTGAAGCGCTTAACAGACTACTTGACGATAATCGTGAGCTTTTCATCCCTGAAACCCAAGAAGTTGTTCATCCGCATCCTGATTTTATGTTGTTCGCCACACAGAATCCTCCAGGAATTTATGGTGGTCGTAAGGTTCTATCTAGAGCTTTCAGAAACCGTTTCCTTGAGCTGCACTTCGACGATATTCCTCAAGACGAACTAGAAATTATCTTAAGAGAACGCTGTAAGATCGCTCCCTCGTATGCCAAAAAAATTGTTGAAGTTTACCGCGAACTGTCAGTTCAGAGATCCGCCAATCGAATTTTTGAGCAGAAGAATGGTTTTGCAACACTGCGTGATCTATTCCGCTGGGCTTTGAGAGAGGCAGTAGGATATGAACAGCTTGCGGCTAATGGGTACATGTTACTTGCCGAAAGGTGTAGATCATTAGAGGAAAAAGAAACTGTGAAGATCGTTTTGGAGAAAATCATGAAGGTAAAACTAAATATGGATGAATACTATGCGAACCTAGAGAACAAGCAACTAATGAACGTTCAAAGCCCAGTAGTTTGGACTAAAGCAATGCGCCGATTGTCAGTTTTAGTATCCAGCTGTCTTCAGAACAATGAACCAATATTGCTAGTTGGTGAGACAGGTTGCGGCAAGACCACTATATGTCAACTGATTTGTGAATTCATGGGGCATAAACTCATATCCATCAATGCCCATCAAAATACCGAAACGGGTGACATTTTGGGGGCTCAAAGGCCAATTAGAAATAGATCCGAAATGCAAGGAAAGTTGAGTGAACTACTGAGAAAAATTCTTAACCTCTACGATTATGATGAATACTCTCTCGACCAATTACTGAATTTGTACGATAATCTTGACGATAGCGGAATATCTGATGACATGAAGAGAGAAGTTCAACATTTAAGGGACAACTTGAATGTTTTGTTCGAGTGGAATGATGGTCCACTGGTGCAGGCTTTGAAGCAAGGTGAATTTTTCCTTTTGGATGAAATTTCACTTGCCGACGATTCTGTTCTCGAACGTTTAAACAGTGTACTAGAGCCCGAAAGAAGCTTACTTTTGGCCGAAAAGGGCTCAATAGATAGCTTCGTCACTGCAAAGGACGGCTTTCAATTCTTCGCTACAATGAATCCTGGTGGCGACTATGGGAAAAAAGAATTATCACCTGCTTTGAGAAATCGGTTTACTGAAATATGGGTGCCTTCCATGGAGGATTTCGATGATGTGCATTTAATCGTTTCTGCGAAATTAACGCCAGAGCTGAAAAAGTTGGCAGATCCTATTGTCCAATTTTCGGAATGGTTTGGCAGACGAATGGGCGGAGGCTCGACAAATAATGGTGTTATATCTCTCAGAGACATTTTAGGATGGGTCGAGTTTATCGTAGTGTCGTATCCAAAACTTCTAAATTGTAATGCAGTACTGCTTCAAGGTGCGTTAATGGTGTTCATCGATGCTTTAGGCACGAACAATACGGCTCATCTAGCTGAAAACCAGCATGGGCTAGCTGCCGAGAAGATTAAATGCGTGCAAAAGTTGGCCTCTCTAGTTAAAGACGATCTTTTGAAATACTTCAATGAGAAACCTTACTTGACACTCTCACAGAAAACGGTGCGCATTGGGATGTTTGATATCGAGAGAAAGAATGGCTGCAAGTCGACTCCCTCCTTCAACTTGGACGCACCTACGACGGCTGCAAATCTTATGAGGGTAGTAAGAGCTATGCAAGTCAAGAAACCTATACTATTAGAAGGAAGTCCTGGTGTTGGTAAGACGAGCTTAATATCAGCTTTAGCGCAATGCACAGGTAATAAATTAACAAGAATAAACCTCTCAGAGCAGACCGACCTTATTGATTTGTTTGGTTCTGACGCACCAGGGGAAAAAACTGGGGAGTTTGTGTGGAGAGATGCACCATTTTTAAGAGCCATGCAATTAGGTGAATGGGTTCTACTTGATGAAATGAATCTTGCATCCCAATCTGTTTTGGAAGGCTTAAATGCCTGTCTCGATCATCGTGGTGAGGCTTATATTCCCGAACTTGATCGATCTTTCGTTCGTCATAAAGACTTCGTTGTTTTTGCCGCTCAAAATCCGCAGTATCAGGGTGGAGGTAGAAAAGGCTTACCAAAGTCATTTGTGAATCGATTCAGTGTCGTTTACATCGATATGTTGACTCCTGATGATCTATTTTTAATCGCCACACACCTGTATCCAGAGATTGAGCCAGCTACATGTACTAAAATGATAAGCGTCATATCGGCACTTGAAGATGAAGTCACCAATAAAAAACTATGGGGATCTTCAGGTGGGCCATGGGAATTTAACTTAAGAGATACATTAAGATGGCTCAAATTACTCAATAGTAACTCTATTTGTGAAGACATGCAGGCTTTTGACTTTTTAAACATTGTTCTAAAGCAAAGGTTTCGGTCAGAATTAGATCGTCAAAAAGCTCAAGAGTTGATAATTAGGATATTCGGTGAATTCAAGGAGAAAGATAACTTGTTTCAATTGGGTCCCAACTATGTACAAGTGAATGGTGAAATTTCATTGAGAAATACAATTCTCAAATATTCATCCTCGCCTAACTTGGTTCCTTTACAGTGTAACTTTTCCATTTACGAGTCACTTTTGAGATGTGTAAACTACAATTGGCCATTAATTTTGGTGGGTCCCACTAACGCTGGTAAAACTGACATTATTCGCTTTATGTCTAATATCGTGGGATCTAAAGTCCTTGAGTTTTCCATGAATAGCGATGTGGATAGCATGGACATTTTAGGTGGCTACGAGCAGGTGGACTTGAATAGAAAGCTTTCTCAAGCAATCAATAGACTTTTTCCGATTTTACGAGAACTCTTAGCTGTGAACATGATATCCAGTGGCGAAAATCATGATGCTATACTGGCCGCAATGAATCTCTTTTACTTTATCTCAACTACCTCTGTGAATAAGTCTAATTTGCAAGAACTGCAAGGTCTACTAGAAGAATTCATTCTCTTTAGGAATGATGATGAAATTCAGATTATTGCCGAAGAAATCAAGAAACTGTCTGTTTCCATGAGAAGTGCTACTTCAGTATCCTTCGAATGGTTTGATGGGTTACTCCTGAATGCAGTGGAGGAAGGGCACTGGCTAGTGCTGGACAATGCTAATCTCTGCTCTCCTTCAGTGCTCGATCGATTAAACTCTTTGCTGGAAACTGATGGGTCATTGATAATCAACGAATGCAGTTATGAGGATGGGAGGCCGAGAATTGTTACCCCACACCCGGGCTTTAGACTGTTCTTGACGATGGATCCAAAATATGGAGAGCTATCTCGAGCAATGCGCAACAGGAGTATTGAGATATACGTAAACGATTTGAAAACCAGATCATCAACGTTTGACAGGCGGGTACTAGGCGTCGAGTGTGAAAATAGGGAGGAGCAAAGTTTGAATGATAACATGAAAAATCTCTCAATATGCAGTGGTTCTTCGTCCAAGCCACTATCTACCTACCTGCCTTCTGATAACTCTCTACTCACTCAATTTGGAAAACTACATGATACGATTGCTTTGACTGAAGAGGATATAGATTCTTCAGTTTTCGGCATTTTATCCTTGAGGGCTACTTCCTTGATAGACAGATGGAACAGTAATGTTCAATTATTATCCCCATTTTTTGAGGAAGAGACTGTAATTACGGATATGACCTCTTTTTTCACCTTTTTAAAAAGCACCAAGACGCTCGAAAAACTGCAGCATGTCTATGGAACTTTAACTCTAGTGGGTTCTAAATTTATTAGTAATAGAACTGATTATGCCAATAATCAATGCATATTACCCACTCTTAACGAGTACATTTTAACGACGTTGACGAGATATTTTCCGGAGATCAGATCATCAGAATCCATTTATTTATTTTTGGCCCTTGACTTGTTACGCAGGTGCATTTCAGGTCTTGAGATTACTGAAACTAGGGCGAAACACGGAAAAGTGGATAGCTTGAGCTATTTAGAGCTTTCTGCAGCTATTAAAAGTGGTCGGAAGATCAAGAATGTTCCGAAGATTCCAATATTCGATATTCTGTCCCAATTAAATGAACAAGTTATCAATCAACTTCCCTCATACAGCCTGTTTATATCTCCCAAAGTTTGGAAATGTTATTTCGATTTATTCACTCTGTGGATGGGTGCTTACAAAACCAGTGCAACACGCAACGAAGCCAAGCTGCGTGTGTACCAAGAACTTTTCGAAAAGTGGGTAAGTTCTTCTAAGGATTACCTTGAAAATTGGGCCCCCCTCTCTCAAGTAATTGATGAGTTTGGCACCTCACTAAGTTTGACAACGGGAAACTCGATGTCAATAATATGGGAAGAGTTTCGGAGCATATATCCTACGTCGAAGGAGCTTTGGCTGAACTATGACCGTATTGTTTCAGTGGCAGAAAAATTTGACAGAGTATCCAGGAAACAATATTCAGATTCCTACGATTTTATTACCGATTTAAGAAGGGTTTTTTTCAATTTGACTGAAAATGTCTTGAAAGGAGCCAACCATGATTTTGAGCCAATAGTATCGAAACTGGAAGCAGGAATTGAGCAGCTTGAAACCATCTCCTCTGGATTTTTACATGAGAGGAAGCACTTTTTCTTCGACGAATTTGACGGCATCATGAGGATGATTTTTCATTCAGACTATGATCTAAAAGAGGAAATCAATAGAATTGCGTCACATTCATCTATATCTACAGAAAAGTTGATAAAACTGTACTCAAATTCTTATTCATACCCCCCTGTATTTGATATATTATGGGTTAAACGCGATAATGAATTCGAATCGCAAACAAGCAGTATTTTCAACTCATCTTTGTTAGAACAACTGGTTATCAAACTCAACTCCTTTGAAAGCTTCACTGGTAGTCAAATGAATCAAGCTTTTGATGATGCGCAAATATTGCTTTACCATTTGCTGAGGTCCTCCAATTATGTATTGAGAGATCAATGCGAATTATTCAAGTTATTACTCAAAGATTGGTATAATCAAATTGTCAGCGTACACATTGGAGCAGAGAATCACAACATTGAGGATGTTTTGAGCTCGGTCGAAGGTTCAAAAAATTCTTCGTTCAAGCGCGTTCATAATGAATACCTGTCACCTGCTATTAGAATGATCGAACAAACGCAAGCATCGAGCGTCTTGGGAGAGGCGTGGATATTGTTTTGTTTAGGTATAATTGAGCTATTTGTACCCAGTGCACCATATGATCCAGCAGTTCATGATTATGTTTTATTTGATCATTTTTCCATGCAGAAGACTCTCGCAGAGAAGTTAGTCCGAAGCTGGAAATGTTGCAGGCATGTACTGTCAGGTGATAACCAACTAACTGCGGAAAGTCTTATGGCCACCGTGACCGAACTTGATGCTCCTAAAAAGCCTAGGGTTTATAGGCCGCAAGAAACCATTGATCCGCTCTTTGATGAATGGTCTTCTTTCACAATGTCTTCAGTTGGCTCAAAACCCGTTCAGCGACTAGCAGAATTACTCGGTACTTTTGATGAGAAGGCAGTCAATCAAGCTACGTTGTTTCAGCAGAATAGTTCACAGTTCCTTGACAGATTGGCAAATAATTATAAAGTCTATTCGGACTTGAACGATATTTTCGCTGGATGCGTTCTCGGCATGAAATTTGGTTTCGACTTACTCGTTGACTCGAAGCTGAATCAATTGAAGTCTGTTTCATTGTCTCCCTTATGGTCCGTTGACATTTCAATCTTGACTAGCCCCCAAGAAATCAACTGTGCTTTCAGAGAACTGAGTCAATATTTTAAGAAGAAGAGTTCAGAAGCTTTAGTTGTTGAAAATGTAATGATCTTCTTTTTGAGACTATTCAAATTCCATGGATTAAGTTCACAATTGCGCGAGACGTTCAATACAATACTGCAATCTTTATACTACCGTTGGTCTTTGCGTCGCGTCCAACAAGAACAAGAGAAACAAGAACGAGGGAGCGTTTATAAGTTCAAGGACAATTCTGACGATGTGATGTCAGATTTCAAAGAAATGTTCCCCGATTACGAAGAGGTGCTATTACTCGACGATGGAGAAGAGGTAAAATCTTCTGAAGAAAGTTTGACAGATGTTTACGCGCAGCTCTCAGAAGTCTATGTATCTACCTTTCTGGAAAATGACAAAGAAGAGCTCAATGGACTTGTCAAGGAAGGCTCCCGGGTAACGACACAATTAATGCAGGCCGGCGTGGATTTCAAATCTCAAAATATGGATAGCAGCAAACTCACATCTGTTATAAGCCAGCTTTTGTGCGATATTCAGCAATACAACGAACCTAAAGACGATAAGTCTTTGAATCTCTACAGGGATTCGTCGATAACAGAAACTAAAAAGGCCGTGTTAATCATTGAAAAACTCATGAATTCTGTGGACAGATTATTGAAGCAGTGGCCAGAACATGCTACTTTGAAAGAGCTCTTCAGAGTTTGCGGTGAGCTGTTGAACTATCCGTCCAGCACTCCAATCGCACGTTTATTGCAAAAAGTCGAACAAATTTATACTTTCGCAACAGAATGGGAGAAATATGCTTCTAGTGAAGTGTCTGTTGCTGTCCATATTAAAGCAATCACTGAATTGATCATCTCATGGAGAAAGCTTGAATTGTTAACATGGAGTAGTCTTTTTGATTATGAAGAGAAATCATTGAGGAAAGGTGTGGGAAAGTGGTGGTTCCACTTGTTCGAGTCGATAATTGTGTCTGCCACTGATCAGAATGGAAACGAAAACGCCCATGAAACAGATGCACAAAAAATCACTAAATTAGTAGGTTCCCTGAACTTATTCATGAGTAAATGTACCTATGCGGAATTCAGCAGTCGCTTAGAACTCATCAAAGCTTTTTCAAAACATGTCGAGTTGATTCACGGTGAAAATTCATCTGTTCTGCATGGCCTATGCAATGTTATAACATATTATGAACAATTTCACGATATGATTGAAACTTACATCAAAAATGGAAGAAAGAAACTAGAAAAAGAGGTCTCAGAGGTCATACTGCTTGCTAGTTGGAAGGACGTTAACATTGATGCTCTGAAACAGAGTTCTCGGAAATCGCACAATAGTTTGTACAAGCTAGTGAGAAAATACAGAGATATGCTTTCCCAGGATGTTACCATCATTATCGAAAGTGGCATACCACTCGCGGACAAGGTCAACTTATCTTTCGATTTGAATGCAATTCCAAATTTCAAATCAATTGACATTCAACGAGCCGAGAATGAAGCTAGTATGATTCCTTCATGGAATTCAAGACCCAAAATGTTGCAAAAAGTTGGCATAATTGAGCGTAATATGGCTGTTTATGGTGCTAAAATTGAAAAACAAGAACAACCAGACTTTTACGCGTTTGCTCGCGAAGTTCTGGAAGAAGCGACTCGTCTACGTCAAGAGACGCCGGGCACGCTAACTAAAGAAAACAAAAAAATGCTAGCATCTTTGAAGTCTCAAAAAGCTAAAACTCTCAATGACACATTAAAAGAATTGCGCCGTATGGGGCTCAAGTGCAATTTCAGGGAGGATATTCGCAAAGTTCAGGTCACTGTCACCTCGATTCTAGGAAGCTCACAATCCTTCAAAGGATGTGACTTGGAAAACATAGACGCCTATTATTTCAGAGTATTAGACCTAATACCCCGCCTGAGAAACGCTGCATCTCAGCCCGCTGACGATGCACCTCTTGGAGCTATTGAGAGAGGACTGGCGGTTTTCGAGCATCTGAATTACATGTTAGTCACAAGTAGGCCTGCTCTTTACACACTAGCCCACAATTATAAGAGATTGGATGACTTAAGACTGAAACTTGAAGAAATTGCTTTGTCTACCGAAATTTTGAAGCTTAAGACCATAAAGATCAATCACTCTGTTTTTGCCCACATTTGTAAGTGGTTACCTGAATTGATTGACTATGTCGCAAATTCATTGAAATTGAGCGCAAGAGAACTGAAGAAGGAGGTTGATTTAACGTTCCTATTCAACGCTAAGAATACAATACTTGACTTCAAATCAGCTTCAGAAGCTTTCGAAACCAAAAAGAGGAGCATAATAACTGTTTATGAGGAATTTGAAGTATTTTTGAATAATTTCTTGAATACTTTGTCTCATGACAATGGTGAACTCTCCTTCATGTATAACAGCATATCAACTTGGATCAGCGTTTATTACAATGCAATCACTACCGTCAATGATGAAATAAAGGAGGGATCGCTGGAAGTAATGGACATGATGTTCCGGAAGATTTCAACCTCGATAATGTTATCTGTGCAAAAGCTTCTTGCAGAACAACGTGAAGTTATAACTGAAGAAGATGACCATTGGCTAGTTGACTCCCATGGAAGAGTGATGAACATGATTAAAAAATGTAATTCATCAAGAGTTGTCAGCAACGTCGCAGAAGTAGTAAACTCGTTCAATTCGAATAGCTTCGAGGCAGATGCTTTTTCGATTTCGGCCTTGACAGCTTTTACGTTACCTCTTATTAACCAGTATTTTGCATTACTAACCAACGTTATCAACAAATCCAAGCTGCATTACAGCTCTCTGAGTCACGGAACATTTGTTCTTGCCAGCATCTTGTTCAACTTGAGTAAAGACGGCTTTTGCTCTCCGGAAGTTCCTAATGAAGAAGTTGATGACAATAATTTACATGATGGTACTGGATTAGGCGATGGAGAAGGTGCCCAAAATAACTCTAAGGATGTTGAGGAGGATGAAAACTTGACGGAAAATGCTCAACAACCAAACAAGGATCAAAATGAAAAGAAGGACGATGCTGACAACGAAAATGATGATGCAGTTGACATGGAGGGCGACATGGCCGGTGAATTGGAAGACGCTAGTGACATGGAAGATGACGAAGAAAATGAAGATGAAGAAGAGAATAGTATGGAAGAGCAAATAGACGACTTGGACGACGATGATCCAAATGCTATTGATGAAAAAATGTGGAATGAAGAGGCTTCTGATGATTCCAAAGAAAAAACTTCAGATGAGATGCCCCAAAATTCCATGACTGATGAGATGCAGGCTTCAGAAGAACAAGAGAAGGAACAGAAGTCAGAGCAAAAGAATGAAGAAGATAATAATCAAAAGGAAGAAAGTCTGGACGAAGAAAGCAAACCTAGTGAAACTAGTAATGAAGAAGGCGATGAAGAGGGAGATGAGGAAGAAGATGAAGAGGAAGATGTTGGAGGGCAGGATGACGAAGTCAAGAATGAAGAAAATAATGAGCTTGAGGAGAACGTTCCCGAAGTTGAAACCATGGACTTGCATGACGACTTAAACCTAGACTCTGGCGAAGATGATAATCCTTTGAACGATGATAGCAACGAAGAAACGAACGATGACTTGGACGTTGATATCGACATGGACGATGACGATAAAATTGAAAACGAAGAACATTCTCCTCAGGAAGAATCTGAGGGTGAAGAACAACTAGATGAACAGAACATGGATTCTGATCGCGAAGAGATAGAGAACGGAGATGAAGGAACTGAGGATCACGATGGTGAAGAACAAGAGAACTCCGACAAAAATGAAGCGGATTCTGATCCGGAAATTGTACAGGACGATACTGCCAACGATACAAAAGAAGCTGGTGGTGAGGACAACACGGAAAATGCCGAAGGGTTAGATGGTGTTGAAGACATGGTTGATAATGATGAAATGGATCTTGATTCAGCTGTTAACCAGAAATCTGGGGCCAAGGGTGAGGGTGCAGACTCGACGAATAGTGAAGAACAACGTGACATTGGGAGTTCAGGAAATGCACAAGACCAACAGCAACAATCCGAAGATACAGAATACAATGAAGCTTCTCGCGAGGAGGCGAAAGAAAGTTTGAAACAACTCGGTGATAGCTTAAAGGAGTTCCACAGACGGCGCGAGGAAATCAAAGAAGCCCGAACAGAAGAAAATAGTGAATACAATGAGGGTGTCAATGAACGCCCAGATGAATTTGAACATGTTGATGGTGCTAATGCAGAGACGGACACGCAAGCTTTGGGATCTGCGAACAAAGATCAAGTCACTTCGATTGACGAAGAAAAGGCTATCGACGATGAGATTCCCGATGCTGCTACTGATACCGAGACAGACAAAGATGGTGCTGAAGATGAGGCTAAACAAGCTAATCTAGAAGAAGATATTGAAATGAATGAAGATGAAGCAATAGTTACAGAAGATCAAACCACTGATGACAACAATGGCAAAAGCAGGGGAGCCTTCATAGGAGAAAGGTCTCAACTAGATGAAAAAGACTCCTTCTTTAGTAAAGGATCTCTCGAAAGTGAAGAAGATGAGTTGGATGAGTTAATGGATAATATTGACCGGGTTGTCAAAATTGAGGAAAGTTCACTGCTTCCACCAAGATCAATCGATGAGGCACGAAAATTGTGGAAAAAGAGCGAGATGAAAATTGTAGAGTTAGCATCTGGGTTAAGCGAACAGTTACGATTGATTTTAGAGCCTACACAAGCAACGAAATTGAGAGGTGACTACAAAACAGGTAAAAGACTGAACATGAAGAGAATCATTCCTTATATTGCGTCTCAATTCCGTAAAGATAAGATTTGGTTGAGGCGTACTAAGCCAAGTAAGCGTCAGTATCAAATTATGATTGCCGTAGATGATTCAAAATCGATGAGCGAGTCCAAATCTGTAGATCTAGCTTTCCAGAGTATTTGTCTGGTTTCCAAGGCATTGACTCAGCTGGAGTCTGGAGACTTATCAATTGTCAAGTTCGGTGAAACAATTCGCGAAGTTCATCATTTTGATCAGCAATTTAGTACAGAATCCGGTGCGAAGATCTTCCAATGGTTTGATTTCCAGGAAACTAAGACTGATGTGAAGAAACTTGTAGCAGAGTCAATCAAAATCTTCGATTTTGCACGCGCTACAAGTAACAATGATCTGTGGCAATTAGAAATCATAATTTCAGATGGTGTTTGCGAAGACCATGAGACAATACAAAGACTGGTCCGTCGTGCCAGAGAAAATAAAATCATGCTCGTGTTTGTCATCGTCGATGGCATAAACTCCAATGAATCCATAATGGATATGAGCCAAGTAAAATACGTCTCAGATCAAACTGGAAACATGCAATTGAAGGTAGAAAAGTACCTGGATACGTTCCCATTCGAATTTTATGTGGTGGTTCATGACATTTCCGAGCTACCAGAAATGCTGTCGCTAATCTTGCGCCAGTACTTTTCGGAACTCGCCTCTGTGTAAACAAAGAATTAAATAACTGTAAAATAAGATGTACTATAACATTCATTGAGATATTGAAACAAGTACCGGTAAAGTGCCGTATTTACTGTAGTCAAGAGTTAGGGCTATAAAAGACTTGCGAAGATTTTATAACTACGACGTTTTTACGTCGCGTCGCATAAAAGAGTCGAAAAATTTTCCGTACATTGTGAAAGATGTCTTCTTACTAACAATGTTAACTCAAAAGAGGTGACTATGCAACAGCAGTGACTGTGATATCATTGTACCAGCAGGTACAATCATCACAAATAGTAGGAAGCATACGCATTAGCGATTTACAATTCTTGTACTTATATGGTGATGATACAAATTTTGTTGCTCGAAGATTAACATCAATGTGGGCGCAATGATTTCTCAATAGACTACAACGGTATCTGAATATTAAAATAGTATATAGAATTCATGTCTTAGGCAACGTAGATTTATTTAACCCCCATCTTCTCGACGTAGCTTTGATGGGATGCTCCATAAGTCCTTCAATAAGGCCTTGCCGTGCTCAAAAAAAAAGCTTATGCAATGACATTGGCATCGCTTGTATTCGAAAGCATCACGAAGAAGAAAGCCTTCACCAAAAGGTTGATTGTTCAAGCTCTTTCTGACATCCTGATACTCCAGTGATTCATTTCGTTCTTACAGGATGTCGAAATACCTCTCTAACAGCAAGCGATACAAGTATCCTCTGCCGATTCATCCTTTGGATAATTTACCACAGCTCCTGCCGCACAACCCGGTGTCTTGGCTATACTGGTTATATTGTTATATCTCAAGTACCAATCTACTGGCAAAGAAGATTGACATCGAAGTTACGAACGGTCATCGCATCACCGTCCCAGGCGAAGAAGATATGCTATATTTATGGAATAACGGCTTTTTTGGCACAGCACGACTCTCCCGAAGCGAGCCAACCTGGAAGGCCAGAACACTGGCACGATTAGGCATTGATGAGTCTTTCAATGCCTTGGAAAAGGTGACTGAAAAAAGGCGGCATCAAAGACTAGCTTTCAAAAAGGAAAGAAGAAAGTTCGAGGCGATCAGACTAGACCTTCGGAAGAAGGGAGTTCTTGAGAGTGAAATACTTGATAAGGAGAGGCAGTTCTTACGTGAACTTCGAGATCAAGAACTCATACTTGATAGCGAAGATTATCAGGTTAGGGAGGAAGATGATGAACTCTTATTGAATGATGGTATAGTAAATCTGGAGGTACTTGAACTAATGCCAGTTGAAGCTATTTTTCTAACGTTTGCTCTACCTGTGCTGCGTCCCTCAGTTGCAGAGATTGCCGAACTTTTACTGGGGCCAAAACCCACCTACACAGAAATACACAATCTAATCACACAGTATGTGGCTTACCATCATTATAGATCCCATGGCTGGTGTGTGAGATCAGGAATTAAGTTCGGTTGTGAGTATCTTTTATACAAGAGAGGTCCACCTTTCCAGCATGCTGAATTTGCCGTCATGGTTCTTGATTACAAAGACACACCTGACTATACTTGGTATTCTGGCATCGCCCGTGTTATTGGCGGAGCAAAGAAGAGTTTGATTTTATGCTATGTAGAACCTTTGCTGCAGAAAGAAGAAATTATGTCTTTGTGGGATCAAAAGGATTTTGAGCAAGTATTTGCTAGTCACAGAGTTGGAGAAATATTGTACAGAAGATGGGTTCCGGGGAAGAATAGAGACTAAATATCGTCATGCATTCCGAAAGCTACATACACCATTGTATATATTTCTCAGAAAGATGCTTAACCGTCATAGCGATTCTTTGTAAGCATTTTCGACCCAACCACAGTCTCTCAGACCTTTATTCTTGGCCTTGGGACCCTTTATTGGATCATCATAGATACCATTCAGCTTAGAATCATGTGTAGCAGGTTTCGATATGCAAATATATTGGCCATCTGGTAAAGTACATCTTAGTTGTGATTTTGGAAAGGGACATGGGCATTCTTCAGGGCCAGATACACATGCCAGCGTGTCAGGACACAGATATTTGGAGCAGGCGTTATTCAATACAACATCCTCATAGGACGCTTGTTGTTGTTGTTGTTGTTGCTGTTGTTGTCCACCACGATTAAAGTCAAAGATGAAAGCAGAAGACGTTGAGGCCAAAACTGCAATGATAAGAAGATATTTCATTTGTGAGTTGCTAGTATTCGCAGAAAATCTTATGGTAGAACATGAAAAATTTACTACGCGTCTTAAATTTGACAGACGATATACGTTCAAGAGAGAAAATAAGGGAGCATGTTCTTGGAAATACGACAGTTTCAAGAGGCTTATGAGCGTATCCTCCACAATTCTTCTTCTCATTCGTCCTGCCAGCTTGTTATTTTTGTATCATGCCTCAATATTGATGCGCTATGTGCTTCAAAGATGCTTGCTCGGCTATTCAAGAAGCAATTAGTCCAATTACAACTCGTGCCAGTATTTGGATACTCTGATCTGAAACAGCATTTTGAAAAGCTCGACGATAATATAAATAGTGTGGTTTTCATCGGATGCGGCGGAATGATTGACATTGAAACTTTTCTAGAAATCGATGCACAAGAATACCTCCTTGAGGAGGGACCCGAGCCTAAATTCAAGCGTGGAATTTATATTCTGGATACTCATAGACCTTGGAATCTTGACAATTTGTTTGGCTCTCAAATTGTGACGTGTTTTGATGATGGCACGGTGGAAGAATCCTTGCAAGAACAGCGAGAAGCATACGAGAAACTTACAAAACTAGAACAAGAGCAACAGGATGATTCACAAGAATCAGATCCTTCCGATACAGAAGATGATGAAGAGGAAGACACAATTGACGATGAACGCAGCAGCGATGAGGAAAGTGGGAGAAAACGAAACGCCGAAACTGATACTAGAAGGCAACGGAAAGCGCGAAGGAAAATGATTGACAAATACGATACAGTATTAGAGGAGTACTATTCGCAGGGGACAACCGTTTCAAACTCCATCTCAGTACAGGTCTATTCACTAATATCGTCCTTAGGTGAAACTAATTTACAATACTTATGGCTGACAATTTTAGGCGCATCTTCTCTCGATACAGCATTTCCTCAAATATACAATCAATTACAGCCTTTACTTCAAGATGAGGTGAAGAGATTGTCTCCAACTGAGTCAGCAAAGACACCTGAAACGCTTACTTTAAATATACAACCTGATTATTATTTGTTTTTACTGCGACATTCATCCCTATATGACAGCTTCTTCTACTCTAACTATGTGAATGCCAAACTGTCCCTGTGGAATGAGAATGGCAAAAAAAGGCTACATAAAATATTTGCTAGAATGGGGATATCTCTATCGATAGCACAGGAGAACTGGCTTTACATGGACAATAAAATCAAAAGAGAGTTGGGAACTATATTCGATAAAAACTTGGAGCGATACGGACTTCAAGATATTGTACGGGATGGTTTTGTGCGAACATTCGGATACCGGGGGGCAATTAGTGCCAGCGAGTTTGTGGAATCTGTCACCGCATTACTGGAAATAGGACAAGTTAGCGATCCAGATGAATTATCGAAGCACAATGACTCGATATTACTCGAAAATAATAAGGAACTGTCAGAAGCGTTTTCACGTCGAGAACGTAAGTGGGTCAGTAACTTCTGGCTAAGTTGGGACGCACTTGATGATAATGTTGCGCTCATGCGTCGTGGTATCAAGCATGCCCAGTATCTCCAGCGATCCGTCTTCAATACTGGTGTGGCTGTATTAGAAAAGAAGTTGATCAAGCATTTAAGAATTTACCGCCTATGTGTCTTGCAAGATGGTCCCGACTTGGACCTGTACAAGAACCCACTAACTTTGCTCCGACTGGGCAACTGGATTATGGAGTGCTGCGCGGAATCTGATGATAAACAACTATTACCTATGGTTTTGGCTAGTCTAGACCAGGAAACTGAAACGTACCTGGTAGCTGGTATCGCTCCTCGATACCCCAGAGGTATTGACGATGTGACTAGTCGAAAGACCATTTTAAACAACTTCAGCGTTGCATTTCAACAAATTGCGGCTGAAACAGGTGCTAAAGTTAGAATTGACAATTTTGAAAGCTCCATAATAGAAATAAAGAAGGAAGATCTATCACCGTTCCTAGAAAAGCTTACTCTTAGCGGACTTCTTTGACCCATCACATTTCGACTTTGTATTTTGCATATTATTTACCTATAGTTTAATAGCATCCAAGAGCAACCGACCTCGTGTATCGGCCCAACCTTTCAAGTGAAGTGAATACAGAGTAGGCTGGTGTTTCGAAATAATCGTACTTTTCAGTATTCGACAGAAAAGTATGTCGCCAAAAGTCGCAGTTTCATGAAATATTCTTGCCAAGTTTACAAAACTGATAAACATCAGATCATGCCAAGGAAGCATCTTATATCTCCCGAACAGCCTAGTTTCGAGCTTCCTTCGTTACCACCATGGAGAACTCCCCGCATAAAGATCCTGAACAACACGCCGCTACGACGGGGCCCGCCCGCAGATGCAAATGCCTTTGGAACACCAGACAAAGATCAGGCGTTTATGAGCGAGAAAGATCCAGACGTCTACGATTATTTCCCTCTCAGCAACAAAAGGTTGCTTACCGAAAGCAGAATTAATCAGCTGTTACAGTCCGAAACAGCTGCGCATTGTCTCGTGTTCCACAAGGATAAGCACGATGAGCAAGAACCTGGCTACAGGCCAGATCTGGACATTTGGTGTTGCGACAGCTCAGATGAAGAGATACCGACGAGTGCAGAACACATTCTACTCTCCGTTCCGGAGGCTATTTCACGCGATACAACGCTCATCCTGGCAAGGCGGGACGGTTTGCAGAGGCCCAACGTAAGAAGGGCTGATGATTTGCTACAACAAGAGACAAAAGCACTCGAAAGGTTCTGGGATAATACAGAGCTTACAAGCACGTTAAACAGGCACCAAATGCACGACCAATTTCTTATTCTTCAACAAGAGCAGGACGAAATCGAAAAATCAAAGCGTGAGCTTCTTCTCAATGATTCCATTTCTGATGTTGACAACTTGGACTCATACAAATGGCTTAAGGACTACTGCAGGGATATATGGGAAAGAGATTCATGGATGTACGAGGCCAAGTAGGCTGAGTTATCAAAGCGGCTTATACTTCAATACAAACACGTGATCATTTTTCGCTGATATTTCTTGAATACAAAAGGGGCATATGAATAAGCGTAATTTGCAAAAGGAGAACTTGCTTCTTGGCAGTACAACGTAAGTTAATCTGAAACAAAAGGAAGATGAATATCATCAAGCTTCAAGTATGTTCAAACTTCAATATTTGATCCATATGCTCGAGTACTAACTCTCTTGGCAGAGAAAGTTCCCTGACTTAACTCAAGAGGACATCTTTAGCACCATCGAAAAGTTCAGAAGCATTGACCTCGATGACAAAGGATGGGTAGAAAAACGCCAGGTCTTAGAGGCTGTATCGCAATCGGGCGAGGCATCATACGATGAGGCGCGTGAAACTTTGAAACAAGTGAATGTCGATGCTTCAGGTCGTGTCGAGCTCGATGATTATGTTGAATTGGTGGCCAAGTTGAAAGAGAGCAAGGCGGGGCCTCCTCCACCTACGACTTTCAGCACAGGTGGCGCAGCTGCTATGCCTGTTTCGCAATCGCATGTTGGATTGCAACACAAGGGCACAGGGGCTCAGGCCAAGATTATCGTTGCAGGTTCTCAAAGCGGAACGACCCACACAATTAATGAAGAAGAGAGGAGAGAATTTACCAAGCATATCAACAGTGTATTGGCTGGCGATCCAGATATCGGCGACAGACTACCATTTCCAACTGATACTTTTGAATTGTTCGACGACTGTAGGGATGGTCTGGTGTTGTCTAAATTGATTAATGACTCTGTGCCTGATACTATTGATACAAGAGTGCTTAACTGGCCTAAGAATGGGAAGAGACTAAATACCTTCACAGCCAGTGAAAATGCCAACATCGTGATTAACTCTGCTAAAGCTATTGGATGTGTGGTGGTGAATGTCCACTCTGAGGATATCATCGAAGGTAAGGAGCACCTTATTTTAGGTTTAATCTGGCAGATCATTCGTAGGGGGCTTTTGAGCAAAATTGATATCAAATTACACCCAGAATTGTATCGTCTACTGGAGGACGATGAAACACTAGAACAATTCCTAAGACTTCCCCCAGAACAAATTTTACTTCGTTGGTTTAACTACCATTTGAAACAGGCCAATTGGGGAAGAAGAGTAGCCAACTTTTCTAAGGATGTGTCAGACGGTGAAAACTATACCATATTGTTGAACCAATTGGATCCACAATTGTGCTCTACTGCACCTTTACAAACCACTGACCTGTTGACAAGGGCTGAACAAGTTCTTGAAAATGCTGAAAAGTTGGATTGTAGAAAATATTTAACCCCTAGCTCACTGGTTGCGGGTAATCCAAAGTTGAATTTAGCTTTCGTGGCACATCTGTTCAATACGCATCCCGGCCTAGAACCAATTGAAGAGTCTGAGAAACCTGAAATCGAGGAGTTCGATGCAGAGGGTGAACGTGAAGCAAGAGTTTTCACTTTATGGTTGAACTCCCTAGATGTCGATCCGCCAGTTGTTTCCCTATTTGAAGACTTAAAAGATGGTCTGATCCTATTACAAGCTTATGAGAAGGTTATGCCTGGCGCTGTTGATTTCAAGAAAGTTAACAAGAGACCCAGCTCTGGTGCAGAATTGTCTAGGTTTAAGGCTTTGGAAAACACAAATTATGCAGTAGAATTGGGTAAGTCTAGAGGATTCTCCTTGGTTGGTATCGAAGGATCTGATATTGTTGACGGCAACAAGCTACTAACTCTTGGCCTAGTTTGGCAATTGATGCGCCGTAACATTGTCAATACCATGAAGACTTTGGCTACAAGCGGTAGAGATATGAGTGATGCTCAAATTCTAAAATGGGCTCAAGAACAGGTCACAAAAGGTGGAAAAACCTCAACTGTCAGATCTTTCAACGACCCTGCACTTTCCACTGCCCACTTCCTCCTCGATGTTTTGCATGGAGTTGCTCCTGGTTATGTGGATTACGATCTGGTTACGCCAGGTAAAACAGAAGAGGAGAGATATGCCAACGCAAGGCTGGCAATTTCCATTGCTAGAAAGCTGGGCGCTTTGATCTGGTTGGTGCCTGAAGATATCAACGAGGTGCGCTCCAGATTGATTTTGACCTTTGTGGCATCATTGATGGCATTAAAACGCTAGTTTTTGTAATTTCTTATCTTTATCTCTTTATGTAATATTAAAAGACGCGTGCCCGAATAGCAGTGTCCAAACCCACGATTGCCTTGGCCACTTTGTCTTTGAATAGACACTGATGAACTAAACTACTTGGCGAGAGTTTTTAATCTGATCTTTCAACTTCTCGTCCCATTCCTTCTTCAACCCATCCACGTAGGCCTTAACATCAGATGCACCAGTTGGATCTATGTCGGTGGTCTTAATGTATTCCATTCCTTCTTTATATGTAGCCGATCCATACTTTACCTCTTGGTTTTCAAAGTTTGGATTAGCAAGAGTCGCGACATAAACTGGAGCATTGGCCGCTTTATATCCATCAATATTGTGCCATGGAGATCCCAAAAATCTTGCGAGATAAAACAGAAACAGCATGCTGTAATATGTGAACACATTGAGATATTTGAAAAATGAATGACTAGTGAAAATACCAGGTTGAACCACATATTGGTGAATTCCTAATTTTTTCAGATCTTTGTAGGTGCTCAAGTGTAAAAGATCTACTAGTCTCTTCGAGCCTTCGTAAGACGCATTACTTTGCAAGAGCTGGATGTCATTGAGTGAAAGGTATTTTGGATCAGACATAATACTTGAAATCCATACAATAACAGCCTTTCCTGCTGTTAATTGGGGTAGGATCTTTTGAATCAAATAATATGGGCCAAACACGTTTGCTTGAAAAACTAGACCCATACCGTCCTTGGACTTGATGCCAACCTGCTGTTTTTTGTACGTAGGATTTGTGACTGCCTCGAGGGGACTTGTCAATACTTCTTTCGTAGCTCCCCACCAGTCAATTCCCTCGTATACCCCCTGCGCTGCATTGACAAAAAAATAGTGTATCTTCTTGTACCGGTTGCTGAGATCGTAGTACGCTCCCAATGTACTCACCATGTTCGTAAAGTCCACTAAAAGATAGTCAAAATCGACCATACTCGGTCTTCCCAGTTTTTCTGCATACGCGTTGATCAAATCAATTACTTCTCTAGCCCTTGGTAGTGTCCTTGAGGTTACCACAATTGTAATGCTAGTTTTTGGGTCTATTTTCTCCAGTAAACGGTACGCAATATTTAGACCCAGATTACTTCGTTTCTGTTAGTATCCAAATTATTATACAAATCCAACTGCATCTTCTAAACATACCTATTGGTACCAGTAATCACAGCTACTTGATGGTTATCTTCCATTCTTCTTCGTGTATGCTAGTCGAAGATTTTTTTACACATCCAGGTATCTACAAAGCATATTGAAATCTTACACCTTAAAATCTTTCTTTTAAACGAGGAAGACTTCTAACCGGCCTAGTAGGAAAAAAACGGTTTTCCGATAATTCCTCGAACGAGGAAGAACAAAACGATAAGACGCCAGATGGCTCACTAATTCTATAAGCGTATAAAGTTAATTAAAATCCTGTAGACGACTCAGCTAACATCAAACATTTCAGTACAAATGCACCCACATCCGGATGGACATTCATCACCATCCTCCCACCAATTCGACGCACACTTTGCGTGGAGCACATGCTGACAATTACCACAAACGAACACTCTCCGGTCAGCCTTCAATCCACAGTAATTACAGTTCCTAGATGTCGTGTAGTCGTTGGATTCCTCTAAATATTTAAATGCTATTCCTTGAAATAACGGTTTTTCATCTCTTGCACCAAGTTTCACAGAATCGAGTAATTCAGGCTCAGTGTTTGCATTGATATTATATTTCAGTAACTCGGCTCTGTTTACAGGCAAACCCCAGTAGTAGAGTAATTCACCATACTGGTATCGATAAGAACGAAACTTCGGCTCGTCTAGAGGATTGAGTAAGGGCGGTACATCGTATTCCATAAGATCTAATATGTCGTCGTGGATTATTTCAATCTTTATGTCAGGAATTGAAACATGTGGAAGGTTTGAGTCTTGGTAAGGCATGGCACTCGATGACCTCGATCGAAATGCCCTCGTGTTATGAAGGCTCGTCGAGAAATAGTCTTCGGATTTGATAGAGCCCGTGTCTACGAAGTTGTTGTATTTCAACTTAACTTGGGAAATGATTTCCGGCGCATTATCCGATGTGCTAAGGAAATCGCTAGACATTCGAGAAGCACATTGAGAGTGAGGAGAATCGTAGTAATCATTGTGAAAAGTAATGACATTCTCTACTGTTTTGGGTGCTTTTTTTTGCACCTCGACATTGGCAGACGGCTTGGAGGGATCGACCAAAATGCAGCTCAGCATAGCTAACATTTGTACGTTTTTAGTTCTTTCAAAATATTCAATCGCCTCTCGAATAAACCACTTGCCACCGAGCGGATGTTGATCCCACCCAAAGTTGTATAAGTCATTTTCTTCGCGGGCGATCAAGACATTCGCAATCATCCGCCAGCAATGAGAAATTTCCTCGTAGCCATACTTTTCTGCCACTTGAGCATTGTGCTTCGATATCTCCTCTGGAGTATCACCACTAACCTTATATTCTAATGCCAACTCCCGCTCATCTGGTATTAAATTGCTGAAATCGCAAATAACAACAACGTTTTTAGCCCGTTTCATAGAATCGTTACTTCTTCCAGACTCAGATCCTATAGAGGCTAAAGTGTTCTTGAAATTGGGGAAGAGCGGTATTTTCGTTCTCAGTGTTATATCACTCTTCATTATCTCATTCCAATCGTCGCCAAAGCTATCGGAGCTTTCCTCAGATGCCGTGTCATTGTCTGAATGTAGCTCACTATTATGACGAGATGAAGCCGATATTGTATCAATATAACGCTTGGGCCTTTTCTGAATATCTGATGGTTTTTGGTCATCATCATAGATGATTTCCGGATTATTGTTCTCTTTAAACCCACTGAATCCCCTTTGGCCCAGCTTTAGTATGCTCTGCTGCTTCCTACCGGATTTGTTATCTAGCATAAAAAAACAAACTAATTGACCTGTAGGTGTCCAAATGGCACCACATCCTTTCGGAACAGGGGTACTATCGAAGGCCATATCTGCTGTTGACGCTGCTAAGAAATTTTCGTTGCTGCTTTTATTATTGATATCTTTTGCCTCGTCTTCAGAAATGGCAGATGCATCAGAGGCCAGTGGTGATCTGTCATCGGAACTCTCAAGGGAAGAATAATCATCAAATCCGACTTGGTCGGCGATATCAAAGTTAAGTAAATGATCCTCCTCTTCATCCAATATATCCAGATTAACTTTTTCACCTAAAATGAACCTCAAACAGGGTTCCAGACAATATTTTCCAGCGTCAGTATATTTCTTTCCTATCTCTTTCAATTTTTGCATTAACTCCTGATGGCGCTCTTGCGTCAATTCCCTGTTTTCCTCTATCTTAAATACCGGAGCATTGTTCTTTTGCGGATAATTCGAAGGGAACTTGATTTCTATCCTTAGGAATATATAGTCTTCGGGATTCTCATTTGACCAGGGACCATTCAGCGTCAGCACCAGAACACCGGTTGAAACAGAAATTTTCTCGAATACAATTTTAGGAAATTTATGTCCAACCATGCTAACTTCTTCACCTAGATTTTGAACTCTAGCTTCGTCAAATAAGTCGTGAGCTGAACCTGCGTGGTGCATCCTAACACCCGAAACCCATGCTAAATGATTAACTTTGTCTTTCTTATTAGATAACTCCAGTCCAGATTTGGTGACAAATGTTTCTTTCAGTTTTGAAACTTTACTTGCCTCAGTATTAGCGACAACAGGCTCCTTTCTAAAAGAAACATAATCATAATTAGGCAATTTCTCATGGAGTTGCTTATTCCTTTCAAAATTCACCTTCTCGTAAGTAGCATTAGTGACCGGCCACAGGCGTAGGTCACAATCTTTTGACCACGTTACCAGTTGAAATTCTCTGTCATCCACTTGCGTATCATATGAATGTCTTGACCTCCATAGAAAATCAGTTACACGATCGCTATGACCTTTGAAGACATATACTGGCTGAAACTTTGAATGCGAGTCCCCTTCATTGGAAACATTTGTGTTCGATAGATAAACGGAGTTATTGCCGCCTACCATAGGCATAATACAGTAGCCCTGTCCAAAAGGCAAATAGCGACCCCTCCATACAGGAAACTCGGTAGTAACAGTTCTTGTAGGGTCGTCAACATTCTTCGAGTAATCCCAAAATTTGACAGTTCCGTCATTTGAACTGGACATAATCTCTGTCTCCTTGAATCGATTAAAATCGATACTGTTGACGCTACTTTTATGTCCTTGCAATTTGTGCAAAGGCGTACAACCCTTGCGTAAGTCCCATATGAATACCTCATTAGCATGGGCAGATGCCATTATGTTAGAATTTTGGAAGTTCCACTTAACTTGGGATGCACCAGCACGCCAGGCGCTAGTGCTGTAGTATGGACGCTGTGCGATACGCATATCCCAGGAATGTACATATGTGTCAATAGAACAGGTGGCCAGTATTTCTGGATGAGAAGGGTGAAAATTGATGTCGGTAATAGCTCTAAAGTGGCCGTGAAGCACATGCTCAATAGCATTTGACGATGATCTTGATAAATTCCACACAAGTGCTTTCTGATTGGAAGTTGACACAACCCAGTAAGGTTTGGCAGGATGAGGTGACCATTGGACATCTGCAACCTCCCATGAAGTTATGTGATGTAGCCATCGAGGAGCTGAGAATGGGTCGTCAAGGTCCACCACGTAGAGGCCTTGCCGGCTTGCAAGTACAACGTCCCTTCCTGAGGGATTGATTGATACCGCATTAAAGCCACCATCGACGCGCAAAGAAAGAGATTTCCCAAATGTCGTCGATTTGTAAGGATCAGACCCAATGAAGTTGGACATTGAAAAGCCTTTTCACATTCAATTGCAGCAAAATACTGGTACCCATAAATTTCATCAGTTTTTGAAAGCGAAAAAAACCTATTAAACATTAGGCGAGAAATCCGCTAGCCACGACAAGTCGGTTGTTTAAGTAATAATCTAAAAGTTTTACGGTACAAATTCATATAATAAAATACTTAATAAGTCGTTTAAACATCATTCTTGAGTTACAGCATTGTAAATTGCCTTGAATGGTGCCTTGAAGCCGGTCCAGATTTCGAATTGAGCAACACCTTGGTGAACTAGCATTTGAGCTCCAGGAATAACTTGCCAATGATACTTGTCACGAGCTAACTTCATAATAGGAGTTACGCTTGGCTTGTATGCGGCATCTAACAGAGTTGGAGCAAAACTGCCATTGATTCCCTTGTTGAAGAAGCGCTCAACCTTTCCTAATAGGTCAGCATCGAGAGGCTTATCAGCAGGTACACAGCTCACCGCAACGGACACACTTTCTGAGATCGATTCGACTTCATTTGCTGATTCAATAATATTGATGTTGTATTCCGTTGGAAAATCTTTCTTCAAGTCGTGAAGTTTGGACGCTGTCCTATTAATCATGAAAATTTTGGAGCAACCTAACTTATGCAAAGCGTAAATGGCTGCTCTCGAAGTGCCACCAGCTCCAACAACAAGGCCTGCAGAATTGGAGGCACCTTCTGGAACTCCATTGGAAATGAGTGAGTTCAAAATGCCCAACCAGTCAGTGTTGTCACCTCTGAATTTTCCGTCTCCCAAAGGAATAACAGTGTTGACTGCACCGATCTGCTTTGCTGATTCGGTCAATTCATCCATATATTGCATTATATCCAATTTCAATGGGATCGTGACCGCCAACCCGCCAAGTTTGGGGTTGTTCAAAAGGCTGTTCTTCACTTCTGCAGCAGAAGTAGTTTCAAACTTGTGGAATTTGTGAGGTAAACCCAAAATTTCGTAACCGGTATTGTGTAGTACTGGAGATCTAGAATGGCCAATGGGAGAGCCAACAACAAAAAAATCTCTTGGTGAGTAGCCACCTAAAGAAGCATAAATTTTATTGATTTCCGGTAGAGTTAACTGACCAGGAGCAGAGGCTGAAGGAAGTAACTCAGAGGTAATTGGAGTTAGAACGGTATTCAAAACTCTCGAAAGCTTACCATTCTCTGTCATGTTAATTGCAATGAGTGGCTTCTTTTCGTGAGTTGACCTGAATTGTTCTAAAGCCAGATTGTCCTCGAACTTTGTAGCAGTGCCAACAAATTTGACAATGTCAACATCCAAAGACAAAGCCAAGTTATATTTGTTTTCCCATTCAGGGTCAGCCCAGCTGTACTGACCCTCAAAGTCGTGATGAGAACCGATGATTTTTGTGTTTCCCTTGTTGTTCATGATGCGGTACTGTAAATCAATTGGCAGCGTTAGTTCAAGATCAATAAATTCGACACCAGCCTTCAAAGCAAGTTCAAATAGTGAAGTTAGAGCCCTGAAATCGTCATCAGGGAAGTTACCCCCTTGCTTCTTTGTTCTGACAGTGAAAACAATTGGCAAAGAATTAGTAGCAATGCGTAACAAAGCCAGCTGTTTGATGACAAAAGAGGGCGAATAGTTAGCTAAATGATCTACTCTTACCTCAACAGCATCACAACCATATGTAATGTCTGATAGTTTGTCGGTGTGCTCGCTCAAATCGTCAAACGTCAAGCAGACAAAAGCAGATCTCCTGGTAGGAATTTCTACTGCCCTTATACCGGTTATTCTACCAATGTACTTTTCAAAAGTTCTTCTTAGGTTCTGAAATTGAGACTCCGTGCCACAGTGTGGAGCAAAGAAGGTGAAATTCGCACATTCGTGGTACCATGCTTCTCTTCTTTCCCAAACATCTCTAATTTCTTCAACATAAGCTGGTCTAGTTGGATCGCTGTGCAAAAACACAATGGTTTCCTCAATGTCACGATGCAAGTGCAAAACGATACCACCATTAGCAGCGAACTTCTTCAATTCCTTACGAGATTCGGGACTTTCGACTATACCACCTCCTGTTGAAAGAATGTATCCTTTGTCTCCATACTTAGCAACCATTTCAGAGAATATCTTTGTCTCCATTGCACGGAAAGCTTCCCAACCTTCTTTAGCAACAAAATCTTTGACGGTGCCTTGCCCATAAAACTGTTCGAATACGACGTCTAAATCTAGCAAATTGTAACCCAAGGCATCAGCACACCATCTGCTAACAGTCGATTTGCCAGCGGCTCTCATACCAATAATTACGATGCTTTTCTTGGATTGACCAGCCAAGGAAGAAGCTAGCGGCTCAGCACCATCTAGTTTAGCTCCAAGTTGAGTATGTAAAACATCCCACCACCCAGGCCAGGTTTTACCGGTACAGTGCCTTTCTAAGATACGTACAGGTCTGCTCGATTCGGAGCTTGTCTTATTGACCATACCAGCCAACAGAGAGAAACTCATAGCGACACGATGGTCATCGTAAGTATCAACACCAACAGGCCCGTTGGTGTTAGAGGGAACAGTCAATTTGTCTATAGAATCAACACCATGAACTTGAATACCATCTGGCAGCTCATTAGCACGAACACCAAATTTTGCTAGCTCGGTAACCATAGCCAAAATTCTGTTACACTCCTTAACACGCTGATTAGCAATTCCTTCAATTGTAGTGGTATTGTCAGAATCCTTGACATCATCATGAGCGACAGCCGCGACAACGCATGCAGTCAAAAATGCATCTGTCATTGGTTCCATATCAACATGTTTCAGTGGTTGCAATTGTCCGGCTGGAGGACCTGTAACAGTAGTTGACGTAGCAGTTTGTGTTACTGAGCATCCCATTGGCTTCAAAACATCCATAGCAAACCTTGCGTCACCTTGTAGAGATTCATAGCCAATGTTAGGAACAGTGACGGTGCAACCCGTCATTGCAGCAAATGCAAGGGGGTATGTAGCAGATGAAGCATCACTCTCGATAACGTACTCAGAAGGGTTAATATATTGGCCCTTTGGAATATGGTAAGTGTAAGGTTCGGACTTGGATTCTTCGACCTGAATACCAAACTTTTGCATCATTTTGATCGTCATCTCGATGTAAAGTTTAGAGATTGGTTTTCCACCGACTAGTGACAAAGTAACAGGTTCATCAGCGTATGGGGCACACATCAAAATGGATGAAACGTATTGGGAAGAAACAGTAGCAGCTAAGTCAATTCTACCTCCCTTGAAAGAAGAGTCGGTGTCAATCTTCAGAGGTAAAGATCCCTCTTTGTTTAAGTAGTCTATCTTTATGCCATTGTCACGCAGAGATTCCACCAATGGGCCAATAGGTCTTTCCTGCATTCTAGCGTTACCGGTAAGAACGATAGATTTTTGACCTGGCGCAGAATTCACTAATGCTGCCACCGAAGTCAAAAACCTAGAGGCAGTACCAGCGTTACCCAAATATAAATGCTCCTCACAAGCAGTTAGGGTCTCACCTCCATGGCCCTCAAGTACAACTGTCTCACCGTTATCTTCCCAAGTTATAGTTGCGCCCTTGAGCTGCTGAACTGCATGTAACATGTGTTTTGTATCATCGGAATGAAGCAGGTTCTTTATCCTACAAGTACCTTTACCTAGTGCAGCAAGGATCAAGGCACGATTAGAAATAGATTTAGACCCTGGTGGGGTGATGGTAACATGCTTAGTTGTGTCAATCTCGTTGAAAGGGTATACCAGTGTTTCGTCTGTTAAAATAAACCTCAAATCGCTATCGCTCACGATATGAGCGGAAGTGCCGTAACACTTACCAATTCTTTCAAGCAGAACAACCTTCTTTTTGGATCCGTCATTCTTTTTGTCGATACTCATTTTTTTCAATAGAGTGTCCAACGGAGTCTTTTTGTGAAGGGTCAGCTCTCTGAACCACTTTTCTTCAGGGGAAATTGGCAAGCCGTACGCTGCTAAGATCTTAGTCAATCTAGCCACCTGTGTTGGAGATAATATGTTAAAGTAGCGTGATAACTCAGCTTCTTTAATCATACCGATAGAAACACATTCTCCATGCAGAGCTTGAGGAGTCAAGATAGCTTCATAAGCGTGTCCAATAGTGTGACCAAAGTTCAATAAGTTACGCAAACCAGATTCACGTTCATCGGAAGAGACAACTTCAGCTTTAACTTTGATACTTTCCAGTACCAGTTTGTATACGTGTTCAGCCATGACATCAATGTTCGTGAAAGAAATCTCATGGATTTGATCGGCTACCGAAACCTGCTTCATCTTGCAGTCATTTACGACTGATAAAAACAATCCAGCATTTGCTTCCAAACGGGCGAATTCGTCTGCGTTCCAAATACAGGCTGTTTTGATGACCTCTGCAATACCGTTAATGAATTCTCTTTTTGGAAGGGTTTCTAGCCATTTTATATCGACCAAAACGAATTGTGGTTGCCAGAAAGCACCGATAAAGTTTTTCCCTAGTGGTGTGTCTACTGCTGTTTTGCCACCAATAGAAGAATCAACCATAGCTAGTAAAGAGGTTGGAATCTGGACTACACGAACACCTCTCATGAAAGTAGAAGCGACAAATCCGATCATGTCACCAATGACACCACCACCCACAGCAACGATCACGGTATCTCTGGTGCATCCTTCACTTAGTAGGTAATCTTCGATGTCCTCTTTCTGTTCACGAGTTTTGTGAGCCTCACCTGGTTTGACAGAGTACCGCAAAATACGTGAATTAGAGTTCAATTTCTTCTTAAATTCACTGAGCAAATCATTGTAATAAGGCACCTTCTCAACATTAGTGTCGTTTATGATCACGTAAGTTGAAGAAGTGCATGATTCGTAGATAGTATCCACAATGTGGCTTTGAATATTCAGCCCAACATGAATACTATCCTTACCCAAGATCGACACCTTAGATAATTGCATTGATGCCCAAAACTGCGTGATTCAATTTAGCTCAAAACCAGTTTACAAAATATTCACTTTTGTGGGTCGATGTCGAAATTTTTTCAGAATCAAGACAATTATATTACCTTTGAGTCATCTCGTGAAGTTGGTGAATTTCTCAAAACCATCACGTGGAGATGTGTTTATAATTTGAGTCAAGAGGTTAAGAAGTTTCAAATTAGTGAACTTAGAATAAGAAAGAGTTAGATGTTCTTCTATGCAATGTTAATGAGATCTTAATTTAGTATTTGACTGCTGAAGTCTAATCTAAGGAAAATTTGTGTGGCCAGGACACAACTAAGTACTTGGACATGTTAATCGTAACTCCTGTTGCATTCATTTACATTTTATCGAGCTCCTACATACAAAAGTTTTACAAAACAATGCGTTCGTTCAAATTTTTCCAAAAGCTTCCGTTGTCGTATACATTGGTAATGTCGTTAGCGTCATGCACAACACGATAATTTTGCAAGTAATATTCCTTGTCATCATATGGATTGGTACTGTAGAAAACCCAGTTTTCCTGTCCGCGTAAATTCTTGTGTTTAGTGTAGTCTATTTCTTTACCTAGAACAGAGCAATGGACATCGACAGATCCGTTGCCCTGTAAAATGGGTAATCCTGTGGCACTGCTATATTTCGCGGAAGCGCCGCCGCCGGCATCGAGATTGGCATCGATACCGGTATACTTGAGATGAGAGCCGAACCCACCACCCCCTCCAAGCTCGATATCATGATTACCATTTTTGAGTGACCGCAGGCTGATACCTGCCCCAGCACCTCCACCAAGACCAACGTTGTCACTAATATCGAGGCCGCCACCTGCACCGCCCCCGAAGCCGGACTCGCTACCGCCATGTCTATCAGAGCGCAAATGAGCACCAGCACCTCCTCCACCGCCAGCACCGAAGGCATTCCCATATCCAAATCCTGCGCCTCCCCCACCTCCTGCGCTAAACTCTTGTTGGTCGTCGTCTGATATGTTTGTGAATCCAGAACCTCCTCCACCCCCCATACCAAGGTTCTCACCCAAATCAAGTCCTGCACCTCCTCCTCCACCTCCTCTAAGCAACCTCTGGTTATTCGGAAGTGCTTCTCTATCGAGGCCAGCTCCCCATCCACCACCAATACCGACATTGCGTCCAGCGTCTAAGCCAGCTCCAGCATGGACATTCCCATCAAGTTCATTCGGATTGATGTAATTACCATCAAATTCCCACATACCATCGGCTAGTAATTCCGTGGGCTTTTTTGTATGAAACTGAAAGTTCTCGCCATCTCCGACGTGCAATTTTTCGGTTGCTTTGGCAGTGGTAGTGCCCTTGTTTCCTGGCATATCGTGAAACGAGTGAGAAGTAGCACGTTGATTAAGAATCCCGTCGGCCTGAGTTTTTGATTCTTTTCTGGATTCAGAATCTCTGTCATAGCCTTCCTTGGGCATCCTAAAGTAATAATTACCATTATCTGAAATCACGAGATTGCCCTGTCTCATCATTTCTTGAACAAAATACCATTTGTCCTCTTCATTTGAAGTCATTCCACTTCTAATGAGAACGATCTGAAAGTAACCAAAAACAATTACTATTATCGCGAAACAACCACACAAAATGCTCAAAACTAACAGTGGCTTGCTTTGTCTCTTTCTTTGCAGACTAAGAAGTCTCACAAAACCATAGCTCAAGAGAGCTATGTTGGACAGGAGGAATAAATAGAAATACCGATAGTTGCCCCTCCCAATACAATTATTAACCCAAATGCAGTGATGATCTGCTAGAAGGGTACATTGATCACAAATTGGACAATGCTTCGAACGTGCTCGCTTGGCGATCTTGCAGGTTGAACAAATTACTCCAGGATGAAATATTACTCTGTCGTACTTGTCTGTATAGGCCGATGTTTTTGTTGATTCAGGAACTGTCATCATTGAGTACCATCCACTAATAAGTGGCCCAACGAGCAGCAGAGGTATCAGAAACCAAATTTCCAAAGAGCATAGAAACGGAAACACCGTCGGTAGTACATCCTTCACAAAAGTTATGGTGCAATACAAGTATATAGTCACGTAGAATAGCGGAACTACTTGGTATTTCCATTTGTATTGATGAGGATCTTTGAAAACAGGATGATAGATCTTGGCATAATACCAGCTGAACGGTGTCACAGATCTCAAAAGAGGTGAAAATAGGAGGAGTATAAGCTGCGAGATAACTAGAAGCCATACGACGCCTATCATTTCGAGTGTATTTTATTCTCCGGTTCGTGATTTGAAGCTGAATTTTTTTGGTGTACCTTATGAAATTGAATTGGATGAAAACGGTGATGGGAAATCTTTTACTTGAAAGCTCAAAAATCAAGGAAACTTCGACTAATAAATCACGGGCCATGCAATGAATGAAAGCGTCGGGAGTCAACAAATTTATATTTTAGAGCATTTACTAAGGGTGGTAAAGAATAAGCAACCTCTTTTCAATAGCGTTCAGCTGAACCGAGAACAGATACGCGAATGCAATCAACTTATTTGGAACGGAAATATTGCCAATAGGCTTAAACTACTGCATCAACTGAATGCAATTTTAGCAAAAAAAGACCTATCTGAGAGAGGCTTGTATCAGGTAAATGAAAAATTAAGTCTCTTGTTATCTACAAATGCGCAAGAACCTAGAAATAATATTTTGGATGGCCACACACTGACCATTATACTGATAGAGACGTTAATTAATATTTGCCACATAGTTTCCAAAGATATTAGTGAGTCAAGAATACGAGAGTCTCTGCGACATTCAATCATCGACTGTGTTCAGTCACGCTTCATAAAAAACTACGTGACAAATATGTGGAAATATGCTAAACAGGAGCTATAGTTCATTAAAACATTTACTTTTCTATTTTCATAGTACATATTCCATGAATCGCTTCCATAGCCTCAATGCTGTTCGTCTGCCTAAAAATTTTCCTATCAGTGGAAGCAGTACCCAGTTTAATACCTGATTAAGCTGTTCTATTGACTCTTCCCATTGCTGTTGAGCAGAAAGTAGTTGTGATTCGTAATCGTCTTCATCGCTATCATAGTCGTAATCATATGCTAATGGGTCTACTTCTTCCAACTCGTCATCCTCTGTTAATTCGTCGTCGTCATCTTGAGTAAGTAGAGGATTTATTTCTCGTTCTAGTGCATTATCCCACATGCTGTTAGGAATGTAATCGATCTATTACAGATGCTGTCACGCTTCAATTCCCTTCGAATATCCAATTATTGTATTCGTTCTTGATTCAAGGTCAAGAGTGAAAAAAAATGAGTTCTCACCAAGATAGGAAATAACATCTGAATTGTTAAAATTACATCGAGATCTCCCATAAACTTCTAACGATTGTAAATGAAAAGGCTTGCCAACACCAGCCGGGCTGCACGCCGATCTTTACCCCAAAGGATGTTGAAAAGGCTTATAGTGCCATCTAGCGATGCCCCGAAGAATTCTGGCTGGAAACAATGGTTTGAGCATTTACAGGGAAACAACGTCGCCAAAATGAAAGAACTACAATCGTCATTAATGAAAGACTTAAAAATAGACGGAGAATTCCATAATGAACTTTTAATGGGTGAAATAAATCAGTGGCATTTTAGAAATGATAGAGCAACAATTGCTACGCCAACGCTTCTCTTACATGGTTACGCTGCAACTTCGATGGCTTTCTACAGAAATTTTTCAGGCTTGAGCAAATATATCAAAGATCTTTATGCGATCGACCTTCCCGCTAATGGACTTTCTTCAACATTGCCTTTGGATATTCATTATCCAAGGGCTCTTCCATTGAAAGTGAAGATCAAAGACGACCACTTTAGGCTTCCTTATACTATCGATGCCATGCATAATAAATGCCTGATACAAAATTTTGAGGACTACTATCTGGATGCTTTAGAGCAGTGGAGAATCGACAATAAATTAGATCAAATAAACATTGTGGCACATTCGTTTGGTGGTTATCTGTCATTCAAATACGCCGTAAAGTATCCTCACTCGGTGAAAAAGCTTTGCCTTGTTTCTCCTCTTGGAGTTGAACGGAGTATATACTCTATTAACAACCAATGGAGGAGCAATATGAATTATAGAATAGATTATGATAATCCCTCTTCGAAATTTTATTGTAAGAAAATGGCCCCGATTCCAAAGATTATTTTTGAAAATCAAACTAGGCTGTTGCGCTGTTTAGGTCCCTTAGGTGCTAAGCTTTGTTGGAACTATATTACGGCTGCTTATTCGAGAGTTCCAGGCGACAAATACAAAGAGTACATATTCGAATTGTTTTACAGTAAAACAGGAATCACATCGACCGCTATGGATATTTTTACGAGTTTGTTTGAGCGTAATCTTTTGGCTAAAGATCCTTTATTGGATGCGGTTTGCCACCTTCATACAGATAGTTTAATGGCGATTTACGGAGAACACGACTGGATGAACAAGGCGGCCGGTTTCGAATTGATAAGAGAGGCTGAAGAAAAGGGAATTCGTGCGATTTACAGTGAGGTAGTATCTTCTGGGCATAACCTCTTTTTAGACAACCCTTTAGAGTTCAATTCACAGGTGGTAGATTTCCTCAACGAATAGGAAGAATTTTTGGTTTCCTTTTCATGATGGAATCGATAAAGAACGTAAATATTCAATTGAACTCGGAAGGTTATGACTATACCCCTGGAATTGCTTGGCGGTTAAAATTTAAGTAGATTAGGGTCGTTCATCTACATATCATGTATATAGTAATAGCTTAGCCGCATACTTCATCAAAAGCTGCCTCCATAATTGAAAGACCCTCTTTCATTTCATCCTCCGTTATTGAAATCGGAGGGGCAATTCTAAACACACCGCCAAACTGTGGAACAGCAATTAGGTTGGCCGACAGACCTTTTGCAAACATTGATGAAGCCAGCTCACCTGCAAGTTTCGCGTCGGCTTCTTTAGTCTCAGGATCGATGATTTCGATGCCGTTCATCAATCCTCTTCCTCTTATGTCACCAATCTGTTTATGCTTTTTTTGTATCTTCTTAAGTCCCTCTCTGAAGAGATCCCCCATCCTTCTTGAATTCTCCACCATGTTATCACGAATAACAATATCTAGGACCTTTGCCCCCACCGCTGCGGGCATAGGATCATTGACATGTGTTGTGTAGAACAAGAAGCCGGTGTCTGCGGTCTCTTGTGCAATTTCATTAGATGTAACGACAGCAGACAGGGGTATACCATTTCCCAAAGTTTTGCTTAAAGATAAGATGTCAGGCACAACACCATGGGACATAAATCCAAACATATCTCCACATCTACCAATAGCAGTCTGAGCTTCATCCACTATCAAAAGCATGCCTCTTTTTTCACAATGTTTTTTTAAGGCTTTTAAATAGCCATCTGGTAACACTAGCATACCACCGCAGCTCAGAACAGGTTCCAAGATGACAGCAGCCAAAGATCCCACAGAAGCAGCGTCGACCATTGAGAAGCCATAATCTAACTCTGTTTCCCAGTCGTAACTTCCATCAGGGTGGCGGAAAATGGATCTATACGCGTTGGGAGCTGGCAACATCAAGTTTCCAGGAATCATTGGACCGTGGTTTTTACGACCTGTCTGGTAAGTAATACCATTAGAAGCTCCCGTCATACCGTGCCAAGACAAAGATAATCCCACGATCTCAAACTTTCCTGTGTAGTGTTTGGCAAGCTTTATTGCAGCTTCGTTTGCTTCGGACCCAGTGCTTAAGAACAGCGCTCTATCAAGCCCATTTGGCAACAAAGAAGTCAGTTTTTGCGCTAATTCAATAACGGGAGGAGAAATCATTCCTGAATAGAGGTGATCCAAATTTCTTGCGTAATGTGAAATCGTTTCGACTATCTCCGGATGGCCATGCCCAATCAGCGTAGACATTTGCCCGGACGTGAAGTCCAAGATCTTCTTATCACCACTATACACGTAAACTCCCTTTGCTCGATCAATGATGAGAGGGGGGTACGTTGCCCCATATGGCAGTAAGCACTGAGTTGCTTTGGCGAATTCACTCAGTTCCTCTTCAGGGATGGTCATGTTTTGGTTGTTTTTCTATCAATCATTGAGAGTGTCGCTCCGGAATCATATCTGCCTTTATATCGCCAGACAAATGACGATCAAATTTCGGTTATTATCAGATGGAAAGCAGATTGCTTATCAGTTCTTGCCTTATGTTCGATACGGTAAATGGTTAACGCCTAAATGCTCGGGATCTGGGCGGACCCACCACTCGGCTGCCTTTAAACGACACCCCCACGCCATGTTTAAGAGCAGTGTAAGGTGATTTCTGGACTCATTCTTCCTCTTTTTTCATCAATAATGCCGTTTTGCAGCCATTCTGCCTCAATTGAGTCATAACAACGCGTCTGACGTCCAGCTTTCCTCTTGTTTAGTTTACGTTAGCGTTGATGATCTCCATCCGATTAGGTATTCTTTCCAAAACTGTAATGTTCTGACGTTATGAGATGCGGATCTCGAGCAGCGCTTCTTTCGGAGGGTGCAGCTTTCGGCTTCCTTGATCAAGATATCGCAGATTTGCCTCCACTGATAGTCGTGATGCACATAATCGTTGGTTCTGCTTCTTGTTTTAGCTAGTTTGATCCTAACTTAAATGGTGTCAGGGTGGACTTTTAACTCATGATGCGACAAAGATCCAGCAAGATGAAGATCCGAGCTTATGATTCGCAAATGGTTTCAACAGAGCATGCTTTGAGAAAGCAAAAGAGACTAGCGTATGTGTGAAGACATTTGAATGTGGTATTGTGCGATGAGAACTAACTTTTATTGTTGGTTAGATGCCAAAGCTGTAGGAGGAGGAGAAGAAAATGCAGTCTAGACACACCTTGTACCAATTGTGTGCGCTACGGTGTAGAGTGTTTGAAGGTTGAGCAGGACCTGAGAAAGAAAAAGCATTCAATGACATACGTGAAATCCTTGGAGAATCACATAGCACATCTTGAAGCTGCTATCGAGAAGATGCGATCATCCCGCAATTCCGACGAGCGAGATAACATACTTGAGTCTATTTCTGTATCTGACATCGAAGGAAATCCTGCATTGTCCGATTCTTCTAGCATTGAGCCCGTGGGAAATTCATCGCAACTGCCGCAGGTTAGCGGAAGCATCTACCCAAATAACTCGCTTACTCTATCCAGCAAGACTCGCGCTCCTGTAACAGACGATCCTCTAGAGGGTACACCTCGAGTGGTTCGCATGAAGACGCTTTCTCGAAGTCCGCTCATCTTGCGTGCACTATCCCTCTTTTTCAAGTGGGTCTACCCGGGTCATTACACTTTCATTCATCGAGAGACGTTTCTGAGCGCTTTCTTTGAAGACCCATCGACGAAGGCCTACTACTGTTCAGAAGAACTAGTGTTTGCAATAGCTGCATTAGGAGCGATGGTCTCGGATCGCACGGAAGAGCTGTTTCTAAATGCGTTTAATTATTATAATGTAGCAAAGAAACGCGTACTCAAAAAAATATTCCTACTTGATGATAGCAGCCTAGTAGGATCTACCTCATCGTCAAAGCTCGCAATCGTGCAAACCCTTCTCTGTCTTGCATTCTTCGATATAGGGAATGGTGAAAATCCGACAGCATGGTATTTATCAGGTTTAGCTTTCAGAATAGCGCATGAGATTGGTTTGCATTTGAATCCGGAGTCCTGGAGCAATGTTTACGAAGATGAACTATCTCATTTGGATATTGAAGTCAGAAGCAGAATCTATTGGGGTTGCTATATCGCAGATCACTTAATTTGCGTTCTCTTTGGAAGATCTGCATCACTGCGGCTGTCAAATTCAACGGTGCCCGAGACCGACGAGTTGCCCGACATTGAAACGGGGATTGAGGATTACCTATACGATCCTAAAGCTATGCTGTCAATGGCGAAACCTTTAAAAAAGCTTATTGTTCTTTCAAGAATCACAGAGCTCTTTGCGAGCAAGATATTTATCCAAACAGAATCTTTGTCCCAGAGGAGTGAGCATCTGAGTAAGTTTAACCTCGAGATATATAACTGGCGCATGGATCTCCCTGATGAATTGAAGTGGAGTATAGCAGCATTACGGACCACGGTCGATTTTAACCCAACAGTGTGCTACGTTTGGTATCATTATTATATTGTTCTTCTTTCTTACAACAAGCCATTCATTGATGAACTAGAGCATAGCCGAACTATTATTGAAGAAACCATCGAAGAGTTGTATTGGCTTCTAGTAGCCTTCAAGGCAAAGTTTGAAAACTTCCAAAAATGTAATATTTACATGGTATACTGTTCGATTTTAGCAATTCAATGTATCAAGACTGGAGCAATAAAAAAAGATTATCTGGCTGAGTTGATGGACTTCTTGGCATCACCATCTTTGAATTACGAACTAGCAAAGAAGATCATGGACAATGAAGTCAGCACAGAGGTAAATGATCTATTTGGGACACTTTCGAATGGTAATGATTTTGCGTTGGAGTATAATTTTGACTTCACGTTGTTAAATGAAATCGATACGCTGATCGCTGGTAATTCGAACAGTATAGTGTAGTTGTAAACTTCAGAATGATACATTGGTTCAAATACAAACTCTATCATGCGCTTTCCCATCATAATATTATTTAATACCTGAAATTAATACCGAAGCCACTCAAAAAAATCGCTTCACGTTTTTTTGGTTTTATCTATAAAAGAAGTGTTTACAAATGTCATTCAAACAGCAAATTGTCTAATCTTAACAATGCATGCAAATATCTCGTACGTTGTTCGATGAAAGTGAGTTCAGTTCAAATGTCTATTTAAGAGAAAGATTTTATGTTTGCCTCTCATTATTTCGCTTCTGGTTTTTGTCTTTTTTAAGAACTTAGTTGAAAAAGTTACTGTTGCGTCAATAATAAAATGTCATATATAATAATAATAATTGATTATGGATGAATGGTCTCAAAAGGATAGCAAGATAAACTTTGCGATGAGGGAGTCAGGGGCTCACATTGTACATAATCGCCATACACGCATGATGTACTAGAAGAAATGAAATCGCTGGGGCCGACGAATTTCGGACTAAAAACTGTTGTGACATCGGTGCAGTAATTTTGTGGGGTAAGGGAAGATACTTTATCACACTCAACTAATTGCAGATATTCCTTGTCGTCCTCTTCAAGAGGTGCAGGGCGGTGATTGCTTCTCTTCTCGTTTAACCGAGTGCTTTTATTGGTAACAGCCTTCTCTAGATCAAAAACAGTTACGGCAGTATGTTTTGAAAATAAACCCCAGCATACTTTGTATGCGTCTTCAAGAACACTTTGTTTGAATTTGTCATTTTTGAAAAGGCTTGGCAATTCGGTGGATCTTCTAATTTCATGAAATGTCGTCGGATCATTCAAAGAAGGAATAAAGTCAGCTAGAATTGCAGTCATAAGTTTAATGCACTCTACTCTTTTTAAATGATCAGGTTCTCGGTGATCTACATCTTCAGGCCACCAAGAAGGCTTGGAATTATTACCTTTCACGTAAGGGAACTTGGTTTTCTTTCTCGGCTCTATAATTCTGATCCACAATTTGGCGATTGTCTTTCGAGGCAACTGCTTGAGGGTTTTAAATACTTCGTGGAAATATCTATTTACCGCTTGCTTGTCCTGCAGGTATAAAACTTTAGTAGGAATGCTTGATCTTTCAGATATTGTCTCGATACCCACTCTCGTCTCGTTACAGAATACCTCATGAAGTTGGTCGAGTAAGAGGGGATTCATCCCATCAGAGCAGACAACGCGAGTTCCTTCTCCCTCTGTGTTTTGTGAATTAGCACATGGTGATTTGAGCAGTAGAACAAAGTCGTAGCCTCGTTTTTCAAGCTGTCCCAGTTGTTTAGTCACCGCTTCCACTGCCTTCATGTTCTATGAAAGAGTAGAATCAAGACCATGAAACATAGAGACACAAGCTAAGTGTCATTACATATAGTTTAAAACTAGATCACAAGATTTGCAGAAAAAGTTCGCTTGGTTTCAAACCTCCGTACTCCATGTTTCTGAATAGTTTGTAGGTTGTATTAATAGTATGCATTTTGAACGATGGCGCGAAGTTAGCTGCAAATGGGTTTTGAAGTTTACCGAGACATTATTGAGGTGCCAAAAGAAGCATCACTAACTTATTCAATATGGCCAGTGCACTGGGGGAACATCAAATACCGAGCGATGGCGATCCGTCTGCGATAGAAGCTGTGAAGTTGTGGGAGAGGGGCGTTTCCAAGGAAAAGGACGGATCGATGATGGACGCCATCCAGTTCTACAGAAAAGCATTAAAGATGAACGAACATGTAGAAAAGGTATACCGGCAAAAGGTTCGTACTGAAATCGAAATTTCCAAGAAATTACAAGAAGTGAATATATCCCAGAAAGGCCCCGATTTTGATTCTGAATGTAATGCTGAAGATGGATCCGAAGGGAATGGCGAATTGCAGCCGTGTTGGATCTTAGATATGCTGCCAACCGATCTGCTACTGCATATTGTTCGTGAAGTTGTTTTAACGTCTGGAGAGTCCTGGGTAAATCTGTCACTGACGTGCTCTGCCTTCAACAAGCTTTGCTTCCACAACTCGACACCGTACAAGACATTTGCCACACTAATTTATCCCCTACAGCGGTATGACGAGGTGTCGATGACTCTCAACGGCATGAGTAGTGCTCAACAGGTGGAGGAACTATTTTGGAAAGATGACTACCCTAGAATGATTAATGAGCGGCCTTACATAAAATTTCGGGGCATCTACATCAGCGTTGTTAATTATCTGCGCCACGGTATGAACCCAGAGGGATCATTATCGCTCATACGTCCCGTCCACATGATAACCTACTATCGCTACTTCCGATTTTATCCTGATGGGACGTGTTTACGATGCTTGACTACTGATGAACCGTCAACTGTCGTAAAGAACTACCACAAGGGCAATTACGTTAAGGACAGCCATATATGCCAATGGGCATTGAGTATTGATGACAACTTTGGCCGACTCACTATTCGGCGCCATGACGATAAATATCACTTTACCGAAGAATTGCAAATCAAAAACCAAGCTTTGCGAAAACACCACAGGCTCACATGGATCAGCTCCAGCGCTACAGATAAGGAAGGGAACAGAGCTGATTTCTCGTTGAAGAACGAAAAGCCATTCTTCTTTTCTAGGGTCAAATCATACCACGATGATTCATTGGCAATGTCGGCACACTCGGATTGATTCGATTAATCATGGTTTAACGTACACGTGACCGGACATTCTAGAGCTGACTCACTTGGGACGAAGAAATCGTCCATGTGAAAATTAAACACTACCCAGTAGTTTTATGCTCATTCGAATCATAGTTCGAATCTACCACATCTGGGCATGAAGGCGCGGAAGTGAGCTGGGAATTGGCGATCATTGACTGGAAAATGGAAGAGCATGTGCCGCTGGAAGTTTTCGACTTCAATCTGGACATTGATTTCGAAACTGCTTATGCCATGATAAGCAATGAACAAGAGGTCGCGAAAGTCCACAGTGAGAAGGATCTGCGACATAACAAAGGAGAGCACATTCTGAATGCAGAAGAGCACAAGTTTTTGGCAGAGGAGCAAATTGATCCTATGCATGTAGCACATGAACACGACGTTTTCGGCCACGACGTGATAGCTGATATGCATGGCATGAGCCAGCCTGGCTTACTAAGTGCATTTGAATCACATGCCATTGAGAGTTTCTTAGACAGCTTAATTAGCCCTGGTGGCAAGAGCGAGAAACCAGCTCTCGAGCATCTCCCAGAATTACACTTTGGTGCGATAGAGGGGGCAACGGAGGCACATGAAGAACAACAAGTACCGCCTAACACCGCAAAAAGGCCACCAAAGTTAGCGGCTGCGGAAAGCACGGACACGTTGGCGGAATACAGTGGTATAAGTGGAGAGTACAAACCTGAGTCACTTTCGTTCCCAGAAATAGCTATCTCAGACTCTGAGGTACCGGCAGAATTGGCCAAGGAGCCTGCTAAACTCAAGAAATGGAAACACGTAGCACTGGAGAAAAAAAGGAGGGACGTTATAAAAGACGGTTTTGACAACTTAATTGCCCTTATAAGATATCCCCGCTTGGAACAAGATCAGATCATGAGTTTAAAAGCAGGAGGTAGCGAGGAAAACATCGCGTCTGCTAACAAGAGGATAAAAGTTCACAAAACTACAAGCAAGCGGATTCCAAAACATGTTCTTCTGAACTATATAATAGAAGATATTGAATATCTGATGTTAGCAAACAAAGAGCTCGAAAACATGATCAAAGCATTGGATGAAAATGGCTAGGCAGTTGATGACAATGGGAGACATTTTCACGACGCATAGAACCAAAATCATATTGGATATCGAATTTGTACTGTTTTTGAAGATAAATTATGTATATAGGAGCATTCAACAGTGAATTTTTAAATGTACTTTAAATTCGCTTCAATTACTAGTTGTACATAGTATATTAAATGATGGTCAGACCCCTTAGCATGTCCCGACGATATAATGACATAATGACCACTGTGCATGTAGTTCCATGCACGAGGAATGAAATCATATGAATAAGAAACAATTACTTACACTTCGATTGCTAATATACATCCCCTAGTTTTAACATGTATGGGGTGCGAACGTCTTTCATTCAACTTTTCTTTTACAGATTTAGCTCCTTCAAAATATGAGATGCAAGTTCCTTATACATCCAAGTATTACCGGATACTTTCTTGAAGTGGATACCAGCAAGCCCAACAATACGTACTTTGACAATGTGTATTTCGAATTTCAAAGGCGGTCTTTCCTTTACATCATTCAATTCTGTTTGTGGTCTGTCAATCTTATTCATATCTTGGGCCCTTGAAGTTGTCAGGACGTCATCTGGATGCAAAGATTCTAAAGAAGCTGCGGAAAGTTCGGGGATGCTACCGCTATTATGGCTCGTTTGAATTGGAGATGTGACAGATAGATTTCTTTCACCAGAATTTGCAGCCAAAGGAGTTGCCGGAATTCCAGGCTGTTGGTAATGCTGTTGACCCAACGATGGTTGACGCCGTATGGAGCTATGGCGAGATACCGATCCTTGGCGAGTAGGAATAGAATAATTCCTTCTATGGCTACCATGAACACTATTATCGCTACCTTGCGAGGAAGCATCATTCACATAAATTACAGGTTGTTGTTGTTGTTGTTGTTGTGTTGAAGGCTTTGTAACGTATGACTGCTTGTGAACACATACAAAGCCACCTTTCACTTCTTTAAAGTCAATGCTTAATTTCTTCAACACAGACATTATCTTGTACCTAACAATAGGCAGGGGCTTAGAAGATGTCGTTTGAACCGAGAAGAAACCTTTGAGGAACAGCGAACGAGGGAAGTCGATAGAAGGCATGGAACCCGGTGGGGCTTTGGATGCCAACTCCAATATCTCCTGGTCTGTCAATTCGCGTTCTTCTTGAGAAATTACAGGGGCTGCAGTATTACTCATATTATCAGATCTACCGTCATCACTAGTCTCCAAGAAACCTTCATCATTTATATCGTGAGCATTTGGATCCATCCCTGCGGGTACAGGAGGTCTCATAAATTTGAGAGATTCACGACGAGCATGCCCAACTGATTTTGCCCTTGCTGAAGGATGCATTTTTCTACCTTTTGGAACCTGCAGTTGAGGTAGTGGCTTATCTTCATCAGCGATGGTGAGTTTGCCAAGATTAGCATGAACTTGTTGTTCATTTTTCACCAAATTGGCAGCATTAGAAGGCAGAGCTGGCAAGTCGGAGTCTCTCTTCGATTGAACAGGATCTTTTGGAGTAGGTGCACTTCCGTAACTTGTCATTCTAGATGGAGGAACATATTCTGAAACGGTACGAGTATGCGTCTTTTTAGGCTTAGTGCTAGCATCAATGAGTATAGTTTGCTGGGTTTGTTGCTGTGGTTGTTGTTGACCATGACGTCTTTGAGATAACCTTCTGAATATGGTCCCTAGCTTAGATTTTTCAGAGCCACTTGTCGCAAAAGAGGATAGATTGGAGCCCTCTGGTTGCGCTTGCAGAGCAGCTGTTGCACTATCGAAGTCGTTTGCTTGTGGTGTTGGCGATAACACAGTGTCGAGTTCCACAGAAGCAGGTGTAATATCACTCGACTTACGCGTGGTTGGCGAGGTGTGAGCTTGCTCTGGAATAGAAAGTTTGGGGGGCACGAGTATCGTGGGCCTTGTTCTGAGCGGAGAAGTGGCACCAGGAGCACTGGAATTACCTGTATCGTGAATAGGCATGTATTGCTTGGCAGCGGAATTGTTCTTAACAACCGGAACTGGCGTACTAGGTTCAGGGCTTTCATGCGATACTGGTGCTGGAATATCCAATGGTTGTGGCCATTGATTGGTAGCGGATAATGCTGCCTTCTTTTGTTGCTTGGCGAGTTTCCGTTTCAACATTTCGTCCACCAAATAGTAAATAGAGAGCAACGGATGGTATGCTCTAGTGGGGTCCTCATGGTTGCCATTTGGACCCATATTGACCCAATATTGACGTGACAACACTTGATATTCTTGACTGGAGACGATCTTTGTGAGCCATGACGTGGCCTCGACTGCATCGTCGATAAATTCTAATCGGTACATTTCTTTGATAACAGCAGCGTCAAGCATCTCAGGTGTCAGAGGCACGCGATGAGGAACATAAGAAGGAGCTGGGAAATCGTAACCGCGTTGCATCCACTGATGGTTGACCACTTGTTTGAGAGAAGCTCTTTTGGTCGGGTCCACGACCAACATTTTTGACAAAAGTGAGATGACTTCAATGGAGAGATGCTGTGGGTACTCGACCTTGCCCTGCTTTATCTTCTCATGCAATACACTGGAGTTTTCGTCGTCAAAGGGAACTTTCCCACAAACAAGAACGTATAGCACTACCCCAAAGGACCACACATCCACCTCAGGCCCCACGTACGGGCACGCCTTGAGTAACTCGGGTGCTGCGAAATACAGGGACCCACAAAACGTATGTAACTGTTTCTTGGGATCGTAAAGGTTGGAAAGCCCAAAATCGATGATCTTGATCTCACCCGATGTGGATATCATAATGTTCTCAATCTTGAGGTCTCGATGGACGATGTTGTTCATGTGCAAGTATTGCAAAGCGCTGGCAATACCACGCGCAAATTTGCGAGCGCTGCGCTCGCGCAGCGACCCATGTTGGATGATATAGTCCAGCAGTTGCCCGCCCGACACATATTCGAACAGCATGTAGAAATGGTTGCTCATCGTGCACATCTCGAATAGTCGGCATATATGCGGGTGATACAGGATTTGGCCCAACGACGATTCACGGATCGTGCGCTTGTCGCGCGAGATCTCCTTCTCGAGCTTGCGCTCGCGCTCCAGCATCTCCTCCTGCGTCTTTGGCGGCGCCATCTGCGCCTCCTTGTGCATGAAAGCTTTAGTCGCACGGTTCACGATCTTGATCGCGCAAATCTCCCCAGTGTACCGGTGTTTTGCCAGCTTCACCTTCCCCATTGAGCCCGCGCCCACCGTCTCCAGAAAGTCCCAATCCCCTAGATACTTGCGATGGAACTGTTTGGGCGCCGTGCTCTTAGCCTCGCCGCTCCCACGGCGCACGGGCTTCGCATTGCTTTCGGGTCCCACCTCCACTGCGGGCATTAAACCGGATCCCGCATTAGTGTTACTAGCATTGCTCATCGTACTGCTGTGCTTGCCCATCATCCGTGGTGTTGCGGGCGCTATCGCTGCAGGCGCTATCGCTGCGTTTGTGGCCCCCGTGGCCGCGCTTCCGGACCCTGCACTTCCACCTGCAGTACTGCTGCCCATCCGAAACTCCCGATTGACGTGGTAGTCGTTGGTAGACGGCATTTATCTGTGATCTTTTACCTCAATTGACCGCTAGTTCTTCCCGTTGATGTTTATCCCTTTACCATCCCTTTACAATTTTGCCACCGGGTTGGTGATGTCGCGTTGAACGACGTGAGAAAATTCAAGATATCAATCACGTGACCGTATTTTTCGATTTAAGACGTGTTACAATGGCTGTGATGGGCTCTACAGGACGCTAAGCGTGGCCCTCCTATTTGTGATTTCTATATCCACCAATGGACTCAACTCCGTCGTTCTCATGGGCTCTGTAGCGTGTGTTGAGCGTGATCGCGACATCTACACATCGCGCTCGCGCGTTGAAGGTAACGATTATCACCACTGCAAACCACATTTTAAACACAAGACATGAAGAGAACTCGTGATGATAAGCCACTAGACTGGGAACAGTGTGTGGGTGAGGAAGTGGTACAGCAACTGAGCAAGTTGAGCGGAGGAAGTGGCCCACGGCCGGAGCTGAAGGCTCATTGGCACTACGAATACGTGATCGCGTGGCTTTACAACGTATGCCGGTCGTTCTACACTGCAGAAGAAGCTGGAAAGCCGCTGTGGGCCGACGTAACGTTTGAGGAGGCGGTACTGACGCAGGACATGATGCGAGACACTGGAGACGGCGAAAGCGACGGCGAAGCGGACGGCGAGAATGACAGCGATGGCGACCAGGCGCCGAACCTGTATGCGCAAGTGCGGCTGCGCGTGCTACGGACGCTTACACAGACTAAGGACGCGCAATTGCGCCAGTGGGATGCGGCTGTGAAGCCATTTCTTGCGGATGTGGCCGGCGCAGCGTTCTACGCGGCGCACGACACGCGATTTGCAGAATTGGACGCGCGGGAACAGTTCGACGTGTTGTACTACTGCGTGAAGCACATTGAACGCCGCAGTGCGGTGTTTCGCCATTACCTGGGGGCACATTTGCACCTGTTTCAATTTCCGCAGTGCGCGACGGACGACGGACGTACATTGCTGCTACTGCCGGGCGGGAAACTGGTTGAAAAGACGGCTGCATGCCCGCACGACAACGAATTGCATGTCCCCATCAAGTTGCGCAATTGCACGTTGCGGCACGAGGATGCGGCAGGTGGAGTCGAAGTGATGCACCTGGATTTTGGTCCGGATATCGATGCATATCTGGCGCGGATAGCACCGGAGTTCACGCCGATCGCGTGCAACTGGACTGATTTCGTGGATTACGCGGTGCTTACGAAGGACAGGAGTGTTCAAGAGTTTATGGCTGCGTATCTACCCGTGGTTGCCGCACACGAGTTGCAAGCGCGTCGCATTTTACAAGTGCGTGAGCGCGAACGGTCAATGGCTGCGTTACTGGTGCGCCGTAAACGTTCTTCACGGCTGGTGGCGCGTGAGGAAGAGACCCAGCGACGCGAACTCGAGGCGCGCTGGCTCGAGAAGCTCGATGAGCGCGACCAGTTTTTGCGTGCACGCCAGCGTGCTGTGGCCAAGCATACGCGTGCCGTGAAGGATACGTTGTGGTCGCTGCTGTGGGACCGGTTTGAACAAGATTTGCGGGTAGAGAAGCTACGGCGTCGCGCAGAGGGCACGCTTGCAGAGCATCTTGCGACACCCGAGCCCACTGCAACACCTCCGGAATCGCAAACTGCTGCCGTTGTCACACACGGCGGGGATGCGACTGGCGTCTCCAGCGGCGCGTCTGACTTCACTGCAAGCACGGCAGAGGCTAGTGCAACAGGCCCTGCTGCGACATCCACCGCAGCTGCAGCCCCCGCAGCGGCAACGCCCACAGCGCCTGCACTCTCCGGCATCGATTCTGCAGTGCTCGAACACGGTGAAAAATTCCAAGTCGCACTGGTCGAGGTGGACCCGCCGCAGCCGGCCGAGATCGCAGCTAAACCTCTCGAACTACCGGAACATCTGCTCGTCACACGTGCGGAGCTTCAGGACCTCGAACAACACGGCATCCCAGTTTCAGACTACGATCCTGACTCAACGGACTGGCTCTTCCAATGCCCCTGCAGCGTCGCAGGCGTCAACCTAAACGACGACCCTGCGGTGCAAGGCTCTCCCATCCTATGTTGCGATGCATGCCTCCGCTGGCAACACTGGGAATGCCAGCGCGAGCAGTGGCTTGCGTTGCAAGCGTCCCCCACCAAACAGCACGCAACTGTTGTCCTGGGCGCACCACTTCATCATCGTCGCAGTTCGCGTCGCCAACATTCCGAAGAACCTTCGCACGCTTCCGAACTACGTCCGACCGACAAGCGAGCGGCCTCATCCCAATCCGAGCCCTTCATGTGCGCTTGGTGCATGCGCCAGCTGGAAACCGACTTGCGCGGCGTGTTCATTCCCGAGCTCATGACGCTCCGGGCCAAGCAACGTAAGCAACACGATGATCGCGAAAGACGCAAGAAGCTCAAGGAAGAGAGACGTCTGCTCGAGCCGCAGCTTACTCAGCCTACCCAGCAACCTCAGTCAGCCTCTATTACATCGTTTAATAACACGTAACCTATATACAACAACCCAATTGCCCATTGTTTCTTCGCTTTGGCGATTTTTCAGCCGTCCGCTTCCAAGGCGACTTTCTAGAATGAGGCTTTTCTTTTTAGCAGCCAATGCGGCACCGGTCAGCAACCAAAAAACCATCCAGCTGGAAACTGAGAGAAAGGAAGGCTCCGAAGTGCATTCTACACTACTTGTTGAGCAGCTTATAGGCATAAAAGAGCCAGAAGAAACATATGGGCATATTCGTGGAAATCCCCGGCTCGAACATGTTAAGTATGACGCGGTTTCTACCGGAACACGTAGGTAAAATGGGCAATGGCCACACGAGGGATAATGGGGAGCACAGTCTGCTGACGGTGTCGAAAGACGGCCACTCAGGTGTCAAGCCAATACGGATGCAACGTCGGCGTCGCAGCTCGTCTTCTGACTTGTCGATGGCCAGCATGACGCCGTCGATGTGCTCGGTGATGTCGCAAGTTAAGCAGAACCGGCGCCGACGCACCACAAGTACCAGTAGTGACAGCAGTAAGCAATCGCTAGAACCACCATGCGCGAGCGCGAGCTCGGTGTCATCGTCATATCGTGCGACCGAAAGCTCTCGACGCGCACGCACGCTATCGGACGACTTCTTCGGCGACTGGTTCGGCAGCCTCGGATGCGATGCCGTGACCAAAGCCGTCCACCACGGTACAGAACACCCGCTAGAGGTGTCAATGAGTCTCGACAGCGCGTTGCTTTCAGAAGAACCGCGCGTAAAAGTTGTCAACTTGCCAGATCTCAACTTCAGCGACCAATATCGTGTCAGCGACATTGTGCAGTTTTATACACCTGTGTTCCAACGTCGCAAGCGCAGCAAGTCGCGCCGCACCTCCGTGGACCTCACTATCGACACTACGAAGCGTGTGGGCACTGCACAGGTTTCCGATGTTTACGGCAGCGATACGCTGTCGGTGAAACAGCTGGCGTCTGTGCGAGGCTCATCGCGGGCTTCATCGCCACTAATATACGAAAAAGATATCGTTGAAATGGAGCATTGGCCCACACAAGAAAGCGACACTCAAGAATCCACAGATAGTGCCGCTAATTATTTATGGACCGATCGTCCTCTCAAGCGCACCCGGCAACAATCTCTGAATCCAAACTTTCTCAAGTTGTACGCCCTCGAGACATCATGCAAGTCGCGCAATACCATTCCAGATCTGAACGTGGACGAACAGGTACTACGGCGGCTCAGCTACGATGATATCTGGGCTCTAGACATTCCGGCTGCGTCCCAAAACCAGGGCGTGTCCGCCTACGACATTAAAATTGCACTTATAACCAGGAAGAAGCTGTGGTCCGAGATGCTCTCGGTCCCCCGATCCGATCTCCACGGTGCCAGCTCTCCCTGGAACCTCAAATTCATTGCATCTTCACAAAACGAAACTGCCTCCACGAGCTCGTTGGTCCGTGTCAAATCGGACCTCAAGCCTTGGACTGGCCAACTCTCATCGCTAATGTTGAGACCATGCGGGAAGCTGGCTCTCGACAAATCACGACCAGGCTCGTGCACAAGGGAAATACAATACGTGGTGAAAGGCTGGTGCGACAGCAGGTTTGTAAATTGATTTGTCATTCGACTATGCTGTCTCAATTCATCACGCTCGGCGTTACGTATATCGCTATATAGGGAATATCCATGATCATCGCAGATAAGAACACCCACCAACTTGTAATCTCGGATTGTATCCACTAGCGTCCATCTGGAGGCAGCCGACGTCCTACAACCAAACGCACTTTCTCGTTCCGACACTTTCCATGCTTGCCGATCTGTCAGGACTCATCGGCCTTTGTTTTCGAGATTTCGCTATGGAGAAAGCCACAGTCTAAATGCCGAAGATACTGACACCACTGCAATGGCTCCATAATGGGAACACATATTTAAGCAACAAGATTATCATCCTGCAACATCTTAGCTGCTGGAGCTTCAACCGTAGATAAATTACAACATGCGTCCCTCATTGATTGCGTTGTCCTTGAATCCCGCAAACATAAAATCCGTCGCTGTGATTGGTGCAGGCCCAGTCGGAGCTGGGCTTACTAAGGCATTGCTTAACGAGCGTCACTTTGATAAAGTGCAAGTCTTTGAGAAGCGTGGTGGATTCGGTGGTCTCTGGAATTACACCAAGCCACTCTTGAAGCATACAGGCGTCACTTCATGTCCAAAGGTGCCGTGCGAGTCTCCACATGAGACGATCAAACCGGTTGTTCATGATAAGCATGGGAGTGTATTCCAAACAGCTGTTTACAAGTACCTGGATACCAATGTCCCCAAGTATTTGATGGAATACGAAAAGTTTCCGTTCCCAGCGTCAGCTCCGTTATTTCCGACCAGAGATCAAGTGCTCGAGTATCTCATAAGTTATTCCAAGCCCATCGAGAACCACGTAAAATTCAACAGCGAGATTGTGGGGCTTAAATACAACGACAAGAGTGCGAAATACGAGCTTTCTTCTCAAAATGTCTTAAACGGCGATCTCGAGACCAGTGAGTTCGATGCAATCGCTGTTGCTACAGGCTTCTACGATTTGCCTTACGTCCCAGACAGACCAGGTCTCAAACAATGGCATGAGAAATTCCCACAGTCGATTTCCCACGCGAAAGATTTCGATTGCCCCGAAGACTTTGCAGATGTGGAAGGTGAGATTATCATTGTGGGAAACAGCGCATCTGGTTCCGATCTTGCGTTTGAGCTGGCCACCACTTTGAAGAGAAAGATCTACAAATCCAAGAGAAGCGAATCGTCACTTCCTTCCGGCTACGACTCGAACATTATCGAAGTATCAGACGTGGAAGCTTTCGATCCCGATACTAAGACAGTTAAATTTGTTAACGGCGAAAAAGTCGCCAACGTTGACAAGATAATCTTCTGCACTGGCTACCTAAAATCCTTGCCATTTTTACCTCAAACAGCCAAGCCAGGCGAGGTTGGCAACAAAGTGCTAAGCTCCCTCATCACAAATGGTTCACGCATTCACGGACTTTACGACCATATCCTACCAATAAACCTTCCAACTTTGGGAATCATCGGCCTACCCAAATACGTCCTTCCTACCAGACTAAGTGAAACTCAAGGTGCTTGGCTTGCCCGCGTGTGGAGTGGTCGCATCAATCTCCCATCCGAGGAAACAATGACGAAGTACGATCAATGGTTTATCGAGAAGAATGGCCCCAATGGCAAATATCACGACTTGAATTTCCCTATGGACGTTGAATACTCTCAACGTCTCAATAAGGAAATCAGAAATGCTGGGAACGGAGGGTATTTCGGTGTGGAATGGACGAGCGATCAAATTAAACTAAGAAGTTCCATAAAACCACTCAAAGAGGCATATTTGGCTTATCTCAAAGACACCGGCAAAAGAGCCATGACAGTGGAGGAATTGGAAAGTGCAGGCTACTTCCAATGGCCCCAAGATGCCATTACCTCCGTTGAAGTACCCGAATTTGTGCCATAATCTATAAACTTATAAATCTTTAATATACTTTAATCACACGCGACGGATAGAATTTGTGTTAACAACTTTCTCAAACTACCTAAAAGGTACGGAAGCGAAAGCTCGGGTATGAGACAATTCAACGGTATGTGTGTGGAATTGGATCGTAATATATATGCAGTTGTGAATCGAAACTAACACATTTATTTAGTAAGCTATTTAGCCGTGGTCCGAGGGGATAATTTAGTGTCGAAATACTACAGGAGCGAGCAATCGGAGTACGGCTCCATTGGGAAGGCAGGCAAACATGCTACTCCAGAAGTATTCGAGAGGTTAGTCAAAGAAATGGTGCTTCCAAAAGTAGTCCACTTGGATGGCAATAAAGTGACCAAAGTCTCGACGACATTGTTAGACGGTTTCGACTGTTATTATGGAACATCAGACAACAGTACTGTGTATGTATGCTTCACGACTCATGATATGCCCAAGATTTTGCCCCTCCGTGTCTTGGCAGAGCTCAAATCCATGGAAAATGAGACTGATAAACAGCTAGATGAAAATATCCAACTTATTATTCGGCAATTTCAAGAAGAACTACTGTCGTATCACGATTCAGGCCCTGCTGAAGCGACAGAGCAAGACTTACAAGAAATTATTCAGATTATGAATGACAATATTGATAAGTTTCTTCAGCGACAGGAGCGAGTATCTCTATTAGTAGATCGCACTTCAAAGCTGAATCAATCGAGTTACAACTTTAAACGAAAAGCTGTGCGAATTAAGACTAAGATGTGGTGGCAAAATATCAAGTTATGCTCCACTTTGGTACTGGTTGGGTTGATCTTAATTTTCCTCATTTGGGTTGTTGTACATTTTGCTTAAAGTAACTTTACATAGCGTTATTTTCCATCTTCTGCTTTTTGGGCATCGTATCTTCCTCACCATCGTTATCGGTTTGGTCATCTTCCGTTTCTACACCCTGCTCGTCTTCACCTTCACCTTCACCTTCATCTTCATCTTCGTTGTCGACATCAACGTCACCGTCTTGCGCGTTTTCTGGAGTGTCTTTGGAAGACGCTTTCTCTTCTTTACGTAGTTCCAATGCTTGCAGGTAATTGTCTAATTTTGAACGCACCACTCCTTTCAACCCTCCCAATCCTACTTCATCTAAGGCCGCCAAAACGTCATCCACATTACAGCTCTTGCGATCTTGGCTGTGCGCTAACTCACGCGTGTACATGAGCAGGTGATTTACGAAAACGGTAGCAGATCTTTGCAGCGCAGTTACCGCATCTTTTGAAAGGGTTACCTTACTTTGTTCTTCCTCATTGGGCCCATCATTCCTATCAAGAGTTACCTCCTTCGCCAACGCAGCAACTGTCGCTTTAGGAAAGAGAAGATCATCAATTGTTATCTTTTCTTGCTCTTTGATGTAGGACGTAGTAGGATAGTTCCCTTGGGCATCTTTCTTCCATCCTTTAGGCGGCATTTGAGTTGCTCAATTAACGTGTCTGCTTTGTAAAGGGCTTTAAATTTTTGGAAGATAGACATTACTTAATTTCAAATGCAAGAAGAGATTTAGAAAGCATTTTAAAATAGCCCCCGGGGTTGGCACCGACTCTCTCCCAGTCATGTCAAAAATACGAGAGAAGTGCATGAACGATAATACAATATATTTCAGTTGACCGTGATGGGAGTGCTTTAAAAACGGTCCAACAAACCAGAAAGATTCCAATCTCTAGTTCCAAAATAACCAAGAAAGCACAAGATGCGCATAAAATACGTAAAGGCGAAGCAACCCGATTTAAAATCGCATTCTTTCTGTATTGTACATTTGGGATAACTTATAGTCTTGATAATGTCAAAAAAAAAATTTTCGAAGTCATCCCCATCGCATTGGAAAATCGACAAGAATGATTAGAGCTGCCCTATCTAAGGTTAGAAATCGGTTTTTACGATCACCAACCGAGATCAATTTGGAGGAGTTTAACGTTATTACAGAGGGCAAAGCCCATATCTTATTCCCCGAGAAAGAGGACGTGTTTTACAATCCTATTCAACAGTTTAATAGAGACTTGAGTGTTACTTGCATCCAGGCGTGGGATGAATTGTACGGAAGAAAGCGCCAGCAAAAGTCCAACGGCAAGAAGAGATCACTTGCTTCTGACGAAGAAAGCGTCAAGAAAAGAAAACTACAAGACGGAAGTGCCAAGTTGGATACAACAGTGCGCCCATATATTAGAATTCTGGAAGCGCTATCAGCGACTGGCTTGCGTGCTATTCGATACGCTCATGAAATTCCTCATACCAAGGAGATTATTGCCAACGATTTGTTACCTGAAGCTGTTGAAGCAATCAAGAGGAACATTGCCTACAACAAAGTGGATGACATTGTGAAGGCAAATCAAGATGACGCTAATGTACTAATGTATCGCAACAAAGCAGCGAACAAGAAATATCATGTTATTGACCTCGATCCGTACGGTACGGCTACTCCTTTCATTGACGCTGCAATTCAGAACATCGAGGAGGACGGCCTGATGCTGGTTACCTGCACTGATCTTTCCGTTTTGGCAGGTAATGGGTATCCTGAAAAGTGCTTTGCTCTTTATGGCGGTGTAAATATGGCAGGCCACGATGCAACTCACGAAAGTGCCTTGAGACTGGTTTTGAACCTTCTTGGCCAAAGTGCTGCCAAGTATAAGAAGAGCATCGAGCCCCTACTTTCGCTCAGCATCGACTTTTACGTTCGTGTATTTGTCAAGGTGCGTACAAATCCAACTGAAGTGAAAAATTTACAACACAACACTATGATTACATACATGTGTTCTGGATGCGGGTCATATCATAATCAGGATTTGGGTCGCCAATCGGAGAGACAATCCAAGAAGGGCAACCCATACGTGAAATACTCTCTCGCGCAGGGACCTCCAGTGGACCGGAGATGTGGGTTCTGTGGCGGTGCTCATCACATCACAGGACCCATGTACGCTGGTCCTTTGCACAATCGCGAATTCATTGACAAGGTGCTGGAAATTAATAAAAATGTGCACACGGACGAGGTTTATGGCACAAGAAAGAGAATAGAAGGTATGCTGACATTAGCTAAGAACGAGCTTGACGCGCCATTCTACTTTACTCCCAACCGAGTGTCGTCCATCTTAAAGTTCCAAGTGCCCAGCTTAAAGACAGTTGTTGCTGGCCTCGGATCCTTAGGGTTTGAGTGTTCACTCACACACGCACAGCCTTCTTCTTTGAAGACTGACGCGCCCTGGAGCGCCATATGGTACGTAATGAAGAGGTACTGCATGGACAACAATTTGTGTAATTTGGAGAAAATGAACCCGAACACCTTTGGGTACAAGATCCTCACCAACCACAAGATAGATGAAATTATTGACAAAGACAAGCTTTCCTTCAAGCCCAACGAGCAAAGTGGCCGCGTCGAGAAGCTCAGAAAACTCAAAATCGTCAGGTACCAGGAAAATCCAACCCGCAATTGGGGGCCCAAAGCCAGGCCCCAGTGATTATTAGATGTCATATCACATTAGAATATTTTATACACTACCTATTTCTGAATATTTTTGGCTGTTTGTCCGTGTTTACAAGGACGTGGCAAGCTTTCTGTAAGCGAATGGCCAGCCCAACACGCCGGTCATGAAAGCACTCCAGCCCAAAAAGGCTGGAACCAATCTTCTGGCCTCAGTGCGAATCCACGCTTCACCGATTCTCTTGTGTGACGCTCTCAACAAAATCTTTGACGCACTCTTGGAAGCAACAGTGGCAGTTTGCGATATAGAAGCAGTTGATCTTAGAACTTGGGAAGCTAGCATTGATTAAAATTGAAGGGATGTGGAGTCTTGACTTTTGAGTGGGGAAAGGAAGCAATAATCAAAGACAACAATCCTCTAACCCCAACACATTATATACCAAAAAAACACTACAAAGGACAATGAAACTAAATGCGGGGGTGGCACCACAATTGCTTGTCAACCCCAGGAATCGTCAGATTATTTTATTCATTGTTTTACTCCGTCTATCAGCCCATAATGTCAGTAAGAGGCCAGTCACGACCCAGACATCTCGTCTCACCACCGACAAAAATCACCCGATCACCTGACCAACAAGCAAACAAGAAGAAAAAAGAAAACAATAGAGACAGTGCCTTTGTAGTGCCTATAGGAACATAACAAACACGTGACTTTTGACCACAAAAACCAAATTGATGCACACGTGATAAATACGAATATCTTGTTAAACGAAGAGACTGTATAGTGTCTATTATAGGTTGCTAGCTGCCTAGTTGTGGCATTGGACTACTGATTGTACGACCGATTGTACAATTGAGTTGATTCATATTTATATAGTGTAAGAGAATCACACGGTCCGGCTCAGCCGGCGCTCTACCTCTTGATGGACGTATGCAATTTGTATTCCTTGATGATAGCACAAGATACCATCGCGAGTATCACCGTTGTCAGACAAAATGCGTAGGTATACTTACACGCAAAATGGTAGCACTCGATCAAAGTTGCACGTACAAACTCTGGTGCATCCCTGTGTACCCACTCCGAGGAGTGTGTCGCGTTCTCTATGATTCCTGTCAGCTCCTCAGAAGAATGCCCGTCGGATGCGAACTTCATAACATTGCGCTGTAAGAGCGAAGACAGTGCGCTCCGAAAGATAGCTCCTCCAATCGACACACCAAGGGTACATCCGGTGGAGCGGAACGCGTACGAAATCGAAGTGGTGGCTGCCTGGTGCTCATGAGGGACTGCCGCGATCATCGCTAAGAGCGTCACAGTAATGAGTACAGATACTCCAAGTCCAGGGACAAGTTGTAGTATGTACTGTCTCCAGACCGCAATCGATGGTGTAATAAGGTTAATTTGAAGCTGTCCCACGACTGCCAACAGACAGAACCCCATTAGGAACTTGTAGTACCTACCTGTGCGCTTCATGTAGTACCCGGCGCCAAGCGAGCCTAAAGCAGTGCTGAAGAAACTTGGAATTGTTCTTTTCCCCATATCTGTAGGCTTCATGTCTAGCACACCGGCCCAGTAAACTGGCAAATAATAATTGGTGGTCATCGCTGCCATCATACAAAACCAGTTAGCCAAGCTTGCTCCCAGGATAGTCCTATTCTTGAGAAATGAAATTGGCAACACTGGATCAATAGCCACATGTGTTTCGATATAGGCAAACATTGATCCCGATATCAAAATGAGCACACATAAAGTAATAAACAACTTGGAGTTATAAGCAATTTCCTTTCCTCCCAAGGACGATGCCAACATAGCCAGTAACAAAAAAACTACGAGGAACAACACCCCCCACCAATCAACTCTGGCGAGCTTACTCTTCCATGTGGACTCCTCGCACGAGTCGTGTTTGCGTGGCGGTAGCTCCAAAAAGGTAACCAAAACACCGCAGCTCAGAATACAAGCTGGAACCTGAATTAAAAATGCCATTCGCCAACCGCCACCATGCTCAGTAAACCAGCCACCAATGAGACCGCCACATGCTGTGCCCAAACCAAAGAAGAAGTTACAAATGCCTTGGTAAAGCGCACGGTCCCGTAAGGGCACAATATCACTAGTTGTAATACTCGACATAGAGGTTATTCCGCCGCCTCCAATTCCCGCTACAAATCGACCAGCGACTAGCCACCACAGTCCGGGACTCAAACCACACATGAGGCATCCCAAACAGAAGAATATGTTACTGAACACAAGAAGTGGCTTTCTCCCAAAAATGTCTGAAATCTTCCCATACAATGGCTGGAAAGTGGCGCTTGAGAGTAAATAAGCAGTGGCAATCCAGGAAATGCGGGGCAATTCGTTGAACTCGGATGCGATGTGCGCCAGTAACGTTGAAACAACAGTGTTGTCGAGTGCTGCAAGGAAGATACCGAGATACATAGAAATCATGATAATCCGAATACGAGCAGGAGAAATTTGGAACTCTTCAACGTCATCATCATCAATATCATGTGTACTCGTCTGCACGCTCCCCTTCCTAATAGAGCCGTAGCTCTGTTCATCCCTTTGCAAATTTTCCTCTTGTTGCTCTAACTCACTAGCAACAAACCCTGGAAGACCGCTGGACGGGTCCTGCAGTATGTTTCGATCGATGGGTTGAAGAAATGGCTGACTTTCCCTGTCAACATTACCTTTAGCCATCTTTAGTTAAAGTACAAAAGTTTTAATAGTAAGTTTTTGGTAAAACTTCCAAAGATTAAAGTAGGTGTTTTGAGAACGCTTTCTCTTATAAAGGATTAAAAAGTCGGTGTGACTCCGCGTTAAATGCTAAGCGGGCATATATTATTCGCTTTATCAATGATAACTGGTTGCATCGATATTCAATTCTGATTTTTTAGCTTTACCACACAACCCCAAAGAGGTAAGAATGGCCGAGCCGTTGAAAGACAGGCAGTACGGCTTCACATGACAATACTAATATATATTTTAACCAAAATCAAAGAATGTTAAAATACAGAAAAAGCTAAATATTAATGGATTGGTTGTATGTCCCATTTGGCAAAATCAGGCATCTCCAGGTGAAAGAATGGAGTGTTTGTACCAGATGCAGCGTAAACGTTGTAGCGTGTCTCCACAGGTATCCGAGACTCTTCATCAGTTTGACGAGATCTAACTAGATGGTAACTTGCGTGTCCAACAAGCAGAGATTCATTAGCATATTCCTCGTTTACTACTCCGAAACCAAAATTGACTAAAGCCCGTTTGATCCAAGGAGAAATAATGCCGCTGAAATGAAACTCTACCTGTCTATCAGCGTATTTGTTAACCGCTTTACGCAGATCGACCAGCGTCTGCAGGCCAGTTGAATCCGTTTGTGTGACTTGAGACCAGTCCATTGCGATGATTCGTAGAACTGGTCTGTCATCTCTAACTGGTTCATCAAAAGAAGAATCAGATCCCCATTTTGATGGTAGAACCTTTCTCAAGAACCTTGGTGGAGTCCAGTCACCGGGGTCATTCCAAGGACGGTCCCGTGGATTTCTATGAACGTGAAGCCTTCCACGACGTGTTCTTTTTTCAACCTCGTCAAAAATGGCATCGTATTGCCTGGAAGCGTTCAGATACGTCCAACTTTCTGTTGGCCTGTACACTATCACGCCAGGTGGAGGGGGCAGGACTTCAACATCGGGGTTAAGCTCACGCGTATAAGAATGGTCAAATGGTAGCCATTTTGTGTGGAATTGTACTGTTGGATTTGGAGAATAGCTCGATACTGAGCTTTGAGATAGGGTAATATCAGAGTACTTGTTCTGAACATCTGACTTGGAATTTCCCACTGGGGTAGCTTTGATGTCCACAGTTTCCAAAACAGATTCCTGGATTTGAGGATTCAAAACCTCGGCAACTTCAACTCTACCCAAGAATTGTCCACTTGGAAATGCAACCTTCAAAAGTAGCATAGCGCATGACCAGCACATCGCGAAGTAGATACCATTCTCGATACTAGAAAAAACGGTAATGATGACCGTTACAATGAAAGCAAAAAAATCTAGAGGATTCATTTTCCAGAAGTTCCAGGAGGTCTTGTAAGAGGCGACCAAATCACTAACAGCATGAATAATAACAGCGCTTAAAGTGGCCTTAGGAATGAATTTAAACGCAGAAGTTAGACAGTAGATGGCAACCAAGACACAACATCCGGAAAACACACCTGACAGAGGAGTAGCAACATTACATTTGGCCTTAAGCGCGGATCTCGAAAAAGATCCAGTTGCAGGATAGGCGTTGAAGAATGTACCAATCAAGTTAGTGGCACCAATGGCAATCAATTCTTGATCTGGCACAACTCTGTAGTCGTTAACTCTACCGAAAGCTTTAGAAATAGCAATGTGCTCAAGAACCAACACAATCACTGAGGCAGGTAATTCAGGAGCCAACTTGGATGCAAGGCCTTCAGGAAACTTCATCAAACCAACGTCTTTCAAACCAGATGGAACATTGCCCAATAGACTGATAGGACTTTTAGACTTATGTCTTGTAATACCCCAGGCAATCAAAGTGAAAACGATGATAATGACAGCGTTTCTCAAAGCTTGAGCATAGAAGAAAAATTGCAACCAGAATTTGGCCTTGATACTATTTGGCTTCGCATATCTTTCCACCAGTCTTGGACCAGAGCTACTGCAAATCCATTTCCAAGTGTACAACAGAAACAAGGGAATCAGACCAAAAACAGCATCCAACTTGGTGTCTGGCAAGTGCTTTAAACTTTCGATGATGACCAAGTAAGTACTAGTTCTCGTGTTCACCTTAGACCCATAGCCCATCAAGGCAGGTACTTGTCCGGAAATAATGTTAATTGCAGAACCACTCATAAAACCTGCAACAGCTGTCAATGAAATTAGCTCCACAAGGAAACCAAGTCTGAGCAAACCAATACCAATAGCAATGATACCACATAACAAAGACAAAACAGTAGCTATAGTAGCAGCCGTAATATCAGTATCAGCAGGAAGCCTTTCCGTAACTCTAGCAATAACTTTGGCGGTTTCTAAGGACATAACAGCAACTGGACCGATACAGACATCTTTACTAGTTGCGAACAAAGAATAAATGAACGCACCGATGAAGGATGAGTATAGACCATACTGCGCAGGCAAAGTGGCCACCTGAGCATAAGACATGGACTGTGGGACAAGCACACACCCCACAGTGATACCGGCAACCAAATCCGAATACAGCCACCTTATGTTATAGTGTGGAAGCCAATGTACAATAGGGAAAAGTCCGAAGAAATAATCGCGCACACTCTTCCAACTCACATAAGGAGAAATGGTGTGCTGGTAATATTCTTTGCAGGTCACGATATTTTCATCGAAAACCGGAATTTGGTTGGAGGACCCACTAAAGAGAGTATAATCAACGGGACTGTCCTCCTTTTTGCTGTCCTTGCGCGCTTGAGTGCTTCCATACTGATTCTCAACAGTCCCAGATGCGCGTAAATTCGTCACGTTCTGCTCGGAACTTTTATATCTGTCGTATTCAGCCTCTAGATCATCTAGATCAGCAGCTCTACCGCTGTCATTATACTGATCGTCTTGATATCTTCCCAACTCAACTTCCACATCTTCGTTGGATTTTATTTCGCCTCTCGACATTTTCCCTCACTTATTTAATTAATAGGAATCTCAATATTAAGCCTGAGATAGCAACGAAATCTTTTGGACTGAAGAAGTAGTTTTGATTCAAGCAAACCTTTGGATTGTAGGAATATTGACCCACAAACGACGCCTATTTAAATCATGTCAAAGCAAATTATTCCACTATTCTTTTTGTCATCGAGTAGTGGGCTCGAAGACACTGAAGGTGTGGCGTATTCACACTGGCGCAGCGTCTTCTTGGCGAAAAAATATCACGTGAATATATATTTTTCAAACTAGTGATTTTTCACGTGACATTCGTAAAGCGCCATCTTTTCGTCCGTAGATGAACACATGGTTACCAAATTCGAATGAGACACCTGTAGGGAATCAAAAGCGTAAGTTTCGGAAATGGAGCTCTCAGAAACGCTCGTAACGTCAACTCTACCATTCAAGGAAAGTAGGAAATTTATGACAACTAGCGTCGTCGGTTCTCGTAATATCAGAATTGCATCTTTCTCAGCGAAGAACTTGGCATCTTTCACGTGCATGCCAGGTGTCTCTTTGGAGGATAGTAGTTCAGTATGGTAGGTTTCAGGTAGGTCGCTTGGCTTGTAGCATGTAACAGCGAGACTGTGGGCGGATTCGCTGTAATGTAAAACAAGCAAATGGCCCTCAATCGTGAGTATACTATCCAGTATGCGAGCGTCAGTGCCCGGGTCTCGAAGCCGAAAAACCGGCGTTGCCGTTATTTGCTGTTTCAGCCACTTGCGTGCATAGATATTTGTTGTGTGGCGTGCTTGGTGACTTATGCGGACCGCTTGTTCGGCAAATCGACTCTCACACCTTCCCAGTACTGGAGACTGGCACAGAGACTGCGAGATGAACTGTTCGATTTTGAGTGGGTTGTAGTCGTAGGTTTCTTTCCTTTTGTAGTCCTCATCTACCGCCTCCATTACCACGTCGTTGAACCACTCGATGAAGACGTTATGCAGATTGGTTTCGATGTTTAGCTCGCGAACGCTTTTCAGTGTCAATTCCAACATCTCTTGACACAGCTCAACGAACTCATCGACTTCAACTGCGTCGATTCCTGACCCATCAGCTTCAAATCCGAACTTCAGGAGCTTTAGACCTCTTATTATGCCATGTAATCTTTCGCCACAGAGGATCAGTCGCTCACATGCTGGGACAATAGTCAATACCATAATTTTGTTCAAATCAGTGTACAATTTGGAACTCAAGTGCTTCCATTTCCTTAGATTCTTGTCACCAATCGTGTTACATAGCCAATCTTCCAACTCAGACGGCACATAGCCCGTGAACAGTACGTCTAAAAGCGCAGCGGCTAGGTCATTTTCATAAGCCTCACTGACTTTAGCAATGAACGTCTGATACGGCAGCAGCAGCTCAGACCTCAATAACTCAATATTCTGGACAAGATAATCACAAAGAAATTTGATCTTGCTACAAGTTTTGATTATTTCTCTTGTCAAAGGGCAATCCAAGAAGTCAAGACAAATGTGTTGAACTGCCATATCTTTCCCGAGGCAGACGTAATTTCCATGCTTCCCATGAGCTAGAATCTTAGAGATTTCAGATATCTCGGCAGTGAAAGCGACATCAATCAGACCGTCAATTGAAAGAACATAATCCTTAGACTCTTGATCATGCCCTAAGAAGATGTACGACTCGTCATCTCCAAGTTTAGTCCATGGCGGTCTTTCCATATCGACAGAAACCATGGCAAGTTGCCTTGCATCCTTTACAAGCTTGATAAGTTGAGGCATCAACTCAGTAGTGTCAATGTCAAAGATCTGCAGCATCTTATTCTTATTGGACCAGACGACGCTCTCCCATATTACAAAATCAAGGTGGTTTGTATTGAGCGAAAGAGAGGTTTGCATTTTGCCTGTGATGGAGGCGTCATAAATTCTTATAATGCCATTTTGGAAAAATAGAGCAAATAAACGTCCATGCATCGTCTCCCATTGGTAGCCAATTGGCAATTCGTCACTCCTCCAACTTAGCGTCATGATTCGCTGTCCATCGACTGGACGGCAAACTGCAACACCTCTTCCTGTGGCAATCAGATACAGTGATAGCTGGGTATTCCAGACAATACAGCAGTTAGCTGAGATGCTTCTTATGCCCTTCAACACCCAGTCACTCATGTGTGTTCTAAAGATTTATTTAAACACATCAACCTTTTGTGCTTTGAAAAACTGTCTTCTACCAAATTGCGAAGAGTCCATGTTTAAAAAAGAACCACAAATAAAAGCCTTGAGCAATCTCAAGAATTCAGAGATTAAAAAACTACTGTCAACATGTCGGCTGCAGAGAGCTTCTGACTCCTACTCCTTCCCCACTCAAGTGGTTAAACAAACCACCTTCAAGACTCCACTAACTACTGGAACTGTCTACACCGACGAAAACGGCAATCCCATATGGTTTAAAGAGAAGTTCAGCGATCTTCTTTTTCCAACTGTGTATACATGCTGGGAGAATCGTGATATACTACCGGTTGTTTTAGCTCATGAACACGTTGTTGAAGAAAAACTCTTAGGCGGCGCAAACTTAATGCTGCCAGGTATGGTACCGCCCTTCGACTCTCGCAGTATTAAAACTGCTATGGTTGGTGTCGCCAGCACTAAATCCCCAAATGTCATAAAAGCAATTGGAATAGTTCAATTGGATCTTCCTTCTTATTCTCGAGTTATTGGGGAAAGTGGTGTCGCCGTTGAAATCATACATCATTACGAAGATGGCCTTTGCAAGGCTCTAAAAGTTAAAATAGAACCTCCAGAAAACGATCAAATTTGTGGTTCAACAAATGAGGAAGATTCCTCCATTGAAGATGCCCCAATCATCAACAATACGGTCCAAGAACCTCTTGTAGATTTGAACGATATATCAGAGGAACTCAGCCAATTAACTGTGGAGGAAGTCGATCACTTCTTTACGCGGTCTCTTTACTACACTTTGACTCAAGATGAGAGATTGGAGTTGCCAATTGATGCATCGAAATTTGTATCGAACTACATTTTGCGCAATCTTCCTCCAGTGAATCACGAATTAGTCAACATGAAGAAAACTTCTTGGAAGAAAAGCGCCAAGTTTTTAAAACATTTTGAAAAGGAAGGCTTTTTGAAACTAAAAGGTAAAGGCGATGACTTGGTAGTCGTAGGCTTCAACAAAGACAAAGAAGACTTGAAGCGATTTGTTCCATATAGAATTGGTCAAAACAATGGTGGCGAAAAGACTAAACCTGCGGAAAGCAAGCCAGACATGATGAGTGCCATATCATTCTACAAACCAATCAGCAGCTCAAAAGATTTTATGAAGATAACGGAGCTACCACCCAATAAACTATTCATCCAACCTGAAATAAAATTGGCTCTTGACTCTTACATCTCCAAGAAAAATCTAGTAAATCCTGAAGACAAGTCGACAATTCTTTTAGATGACTTGTTATTTACAATGGTCAACAGGTCAAGTAAAAAAGAATTTTCACGAAGGATAATTGCAAGGGCTCAGGTCTTGAAACCATTCATATCAAATAATTTCACCGAGCATTTTCAAGTTCTCAAACCCGACAATACGTTTTTGTTCAAGCATCCATTAAAGGGAAGTATTCCTCAAATCCATATTGTTACCGAGATGAAAATAGGGAGAAAAGTCATTACGCGGGTATCAAATTTTGAGAAGTTCAATATTGATGCTGACGATGTTGCCAGTTTACTAAGAAAAAGATGTAGCGGCTCAACTACGATCGGTGAAACAACAACGGCGCCGAAAACAGTTGAAGTGACTGTACAAGGCCCACATGGCCCTACTGTGATAAGTCTAATGAACGAGTTTGGGGTCCCAACAAAGTGGATAAACTTTACGAATAAGCTTAAGAAGAATAAGAGACGTTAGTAAAGTTAATATAGATATCTTCAGTATTAGTCGTCATGTACGATGAATTAAGCGTTTAGCCTTGAATAAAATTTTCTGTTAAATGTAAATCGGTCAAAAATACATTTGAATTGAATCTCATAAAAGGTCTAGATGCTTGCTAGATTCTCTAGGACTCCTGGTAGACTATCACTGTCAGGTCAAACTTTGAGAGTGAGTTCCTTTCACACTGCTAGGATTTTGAATGCCGAGGAAACACCAAGCTCCAATGCTTCAAAGTTGACGAAAGACCAAGCCAAGAAGAGGGAAATACGTAGGCTAGCCCAACGCAAAAGTGCTGCCAGAAGACCAGCAAGTGACCATCGTCTCTATATGCCTGTCACCAAGGCATTGCGATTTCTAAGAGCTGCAGAAGTCGGTCAACCTCGTTCCCAACAAACTTTAAGCATTACTACAATACTAGTATCGGAAAGAGGTACACCACCTCTTAGTGGAAATGTATCGTTCCCTAAGCCATTGAAGGATATTAAAATTGCGGTGTTCACTACGGACGAGAAGCAAGCTCAAATTGCAAGGGAAGAATACCACTGTCATTTAGTAGGTGGTCCTGAACTAGTGGAGAAAATAAAACAAGGCGAGATAGCACTTGATTTTGATAAGAGTTTGGCAACACCGGAAATGGCCAATAGTTTGTCTTCGCAACTTGGACGAATTTTGGGTCCCCGTGGACTTCTTCCAAGTGCAAAGAAGGGCACTGTTTCGGAAAACCTGGGTGAATTGATAAGAGATAGTATGGGTACCCTTCCCTACAGACAACGTGGAAACTGCGTAAGCATAGCGGTGGGTAAGTGCTCATTTTCTGATCAACAGATCCTTGAGAACATAATCGCTGCGCAAAGATCTATGAAAGAAGCTTTGGCCAGCCAAAAAACTAAAAAACCAAGCTTGCTCAGTCAAACCACTCTGACCTCAACCCATGGTCCTGGAATCGTCATTGACTTTGCTTGATTGCATGACTTTATGCGTTCTGTATATATGGGCACTACCCATTTTTTCATGTAGATAGTGTATAAATTGAAAAACAGAGTAACCGAATAAACTTTCTTTGACATTATATACAAGTGTGATTATCTTCCGTCGATGCTAATGCGTTAAATACCATCTGCCTTTTTCTCTTCTTCTTTTGAGAATTTTAGAACCTTGCTTGTCTTTTGCCCTGGCCAAAAATCCGACTCTTCGTTTTCTTTTCAAAGTACTTGGCTGATATGTATTACCCCTACTCTTCCATCTTTTCTGAGTAATTCCTAACAAAACACTTAACAGAGATGTCGGTTGTTCCACTTGTTCTCCTACAAAAGGTGTGTTTGCACGCAACATAGGCTTTGTTCCAATTGCACATCTCAAAGGGGAAAAGGAACTTAGCACAGTTATGTGTCGTCTTGCTGAGTACTGAAATATCGACCTCGAAAGAAAAGACATCCTGACGCTTACTTCCGTAAACTAGTTCAAACGGTTGAAAGTTTATATTCAATTTTATTGAACCTTTCTTTAAGATCTAAAATTTTTTTCAACATTTGAATTGAATCTCGTTGATAATAACACATGATATTCACGTGCGATGCAGGAGTACTATATAAACGATATAATGACGGGTGGAAGCCTCCAAAGTGAGGTCTAACGAGACATGCTGAGTAGAGCTGCTCAAATTTGCGTCTTGTATCAAAGTATTTTTACCAATTTACTTGGTTCGATTGCTAAACCAATAACTGGGTGCGGGCGCACGACGTATGCTCTTCTGCAAGCACGCTGGTACATACGCCGCAGCCATCGTGAGGATTTCACGCCTGCAGAATTTGGTGAATTAAGGATGTTGAGAAGCAACTCTTCATTTTCGAGAGATAAAGCCGGGTTGTCCTCTGCTAGAAATGTCCACGTTTCTGCGACCTTGCGTTTAAAAAGATTAGCAATTCGAACGTCAGCTATGTCCTGACCCAGCGGTTTCATAGGAATCTCAACTATGGGAACCGGGAGTTGCCTCTTGTTCTTGCAGAGATGAGGATGCTTTTTCAGAAATAGATAATGCTGAAAGATCTCGTTGAAAAGCAGCGTTCGCTGGATCTCAGGGAGGCAGTAGGGTATCTTGGAGGTGGGCCATCTATGCTGGTTGTATTGCATAGCTGCCAGAACCTTGGGTTTGCAGTCATTCCACATGTAACGAAGTGAGGTTTTTTTGGGTGATGCCATTGTGAAAAGCATTCTATGCCGCTCGTAGGGCCAATGGTCCCGCAACTCACTATAGTGCACTCTGAAACTTTTCAGATGCGGTAGCTGATAGTTACTCCAGTGGAAGTATGTGTTGTAGATAATTGCATCTAGAGATTTGGAATCCTCGTGAAGTTGAAAATGGCGCACCAAGCTTCTCAACTGGAACAAAGAATTTACAGAGAGTGATCCAGTAATACCTTGTAGTAAATTCACGGTTCTTGAGTCCAGTGGCAGCTCTCTTATAGCGTTTAAAAGATCTTTCATTGTGAACACGTGCTTTTGAAAAGTTTCACAACGCGAGAGTTTATTTTACACAAAGCGATGTTTGTGTGTTTGCACAACAAACAAAACAAACAACACTTGTAAGCATCAAGGTAGTTATGAAACCTCAGGAAGACAAGGAAAATGCCGTCTGGGTAGAAGAAAGTGTTCCAACAACACCTACGCATCTACTGAGCAGGTCTCAGTCACTGGTCAAAAACAGATCTCCGAAAAAAGTCGGACCTAGGCGACCTCTTGCCAGCAAGGATAACAATAAGGCAAATAGCTTTAGTTTCAAAAAGAGCACGACAAATCAGCCGGTGAGAAAGAAGAGCAGGCCGCTTGTTAGCCATACAGGGAGCTTTATCAGTAACACACGACCTTCTCAGGGGCCCGTGATAAACAATAATGGTGTGCCCAAGATCAAGAGTCTTGTCTTGAAGGATACTGCAGAGGAAGATGAGGAGTCGCAAAGTGATGAAGAAGAAGCAAATCCACTTGCTGCCAAACTGCGGAATGCAATGTCGCATGGACAAAAATCTACAGAAGATGATGAGCAGGGAGGATTACTGGGAATCCAAGGAGGCTTGCAAGGCCTCATTGGATCCCGTAAACTAGGAGAAGAAAGCGATAGTGACATGGAGGTGGAAACAATACCGCCTGCTCCAAAGCCGCTCCCTCATATTCCCAATGGCTACACTCCCTTCGACGAGGAAGATATTATAAAACTACACACCTTCACATCACCTTTTGCCTGGGATGAGGACGAAACAGATGAGCAACCCGATTCGCATCCGAAGTTTCTCCCCATAGATGTTAATAATGATGAAAATGAATCTTCGAATGACGAAGGGCCGTTCAATGCATCAAATACTACGCGTATCTTCCCCGTAGGGGACGCTGAAGATTCTCTGGAATTGGATTCACGTTACTACGGCAAGGGGTTAACCTCAGAAGAATTAGAGTCACTTTTAGATTAGGTTCTATGTACAAGGAGAAAGGTTGAAGTATATATGTACATGCATGCACTTACTGTTGAGCACATTGAGCCCCATTGTGTGCAGACTCCTCTGAAATGTAGTCAGGAAGTTCATCCGCTGACGATATGATCTTATATTGTGAAGGAACCTCGGTGTTTGCAGGGTCGGCAGACGCTGAAAGCGGATTGGCACCCTTCGAGGCCGAGTCTGCTTGTGGTAATAGGTTTCTTAAAGCTTGGACGTCTCCACGCTCACTGAACCACCGATCTGGTGGGAACTCAATGTTGATATTTATGTACATGTCACCAAATGAACGACCCTTATCGTCAAGCGGCCAGCCCTCACTCGTTAAGCAGATATAGTTGCCAGGGCGGATGACCTGTCCCATTGGTATCTTTAAGCGCAGTAAGCGATCATCAAATGTGGTGCATACCTCTTTTTCGAACCCTGTTAAAGCTTCAGCAAGTGTTATCGTCAGATGAGTGTATAAGTCGTTTCCACGACGCTCCAACGTGCTACTTGAGACATCTTCTTCGATGTCAAATACCAGATCACCGGTAGATTTACCAGGCTCCTCGTCCGCCTCGCCCTTAAGAACAACCGTGTCACCGTTACATGACCCACGAGGGACGTATACGCTAAGTGTTTTGCCCTCCGATACAACCCGCTTGCCTTGGCATTTCTTGCAGCGGTCTTCTGCTCGCAACTCGCGGCCCAGACCCAGACAATGCTCACATTCAACCGTTTCTCGGGTTACAAAACCGGGACCCACTCTGCGTAGTCTTTGCTTTACACCTTGACCATCACACGACCCACACTTCGCTGCGTGGCGCGCCCGCTTGCGAATACCACTGCCTTCGCAACGGTTGCACACGATATTTCTCTTCGCTTGAAATCTCACAGTGCGACCATTGTATAGTTCCTTCATGGAAAGACGCATTGGAATATGCACGTCGGAAGTACGCCGTGGGTTCTCTTCTTCGTATGAATCTCCACCGAATTGCTGAAAGAAGCTCGCAAAATCACCTTCATCGAATCCACCACTGCCATTTTCTGGAGCACTTGCATCACCATACGTGTCATAATGCTCCCTGCGTTGCTCATCGCTAAGAATCTCGTATGCCACGGCTATCTCTTTGAATCTTATCTCGCTGGTCGCCCGTTGGGACTCATCACTGACTTTATCTGGATGATGTTGCAGAGCCAAGCGCCTATAAGCCTTCCGGATCTCTTCCTGCGATGCATTACGGTCCACCTCTAGAGTCTCATACGGATTCATGACCGTACCGGGTGGAGTTTCACTTGATTGCAGTTACAAATAGAGTGCCAGTACTTCCATAGTAATCTGAATCGGGCTTAAAACGGCAGGAATAATCGGCAAAGCACGTGACCTCAGAAACCAACGATCATGTGACCATCATCAAATATCACGTTGAACGTGTATCATGTGACACGGAAATCGAGCGTCGAGTTTTCCTCACGTTTCTTTTTTGGGGTGTGCTTATCTTTTCCGGCCGTCGCTGTTTATACTCCGACTGGAAGCTATCGTCGCAGAATAACGTTCGACAGACGACGTTGAGGTCCCAAGTAGGCAGTTTAAAAGCCTAAGCGCTGCAGCTTACGTATTTTATCATGAAATGTCTTGCAAGAGCTATAAAGTCAAGTAAATTTGAACCTGGTACCTTCTGCAATTGTCAAAGTTCTCTAATAACAGGTGAAAAATTTTCTCATCATCACCGGTTTATTAGGAAATAGGTCATTTTTTTAGGTGACTCACGGTATTCTGTAAAATAACTCAATTGAAAACAAAATGTTAAGAGTATCTAGTGGTAGAATACTAAGCCAAGTCAGAGTGGCAATGCCTCATTCAACCTACGTGTTACGTCAATTGAGCACAACTGGTGTGTGCCAGACTTTTGAACCTTCCGACAAGCTAGGGCTGCAAGATGTGAACGAAAATGTGCTAAAGGCCAAGTACGCAGTGAGAGGTCGCATTCCGCAAAGAGCAGAGGAGCTCAAACGGCAGCTTGCAGACAAGCCCTCGTCGCTACCTTTCTCTAAGATCATTAACGCAAACATTGGAAACCCACAGCAATTAGATCAAAAACCATTGACGTTTTACAGACAGGTGCTTTCGCTGCTGCAAAACCCGGATATGGTATCCCAAGTGCCTCGCGAGAAACTCACGCAGATTTATGCCCCTGATGCGGTTGACCGTGCCAAAAGAATGCTGGACGACATTGGAGGGTCCGTTGGTGCGTATTCGCATTCACAGGGTGTGCAAGGCTTCCGTGAGACGGTTGCGGAGTTTATTTCCAAGAGAGATGGAGTCCCCGCTTCTGCAAACGACATTTTTTTGACCGCCGGTGCTTCCGCTGCAGTTGCCAACATCCTTTCCATTCTCTGTAGGGGGAAGGAAACGGGTGTTTTGATTCCAATCCCACAATATCCGCTATACACTGCTACTTTGGCTTTGAACGATTCTCATGCTTTAGCGTACTATCTGGATGAAGAATCCAACTGGTCAACAGACCCTGAACAAATCGAACATGTGGTAAAAGATGCTCAAGCGAAGGGAATTACGCCAACGTGCCTCGTTGTCATAAACCCAGGAAACCCTACCGGTGCAATTCTTTCCGTCGAGGCGATCGAAAAGATTTTCAGCGTCGCTGCCAAGCATGGAATCGTTGTCATCGCAGATGAAGTATATCAAGAAAATGTGTTCCACGGTGCAAAATTCCACTCTATGAAACAAGTCTTGAGGAATCTTCAGAAGAGATATCCTGGGAAATATGACAATGTCCAGCTTGCTTCTCTTCATTCCACTTCCAAGGGCGTTTCTGGTGAATGTGGTCAAAGAGGTGGATATATGGAACTTGTCGGGTTTTCAGATGAAATCAAACAGGTATTTTTGAAATTGGCTTCTATCTCCCTATGCCCAGTCGTTACAGGACAAGCATTGGTTGATTTAATGGTATGTCCTCCACAAAAGGGTGAAGATTCTTACGAGCAGGATCAAAATGAACGGACGAGTATTCACGACGCGTTGGATCAAAGATCCAGTTTGTTATACGAAACTTTCCAGAGACTGGAGGGTATTTCTTGTCAAAAGCCACAGGGTGCCATGTATCTTTTCCCAAGATTAGAATTACCTCAGAAGGCCATCCAAAAAGCTCATGAGCTGAATATCGAACCAGATGAATTTTACTGCCAGGAACTGCTGGAGGAAACCGGTATATGTACCGTCCCAGGTTCAGGATTTGGTCAAGTTCCAGGCACCTACCACCTGAGAACCACCTTCTTGGCACCTGGAACAGAGTGGATCAAGGCATGGGAAGAATTCCATAAAAAGTTCTACCACAAGTACCACGATTAGGTTATTGGTCATTAGGTATGTAAAATTACACAATGAAATAATGATGTATATATATAACATTTCATCTGTTACAGTTCTACTGAGTCTTCAAAGGGTCCTGCTTTCGTCTCTAGTGAATTGCCTACTTGCTGAAAGAAAGATGATGAGGGTCCGCTGATTTCTTCGCTCATATCTATTACAGAGGTACTCCTTGATTTTTTTCTTGTCATTGTAGCATCCGTGTCCAGGTCTGTTCGCGTTCTTTTCGAGACATTAGAATTTTTATGCGAAATTGAAGGTTCTAAGGACGGTGTATTCATAGTTAGAGCGTCACGAGATTCTTGATCTCCACTCGGCAGGTCCTGATCACCAGCAATGAACTCTTCATCACCAGCAATGTATTCTTCATCTTCCATGATGAATCCATCACGTTCATCTTCCACATATATTAAGCCACGACGCTTACCATTTTCACTTAATATAACAACGTTGTGTGAGAACAACTCATCAAGAATTTTCTCCCGCTTGAGTTCAAATTGCTTTGCATAACCATCAAGGCTGCTGAAAATTAGATCTTTAGGCATACCTAGTATCCCTGTATTATAATGCGAATTGTTGTAGTGAGAACCATGCTTCAAGCACATATTCCAATCATTTAGACAGTCATCTTTCCGTAGCCTCAGTAAATACTGAATTCGATCAATTCCGTTTCTCTGAAATATTCGGGAATTACTCAGTCCCAGACCTATGTAAAGTTCAAACTGTATGGCTATAGTTTGACATATCTCAAACAATTCCCTCCTATTTAAAGTGGAGGTTTCAAGAAAAATTGGAATTCGGGGAAGCGACAGAAGGAATGATGCTAATGATGATGAAATAACTTGTGAACTTGAATTTTTTAGCGGAAGTAGCCATACAAATCTTGAATGATAGTCCCTTAAATAAAGAACGTGTGAGTATTTCCCCTCTATAAGCTTTTCGAAAGGTGAAAAAATCTCAATGTGTATCCGCTCTAATGGCATCAACCCTTTGTAAATATTTGCGTGTTTGAATTTTTTAAAAGGCTTCACTAGCTCTTTTGGATTGCATTTCGAACAGTAACGTGTACTCATTTGGACAAAAGCTCTTGTGACGTTCGCATACTCAGCTCTCAAATCTTTATGGAGTTTTCTCCAATGAACATGTTCATTTTGCAAATGATTACCCATAATCAAATCGAACATCAAATCTGGTTCACATACTACACTATCGTGTTTCTTGTGGTCTCGAACGATGCCATCAGGATCGACGTAATAACGCCTTTTTAGAAGCAGATATTTAGTTTCGGTATTTCCAGAATGCAACTTGTCACTAGTCGACATAAGGGTGTCTAAGGTCAAGGATTCTGTCAATATAAGTTCATATTGTGCTTGCGTAAGTTGCCCTTTAACAGATTCAAGAATCTTCCGGAGATCACGGCGACCACGCTCCAGTAGTTCAACATTTAGACTTTCTGTATAGGATCCTAGCAAATCCACATTTTTTGTGTCAGTAGTCCTCTTATATGACGATGCGCCCTCAACCGTAGCTATGGACGGCGACACCTTCGTCATAGTCGGGCAAGTTCAAGTTATTTTATATAGTACAGACCTCATCGCGTTAAGATTTACCAACCTATAAATTTTTCATTACCTTCGTGTGGAATAATAATCATAGGGTCTTCTTATGTTTGACGGCCTCAATTTGGCTTTCATCGACAATGGAGATAGATGAAGTAGCGATGCTTGAGTATGCTACTAGAAGCCAAGCAGGCAACCATCCAATGCAGATGATGAACCATGTCCAGCACCCTAGATTCTTCCATGCCGAGATGAATCCGTAAAACATTTGGATTCCACCGAGTTGGTCATCGACCAGGTTTCCGAAAATCCAGATTGAAATAAATGGATTAGATAGCAAAAGTAGCAAGCAGTTCTTCAACCGAAGTTTGCTAGTAACTGAATTCTTGACAAGCGTCATGGGAAATGCTAAAGTTCCGATGCTGAAAGCCAAGGCAAAGTTAACAACAAGCAATGATGTTAAAATAATGCTTAGATAAAGATATGCAAAGGCTCTACACCGATAGGCGAAAGGAGCCATTATTTTGACATTCTTTAGTAAAATTGGAATAAATGACACCACGAAGCTTGACAGCACTAATAGTTGCGGATGCTGAGCGTATGCAAGTAATTGTGCAATAATGTAGGAAATTGCTAGCGCAACTGATAACGCTAAAAGACCCCATATGTTGTAAAGTGATAAAAGAGATGCTGATGAGTATGAGTTATTGAGAAGATTGTTCAAGGATGCCAGAGTAAAAGATACAGATAAAGCAATTGCAGCTGGAAGGTAAGTTGCGATGGATACAAAATATCTTGGTGCTAGTAATAGGTAGAAAAAGAACGATTGGTGAAATTTCTCGAGAAGGTTGTTGACGGATCTGAAGATTGCTTCTGGAATTCTGCCAAAGGTAGTTATATCAAACGGGCCCTCTTCACCACGGGCTCTCAATGTGATTGACTGGATTCTCCACCCACTGAAAGCCTCATTACCATAAACCTTACGTGCTCCTGCTAAGGCCATGAACTTAACACCTCGCATTAGTGTCTTAAGCTTCGAATAGAAATCATCCTGATCGAGCTGCTCCTCTGGAATTCCATTTAAAGAAACCTTCATACCCTCATGCTCGGTGATGTGTACCGCAATATTGACCATATCAAGGTTTGGTAACTCGCCGTTTAATCCAGCGTAATAAATCTCCACATATTTGAAAAAGTCGTTAGCTCCTGGGTAATCCAACACAACCGCAGACTCGATAGAGCCACCAGTCAGATCCAAGGAAGTATGGTAAGCCTCAACCCAACTTCTTAAAGTGGCATTCGCATCTTCACTAAAGACTAATATAATATTTTTCGACCAAACTGGCCACCGATTAAAAAACCGTGCCAATGATATAGTAAGTGCAGTGCCACCGATATTGGCTTCATCATCACCATTGAACCAAGGGGCTGCTAACACCATTGCCTCTGTACCATCACCTCTGGGTGCATTCAGAATACCATACAAAGTTTCTTTGCCTTCTTCATTCACGAAGGTAGCTGTCTTCACTCCGAATTCTTGTAGCCACGCAGATATTTCTTCGTTCCTCTGATGAGGTCCAACACTTTGTAGAAGCTGTACCTGAGTTCTATATCCTCTGAGAATGTTCCATTCAGTTTCTCGAAAGTAACTGTACGCCTGCGAAGGCATCAACGCATTCTCCGAGATGTAAGTACGTCTATACTGACCTTCCATGGGAATGAACACCGTCAACCAACAAATTCCAACCATGGCGCATACCAAAGAGAGCCGAGGCAAAGAAGCAATCAGCCGTGGCAGTAATCCCAAATCGATTATTCTCCTTTGGAGCTTTTCGATCAACGCCATTTTTGTTGCGCCTTTTTGTTGATACTGTGATAGTTACAGGAAAGACATCGTAAATCGCGAAGCGTTTTTCCTCATCTGCGCGCTGTAGTTTCCAACCAAAAAGAGCTAACTAAGCTGAAAATGTCTAACTCTGAATTCAAAGAAATTCCTATTTCAAAGAATGAAGATTTCAGTTGGGTCTTTTTAGTTGACTGGATTCTTCTGGTAATTCTGGCACTGGCTGTGGTGTTTTACTTTGGAAGGGCTTTAGCACATCTCGTTACTATGGCTCTTGAATGGCTTCTTTGGAAGCGGTTCAATATCAAGATCAACATACAGTCACTAAAGATTTCATTCTTAGGTGGGAGAGTATTTTTCAAGAACCTGACGATTATCAGTGAGAACCAGACCATCTCTTTCCTTCACGGTAGCTTTACCTGGAGATATTGGTTAATGAAGTCAAGGAAGACACAATTAGAAATTCACGAAAGCGGAATAGATGCCTTGAAAGAGAGTCAAGTACCATGTAGATTCAAGCTACAATGCCAAGGTTTCGAGCATTTTTTATACAATCGAACAGCAGCATACGATAATATCCTTTCTTCATTATCGAAAGATGATCGAGAAAAATTCAGAGAATACTTTCAGGAACCTGGCGGAACCTCATCCGATGAAGAATCGACAACGAAAAGCTCATATGTACCGAAGGCCGGATCAGAGAGCTCGTCTTCCGGAACCTCCCTGAATGATAGAAATTTCCAAGAACCCGATACGAGATCATCACTACTGCGATTTCTTCCCGTGCAATTTGAAATTAGCCGAGGAGCATTTGTACTTGGAAATCAAAGTACTGCATCTATATTGGTTGCAAGTTATGACAGGATGGAGGGGACCTTAGATGTTTGTCCTCCTAATGAAAAGCTAGACATGCACAAAGTCAAGATGCAAGCCGAATTTGAAAAGCTTAGAGTAACCTTGAAACCAAATATCACATTCGAAAATAATACTGTTACAAAACTACGGGTAAGACCTGCTAAAGTTTCCAGACTGTGGTTAAAGTTCAAGGATGAAGTACTAAAATTGCGGGATAAATATAAAACGTTGAGCAAAGAAAATGATGTATCCACGGGAAATAGGCTATTTGTTGAGAAGTGGCGAGGGTTGAAACTTTATTCTAAGGAAAGTGATGTACTCTGGAATGATGAACTTCAATTTGACGTTTCAAAACATGAATACGCAAAATATTCAAAAGTGCTCAAATGTGACAAGCTAAATATAGCATATTCATATGATGTCCCAGGCGTTGTACCACACGGGGCACTGCCGACTTTAAAACATCTTGACGGTCCTGATGTTGGAAATAATGGTGCACCCCCGGATTTCTCAATAGATTTTCAAATACATGCTGCAACGATGTATTACGGACCTTGGTCACATCATGAGATCCTTCCATTACAAAGAATGCTTTCCCCAATACTCTCTAGAAATAGTGTTCCAACGAAGAAATTATGTCCTGGCTCCAGAAGAATCTATACCAGGCTTAAACTGTCCATACTGATTATTGAAGACTCAGTTTGGCGTATTCCTACTAGAGAATCTAGCAAGGATTTTGAGTTTTTGAAGAGGTATAAAGAAACAGAAGATGAAACTCGGCCTTTTGGATGGCTGGATATCAACCTAGCCCAGGATACTGAACTCTCCTTGAACATTGCAATGTGTCCTACGAAGGAAGGCTATGACAACAATCTCCATCTGTACCTCGAAAAACCAGAAATAAGGACAAGTGTAAATCATGACATAATGTTCAGTGCTAAAACGCAAGAAATATACGCACAAGTTGGCTATCCTCTAGGTTGGAACGACAAAGCAGAGTGGAATTTTGATTTGAAATCAACCCAAGCACAGACCTTTTTTTTGAAGGACCATATTATACTTATAAGCGACATGATCACCGACTTTGGATCTGGTGATCCAATTCCATATGAATTGTTTCGGCCTTTCGTATACAACTTCAAATGGCAAATTGAAGGGTACTCAATTTATCTCAATGTCAATGACGCAAATATTGTTAACAATCCTTTGGACTTTAGTGAAAACTGTTATTTATCTCTTCATGGGGATGAACTGAATATTGGATTCACTGTTCCTTTAACCGACTTGGCAAGAAACTCAACAACGATAAACTACACTTTTTTCACGCCAGTGTTTAGATTGCACCTGAATACGCCTTCTTGGAATACCTTACATGAATTTATGAAGAATAAAGAGGTAGGAAGATCTTACGATTTCAAAATGCATGGATCTTATCTATTTCATTCTAAACTTGATGTGGATAACATCGATACAATTACGGTAGAATGTGAAAGTAAGCATACAACACTTGAATGTTATGGGTTTGTCATCAGATATTTGATGAGTGTTAAGATGAATTATTTTGGTGATTTCGTTCATTTCAAAACAGCAGAAGAGTATATGGAAGAACTAAGAACTAGCAGTCCGGACAATAACTTTGAAATCGATAAGGAAGAGCTGCAGAACTCTTCAGTGGATTCGTCGTGGACCAAATCAAGCATGGATGAGCAGTCAAATGAGCATAACGCAAGTATCACTAAGGCTTCTCTTAGAAGGTTAGTCAACGAAAAAGACGTTTGGTTTACATTTTGTGTCGAAGACGGATCTCTGATATTCCCGGAAAACCTATATGATTGCGATTCATGCTTTGGCATGCATTTTGATCTTCTTGAAATTGATGTGAGATACTTAAACTACTATATGGACCTTGCAGCCGCCCTTTCACCTATGAAGCTAAAAAGATACACCAATTTTGATTCTAGAACAATTTTTGAAATAGCAAAGGATAACCACAGCAAGGATCAAGATGTCGGGGGGACTCTGTCGGAGTTGCACATTCATGCTCATAGAATGTTTGGCTTGCCTCCTGAGGAGGAAACATATTTTTGTAAATGGGATTTTCAAATGGGTGTCTTGGATATCACCTCAAACCTCGATTTTGCTAAAGGCTTTGTTGGTGTGTGGGGAAAACTACTTTTTGGGTTCAAGGACTTCGAAAATATCCTGGTTTATGAGTTTGCTAAAGTTTTCGATATGACATCGGTCACTTTTCTAGCTCAGCAAGTGCGGTTTCTGATTGATGTACCAAATCAAGATGAGAAGATTCTTTTCAACATAGCAGATTTGAAGTTAACCTTTGTGGATTTCGAGAATGCACTCTATTCTAAAAAGATAGATCTGAGAATTCCTGAAATATTGATTTCAATATTGAGGAGTTCGAAGCAGGATAGTATTTTGGGTCATTTTAAAACCTCAGTCGAGTTGACAAATTTTATACAACTTAAGGATTTCCATAAACACAGTCTATTACAGCGAGCACACATTACAAAAAATGATGCACCCTTTCATCGTTGTCCTTTCCTATTACCCGTTACAACGCAGAACACAAACACTTACCAAGACTTATTCGGGGCGATCCCACCTGGTGTATCAATACCTCCCTTAGCAAAACCTTTAAGGGACGAAACAGTTGATGAGATATTTGAGAGCCTTTTAAATTCCGATAATTCTTCATACGATTGGAACTATTATGAAAATGATGGCACTGATGACACAAATTCAAGGAAGGTTGAAGGTGAAAGTAATCAGTATAACCAAACTATCGACCAAATTGGGCGAGAGCTGCCCAGCGATAAATTGTTTTGTCCTGACCCTACTAAAGAGCATGAAAATTTTGTCCTCAACTTTGGCAAAGCTGAATTGGCATTGAGTCCTGGATGTTTGACAACATTTGAAAATATAAGTCAGCAAATATACTCTAAAACAGTAGAAGAATTGATTGATTCGAACGAAATTGATATTGTTAGCCAGTTCATGATGAATTTGGTGGGTGAAAGTAGCATTAAAAATGCAAAAGTCGTGCTTCCGCATGTTGAACTTGTATTTGGCGAACTTACAGCCCTAGATCAACTCGAAAACTGTGATCACATTCATATTGACATGTTCTCTACTAACCTAGATTGCTCTTTTGAAAACCATGGAACATCTCAAGCCGTGGAAATGTCCGACAAAGAAACAGTAGTTTTTTGCAAAATTGGTGCAATAAGAGCCTCGGTTAATGAAAGGCAGTCCCGTTCGCATACACTTTTCAAGCAGGATTTTGTGTTACACTTCACTAGTGAAGATATTGAATTCTGGGGAATAAGTTCCAGTGAAATGAAGAGGACAATTAACGCTCGTTCAGTTGACATGTCTATAAACAGTCAACGAATAGAGTGGCTATCAAAATATTTGACTTCAACAATTGAAAGTATTTTGAAGATTACCGAAACCATATCAAGATACCAAGAACAAATAAGACAAACACAAAAAGAACTATTTTATAGGATTGCAATTGCGAGTGAAGAATATAAAATTGTCCACGATCCCCCCGTGATCACTAAACCTGCCTATATATCGAGGTTGTCAAAACAGCATGTGAGAGAAAATCGAAGCTGGAGAATAATAACGCGGTTACGCCATATTTTGAATTATTTACCTAGATCTTGGTCATTAGACACTTATGAAGCGCTGAAAAATAAGAACTTTAGCACCCCATCTGATGCTAGTGAGATATTCCTAAAAGTGTTTTCGAATTGGAGAAGTTGGGAATTCTCAGATGTGGAAAAATGTTACATCTACAAGCATACATTTCAGCCTGAACTACTGAAGAAGAACGATAATAGTGATATCGATGAAAAGGTTAAAGCTCATGTTGCAACTGTATCGCTTAATCTATCTCCGTACGCACATGAAGAAGGCGACTCAGTGGTTATAAAGAGTTTGACACTAGTACACACCTGCCAAGCTGTTTTAGATCTTCTATCATCCGGGGAAGTAAAGCATCAAACTTACAAACATATCCTGGAGAATAGTATAGCATGCAACATTAAATCCATAAAAGCCAGTCTGGGAGACCATTGCCTAGATTTGCACTATTTGAAAGGAATTCTCCCCCCGCCAAAAGAAGATACTTTGGTAGAAACTTCATTAAACGTAAATTTGACACATTTTACGTGTTTAGTTGACAGATGCGATATTCACTTTTACTTGAATAGATCCCGCTTCATCATAAGATCTTTTGGCAACAACGTAACGGGCTTGATTGTTCGTTCAAAAAACTCCGGGACCCCGGTATACTCATTTGCATTGGGAGGCTCACGCTCCGAAGTTGCTGTCAGATTTGGCAACAATGTTCTGTTTGAACTTTATGTTCGAAATGGAGCTGTTGGAATTTCTAGTATACACAAAGATGACAATACATTAGCCAGGTTTGATATATCATCTCAAAAGTCAAGAATCAAAGCAGCGTCGACTACTGCTCAATATTTATCATTCTTAGAAGCGCTTCGACATTCATTAGATGATCTGATAACAAGATTCCAATGCCAACTGAAAGAAAAATCCGAACTACCTGGAGAAGTTGAGAGAAACTCCATGCTATCGAATATCGCTCTTCGCTTGAGTTTTTTTGACGTTTCATCCGATATTCATGTCGTCTCCCCTTTTATTGTAACACAGCATTACAAAGAAATTGATATTTCTCTTGAGCAAGCTGAAGACTTGATTTTCACTTCGTACTTAAGGGGAGTGGATATAGAGATCAAGTCAGTCAAGCTCGAACAGTATTATGCAAAATTATCTCAGTCTGAAATCAATGTCACAGTTGAATTGCCGATCGATGAGACGAATACGGTGACAAGCATCCGAGTAAATTCTGAGATAACCAAATTGAAGTGTAATGATCCTAGGGATACTCTAAGCTCTTTAAGTGAAGATTTCATGGTTGCAAGGGAAAACATTGATAAAATAAAGTCACTATTTAGCGAGCCAAGAAGTCAGGACGAGTCATTATCCAATTCAAAATTTGGTGCCTTTTTTTCCGAAAGCACATGGATATTAGAGTTAGATTTGGCTTATTTGGGCTTGCTGGTTCCCCTTGGTGCTGTGAGTTACGTGCTGGAGTTTAATGATTTATCCTTGTCCATTCCAGAGAATTCTCAACCTACAGAACTAGGTAAACGCTTGAAGGGTCCTGCTGTTGGTGAGTTTGAAATTGGTAGTGTGGCATTCTTAATTCATGACAAATTAATCAGGAACAATCTCTCGAAGCTTGTTGACTTTGCTATAAAACTTTCTGTCTCATTAGAAGGGGAAAAAAATCTTAGCGCAATTCAAATAGAAAGCAGTTTCTTTAGAGTTGTCCTTTGTCCAGCTTCCTTAATTAGAATTTTATGGCTAATTAACGAGGCGGCTCGAATGACTGATAAATTTTGCCCTGTTTCTGTCAGTGATTCCTCAATCCCATTGAAGGCAAGGGGAATTCCAGGTTTGGCGTCCGAATTTCACTTCATCCACATCTTGTCTTACAATTTCTGCTTCGGTTGGATGTTTGATATCGAAACCGAAAATGATCCTGGTCTAATATGGGGTTATCAGCGCTTGTTTGCGGCCTACGAAAAGCCTTTCGGAAAGCTAACTTTGCTTGATGCCTATTTCTCTATTGCCAGAGGTGACAACTCGGACACTTTCTATGGTGCAGCTACAGAAAAGGAGCAATTTAATAGAAGTTACTTACCTAGCATGCAAATTGGTTACTGGTTTGTCAAAGAAGATGATGATATGCAGGATTTATTCATCAGAATCAATGGTGGTAGGCTTGACGTTAATTTCTTATCAAAATCTATCGGAGTCGCAAATGGCATCATCAAATCGATGCATTCTTTCCAAGAAATGAAAAAGAAGTATGTTGATCCCTTCCGTAATTCAGAAAATGTGAAAAAACGAACTAATGATCCTTCAATCAACCGCGTGCCATTCTTTTCCAAACTTCGGAAAGTAAATTGTAAGGCGAGATACGCTGATGGGGTTTTTAAGCTTTACTCCGGAGACGAAATCGAAAACGGACTCAAGCCCTCCTTTGAGCTAGAAAGCCCTTCAGTCAACGTTGTTTTAGAATACAGAAATAAAGAAGTGGGCGTTGAGACGCATTGGATAAGAGCCGTAGTAAATGTGGATCCTTCGCATAATACATTATTTCCAACTTGCGTACCAATTATTAGTGATATGATAAAAGATTTACGTCAAATGCTGAAGAGTCTCAATTCCCGCTCTCCAAGTGACTCTCCCGTGGTTGTCTATGGCGAGGATATTAATTACAAAACGATGCTGAAAGCTTTCAATATTGCATTTATGATCAATATTGAAAAACAGGAGATAAGCTTAAGCTGTGAGCCGAAAGCGAAAGTTCAAGCTGATGTTGGCTTTGAGAGATTGAACATCAAGATGTTTACCAATAAGATGGACCCATCCGAGCCATTGAGTTTGTCGCTTGATGTTGAAGAGTTGAAGGCAACATCAAGACATATTTTCTCCAGAGAAGTCAGTACATCATTTGCGCTCGATTACATTAACGCAGTTTTCGTCCTTACTCACCCTGATACAATTCACACGTATGGAATCACACATGTGCCTAATATTGATGTTTACTTCAACATGAAGCAGTTGCAAGACTTGAATGTTTTTCTCAACATTTGGAAGGTTGATAGTAACATTTATTCGGAACCGGAGCTAAATAACGAGGGCGTAATTACGGATATCCCGGCAACAGAAAAGCCGCTGGCGGCTAAGTTCAAAAAAGTTTCTGCTAATAACGCTTTCCCGTGGAATTATGTTCTTATATTTTCCAAAATCAATGGTGACATTAATTTAGGCCCGTCTTTGGGTACATTATGTCTCAGAAGTGGAAGAATTTGGGCAGTCACAGATCACTATATCGATTGGACTCAAAAGCTCTCTTTATTATTTGAACGCATAGCCGTGTCTTCGGAGGGACGTCTAGGAGGCAATCTGCTTCTCGAAGATCTTTCTTGGACATCGCTGATCAATTGGCCACTAAAGGATGGCCGCTTCCAAAATCCTTTAATTGCCCTTTCTTTGATTTTATCCAGCTTCAGCTTCAAAGCCTCTTTTGACTACCATCTTATTCTGATATCAAGAGTGAAAAGTCTCAGGATAAAGCTTTTCAATGAAAGAGATGCGTCTGGAATGCTAAAAGACCTATTATCAGTAGTTATCCACTGTGACAGTACTGAAATTTTCCTCACTGCACTTGCTCCAGCTAATATTTTGGATATTTACAACACTATCATGAGAATGAGACAAGATAATCGCAAGTCATATTTTGAGACGCTTAAGGATTCTAATACCAAAGACACCAAAAACCTTAACGACAAAAGCATAATCGATTCCTTAGCATTCTTGCGCACAGATATGACAGTGAATTTTGGCTTTATCTATGTTCAAGTATTCCCCAGCACGCTCTTTGACCTAGAAGTACTTATTTTCAAAGCTCGTGATATCTCCACTCATACCCAAATCGAGGCAGATGCAAAGGTCAAAACGCAATTGAATTGGCAAGTTCATGATGCGAAAGTGGCCCTGTCGACCTATAAATCACAACTTAATGAAAAATATGCATCCAAAATTGAAGTGGATAAGTATATCGAGCATGCTATGAGTGCCCATGGTGGAACTATTCTTGCAACTCCAGCTATTTTGGTTGCCATGACCACTTGGCAAGACATGAAAACAAATGTTGTTGAGTTGCTTTATTCAAACAGCTTTGGGGGCAAAATAAGCATTCGCTGGAATTTGGGCTCGATAAATTTTATCAGAGAAATGTGGGCAACACATGTTAGAGCCTTGTCACTTCGTCGTGCTCATATTGGGCACCCGAAGAGTTTATTCGAAGATGAGAATTTAGAGGAAAAAATCAAGGATATGGACTTGGGCAACAAGTATGTCTACATACCTTTGGAAGAACCTCACATAGAAATTCCGCAAATCAAAGATTTGGGCGATGCTACACCACCTGTGGAATGGTTTGGTGTGAATAGAAAAAGATTTCCGGGGATTACCCACCAGGCTGTCGTGGTCCCTCTTCAAAAATTAGCACATTTGGCAGAAAAAGAGTGGTCCAGAATTTTGGGAAATGCATAAATAGTTGTTTAATTGCATGTATTACTAAAATATTAACTATTAAGAATCTTACGCAGGCTAAATTCTTGTAATCAGGTCCTTATTTTGAAGTGTCACACTCTTCGTCATATTTTTGTTTTTATAGATACCCACCAATTGCTGAGCTAATTCAAACATGTTATTCCGTAAAGAAATGACCACGAACTGAGCATTTTTGGTCCGCTCCTTAATATAGCTTGCGACAATGGAAACATTACGAAAGTCTAATGCTGCGTCGATCTCATCCATAACATACAATGGCGTTGGCTTGTACTTATGCAGAGCAAATACCAAGGCAAGGGAGCTCAGAGTCTTTTCACCACCAGACAGATTAGAGATATTACGCCAACTTTTCTTCGGTGGCATGACGCTGAAAAGAACCCCTTCGGAAAAGGGGTCCAAACTATCAACTAACTCTAATTCTGCATTTCCACCCATCGTTATCATTTGATACATTTCCTTTAAAGTCATAGAGATAACGTTAAATCCATTCATGAACTCATTCAATCGGTTTTTCTTGAGCTCTTCACAGGTCTCGCGAACTTTGTCTCTTTTCTCAACAGCTTGATTTAAATCTAACTTTCTTGTTTTGAATTCAGCCAATCGTTTAGCATATTCTTCTAAGATATCAATATCTACTTGAGTGTTCAGAACAAAATCTTCTAAACACTTAATTTCTTCTTCAATTTTTTCAACATCCAGGGTGTCCAATTCCTCCTTGGACAATTTAGGCAAGCCGTGCTTGGTTCTGTCTTCAAGCTGATCCACCGCCATAGCATCGTCGTATTCTTCACTATTAAGCTGGCGATCATTATTAATTTCTGAGGTATCATCGATATCCATGCTGTCTCCGACGGTGTTTGGATTAGAAGGGATTTGTGTTTCATCATCATGCAGCGATGAGTTCTCCTCAGCTGGAGGCAGTACTCCGTCGTCTAACAAGTCTAATCTGACGGTTACTTCTCGAATCTTCAGAGAATCAAGTTTATCAGATAACTTTTTTGCGTCCTTTCTTATTTGAGATGCCAAATCGTTTAGTTTTTCGAGCCGATTCTTAATATCCAGTTCGAAAGATTTGAAGCCGTTGCTATCCTCTCCCTTTTCGGTAATTATCTCTTGCAATTTAGTATATTGCTCTTCTTTCTCCTCTTTTGATGACTCAGCTTCGCTGATAAGAGCCTCCATTTCTTGGCATTTCGCAGCTAATTCAGAAATTGATTCATTTATCGAAGAAAGATCTTCCTGACATTTTTCCATTTCCAAAGTTGCTTCAGTGTGTTGTTTATTCCATCTTCTTAGATCATTCTCAGCCTTTTTTTGTGAAATTCTATCTCTTTTTTGTTTTTCGACTACGATCGTAATTCGTTGTGTAAGCGAATCCACTTTGGAGTTCTGCATCTGCAGTTTCGTCCCACCAGCTTTCATTATTTCATCTTGCAGACTCTTCATTTCCTTATTCTTTGACTTCATCTCTTCTTCCAATTGAGTTCTTTCCTGCTTTAGGGAATCCAACTTCGCTTGTGCGATATGAAGTTCCTTATTTCCTTCTTCGTGTAATTTTCTCGCTTCTTCCAGACTGCTTAGACGCTTTTCGCTCAGACTGATATCAGTGAACAAAGATTCCAAATCCATCTTGAGTTTAGCTACATCTAAGTGAATATTGGGCTCTCGATCTTTGTACCTTTGTAACGTTTCCTCCATCTCTCGAAGAGTCTCAGAGGCAATCTTAAAGTTCTTCTCTCTTTCAGCTAGCTCACTATCGATTCGTGCAATCTCATCAGGTGTGTAGTTGTCACTCTGAGCTTGCCGTTTTGATTTCATCATCCCTCTGGCCTTTTGATGACCACCACCACTCATAGTACCAGATATATCGATAAGTTTACCATCCAAAGTAACCACTCTAAATCTTCTCCTTCCATACGCAACTCGATTTGCTTGGTTGAGATCTTTGGCAACTAAAGTGTCCCTAAGCACACTGTAAAACGCTGGAATAAACCTCTGTTCTTTTGCTTCGATCAAATCAAAGATTCGAGGCACATTTTCAGGCGTATTGATTGAGTTCGTGTTGAAGTTTCGCAATTTATCAAGCAATATGAAGCGAGCATAGCCTAAATTATTCTTCCGCAAGTGCTCAATGCATTGTTGGCCGCATTCCACAGTGTCAACGACTATGTCATCGAGCCGTGGACAAGCAGTAGAAATTGCAACGTCATACTTATCATCGATAATGCCCAAGTCACCGAGTCGCCCATTGAAACCAGAAATACGACCAGATTTCTGTAAACGCGTAAGGGCATTAAGTACTTTATTTTTATTCTCGTAACTCGACAAAGAAGAGTGGGCATCCATGCTGCGCTGCCTATGTGCTAAAAGTACTGCCTTCATTTCTTCTAACTTTTTAGCAGCACCATCACACTCATTTTGGCCAATAGATATGAGCTCTTTCATAGAATCTTGTTCCTTTTCAAGTTTTTTGATATGCATTTGTTTCTCTTCTGCTCTGGTCCTAAGTTCTTGTATGTTTTTCACTGTTTGAGTGATATCCTCGACTAATTTTTGCTCAGACTCTTTAAGAACGGTGATTGTACTCTCAGTGAGCCTGATGTTGGTGATTTTTTCCTGTAGACGTACTGTCCATGGCTCTAATTCTTTTTCAATCACCTTTATTCTGCTGGTAATTTCACTTGTCTTATCTTTGAGAGAGAGCTTTATTTTGTCTAGTTCACCACGTTCTTCACAAAGCGAAGTATTCAATTGTGCTACTTCTTCTTCATACTGCAGTTGACTACTTTCAAGCTCCTTCAATTTATTTTCGGCTTCACTTATCGAGGTTTTGGTGGTTTTAGATAATTTTTCAGCTTTTGACTTTTTTTGTATAAGATTCTTAGCTTTCTCTTCCTTTGAAACTTTCTCTCTTTCTCTCCTACCTTTTTCAGACATGAGCTTCTTTTGCTGTTCTGCAAACATTTTCATTTGATTTTTTAAAGAAGAACATTCTTCTTCTAGCTTTTTTATCTCATTTTGATGTTCAACGTACTTGGCACTTTCTCTGGCCAATTCATCATTCAGCTCCTTTGATTTTTCAAGCGTATTCTTCAGTTTTTCGTCATTTTTCCAAATTTTATGTTGGCAAAGCGATGATTTTAAAATGGTCAAGACTTTCTCTTTTTCTAAAAAGTTTAAAGCCTCATCTTTGCTGGATTCCAACGAAGTCTTCTCACGCTCTACAAACTCAAACCGGCTTTCTTTTTCTTTGCAAACCTCATTTAGTGTTTCAATTTCAGTCAGGCTTTTTTCAATTAAAGGCTTATACTTTGCCGTGCCAATGATATCTTCTAAATATTCAAGTAGCCCATCATCACTTTCCTTTTCTGCTTTAGGCTTCATTTGTGCTATACTCTCCACTTCTCCCTGTAGAATTAAGAACCGCTTGTGATCCAAATCAATACCTTTGCCCTTAAGCAAATGAGTAACCTGTGTATAATTACTCTCTTTACCGTTGATAAAATACTTTGAAGAGTTATTTTTGAAAGCTTTTCTAGTTACGACCAATGGACTCGAGTTTTCACTGGTTCTTGTATTACCATTTGGCTCGTCGATTACATGTTTGAAATGAATTTCAACGAAACACGAGTCGAGATTAGGATGAGCTTCAGATTTGTGTATCAAATCTGATAATTTTCCCTGCCTCATTTTGTTGGCTCTAAATCCAAAAACAAAAAGCATTGAATCGATCACATTTGACTTTCCTGATCCATTTGGTCCAACAACTGCAGAAAAAGATGAGTGAAATGGACCCACTACCTGTGTCCCTGCATATGACTTGAAGTTATGAAGCACGAGTCGATCTATGCAAAGTCTTTCAACGGGCTCCATGGAAGCCTGAGAGTCATATATCCTTTGTAGTTCTAGCCTCGATTTTTTGAGCGGAGACAATTGAATGAGCTCAAGTCTGCGGGTTGGAGATCTATTTGGTGATCGCGGGGGAGACTGGGAATAAACTCTACCACGTGAACTCGAAAGCTCTCCTTTCTGAGGCTTCAAGTTCGGTACCTCAAGTGATGACGCTGTTGAAGGCTGTGAGTATGCAAAGCGTTTATCTGGGGACCCGAGGACAAGCTTCCGAGGTGTCCGAGATCTTGACTGTCTTGTATTGTTTGGTGACTCTTGAACTTGTGAGTCATCATCCGATGCCCCGGCTAGCACCTTCTGTTTTTTACTCAACGGACTATCGCTCATGACTGTCTCTGGCTCTCTCGATAAAAACTTGGCGTTTAGCGTTTGGCGTTGATCTGATGAGACTAAAGAAGGTTTGTTTACCTTTAAAAATCGCCATACTTCAACCACGTGACCGAGAGCTGAGAAACCAAGCTAGTTTCCTCATGACAAGTCCAAAAGTTGAAGGAAGATATGTGCAGTGTTGGCCATCTAATACCGTGCATGCCTGATTATAAGATTTTGTAAGATGTATCTTTTTCCGACCTTGTGTCTCTGGACGTTTACTCTACTATATCGCAAACAATTTCTGTAGCCGAGAAAGTTGAAGATTCTAAAGGACCAAAAGAAAACTAGTGATTAAGAGTATGGATATGACAACATCCTTCTATGGATATAAATTGTGTAATATTTAATAATAAATCTGCGTTAAGGCCTTGAAAAAATCGAAAAGCATTCGTTAACAATCAAAAATACTACTTGAAGGTAGAAGTAACAAATGGAAGAACCTCCATTAGTGATCGATAATGGCTCTTATGAGATCAAATTTGGCCCCTCAACCAATAAAGCCCCCTTTAGGGCGCTAAATGCATTAGCAAAAGACAAATATGGCACTTATCATCTTTCAAATCAATCGCGTTCAATCAAAGATATCTCTTCTGTGACCTTCAGAAGACCGCACGAACTCGGACAATTAACGTCTTGGGAGCTTGAGTCGCAAATATGGGACTATTGTCTCTATAATCCGGATGAATTTGACGGATGGTGTGTAGAAACCACGAAGGGCCAGCATCTCATCGCTAGCGAGACATGCATGACAATTCCAGAATTGAGTAAGAATATGGATCAAGTCATTTTCGAAGAGTACGAGTTTGGGAGCCTTTTTAAAGCACCCGTAGCTACATATATCCCGTTCAATTGGGACGACCCCGAGACGACAGTGCTTTCTGCGAAGGGCGACGACGATGTCGCCATAGAGAAACAACAAGAGGCAGAATACAACAACTTTCAGCTGGTCATCGATTCCGGCTTCAATTGCACTTGGGTGATACCTGTGATCAAGGGCATTCCATACTACAAAGCTGTGAAGCGGCTGGATAACGGGGGTCGTTTTCTCAACGGTCTTTTGAAGGAAACGCTTTCGTTCCGGCACTACAACGTTATGGACGAGTCAATTCTCGTAAACAATATCAAAGAAAAATGCCTATTCATGAGCCCCAACTCATATTTTGATAGTTTTCAGAACCGTGAGAAGACAGCTAAAGAATATGTCCTGCCGGACTTCCAAACCAGTTTCCAGGGATACCTGCGAAAACCGGGTCAAGTCCTTCCAGAAAACTCTCAAACCATTTTACTACAAGATGAGCTCTTCTCAGTGCCTGAAACTTTCTTCCATCCTGAGATTGCATCCCTTCTAAACCCGGGGATTGTTGAAACCATCTTGGAAAGTATCTCAATGCTTCCCGAAGCTTTCCGCCCTTTGATGGTAGGCAATATAGCCGTCACAGGTGGTAATTTCAACATCCCCAATTTCGCCACACGGCTCGCCACAGAACTACAAAGACAATGCCCTACCGACTGGTCTTGCCGCATAACTGTTCCTACACAAGATGCTTCATTATTTGGTTGGAGGTCAATGCAAAAATTTAGTACAACACAGGCATATCCAGCTGCTCGTGTAACCCGAGAAGAATATTACGAGCATGGTGTTGATTGGTGCACAAAGAATCGTTTCGGGTACCAGAAGTGGCTATGATAAATCGTAGCACCTTGCTATTATTAACGAAATAATAAGCCGTGTGTTATTACATATTTGTGTTTTAGCAAAAAGTAACGTAATACGCTCTGGACATCCGGGGCAAATTGGTTGGAAACGTATATAACGTGGAAGATGTTGTAGAAGATGACTGCGTATAACCTCGACTTGTGTGAATAGTATAGAACATGCATTCCAGAAAATCACGTTCTTCGCTTTCAATCTCTCAACAGAGACTTTTGTCTCATTCCATGACTGGCCTCTCTTTGGATCAGAAGGTAATGTACTACGTTGGTGTCGACGTTGGTACAGGTTCGGCTAGAGCATGCATTATCGATAGCATGGGTAATATCTTATCACTAGCTGAAAGACCTATCCAAAGAGAGCAGTTAAAACCTAATTACATTACACAGTCGTCACAAGAAATCTGGCAAGCAGTGTGTCACTGTGTGAAATCTGTGGTACGTGATTCTGGAGTCCCTCGGGAGAAGATTCATGGTATCGGCTTTGACGCCACTTGCTCTTTAGTAGTGGTAGAAGAAGACACCGATAAGGAGGTGGCCGTGGGGCCCGATTTTTCTAATACAGACCAGAACATCATTCTGTGGATGGACCACCGTGCCATTGAGGAGACGGCTATCATCAATGCAACGGGGGATAAGTGTTTGAAATACGTGGGCGGTCAAATGTCGGTAGAAATGGAAATCCCCAAGATCAAATGGCTAAAAAACAACCTTCCAGATGGAAAATTCACGAAGTGCAAGTTTTTTGATTTGGCTGATTACTTAACCTTCAAGGCCACTGGAAAAGAAACCCGTAGTTTCTGCTCCACCGTATGTAAACAAGGTTTGATCCCAATTGGCGTTGAGGGCTCTACTGAAGGTTGGTCCCGCGAGTTTTTAACAGAAATAGGACTCGAGGAGCTTTGCGAAGACAATTTTCGGAGAATTGGAGGGGCTGTTAAGAATGACGACCCTCAGAACAAGAACTTCCTAAGTGCTGGTGAATTTGTAGGCGCTTTGGATGAAAATGTCGCTGAAGAGCTAGGCTTGAGCGCTCTCTGTGTAGTGGGTTCTGGTGTCATTGATGCCTATGCTGGCTGGGTTGGTACGGTTGCGGCAAGAACTGATGTGGACATTCCTGCTCTGGTGGAAACCGATCAAAAGAAAGTTGGCATTGATCGTGCAACAGGAAGATTAGCTGCAGTAGCAGGCACTTCCACCTGTCATATCGCTATGTCTCGTGATCCTATTTTCGTCGATGGTGTTTGGGGCCCTTATCGTGATGTGTTAGCGAACAATTTCTGGTGTGCCGAAGGTGGTCAAAGTTGCACCGGAGCACTCCTTGCACATGTCATGACCACTCACCCAGCCTACACAGAGCTTTCACAATTATCTGATGCTGCCAGTGTTTCCAAGTTTGATTATTTGAACTCAAGACTAGAAATGCTAGCGCAACAACGAGAAGAAAGAAGTGTTGTACATCTCGCTAAGAATTTATTCTTCTATGGTGATTACCACGGGAACAGGTCGCCCATCGCAGATGCGTCCATGCGGGCTGCAATCATCGGGCAATCCATGGACAACTCCATAGATGACTTAGCTTTGCTGTATCTGGGTGCGTGTGAGTTCATTGCTCAGCAGACAAGGCAAATTGTCGAGAAAATGTGCGTCTCGGGTCATCATCTTTCTGCTATTTTCATGTCTGGAGGTCAATGCCGTAATGGTCTGTTGATGAGATTATTGGCTGACTGCACGGGGCTACCCATAGTGATTCCAAGATACATTGACGCTGCAGTGGTTTTTGGGTCTGCACTACTCGGTGCTGTTGCGAGCGAGAGCTTTGATTTGAAACAGACTGGGACAGATCTTTCCACAAGACGTAAGTCCTCTCTGGCCGGTTTAGTAGACGAGAACCCTGGAAACGCAGGTCCCAAGAAATCTGCTCTGTCCAAGTTTGGAAACATCGGGGGCATTGCAAGCGGCGACATTCCTTCCCCCTACACAGCGCCATCTGCTACTGCAAGCACATCCCAGATTGCCTCCACAGTCGGCTTCCCATTCCCAACCGCAGACGACAGCGAAGCGATAGAGGAAGACGATAACGATAAGGCGTTGGATTTCAGTGCGGTAAACTCTAAGTGGAAGCATGAAATGCAGACCAGAATGAAGAAAGGTACCTCCGACAACGGCGACGCCATGTGGAATGTCATGTACAACATGACCGGAGGAGGTAAGGTTGTTCAACCTCGTTCCGAAGACGATCCAGACCGTCATTTATTGAACATCAAATACAAGATTTTCTTGGACATGGCGGATACTCAGAGAAAGTACCGTGACATGATCAAACAGGCGGGTTTTTAACATTTATCCTATGCTTCTCTCTGATATATATTCGCACAAGCTGAACTTTTTCAATGGAATTCAAACTAGGTAAATATGGTACTTTGCTTTGTCAACGATCTAGAAATTATGCTATTTTGAGTAATCCTATCAGACAGAGTCAACAATTGCATTGCCGTCGGCATATGATCTTATTCAGTACTTTTTATGTCTCTAACGAACTATCGAGGCAGCCATAAGTATATTCGTTCTTGACTGGCGGCCTATGATGTACGCATACATATTGTCGACTAAGGCGAGATTCTCATGTCTGAAGCATTCTCGCTCTTCTTTCATCTTACTCTTGCTTCTCACGTGTTTCTCGCGAATGTTGATTTTCGCTAATGATCGGCGTAGCGTTTGTTTCGGAATACAAGAAAAAGTGTTCTCTACATGATGCACATCAGATGCCGAACGAAAATCCGGCGGAATGGGCGTTTCTGTAGGGTTTTCCTCGTAACTGGTAAAGTCAATTGGTGGAAGTGATCTTCGTAGTGAACTTACGTAAAATATCAGCTAGCGGGGCGAAGGTGCCATTAACATGTGATTTTTTCGCAATGATTCACAGGAAAGTCAGTATGAGTAACAAAAAAATCCAAAGAAATGGTAAATAAACGAGACTAATTAGAATTCTGTAGCGGTGCCGAGAATCCAAAACTGCAACTAACGGCAGAGTCGATTGTGAGGCTATCAACTTTGTCCCCTTGCACTTTGGCACTAAAGGCAACTATAGCGACACAAAAAAAAAACCGTTGGTGAGCAGGCGGCACCGTATTTATTTCATTTAACAAAGAAAGCACGTAACGCTGAACAAAGTTTCACCTCACACCACGTAGATAGAGAGCGACGAGTGTGTACTTACTGTGTGAGTTGGTCTTCTGCCAAGTATTTCTCAAGCTTCGTCCACCTGTGCCGCAGGTTCCTGTTGCTTTCCCTTTTTTTGCCTTTGTCAGATTTGCCGAAACTAGCTGAGCGAAATTGCAAAGACAAGGATTCTTCTTATGTGGAATAACTGCCACGATCTTTCATCACTGTGAAGCTATGCAAGAAGGAGTTCAGCCAGGCTCTTTGAACTCTAATGCTGCCAGCTCCGGATCACAAGATATCCAGCTCCCATCTCTACCGACGGAGAAAACTTACTACCAATTGCATCATAGCGAAATCGAACGGCCACTCTACGAAACAAAGAAGACAAGTTTGGAAACGATCGACACGACCCTCTTCCTGCTTCAAGATGTGCTTCTGAATGTCCTCATGCAGATTCGTAATCAAGATAGCTTCTATGAATGCTATTCAAGTGCGAAAAGGCACTATGAAACCTACTACCCCAAGTTACTGGACATAGAACCCGTTTTCAAAATTCTCATGAATTACCCCACAGAAATCCTCTCTGCGATGTATATACCTGTTATCCTGCGATTCTTCAAATGGTGTGAAAACGCAGCACATGCGTCAGGTGAAGCTCGTATTGGAAGGGCCATAATAACATCAAAGAAGAGCATAGCATTCTTGACAGACGATTTGAACGAGTACCAATACAACACTGGAACTTTGCATCAAGCCTTTGAAGCTTTGCGACTTCTGCAAAGTCTACAGATGGCTTTGTTCCCCCAAAAGCCACTACTTTACAATGATCCTACAGATGAAGAAATGTTAACATCTCAGTGGAAACCCCTAGATAGTGAAGAGGCAAGCACCCTAATGAATACGTTACTTAATAAAGCAAACCTGGTAGGGATTGAATCACCTGCAAGATCAGCTGAAGTAGGTCAGGTAGTGCCATTGGAAAACACGGAAAACTATCCCATACTCTCTCCTGTCCCCCCGCAAACAAGTACTTCATCAGCTAACATGACATACCAGTTACCTCAACATATTCCGTCACTTCCATCGGTGTCAGGATCCACCATGGAGTTCTCTGAACCATCACTCATGCAGACCTCAATGCTTAGCACAAGTAATCCGCCTAATATGGATAATCTATTCACCAAGACGCTCCCGGACGTCTTTCAAAAGTTAGAAGCATTACATGCATCTAATACTGAGCTGAAGAAGGAAAATGAATTGCTTCTTCATCACATGAATTTGTTAAAATCGCAGTTTCTATCTTTACGCAACTACGTGGACGATGTTTTGGTAAAAACTCCGTCATCAGCATCACCCAAGATGGTAAGAAAATCATCTGTAAAACCCCATCAATCAGTAACCGGCCTATCTTCAAATGTAATATTAAGTCATGGAAATCCAACCAGTACCAAACTATCCAGTATGGAACAAAACTATCAACCGTCAGAGGCAGGTGAAACTAAAATTCACGAACAATCTCTTGGAGGCTATGAGAATTTTTTGGGTTATACCGGTCCGACCTCAATTTCTCAAGATCCAGAATCTATCCCAACCTTACCGTCCTCTGAACCCATGTCTAAGGATGAAGGCATGGTGTTCTTTAACACTGAATTACAGGCTGGAAAGGAATTAAAAAACGTAAGCACCAGACAGCCCATAAGGAAACAAAGACCAAAGATTAAAAACTTCGAAGGGGTAAAGCTCTCAAAGGGCGAACAGTACCAACCTCCGGTGACATCTGAAGGAAAGCATTATCTTTTGGACGAATATGGAAAGTTAGCTATAGTTATGGCTAACGATCAGGACTCCATTTATGGAATTTATAATGAGTATTATCAATCCTTGAAACCACAAGTCGAGTCATATGTTCGGGACTTTGGGAAAAAGAGCCTTGTTCAATTCAAAAAGAAGCGGACTTTCCAGAAGAAAAAAGCTTTTGTTTATTTGGTGGAGAGGATGGCGTATCTGTGTAAAATGAACCCTGAACAAGTTCTGGAAATAATTGATGATATAAGGGTGAAAGAAAATAAGTCTATTGTTTGGGCTTGTAACAACTTGGGACTCTTGAAAGATGTCTTAGTTCAACACAGGCCTGATTTGAGAGAAGCAGTTATATCCGACGTAGAATAAAAGAAATAGCTACGCATATTAACTGAAATCAGTTTTACACCTTTAACGCAAGAACATTTTTCTTCGTACACATTCCATCCCGCAAATATCAATGTAGGCCAATAATAATTTCAAAACAAGCTACGTTTGTACTATTCATTCCGGCACTACCGCACAAGAAAACTTCTGTATTTCCAGTCAGAGCCCTTTGTAAGCCTCAAATATAACAGCACCACTGCAAGTTTTAGTAGAGAATAAACCCTACAATGGTTTGAGTTTGGCTTACGGGGGACGCGCTTTTAGCTTCATCATGGAATGTTTTCTCATGACAAAGAAAATCTTTTGCGAAGTTACACAAATTAGCATTTCAATAAAGTAGATTGATCTCTAAAAAAATACGAAAGCCTTGAGCGTGAAACATAAGCTGTCATGGAATTACGAATTATTACGAGTGTTATCACTCTTCTTAGTCTTTTATCTTTTGAGACTGAGGAACTTCAATAAGAGCGAGTAGTCCAATTTCATTTGTTGATCCTTCCCGATCGAGTAATTTGTAAATTTTCGGCATTCTTTCCGCCGCACTGTTCGATACACAACAGTTCATCAAGGTCAGAAAACCTAAAGTAAAACTTTGAAGTTCCGTTAGCCAGCTGTGGGTGGTTGACGTAGAGTTTTGGTTTATTCGATCAACTTCTTTTTGTTGGCAGCTGCCCGTTGTGATACTCTCTTCTGAAGAACCTGCAGACTGAAGAGCTCAGATTGTTAGGCGTTGAACAGATACACCAACATTCTTATGCATCCAATACTTCACGTACTGTTATGCGTCTTGGGCATTTTCAAGTTGTGTCGAGGCTCACAACTTGCTCGCATTGAACAAGTTCTAGGAATAGAGGATATTAATGTACCGAGGATCGATCTATCATCAAGTGATAATGATGAAATGGCCTATCTTGGAAATTTCGAGAGCCTCAACTTCTACAGATACACAGGACAGCAAAATTTCACACAAAATATCACTAAAGCTTCCAGCCATTTGATTTATTATTCAAATGGAACTTACATCTATGTGGACTCACCTGTGGATTCCGATAATAGTACAAATGCTCAAATTGATCATATAGTCCCTTTCGGAGATGATTCTTTCATCTTGAGTGGACAAGGAACAATACTAGGATACCAATTAGATCACCAAGTGCTACTTAACATCTCGAATCTTGAGTGCAGACATATTTTCAACGGCAGTCTCTCTTCTATTAAAGCTATTCTTGTTGACAATGATGTAGCGTATTTTGGGGGCTCTTTTAACTACACTGTGTCGAACAAGACAGGACACAGTGCTATTCTTTGGAATTCTACTGGTGATTTTGCTTCGCTTCTTCCGTTTGGTGGATTTGGCTCTAGCTCAATTGTAAATTCAATTGTGAAGTTGAATGACGATAACATACTTTTTGCCGGTAAATTCAACACTCTGGATGATGAACAACTTTTGAAGGCCAGCAATAACACAGATTCGCAAAACACAACTTTGGCGGAATATAGTCAAATAGTGTCCCTAAAGCATGGCGAATGGTCTTCTCAAGGTTCCCTCGATTCGAATAATATGATATGTCCGTTATCAAGTGATCAAGATGGATGGACTTTGTCTGGTTCTACTAGTGGTTCTTTTTCCCTTTCCCTTGCCCATACGGTTATTCCAAATAAGATTCGAATCTACAATTCCTTGTCCGCTGATGATCAAATCTCCCTATTCAGAGTTATTACTTCTCCGGCAGATGGCATAATGAACCTCACATATCTGGATCCTTCTACAGGTGAACTGGAAACATGTGACGCTTGGTGCCCTCTTTTATCAAGTAAGGAAATACAAGAGGCAGCAGCTAATACCACAACAAATGATACGTGGTCATATTTCGGAAACAATACAATATTAAGCTGGTCTGCAGATTATCAAGAATTCGCTTTCGTGAACGAAATTCCTGTTGAGGGCCTTACATTTATGGCGCTCAACTCCTATGGATCAAATGTTGGACTAAATAGTATTCAACTTTATGAGGGACAATTTGCGATTTACGCAAACAATTCGTTGAATGAAGCAAACTGTGATGAAATTCAAACTTTCTCATATTCCGAATTATCAGCAAATGCTGAATGGAAAGGAAGTTCAGACTATGTGTACGCAACGTACGATGATACGAATGGCTTACCATACGTGAATTTTTATCCTAACATTACTTATCCTGGTGATTACACCATAAATCTTTACACACCAGGGTGCCAGGACGATGGCACGTGTAATGAAAGATCAATTGTAAATGTCACAGTATGGGATCAGAATAATAATTCGGCGCTTTCAAGTGTACTAATCTATCAGAACAATGATTACGACAAATACGATTCGATTTTTTCCGGATCATTATATTATGCCCCCATGATTTCCATAAAATATCACTCTGGGATATATGGCAGTAGTACCTCAGAAAACGTGATTGTGGCTAGTAAAGTCGAAGTACTTATTGAAGCCATTGACGGGGCGGCGCATAATTCCACAATGGATAACTCTTTGAATGGCCTTTTCCAGTACCAGCTATCGAATTTCACCTCCGCCCTTATGAGTAATTTATCGATAGTTGGTAATACGTCAATTGATTCCCTTTCATTAGATCACTTTCCTTCAAATGCAGAGCTTTTCGCAAGCTCTTATGGCAACTTTCTATTGATCGGGGGTTCAGGAGGTGAAATTATACAAATTACTATAGGCGAAAACTTAGTAATGGATGCCAATAAAACTAACCTAATATCAGGAAATATACAAGGCATACAAACCTATTCTGACGGGCTTTTGTTAATGAGTAGTGTCTCTTCTAATGAAACTTCGGTGTTTAATTTTAATGGTACCCTTAATACGTGGGGCAACTTTAGCACTCAAATTGAAAAGTTCAGCAATATTACGATTGCGGACAATGAATTGCTAATATTTCAGATCGAGTACATTTTTAATACATCGTCAAATGAATACGTCTCCAATTCATCGGCGTTTTCAATATTCATTTCTTCTGCGGGCTCTAACTCGTACGGTGACACGCTATTCTTTGGGGCTGTGGGTCAGAATGAGTATACAAATTTGGATGGCGGAGTATTTTTTAATGCTTCTAAATCTATAAGCACACAACATTTGCCTCATAATTCGAATATGATTCTTTATGATGCGATTTATATTAATGATTCTGCTACTGCCTATGCATATTATGATGCAGACTCCTCTCATAATGAACATGGTGTACTTATACAGTCTCTTGACACTACTACCCAGATGCCTATCAGATGGCATAGCCCTATCTCTTCAATGATCTATATGAAGAATGAATCCCTATTGGCAGTTGGCACCCAAAACGCTACAGAAGCCCCGCAACTTGTGCTTAGAAATCTATCCAATCAAGCTAGTGTTGCCGATTTGAGTTGGAGCAATAATGTATCAATCAACAGCATGATTTTTTTCGAAAAGAACCATTCTGTACTTGTTGGTGGTGACTTTGTTGTAGAGAATGTCAGTTGTTCTGGATTATGTCTTTTTGATTATAGTCGGGCTGAATGGAAGCCGTTTTACAATAACAAAGTTAGTGGAACTGTAACAGACATGAAAATTTTTAATGGTACTGATCTCTTGATTTCTGGCAGCTTAAAGGTTGAGAACAAGTCGTCAGTTGCTTTGGCCGGGATACAATTAAAGGATGGAAATTCGAGTATAATATACGCTGGGAATAATTTAGTGGAGACTTTTATTATCGCCAGCAATTCGACTGATGACATTTTTGCTCTTAACAATGATGGAGTAATCCATATTTCAAATGGTACGGCTGAGACACTTACAACATCTGATTTCCAGAGTGAATCGAGATTCAATGCAATTCAACTGCTATCGGTAGCTGAAGATAATAAAAATGCAAATGACGCACTACAAAAAAGAGCCGATCCGGCCCTGTCTTTGCTTGTTGCTGGGGAAATGCAGCATAAGAAGTACGGTAATTTAAGCGCGATTTTATATGATGATGGGGATTGGGTACCATTTTTTTCAACAACACGTAAATTCAATGATTTGGGGTTAATCGGCGGACAAATATTCAGTAATAGAGACGATTCCTCCCTCTTCTCTAGCCAAGTTACATTGTCAGCAAATTCAACTCTGAATTCAACTTCTTCTAGCCCTCAAGCTGGTAGCTCTTCAACGACGACAGCCCCGGCTACAATTTCAAGCGGCAATGGTTCACGTAAAGAAAAGCGTGTCCATCGTGGATTTGTCGTTCTAATTGGTTTGGCATTGGCTGTGGGAACGGTAGCACTTTTAGGAACGATCGGTGTCTTATTATCATATTTCATTGGCAATAGTGGCAAGTATCAACCCTTGACACCACGTATAGATGAGAGTGAGATGATAGAAACAGTTCCGCCGGAAAAATTAATGAAATTTATTTGAGTTTGTGATGTTAGACTTTGTTTTTCGTTCGATTGTTGTATAGACAATCCTTTAATGGCTTTGTAATAATTATTTAAATTCTATAAAGAGGGTTCACGAAGTAATTATTTACATGTGGATTTTCTCATGCTCTTGAATTTCCATCTTTAATCTCTCTAAGATCAAATTCTTTCTATTTGCAAACTCCAAATTTCCATACATTTGTTCTACATCTTTGAAACTCCAGTATGAACGTCTCCATTGATTAGATTCTGACCATTTTTTGGCAGCAATGAGCTCGAATAACGTAGATTTGCGCCGACGCGACAGACCAACCGAAGCAACGTCATATTTCGGCAACTTATAGTTATCATCACATGAGTTATCGTCATCGGAGCTCTCTTCCTTTACGTCACCAACATTTTCGGGGCGAGCAGTCTTTTCTGGGTCTGAGCTACTAATAACGTCTGAAGGAGTTTTGCGTCCCCGAGTGCGAGGGTCGATACGCAGAGCGTAACAGTAAGCCAGTCTTTCCCATATAAGAACTTCTGATAGAGGTCCGATCGCACATTCGTCCAAGATAGTCTCAAGATACTTTATCGCATACGGAGTAGAAGTCCAAGTATCACTGAGACTCAAAAAAAGTTCAGCAGCAAGAAGCATGCACCTTGTCTCGTAGCTTTGCGCTGATTGTGAAGGCGCTGTCATAGATTGAGCATCGTCATCATATGCAATTATTTCTGCAGGTGATTTCTCTGTTCCTTGTCGAAGTACGGGACTTGTATTGGCGCTTTTACTTGTTTTCACAACTAACGACTTTTTCTCTCTTGCACGATTTGCACATAGCTCATAAGTCTTCAGTGCCCTCGTGATGAGAGGGTCGATATCATTTTTTATCATTTTTACTGTTACAATGCTTTGAGCGCCCATAAGAACGGCGAGAGCACACCATTCAAGACACGGTGCGAGATATTCAGGATTTGAGTCGAGATCTCTGCTTAGTAATTCATAAGTCGAGTATGCAGTTTTAAAATCAGATATCATGAAGGACCAGTCGGCAAGTTTTCGCATCAAAAATTCATTTGAAGTGGCGGGGAAATATGCCAATCCGTAGTTGTTGTGAGTAATAGAATTTCCTTCGTTTAGGCTGGGTGCACTTTTTGTTATTAATCTTCGAAAAAACTTTGAGTTCTGAAAGATAGACTTCCGGGGTTGGAGTATTGTTTCTTCCCAGAAGGAAATTTTGCGCTTCATAAATGGTATCATCAAATCATTTGTCAGTATGGAAACGCGATCATATATTGTGTTTGCAAGTTGAAGTGGTAGCTCAAACGTTGTATCATTCATCATTGACAACATCGTTTCTTCCAGTGATGACATTATAGGTTGATGTAGGACAACCTTTTTGGCGGATGACTGATAGTTCCATAAAGGCAATAGTATACTTTCGACGAAGAGTTGTTTCTTTAGCATTTTTGTTAACGATTGGCAGGTCTCAAACTGCTCTCGTGAATTTTCGTCGTAGCAGAGAAGAAACACCGGTAAAATGTCATTTATGTTGATGAAATTAGGAAAGTTCGGTAGTTGATTATGCATATTTTTGAACGCTATCAGTAAGTCGCGTGCATTCTCGTATGTTTGATTTTTTGATATATCAATTGCCAATAAAGATACAACTGGGTGGTTAAATGATTCATAGGGCGAAAGATGCGCTGTAGACGATATGGCTGTTGTGAAGAACTTATGGTACGTGGAGTGTCTCAGAAGACGATGAGGTGTATCCGAAGTGGTGCGGATTTCGACAAGCTCAAGATATTTTTTCAAGAAGACTTCCAATGAATGATAGTCAAAAAGTAAATCATGTGTATCTCTTGTGCCGATCAAATCAGGGAGTGGTCGAGTGAACCTTATAAACTGCGACACCTCACGCTGAAAAAGACTATTGGAACGCGGACGGCCTGATGTCGCAACGTCCTCTTCAGCCTGATCACGGTCGGTAATACAATCCCCGAAATAACGGAGTAGCATGTAGAGAGAATCAAGGCCATATGACTCTTGCACATGTTGATCTATTTCTGGACTCGATGTAACCGTTACGATGGGAGATATGGAATTTGATACCACTTTTTTCGATATTTCTGTAGGTATAGGTTCTTCTGAATAGTCCAAATGATATATGAGATTCATATACTTCTCATAAGACAACGGCATGTTGCCTATTAATGATGGCTTGCCGTGTTTGTTTGTTGAGTTAGTCTCCCGTTAAAAGTGGCCTTTAGATGTCGAATTATTCAATTCCGTAAGATATTACCAGCAATCTGTGCTGAGCCTTTCGTGTCTTCTCTTTTTCTTAACCCTCATGGCGCTCTGGGAAGAATTCTCATCATTCCGACGTTCGAATTCTGATCGTGTCTGTTAAAATTTTTCACGGTATGCGTAGCTCGTAGATAGTTACTTTTTTTATTTTTCGCGGAAAACAGCGATAAAGTTGAAATTCGACACGATCAAAAGCTTTTATTTTGAATTTTGAATAAACAGAGTATTGTGGAGATAATTGTAGTAGAGTTGAAACGATCATGATACTAATCTACTTGCTTTCAATTGCACTGCCAATTTGTGTCCACTCATTCTATCTGCCAGGTGTTGCTCCTACCACCTATCATGAAGGTGATTCAATTCCATTGCTGGTAAATCATTTGACACCATCCATGTTTTTCCGCCATAAGGATGACGATGGAAAGGATACCGGGGATAGGGAATCCTTTTTGTATTCATATGATTACTACTTCTCGAAATTTCACTTTTGTCAACCGGAGAAGCTGGAAAAACAACCCGAATCGTTAGGATCCATCATTTTTGGAGACCGAATCTTCAATTCGCCTTTTGAACTGGAAATGTTGAAAAATAAGGAGTGTATGCAAGTGTGCCAATCGACAATTCCAGGTGAAGATGCGAAATTTATTAACAAGCTTATTGTGAATGGATTTTTCCAAAACTGGCTTGTGGATGGTCTCCCCGCTGCTAGAAAGGTTCATGATTCAAAAACGAATACCGATTTTTACAGTTCAGGATTTGAACTTGGTTTTGTTGATGTCACTCAAGGCACATCCAAGTCTAAAACTGAATCAACGTCAGGAACCAAAAGCGTTGCTCAAGATGACTACTTAGATTTACCATCACTAAAGAAGAGGAAAAACTTGGTTGATGTCGAAAAGCGTGCAAAAGATGTTAACTCCAACTCCATCGTGAAGACCCTAGAGATTCCTTACTTTGTTAACCATTTCGATATTCAAATTGAGTATCATGACCGTGGTGAAGGCAATTACCGTGTCGTAGGCGTCACAGTGGAGCCTGCCTCTATTAAACGTACTTCTGCTTCAACTTGTACGGCTACTGGAGAAAGTTTAGTCTTATCTGAAGAAGAAGACAACACCGTCTACTTTACCTACTCCGTGAACTTTGTCGCATCTGATAAAGTGTGGGCTACCAGATGGGATGATTATTTACATGTCTATGATCCCAAGATTCAGTGGTTCTCTTTAATCAATGTCTCTATCGTTGTTTCACTTTTATCATCAGTCATGATACATAGCTTGTATCGCACTTTGAAGGATGATTTGTCGCGCTATAACCAACTAAATTTAGACGACGATTTTCAAGAAGAAACAGGATGGAAGCTTGTGCATGGTGACGTTTTCCGCTCGCCTAGAAAAGCAATGCTACTATCTGTTTTAGTTGGCTCAGGTACTCAGTTGTTTTTAATGGCGGGCTGTACGATATTCTTTGCATTGTTGGGTTTACTATCACCCTCTTCAAGAGGCTCTCTCACTACTGTGATGTTCATTCTTTACGCGCTTTTTGGCTCTTGCGGTTCGTACACTTCGATGGCAACTTACAAGTTTTTTGGTGGTCAGTTATGGAAAGTCAACATGATACTTACACCAATTCTTGTTCCAGGTAGCTTGTTTGCGACTGTCTTAGCATTGAACTTCTTTTTGATCTTTGTTAAATCCGCTGGTGCTATTCCTTTTGGAACAATGTGTGTCATAGTCGCATTATGGTTCTTGTTTTCTATTCCATTGTCCATTGCAGGCTCCCTCGTTGCTTGGAAAAGATGTAAGTGGGACGAGCATCCAACCAGAACCAACCAAATTGCTAGACAGATTCCCTTTCAACCATGGTACTTGAAAACAATTCCTGCGGCCATGATTGCAGGTATTTTCCCATTCGGTTCAATTGCAGTAGAACTGTACTTCATTTATTCTAGTTTATGGTTCAACAAGATTTTTTACATGTTTGGATTCCTCTTTTTCGCTTTTCTTCTATGGACTTTAACTACATCTCTGGTAACCGTTCTATTGACGTACTACTCTTTGTGTATGGAAAATTGGAAGTGGCAGTGGAGGGGATTTTGGCTAGGTGGTGCGGGTTGTGCGATCTACGTGTTCCTACATTCCATTTTACTCACTAAGTTTAAATTGGGTGGTCTGACAACAATTGTCCTATATACCGGTTATTCCTTAGTCATATCGGTCCTCTGTTGTTTGATTACTGGTGCGGTCGGATTCTTGAGCAGTTTGTGGTTTGTTAGAAGAATATACGCATCCATCAAGGTTGATTGAACGCACACTAAAGTCGATTTGAGCAATCAACTGCGTACATTTTAAAGCTTCGTTAAATATATAGAACATATCAATCCTTAAACTGCGCTTGCCGATACTGAGTGCCAGTTTAAGTTTCCGTATCATGCATACATAAATTGGCACTATCAGCGTGCCCACATATCTACTACTCCATGTAAACTTCTAATTGAATATGAGATATTCCAAGCGAACTCGTGAATGTTCAATTTAGACATCGAAAGGCGTTCGATGTCGCGGCTCATGATAATACTGTGAAGAAAAAACAAGTGCCCGTGCCCTTTTGAAGTTGGTAATTAGGTTGATATTTCATTAATTTATCATCAACAGGTCTCTTGGCCCAGTTGGTTAAGGCACCGTGCTAATAACGCGGGGATCAGCGGTTCGATCCCGCTAGAGACCATTTTTTGCATTTTTACTTTTTGAAAATAAAATATCATTCTTTACAAATCGTAGGCCATATTAAGCATCATACGGTTTTCATTCACTACATCGCCTGCATCAAAAACATCTTTATGGAAGCCGAAAACGTATCAGAAAATACAGATACTCAATTGGTTCCTGAGGCAAATCTTGAATCAAGTGGAGACGCTAATCATTCAACCTCAGCGGAATTAGACACAGCGGAAAAAAATGCTAATCATTCAGCCTCAGCAGAATTAGACACAGAGGAAGATAGTGCAACCCTATTCAAGGAGACTAAGCTTCTTAGGGACACTCTCGAACTTCTGTTGAGCAAGTCGTCTGAGCAAAAGAAAGTTTGTGAGCAACTTTCTCAAGAGAACAGATACTTACAAGATTACGTGGAAAACCTCATGTCATCTGGCGGCGTTTTAGAGAAATGATCCCACCATTTATCTTTATTGACGTTTTGTCACGTTTGGTAATTTACGGTGTTTTACATGCTTTTTAACTCTTTTGCGCTTTATGGCGTTTGTACTTTGTTTGACGGAATTATGACAAAAGATAGACACTCCGATTGCAAGATGATGTTTGTGCTTCGGAAGATTTCTGTTTACTCAGATGCATAATTCTACTATATCACAATATGAGCAGCATCTATGACTTCAGGCTACGCGTTAACGTACCTCAGGATGAGAATCATGGTGGACAGGCCTTATATTATCCTTCGAAGCTCTCGGCAAGAGCGCCGAACGCATCTCATCGAACACATCGGGTCCATGCTGCGTTTCCAAAGCATATTGAGCCCTTACCTTTAAACAGCAACGACATACAGCTGAAGGACCTCATAAAATCTGACCCTGATTGCACTACAATAGATTCAGAGACACTGAACTTGGTGAACTATATAAGACAGCCTGAAAAACTTCGCACTAGCAGTGGTTTGTCTTGGTTAGAGATGTTTGCGGGCGACCAGACACTCCATGATTCGGCGAACTCCCTTCATGTAGAGAAGACTAGACCCTTTCAACAAGTCGAATCCCTTGAAACCTTCGTCCCCATCACAGTCAGGCCCAATAAGTTACTTCCGATTTCAGAACGATTGGATTTGTCGCCATTAATGCGTTCTCATCTATTGCAACATGATGCAGTTCCGTTCTTCAATTGTGAGCGATACGAAACTAGATTGGAGCCAGATGACTATGAAGGAATCTGTCTGGCTATCCTGGAAAATGAGATACTTCCTATTACTGAAAATGAACAGCCTATATTCGAAAGGCAATTGGAGTTGAATGAGATTAGAACTTGTACACGCTGGTATCATTATCCTCTATATTACCTATTTGGTATTGATAGAACGGGCTTCTTTGCTCTGAACGAAATTAAGAAAGACTTTTGTGACTATCCATGGTCTAGATTTACACGACCAAGACCCGATGACGTTGAATGCTATTTCGGTAAGGTAAATGAGGACGCGGTTGATCCTTTGGATATTCCTGATTTTGATACAAAATCCGAAATGTCCCTTGACCTTTACATTTAGCGAGAATCTCTATATATAAAATCTCTTTAAATGCCAGTCAGGTATAGGACAGTTTTCTGCCATCATTTCTTGCGTTATCTCCATCGGATCAGCAGATTTCAGCTTTTGCCGGTGCACTTCAAATAAACTGCCACCTGCCCATGGTCCGAGAGTGTCTAAAACCTGAAATTCGGTGCTTAAAAACTGCGCCAAATAGTTCTTAAGATACTGATATTCGCATATGGACCCGGTGAGAATTATTCGAGAATTCAATGCTTGCTTCAAAACAACTGGAAATTTCGATGTCAATCTATAGAGTAGAGGACAAATAGGCATTTCATCCATATCGTAGTCACCTGAAAAAAAGGAACCCATTAATTGACTTTCTACAATGTTGAGAATCAATTCTTGGTCAGCTTCAGATGGTGATGCTAGAGATGTGGAATCTGGTGATACCACAGCAGGTGATTCTTCGAGCTTCTTGTGTAGATAGCCTGCTCCTCTGTTGGTTATACCAATATGGCTGTCAATTATTCTCAACTCCACCACAGGAGCAATTACCGTGTGCTCAGCACCGATATCTATCACTATTCCGCTTCTTACACCAGCGGCAACACAAGACATCAATATATCAGGGATAAAACTCATGCTTGCCACTCCCAAACGCTGCAAACCTACCTTACAAAGAAGCTTTTTATGTCCTAACGATAGCATGATATTTTCCAGAATAATTAGCTTGGTGTGTTGTGGTGAAGTCATTAGTTTATCATGAAACCATCGATATAATAAGCGGTAAAGAAAGTCCTCATCACCGACAAAGCCATTTTTAAAACAGTAGGTGTCTATATATTCATGATCACCAGCCCTTCCAATTTTGATCGTTTTAGTGCCATACTGTAGAATTATGTGATTTGAAGGCATGTGTTCGCCATGTTATCGAGATTTTGACAATAGAATTTCAATACTCCTTTTGAGAAAAGATAATCAAAATAAAAATACACCAAAAAGAAAGATGGGGGTGATTATATCTCTCCCTGTAAATTTGGCAGCCTCTTTTTTGGCATCATGCTTTGGTTCATGTACGTCGACGATTCTCACGAAGTCCTTTAAGTCTTTGAGCGGGGGCTCTTCTTCACTCTCTACAAGACTAAATTATGCGGCAGGACTTCTGGTCAACTCGTTAGCTTCCTGGATTTCCATGTCTTCGAACTACTCGCTTTTATGGCCTGGTAAAACATGTACCTCAAATGGCGAATGTGGATTTTTCAGTGTGCATAGGCTAAATTTTGCACTCGGAGTCTTGCATTTAGCGTTAGCAGCAATGCTCGTGGGAGTCAAGTCTACAAGTGATAGACGGTCTCAGCTTCAAAATTCGTGGTGGCTAGTGAAAATCTTGATCTACTTCTCCCTTGTTATTATATCATTCTGGATTCCTAATGAGTTTTATATTGTATTCTCGAAGTGGATTTCGGTGCCATCAGGTGCACTTTTCATTCTTATTGGATTGGTATTGCTGGTAGATTTCGCTCATGAATGGGCTGAGACCTGCATACAACATGTTGAGCTGGAGGATGAGCATTCTTCCTTTTGGCAGAAATTTCTAATAGTTGGCACAAGTGCAATGTACCTCGCTTCATTGGTTATGACAGTACTGATGTACGTCTTTTTCTGCCAAAGTCATTGTAACATGAATAGGGTATCGGTCAGCATGAACATGGTTTTGACTCTTATAACTACTGGTATTTCGGTACATCCTAAAATACAAGAATACAACCCAAAATGCGGGCTAGCACAAAGTAGCATGGTTGCTGTTTATTGCACATACCTAACGATGAGTGCTATGTCCTCTGAACCAGACGATAAACAATGCAATCCACTCGTGAGATCAAGTGGTACCCGTAAAGCTAGCGTCATTTTGGGTTCCTTGTTCACTTTTGTAGCCATTGCGTATACCACCACAAGAGCGGCAGCAAATTCAGCGTTCAATTCAGGTGGACAATCGATCTATTTAGATGGTGATGATAACGTCGAATACGAGGGCATCGGGCAATCAAGAAACCAGTTAAGATTGGAAGCAATAAGACAGGCAGTTGAAGAGGGTTCACTTCCCGAAAGCGCCCTTTACGACACAAGCTGGTTGGGATCACCAGGCCCGGTTCCCACTGGAAATGATGTGTCTGATGATTCAGATGATGAGAAAATATCTACCAGATACAGCTATTCGCTTTTTCATATTATATTCTTCCTAGCAACTCAATGGATTGCAATTCTTTTGACAATTAATGTCACTCAAGATGAAGTAGGAGATTTCATTCCGGTGGGGAGGACCTATTTTTATTCGTGGGTGAAAATTGTAAGTGCCTGGATTTGCTATGCACTTTATGGTTGGACTTTGATAGCACCAATGGTGTTACCTGATAGATTCGGGTATGAGGACTTTTGAGACTAATTAGCATATTCTTATAGCAACTTTGGAATTGCGTCAATTTCAATCGTCAGCATCAGTGATACCTTTTTCGCCGATCAAGTAAACGCATTCTTTCTCTGGCATATCGGGACTATCTTGTAACTTCGCGACCCTTTCATCGCCTCTTCCTTTCCTCAAAAGTATTCGAGTTGCACTCGCGTGTGCTAACACATGACCTCCAACAGGTTTTCTTCCATCCGCGCTAGCGAACAGTGCAGATGCACCAGGATCAGACTGTACCTGATTGGTCATAAAGACTGCTATGTTGTATTCCTCGGCAATTTTATTGAGGCGTGATAAATGTTGGTTCAATTTCTGTTGACGTTCATTGAGTTCCCCCCTACCGCAATAGTCAACTCTAAAATTAGCCATTATAGAGTCGACAATTATCAATCGGTACTCGCCGGAGGACAATTCTTGTCCGAGCTGTTCAGTGAGTTCCATTTGATGTTCACTATTGAGAGCTCTTGCGTAGGAAACATTTTCTAAACATGCATCAGGATCCAAATCATACCTACTGGCTATTTGCTTGATTCTCTCTGGGCGAAACGTACCCTCGGTGTCAACGTATGCTACTTTGCCCTCACCACCACCTAATTCACGGGGGAGTTGCGCGGTTACACATAAGGTATGAGACATTTGAGTCTTACCACAGCGAAACTCTCCAAAAACTTCAGTAATGCTCATAGTCATGATTCCTCCACCGAGAATGCTGTCAAGCTGCTTGGAACCTGTGGATATCGCAAACACGCGTTTTCTGATGTCTGCCTGAATGGTCGCGGGTATGAAACCAACCTGTATGATTTTCCCTGCTGCTTCTTTCACCTTTTCAACTTTAACTTCGCTGAGGCCTTTGATCTTGAGGAGGTTTCGTCTGGTTGTTGATAGCACTGTCTTTTGGGTAGTTAGTATTTGTTGTCGCCTTGGGGTCATAAAATACTTGTTATTATTCATACATTTACACTGAAGATACCAGAACTTCTCAACTTTTGCAAATCAGACGCATTTATACCGTAGTTCTGAAGTTCGTCTATATTAATAATAGTGTTTGGGGTCGACGTTTCAGTCTCGGTTTCTGTTGACATTGCTGGCGGCTAAGGTATTAGATCAGTGATTTTTTATTTGAAATTTGATTAGACGTGTTATAGGGTATTATTAATCTCCAAATAACAATATAAAGGTCTAAACTGATTTGGTTTTTGATTGAAAACTAGTTTCTGTGTATTTGTGTCGCGTTACAAGTAAGGACAAAGAATCAAGTTCAACTTTTATACCTGATTTTGCGAGGAACATTCAGTTCCCTAATTATGAAAATTTAAAAAATTTGAAGAATTATTGAAAGAACCAATTGTGTTACAATCTACAGTTTCGAAAACTTGAGTTCTTTCTTTATTCCATCTTCGTAACTGGATCAGAAGTGTTTGAGTGGCTTTGATGATAAAACTAAATAATACATAAGCTCAGGCCATATCGACGTCCTGAGTAGGTGCTGGAATAGATACTGAAGATGCCAAATTCTGTTTCTTTAGAGGTTGGGTTTCTCTGATGGCAATACCAAATCTCTTGTCCTTTGAGAGTTGTGCAAGTTGGAATATACCTTGAATGAACGCGTCTGATTGGTCTAATTCGAACTTGGAATGAACCCAGCTGGGTTGACAGGTCTTGCTACCACCTGATAGCCTTAGGAGCTCTGGTTTGCCAGCGGTGACGTCTGCAGTACATAGGACGACGGTACAACTCTCGCGAACAACAGGTACTGAGACGGAATGTTTTAACAAGGACTTTAATTTCAAAGAGGAAATTCCTAGACGAGGTAGGGGAAGTTCTTGACCTGGGAGTGCACGCGTCGTGGCATCACTGCCCATGGTACCGGTAGGATTGGCAGTCTTCAAAATCTTTTCCCATGGAATGCATTTAGCAATACGGATAGGGTTTGGAACAGCCAAGTAGTTATTTAGTATCTCGCTCATACCTAGTCTGTAACTCTTGAGATCTTTCGAGAGCGCAGCGAGCTGCGTAGCGTCGACATCTGCAACGTCAAGTGGGAAGGCGTCACTTAAGTGCGACAGTTTGATAGGATACACGCCTTGTCTGTCGATCTTTGTTAGCAACTGTCTAGAGGTCTTCAGTTTCAGTATGTGGGTGTGGGCAAAGTCTCTGACGTATGCACCAGGTCTGGCGACTAATTGATCAGCTCTGTGAGATTTACCGGAGAAATTATCAACGTTTTCCAATGTAACTAGACCCGGAGCAAGACCGTCTAATGGAGCCATTTGCAAGTCGATCACATATACTTCACCAGGAGAAACCACAAAGTCGTCGGTTGGAACAGCAGATACATTGGCGCGCTTAGATGGGGCGACCGTAACTAGATCCTTAGTGTTCTCAGCAGACTTTTGTAACATGGCGGCTTCTTGGTCGGATTCAAACCAAGCAACACCTTTGTATTCCCTTTCGGCAACGATACCTTCGTTTTGACCGGCCAAAAACCTTCTGACACGGCGAACTTTGGAGCCTGGAACAACACAACAACGGTATGTGCGTGCGATTGTATCAACGACAGTACGGATAAGGTGTCCGGTGACTTGGCCGTTGGAGGCAAGCGCACGAGGTAGCTTCTCGGGTGTCAGCGCAGATGCGAGTAGCGACACAATTGTTTCCATAGCGATGTGGGTGGCAGCATACGCATCAGCCTTGTTGCCCAGTAAAGGACCAGTTGGAATTGCATTTCCGTCAGCTCCAGCCTCGGTGGGATACACAACCATGGTGTGAGAGACCTGCGTCGTGTAACCGTCGATGTGCACACCGAGAGTGATCTTAACCACGTCTCCAGGAGCAAGATAGCCGTCAGCGCTTCTGTAGCTGCCAGAGGCCTCAGGAGGCACACCACTATTTGCGGAACGCAGCTGATCCGCGTCATCGACCTCAGGGCACCAACCTGATGCGATCTCATCGATGTCGATAGTCGTGGGATGCGCAATTCCACGCTCAGCGACCTTGTTCTTGAAGGAGCTTTCGAGGCATGTATCCATGAAGCTGTCACCCAGCAGACACAAGTCGTGGATGGCCACACGCGCGGAACTGCCCTTGTGGTACGAATCGTTGATTAGGCCAGCGACGAAGCGCAGAGCCGTCTGTGTAATCTGGCCGGCAGAGCGGTACTTGTCAAGCACAGAGTCCTGGAGCACATTCTTGTCGTGAAGCAAGACCTGGGTGTCCTCGTGAGAGATCGCGAGAGCCATTTGCCGTGTATAGATTGCAGTTAGAGGCGGGAGAAGTATGCCTGCGAAGAGCTCATCTCGAGAGCTAAAATTTTTCAGACTGAAGGGAATAACAAAAAAGAAAGTAAAAAAACAGATACTTAGTCACGTGTTTGCCGTCTTTCGCGATTTTGATCGCGTAATCGATTCGTATTTAGTGATTTTATTTTTTTATCAAAATTTTCGGTATTTCTTGGTCACGTGCTGTCAGACTCCTCTTTTAATCCGTCTCGATTAAGCGGTCATTAATTGGCGGGAGCATCTATATGGAAAATTTATATAAAGGAGGTAAGACGCAAACGGTTGCAAGTATCAATTGAAAAGAGTAAGTCCGTCCCATACGCTCAAATTGCCCAAACTCGCCGATAGGTATCTAGGACAGAATGATATCAGCAGTTACAAAGAGTCAAGCCATCAAAAGAGTGTCGTGTTCGCCCGCATTCCGCGTCGCCAGACGTGGTCTTGCGAGTGCAGCTGAGACAAAGGAAGCGGATGATGTAGTTGAAATCGTGCTTCCAGAGACATCTTTCGAGGGCTATATGTTGGAGGTACCAGAGCTCACATACAAGACTACCAAGACCAACTTGTTGCAGATGTACAAGGATATGATCATTACAAGACGGATGGAAATGGCGTGTGACGCGTTGTACAAGGCCAAGAAGATTCGTGGGTTCTGTCACTTGACCGTGGGCCAGGAGGCCATTGCAGTCGGAATTGAGAACGCCATCACCAAGAGAGACACTGTTATCACGTCGTACAGATGTCACTCGTTCACGTACATGAGGGGCGCGCCCGTCAAGGCGGTGCTCGCGGAGTTGATGGGTAGACGTTCTGGTGTTTCGTACGGTAAAGGTGGTTCTATGCACTTGTACGCTCCAAACTTCTTTGGTGGTAACGGTATCGTTGGTGCGCAGGTCCCTCTGGGTACCGGTCTAGCTTTTGCCCACCAGTATAAGAACGAAGATGCGTGTGCGTTTACCTTGTATGGTGATGGTGCGTCCAACCAGGGCCAAGTTTTTGAATCTTTCAACATGGCCAAGTTGTGGAACTTGCCTGCCGTTTTCTGTTGTGAAAACAACAAGTATGGTATGGGTACTGCTGCCGCGAGATCCTCCGCCATGACTGAGTACTTCAAGCGTGGTCAGTATATCCCAGGTCTAAAGGTCAACGGTATGGACATTTTGGCTGTGTACCAGGCTTCCAAATTTGCCAAGGACTGGACTGTGTCCGGTAACGGCCCCATTGTCTTGGAATATGAGACTTACAGATACGGTGGTCACTCCATGTCAGACCCAGGTACCACCTACAGAACCAGAGACGAAGTCCAACACATGAGATCTAAGAATGACCCTATTGCTGGTCTAAAGATGCACTTATTGGAACTGGGCATTGCCTCCGAAGACGAAATCAAAGCCTACGACAAGGCCGCAAGAAAGTACGTTGACGAGCAAGTTGAGATGGCTGACGCTTCACCTCCACCGGAAGCCAAGATGTCCATCTTGTTCGAAGACGTCTACGTTCCAGGCAGCGAAACACCTACCTTGAGAGGTAGAGTCTCCGACGACACCTGGGATTTCAGAAAGAATGACTTTGCTATCAATAATTGAATTTCACTGCTTGTGCCTTCCTGAATATTGCTATCGTTTTATTCACCGACACTTCTGGAGAATATTCCCCTGTTTTGACGTTATTGAAACATTGGGTGAATAGTAATGAAAGAAAATTGTAAAAATTATAAAAAAAAAAAAAAAAAAGAACAAGAATTCACAAACTGTCCAGAGAAATTATGATTAGATTTGACATCTACTTTGGGTTATTAAAGTACTATCTACACAATTTATGAAACTTGCTCATCTGCATCTCTCCATTTATGAGATGAGCGGTGGCGCTTCTCTCCACTCTATTCTAGCTATTTTGCTTCTCTCTCTCCATTGCAAGATAGCTCGAATGGCCACTTAAGTTTTTATAAATGCTGTGCGTGTGTGAACTATAAATGGGAAAACGGGTTCCTTGGGTTTCGGACTTCAACGTTTTTTTACTTCAATCCATTTTAAATAGGTTAATATATTGTCTCTTGAAACTTAGGACAGTGTCCTTTCACAGTATGTTGGATAACGTTGTATTGAAACATGGTTGCATTTTCAGTACTACTTCAGCTTTCACTAATCCTTATCTTGGTTCTAAGGTCATAAAATATTTCCGTTCTCCGTTTGGGTACTCCGGATTTTTCAGCCGTACGTATAATCATTCCCAAATACGGTATCCAAATATGAAACATGCTATAAGCAACCCCAAAAAGGTGAAACAGCTAGCTGATCTAAGAGGGTTGACAGGAAGTCAACTTCAATCCATTTTCTTTGATGATTGCAATGCTAATAACGGGATCATATGCTTGCTTCTGATTTTTCGCCAGAGGAGCTGATATTCCAGCTTACCAATGTGGGAGGAGCAAGTACGCCTGTAAGAGCCACTAACTTGTCCAATTCTACAACTCCCGGTTCTGTCGGTTCCCACAAGTGGGCACGGCGCTTCACCAAATTCTCTAGGTCAAAAAAGACGTTTCCCAGCCCTGAAGATGAAAGTTCTTTCCCCAAGCCACGGAATATCCATCTTATGGCCCCTGAAAGCAAACCATCACGCGTGGGTCTTGCCGCTCCTCGTAGTGCTTCGACTGGGCATATGGATCTTCCTCTGAGATCAGCTTCCATTCCAAGACCCGATTCTCAAATTATTCTCCCTTCCAACCATGTTAAAGTTTCGGCTTCCAAATGTTTGACAACTCCAGATTCACTGCCATCGCCCCGACAAACAAGATCATCTGATGACCCCCCTCTTGTACAGCCATTCGAGTATTCTCCATCTTCAATGCGAAAGAAATCTTACGTAAATGGGTTATGTTGTCTCTGTGATGAGAGAATCTCCTGGCGCGCATTCGGAGAAAAAGTCATCACGCTTAGTTGTGAACATCTGGTGCATGAGGGTTGCCTTTTTGCTTCTTTTGAGTACTCTTTTTGCTCGACCACCGATCAATTATTCCCTTTATGTGGCAAATGTGGCAATGGTAATAGGTGTCAGCCTTCAGATCCGGGCTTGAAAGATAAGATGATTTCTCAGATCTTGATTGGTGGTAGTCCCAAAATTAAAGCGAGGAACAAATTTAATCCTGTTCACCGCGACATCAAAGCTCAGGAGCGTCCCAAGTCTCCACTTTTCATACCAGAACCCTTGCATGATGTTACTTCGAAGATTGGAAGCAGAAAGTTGAAGGCTTTGTCGGCAAATGGTTCGATGAGTGGAAGCCAGTTATTGAACCATGTTCTCAGAGGAAGCGTTATATCAGGAATTTCATCTGTTGTTTCATCTGTTCCCAAATCATCGCCGGCGGTGGATCAGATCGTTGAAAAATCGACATCTGGCACTCCCGATGTAATCCCAAATGCTCTTTTACGCTCATATTTCACACAGATGTTGCTGTGTAATTTTCCTGATGATTTTACAGAGTGGGAAATTGATGCAAAATTCGGCCCCTTGAGGCTTGTCGATAAGCTGATGTACTCAGAGGATGGGAAAACTTACCAACATGCGTGTTGTTTTCTATTCACGAATGCTCTCCTTATTGCACCGATTTTGCAGGACTCAACTCCAGGGAATTCTTTAGATCTCAAGCTTGAGCGTTTTACAGTTTTTTGCCCTATTGCTGATATAACCGTCACTACTATCGATTCCTCGCTTCTCCAATGCACCATCCTGAATCAAATTGCAGATACGAAACTAGTGCATGGGGTAACACTTTACCTTACTGAAGAACTAAACTCGAGTGCTAGTAATGTAATCCAAAAATGGATATCTGCCCTTTTGGATTTTACAATAGTTTTCAATCATGACACGTTCTCTGCAACACTTTTCCTGCCCGCCGTTGCTGCTAATATGTGGGGAAGCAACTCTTCGCTTTGTGTTACAAATGAAAGAGGTTCGAAACTGCAATACGTTGATGAGCATGACAGCGAAGTAATTGTAAGGAGGAGTCTTGTCACTTCAGAAACTGGTCAAAACCACAGAGCTACAATAACTTCCATTTTGTCGTTGAAACGTGAGCGACCTGAAAGCTTGATAGTAGTGTTACAGTTAAGCTTTCGATACTTGAATGATTCTGACACGTTAATAATAAGAAATAGCCTGAAAGCTTTGACGTTCAAATTTCCGGGAGCCAGAATGTGTGTTGTTGACGCTTTGGGCAGAATAGTAACTTACGGCGCCATAAATGATAATCTATCTGAGATTGGAAAAGCTCAAGAAGATACCAACTGTAGCTCTCGGGCTAAATTCACACCTGAATTACTAAAAAGTTGGCAGAACACGGATTCTGATGAACGTTTAGCCATCGCTATTTTTTCTAATTCTCCGATGGAAGAAGGCAAATCATGTTTATTCATGGACTACAAGGTGTTCGCTAATGAGAACAGAAGGGAGGCTAACGAACTAAAGGTTCGCGTGGGCTGCTTGAATTTTGATTATGCCGATAAGATACATCAGCTAGTAGAAATTGCTTCCTGGAGCAATTTGTTGGAAATAGCATGTTACAGTTTTAATTTTTCCTTTGATGAAGAAGATAGTGAAGATTCTGATCGCAGTTCGGAAGATGAAGACGAGGTAGACGACAGAGTGGATGAAATACAAATGGAATTTGGCAGCACTGAAACATCTCTGGTAGCGAGCTCAGACTCTACTTCCAGCAGCAATGAAGTAAGGGAAAATTCACTTTCGGCGAGAAATCAAACCCCCCTTTATGATATAGTCAGTCCTTCAGACCTTGTTCCTTGTAAAGAGCTTTTCTTGACTTCATCTTCAAATTCAGGCTTTAGTCCAAATTTACCCGCGGCGACTGAACTCCTTCAATTTGATTGTTCTCCTCCTCTTTCTGGGACAGTGAGCCCTTCTGAGTTTTTGAAAAATGGTATTAACCCAGCAGAGGATGCATCCTTGCTCCATCTGGAGGAATTAAGATGGAGTTCCTTCTTTGACGGCATCAGTAAGGCATTGGATGACGCAATTCAGCGGCAAAAATGCTCGAAAAAATCTCCTGAATGTAATTCTGAGTCCCTTTCTATTAATTTTTTATGAACATAAACTAAAAACTGAGCGAATGTACAGATGTCACCATCTTCAACTTTCAGCTTATTCTAATGTCAACCGTTACGGTATTTAATACTTATTCAGAGTTTTTCGATATAATCAGACGATTCTTTTAGTCTCTCCAACTCCGCGTATATTCTTACAACCCATTGATCCCTCTCTTGTCTTGAGCGTGCCATGAAAACCATCGATCTACCTGTGACACCTAATCTGCTTACCACACGAAAAAGCCCCGGATTCTTCTCGAAGTTATCATCAATCTGAGCTGGCAGTTGCTCGAGAATAGTCTCATCGCTTTGGGGAACGTTTCTCCCAACGCCTGCCCCGTTTCTCCGATTAGCAGTGCGCTTTGTAAGGCCTGCGTAGTTTGATATTGCCCTCTTAGTGCCAAACCATAGGGTAAAGCATCTTGATGGTTCGTCCTCTCCAGATTTCCATCCATCAGAATATGCCCGAGGCAAGGATTCGGTATCTGGGTTGAGGTGATCGAACCGCTTATCCCTTTTTAATAGGTCCATTGAAGTTGTGCTTCCGGAGTATACATAACATTCCTCAATAGGTACTGTTAAGTAATGCTTATAACCTGAGATCTTCCTGGATAGGCACTCATAGAGGATCAAAAATCCAGGGGATAATACCACGAAGTACTTTTCAAATACTGAGTGTTTGCGAGGCTTTTGATACAACATACCACTGTGAATCAATGGTCGTAACATTGCATGGGCAGTCACATTGAAAATTTTATCGTTAGCAACACCACGGTCTGTGATCCATTTAGGCGTGTCCTCGCTAATATTGGACTCTTCTGACTCATCAATTTTCAAATTTCGTAGGTTTGCTACTTTAACGTCCCACATGGTCTGCAAATCTTGTTTTCGTCTTGCACTCCAGTGTTGCGACAAGCGTGTAAGCCTTTGGACCCATTCGTCAGCAATCTGAGGGGATGGAGCCAACAGCTTCATGACAGTGCCGTTTTTCATCTCAATTACAAATGTTGAACGAACAGTCTCGGTGACACTCTTATTAGTTTTCCAAATAAAGTTATTGGCGTTATTCAATACCGTGTATCTTACCTCTGAATCTATTAAATCTTTTTCATCCACTTTGAAAACGGATCTGACATTACGGAGGTCAATCACACCCTCGGCTTTAATCACTTGTGCGATTCTTCTTCGCATGCATGCAAATGCATAGTTGTCTCTTCTCTTGAACTCTTTTGGCGTCAGATGAGTGTTGAGCCATTCAATATGACTATCTAGATCTAACTGATAGGGATTTTGTTCGAATACAGGAGGGATTGTTTTCAGGAGTTTACTGAGCTTTTCGGTGTCATTGACGCAGTCTTCATACGCATCCAACCCGTTTTCCGGCAGAGGTGGAAAACTTTTGAATGCGCGCATAAAGAAGAGTAATCCATCACAACAGAAAAAGTAGCAGAATCTCGAGTAATTTTTCTTGAACAGTCCGCTCTTTTCCTGACCGTATCGATTAGTACATCTTACTAGGAAACCTTCTATTGGAGCTGGCTCTATCGATATTTGACCGTCTTCTAACTGGGCAGACCTGGGATAGTGTGTTAGTGGTCTGTATTCTAGCAGGTGTGAAGCATTTAGAGCAAACGTTCCCAAAAGCAAGTCATATTGATCGCCAAAACACCATTCAAGCCTGTCGTAGTGTTTCCAACAAAGTCCCATAAGAATGTTTGCATGTTCCCATTCCCTCACTTGATCAGAAAAACCACTTTCAATCATTTTCTCCCTGACGACAATTTCAAAGTATCGTAAAAGAGGAAACAGCATGACTTTATAACCTCTTGGTAAAAACACCACTTCCAGTTCATCGCTTTCCTGATCAGCTTTCCGGTCGAGTTCTTTTCTCACCTCGGGAGTGAGGGGTAAGCTCAGTGTGGCATCCACCTCTGGAAGATGTATTGAAATCTTTTTTACCTCAGGTTTTTGCCCTATCGATTTTTGTAAGAATGACATCCAAGAGCCAGCAGATAAAGTGGTACAACATCTCAGAATATAGACTTTGAACGGAAATTTCTCTTCTTCTTCAATTGAGCCGTTACGAGACTCTACTTTTCGATGCGAGGATTTCAAAATGTGTATAGTCTTATCAAGAGTACTGTAAAACCCAACAATGCACGACCTGTCCAGCAGGAAATCCATAGAATTGGCCGAATACTCCTTCGAGCTTTGACATGAAGCCTTTTGCTTGGGAATATTTCTGGTATGGTAAAATTGCATATAGACTGGCGCTCTTGAATTACCCGTTGTTCTAGCAACCACAATGTATTCTTTCCATCTTTCGAGTACTCTAGTATCAACCGGCTCTGCTTCCGAAAAAGAAAGTGGAGATTCTCTTGCATTAACGGCTGATTTAACCATGACTAGCATCCGCTCAATCTTTACGATCTCACCTGCCTTATATTTCTTGAAGAACTTTTGAGACAAATTGAAGTCGTAATCTATTGCGCGTGACACATCCTTGTGAACTCTTCCTAGGCGAAGCTTTCTTCCTGTTTTCGAGAAAACAGTGTGGACTTCTTTTAACACCCTATGTCTAGATTCTAGCTTTGATATCATTTCCAGTTCTTGAGCTTCTAGTTTTCTTGGGTCCGGTTTCATTAGTGTCAACCTGGTAGCTTCATGTGAGGTTGCAGTAGGTTTCAAATCGACCGTGGGTAATTGCAGTAGAGATGATTCAAATGTATCTATTTCGTCACAGCTGTGATCTGATTGGCTAGGAAGTGGAAATGTTGAACTGCCGACAGAGAGCGCTGGGGCACTTTCCAGATTGTCTTTGAAACGAACTGTCGACTTTGAACTCTTTGCAAACTTTAATGCTGGCATTTCTAGGACCTCTGGAGAGTTCTTTATACCATTCTGTGGTGATAAATTGATAATGGTTTGTGGAGATATTGGGGATATAGTTTCAGGTTCCACCGTAAGTAAAGAACTGGTTTCATCGTCCGTGGTATGAAACTGACAACTATTTTCATCAGAATCATATTCTTCAGTTTCATCAGCTTCATCGATGCAGCCAGTTGTTATGCTATCAATCTCCGTTGGATGCGCTTCACGAGGATTCAATCCGAAGGAAATAGTATTTCGGTCTCTGAGACGCATGTTTCCTCTATTGCTACCTTCCATGAGCTCTGATGTGCATGCCATCGTCTTCGTTCTCTTGCGGAGACGATCGTGAGATCCTTGAGATCCTTGAGATGCTAAGGGAGCGGGAGGTGACATGTTAACATCATTCATTGCTTCAGCCGCCTCTTCTGACCGGTTTCTTAATTTTCGGCTTCGCAAAGGAAGCTTCTGTGCATCATCAACCGGAGCTCTATGATTACTATCATCTGCTTCACGGTAGGAAGAGCTCATGGTTGAGACGTAGCGATTGACCTTGTGAACCCTTCTTCGCAGTTTCGTGTACGCAAAACTGTAGATAGATCTCAGCACATTGTTCTCATGTTGTACATACCATAGATTAGGAACACCTCCTAATAATACTGTTCTTGAGCTTTGAGAAATCTCGACCGGCGATGCATAAATCAAGCGAAACGCTGTAAAGGACGGTTTCGGTATTGTAAAGGTGTGTATGGAAGCTGCTGCGGAAGACCTGGCTTGAGAGACAAAATTTTCTCGAACGTATTCCACAAATTCATCCCTATTGATTGCTATTCGAACGCATTGTTCTATCCCATAGGCCATTCCTTTGGCTATTAAAGAACGGAACTTAATTCAATGTTATCGTTAATCATTGATCTTGGGAAGGTTACAAGGGCTATTTTTGTGATGATCAGCCAGATCACATGATCTTCGATAACGACACAGACACTTTATAAAAGAAGGCAAACTAGATGAGTTGGGGGGAAACGCTACTTTCGATATGTCAATTTAACATGCTTTGGGATCTAAATTCGTATGGTTCTCCAGAAGCTGAAATTGGGAAATATGATTACTTATTTTGATACGATGTTCATCAATTTAACTATAAATTCGAATGTAATCAATTACTTTGAAATGATTAAAATTTTAACAGGGCACGGATCCTTTCCACAGAATATATTCCATTGACGTTATCGTTGTAGCACCGATATTCTCGGTTTGCCATGAATATGTACAAAGATACGTAGTCTACCTAAATGATATCGTCTTCGTCCTCACCGACAGCAATTGAGTTACCTTCTGGTCTGAAGTTTTCTGGTTCCTGAATGCTGGGGATAAATTCCAATACCACGAAAAGTACACCAAATATGAAGAGTAGAGCTGCCACCAGTACCTTAAAGACTCCGCCAAAACTCAACAAGAGTGAGAGCAAGATGTATGTCAACCCTCTGCCAATAAAGCTGAAATAGAAGGACGCAAATCTATAGAGGTTAGGCGGAACCCTGAATTCGAGATAAACAACTGGGACTGATAATGCCAAAGCATAAAAGGACATCAAAAAAGCGGTGAAGTTTCCAAAAATGTAGGAAAATTGAGTCAACGCTGAGACCGTGGCCAATGAACCTATCACGAGGTTAGCGATTTTGAATAATTGTGGTGAAACTTCTGCCATTGAGATTCGAAGAGTGCTTATTAGGAAATATGTTCAATTTGTTTAAAGTCTAGCTATTAAAACAAGCCCCTCTTTTCTAAAAGTTACATTTTTTTTTCCCAGCATGATATCGGACCCAGGTTATTTCTAACATAAGGCCGAATAGTGACTTTGAATGAAAAGATGAGACAAAGTAGATCTAAAGGGGAATTTGTGATACTTAGGATGTTCACTACTATAGGCTATATATAATAACAATTGGTCGAATTTCTTTCAAAGATATATTCGCAGATATAAAAATATAAAGACGGCGAAAAAAAGGGATAAAACATATTTGGTAAGTAGAAGGATAAAGCAGCCTTAAGTTTTTTTTTTTAAGTTCCATTCTTCCTCTTGGAAAGAAGACAATAAACAAAAATTTGGGGAAGAACATGTTTGAGCCAACCGCTTTAAACCCTTTTTATTCTCGTATATCCCTCTCAGAAATTCACCGACATAGAATGATAGATAATAATCACAACCGGCAGAGTTGAAAGAGGGCACACAAAGAAAAAAAAGTTTTTTCTCATTATACATCATCGTTAAAATGCCTTCGTGATTGTTAAAGGACTGAAGCAGGTAAAGGGGATCACTCTTGGTTTCCTTCCGCTGGCAGCTGCTCGTCTTGTCCAGCCTCAGACATGTCTGAAGTCCACAAAGTCAAGTTATCTCTCAACAATTGCATGATCAGAGTGCTGTCTTTGTAAGACTCCTCTGACAGTGTGTCTAATTCAGCAATAGCATCGTCAAAGGCTTGCTTGGCCAAATGACAGGCCTTGTCTGGAGAATTCTGGATTTCATAGTAGAAAACGGAGAAATTCAAAGCCAAACCTAGACGGATAGGATGCGTAGGAGGCAACTCAGTGGTGGCGATCTCCGAGGCGGTTTTGTAAGCTTCCAAAGAGGAATTTGTTGCGTGTTCTCTCACCTCACCGGAAGAGAACTCGGCTAGATAACGGTGGTAGTCACCCTTCATCTTGTAGTAGAACACCTTGGACTCACCGGTAGTAGCGGATGGAATCAAATGGGTGTCCAACACGGATAGGATGTCGTCACAGATCTTGGTTAGCTCAGATTCGATCTTGGAGCGGTAGGTGCGGATAAGTTTGACTTGGTGTTCGGACTTCTCCTTAGCCTCCTCTTTCTGTTCGATTGACGACACGATTCTCCAAGAAGCACGACGGGCCCCAATAACGTTCTTGTAAGCAACTGATAGCAAGTTACGCTCCTCAACAGACAATTCTTGTCCAGAGGAGGCAACAGCCTTCATACTCTCCACCATCTCCTCATAACGTTCGGCTTGTTCGGCTAGCTTGGCCAAGTAAACGGAATCTTCACGACTTAGTGACATGCTTATGTTTCTATGAGAAAAAGGATTCTTGCCAAAGAGGTACTGTATGATATAGATAGTTAGTAACTTTAACTCCTTCGAAAATATCAAGAAAAAATCCTGCTAAAAAAAAAGGGGCACGGTTTTGTTTTCGTCACCACTCTGCGTTTCCCGCTTCGTTTGCCTTTCCCAGAATAATTCCTACCGTTGTTTGCCCAGAAATATCCCGCACACGCACTTAACCATAAACCAAGACTTGAGACAGCCTCACACTCTACTCTGGGACCCGGCCCCAGATACGCGCTGCATGCATTTCATGCCAGCGATCTCAATGGCTTGTGATCCGATCGCGCATATGACTTGGCCTCTCTAACGCCCGTAGCATAGCAAAAAAAATTTTTGGTTTCCGGGGTTACCCGCCCTTTCCCGTCCAAGGGGCGAAAACAAAATACTTTTGCCACCCGTCAATGCACAGCTGACGGGCAGCGCTTTCAAACGTACGCGAGAGGCCCATTTGCACCGTATGCTACATCAATTCCACTGTGTAGATGTACCACATTTGTGTTCATGAATCTAAACGCCGATCTTGTTCTTGTTTCTGGGGAATTCCCGCGGTGTAAACATTGGAAAAAACAAGGGGGAACTCAAATCTATACTTGATGGCGCCGCTGATCGCGGATCGAAGAGTACAGGAATGTTGGTAGATACTATAACCGTGCCCTTACGTGATTTTTTCACTCATTGAGACATACTTATTCTTAGTTTCCTACTTCTGTGAAGTTGTGTTCAGGTAGCCGTTGAGTGGAAGAAGATGGAACAAATAGTGCCACCACGCGAAGCTCGGGCAGTCTGAGTCTGACCACAGACTGTATTTCTTTTTGGATTACCTGAATGATAACGCCCACGCACCAGAAATAAGCCCAGATTGTGAACCAGCCTTGATAGAGTGTGCTTTCTCCCGTGTTACCATAACAAGAAGCGGTCCTATAGTGTAGTGGTTATCACTTTCGGTTCTGATCCGAACAACCCCGGTTCGAATCCGGGTAGGACCTTATTTTTTGAAAATTCATCCCGTTCCATACATCACTTAGAACGTATTTTTATATTTCAGTCAGCTGATCAGATCGGTAAGACTCTTTGGCGTGTTAATGGCTATGTATCTGGTATGTATCTCTATCAGTATATGGTTTAGTAGGAAGCCAGATCGCTGTGAATCACGTTCTTTTTTGTCAAGTAGGCCACATAATCGGTCCAAAGTGGATCGCCCTGTTTGAGGACTTCGTGATTGCCCACCAAAACAAGCCCGTTTCTTGCTCTAGTGAGTGCCACGTTCAGACGTCTTCTGTCCTTCAGAAAACCGATGTTTCCTTCAGCGTTGTTCCGGACGCACGAAAAGATGATAAAGTTTTTCTCATGACCTTGGAACGAGTCGACAGTAGCAACGTACACGCCGTTGATGATGTTGATCGTAATCTTGCTAGACTCGCTCGACGCTGCCCCGCCATCAACCAAGTCATCCTTATCTTGCTGCTGTTCCATCGCTTTGCCTGAGGGATTCACAACAGGGTCCTTGACAAGGATTTCAGAGATCAGGTCTCGTTGTGACGAGTACGGCGTAATCACACCAATATCTTCGCGGGGCACGTTCTTATCGAGGATCAAGTTGTGTATGACCCGCACGATTGCATCCGCTTCAAAGCGGTTGTTGTAGGTAAACCCACGCATTCCACGCTTGCGGTTGAAAACTCTGTTCTCTGGCCCGTCGTTGCACTGGTAGAAAAATAGCGGGTATTTGATGTTAGGCCATGCTCTGTCCTGCTCGGTAACACCGTTCTTCAACATCCCAGCGTAGAAAGTCTTGATGGGGAACTCACTGATTGAAGGGTGCATTCTGTACTGGGTATCAAGCATGTGTGGCTTTTCGTAAGTTCCATTAGAAAGAACTCTCTCAAATAGAGACATTTCCAGTTGTGGCACGTTGCTGAAACTCGATAATTGTTTCTCGTCACCAACAAATACAAAACGACGGATACCGGGCAAAGAAAGAGGAACCAAAGTGGAAACCTCTGATGACTGTGTAGACTCATCCATAATGACCACAGGGAGTTCCTTTATGGCCTTCAGCTGCCGCCCTCCTGCCGCGATATTAGTAGTAAAGATAATCTGAGCTTGCGCAATGTGCCGATCTGAAATCGTGTTTTGCATTGTGAGAAGTTTGTTGTACTGGTTCTTCGAAACAGCTCCGGGGACGCCTGAACGTAACTTCGACAAGTTCTTTTTCATCTCAAGAGGTAGTTGCTGGTAAACAATATTGTGCAAGCAGATCTTGCCAAGCATATGCTGCTCATTGTATTGTTGTTCCTTGGACTGCGACACAATTCTTAAAATTTTGATATCCGGCCTATTCTCCATGAATTTTTCAGCTATATTATCAATTGCGATGTTCGAAGCAGCAACACATAATATGGGAAATGTGTGGAAGTTTTCTATGAGCTGCAAAATGATTTCCTCGATCGTTGACGTTTTACCTGTACCCGGTGGACCCTGCAGGACAGTTATACTATTGTTTAAAACATGCTGAATAGCTGCCTTCTGAGAGTCATTGAAGGTGTCCTTAGTAAATTGCAATCTGTTCTTGAAGTATAGCTGTTTCACTGGCTCGTTCCCCAAGATGAGTTTGACGAATTTCGGATTATCGACACGAGTCATCGCAAACATTATTCTATTCACTTGAGCAGAGCACGGTAGCAACTTGAAGTGGTCATTTGCATGCTTCACAGGAAGATCAAGTAAATTCCAAGGGTATAGCTCCAATAATAACGTCACGAAAGATTTCCGAGAATCCAGCTCTTTTACGAAAGTGTACCAAACTCTTGTTTCGTCCTGACTGACCAACATCAGAGGTTGCTGATTAGTGAAAGGGAGACGACCCAGCTTCACGAGATTAGCAGGAAGTAATTTCTTCACTTCCTCATCATCAAGTCTCATTCGTACAACAAATGCCTTTTCATCGGAGTTTTTGGGCCAAGTTATTTCGAAATTTTGAAGAAAGTCGTTCTCTAGTCTTTCTTCCAAAAATAAAGCGAAGGAAAAGTCGCTGAAATAAGATTTCAGATCTGGATACGACATCTTGGGGACGTATTTAGTGAATCGCTTTAAAGGCTCCCCCTCTTCGAAATCTTCTGTATCCTCAGAAGAAGCACCACTAGCTTGTTCTATCTGCAGTTTTGAAGCACTATTTTTAATCTTATCACCTACGATATCTGCAGTTGGAGCTTTCCCTTTCGAATCAGATCTACTACCCAAAAACTTCTCCTTTGGTTTTGTTGATTGAGACGTCTTTTCCTTATTTTCCTTCCTCTGAGATCTTTTATCATTCCCACCTGGTATATTTAGAGGCTTCTTCTTCTTGTCATTAGCTGACTTCCCTATTTTTGGTGATTGGTTTTCGTCGGACTTCGGTAATGATCTGTTTTCAAATTTCTTCTGTGGCTTAACGGCATCCTTACGACGTGTTATCTTGGGGTCTACAGTATTGCCCTTCCCACTAGTGTTTGATTTCTGAGATAATGTAGCCAATTTGCTATCTGACTCGCGTAAATTTTCAGATCTCTTGACCGGCGCGCCTTTTTCTTTTCCTTTTCCTTTTGATTTTGAGCTTTGTCCATCATTAACAGCATATTTTGATAACGAATCATCCTTTCTTCCAGACTTCTTATTTAAAGATGTTGTAATCGACTTACTTGATGGAACTTTTTTAGTGGTTTCTTTCACGTTAGCTGCGTTCGATTTCCTCTTGTTGAGACCTGCCGATGTTCCTCTCACATTGGCTGATTTGATATTATTATGAGGTCCAGATTTAGTACTAGCTTCAGAGTTCAGATTTCCGGCTTTCACACCCTTAAATGATCTCAAACTAACGCTAGTTTCACTTTTTATAGTACTGTTTATCTTCTTAGTTTCATAAGCCTTTTGAGCCATCTCTTGCAGGCGGGTTAATGGCTTCTTTTCACGCGGTTTTCCTCGAGCAGCACCCCGCCCTTTTGGTTTCCCACGACCAACCTTTCTACCGCCTTTCCTTCTTAACTTAGGAGTATTTGACTGCTCCTGAATTCCCAGCAAAGAATACAGAAATGTTCCACTTGCTTCAGACACAAAATCCTTGGCGTTCCCATGCTGGCTTAAACAGTTTTCACACAGTACCAATCCCTTAGAGTTGACGTTCAATTTTCTTTCATTTCCACAACGTTCACAACAGCAGTCTCTTACTTTCAAGTACCGATCCCAGTTTTTCAAAATCGATCCGTTCGACAGAGAGTATGCCGTTGTCGGCCTTTCAGAATCCGTGTACTCACGATGATAACATGTGTTACAAAGGAGACTCATATCTTCACCCCCGAATCGAATGATTTGAAGCAAATGTATGTTGTTGTTCTGGCATTCTTCGCAACTAACTTCCTCTTCAGATGGGGCGTAGATGATCGTCTTATGCCTGGTTGTAGAAAGATGCTTCATCATTTCTTGAGACTCTTTCGTCTCATCACATGTGAGACACTGAAAGGTTTCATCGCTAGCCATGCTTGATGGGTAATTATTGCGGTATAACGACTGCTATGAACTTGAGATGAGGCGATCAAAAAGTTTGACATTTCATTGTTCTAGCACACACGTGACAATCTAACGTACATGCTATCACGTCTTGCGTTCTGTAGATACACTTAAATCAGTTGTAGATTTGTTCTCGGGTGCCATATCTCAAATTCTGCATATCATTATCAATGTTTAATTCTCAATGGATAATTTCCTGTCTAGGATTCATAGCATCCGGCATTAAGGGGAGTCCGGAAACAGAGACAAAGGTGCAGTTGCAAGTCGCACATACAAACAGGTTCGATAGATCTCACAATTAAACGTTATGTCGGCATTTGCAGCAAAAGATTTCAAGGCATCTGAGTATTCTAAGGCCAGACCTACCTACCCCGAAGAATTCTATCAAATATTGAAGGATTACCACACAGGTAATTACGACTTGCTTGTGGACGTGGGGTGCGGGCCCGGCACTGCGACGTTTCAAATGGCTAAATATATGCCATTCAAGAGGATTATAGGTACTGACGTTTCCTCGACAATGATTAATCGTGCAAAAGAGCGACTCACAAATATCCCTTTTGAGGGCATATCCTTCGAGATCCGCTCGGCAGAGGATCTGTCCATGGCAGAGGAGGGCACGGTAGACATGATTACCGTTGCACAATGCTGCCATTGGCTCGAATTCCCACGATTTCAGGACGCCGCGGCCAAAGCTCTTCGCCATAATGGTACGTTGGCTATATGGGGTTATGTGGACCCGGTGTTTCTCGACCATCCGGAATTGGATGCCATGTTGGAAGATTTCCAATTCAGCAAGTCTAAGCTGGGGCCCTACTGGCAACAGCCTGGCAAAACTATTATCAGACGGCTTTTCCAAGATCTGCCATTGTCAGAGTCCTCGTTTGGCAATATTAGGGACGTAAGATTCACTGCCGAGGACGCAAGAAGGGGCATCAAAGAACCTCAAAAGCCGCTTAAAATTGTCAGAACCATGACGATTCGCGATTTCAGTGACTACATTGAGACATGGAGCAGCTACCATTGGTGGAAACACGACAATCCGGGCAAGCCAGACATCCGCAACGCTTTCTTCCTAAACCTCTTCGCATCCACGCACTTGACTTGGAATTCGTCCGTGAGAGTGACATGGAATACCGTCTATAAATTGGGTAGACGCCTGGCACGTTGACGGGCCACCACTGACCTTACAAAAGATGGGTCGATCTCAAAAGTTCTCTGCCCCGTGAGCTTTATCAAAGAAACCTTATCAGACAAGCTCTATACACATGTGAAGGCTCATTGAAGGAACAGCAGCAAATTGTGAAATCGTCACTTGCGAGTACCTCAAGCTGACTTAGGTGTCGTTATTTTCATCTGTATTTAGGTAGAAATGACCCACGCAGACAACGATCGAACTACGACACAGCAGGACCACGTAATCCGAGCATAGATGCGTATACACTTCGTAATATGAAGACCACGCACCACGACAATATCACCGTAGCTTTCGCTGCACTTCCAAGACTCCGCTTCTAAGTAGCTGTGGCGCGGCGTGTGCTGAATAGCCCAATGTGCTTACTCACGGCCCAGCGGATATGGTCAGCCAACACCAAGTCACCAAACTACAGAGTTAAATCAAGCCAGGCAGAAGTTTCACGTGTGAAATTCGATTGCAACATGAACAAGAGGTCTTTCAGAGGGTCATTCGCTGTTACTCAAAACACGTGATCGCATCCCATTGTATTCTCTAGCGAGCTTCTTGGCTTGGCATAACCCTAAGTGTTGATTTGCCGTGCCCAATCTGCTTCTAGGCTCACCATCAACTCCTATATCGGCCGTTGGTAAAAGCAACGATCGCAATTGGCATTCTACAGGCTTTCTTACTGTTCCACTATAAGCATCTAATGCGAATTAGTAATGAGACAAAATTCTATTGGGCTAAAGTCAGGTGATGCGCTTGAAAAAGCTGTGAGGTGCATTCAGTAAGGTCGGGTGCGAAACATAAGCACGGTTTTTGACCAAGCAAAACGTGTAACATCTGAGCTTTATTAAGGAGCGACCTTTGTGCAATTGCTAATCTCTTTAATCTCATCTACTAAGTTGCTATTCCTTGGTAGTTATCAGAAAATGGCTGTCATTGAAATCACATCACAAGACCAATTCACAGAGCTCACAACCACGAATGCAGGTGGCAAGCTGATCGCGCTATATTTCCATACTTCATGGGCCGAGCCATGCAAAACTATGAATGAAGTGTTCAAGGTGCTAAGTGAAGAGCCAGTTAACAAGGATGTGGCGTTTTTGTCTATCAACGCCGATGACCAAGCTGAAATTTCGGAATTGTTCGAAGTGTCGGCCGTTCCCTACTTTATTCTGCTTCAAAATGGTACAATTTTGAGAGAAATATCAGGCGCAGATCCCAAAGAGTTTGTTAACGCTTTAAACCAATACAACGGCGCCGGTTCGTCTGCAGCTGCTTCTGGTGAAGCGGCACAGGCAGCAGAAGAAGAAACGCAGGAAACGGAGGAGGAACTTGCAGAGAGACTAGGAAAGTTGACACAGGCTGCACCTGTGATGCTATTTATGAAGGGTACTCCATCCGAGCCCAAATGTGGATTTTCTAGACAGATGGTGGGCATACTAAGGGAGCACCAAGTGAGATTTGGGTTCTTCGACATCCTAAAGGACGACTCCGTGAGACAGGGACTCAAAAAGTTCTCCGACTGGCCAACCTTCCCACAACTATATATTAATGGCGAATTCCAAGGTGGACTGGATATTATTAAAGAATCGCTAGAAGAAGACCCAGACTTCTTCCAGCACGCTATGAATGCCTAAAGAAGGATTTCGCCAACCCAGTATAGAAGTTACTTGATCAAATAATCAATGTTTCACGTATTTCGTAAACTTTCGTAAGCTTGTTAGGCTCACATTTTCCTGGCCAATGTCGCTAGGTCAGGGGACTGTTGGCAATTTACGCGGCGATTGGGATGCTAGCATTTCGTAAATGTCATCGTCATCGTCATCGTCATCATCATCGTCATCGTCATTATAATCTCCAACAGAACACAGAGGTCGGGTAGTATCATCACTATCGACAACAGGGTCGAACTCAAACTCGTCATCAATCTCGTTCTCAGTTTCCCCACATCTGTTGTCAACCGCTTCCTTAAGACGTTCTAATCCTTTATTCCGAAAATTCGAAAGATTTCTTATGGAAACTTCATCGTCCAAGACAGCGGCATCCTGCGCAGAGTTGATGCCACCTATGTCACCTCCAATTCGATTCAAAAAGTCGACTTCATCATCAATGCTTAGGACATCTTTATTTTTCAATCTTATTTCTAGCGACTCTTGTGGGTCATTTTTGAGCGTCGATAAGTAGTGATTTAATACCTTCTTCTTGAAGTCACGCTTCTTTCTGATCAAAGGAGCGTAAAATCCAAGGAGGTGACAAATGTCTTTGAAGGAATGCAATGCTTGGTATTTGTAGAAAGAAACATCGTGATATTCATCAGCTTCCCGCTCGAACTTCGCGCGAGCCCTCCTCATCTTTGACTCCCTTGGGAAATAAAGCCGTCCATGTGGTGACTGATCTTGGTGTGGCCTTGTTGAGGATAGAGTACTGAATACGTTCCTTAATTTCCGGCATGGATATTCTAAAGATTCTGAGAGATGAGTAAATAAGTTTCCGTCACTCATAATATCACTCAAACTGAGAGCATCTACAATCTTTTCAGCGCAAGCTATAGGGAATTTCTGCTTATGGAATGTGCTATAGTTTTCTAAGATTCCCAATTTAAGGTTATCTCCCAATAATGAGGAGGTGGAATCCATCAGATCGTTTATCATGGCATTATCATCTGAGAGCTCTTTTGATCCATATATCAATTTGCCAATGCAATGGAAATATGACACAGATTGCTCTCTAGTAATAAGATCCCCTCTAGGGCCAATCCCCTCGAGAGAAGAGGTAGCCCAAAATTCCAGTGCTGAAATAGCATTTCGTATATCACCACAATTTCTGGCAAGTTCTTTGATGTGATCGTTCACTTGTTTCCACTTATATTCCGAAAACGATGCTCTTTCCTTTTTCGCAATAATCTTAAGAAATTTGGTCATTAATGTTGCGTTTATAGGATTGAATTTTACTCTTGTTAAGAAAGGGTGGGACAATACCTCTTTGCCTAGAACTGTTTCGGCAATAAATTGATTATCTACACTAAATGAACTTTCGGAATATGAATTACTGTGAATCTCACATTCTGTTAAACAGATCACCAGTGGTGGAAGCTTTTTATCCTCACTGTAGAGCCATCTTAGGAGTGTTTTTTGAAAATTCAACCTTGTATCTGCGTGAAAGACATTCGGTAGATCCTCTACTAGCAACAGCGATAGATTAGAACCTACTCTTAATGTTGACTGAGTCAAGAAATCATTAAACGAATTCATATTTGATGTTCCAACTGTAGTAGAGGAGCCACAATATTCAACTACCGACTTCAATTCCTGACTGTTCTTTGTCATGGAGTTCAATGGCCTCGATCTGAACTTTGGGACAAACTCGTTTGCCAACAACTTTATGAGAGTGCTTTTTGAGCTTCCAGATGGTCCTGATAAAAGAATTATTCTTGTATTACTTTTTCCTTCCAGCATAGGCTGTAGTAAGGTAGTCACCTCTTTTAATTTAAGCTTGTGTATCGCTACTTCATCAACCACCTTAGGTTCATATTTCATGTACCAAGGCATGAAATCTTGTGTACCGTTCATGATAACCTGGGGTTCTTGATAACTTGATTTTCTAATAGAAGATGACATTGGTTTGGCTTTTTTTGCATTAATGTTCGCAATACCGTTTCCGCTATTACTTTCATTCCATTCATTGATCTGTGAGCTTAATGAGCTCAAGCTTCTCTTCACAGCGGGCCTTTTACATGGAGAGCCATTTGAAGCCATTCCACAACTTCACTGATATAGATTGAAAAATATCGAACAAAAGCCTACCTGCTGTGGCGATTGGCGCCTTTGTTCACATAATGAGTTCGGCAACTCAGAAATGCCATCTTTAATAAGATCGTATATAATTACAACGTGTATTCAGAAAACCAAATACTTTCAGCGGTCGCGAAGACAATAGATTTGGAAAGGCAACGGACCTCATCGCCAGCATTAAGACCTTTGACTTCAACTGAGATGTCTAAGGATTCATTCAATGAACGAAAACAAAAAATCCGTGAAATCTACCGATACGATGAGATGTCCAATAAGGTGCTGAAGGCAGATAAAAGGATGGCCTCCGACAAAACAAATCCAGCCATAGATGCTGCCATATCTCAGCCTAAATCCATGTTAGGAAGAATATCAGTGAAAGATATGGGAACTTCATCTAATACTGGTCCTACTGAGGAGGAAAAACAGATTGCAATAAAGAACATGGAGGTCGACAATGTAAAACTAAAAAGCTCCACTTCAAAGAGAAACATCACTCAAAATTCGACTGTGCTTGACGGAACTACAGATAAGTTGGACTATTACCCGATGGATGACTTCAACACCGTGATATATGAGAAAATAGTTCAACATTTATCGATTCTACTTGGAGATGACATGCCGCATGATGTCATCACTTCAGCTACTGATATACTACTCCATATACTAAAGGATGATGAGACCGAGAGTGACAGTAATTGGGATACAAAGAAAATCAAAATCGAACGAGAATTAGGAGTTAAAATTGAGAATCAAGTATTTAACGAAATAGTCAACCTGTCGAAGCAAATCAATGACTATCATAACAAAAGTGAAATCGATACCAAAGATAATTTTGAGGAGATCCCATTGGTTGTAGATGGTTCGGACAATGAGGAAAATGTGCAGCAGAATGCTTTGACCGATGAAATCGAGCAGGAAGATGTAAATGAAGAAAGTACAGACTCCTCAAGGCCGAGAAATGAACTTACTGAACTTGCTAACGAAATCCCAGAGAAAGATGACATATTTGTTCTCGCACACAAGAATAAGGCAGAGAATTATCAATTTGTTGAGACGCCAATCTATGAAGTTGATGAGTTTTACTTGGAGAGATTACTTTCATCGAAGCTTACAGAAATGGATCCTTCTGATGTTCATGTTTTAGCAGATAAAATATTTTCAATTCTCTCAGAAGATATGCACCCAGCTTACTGGGAAAATGAAATTGCTAAACACGTAGATCTGAAATACTATTCGCTTATAAAAAATCTTGTGCGCAATCGAGATTCAATATATTGGGGTATTAGGTTATCTACATCACCGCCTATTGAAAGAAATAATATCTTAGAAAGCATAAGAAATCTTGATCTGGGGTTTTTGGCTGACCAATATCTTGCAAGAAAAGTTTCATCTAAACGCAAGCAGGAAGACATTGAAAATGATCAATATACAGATTCATCCGAAACGAAAAAACCAAGGGAAGAGGAAGAATGCTATAAACCCAAAATTGTGGATTTGAAAAACCTGATTTTTGATCAAGGCTCTGAATTAATGACCACCACGAAAATCACTCTCCCGGGAAACTCTTACAAGAGGGTCAAGAAGAACTATGAAGAAATCCACATTCCACCTCTTACTAAACCGGCCGATGACTTTCGATTGATACCAATATCGGAGCTTCCTCAATGGGCTCATAACGCTTTTCCAAGTAATGAGGCGAATACTTTGAATAGAGTGCAATCTGAAGTATTTCCTTCTGCATTCAAAAGTGACGAAAACATGTTGATTTGTGCTCCAACTGGTGCTGGTAAAACGAATATTGCAATGTTAGCTGTTTTGAGAAGCATGTCACATTGCAGAGTTGATAGTACTGAGAGTTTTAACTTCAAAAATTTGAAGATAATTTACATTGCGCCATTGAAGGCCTTAGTACAAGAACAGGTTCGCGAATTTCGAAGACGATTAACTTCCTTCGGCATTAAGGTTGCCGAGCTGACGGGTGACTCCAATTTAACAAAGAAACAGATAGCAGAGACGCATATACTTGTCTCGACACCGGAAAAATGGGACGTAATTACAAGGAAAACTTACGACACAAACTTCACCAATCTCGTGAGTCTAATTGTAATCGATGAGGTTCATCTTTTACATGATGAGAGAGGACCCGTACTTGAAAGCATAGTTGCCAGAACTATTAGACAAAAGAACTTGAATACCAGCGTGCGGCTTGTGGCCCTTTCAGCAACATTACCAAATTATGAGGATGTTGGGAGGTTTTTAAGAGTTCAAAAAGACCATGTCTTTTACTTTGACTCTTCTTTTAGACCATGCCCATTGGCCCAACAATTTTGTGGTGTAACGGAACGCAATGGAATAAAAAAGATAAATGCAATGAACGAGGTTTGCTATGACAAGATTCTCGATGCTGCCAATGAGGGACATCAGGTCATTATATTTGTTCATTCGCGCAAAGATACAGCGAGGACCGCCAAGTGGCTCAAGGAGAAACTAATAGCAGACGACAAGGCTGCGTTGCTTGTAAAGTCGGAACCTGGCTCTCGAGAAATTCTGAGGCGGGAGTCTGAAAATATTGACGATCATTGGTTGAAGGATTTAATCAATAGTGGGCTTGGAATTCATCATGCCGGTCTTTCTAGAGGAGATAGGTCCTTGTCAGAGGATTTGTTTGCTGACGGGCTAATACAAGTTCTAGTTTCGACATCAACTTTAGCTTGGGGTGTGAATCTCCCAGCGCATACAGTTATAATAAAGGGAACAGAAGTATATTCACCAGAGAAAGGTAGTTGGACCCAGCTGTCTGCCCAAGATGTCTTACAGATGCTAGGAAGAGCAGGAAGACCAAGATATGATACCAATGGTGAAGGTATTATAATCACGCATCAAGCGAATGTGCAGTATTATTTGGCAATTTTAAATCAGCAGCTGCCCATCGAGTCACAACTTTTTACTAGATTAGCTGATAACTTGAATGCAGAAATTGTCTTGGGCAACGTCAAAACGAGAGATGATGCTGTCGACTGGCTTGGTTACACGTATTTGTACGTGAGAATGCTGAAAGCACCAGTTTTATACAATGCACCAATCGAAGCTGATGATACAGCCTTAATTAGATACCGTGAAGATCTTGCTCATTCTGCTCTGCATGCTCTGAGCAGCAGCAATTTAATCATATATGATGAGGTTACTGGCAAAATAATGTTTACTGAGCTTGGAAGAATAGCATCCCATTTTTACATTCATCACAACTCTATTGCTGCTTACAGTAACATGCTTACTGAACATTTGACCCAAATTGAAGTCTTACGCATTTTTTCTTCATCTGATGAATTTAAGTACATTCCAGTCAGACAAGAGGAGAAGTTTGAGTTGCAACAGCTACTTGAAAAGGCACCTATTCCTGTCAAAGAAGACTCAAATGATTCTCTAGCAAAAACTAATGTCTTATTACAGGCCTACATTTCAAGATTAAAATTGGAGGGGTTTGCTTTGAACGCAGACATGATCTATATTACACAGAGTGCAGGAAGACTATTACGTGCACTGTACGAAATATGCTTGAGGAAACGATGGTCGCGGTTGAGTAAAATACTTTTAACATTAACAAAATCTGTCGAAAGGAGGATATGGCAGACGAACTCGCCATTTAGACAATTTCAGGGCTGCCCTTCTGAAATAATCAGGCGTGCAGAAGCTTCTTCATTACCATGGAAGGAATATTTTACTTTAACCACCCCCAATGAAGTTGGACAGGCACTCAGATCAGAGAAGCACGGGAAGCAAGCGTTCGATCTTCTTCGCAGATTCCCTAAAATTGAGCTTCGATGTTCGATGCAACCTATCACACCTAGCTTACTGAAATTTGAACTAGTCATGCTTCCACAGTGGATTTGGGACAGCAAAATTCACGGATATCTTGAACCGTTCGTTCTATTTGTGGAAGATCCCATGGGTGAAAAGTTGTTGTATTCGGATACTTTTTCTATAAAAGAGGATTCGATAAACATGGAAAATTATTTGGACTTTACAATTTCTTTGTCATCATCTTATCAAGAACAACTACCACCTAATTTATTCATAACAGTTATATCAGAAAGATGGCTATACTGTGAGGAAAAGGTGCCAGTGCTACTGAATAATGTTAGGCTTCCTAAAAAGTTTCCCTCCGCTACTCCTTTGCTCGATATTGAACCCCTATCTACGGAAGAATTGCAGATTGAGGAATTCATAAATGCCATGCAAGTAAGCAGCTTCAATCAATTTCAAAGCCAAATATTCCCTGCGCTTTACAATAGTAATGAGAATGTTTTGGTCGGTGCATCTAAAGGATGTGGTAAGACGATCATGGCCGAATTAGCTTTATTAAACCATTGGAGACAAAATGGTAATCGAGCTGTTTATATATGTCCCTCACAAATTCAGATTGATCATCTATCCCGTAACTGGAGCCAAAGATTTTCCAATTTAGCAGGTGGCAAGGTGATTAACAAGCTTCAAGGAGACCTATCACAAAGCCTTCGCATCCTGGCACAAAGTCATTTAATTCTTTGTACACCCGAGCAATTTGATTCACTCTCCCGTCGCTGGAAACAAAGACGAAATGTTCAGCGAATTGATCTCCTAATAGCAGATGATGTCCATCTAATTGGCAATGGACTTACTGGTGCAGTCTATGAAAATATCATATCTAGGATGGTCTTCATTTCAGCTCAACTAGAAACCAATCTTAGATTAGTGGGTCTAGCCAGCTCTCTGGCTAGCAGCCGTGACTTCGGAGAATGGATGGGAGTTTCAAAATCGAACATTTTCAATTTTTCCAGTCAGGAAAGGGCGCGTCCAGTTACAATTCAAATGAAATCTTTGGAGACAGGTAGTGCGTATTCAAAATCTCTTTTGAACTTTATAATCGAAAGAGCAAAACTTATAGATGCAAAAGAAGTCAGCCCGATCATTTTTGTTCCAGACAAACGCCGAAGCATCGAGATTGCATTAGAACTTACCCAAATTGCCAGTAATCAGGGAATAGAATTGTCGAAAATCGAACATAATCTGTTGGAGAATCACCTACTTCGCGTTAAAAACAATGCTATTGCAGAAGCTTTGAAACATGGCATTGGTATACTGTACAAAGAAATGCCTCCCTCTGATAGAAAAGTTATAGAAAAACTACACAGACGCAAAGAATTAGCTTTTATTGTTGTTTCAAAAGAGTGTACGGATTGGAAGCTGGAAGCAAGTTTTGTATCAGTACTGGGTACGAAATGCTATGAGGGAAAGGAGCACAGATTAATCGATTATACTATAAATGATCTCCTTGAGATGGTAGGTTCTGCAACTACAGGAAATGACAAAAATGAAGTATTAGTCATTAGCGATAATCGAAAAGCAGATTATTACAAAAAGTTCTTGATTGAATCTCTTCCAGTTGAAAGTTTCATGTATCTCTACCTGCATGACGCATTTTCGAATGAAATTAGTACTTCTATCATTGAATCCAAGCAGGATTGTATCGATTGGATTACTTATACCTACTTTTACAGGAGGATTCATGCAAATCCCACATTCTATGGGGTAAAAGACATCACACCTCTAGGAATTTCATCTTATTTGACTGACCTTGTGGAAGCTGTAATCAAAGATTTAACCGACTCGTCTATTATCGAAGTAGAAGAAATTGATTTGGATAACGACAATGAAAATGAGGATGAACTTGAAGAAAGCATCGCGCCTTTGAATGGATGTCTGATTGCGTCTTTCTACAACGTGTCATTTGTTACAATGCAGATGTTCCTATCTTCCTTGAGCAAGTCTTCTGGTTTGCGGTCTATTCTAGAGACATTGTGCCGTGCTTCTGAATTTGAGGTTGTTCCAATCCGAGAAGGTGAGTTTCAGATGTTGCAAGCACTACACAGAAAATTACCGTTAAAAGTTTCTGAAATAAGCATTTCTGAATGTTCTTCATTCAAAACTTATGTTCTTCTACAAGCTTATTTTTCTCGGATGAAATTAACGTTGGATTTTGATGTGGATTTGAAGGAAATTCTATGTATTTCACTGCCGCTTGTCAATGCAATAGTTGACCTATTGGCTGGGGAAGGCCATTTGAATGCAACAACAGCGATGGATATTTCACAGATGTTAGTTCAAGGCGTATGGGACACAGATAGTCCCTTGAAACAGGTTCCATTTTTCGATTCTGAAATAATCAAAAAGTGCAACGCTATGAAAGTTGAAACAGTTTACGATATAATGTCATTAGAAGATTCTGAGCGTGAACAGATTTTGACCATGGAAGGTGAAGAGCTATCCTTAGTGGCAAACTTTGTTAACAGTTACCCCAATATAGAATTGACATATTCTATTGATTTGTCAGAACCATTTGTGGTTAATGAAGTAAAAATAATCGAAGTTCACTTGAATAGAGATGAGGAACCAGAAACCCTAGAAGTTATCTCTGCTAAGTTTCCTTCAGCGAAAAAGGAAAACTGGTGGCTGGTAGTCGGTGAAGCGTCTACGAAAGAATTATACTCCGTTAAGAGGGTGACACCAAGCCAGGAGATGCAAAGCTATGAAATGGAAGTCAACATTCCGACATCGGGACACCACAAGTTAACTCTATGGTGTGTGTGCGATTCTTATATGGATGCTGATAAAGAGGTTACCTTTGATGTCCAAGTTGACGAAAAATGATAAATAGTGATCTGAGTCTCAATCCATTGTGCAACAGATATTATATGCAAATAAAAAATTACTTTAGCCTCATCGTTATACTATAATATAATAATTTAAACCATTTCAATATCACCGTCAAGATCGTTGATGGTACCCTTATTCTCAATGTCAAATCCCCCTTCTACATCACCCTTCTTCCTCTTTTGTTCTTTTTGAAACCTAATAAGCTGTTCGTAATTCCATAAAGATACGCCTTCTTGATCTTTCGGGTCTGTAGGCTGTGCCATTGTACGTAAGAACTGCTTGGTATTTGCAATTGCCATGTCGGTCGACAGATTCAAATCGGCGTCTGATAACGCTTGTCCAATCCATTTGGGTAGCTGATTCTTCTTTCTTGCAAACCTCCGATCTGCCAGCACCATCACTCCATAGTCATCTTTTCCTCTGAGAACTCTTCCCAGGCATTGTGCAGCATGTCTCATTGCGTCAAATGATAGGAAGTCGTTTTCTCTTATCTGATAATGTTCTCGTAGGAATTCAAGCCGAGCCTTTAAAATACGAGATTCGGTGTATTGGAAGGGAATTCCTATCATCAGTACAGTTCTTCCATAATGATGATCAAAATCGATACCCTCAGAAACCTTTCCACGTGCAACTGAAAGTAGAATTGCTCCTCGACCATTAGAGCAAGCTTTCCGATATGTTTCTAAAGCCAAAGATGTTTCTTGGGCATCTGGAGTTTCAACAAGGATTAACTTATACTTCCACACCTCGTCAAGAATACCCATTGTTTGCCACATTGAGATTATACTTTCCATATAAAGATAAGAAGGAAAAAAGACAACCATCCCATCCGGCGTAATCTTCGCAAACTCTACTAACATAGATCCATAGTTGCGGACAATACTAGGATCATTTCTAATTTCAAATCGAGAAGATATAGCAACTTGATCAGAACCTTTGGTAACAATCATTGGAAGAAACGATTTTTTCGCCAAAGTCATTGAATATGACTCCTGAAGGACTGTCTCAAAGTTTAACATTTTTGGATACATATCCAAGGGCGAAATTGTACCGGAAGTTATAATAACTGAAGAAAACTTCTCAAAGACAGGTTTCATTGCTATCGATGCATCAAGACATGTGAATCTCATAATTGGGTTGGGGACTGCTGCATTCTCAATTTCGTACGGCTCAATTATTAATAAAAATCCACTTTCATAAGTTGATATTAGTGTTGCAAATGTAGCAATATCTTTCAATGCAGTAAAATCCTCAATTTCAGTAACCTCCAATGTTCGAACTAAAAGTGAAAGTCTCTCAGAGCAGAACCTTAAAGGCTTTTTTTCAATAAACGTAAGCTGTTTCAAGTGTTGCAGAAAAGAGTTCGGAGTTTCTGAAATAACATGTAAAACTTTCATTCTTGTTTTCAGATACTCTATGAACCGCTTCAAAAATGATACGAAATGTTCGGCTCTCCTTATATTTCCAGGTATAGCTTCCGATAGTATATCTTGAGAAAGTACGGGTGATTCTACAAGTGGCTCTTCCTCCCTTTCCAACATATCAGATGCACGTAAACCTTGAACCAGCCTCTCATATTCATCCTGCAACTTTTGTGAGTCAACTTGTCGAACCTCTTCTATCTTATCAGCAAGAGCAGTAGCACCTTTAGCAGCCCTTTTCAGCACATCATTAGTAAGATCAAGTGAGAGAGATTCTATACAAACGTTATCGATATTGTGAGCCTCATCAAATATTACAATAGCGTCCTTCGAAACTTCTCTAGAGACTCTTTCAGCGATCTTGGGATCTAACAAATAATGGTATGAATAAATCATAATATTGCACATTGAAATCATACGACGCACTGTAAAATATGGACACATTGTTCTTTCCTCACAGTACTTGATTAGTTTCTCAAACGAATATACTCCCACTGGAACGTAATTCTCAACCTCCATTGAGTAAAGATTCTCATGAAAATCACATAGTTCAACATTGGCATTTTTATCCTCTTCAAGGCGACGTTTTGCTTGACCATTAGTCATTCGCCTGCATTTTTCATCCACTACAACACCCTTCCTTTCTTTCCGTACTTTCGGATGTAAGCATAGATTTTTTCTACTTGTTAAACCAAGCCCTCTGAATTGTTCTCGTTCTCCAAGTTCCTTCGCCCTGTAATCCATCAATGATTCCAACTCTACAAGAGCCTTTTCGATTTCAGACATGGTACGTGAACAGTATATGATTTTACGATGTTCTGAGTAATACATTTGGTATGCAACTGTTAAAGACAGTAAAGAAACGGTTTTACCTGTACCAGAAGGCATTTCTAGAATGCTGTTTCCACCGGCATCTAGTGTTTTTTTAATGTCACACATATATTGGTATTGCTCAGGATATATTTTTGGATAAGGGAAAATAACCGGAAGATCATCAATATAAAATTTCATGGCGTAGTTTCGTTTGGATCAAAGTTGAGGGATGAGCATTTCAAGATTTGATTCTTCATTGAAATGTACCTATTCACATGAAAAAAAATAGGTTACGTATATAGTGACTTTTCATAACTTTATTTGGTAGCTAGAATGAGCACAAGATGCTTTACTTCTTAAATTGTGCTTTTAGTGTTCTGAAGATATGCCACTAAGGCTGTAGAATAGATGAGGTTACAAACTTCCAATGAGAGCATATACGTAAGAGAGCTTTTTCGGCCGTTGTGTCTTACGTCTAAAAAAGACCTTCACAGAGGCCTGCCGATTGACCTTCATTGCAAGAGCAAAGTATCTGAAGATTCATTCTCCAAACTTTTCCGACACAAGTTTAACCAATTGTGGAAAGATGATGTCCGATGTTTCACCGGTGACTTTCTCTAAGATACCGGATTTCGCATAATGGTCAATCAATGGCGTCACAGTCCTTCTATATTCCTTTAAACGCTTTCCAAAGACCTCGTAAGTATCATCCGATCTCTTGGTGAGCGGTTCTCCAGTTATGTCATCTTTTCCCGGTACGCGGGGAGGATTGTACGTCAGATTATAAACTCGACCGCTGGGAACATGAACGTACCTATTTTCTATTCTCTCAAGAATCACATTCTCTGGTACATCCAGTTGAACAACTAAATTTAATTGTGCAGAATGGCGCCCAAGTTCAGCATCCAATAACTCGGCTTGTTTGACGGTACGTGGGAATCCATCTAGTAACCAAGAAGCGCTGGAATTCATCCACTTCCTATTTGACAAGTTCGTTATAATAAGTTTTGTAATAAGCTCATCTGATAGTAGCTTTCCTGAGCTAATATAGAGGGAAGCCTTTTGGCCCAATGGAGTTCCAGCCTTGATCTGTTGCCGGAGCAAATCACCGGAAGAAACGGATTCAATTTGAGGGAATTGCTTCAATAATCTTGCTGTTTGAGTGCCTTTGCCAGAGCCAGGCGCTCCAAGTAAAAGTAGCCTTAATGGTCTCAGTGCTGATGCCATCTATCTTGGAGTCTTCTGATGATTCATTGTTTGTGTGGAAATGAATCCACCAACGTTTATTAATCTTCCGGGAGTCACGTGATATACATGCCGAATAAAAGATGGAAATGCATCAAGGTGAAAATCAAAGACTATCCATTAATTACGCACGTAAGGATATTTGGAAATTTGATTGAAATCTTCCGATGGAATGTCAAGTGACAATCTTTTTGATATTGAAGATATCTCTGTTTGTATAATTAAGAAACGGTCAGTTCGTCAGATTTAAGACTCTTTAGTAGTTAAAAAAATGAGAAATATTGAAAGGATTTTGAATTTACCACGGCATTGGCGATGGTCCTTTGAAATGAAGCTCTGACGTCGACCGGCATTGTCCCGTCGCTCATTCCTAAATTAAATTCGTATACGATGAGCGACGCGAAACTTCGGAGACGCGACACGATTAATAACGGTAGATGTTCGAATACAAGATACTCTCCGCTACCTAAGAACAGCTACAAGGAGTCGAGGAGGATCAATGATGGCACCAGCAACGCCCAAAGCGCTCAAGAAAATAGGAGTAAAAGCCTCACCGCAGTCATCAGGCAAGAAAAAGCTAAAACAAGCCACGCTACTGTCGTTCTTTGGCAAGCAGAGTAAGAGTAACGCGAGTACTCCTGCCAAAAAAGAAGGAAACAGGTCACTTTTCGTTGAAGCAGAAGATACGTTTGACAATGATTCGGGATTCGTGACAGCCATCGATGAAGCGTCGACGATAATGGAACCCCCGGCGAAATCATGCTCTCCTCTAACAGATGTTAGCACCCTAACCAAACCAAGCGAGAAAAAGCCTGATACGTCCATTGTTATAGCCGAAAGCATCCTTAATTCAGATATTCATGACGAGGAGTTGAGAAACTCAAGCTCGGGTTCTGGTACCCCAAGTAAACGATCCAAGAGAAGTGTAAGCTATGCCGAAGATAGCGATGATGACGAGAAGCTTGACATCAGTTCTTCCAAGAAGAAAAAACGGAGAGTTCTAGATAGTGATGACGAAGAAGATTACGTGCCAGAAGACCAAGGTGAGAGTGATGAAGATGAAGAAGAGGCTGACGTCGAGGCACCCTCCGCAAAAGATGAGCTGAATGAAGATGCAGCTTCCGCATCAAATGATGATGACGATGACGACGATGACATTTTGAAACTGTCAGCAGACAAACCGAGAACGGTTAGTCCATCCAAAACATATACAAAGTCATCTACAAGTGGCTCGCGCATTGCGACCACAAAGAAGGCTTCTCCTCGGAACAGAAGTCCGTCCCACAATAGCAAGTCAAAACACTCCAATTTTAATAAGGAAAATGAGGAACGTTATCAGTGGCTAATTCATGAACGTGATGCACAAGGTCGCTCAACTGATGATCCTGAATACGACGCCAGAACTCTGTACATTCCTTCTTCAGCTTGGTCTAAATTCACACCATTTGAGAAGCAGTATTGGGAGATAAAATCGAAGATGTGGGACTGCATAGTATTTTTTAAGAAAGGAAAGTTTTTCGAACTTTACGAGAAGGATGCTATGCTAGCAAATCACCTGTTTGATCTGAAAATTGCGGGAGGTGGTCGTGCGAACATGCAGCTAGCTGGCATACCAGAAATGTCATTTGATTACTGGGCTACGCAGTTCATACAACATGGTTATAAAGTAGCGAAAGTCGATCAAAGAGAATCGATGCTCGCAAAAGAAATGAGAGAAGGCAATAAGGGAATTGTTCAAAGAGAATTGCAATACGTCCTAACTTCAGGAACGCTCACAGACTCAGGTATGCTTCAAACTGATTTAGCAACATTTTGTCTCGCGATTAGAGAGGAGCCGGGAAATTACTATGACCTAGAAAATGGCGTCAATTCCTCACAGACTGATGGCAAGATCTTTGGTATATCCTTTATTGATACTGCAACCGGCGAGATCGAAATACTTGAACTAATAGATGATAATGAGTGTACAAAACTCGAAACTCTGATGTCTCAAGTGAAACCTAAAGAAATTGTAATGGAAAAGAATAACCTTTGTAGCTTGGCCCACAAAATTGTCAAGTTCAATGCACAACCACAAGCCATTTTCAATTATTTGAGGCCTTTAGAAGAGTTTTATGATTTCGATAAGACATTTGATGTGTTAACCTCTCAAACAAACGGGTATTTCTCTGATATGGATCATTGGCCCGAAGTATTGACTAAGTACTATGAACAAGGCAACACAGTGGGATTCAGTGCATTCGGGGGCCTAGTTTCGTATCTCAAATGGCTAAAATTAGATGAATCAATGGTTTCAATGGGAAACATAAAGGAATACTCTCCAATTAAGTCACAAGTATCTTTGGTATTGGACGGGGCAACGCTACAAAACTTGGAAATATTCAGCAATTCCTTTGACGGAACAGATAGAGGTACACTTTTTAAGCTGGTAAATAAAGCCATTACTCCTATGGGAAAGAGAATGATGAAAAAATGGGTCATGCATCCTTTGCTACACAAACCAGACATCGAAAAACGATTGGATAGCGTCGATCAGATGCTTTCAACCTACGACTTGAGAGAAATATTAGAAAATTACTTCAGTGGTCTTCCTGATTTAGAAAGACTACTAGCTCGAATTCACTCTGGAAATTTGAAAATCAAAGACTTCAGCAAGGTTATAGAGGGCTTCGAATCAATAATCAAGCTTCTTGAAAAGCTCGAAAATTTTGACCTTGTCGGATCCTTGGCAAGCTTTTTGTCCCAGATTCCCACTGACCTCAAAGAACACGTCAAGAATTGGGCTACTGCATTTGACAGAAAACGCGCAAGTGTAGAGGACATCATTATTCCACATCCTGGCGTTGAACCAGAATTCGATGAATCTTTACAAAGCATTAAAGACTTGGAGAAAGTTCTTAGCGATCTGCTTCTAGGGTACAAAAAGGAGTTTAGGTGCGCAAACATTCAGTACAAAGATTCGGGAAAAGAAATATACACCATCGAAGTGCCTATGGCGGTTACCAAATCAATTCCATCTGACTGGACACAGATGGGTGCCAATAAGTCCACTAAGAGGTACTATTCTCCTGAAGTTGCCAAACTGGCAAGGTCTATGGCTGAAGCTCGGGAAATGCATAAAATTTTGGAGGAAAGTTTGAAGAGTAGACTTTATAAAAAGTTTGATTCTCATTACGGAACGGTTTGGATGCCAACAATAGTCTCACTTTCTAACATGGATTGTGTATTATCATTAGCACGGACATCTGAATCTTTGGGATTTCCATGCTGCAGGCCAAAGTTTGTAGATGAGCGAGACCCTACTACTGGTAATAAATTAAATGGACATGTAAAGTTTAAGCAATTGAGGCATCCATGCTTCAACCTGGGTGCAACATCTACAAAAGAGTTCATACCTAACGATATCACATTAGGAGGTTCTACCCCACAAATAGGCCTATTGACAGGTGCGAATGCGGCCGGTAAGTCGACAGTGTTGAGGATGACTTGTATTGCAGTGATCATGGCTCAATTAGGATGCTATGTTCCTGCAGAGTCCGCAGAACTCTCTCCGGTGGATCGTATAATGACCAGACTTGGAGCGAATGACAACATAATGCAAGGCAAATCAACGTTTTTCGTAGAATTGTCAGAGACCAAAAAGATATTGGACATGGCAACTAATAGGTCATTATTGGTGTTAGATGAATTGGGACGCGGTGGTTCATCGAGTGATGGTTTCGCGATAGCAGAGAGTGTTTTGTATCATGTTGCTACTCATATTCAAAGTCTTGGGTTTTTTGCTACTCATTATGGAGCCTTGGGGCTGAGTTTTAGAAGCCATCCAAAGGTTCGCCCTATGAAAATGAATATATTAGTCGATGAGGGGTCCCGGAATATTACATTCCTCTATAAGCTTGTGGATGGACAAAGTGAAGGAAGCTTTGGAATGCATGTGGCCTCCATGTGTGGAATCTCAAAAGACATTGTTAGCAATGCTCAGAAAGCAGCAGATAACCTAGAACACACGTCCATGCTGATTAAAAAGCGTCAGCAAGCGGATAGCGGAATGGATGAGAAAAAAATGATTCCACTCGGTCTACAAAGTGATTTTGTCAGGTTTATTAAGGGCGATGGTTTGACCAACACTTCACTGGGGACAGGTGAGGGTGTGATGATATACGATAAGAATATCAAGGCCCAAGTTATCAGAAGTTTACTGTCTCTCATCGATGGATTAGAATAAATGTCACAGGTGTTTCCCTTATATTCCAGGCGATACCACTTTTGTTAGCTTCACTGATTATATACAACCGTCTAATTATTATATGTTTTACACTCATAAATCTCCCAAACTTTCTGTTGATCCAACAATAATTTCTTCTGATTATGCATTACCCAAAGCAGTGCCATTATAGCTACCCATATAACTATTACTGCTATTATCAATAGAAATATCATCAGTTCTCTTAGGTTTCCCTGAACCGTTTCCGCTAGCTTCACCAATGCATGGTATTTTTTTATTCAAGTGTTGCAAAACATGGTCTCGTCTCTTAAATTTTTTACCACACTTGGGACATGAATGAGGTTTTTCGCCAGAGTGAACAGATTTCTTGTGTCTCGTCAAATGATGTCCTGAAGAGAATTGTCTATTACATTCTTGGCACACATACACTTTACCTCTTTCGGAAATGATGATTTCATTCGAACTTATCTTGGACTGGTTGGCAGGCCTTCTAGAAGAATCAGTATTCCCATTTTTTGTAACTGAAGGGGAGGTCGGTGGAGAATACTCCATTGTGGTTGCTTGGCTAAGATTGGAATTTATGTTAGAAGCGCCGTTTGTTACAATGTTATTAGCGAGAGGAGATTTGAACTCGGAGTTGAGAGATACCGGACTTCGCGATGATTCTCTGGAAATATTCAACGTAACTCTATTCGGACTCTTAAGGCGTTTGATAAATGGCAGATTCGATGGTCCAGGCGAAGTTGGCTGAGGTGAGCCGACTGTACTTTTGAATGTGGAGTAATAAGAGAAAGGATTTTGTTCATAGAAAGGGCCAGGTGCTAAAACTGCTTCACCTGCATTTGGCGAATATGGTCTTGGTTGAATAGGAGGTAGCGGGTATCTTGGGGAAGAAGCACCGCTAGCCATTGATGCTAGACTCAATGCAAGCATATTATCATCATGGTCATCCAGTGTTTGTGCGGCTTGTGAACTATGGTGTTGCGTTTGTATAGTAAGTTTCTTCTTTAGTTTTGAAGTGGGGTCCTCTAAAGTTGGTTCGACGATATTAGATAGGTCCATCATGCGCGAAAGAAGGGGAGAGGATATGCGACTGATGGATTGACTCAAACCGCTATAATACTGGCCCGGATTTGGTGTCGTAGATCTTATAGCACTCTGCTGAGAGCTGTCTTCCATTGCCTGTAACTCGTAGGAGCTATGATGCAGTAATTCGTTGAAACCCTTCAATCTAACGCTCTCACGATCATGAGGCTTAGGAAGGGAAGATCTCCCTGGGGTAGGAGAAAGCACATCTACTTCGGATTTCACTTTTAAAGAACCATTGGACTTGGAATCTTCCTGTTTTGACTCCTGATCAGTAGGTTTGACTTTCAATTTTTTAGCGGAATCATCAGTCGCAAATGTCTCTTCTGCTACGTGAATATTGCCTCTTTTATGGTTTGAAGCATACCAATTTTTTTTCAGCTTTTCCACATTTATTCCAACAGCATCATCCACACACATACACTTTTTGGCGCGGCTTCCTATTTCCAACCAATCTTCAAGCGCAAAATTTACGGATTCTGCCAAATTATACCCATAGTTAAACCCTGCATGATAGCCATATGGATACGTTATGATAAACTCTTGTTGATAGTGTACAATTTTATTACACCTGATACCATTCTTTTCCAAAATCTTTGGGGATATCATGAAGGTTTTGTGCCTTAAAAATTCGTCACATTTGGCAGCGTGCTCAGGAAACTGCTCTTGCATAAACTTGTAAAACTTAGAAGCATCCTCTTGCGGTACCGCATACCACTGCTTAGGTGCACCGAAATGCAAATAATTGATGGAGTATAGATCCTGGTCCTCTAAATGCCATGCGAATGAAGCTTTCCAAAGCCCTGCGTACAAGTAGGAATCATTGACACCAGGTAAACGAGTATCCATGTGATCCAGTAGGTTGGGTAGTTTAGATACGTTCCAGGTAGTAATGGAGTCATTGAATAGAGTTCCTAAAGTATCGGCACCATACATGGGTGGGGTGAAGGTGAGAGTTTTCCAGTAGTAAGCCTCCAAAAACTCAACTCTTCGGGGATCCTTAAACTCTTCAAGATTGTCATAGTTATAATGTCGCTGGAACTCTTCAAAATCTTGGTTAGTAAAGCTTTCATGATTCCTGAGCTTTATCTTCGACGACTTCGATGGTGACGGCGATTTGCGTGATTCTTGACCACTAGAACGCCTGCTGGCATTTGCTCCGGCCGCTACGTTCGAATTTATATTCTCACCTGCAGCAGCTGCCAACCCCTCGGGCTGTCGGTAATCGTACGACAAATCTTTCCACTGAATAATGTTGTAAACCTTGGCCTTTTCCACGTTCTGAACCACAAATACACCTTTGGCCCCATTGATGTGTTGCTGAATTGGCGATTTTATCTTGATACGCTGCAACGTTTGCGCCTTTAACGGATATTCCAGCTGATCTAGCCATTCTTTTGGAGGTACCACTTTCACAATCCCAGAACGCTTGCCAAACTTGTTTACGCCCGTCATGTACGCGTAGAAGTCTCGGAACTCCTCATATTGCGGCCGGAACACAGGAACTCCCCCTTCCCAGCTTTCTGGTTGGCAATCGCTCATCTTTCTTATGGTTTTCTGGGTGATCACTCGCGCTTTATTGTTCGTCAAAGCTCATCTCCCCATCCTTTGATGCCATATTAGAACCCCTTAAAATTTGCATATCACGTCACACGTAAACCCTTTCTTTAAAATCTCGCTATGTTGCTCGTAATCATGATATACGGACATAGAGATAGAGTTCTATATCTGATTGTTAGGTAGAGAAAAAGCGAGCCCGGTGTTGAATATTGTACATGTTGATAATACTACAATCATCCAGGGTTGTCCTCTCAAGTATCCCTGGTATTGTCGGCATTAAAACACCAGGTGCGACATGACTAAGAATCGTAGCACAAGTAAGTTCAATGAGGTGCATGGGTTCTCAGCTACGTATAACGTGATATACTTGAATACAGAATATTCACCAAAATCACGTGATTAGTTGAAAAATTTCAGTATGGAATTTCGATGGGTTTAGCCGGAAAGGCTCATCGCTGCTTCTGGTGTAACTGCAGTTCTTATACGGTAATTTTAGCAGTTGTTTGCCAAGCATTTGCTCTTTCCAAAACGTTTTTCGACAAGTTCAGGGTTATGATGCAACGTGCAATGCATGTGCCGGCACGCAGAAGCGTGTGCACGCAACTAAAGCTCACTAACGTGGAACAAAACATTTGCAACCTTCTCAAGGATTATAGCCAAGAGTATAATAAAATGCACTCAAGCACGGAGCCTATCGTGCTCCGTATTACCGGTGGATGGGTACGTGACAAGCTGCTTGGCTTTTTTTCCCACGACCTAGATATCGCTGTCAATAACATGTCAGGCGAGCAATTCGCAGTCGGGCTCAGTGCGTATCTCAGCGAGCACTATGAGAAGTATGGTATCACACCACATTCAATTCACAAAATTGATAAGAATCCGGAAAAGTCGAAACATCTGGAAACAGCAACCACAAAGCTTTTTGGCATTGAGATCGATTTCGTCAATTTGCGATCAGAAGAATACACAAATGAGTCACGAATTCCAGTTGTCGCATTCGGGACACCGCAGCAAGATGCTTTGCGCCGTGACGCTACACTTAACGCCCTTTTTTACAATATACAAAATGACAGCATCGAAGATTTCACCGGAAGTGGTCTCCAAGATTTACAAAATGGTGTGCTACGCACGCCCTTGCCTCCAAGACAAACGTTCCTTGATGATCCATTAAGGGTTTTGAGACTGATCAGATTCGCCTCCAGACTGGGCTTTATAATTGACACCGAAACTTATACTGCCATGGGAGATCCTGACATAAATCAAGCATTTCAGCACAAAATCTCTCGTGAAAGAGTTGGAGTAGAGTTACATAAAATTCTCCAGGGTCCTGACCCTATGATTGGGCTCAAATTGATTCAGCAAGCTAATCTCGAAAATGTTATCTTTTATTGGCATAGTGATCCTGCTGTCATCGAGTATAATTCTCAAAAAACGGATATGATTGCCGCAAATGACGCGTATGCTCAATTAGGTGGTCATATACATCTAGTGATCCAAAAACTACCAACTCTCATGAACGCTTTACCTCAACTTCAAGAGCGTTGCGATAATGATCCGGTGTTCAAGCAAAACTTTATTCTTTGTGTTATCTTGGCTCCATTTCGCGATATTCAAGTTATATGGAATCCTAAGAAAAAGATGAACAATCGGGCTTCAATTGTGGAATGTATAATAAAAGATGGCTTGAAATTTGGTAAGAACGATTCTGAGCTCGTTGCAACTTGTGTTGACACACATTCGACATACGATGACATGGTTGTCTCTTATGAGCAGGAGTCTAGATCTAAAATTGGATTAATGCTTAGGTCTTTTAAAGGGGAGTGGGAGTTGGCTCATTATTCTAATTTAGCGCTTGCATACTGCCAGGATGATAAATCTTTATCGAGATATCAAAGTTTTCATAAATATGTGTTTGACGAGAAGCTACAGGACTGCCATGCTCTCAAACCGTTACTTGACGGTAAAAAGTTGACAGCTTTACTTAACCGCAAACCTGGCCCTTGGATGAAAAGTATAAACACAGAAATGATCGACTGGCAATTGAATAATCCAAACCTGGGAGAGAACGAGCTTTTGGCGTTTATTAACGAAATACTACCCAAATATACGTAAGATAGAAAGTTTCTTGAATTAATAAATAAGATATAAACTATTTTCCGACGTGGATTTTGTTGTAAAACGTAGATGCTAAAACATGTTGAAATATGAATGAACGAACAGCATATGTAATTCTAGAAGGTAACGACCTTATCGAAGTCACTTCGAGTTATTGCAACCGAGGTATACATGTAAGCTCGATAAGAACAGAAGGAATATTACCATTGTGACCTTTCCCTATCAGCCTCTCCGACATTTAAAGATTGTGCAATTTGGTCAATATCATGCATGATGCGATTGGTGAAGTTGTTATGAAGACGCTCGTTAGCATTAGATTCGTCTTGTAAATTGCTTGTGATATTGATGTTATTTCCAGTAGTGATAGTTGCTGGTGAATTATTCAACAAGGACGTCACAGTAGATGTATCGCCATGAACATTTTCGAGTAAACGAGATGAACTATTATCAGCTGGCATTGATATCGCGCCACAATCCGTAATAAACTCCTCTTGGCCCTCAAGATTGAGCTGCATGTACATATTGAAGAACTCATCATCCCGATCGTTTTCGAGTTTCATCGAAAAATGACTTTCTGGGAAGGCGGCATCTGCCATCACATTTCCAGATTCAACAATTGCGGTTTTTGTAGATGATATATTGCCGTAAGATATAGCAGAACTGTTCAATGTAGATTGCGAATTAGTCATAGAAGAAATTACTGTGCCGCTGCTAAAGCTCATATTTGTGCCGGATGCAGTATCGTAAATCGCCTCCCCCTGGCCATCTTTGACATTTCTTGGAATTCCCTTGATTGCAGGAATATCACCAGTAGGAGGAGTTTCTTCCTGTTCTTCCAAAATATCATTCTCGAGCGAGCTCTCGTGTTCCAATGAGAGAACCGTGCTGTTGCTCCTATCAACTGAAGTGCCATTATTGGGGCCTATAGAATTTTCAATAACTCCTGGAGTCGATGAAGATGACGTGGATGAAACTGCTCCATTGTATTGTGACGACATAATGTTAACTTGAGATTTATTCAAGTCTGAAATGGAATCTTGCTTTCTCCGATGATTTTGTCTTTGCTTTGTATGTGTATCCAAATATGTTTCCAAGCCCAATGCAAGATCAACCGGAAACCCTGTTGAGCTGTGTAAAGATGTAAGTTCTCTGGATAAGCGGTGCGAAGATCCACGTAAGTTGGATGTCTGCCTTGCAGGTGAACCAGTTCTGATAGGAGAATAACGGTTAGACAAAGAGGAAACAGAATTTGTGGATAAATTCCTATGCAAGGTTGATAGATTAGATGATGTACCACTGGAAACCATCGAGCTCATGGACCCGCCTGTGTTGGCTCTTTTCCTGGTAAACATCTTACTAAATGCGATAGAGGCGTCGTTTTCGTCAGATTGATGCATAGAATTAGTACCGTGCAAATGATTTGAAGAGTTGAACTCCTCCGAGGCTGCCCTTGAGAAGTCGTTGCCTTGAATGCCATGATACTGGTCCAGGTAATGATGATCAACTTCGTCAGTATCGTCATTCTCTTCTCCGTTATAGAAGTCCGCTTGAGCTGTATTACATCTCAAAGACTGGGTATTTTCAACGGGACCCATTGAAAGCGATGCGCGGCCGTTATTATTAACCAACGAGACATTAGCACTCAGAGAGCGTCCCAATTGCGGACGTTGCATGCTTGGAAGCGGTGCAGAACGAGGAACGACCTCTTCAGACATAACACTTGCAGGAGACGACACTGTTGTGCTTGAATTCAACCTCCCATACCTAAGGAACGACGCATATGACCGTTTAGTTGCGCTTGACGGAGTTGATGCGCTCGATAAGGGAGGAGTGTCTATGGTATCAGTAGATGTTGCCAATGTGGGCATACTACGCATTCGGTCGCTGTGATGGCTACTACTGCTGAATATTTTGAGCATTCTGCTCTTGGGCGACTTCTTTTTCTTTAGCGTAGGATCTATGGGTTTGGCATCCTTCACGGTGTAGTTCACAAATACCATCTCACCTTTCTTGCCCTTGCCCCTAGTACTTTTCTTTTTGGACTGAGCAGCCGTTTCCTGGAGCTGTACTTGCTTAGGAGTCGTCATGATGTTGATATTATTGTTTGTGACTTGGCTTTCTGCGTAGCTGGTGCTCATGTCGGGACCCGGTGTCACATTTTGGCCGCTTGATCTACGATAATAATGCGGTATTTTCCACTTGCTGACAGACTCGTTAGGAGTTCCACATTGAGAGCTTGCATTAGGATCCTTTGAAGGACTTCGAGAGTATCGCATTGACTTTGTTGAAGAGCTTAATTGAACAGCCCAGAGAAATAGATCAGGACGTTCGGAATGATCAGAGAAAATCACTTAAGCACCTGTTATAATTAGCTTCGAGCTTTCTCCCTAGGATGACAAAAAGGTTCAATTTCGTTTGCAAAAGCCTGGGCTAATTGCGTGATCTAACTCGAGCACTGTTACACTTTATTCTGAGCAATCTTCAGGCGTTACAGTTATCGGTTATAAGATTAGAACTGATGGCCCAAATCGTATTTCGTGCAGTTTGAATGCTGGGGTGTCTTTGAGAATGGTTGAATGATCTCCAATGCTCGATAACAGGTCTTTAAGGCTCTCCTTGAGACGACAGCTTTTTGATCCTGACAAAAATATCAGACAAATCGAAAAAAATCACGACAAAAATTCAGTATGGTGCAATATCCAGAAAAAACGGGCTTGGGTGTTGACTTTTTTACAAACAATATCAGAATATTCAACTGCGGGGAAAACAAGAGAGGCACAGGCAATTGCAATATATACTTAAATGCACGCTATTCATGACAGTTTAGGGTGCAGGCTTGAAGCTTAAATACATTATGGTGATGATAGAGACGTAGTATTTGCCCGCTCTAGTGAACAAAACCTCTCAGCTGCTTATGACATGCTTTTCTTTTGCAGTTGAGATCATTATAAAGTATAGCTTAGTATTATACATTTTTTTATTCGAAGAGATCACAATTTCAAAGTGGGTGGTTAACTATTGACGCATCAAGCTCTCAGCGCGCGTAACGCCTGGTAATTCCAATGACACTCTTGCACGCTCGACAGAGTAACGATTGTCGAGCTCGTTTGACTCAAGCATCCGCTGCCTGGTTCTATCAAGGGATGATCTCGATTTTCTCTGATAGCGGCCCGGAGAGTTTTCATTGCTTTGGATAAAGCTCATGGGAATTTCCTCGGTATAGACGGTATCGCGAGACGCATTATTGCCATTTGCCATAGTTCCCGAAAGATGACCTTCCTCTGCGCTCTTACGATGAAATACCGTCCTTGTTTTGTCTATTTGAGGCCTGTTGGGGTCTGTAGGATCGTAGCCTTCAGGATATTGATCGAAATGGCCCAAAAACCAACATTCACGAATGATGTCAATGTCGCGGGGAAACATCATCTTTTGGAAGACATCGTATGTAAACCGTGGTAGTAAACAGAAGAGAATTCCCACGAACATCACAGCCCAAAAGGCTGGCGTACCATAAACATGTGCAGCACTCTTGTAAAACTCACCACTCTGTAAAGAACTCGACCAAATACCAGTCCAGGCGAAAATAACTAGACAAGATAGGGCAATGAACAAAGATGAAAACCAATCCCACCTATACTGGTGTATCAACACGTATAAGTTACAGGACATACCAGCGATACCTCCAACCATGATACCCACCCAGTAGCGGTGATCTAATCCTAGGCCATTCGATGTAACAAGATCAGTCTTATAATAAACCAAGTAAGTAAAAAAAAAACTGATCACAGATTGATAAAGACCATCAACCATATACAGCCAAAACTTGGTTTGAGTCCATTCAGTTCTCAAGATACCAACTCTGTACAATTGTGGAACCAATAACGACACTGTATCACTTACATCTTGGTCGAGAATCCCCATGAAAATAACTGGTAAAGAAGTAAATGCCAAGTTATAGAACATCAAATAGGTATATTCAAAAAGATAGGCACCATCGTAATTGTTGTAGATACCATACCAAAATAGGGCCAACGTGAAAATAACATTCTTGTAAAAGAAACTTGGAATCATTTCTGCCAATCTCTTGTACGACCATCTACCGTGAACTAAAATCAATCTCGTCAAATATCTGAATTGCCCAATGGCGTAATCAGACGACATTACTGCTTGCCGGCCTTCTTCACCGGCAATACCAACACCTACATCCGCAGACTGGATCATGGCAACATCATTTGAACCATCACCAATGGCTAAAGTCATAACGTCCAATGTGTTCTTAACCAGCTTAACAACAGCTGCCTTTTGTGCAGGAGAAACTCTGCAACAAAGCACTGCCTTACATTTTTTGCAAAGTAATAAAAATTTGCGACTGATTTCGGAATTGCTCAAGGCCATTTTCAAGGCGTCACCATCAATAATGACACCAAAGTTTCCTTTTGGTGGTTCATGTTCACCTTTAGCGGACTGCAATTCCTCTACTGACCCTAACATCTGAAATTTTTCATGCAAATATTTAGAGATCAAAGATTCAACGACTGCAAATGGACTTTTACCTTCAAATTCAGCTTCATCGCCACTTGCCTTGATAACTAATAACTCCATTTCATTGTTAAGCAAATTACATGAGAACCCGATGTTAATGGCAGTTTCAACTTTATCACCTGTTAAAACCCACAATTTTATACCTGCCTCTCCAAGAATGGCAATGGAATCTGGAACACCATCTTGCAATCTATCTTCAATTGCAGAACCTCCTAACAGAATCAATTCTCTTTCAATAGAATCAGCAACAACTTCCATTTCATCTTCTCTGTCTGTTAGAGAAGCAGCAGCAATTTCGTGTCTTTTATTCCATTCTTCGTATTCACTCCAGGAAAGCTCTCTTTGTGCGATACACAGTGTTCTCAAACCTTCGGTAGCATACTGTTCTAGATGTAGAGCAGTCTTCTCCAGTAAGGTCTCGCTGTTTTCTGTGCTTCTCTTAAGTCTCGAGTAGATCACGGAATCCGCACCTTTACAAATCAGAAGGGCTTTAGGAGGATCCGAAGGTGTGTTACCAGGAATTTTAACAATGCAACTCATTCTCTTTCTTGTGGAATTAAATTCTAGTGTGTTTAGTATCCGAAATTCCTTCCGAACACCTTGAATTTCAATAATCACACCTGTTTTAGTCCTTTGAACAAAGCTGAAGCCCATATCTCTGGCAGTACCAACTAGGGCGGCCTCATCAGGTGATTGTGCTTTGAGCTCAAGTTTATTAGGATCATCCTTATCTTTTTCCACCAAAACCGTGTGGCAAAGAGCTAATGCAAGCATAAAATGCTCATTGCAATTTTTCTGGAATTCACCACTTGCCCCCTTCAGATCCTGAACGAATTCTTTAGAAACAAACGTAACATCATTAGGGTCTAAATTTGGATTCGTGCTTATATGTCTCAAATCTTCAATCATGGAATCTTTATCTTGAGCAATCGCTTTCCTCTCACGAATGCCTTCCTCTTCAACATCTACACCTTGACGCTTTCTCAAACCAGCCAGCGCTTCAGTATAGGCCCGACCATAGGATACTCCATTGATGGTACATTTTTTGAATTCCATAACATTTTGAGTCAACGTACCAGTTTTATCCGAAAAAACATACTCAATTTGACCTAAATCATCAGATATGTTCCATGATTTAGGTGTGCATGGATAATCAAGCTTTTCATTATAGAGAAGAACGTCACCGTAAATGAAAGCCGCTTGCGCGGTTTTGATAATTTCAATCGAAATGTACAATGAAATGGGAACCAACGATTGGTATAAAATAACTGCGACCCAGAAGGAAACAACACCATTTGCAGCTGGGGATCCAGCTACAGTACCAAATTCAAAAAATGTCCTAGAATTGTTAGTGCTTCTATAATAGATACCATTTATCAGACCAGAAACGAAGCATAAAACAAATAAAACAACAAAGTTTACAATAACTGAATAATTGAGCTCTCGAGATATTCTTGATTTTTTTGTTGGCGTAATACCTGCATTCAACATGATCTTCGTATCATCTCCGGTGAACATCACAATACCCATTGCCCATTTCGTGTTTCTCAATGAGCAGCCACGTAATAGCATATTATTGATATTTATTGGTTCATTTTTTAGCTGTGAATCCTCAGAATCTATCCACTTCAAGTTACCCTGATATGAATATAGATTTGTATGTGGTCCTTCACTTTCAATCCAAAATTTAGTTCTAGTGATGTCTCTGGAATTTCTGATTCGATGACTACAGCGTAACGACTGACGAACTTTCAAGTTCGTTTCACCGTCTAAATTTTTAGTTTCCACATAGCATGCTCCATCTGAATCAGAAGTTGATAACAAAACAACATCAGCGGGAATTTCATCGTTGTTGTGAATGCGGATAATATCACCAACCTTCACGTTCTTCCAATAGTCTTTGACGAATTTGCAGTCAGTTCTTGAAGGCATATTCTTATCTAACACTGTCACTTCATCGCTAGTAACAATTTGACCAATGTTATCGTAATCAAGCGAGTCTCTTTCATAGGCACCAGACATTCGATAGCTACCAACAGTATCTAGTGAGTTTCTGGGTGTTCTTGATCTCATTGCATGAAGCTGTTGACGCTTGCGTTGTGCCGCGGCGCGCCTACCTTCTTTGGAAAAGCGTTCAGCACAAAAATGAATAAACTTGAACAACACTCTAGAATTGGCTTTTTTGAATTGTCTCCATAGTGAAACATTGTCTTTCGAAACATTGTGGTTCTCGATACCGGATAGGGTATGCGTAAGCGTATTGTTCACTTCCAAATCTAGGATAGTACGACGTGAATCTTCAATACCATCTTTTATAGCAGTCAAGATAACAATTACAATCAACGGAACAGCAGACAGACCAGGGTTGGTGACACCAAAGATTCCAAAACAGCCTAAAATAATTAAAACTAAGAAGTAAACATTGGCCACGTTTCTAAATTGGTAAAGAATATTCTTCGGGAAGAAAGTTAGTGGAGTATACTTTGTAGTTCTAATTTTGTTACGTGCGTACATGGCAATTGGTTTGCCGTCCTCATCCAGCATATTGTCCGGCAGTGGCAGATTGTAGTAGACCGAGCGAAGCTCAGAGGACCTGTTGATACCATCTAAAGGATCATCATCATCCAAATTAGGTTTATCGTCTTCAAATGGATTGTGAAAGTTCTTTTTAGCCCACCGAAGAGTCTTCGCTCTTCCAACCTTTGGCTGACCTTTTTTTGTGCGCCGAGTACCCCACCGGAGCCTCTTCATTTCTTGAAACCCGCCGTGACTAGTTTCTGTAGGTTGTTCACTGTTATCATCGAAAGTACCTGATGCAGCGAGTTTTGGAGTATTTGTAAAAGAGTGGACGTCGTCCTCTACTTCTTGTGATTGTTCTTCAAACTCAAGTGGTTTATCCTCATCAGCAAACGCTATCTTGTTGTTATTTTTCCTCTTTGCACCCTGTTTCCTCATGATAGAGCCACTTCGAGAAGCAGACGAAGGTGCAGTAGAGGGTACATTCCCACTTGTTTCGAACACGTTATCTTCCAGGTCAACATCCTCGGCCTCTTCAAATTGGAATCGGTCATGAAACGGGGATGCTGGAGACTGATCATCAGTACCACCACCATTCGCATGGGGAGGCTGGTTGGATCTTGTATTTCCAGACATCTCTGTTGTTGATCACCCTAGGTTTTTCTTACGTTTCCTATTCTAATAGGAAGAGCGTTGGGATTTAATATTATTTACAGGCAATTGGTGTGGAATCCTCTGAAAAATTTCGCAACCGGTCCAACACGGAAATTAAAGGAGCGCTTACAACTTCAGGCCAAATTCCAAAGACACTAACAGGAAACGTATTTCAGCTCTCAAGCGACTCGGATAATCGTCTTACAAATTTCCAAATAAGAATTATAGAAGTTTTTCCTGTTTGGAGGAGTTATTTGACGGAAAAGCGCCTATTTCACTTATAGAAACGTAATTATCACGTAAGACGTGGCCAAGAACAGTAAAAACATGAGTATTATTTAAACTGCCGTTCCCGATCGTTAATTACATGGCAGGTAGACCTGCCACTATATAGCAGCCCAATACTGCTCGTTGCAGTCCACCCAAATAGACGCATAAAAGGGCAGGGGTTGGGGCTGTTGTTGAAGCCATTGTTAAAGAACCAAGTAGCAAGCCAGTCATGTGAACGCGTGCCCTAAAACAACTTCTAGTGTTTATTTGGGTTTTGCATATAGTCTGGTCCATTCGCGAGCTTTCTCAATTGCAGCTTCCTCGTTTTTGATCCAGTCTTCGGCGACATCATTTGCAAGCGGATCGTTGGGATTAGGGCTGGCCAAAAGCGCTTGAATCGACAAGAGAACAGTTCTAATTTGTAGAGCAGGTGACCAGTTGGTCTTCAACACATCCAAACAGATGCGACCAAGTCTGTCAATGTTTGGATGGTATATTTTGGTCAGAAACCTGACCTTGGGGGCTTCCATGGGATAATCATCAGGCAAAAATAATTCTAATTCAAAGACACCACTTTCATATGGTGACTGTTGGGGTCCTTCGATAGTGACTTGAAAGTATCTGAGATTATCCTCGTGAGGTTGTGCAGTGATCCCTGGAACTGGATCGCTCACCAGCCGTTCAGTCTCCTGGATCAACAAGTTAGTTTATGTAGCCTAATTTTTGACATGTTCAAAATGAAACATACTTTAATGATACGCTTGGGTAAGGAGGCCATCGCTAAATAGGATCCTTCTTATGAAAGCATTCTAGTTGAGCTTGAAAAAGTCACAGCAGACTTATCCTTCTTCTTTTTCGTCTCATATGATATAGTAATTGTAATTGTCCATCGACTAGAAACCGGAAGAACATAAGACCCATATACGCAAATTTAAGTCGTATAGGTTCGTCGGCCCAATCAGAGCATCATGTAAAGCGAAGAAGAGAAATATATTGAACCTATCTAAAGGGTCAGATTATAAAATAACCACGAATAGCAGTAATCTAAAACAACATGGCCCCCCATTCCATGACATGCCAACGTGCAGCGCACATGGTAGCAAAAGAGAGCAAATAAAGGCAATGCACTGGCACACACCTCGAGATTAGTTTATTCAAAAATCACACAGAAACAAAAATAGTATTAAAGATTTCCCACAATTTACTAAAAAACATGACAATGCGACCACAACGCAATTCAAGCCTGTTCAGTGACTGGAGCAACTTGACCCTGAGCTTCTTGGTCCTGCTTGAAAGACTCGTAGGCAGCGAAAGCTTCCTTGAAGTGTTGTTCGAACAATTCATCGTTTTCCAACAATGGAACCACTTCTTGTGGTGGCAAGTCCAAAATCATACCGGTAATCTTACCAGCAGCTTCCTCATCTTGGGTCTTGGCAGAGACCTTCTTGTAAAGCTGTTCACCCAAAGCTTGTCTCTGCTTTTGGTGGAAGAATTGGTTGCCGTTTCTTGGGAAGCCACCTTGAGGACCTTGAGGTGGAACACCGTACATTGGGCCGTTTGGTCTACCAAATTGTTGTGGAGGAACGCCATTCTTTGGCATGCCACCCATAGCAGCCATTTGTTGAGGGTTAGGACCGTTAAATGGAACTCCTCTTGGAGGCATAACACCATAAAACATTGGTTGCATAAATTGACCAGGCATACCGGCAGCGGCGGCAGCAGCAGCGGTGACTTGTTGGTATCTCATTTGGTTTCTAGCTTGAATCTGTTGAGCTAGTTGAGAACGTCTGACGTCCTTTCTTTGAGCAATAGCAACGTACAATGGTTTGCCAGCAACGATCTGTTGGTTCTTTTCGGTAATGGCCTTGGTAGCTTCCTCAGGAGCAGAGAAGCAGACGAAACCAAATCCCTTGGAGTTTCCAGCATCATCTCTCATGACCTTGACAGAAGTGATGGTACCGTATGGAGAGAACTCTTCTCTCAATTTTTCGTCATCGACGCTGTCATCCAGGTTCTTAACGAACAAGTTGACACCTTGGTACTTGGTCAACTTTTCCATTCTAGAGGCTTCGTATTGCTTCTTTAATTCTTGCAAACGTTCATACTTCTTTTGAGCGCGGCCAACGTATAGCTTTTGTCCCTTGAAATCAAGGTCGTTCAACTCCTCGACGGCCTTGGCAGCGGCTTCGTGGTCTTCAAAGTTAACGAAACCGAAACCCCTGGACTTGCCTTCCGCATCCTTTTCCAAAACAGCGGAGGTAATCTTGCCAAACTTCTCGAACAACTGCTCGAATTCCTCTTGAGTGGTCTCAGGTTCGACGTTCTTCACGTAGACGTTAGTGAATTGAGACTTGGCCTCTTCAATCTTGGACTGACGGTCCTTCTTGGAAACGTGGTGGGCGACGTACACTTCTTGGCCGTTCAACAACATACCATTTATGGCATCGATAGCTTCATTGGCAGCTTCTTCCTCTTCGAAGTGAACGAAACCAAAACCCTTCGATTTTCCAGTTTCATCGGTGGCGATCTTACAAGAAAGAATGTTGCCGAAGACAGAGAAAGTGTCATGTAGAGCCTTGTTGTCAATGGCTGGGTGCAAGTTCTTGATGAAAATGTTACCAGAGCCCTTCTTTCTTAGAGAAGGATCACGTTGAGACCACATGATACGGCATGGTCTGCCCTTGATTGGGGTATAGTTCAACTTTTCGATTGCGACTCTACCAGCGTTGTGGTCGTGGAAGTTCACATAAGCATAGCCCAAAGAAGTCTTGGTGATGGCGTCACGGCAAACACGAATAGAAGAGACGGAACCGATTGGTGAAAAGATGTCGTACAACAAAGCTTCAGTCACAGTTGGATCCAACTCACCAACGTACAAGGAAGCTGAAGATGTCTCAACCTTTGGAGCCTCAGATTCAGTAGAAGTTGGCTCAGTTTGCTGGTCATCTTGGATGTTTAGTTGCTCCAATTGTTCAGCAGTCTTGTCAGTAACGTCAGACATTTTTTTTTTGGGTTTTTTAAGTAAAGTAGTGGGAAATGTAGTTTTTTGGATTTTTTTAATTGGGTATTAAGTATTGGACCAGATTTCTAGTTCAAGGAACTTAATTTCAATAAAAAAGGTGTGATTTTGGTTGGCTTTAATTCGCTAGTTTATTAACTTAACAAAGAACTCTTTCTCATCTCGTGAAAAATTTTCACCACAAAGTGTTCAGAAAAAGAAAACTTGAGAACGATGAGCTAAATACCTTCAAACGAACCATATATGTATCATCAATCACGTGTTTATTAAATATTGTACATTGTAGTATGTCATTTCAATTACATGAGTTTCTAATGGTTTCCGCTGGCAACTATCTTATCGTACATTGCCATGAGTTTAGAACTCTTGACTGCAGCAGGCCAGTACTGAGCACTAAAGTCCCAAAGGTGTCTCTTGAATAATTCTGGATCATGTGCACTTGAGGTAGCTTTCCGAGCCTCTATGTGGTCTCCTACAGCTTTTAACTCCTTCTTCAAGATTTGAGCCCATTCCTTGCGATCCAACCCTTTTCCGCCCCGGCTTAATCTTGTAAGAGAGGCTTTCATTGGCTGCATAGTTTGTTTACATTCTGCGTCCTCTAATGTGCCGTGTTCTCTTTCTGAGGTCGTTGACTTAGCAGGCTTTGCCTTTGCTTTCCTCACGACACCTGATGCCGGTGGTGGACTTCCTTTTTTCGCAGATGTGCTATGGCCTAACTTTCTTACTCTCTTGGTTGGAGGACGCTCGTCTCCCTTTGCATCAGGCGTGGAACTCCTACTAGCGGGTGCCTTTCTCTGGCGCTTTTTTGAAGGAATTTGACCTGAAGGTGAGGAATTACCCGTGTTTGATCCAGAGGAATTTAATGGATTTGCCTCCTCCTTCAATACCGTGAACAGGTAGTCAATTCTTCTTCCTAGATGAACAGAACCAGGAACTTTCTTAGAATTACCTGATAAATTCTTTGATTTTTTGTCGGGCATTGTGCTTTCGGATTTCCCGCCAACATTCGCCTCGCTCAAAAAGATCTTATCAGTCAAGCCTAGGAAGGGATCATCTCTAATTTGAGCCCACGATCCATACCCATATTTGTCAACGCCGACAATGAGCTTCTCGTCATCTTCTTTCGTCCACTCACAACTCCAGTTAAGCACTGGTTTAGGAATCTTATTGAGGAACTTAAATTTAAGTTGATCATCTGGAAAGTTTTTCTTGAGAAAGCTATGCAGAAATTTCATGTCCTCTGGTCTGTTGATAACAGTTTCAGCATTTAGTGCTTTGACATCGTAAAACTCGAACAAAACTGCTTTCTTTTCCCTTTTCTTTGCTGCTAACTTGGCCATAGGGCTATTTTTATCCTTTTCGTCTTGTTCAGTAATATTGTTCTTATTTTTAGACTTGTAACTCTGAACCTCTTTCTCCAGTTTATTAATGGCATCATTACGTTTAGATTCTTCTTCTTTAATACTTTTTTTGGCCACCTCAATCATTTCATAATATAATTCTGCATATCTGTCAATTGATTTCACAGGTAAAGATCCATCTGCAATTAGTTCCTCAAATTTACCACCTAAAGAACCAAACTTTAGGACGGCCTTATAGAGAGCTCTAATTTCCTTTTCACCAAAAGAGTCTAAATTGTTGGATCTCGCTCTTTTCTTAGAATTCCGCGTTTCTTCGTCGTCATCCTCGTCTGGACTGTCGCGGTTTCCTTTAACGCTTGCTTTTATTTTGTTCAGAGCATTGTTCCTTCGATTCATCATCTGCAGTTGTTCCTGGACATATTCCTCATCTGCTCTTCTCTGTTCCTCATCTTTCAGTTTTTTCAGTTCTTCTTCAGGAATGATATCATCCCATTCAACGTCTGCCTTATAGTCGGTAACTTCAAATTGCCTCAAGAACTCTTCACCACCGAGGTGTGATTCACCCAAGTCAGGAGTAGTCACGTGGTCCTCGGCGTGGTTTAAAACATCATCCAGATTTAGGTCTTCGAGCTTTTTCTGATTATCATTTGCTTTGAACATATTCCCTGCACCAAATTTCAATATTTCTGCTAACTCACCTGCCGAAGGATCGGTTTTCTTGTTTTGAGAATACTTACTACCATCGGTAACACCAAGAGAGATAATGGCGTACTCAAGAATCATCTTCTTCCGTGCTCTTTCCAAAACTTCTTCTTCCACTGTATCTTTGGACACAAACCTGTAAACCATAACATGATTTTTCTGTCCAATACGATGAGCACGGGCCATTGCCTGTAAGTCGGCCTGTGGATTCCAGTCAGAATCGAATATAATGACAGTGTCTGCGGTCATTAAATTAATACCCAAACCACCTGCACGGGTGGACAAAAGAAAAACGAAATCATTAGAGTCAGGCGAATTGAAATGATCGATAGCGATACGGCGTTGAGCAGAAGGAACGGTACCATCTAGCCGTTGGAAGTTCACCCCTTTGATGGTTAAGTAATCACCTAAAATATCTAGCATTCTGACCATTTGTGAGAAAATCAGAACCCGATGGCCATCCTTTTTCAATCTCGTCAAAAGTTTATCAAGCAAGACCATTTTACCGGAGGACATAATGAGGCCTCTTAAAATGTTTTCACGAGACATTCTACCGTCACCAAATTTGGATAAGACTTGGTCTTCAGCAGTATCGAAAAGATATGGATGGTTGGACGCTTTTTTCAGCTCGTTCATGATATTCAAAAGAGAGAAATGCACTCCATTCGAGCCAGCTGAGAGCGCTGCGTAGTTCTTAGTAAGGATGTTTTTGTAAAACTCAGTCTGAACATCCGATAACTCAACTCTTAGTATACGTTCTGTCTTCGCTGGCAAAGACTTTTCGACATCCTTCTTTAGCCTACGCAAAATAAAGGGCTGTAATCTCTTATGTAAATCCCTGATATAATCTTCTTGCTCTTGATCCTGGTTCTCAAAATCAATCTCCTGATCTATAGTGAACCTTCCGGGCATCAAAAAGTTCACCAAAGCTGCTAATTCTTGTATATTGTTTTGCAACGGAGTTCCTGTAATTAGCAAACGATTTGCTACTTTAAAGCTGTTAAGCGATTCATACAGTGAAGATTCGGCATTTTTTAGACGATGAGCTTCATCAACAGCGAGAAACTGCCACTTAAGAGCACCCAATTCGGAGCGATCTTTGAGAATATATTCATAGGTTGTTAAAAGAACATTAAATTTAATGTGCTTTTTGCCCTTGGATTGGGGATTTGTGTAAAACTCATTTTCACGAATTGCATCCCTTGATTTCTGATTACCCATATAATAGATACAGTTCACATCCGGGGCCCATTTATCGAAAGTCTCCTGCCAGGCTGGCATGGTGGACAGTGGTACTACCACAAGATGGGGACCATTTTGTCTTCGAGCATATATTAGCCAACTAATGAATGATACTGTTTGAACAGTTTTCCCTAACCCCATCTCATCTGCCAAAATACCATTGTCATTTTTGGACCATAAAAAGGCCATCCAATTTATGCCTGTCAGTTGAAAATCTCTTAGTTCACCTCCTTTGATGAATGATGGCTGCTCGTCTAGCTTTTCAAAACGAGGTCTAGAGCTCCCATAATTGCTGGAGAATTGGGGCAAAATTTTTGAGTTCATTCTGTTTTGAAAATGCTTTACTTGTTCGGGAGCTAACTTCACAATCTCACCAGCATTTTCCCATGTTGCTTCGTCATAATTGAGTCTACGCCATTTAACCAGATACTGAAGTTGTGAGGTTCCATCATCCAACGTCACTCGGTCGCTATCAATGATTCTTTCCGGGTGCTTAAATTCTTCAAACTCGTCCAAACGTCTCTCACGTTCGAGATCCATACCTTCTACGTCTTCTGCGGTTGTATAAGGATCCTCGCGAATTTGCTTATTCAGAATGATGTATTGTTTGATGTAATTGTCGAGCTTTTTGACCCCTCTTACTTGGGTGAGATCTTCGTAGTTCTCCCACGAGTTATGCAGATGCGATTTATCGTTCCATTTAATCAAGAATTGATATGTTTGCTTGCATTCATTTAGCTCCGGTACTCCTTTTATTTCATCCGTACCTTCTCTTTGACGATGTGTAACTACTAAATCAACCCCATGAGTATTTTGGGGAGCGGGTGTTGGAGTATTTTCATATTCGATCTCATCTTCCACACCTTCCGGCTCAGATTCTAATAGATCCTCATCTGAGTAGTCAACGTTGTAATTGATGCTTTTGTTATTACGCGCAGAAAATCGAGTGGGTATCTCGAAATCTGCTGAGGGTTCTGGTTTTTTTGACTTACGTTGGCCCTTGCGTTTAACTTTTACAAAGTCCTCATCATCCTCGTCTTCATCTTCATCAGCCTGATCATCATCTTCACTTAGTTCATCTTCATCCATTGAATAGTCGTCTTCAACCGGTTTAGATCTTCTGCCACGTCTTGTAGGAACCAGGTCATCGTCTTCTTCCTCATCCGAAAAATACCGAGCGTGCGTTACCGCAGCAGCTCTTCCTGACCGCCTTAATCCATATAATTCTGGATTTTCCAAAACCTCAGTAGGAATATCCTTTACGGCCATGGCTGGATATTTTCGGGTCTTTCTATCAACCAAACACTATCGGCTGTTTTCTTTCGTCGACACCAAAAAAAACGCGAAACAGGTACCAAATTTAAACTAAACCTTGTCCCGATATTAGTAAAACTTCGAATTAATTTCGTGTTTGCCAGTCAAACAACTTGAGACTAACCGTGAAGACCGCTTTGAATGCTTCCTTACTACACGTAGGATTAGCCTTTTAACAAAAGGGACGTCCGACTACTCATTCCAAGGGAGAAAAATTTTACAGAAAAAAATACATAATGAGGGTAACCCATATAAAAGAGTGGCCTCTGTGATGCCAAGTTGGTACTCGATACAATCACGAATGATGAATGCCTGGCGCCGAAATTATCAGAAGGCATATTCTTATGCCTGACTTATTTTCTTCCTGGTAATTCCGTAACCACGCATATACTTTTGTTGTGATTAACATCCGAAGCGATGCGTTTGATATTCCTTACAATGCAAAAACAGACTGTTTCGACATGTGCGCAACAAATAGCAGCTAAAAACCTTCCCACACTCAAAGGTATATATGTGTCCATTAAAAGTGTTAGCAACATTTCACGCACTTTAAGCGTACAGAAAGCTCTTCGAGGTAGGCCGTCATCCCAAAAGAGCATGAAATGATTGCTAATGTGGAAAATTATGTCCCATTGTGATAGACAAGTATCTGTCTGTGTTGAGAACATTGCAAACAATAAATTCTTCTATTCGGGAACGCAATTATATTGCAAACTTTATCTGTCGATACCAGGTCGAATAGTCACTTTAACCGGTATGATAAGCTAATGATTGAACCACAATAAGGCTTTTTGGCTTCTCTTGCAACACACTTTTCAAAACCAGAAGTGAACCGATAAAGTTATGCCACCAACTCGACAAAAACAACTTTCTGAATCTATGATCTCGGAGAGTGACTTGAGCACTCTGTCACAATACCTACTGAACTCCTACCACAATGGAACCAGTGCCATGTTGCTTCGACAGGTTAATTGCTCGCATTCCCGCTCTCCTCTGAGGCTCCATCCGATGGGCATTGTGTCTGGTCCTTCACCTTATCGTGTCGTCTGCTTCAGAGGCCAAGACCGATCGCATGAGAAATCCGATTGCTCGCTCATCATTTTCGTCACCGACGTTAAATTCAAGCACCTTCCTTCAGTCTATCAGAGAAGCGGTAACCAGTCAGTCAAATATGATAGTGTGGCATACTTCAGCCTTGCGCTAAGAGTCCTTTCCTATCCTTCCTCCTCAAGAGACTAATAACCCACGAAAAATAATCTGTAGATATCCTAAATTTAATACCCACATTTCAGCAGCACAACTCTCCAAGCTAAGAGAGAAGGGGTAAATTGGAAAGTATCTCCTCCTTTTATAGTCATGGCAAAAAAAATTTGTAGGCCGGGTAAAGAAGATGCGTCGGAAAAACGTCAGAGTCGATAGTGGCCTATACTGGAAAAATTTTTCATCTCATCTCATCTGAAGAGTGTGTAGTTTGAAAGTGAATAAGAAGCATTGAGCAAGATGAGCGATAAGAATACGCGTATTGCGATTGTCAATGAGGACAAGTGTAAACCCAAGAAATGTCGTCAGGAATGTAAAAGGGCTTGTCCTGTTGTCAAGACCGGAAAGCTCTGTATTGAAGTAGTTCCGACCTCAAAGATCGCCTTCATCTCAGAAAATCTGTGTATTGGTTGCGGTATTTGTGTCAAGAAATGTCCTTTTGATGCGATTCAAATTATCAACTTACCAACGAACTTGGACTCACAAGTTACGCACAGGTATTCTGCGAACAGTTTCAAACTGCATCGTTTGCCCATGCCAAGACCAGGCCAAGTGCTAGGTTTGGTGGGTACCAATGGTATTGGTAAGTCTACGGCTTTGAAAATTCTGGCCGGTAAGCAGAAACCTAACCTTGGAAGGTACGAGGACCCTCCCGAATGGCAAGAAATCATCAAATACTTCCGTGGATCAGAGTTGCAAAACTATTTTACCAAGATGCTTGAGGACGATATCAAGGCCATCATTAAGCCTCAGTATGTCGACAACATTCCTCGTGCTATCAAAGGCCCAGTCCAAAAGGTCGGAGAACTTTTGAAGCTTAGAATGGAAAAATCTGAAGACGACGTTAAGAGGTACATCAAGACTTTGGAACTTAAGAATGTTTTGAAAAGAGATGTCAGCGCCCTTTCAGGTGGTGAATTGCAAAGATTTGCCATTGGTATGTCCTGTGTTCAGGAAGCGGACGTATATATGTTCGATGAGCCTTCTTCGTATTTGGATGTCAAGCAGCGTTTGAATGCCGCATTGATCATCAGGTCCTTGTTATCGCCTACTACTTACGTTATCTGTGTTGAGCACGATTTGTCCGTTTTGGACTATCTTTCTGATTTCGTCTGTATCATCTACGGTGTTCCTTCTGTGTATGGTGTGGTCACCTTGCCATCATCTGTAAGAGAAGGTATCAATATTTTCTTGGATGGTCACATTCCAAGTGAGAATTTGAGATTCAGAACTGAGGCTCTTCAATTCAGAATGGCAGATGCACAGGATATGCAATTGCAAGCAGATGCTACGCGTGGCTTTATCTATCCTTCCATGAAGCGGACTCAAGGTGATTTCAAACTGACGGTTGAACCCGGTGAATTCTCTGACTCTGAAATTCTGGTCATGATGGGTGAGAATGGTACCGGTAAAACTACTTTGATCAAGCTATTAGCTGGTGCAATCCCAGCTGATGATGGCACGGATGTTCCTAAATTGAATGTCTCTATGAAGCCTCAAAAAATAGCTCCAAAATTCCCTGGTACTGTCAGACAGCTATTTTTCAAGAGAATCAGAGCTCAGTTTTTGAGCCCACAGTTCCAGACTGATGTTGTGAAGCCTTTGAAAATCGACGACATTATTGACCAGGAGGTACAGCATCTATCTGGTGGTGAACTGCAAAGAGTTGCCATCGTACTTGCACTCGGTCTTCCAGCCGACATATATCTGATTGATGAGCCATCTGCATACTTGGATTCTGAACAGCGTATCATCTGTTCCAAGGTTATAAGGAGGTTCATCCTGCACAATAAGAAAACTGCCTTCATTGTCGAGCACGATTTCATCATGGCTACCTATTTGGCCGACAAAGTCATTGTCTTTGAGGGTACTCCTTCTAAGGACGCCTATGCCAGATCTCCAGAGAGTCTGTTGACTGGTTGTAATAGATTCTTGAAGAACTTGAATGTTACTTTCAGAAGAGATCCAAATTCCTTCAGGCCAAGAATTAACAAATTGGATTCTCAAATGGATCAAGAACAGAAACTGTCCGGTAACTACTTCTTCTTGGACAACACCGGTGTGTGATGTCCTCATTACTAATGACTGTACACTATATTTCACCACTTATTTATACTATGGGTCCATAGAGTATAGCCCCCATATTTTATCTATATTTTACTAGGACGATGGTGTGAGTGTAATAGAACCGCTTCATATAGAATGAAAAATTGCTTAATGATTTTTAGGCATTTTTTATGACTGTTTTACCTTTCCACCGTCGTTGCACTCTCTACTCGAATATAGCCACCGTGAGTAAAAATTGAAGGAAACATCATCTTGAACAATTACTTTCAATCTTAGAGCATTAATTATCTTACAGAGGTTATAATAATGTGTTCGTTAATCGTGAACTACAATAGATTAAACCCTTAGGTCATCTGTGACTGCGTGCTACTCTTAAATAAAAAAAAAAAAAAAAAAGAGAGCAATCTCATGCGTGACTCTTGAAAGGGTAATAATTTCCGACTGGCGAGAAGAGTTAGTCATTGCAATTTCAATATTTAAAACATTATAGATCCATTCTTGCTGCTTACCCATATCTACAAATCAAGGCATTTCACATGATATCTGAAGGGGCAGCTACCGCGCTGGCAACGGTAGGAACGGTGTGCTGGTGTATTCAGTTAATTCCACAGATCATCTTCAACTATAGAAGAAAGGACTGCGAAGGACTCCCTCCTCTTATGATGCTATTATGGGTAGTGTCAGGAATTCCATTTGCCATATACTTCATGGTCACTAAAGGTAACATGACGTTGCAAGTGCAACCTCATCTTTTTATGTTCTTTTGCTCGATAAGCTATATTCAGTCTCTATACTATCCCCCGGTGCAATTAGCTCATAAAAAAATCATCATGATCATTCTTACACTAATTGTAGTAGACGTGGGGATGGAAGTCGGATTCACATTATGGTTGCGACCACTCTACGCAAGGGGAGTCCATTGGCCCAGTCTTATATTTGGCATATTGGCATCAGTGCTGCTGGGGCTTGGCTTGGTTCCTCCATATTTCGAGCTTGCAAAGAGGCGGGGCCGCGTTGTGGGCATTAATTTTATCTTTTTGGGCATTGACTCTTTAGGAGCATGGCTCTCTATTGTAAGTGTCATTCTGGGGAATATGGACATCATGGGTATCATTCTTTACAGCATTGTGGCCGCTTTGGAATTGGGGATTTTCATTTCACACTTCATATGGTGTTGCAGGTTCAAGTGGTTTGGCAATGGGACCACCGAAGACGTTGACGAGGAGAAACAGCAAAACTGCTCAAATTCAGAAGCTTCGATAGGTGTGGAAATGGAGCAACATTATTCGAACTCGGTGACCTCAGTGGATAGGGCCTTTGTCGAGGTGAGTGATGAGGAAGGTAAGAAGTGAAGTGGAGTGGGTAGCATTTAACTTGCATATGTACATTACTATCATTCTGTTCTTAATGCCGAACCTATTAGGCTTCATTCTCTTAAGTAATCTCCATACTGAAATATAATGCAAATTCCAAGGGGCTCTTGATTAGCACGCTGCTGTAGAATGCGGTTCATCTCAAATTTGAGATTTCGGGGAAACTCCATCTCTTTTCTTTTCGAACTATCATGTACAAAATTAAGGATTTAGACTATGTTGAATTTTACTATGAAGGCAGCATCACATTTTAAAGCTATAATTCTTTAAGCGTTTAGAATGCTCCTTTTCGCGTAATTTCTTGCTCCCTTTAGGTTTAAAATAGGTTACGTCTTCATTTAAGCCTTGCGATGACATTATAAAAGAGTGAGTATTGGTTTTTTTTTTTTATTAGTACATCCGCGTCAAGACAATCATTCGGAGCTTCCCATGAAAGTATAAAATGCAAAAGCTGCCCGAAGAGTACTTCCACCTAGTAAGGGAAGCACTCAGAGATGATCGTAAGGTCTCTGCTAGAAAAAGGAGGAAGCGGGACTCTTCACCTAGAGAAGATGAGCACTCAACTCCTCAAGTTGTCATAAATTTAGATTCTGATGACAACGGCCAGGTCAGTGACAGTTCGCATTCGGAAGACACCTACGACTCTGAAGAGTTTGAAGATGTCCCAGAGCCCACACCAACAGGTCCCACTTCAGACATTAGTTTCACATTAGATGCATCCAAGAACGAGCCGAAGCAAAGAGCCAAAAATGTGGTATCCCCTGAAGAAAAAAAGTTTAGAAGATATTACCATATGCTACATCTCTTGTGTCTTCTAGTACATGGATACATACGGAATGAATGGCTCAATGATCAGAAGCTTCATAAAAAGTTGTCAAAGCTTGTTCCTGATGACGTCTTTGACCTACTTCACCCGCCAAAGGATACAGAAATGCCTCTGCGAAGTACAAGAAAACTTCTGGATGGTTTAAAGAAATGTATGGATATCTGGGGCAAACATTTCAAGCATGTCACCAGTGAAGGTATCAATGGACTTTACATGATGAAATGGGATGACTTAAACGGACCGTGGGAGCAGCCCGTCCGAGAGATGACTCCGAAGCTTTTCAGTAGGATGGTGATATCTGGACATGGAAACCGCAATATTGGTGCACAGGGTTTCGTCGCGATGTTGCGCGCTTGCGGGGTAAACGCTCGGTTGGTTTTCAATGCTCAGCCGCCAGATTTCACCGATGCGAAGCTTTTCAGCAAATTGAAACATGAAAATGAGATCGAGCAACCGTTAAGTGAAACAAAACTCGGTGGTCGTCGCAAGAAACGTGGAAAGGCTAAAAAAACAGATAACGAAGACGAGAAATATCCTATTTTCTGGTGCGAGGTATGGGATAAAGTCTCAAAGAGGTGGATAACAGTAGATCCCATGTGTCAAAAAATAATAGAGCAAATACGCAATAGATCAAAATTAGAGCCCCAGGGTAAATTCCGTCAGCATGACATCTTAAGGTATATCATTGGGTATGACCGAAAAAAAGGATGTCGAGATGTGACACGCCGATATGTGCTTCAATACAACTCAAAGGCTCGTAGAAGGCGTGTTACGAAAGATCAAGAAGGCCTGCATTGGTATGAAAAGGTATTACATAAACTTCACAAACGTAAGAGAACGCGCATCGACGATTTTGAAGATGAGTATTTTGTGACCCGCGACGAGACAGAAGGCATTCCTGATAACCTTCAAGACTTAAAGAACCACCCATTTTACGTTTTAGAAAACGATCTAAAATGGAATGAAGTGTTGAGGCCAGGCTGTAAGGAATGTGGGTATTTACGCTTGAAAAATGCAAAATCCACCATGAAAGTCTACAAGCGTAAAGACATATGGATATTAAAGAGTGCCCAGCGATGGTATAATGAAGGTAGGATTTTGAAAACGGGCGCAGTTCACGCGAAGGTTATTAATTCAAAGGACTTCAAGACTGGTGAAAAGATAGAAGAACGGCTGTACCCCCTCGAAGAAACAGAGCTGTTTGTTCCCGAACCATTGGGCCCCCATAACGAAGTTCCAAAAAATCATTACGGTAACATTGACATATACACGCCGAGTATGATTCCCCAGGGTGCCTGTTTGATTGAAAGCCCTGTTGCCGTAAAGGCAGCGGCTTTCGTTGGGGTGGAGTTTGCAAAAGCAGTTACTGGATTTAAATTCGAAAAGCATCGCGTTGCGAAGCCACAAATAACGGGCGTAGTCGTGTCTTTAGACTATCGAGAAGCCGTAGAGGCCATGATCGATGGAATTGAGGGAAGTATGGAAGAAGAAAAAAGACGGGACCATGAGCTGGAAGGTTTGCAGTATTGGAATCTTCTTTTGGCGAAACTAAGAATCAAACAAAAATTAAATGCTAGACATGGTGTAGTAAGGGAAAACCAAGGAATGTCATGGGATGAAGAAATACACTCTGGTGACGAAGATTTGCAAAATGAAGGATTCTCACCGAACCCTGGAGGGTTTTTGCCAGAGGCAGGGGGGTTTTTACCAGGGTCTGAAAACGTTACTCCTGTAGACAATGAATCTTCAGAAGATGCTGGTGGATTTATAGTCGAAAATTCAAATGATAATCAATTAAATCAAAATTATTTGGAAAAGCAGAGTAGTTCCGAGGGAAGAATGCGACAGGAACATGGTATCACTTCGGAAGAGGAGAAGGGGGCCGGAAGCACCTTTCAGGGCATTGAAGAACCTGAGGACGATAACAAAAATCTTGAGTTAGACTATGAAAAATTCATGAACGATTTTGACGAAAGTGAATCGCCTGCCAATTCTAATCAATCAGTATCGGACTCTGAATACATGTACGAATCTGAATGACCTAAAGGTATTGACGTTGTACTGTGCTGTATCATTAATTTACAGAATGTATACTAGCTAAGAGCTTATACATGGGAAAGAAAACCTCTGTATTTTTGTCTTAAGAAAAGGGCTCTCTAGAAATTGTGGAGAGAAACGGCGATCAGTTCTAAAATATGCCATCAAAATATTCTTAATAATTTGCGACGTTTTGTAGAGATCACTTTTATTCTGAGCACTTGATCTATCATAAATTATTATTGTCACGTGTGATTGATATAGAGAAAAAATATTCTGTGCTAATTGGAATTAGAATCTCAACGGTCAATCGTTAGGAAGTACGTTTACTAGTCATCATGAGCTTTCTAGCCAAGTTATCTCAGCTTAAGAAACCCGTAACAGAGCGGAATACCAAAAAGGTTGAAAAGAATATCTCAAATGAATTGTCTGTTGACCCGCTGAGAAGCGAGTCCAACCTTCTGCCGAAGAACTATGTTAGAGAAGAGGATCCAGCAGTACGGAGGTTGAAGGAACTTAGACGACAAGAGCAACTAAAAAAAGGTGCAAACAAACCAAAGCCGCCTGCGCCGTCCAACAAACGTAGAAGGCGTGATGATGAGCCCATGGCAACTGAGGCAAAATTTAAGCGGAAAATTGGAGCAAATGATAAGAAACCTGTAACTCCTCTCACTCGAAGAGAACCACTTAAAAAGTTAAGTTTTGAAGAGTTGATGAAGGAGGCTGAAGAAAAGGCAAAAAATAAATCAGCTAGTCCGGAATCTTTTGCTCCTAATCATAAGAATGCTCGAAAACCTCCCTTACAAAAACCAGGTTTTAAATCTGGAAAATCCAAAGTGCGAACACAAGCTAATCAAACACCACCTAGCATTAAAAAGGAAACGAAGCCTAAGATCAAGGTACCTTTAGCTAAGGCAGCCTTGGCACAGCCTAGCGAAAAGTTACGCAAGAAACTAGATTTGATAAAAAAAAGTCGTCGTGATCAGGGTTACGAGGATGACGGAAACCTCGATGACTTTATTGATGACGATGAAGAGGAGCTTGATTATGATAGAGATGAAATATGGGCAATGTTCAACAAAGGCAGAAAAAGAGCTGAGTATCAATACAGTGATGATGAGTCTGATATGGAGGCCAATGAACTTGAAATATTTGAGGAAGAAGAAAAAGCAAGTAGAATGGCTAGATTAGAAGACAAGAGGGAACAGCAGTGGCTAAAAAAGCATGAAGAGGAAAAGAGAAGAAGGATGAATCGCAAATAAGACGGGCGGGCGACGATTGTAATATTTTGGATGACATTGGATGTTGATCTACTGTATAAAATGGAATGGCATCGGATAATGACTTACATAGCAACTTCTATAAATCCATAACAAACAGTAAATGTGACAACAAGAAAAACAAGAAAGCAGCACACATAGTGCCACCAGGGAGCCATCTTGAACCTACTGAAAAGGAGCAACAAACTAGTACAAGTCAATAGCAACGATATTAGAAGTGAGATAATAATAGCTGCAACTAACGCGGAGCTTCCTTCCAACTCGGTGTCGTCATCAATCATCTGAAACAAGGAAACCACAATGCCAAGGGATATACCAGACGTTATGCAAGAGACTAATAGTGTGGTAAGATAGAAAAAGGTGACAACTTGATCGTGTTTGTATTCATAAATCGAGTCGGAGTCTTCTTCCTGTTCCTCATATATTCGGTATTCTGCCATATCGTTTCTTGTACTTGGAGAAGTGTTTGTGCTGCTTGTGGTAGCCTGGCTGCCATGCGATATACGACGGCGTCCAGAAAGTAGTGGTCTACGTTCTTGTAATGAGCTATTAGCACCAAGTAGCCTTTTAAATTTCTCTGAAAAGTTGAAGACGCCATTAATAAAACGCTTATTGAACACGATAAAACCGTTGTCCGTGGAACGGTTGTTTTGAGATTCGGTGTCACTGTACATGTAGAAACCGTCATTATTCAATGCCTCGTCCCCATCGTCAAATTCATTCCAGTACCGAATTCTTGGCTTTTGAGGTGATTTATCAGATGCCGGCTCGACGGATCTGCCTGATACATTGTGATCAGTCGCCGAGTCTTGTGTTCTTACTTCTCCAAACAATCTTTGAGATATTAGATTCACACCAGACTTGAAAAAGTTCTCTACTGTCTGTGCTTCAGGGTTCTGTGATACAATGGACATCAAGTCCTTTTCCATATCTTTAGAGTCTTTCAGTTGGTAAATCAGTTTCCAAATCGTTAGTTCTTCGGGAAGGGGATAGAGCAGAAGCTTGTTCTCATAAGCTTTTTCGCATATGCGTAGGATTTCTTGATCTTCTGCATTCGATTCGTTTGCTTTTACATCAGTATCACGTTTACGGATCTCGAGGATTGCATGCGGTACAGCTTTCTGGGCATCCAAAGTAATTTCCTCGTCTAATGAGATTAGGTAAGCAGTGTGCCCTCTTTCGTGCTCAATTCTTTTAGTAAATCTTGTCTTTCTCATAAGGACTTGGGGACCAACCGCATGTAAGTGGCGAGAGGATATCCATTCCAAACAAAGCTTGTCTAAGGGGGACATATGAATCCCAAAAGACTCTGGTCCGTCTCCGTGACGTTGCTGATTTTGAATCAGAGATGAAACGTGACTAAAAGGGATGATATCAGAGACGACGTGATTTCTCAGTCCGCCAACATTGCACATTACAACACATTTGTCCAGTTTCTGTCCATAGACCACTATGCTGGGATACTGATTCATAGATTCATCGTCCATGAATTTTGGCTTCGAGGATGAATCAAGCAGAATCATACCAGTACGAGGTGCTGGCCTAGAATTTTTGAGGGGAGTGTCTTGCTTGTGATCCAAAGCGTGTTGCAAATCTTGAAACGACTTCACAGATCGCAGGCTCCTCTTAGAAGTCGTTGAGTCGATTACTTCGGGCGACAGAGTCGTGTCCATTAGCTGTTTCGACGTTGAGATTATTTCATCATCCACAATGTGAAATCCCAACTTTACTAACAAGAATTTCATCTCAGCTGTGCTTTCCGAAGAGACTAAAAAAGAGTTGAGCCTTTTGTACTTGCCTAGGAATAGACTATCGAATTGCAGAGCAGAGTTGATGGGGATAGTGTGATTGGCAACGGAAAGACCCCTTGAAGCTCCCGATAAACTGCCTCTAGTACTATCCGCATATCCATCATCATCTGGCGCTTCGCCTTGCTCTAGATCACGTAGGACATCCATAACTAAAGACACTTCCAACAGATAGGGGTCAAGATCAACTTTCATGAACGAAACTCCTTCGTGGCCTTCTGTTAGTTCCTTGCAATCCTTTAACTTTTCTACAAAGGTCTCTGCCATGGCATGATCGTAAGGATAGTGTTTAAGGAACTTCTTGAGCAGTTTTCTCAGAGCTATCTTCTGCAAGATGAGAAAGCGAGATATCCTCAGCAGGTTCAAGTTGCAATCGTCCAGATGCGATGAAATGATTGCCAGTTGCCTCTGTTTGCCCTTTGGTGCGTTAAGTGTCAAAGATCTCTTTTGGAGCTTGATAATAGACGACTCTACGGATACGAGTCTTGTTGACACTTCCTTCACCTTCAGACTTACAAACATGTTCAGACTCTCGAACTGCTCCTGGAAAAGATTAAAGAGTGTCTGAAGCTCCGGATCCTCATTTACATTCGCAAACTGCTCCTTGTCAGCGCGCAACGTTGTGGCCCGCCGGATTGCCTCCTTCAATCGCTTGTAATCGATGTTGTTCAGTCTCCATTCAGGTACCGATTTATCGAGAAGTTGCGTTCCAAACTTCATTCTAGTGTCAGTTTCCGGCCTGAGCTAGACTTTCCGTTTTACTTGATTATTACCGATAATTGTTATCTCCTCCAGGAAGAATACAGCTATCTTTCAACTGGTTTTATTTCAGACAGTTTAGACAGAGTCATCTGCGGATGCCTTAGGGTGAATTTTTGTTGCATCACCCACGTGATAAATTTACAGATTAAAAGAGCCGCAAGGATTCCCTAAAAAGGAAACCGATGACAAGTTTGCATCAATAATTAAAGTAGGCCATCGACGGCACCTCACTCTTAATTTTACGTGGGGCTCGGTGGTAAATGTCTGCTGCTGGCATAGGTTGCCTGTTCACTCTCGGATCTGCAGTGCAGGAGGTGTCCAGAAACTGGGCAAGGTGCAAGGCGCTAGCATTTATGTTAAAGGCGTTATAAAGCGGGATAACCGTTGTCAAGAAAACATATTACCGTTGCTCAGAATTGTGCAAATGCAAGGCATTGTTTGAGCCCCTCTCGGTTCGGCCTGTTGAAGGAAAATTTCATAATTGTAGCAAGTCCGAGAATCATTCTCGGCATTCACGTGGTATGGCTTCGTGTGGCTTCTGATAGATGTAATTCCGGGGAATTATGATAGTTCATAAGAATTGGGCACACCTAGCAACCGCTTTATGGTTTTATATTCTGAGCCTTATGAGGCGCTACCGTCTTTTTCGTTCTCAGTGAGCCTTATGCTTTTCGAAAAGGGCAAGGGTAACGAACAACGAAGCGACGAGATCATCATCACTTAGAACTCGCGATAAGTGGATCTTTGAAGTACCGGTGATGAGCAAGAAGCAAGAAAATGTCCATATTCCCAAGTACATCAAGGATCAGCCGTGGTTTTACAAAGTTTCAAAAGATACCAATGATGGAGATTATCTTGCCCACCACAGGAGACAAAAAGATCAAGATTCTGGGCTAGATATCGACAACAACGCGGAACCGAAGGTTGGTAGAGGTATCGACGATGAATATGTTAGTTTGGGTATACCATCAGAGGAAGTAGGACGTGGGAGGGACGTTAGGGCTCCCAAATGTACTAATTGTGGGGCCTTGGATCATGTGGCAAGAGACTGCCTTGAGCCGCCACGCAAGCGCCAGATACGCACGGTACGCTCTCATCAGAGTTTTTCCCGACGTAGAGACGATGGAGAAAGTTGGGACGCAAAAAAGGACCGCTGGTTTGGCTATGATGGCAAAGAGTATGACGAAGTTGTGCAAGGGTGGGTCAAGAAAGCCCAGGAACAGGTTCTCAACGCAGACGTTGAGGATGAGGAATTTATTGATACAGACGAAGAGATTGAGCTCGCTACCTTGGGTCTCTATAAGAGTAGCGTCACAGGTGCCCTTGCGAATGATGACGCAAATGGTAGCAAGCTTCGTGCTTCCGTGCGGCTGCGTGAGGACAAAGCAGCATACTTGAACGATATTGGGAGCGACACTATTAATTATGACCCCAAATCACGGCTCTACAAGACTGAAGAACTCGGAGAAATTGACGCAGAAACGAAGATGTTCCACAGACATCTCAAGGGCGAGTCACTCGAATTAACAAAGCTGAACAGACTTGTTCGAGAGGAGACGCTAAAATCAGGGATTCGAGATGAAGTGGAGAACGAGGCCAAGACCCAGCATGTTCTTGTAGCCAATCCAACAAAATATGAGCTTCTCATGAAGGAAAAGGGCACTGAAGTGTCACAACAGGCGAAACAAGATCCTTACGCGGGGAAATCAGCGAAAAGAGCCGTGGGGACTCGTCAATCCCAGGAGAAGAAGAGGAGCCTACTTGAAAGGTATGGATAGGAGATAACACGATACCCTGTTCTTACTGATGATGTCATTTTGAACGTTTCTGATACGAAAAGAAATCTTCTACGCTATGAAAATTTTTGATGCTGCGATGAGCTTCCGTGCGCATCACTTCTAAGAACACAAGCACGCGGTAATGGAGACGTCTACCTTTGTAAAGAGGCTTTCATCGAATAGCAGAACTGTCAGAGAAGATGCGTTGGATTCGCTGAGAAAATATCTCACCACAAAACAGTTCAAAGAGAGCAAGCAACTGGAGTTTGAAAAACTTTGGAAAGGGCTTTACTACGCGATGTGGTTCAGTGATAGACCTAGACCTCAGCAGCGTTTAGCCAACAGTCTTGGAGAGTTGTATGTGCTATATTTTTCGAAGGGAGACAACTCGTCGAAAAGCAAACTGACCTTGAACGACGAGGCATTCCTTAAATTTAGCAAGGCCTTTTGGAAAGTGATCAGTTTTGAGTGGTATAGCATCGACCACCACCGTCTGGACAAATATCTACTGCTGGTAAGAAGGGTACTTGCCGGGCAGTTGAGGTATCTCCAGCTCCGCGGGTGGGGCGAGGAACTCGTGGTGTCTTACATCTTCTCGGTACTCAGAAAGATACCTCTCAGTGGCGATAGAAAGATCTACAATGGCATTCCCTTCCACATCATCGACATTTTTGTCGACGAGTGGGAGAAACTCGTATTTGGCGACGAAGACGATGACGATGAAGACGGCAACGCGCGCGACGCGGCAGAGGAGAGGCGTATTATCGCATCCACTCCGTTGGCTCAATTTGTCGAGATATTTCACGATCTTGCGCAAAACACCCGCAACATCAAAGTCTTGAGAGACAAGATCAAGAGCGATTTTCTGAAAGACGCGAGGTTGGAGAAATGGGGTGTTCTTCCTGAGGAAGTCGACGAGGAAAACACCGCCAACAGCGACGATCAAGAGGAAGAATGGACCGGGTTCTGAGCAGCTCTCTGTATAGATATTTGTACATAACGGTTTGCATAAGCGAAGCTTCCTTGTGAGGACTCCTGTTACCCGGCTGGGCGCGGACGCGCCCGCCATAGAAAAAACTTTTTAAAGACCACGTCGACTCGTAAGCTCAACTTGCGCGAAATCTAAAACAAGCACACAATGGCCAAGGGTAACAATCAGATCGAGAAGCTTGCGGAGGCTCCCGTTGAATTCATCAAGGATGGTAGCGCTTTCATTCAAAAGTGTCAAAAACCCAACAGCAAAGAGTACTTGAAGATCGTGAGATCCGTTGGTATTGGTTTCGTGGCCGTCGGTATCATTGGCTACGCCATCAAGCTGGTTCACATCCCAATTAGATACCTAATTGTGTAATCCTAGGCTATCTGCTCAGATCGCGCCTTTCGGACCACTTTTTCTTCACATTTTCGTTTTTCCTTGGCCTCCAGACGCCAGTTGCCGCATCTGCATCTCTCTGCCGCTCCCTTCTTGAAGTTGAACTTGGAAAGAACGCGTCATGTGGGTCGATGCGGGTTGTGGCGGCGTGCTGGATCTACCTAGCAACTCTACATAACGCTATAACGCTTAATTGAACAATTTGTCATTGCTACTACTCTCGCGGCGCGCGCCGTGCTGTATCGCTCTTGACGTGGACTTCTCAATCCGCAGCATTTTTACTTTTTCCCGTCTCGCACACATATAAAGACCGAAAGTCGTGCGCTGCGGGCGCGCTTCGGAAAACGAGATGAGCTAACACGAAAACACGAAGCATGGAACAAGACAATAGTAGTGAGATATTCACCAAGATTAAGACCCATTTCCCGCCTGCCAAGATCAAGAAGATAATGCAGACAGACGAGGACATAGGAAAAGTATCGCAAGCGACGCCCGTAATCACGGGCCGCTCGCTGGAGTTTTTCATCGCGATGCTCGTAAGCCGCAGCGGCCAAGTGGCCAAGGAGATGGGATGCAAGAGGATAAGCGGTGACGTGATGAAGAAGACGATAATGACTGACGAAAAATTCGATTTCTTGAGGGAGTTGGTGTGTGGTAACGGCGAGGCTAAGGAGGCCGGACGTGAGGCTTAGGACGCTCTGGGGCATTAATCCTTTTGCATAGTGTAATGTATAGTTGTAGTTGTGGCAAATGCATATTTTTAGCAAGAAATAGGGCAGCGTTCGACGCGTAGTGCGGTGCGACCGACCGTGGTCGTGTGGTAGTGGGGTCCAACAACGGTTCTGCCTGCAGGCAGAGAAGAAAAAAACAGCCAAATGTGAAATCCGTTTGATGGTAACATGGTACGACTTCGTGTTTGACGATATTAATGGTGTCGTTTGGTACGTAATCACGTGTCGGAATTTCATCTTTCTTCACGTTGCTTTTCTCGGAGCCGGAGCTCGCACGTGACTGCTTCTCCCATAACGACATCGTTTTTCTTGAGCAGTAACTGCATCAAAATGTTGAGAGCGTAAATGCAAGAGCCGCATAGGGCGCTATCACAGAAGCAGTCATATTCCTCTCCATCATGGCGTTACGAAAGGTGTGGAAACGTAAGGCTCACAATCAAAAAGAAAAAAATTTGACAAGCAATTTAAACGTTTGATTTCGAAGTACTGATATCGAACTGTATCTACTATAATTCAGCTCTGGGACATCATCTTTGGTTATCTCTGATTGTTCGAGGTTAGCTATCATTACAAGTATTAAGAATCTCATAAGTTTGATTAGCACGCTTTTACAATGGGTTCTCTTTCGTTTACGGCTGCAAATGCAATTATCTGGCCTACATACGTTATCTTACTGGTGACGGCATCGATAGTGGCCTATTGGAAACGTGACGCCAAGACGTTTCTGTCGGCCAACGGTACTCAGAAGGGACTGCCATTGGCATTCAACTTTGTGGCATCCGGGCTGGGGTGTGGTGTGCTGACGGCGTACCCTCAGATCGCTAACATCGACGGTTTGCAAGGTTTGTTGGTGTATGCACTAGCTGGTGGGTTGCCTATGTTTTTGTTTGCGTTCTTTGGGCCTTTGCTGAAGAAAAAGACCCCTCATGGCTTTGTCCTGACCGAGTGGGTTTTCGACAGATACGGTCGCGCTTGCGGGCTGTACCTGGGTGCGTGCACGATTTTGACCGTGTACCTGTTCATGGTGTCAGAAGTTGCATCTTTGAAATACGCCATTGAGACACTGACGACCATGAAGGCGCTGCCAGTGATCATCATCGAGTGTGTGGTCACTACAATCTACACGACCATCGGTGGTTTCCATATCTCGTTCATCACCGACTCTTTGCAAGTCAGCATCGTATTCCTTCTTCTGATTATCGTTGCGTGCGCCATGGGTAGTTACATTGACATTGACAAGTCTAAAATTGGACCATCTGGCCTTCTTAAGGCCAACAAGCTTGGTTGGCAATTAATCTACATTTTGGTCGTCGCTATCTTCACCAATGACTTCTTCATGAGTGGTTTCTGGCTGCGTACCTTTGCCGCTCGGACCAACAAGGATTTGATCATCGGTTGTTCCATTGCTGCCTTTATCCTGGTAGTGTTTGTGACCGTTGTTGGTGTTACTGGGTTCATTGCTGTGTGGGCCGGTTTCGTCGAGGTGGCAGATGAGGAAAACTCTGCCGCGTGTTTCTTCATTCTTCTTGCCCAGCTCCCATCCTGGGTCATGGGTTTCACATTGGTGTTTGTTGCTGTCTTGTCGACGTGTACTTTAGACTCTCTACAGAGTGCCTTGGTGTCCACTATCTCCAATGATGTCTTCAGAAACAAATTACCTATTATGTACGTTCGTGGTATCGTCGTCTTGATTATGGTGCCCGTCGTCGTGGTTGGTCTGATTGCGGAAGATGTTTTAACAATCTATTTGATTGTCGACTTGCTTTCCAGTAGTGTCGTGCCTATTCTGATGCTAGGTCTTTCTTCCAAGTTCGACTTCCTCACCGCTTGGGAGGTCATCGGAGGTGGCCTTGGTGGTCTTTTCGGCGTTTGGATCTTTGGAACTGTGTACTACGACTCACCAAAAGAAGGTGGTAAGCTTCTGCTAATTTGGAATGGTCTCTACATTAACGACTGGTCTGCGTTTGGTGCATTTGTAGTGGCCCCATTTGGTGGACTTTTGGCTGGTTTCCTCATTCTCGCCCTCAGATCCGCAATTCGCTACATTTACTGCAGACGCAAGGGCATCGAATTCGATGTCTTCACCAAGAAAGTTGTTTACGATGACAGACTCGTCGAGACTGATTCAGTGTCCAAGAAGTCTAATACTCGTGAAACCGTCGAGGAAATATCCTGAACGGATCCAATTAAAATCGTATAAATGTAATTTCAATCTTTAAACTAATTATTATCAGCTGATATCAGATGCTCGATGGGCAAGAAATCTATATATATATATCAATCGCCTCTGCATTCCCCCCTTAAGTATGTTGTTTCATACGGATTATCATTCCTTGCCTTTGTTCTGCTTCAAAATTTTTAAAAAAAGGCTTGTGTGGTGAAAGAACCACATTGACCTCTGGTTCGATCAAAGGAGCTCGTCACAACAATTTGAGTCAGTGGGATTTTATTCGCTTACTGTAAGACGACTTCTAATTCATTTCGCTGAACAATCCTAGCCGCGTCAGAAAGTTTTTTTGAGGTTATTTACAGGAACATTGAACGCTTTCATCAGTTAATCCTGACTCTCCATATTGGTTCTCTGAACTTTATGCTACTCTGCCGGGTAGATCATACACAACTAATTCATTCGCTAAATTATAATTTTTGTTTCAACTTCACTTGGGCTTTTTTTTTGATTGTGCTTACAACATGAACTATACGACGAGTGATAATGCCAGCATATATTCTTCGGTCTCGTCGAATCTAGAACCGCGTACTTCCAGGGAGTGCGTGACTCCGCGGTCAGCTTATACAGCAGATCTGTATGAGCTGCCAGTCAACAGACTGAAACCCAAGCCATACAAGAAGAATAGTAGCCAACGCTCGATAACGTGCGCTTCAGCTCACAGTCTCTCGCTAATTCCTGAGAAGCAGCCGGTCAAGCAAGATTTTGGTCCCTCATTGACACCGTATCAAGTTCAGAGAAATCAGATGAGGACCAGCTTTCAATTTGCGAATGGGGAAAACTTTACACCAAAGCAGAAAACTCCAAGAGCTCCATCTTTACAGCAGAGGCATTCTTTACCAAGGTCTGCTAGTTGTAGTAATTTTCATATGGCCCCACCTTCTGGTATGATAAGGCCGTCCCCCATGCTCCACAGAAAAAGAAGCAGTCTCGCTAATACGAGCACCTTGCCACTAGCTCACGGGAAAAGAGGTCTACCTAAATCCGCAAGTACTTCAAGACTGTCCTCTGTACCTCTGCAAACGATTAACAAACCACCCACATGGGTTCACAATGCAACTAATGGGAGCAAAGCATCGCTTCAGTCTTTCAACAAGACAACAAGTAATAGCAGCTCGTTTTCATCAAGAGCGCAGGTCGTTTCAAGTAATACGTCAACCTCCAACAGCAGTAATAGTCTCAGAAGTGAAAACATCGTGAGCAGTAATACAAGTTCGGGAACTAGTGAGGGTGATGACAGCCGCACAGCGATGCCTATGGTTTTGCCGAAGAAGACCTCATCAGAAACTACAACTACTGTTTTCGGTTCTATATCAACGATCCAAGCCAATGAAGGTGGTCTAGAACCTCGTTCAGAACAAGGCAAAATGATACAACATCGGAGTGGTTCCCCAAGGAAAATAGCAAGTATTGATCGATCAGTTATCTCTATGCAAGCTGAAAATAAAGAAGGTAAAGGGGTCAAAAGATCTGGCTCAAAATTTGGGTCGTTTTTTAAGAAGTTGTTACCCTTTAAGAAAAAGAAGCAATCTGGATCTACGTTGGAGTCGACGCCTTCCAAAGCTCTTGCATCGAAAAGTAAAGTGACAATGGCTGCCCCGGAGAAAAGAGACAACGGCAGGAAGATCATGGAAGGAGACGTTCCCTGGAAGTCCAAGGACGCCGATGATAGTGCAGTTCCTTTGAGGGGGAACGAAACGGAGATCGATATGGATAATTTTGATGTTAATGATGAAGATGATGATGACATGTTGATGGACATTGATTTGGTTTTTGATAGCTTGCTGTTAAAGAATAGTAGGCCAACTCCGAATCCCATAATAATAGGAGACGAGGAACATAAAACTAACGTCCGAAATGAGAAATCTGACACTCCGAAATCAGCCGAAACTCAGTCACCAGAAGATGAACCTATGATTGATTACGACCTCCTTGCCGAGTTTTCGAAGCTGGGCAAGTATATCATTGATGAAAATTCAGATGTGGCCAATAAACGACTGGTCCCCCCGCCGAGGTCCCTAAAGAGACCGCAGCTGCCTAATAAAGATTCCGCTGTAGGATTCTATAATCAACACGCTGGTCGCAATCCAAGGCAAATGCGGTTTGGAGACAGATTAATGCAAAATCTTCATCGAGATTGGGAAACTGTTCATGTCAACTGTAAAATGCAATCTACATCATCGGGTAGGTCGGTGAAGGATGGTTGTACGTCGATCCGTTTCGCGAATGCAATATATGTGAATGACACATATTCGCCTGCAGAGTACGAGAGAAGTGATAAAAAATTCATCAAAAACCGTCGGAGGATGATGCAAATGCAGAACATGGCATACATCAAAGCCGTTAAGGTGGAACTTAATGAATATAAACGGAGAGATATGGTTGTACACGTCGACAGTGTAAGCAACACACATTATTTCATATGAACGGAATAACTTTATATATGTTTCAGGAAGTAATAAGTATTTCTCGAGAATAGTATGTCATAGTGATAAGTTTAAGGTATTTTTTACTTTAAAGGTTTCGTCTGAATGTCAAATAATCTAGCTAAAACTGTAATTTACATGCGTAGGTGTGATCGCTTACACGACACACAGAAATCAGTAAAAGTCATGATAGTAAAGCCAGCGGCAGCTGTAATATAGAGCCCAAATCTTCAGTTTCGCTACATTTCATTCCGGGAGAATTGAGAATTTGGTGAATATTGAGATAATTGTTGAGATTCCATTTTTGATTAAGGCTATAATAGTTGGTATATGGTTATACTAGATGTTCTCCTCATCTTTCTAAGAATCCAGAAAGAAGAGTCAATAATTCTACTTACAAATATTCTTACTCTTTCTGTTCCTTTTATACATTTTCATTCATTATCCTATTACATTATCAATCCTTGCGCTTCAGCTTCCGCTAATTTCGATGACTGTTTCTCATTCTTTATGTCATCTTAAAACACCGTGTATGATAATATACTAGTAACACGAATACTAGTCGATGGTCGATAGTTGTATTTCGTTCCAACAAGAATAGGATACACACTTAACAGTAGCTGAGCTTACAACTGTCGTAACTAGTTATGACGTTCTTGAAACTAATGAAATGAGTTCTACTTAGCCTTGTTCCTCTCCTATTTAGTCTCATCGTATCCTCAGGACTTCGTAATATTTATAGCTATAGATTGGGAACTTGTATCGATCCTCACTTATGTTTGAGGTTCAGTTTGGTATCTCCGAGGTACCTCAAGATCTTATTGTTTCATGACAACAACTTTAGCTTTAAAATTCCCTTACAAACTAAGGTATCGTCACATGATTACACAACATTCCGATATAGTGTAACGGCTATCACATCACGCTTTCACCGTGGAGACCGGGGTTCGACTCCCCGTATCGGAGTTTATTTTTACTCCAGCAATTTTTATTACTAGTACTCGATCAACGGCTAAACTTGACCCCAAACAACTTAGATTCGTATTCCTTTTATAACGGTCAATAGTCAAATGCTTACCGACTTGAGCGATTAATTAATTGGAGGCCTTTATCGCTCTTTTCACGTCCATTGTGATGAGTGAAATTGAAGGGCCTTCCCAAATTTCGTACAATAAACTCGAGACAAGATCGGCGCGACTCAACTTTTGCGTATCAGCACCATGGATCATGTCAAAAACTTCTATCGGACAATATTAGGGTCGTCGCATCCTTTGGTTTTATCTGTTCACTTATCGGGGAAAGCTGCTCCAATTGTTTTTTATGTGATTGGATCTTGGTTTCTGAGTTTTACAATGCAATTCATCACAGTACTGCTGCTGCTTGCCACAGACTTTTATCTAACTAAGAATATCAACGGTAGAAAGTTAGTTCAGCTGCGCTGGTGGTATAATTCATCTGGTGCCGATAACAAAACTTTCACTTTTGAGTCCTACAAGCAATATCCACCAGGTCCCCCCATAAACCCCATAGACTCTAGGCTTTTCTGGTGGTCTACTTACGTGACCCCTGTAGTCTGGATAGTTTTTGGAGTTATGTGTTTACTGCAATTCAAATTTTTATACCTGATACTAGTAGCGATGGCCATATGTCTGACTGGCTGGAATGCCTATGGATTTCGCAATTGTGACAAATGGGAACCAAACCAGGACGGAAATCAATCAGGATCATGGATCCAAATGCCCAGTCTACCTGCGTTCAATAACCTAAGTAGACTTGCTGGATTGCAAAGCTTTTTCCAGTCTAATTAGTACCGAAGTATTAGCCTCCTGGAGGCATACGCTTACGTAAAATATATAGATCAGTGGCAAGCGAAAAGTTACCTCCTTTTATAAATACAAGGCTTCAGCAGCCACTTTCCTTCAGGAACTTTAGACCTTTTTTGCTCAAGTTCCTCCTTCTCAGTTTCCACTTCAATGAATTTCTGTTTTCTTTCAAGTTTGGCTTTTCTTTCTTCTATAATATCTTGAGGAGGTTTAAAGAATTCAAATCGCGTGAACATTTTGTTAGTATCATCGGTTTTCTTATGAAAAAAGCCCATTAGCTTCAATGCGTTCACGAACTCCTCACCCTTTCCGTCTGCAAATCTTGACTTAATCTCAGCTATCCACAACTCACCACGAGGAGCCAGAAGTCTATAAGCTTCCTTAATAAAATCCAAAAAGTTTGTACCCATTAAAGCTAAGCAAAAGACTACTATCGTGCAAGATTCGTCTGGCAGCGGGACATTTTTGATATCAGCAACCGTGATTCTATCGTTTACCTTTTTCAAATCAAAACTGTGCACTATACAGTTTTTTTTCTGATATTTCTTGACTCTTTTATTATACTGTGCGAATAGTTTGTTAACTTTCAACGCCAATTGAGCCTCTCCACAACCCATATCACTGATCACTATGTTTTTATTCGCTAAACCGGGCAAGCCGCCAGGGGCATTCACGGGTTTCTTTGATCGAGACACAATTTCTTCACAAAAAATATCAACCGGGTTTTCGGGCCAGGACTGAACTTGAGATCTGAAACCGTCGTGGTATTCATCAAATAGTTCAGGCTGCTTTTTTATCAAATCTAGAGCATCGTTCGATGATATCGTATACAGTTGTTCGTTAATCCATCTGAACCTTGAACCACTTAACTTCGCCATCATCTTCTTTTGTAAAGGAGTTAAGGCTTTTTTCGCAGGTTGTTCCAACAAAGTTGACTCTAGATCAGCTTCCTCTAGTTTACGTTTTTGTTTCTTGACTTCTACTGAAACCTTTGCATGTGATTTTGATGTCGCATCAATTGTTGATGGTTGAATTTTCGTTATAGCTTCGTCTGGGTTTTGTTTAAGATCAGACTTATCATCATTTCTTTTCTGGCTTTTCTCCTTATTGTTCTTGCTCTTCTTTTTCCTTCTTTTAGAGTCTGGGTCGTCAAAAGAAACGTTGTTAGTTTTTAGATTCCAACCTTCAACTTGGAACAGTGGCATTGATTCGAAATATAATGTTTGCAAAGTCCTATCTTTAGGCTAACGAAAGATATTCAGTTCTCATCGTGCTCATCGCTCCACAGAAAATTTTTGATCAGAATAGACGTACAACATGATAATAATGTTATCCATACTCGAAATGAATAAATGAGACTTCTTCATTATTCAGGTCAATCCACCATCGTACATTCGATTGATGAGTGCTTGCGAAAAAATGTCTCAGAGCTTCTTTATAAAGCTCGAGGATCACGTAATTGGTGAGATTTCGATAGCCAAGGGCATCTCGAATGTGTCGGTAGTCAATCTTCCCCGTATAACAGCCCAGTTTCACCACGGTTGAGATCCTTTCGCTAATGTAATTGAAGCAACTTTTCAAGTTCTTGATATTTATCAACTTCTGCCGTTCAAATAACGAGATTAACTCCATACTTGCTAACCTTTGTAGAACTTCGTTGAATAACATCATTTTGACGTCTTCGAGAGCTTCTGAACCTTGGTGTAACCGAGACTCTGATTTATTGGTAGCAGCAGATGTTAGTATACCATTGAGCGTAGCATTACGATAAGTATTCATTGTAGAAATTTCGGTGAATTTTTGATGCAGTAGATATTTCAGAAATTGCTGGCCGTAATACTTCGAATTGTGACCTTTTGAGATTTCTCGTTTCGCCAATTGCGATCTTCCTGACATGCTATTATCGGCTAGAGTTAACTCGGAAATTCTTTGCCTCTGGTTTACAACTGAATCCTCATTAGCCACTATCAGCGTCTTGGGTGATTCGGAAACGCCAAACTCCATCAAATGACTCTGATCCAAATCGGATTCCAAACAGCCAACCTCTTCGTCAATAGGAAATATTATCTCATTGGAGTATGAGGTGTCATCTTCTGAGCAATATGGACTTGCAAGCTCTAAATCGTTCTTGAACTGCTTGCGCTCCAAGCATTCGACAAATGTGCCGTATTGCAGAGGCCGTCCATCATCCTGGGTTGATAGCAGACTTGAAACTGAGTCATCTAAGATCCATGGCTTGTCTAGCAACCTTTTGACTTTAAAACACTCTTTCCAGAATTCTATCTCGGCCAAAAGATCACCGCATATTTCCAACAAATCGACTTCAAGCTCTTCGTAATCATTCATTCTTCCACGTACACGAAGCGTCCATCCGCTCAAATCTCCTAAGGGCAGTCCACTTCTCATAAGCAAGCTTTTGGAGCATTTACATTTCAAGAGTGTTACTTGATCAGGTAAGACTGTGCAATCGTCAAGATGGAAGATTGCATAGTCACTATCCCCAATGAATTTCCATTTCCAACCAGCGACACAACCAAGGACCATAACAGAGTCAATGGGGTGGTTATTGAAGAACCAAAAAGCTGTATCTCGAGGATAATACCTTTTAATGGCGGTAACTGATCGACTATAGTGCATTAACACATCTCTTATGAAGCAAGGAACAGTGATAGTAGCGGTTTGAGAATACTTGAATAATAGAGTCACATAATATAGCGTTTCTCCCTCTTGATGTACGATATGCCCATTATTGTGCATTTCATGTGTATTGGTTTTTCGTTGTGTGCAATTTCGGTGTTGACCGAAAAGTTCCCTTATCGATGTTATAAATGTCATTTATAAAGACCAGCAACATTGCAACCCTGGTCAATCAGAATCCACCGAATTATTTATATATTTATAACCCTATCAAATGAGCACACCGCGACCACCCGTCACCTGTCATATTCTAGACACAACAACTGGCTGCCCTGCAAGCAACGTGATATGTTCTATATACAAAATAGACATGAAAGAGAATGAGGACACTATGGATACCACGTCTGTCGAACCTTTTGCACTTGCACGAACCAATGAAGATGGTCGTGTTCCTTCTTGGGTGTTTAATCCCGATCCAACGAAGAGAGCAGAGTTAGAGGCGTTGGGGATCTCTAAAGCAGGTTCAACACTAAGATGGGACGTTTTGTGCCCTGGCGTATACAAGGTAAGATTTCAGACTGGCAAATATTTTGCACGTCAGGATAAGAAGTGCTTTTTCCCCATTGTAGACATTATATTCGAAGTTTCAGATACCAGACACTACCATATTCCGCTTCTCTTGAGCAACTACGGTTACACAACGTACCGAGGTAGTTAAATTGTCTGATACATCCTTTCTGTTTTAGAATACTTCTTCAAATTAGAATTGACACCACTCGTTGGGCTTTTGCATTGCCAAATTACCATGAAGGGGTATGCTTCGGCTGATGAGGATGCCTGTTACAATGGCTTGACACATAGAACATTATACAGCATCGCAACTACTAGAGATCTATATAGGAACTAAGAGCCCTTTTCACCTACAAGTTCTATTGGAAGTCTTCAAGCGGCATCACATGATAAAATTTCTTATAGCTGCATAGTTAAAGAAAGGTCAAGTTTTTTTTCAAGGCGTTAAGAAAAGTAAAGCCATATTCGAGCCTTTGAAGATTGACGATCCCTACATCTCACCAGTTATTCTTTAAAGTTGGGTCTCACTCCGCTGAACATTATATTTAGCTCACTGACTTGGTGACTCATTAGTTGTTAACAGCTTGTAAGGGCAGTGTAGACGGATCATCTTATTATGGGGCTACTATCAGTGGAGCAGAAGTACAACATCTGTCTCATGGCGGAAAGACATCCAAAATGGACACAACTGGAGCTTGCAAGATGGGCATATGAAGTATACCAGCTACCTAAATGTCCTTCTCAGGGCACGATTTCCAGGCTGCTCGCCAAAAAGAATGTATTTATGAACGCTAAGGAACATGAAAAAGATGCAAACCGACTACGGAAGCCTAACAACCTTTTAGTACGGCGTATTCTACAAGAATGGGTCTCTCAAAGCATATGGAATGGAATTCCTATCTCACCACCAATCATACAGGATACAGCACAGTCTGTTTGGCATCGTATTCCCGCTGAGCATAGAGAGGGAAACGGATCTTTCAGTTACAAATGGATAACCCATTTCTTAGCCAAAATGGATGTTAACATCTCAAACTTGGACGACGAGCTACCCAAACCACCAAAAGTGTGGACTTTTGAGGAGAGAGACTATTTAAAGCAGTACTTGGGTAAGCTCCCCCATCAGGATCTTTTTACCTTGGATGAAACGTTTTTGGCGTATAACTTACCCATTGACTATGCCCAGTATGAAACGAGTAGGATACAGAAAAGAATTGAAGTTGTTACCGTGATGCTTTGCGCTAACCTTGAAGGCAACGAAAAACTCGATCCCCTGGTGATTGGAAAGTATGAGAACTATAATAGCTTTCGAAACTATTTCCCTCATGAACCTGCAGATTCAATATCTCAATCTATGCTAGGCGAGAAAATGGCTCGTAAGTTTTCATTGACTTATCATAGTAATCGAAAGTCATGGCTCACAAGCAATCTTTTCCACGATTGGCTAGTTTGGTGGGACAAAAGACTAGTCGTAGACAATAGGAAAATTTGGATTATTTTAGATGACTCTTGCTCACACCGCATAATCAATTTAAGACTTAAGAATATCAACCTGATTTACACATCATCTAATAGCCGGTTCTTGCCATTCAATTGGGGTGTCTTGGATGAATTCAAGACAAGGTATAGAATCCAACAGTATGAAGCTTTGATTGATGTCCAAGAACGAATTGAGAAGAAGACTGGTCAAAAAAAAATTCTAACTTTCGACCAAAGCGCTTTGAAGATGTCAAATGCTTTCAAGTTTATCAAGCATGCCTGGGACGGTATCCCTATAGATACAATAAAGGCCAACTGGAAAAGCTCTGGTATTTTACCTCAAAATATGATTCAACTTAATGAAAATGTTAGCATGGCGTTCAAAAAAAACGAGGCCTTGGAAAGGAAACTTAATGACCTAAGCGAGCGATTTCATTGCGTAAAGCAATGGGACTACGATATATTGTTGGATTTAAACATTGAGAATAAAAACACTAATTTTCTCAGCTCGGAGGAGATTGTCGAAAGTGCAATTGTAGATGATTGGGAACCACAAACGAAACAACCAAGTTACGACAGAGAAGAGTATGGGGCTGGTACCTTCAATCTAGATGCATTTACTCAAAATGAAGACGAGGAGGATGCCTTCGGCCAAGTTATTTCGGTAACAGAGAATGGAACCAGCGACATTGCCAAGTGTCCTCTTGTTAGTGACATAATTGACAAGCCAGGTGACTTTTTGGGTGAGAGTGCTTTACGAAATGAAGAAGAAGATGACGATATGGACGACGTATCTATGTCTGATGCGAGATCCAATTCAAATCAGATATACCCTAGTGTTCCTGCAGGCCCTCCAGGATATTTTGATGATGTCTTTGATTCTTTGCCCCAGGAGCCGGCTTCTGCAAGTAGTGCGAGCGCATTAAATGACCACATCCCACCGCAACTCAATGAGAGCGGTCCACAGACTACCGCTAATTTACCTGAGGCGGATTTACTCGAGCTAAATGCAACTTCGCTGCATTTGGATAATGATTTCGATTTGGCAACTGTCAGTGACTACTTAGGCCAAACATCCAATAACCAAGAAGAAACCGCCTTGAACAATCAACGCCTAGTAATGCTTACCACTTTACAAACAAACATTGACATTGCAAAATCTATGGGGAACATTTTAAAACACGCCGAATTTCGTGAAGTGGGCCTTTCAGATAGGGCGTTGAATGAACTAAAATTCAGTTACAATAACTGCCTGAAAAAGATAAGAAAAGCTAAACAAGTTTTAAGTGCTTCTAGTAAGAGGATTAAACAACAAAGACTAGAGCATCAATTAATCCACCCACAACCTATCCCTACTCATGAGACACATCATGGGGGTAAGATCACCCGTCCTTCTGATGTCTCCACTACTTTGGGAATAGAAAACAATGCATTCTTTAACAGCTTTCCCCCGAACTCTGGAATAGAAAACACAGACATTCCATCTCGTGTATCTCCATGATACAAGCATGACTTCTAAGACGCCAGTAAGCAACCCATATATGTGCATATTTTATAAGGAATGGGCTATGAAGTCGCTTGTCAAACTTTGAGTCTACGCTGAAAATTCTCAAAAGAATACAATTTTCATGGCTCAAGGCAGGACTTTAAAGGTGCGTTTCTTACATTACGTTCAATAAGTAAATAAGTATAATATTCTTGACACCATCAGATAAGTTTACAGTTATTATAAAGATTTGAATGTTAAAGAGTTTCCAATTGTATCATTAGTATTCGAAATCAACTTCTCACCAACCTGCATTGGTTTCTTGATATTGTACGGAAGTAAAGTATCGATATCGCATTTTTAAAAGTGAATATGAAATTAATTTCTTCCGTTTCGGATACCGTGATACTGACACTAATGTTTTTCAAAAACTGTGAATTGGAAGTACCTCTCTGCAAAAAAAACTCATACTTGGAAGATCAATCATATCGGTCATCACATACCCTTTCATAGATTCCTCACCTTTTAACAACAGAATGCACTTCATAATTGGTTGTAGTTTTTTTCTTTTTGGTTGACTAGCTTAATCAGGAAATAGCTATGGAAGATGCTCAAGTCGTACTAACATAAACTTTTGAGGTACACAATCTTAAGTTAGTTATTTGATGCTCTTAGTAAATGCGTGACTATCGGACGTTTTCTTAGGCTCTTATGCGCTTTTGATCAACTTTCGGTGATATCCTATTCTTAAAAGATGTGGGCTTTACTGGAACGTTGACAGACATGAAAGAAACAAAGATTAAGAGATTGCGAGGAATTTAATAGGTCTAGTTCTCCAACTTTTCAACGTCAAATACTTTTCCCAACTCTCTCAATTGCAAAAACTCCATTGCATATTCTTTTGTCTCGTCATCAACTATCTTAAAAACTCCCGAGTTGACATTCAAGCTAAGGAAGTTTTCTCTGCAAACGTTATTCAACGTAGATTGCAAGCCATCAACCTCCACACTTTCAGGTAACTTTTTTATTATTTCTGCATACGACTCACGGAAATCATCATACGTGTTCAAGAGTTCCTTTATGAATTTTGGCCTGTTCATACTGTAATCCACTAAGAATTCCCATAGTTCCACGTCACTAGATTCTTTTACAAATGCTATGGCTAACTGGGGATTATCCAGCCTGTCTATAATCAAAGACAGAGCCTTTTTGCTCTCTCCCATTCTGCCCCAGAGATATATTAGTTCATTGTAACACTTATCATCAGATTCGCATATTTTGATAGCTTTATCTAAATCATAGTTAGTATTGGATTTTAAAAAATAAAGCAACCCCGTATGGTCAAACTCAAAATAGAGTTCTACCATATAATCTCCATATGACGCCATCAAAAGTGGTTCTTTTTGAGATACCTTTTTCATGTATAGAAAGAGCAGGACTTTTAATTCTTCGGGTTTTGAAAATTTAGAGATAAGAAAATCCATGGATATTGAATGTCGACTTTGGACAAGAAGCTCAAGTGGTTTAGAAAAAATCAAATCCAATTTTGGCATACTGAGCTTCGGTAGGTCTTTTAGAGAGCCATGATATGGTAACAGAACAATTTCCACTATGTCATCAAGGAAAGTCGAAATTATGTTTTGAGATAGAAGAACATCCAGTGCCCTTACATCCTTCAACTTCAGTAAATGCGGAATAACCTGTAAGTATTTATGGTCCTCAAGTAGTAGATAGACCAACTCCTCCCTGATGCAAGATGTGCTTTCTTCCGATTCAGCTTTCTCTTCCATAAGTGATTCAAACTTTTCGGTGTCAAATAGATCTGTTGACCATAGATGCAAATAATAGGAAAATTCTTCAAGGTTTCCATTGTTGAAATAGTACAATAACACAGCATCGTAAAGATGATGACTGAATTGCGGATTTTGAGGTATGAAGGGTGCAATTTCTTTCACTTTTTCTTTATCAACAAGGAACATGATCATCTCCTCCCATTTTTCGTAGAAGCGTTCTACAAAAGAGGTATCACTTTCAGATACATCTGTGCCGGTAAAAATTTTGTGAATACTTGAGGCAGCAGAAGCCCAGTCCTTTTTGCCTAGTTCTTCTTGAATATATTTCAAGCCTACTTCAAATTTTGCTGCGATGCTCACAGCATATGCTCCTATCTCCCACGCTTTCAGATAATTTTCGTTCTCAACATACCAGTCAAATCTGTCTTTGAGGGAAAGTTCATGTACACAAATAGCATCGTTTGAACTTATCAAATAATACTCAGTAGCACTTTTACCAATGTATTTGCCCAAGTGATAGTCATTAACGTTCAGGTTCTGATAATTCTTGGAAACAACTTTGTCGTTGTGCATCTCCTCCCCTGTGAATAGATCCAAGACATTCAGTTCAGGGACGTCTATCAACTCATCCTTTTGTTTAGTTAGCGGTAATTCTAAACACAACAATTGGTCATCTTTAAAAGACACAGCACCCGCGACTAGTAGAGGGAGCGTTAAATGATGCTCTAACTCTATTTTTTTATCAGGCACTGCTCTCAGACTTGAAGCAGCACTTGACAAAATAGAGCCCAGAGGGTTGGATTGCGATATTGGCCTTGTTAGTGAAATCTTGAACGTCCAAACATGATGCGCCCATGCTATTACGATTCTGTCAGTCTCAGGAAAGTGAACAGAAGGCCAATATAAGTCGGGTCTGGCAGCAATATCATCAATTGGGAAAGCAACATTCAACAGTTTCTTTTTGGAGGGAATGCTGTAAAATGTTATTCCTGCATCGTTCATCCAAAAAATAATGTCATCCACAGTATGTATGCCAACTATTGCTCCGTCTCCCTTCTCTAGGCAGATGTCGACTCTATTACCTAGCCAATTTCGTTGAGACAAAATGACTTCCCCAGCCATACCGCCCGATACGAAGGTTTTTGTTGATTTGTAATTTTGGTCCAGCACAACTGAGTGAACAGGGCGCTTAAAATCGCACGCTAGTATATCTGATGGATTCAAGATGGAACCAACCACCACAGTTCCATCAATTGAGGAAGTCGCAAAGTACTCGCCATCGGAATGTATTGAGGTAATTGACGATCTATGGCATTTGAAAGTTCTTATCACAGTAAAATCAGGCTTAGTTAGATGTAGTAAGCCTGAGTGAGTAGCGAAGCCAAAAAGCTTCTCATGGAATAAACACGCAGATATAGAGTCCCGCTTAAAAAAGTTTTTGGGGAGTTTAGTAATTCTCGTATACTTAAGCAACGGAGGATCCTCCTCTTCTTCTTCCTCGTCATCAGTGTCGTTATTTGAGCTGTTTCCATTTTCTGTATATCTGCCCTCATCCAAGCTGGTAGAGCATTCCCCTTCAGACGTCGAATTGACTTTCTTCATCGATGTTATTTTTTGGTCTGAATTGCTCCCACTTTCTCGTAAACTGTCAGAAAAGCTTTCCTTGTCAGAAATGACTTCATTTTGGGCCATCTTCTTATTGCATCCCTTCAAGAATAGTTTTTGTTCGTTCAATTTTGTGAAGAGAAAAATGTTCTTCAACCACCAACACAGTAATTGGAAGCATGCCAAGAGCAAGAAAAGGTGCCTTGGTACAATGTGATCCGTCTATAAAAGCGCTAATTGTTCAAATTGATGCAAACCGAAATGACATCATATTGGAGGAACTCGATGATACGCACCTCTTGATTGATCCCACGAAGGTCGATTTCATAAAGACAGAACTCAACAGATTGTTATCGCAGAATATTTATGATCCATTGGATGAGGAAGACAATCCGTGAATATTGTGATATTCAACTCAAGAATGGTTTGCTAATTCTTTGTAAGTATGGTGGAACGGTACATAAAAGCGAGGCACGCTCATGCATTTATTATTTGCTTTGGGAATAAGAAGCAAACATCATTTTAAAAAATTGTTTATAGAAACTAGAGTTCATAGCTGAAACTAAAATTACATGGATGCTTTACTTTTTTCTAATTTACCTGCCGCATTGTTCAAGAGATCACTGAAGACATCTACGCACATCAGTTCAGAGAGTTTGGACATGTCACTGTTAGAATTCCCTTCCATTTCTTCAATACGTTCGTAATAATCTGCGTAGGACTGCACAACTAGCTCCTGAATTGCATCGAGCAAGTGGTTTATAATACCCATATCATCAATGAAATCAAGCATTTGTTCATATATGCGTGGAAGTAATCTCTCAACATTTTCCCTCAGCTTGATATTTTGCGACAAGAGGTCATCATTCTTCTCAAAGCAATCACCTACAATTTCACGGGACGAAGCTTCGGTGAATGATTTGATTACATTTCTAAGCTCTACCATCAACTCTGAACGAGCATCCACCATGTCATTGACAACTTTGGGGACTGTTTCTTTAGCCAAGCTCAATACCGACGTATGTGCTCCGGAAAACTTTCGATCTTTCAAGGACCTCAAAAATTCACCCAAACCAGAAAAGTCTAGATAGGTCTCATTGCTGATGAATTGAATATCAAAATTCTCGATTTGGCTTCGCAATAGCAGTAAATTTCTTAAGTAAGATAGCTTCGTGTCTAGGCCTTTCTCTGATTTTTCGACTAGGTTATACGCAGACCTTAAAGAAATAATGCAGTCATGAACGATATGATGAGCAAGATCATCGAATACAGAAGAGTTCACCATTTGATATATCTTGGATAGCAGCGCTATCGCCCTAATCAGTGGAGGATAATAAACGCTTATTTGCGCGTGACTGCCATCTAAATTGGAATAGTTCGAGATAAATGACTCAACTATTGGATCCTGTTGGACTTCAGGAATAGAGTTAAGTTTTCTATGACTAATCATGAATGCATCTCTACTCGGTTTGAAGCGAACAATAGTAGTTTCGACGTATATTTGTGCTCTGAATACAAGTCTGGACTGAACATCTTGTAAAATTGGCTCGAAAATCTTATCAAATTGGACATGCTTGAACTGAAGTTCATATTCTTGAGAGTTTTCCTCAAATTGATAATATTTATTAAGCAATGTAACAGCATCACAAAGCGAACTAATGTCCGATTCTCTCAAAACTCTGCTACGAACACAGTCATGAAGTGGTTCACATAAACGAAACAACCACTCATTGAATTCAGATCTACCTTCCTCTTCAGGGAAAAATTTCGTCAACAAATTGTATTCGTTAGTGCATAGCTGCGTGAAAAAAAGAAGGTTATCTTGAATGAAGCGCATTAATGGAATGTTTTTTTCATTGATAATTGATTCATCCAACTGCTGCCAAATAATCGAATGGAGTAATTTCATTCTGATCTGAAAGTAGTCATTATAACAATCATGCAAAATTGCCAATAGCTCGTCTCTGTACCTCTGATTAGATTTTTTAACTGCTCTGATGGATATTTCTTTGGAAACTGAAAAATATTCTGGTGCATTCGACGCAAATTTGTTATACAACAATGCTTCCTGTGCCGACGACGATGAGTTAGAATGCGAAGTTGATTCCAGTTTTTCCGTGATATTTGCATGCAAGTTTTTCAGAAAAAGTGATAGATAATTCCCCATTAAGCTGCAAGATCTAATCATGCACTGCTTGAACCTTATACGATATGATTCAGATTCTTTAAAGTTTGGATGTTTTTCGATAAATGCCAACGAAGTATCTATTTTCATTAACATGGTTTTGAATGAGTCCTTCTTGACAATATTTGCAGAGCTTGAATGATTGAGCTTACGGACAACAGGATCAAGATTCTCGAAATAAGACAGGTATTTTGATACTGTGTCATGGGTCTTAGTTAAAGTTTCACAATTTATTGCCAAATTATGGGTGGATTCTTTGAAATCCTGTGCTTTTAGTGATATGATGCTAAACTTCTCAATTAGTAATTTAATGCTTTCCCCTGTTGCTTCAACTTGGTTGAAAGTAACGCGATAATCATCAGTCCGCTTGCTCAACTCATTCAAGTATTCTTGATATCTGTCATGCGTCACCACGCTCAGTTGATCGAGTTCAAACTTTGGTAGTACCAGTTGCTCACCCTGATATTTTGTATCTAAGTTTTGAAGCTTCTGGAATACAGTCGAATCATCCAACAGATTTGGTAGCTTTTTCATGATGGTAGGTTAGTAACATAATAACAACATAAAGCAGACAATTGGTCACTTACTTCACTGATATTAGAAGATGCGTGGGTCGCAATATCTTGTACTAGTGAATTCCGCCTACTCGTTGACGGCATGGTGATTGAACAATTGGCTTCAGCAAGCCGCATTCGTGAGAATTTATTGTACATCAAAGTTACACTTTGATCTGAATCGTCCCACATGATTTAATAAATAAGCTGAATATGTTACCAGTGCCTTGTTCAAGCTAGATGCGATGACATGTTCATGCAGTTTAGCAATATGCCTTGTGTTATAATATTTACAGAATGTTTCCTTTACGTACTCTGCGAGTAATTTGCCCTGCCAATGATTTGCTTGAATGTAAGAGCACAGTGCTCTCAGCGCATAAATATTGTTCATCTTCACTGCTTAGAGCCATTCATACCTAGCTCTTCTTTGATTTTAGCCTTTTCTGCCTCGATGTCAATACCATATTCCTCTGCAATTTTCTTTTCTAAGCGAAGTCTCTTTTCAAGTCTTTCCTTCTTCATCCGAGCGAGCTCAGCCTTGATTTCGTAAGGCTCCTTAGGAATCTTATTCAGAGTCTCTGGGTCAGGCCAGAATCCAGGGACATTTAGCTTTTTATCGGTGTCAGTACCTATGTAGTACATTACTGCCACTGGTGCTAAGAGACAGAAAGAAAACCTGAAAATCTCCAGTTGAGACCTCGTATATCTGAAAGGAAATTTCATACCAAAACCAACTCTTGATCAGTATTTACCCTTTTGCCTAGAGGTTATAATTAATGCAATCTCCTTGAAAGAGTATCAAATTAGCGAACTTGCGTATTTTTGAGGGACCGTCGTTAGGTACTGAAAAAAAAATTCTCCGCGATGAGCACAAGGTTTGTTGAAAGACAAGAAGGTCTTAGTCAATGTCAATTGCAAAAAAGGCCAAGTTAGACATGACTAAACAAATTTGTACACATTCAGGGTCCTTTCACGCCGATGAAGCGTTGGCTGTGTATATGCTTAGATTGCTACCAGAATTCAAGGACGCTAAGGTAGTAAGATCGAGAGATCCTGCCAAATGGGAAGAAAGTGATATTGTTGTAGACGTGAGCGGCAAATACGATGCCACCAAGGGCCTATTCGATCACCACCAGCGTGAGTTCTTTGAAACATTTAGCGACAAGTTCAAGACGAAGCTTTCTAGTGCCGGACTTGTCTACAAGCATTTTGGTCGTGAAATTATTAAGACCTTACTGCCATCCTTAGAAGACAAAGATACCGAATTTCTATACGAAAAGGTTTACAGAGAGTTTGTTGAAGCTCTAGATGCTAATGATAATGGTATCAGCAATATAGATGTGGAAGAACTTGGTGTTAAACCTAAATTCCACGACAAGAACATCACCATCCCAGGGATTGTGTCGCGCATGAATCCTAGCTGGAATGAAGATGCTTCCGATGCTTCTTTCGATAAGAACTTTTTCCGTGCTTCAGAATTCATCGGTGAAACTTTTGTCAAGCTTGTGAAGAACTACGGTGAATCTTGGTTACCAGCTAAGGCGCTCGTTCAAAAAGCGATAGAGGAGAGATACTCTATTGACTCCTCTGGAAGAATCATTAAGCTACAGCAATTTTGCCCGTGGAAGGAGCACTTATATGAGGTCGAGAAGGAGTTAGGCATTGCTGGCCAAATTCTCTTTGTCCTGTTTGAGGACTCCTCAGGTAAATGGCGCGTGTCTACCGTCCCAATTTCTTCAACTTCATTTAAGTTCAGACAAGGGCTTCCAGAGCCCCTAAGAGGTGTGAGAGATGCTGAGCTTTCGGAGAAAAGTGGTGTTCCCGGCTGCATTTTTATCCATGCTGCTGGTTTTATCGGTGGTGCCGAAACTTTTGAATCTGTTTTGAAGTTAGCTCAAATGAGTTTGTGAATGCCGCTGATATAGTGTATGCATCTTATTTATGTTTCGATCTTTAAGTCCGTTACAATCGCAGAGCGACATTTACATTGCATCGAAAATGTGTTTAATTTAAAAGTTTACTTTTATGCCATCGTATAATTTCAACGGCAGTGTGGGCCATAGAAAAACATAATAGAAGGATATTATCGCATCAAGAATGCCGCATTATCCACCGTAAGAACAATCAAGACGGTTGAAATTTTGTTTCTGGGACGTACAAATACAACGTACTGGACGATTAACATTTTTTTTTCCTATTTTTTGGGGCAGCTCGAAACTCGAGAAAACTGTATACTTAATACCGTATACCCTTTAACCGTTCCTATCGACATAACTAGTCGCGGTTTGTTAGGTTTAGTGGTTTGTACGTAAGTGATAAATCGAAAATCGTACACTGCTCTACCAAACATTGCTTTTATTGGCACAAGATCACGACTTTATAGTCCGGTCAAGAAAATTTTGGAAGGTTACAAAAGTCAACAGAGCAGACCTGAGACTGGGAAATGAGGGGGTTGAAATGGTCTTCCAGAGGAAGAAAATCGTCCTCAACTTCTGAAGAACGTCAAAATCATTCTAGCTCAAGAAGAGTGTCGCATAGTAGCAATAGCAGTCAAGAAGTTAGAACGCGAGAATCTTCTCCCAGCGCAACACACAGGACTCTAAAAAATAATAGGCAAATGACGCACGCATCTATTTTCATTTCAGATAATAATCGTTCTAATAGGAGTCTCGCATCGAGTCGAGATTCCTCCACTGCAGATGAGTCGAAAACAGACGACTCTTCGTCGCAATTCAATCCATCGGATGATAATTCGACCATAAGCTCGTCAAAAACCTCCATTGGTCGTCGTTCCAGTGTTTCTATCTCAGTGTCCACACCTCTAACTCCTGAGAACTATGACTCTAACGTTTTTAAGTCAGGGTGGGTGAATAGGGCTCATGGCTCCTTGTCGGCGAACAACAGGGATAGTAGAATATACGGCGGAGGATCAACTACAACTGATAATCAACAGCATAAAAATACATTGGACTATAAACTTTACAAAGCTGAATTGCAGGGTTGTCTATTGAACCTATACAAGAGTGGCATTGGTAATGTAAAGTTTTTTGACCCAACTTTGCCAGCGCCAGCACACCTCCTGGGGAATCCTAAAACTCCTAAAAGTCAATCAGAAACCAGTACACAAAAATTAATCGAGCCTGAGACAAAGATAGTCGAAACCAAACTCAAACACCTAAGTGAGCTATATCCACATCCAGATCTCAATTTGGATAAGGATGGAAAATTACTTTCTGGCTCTCCTGAGGCTCTTTGCCACATGGTTCTTTTCTTCCCCCCATTGAATAGTAATGAAACTCGGAAAATATTGGATGTGTTACTCATGCTTCCATTGATTGACAGATTTGAGAAATTTCTCCAAATATTTAATCTTTTTGGAATGACATTCACAAAACATAAGACTAAGTTGTTCAGCATTGCATTACAGCATTACCAAGTCAATCCCAAAATTGACGCTTTGATGACAGAAAGGTTAGCTCTTGTCATAAAAACAATACTCGATGTTTTCCCAGGATTCTTGCTTGATGACAATTTGTTTCCACTTATTGTCAACTTATTAGATACCATTTCACTGCATAATGACGAGATATCGAGTAATTTGAAAATATCAATTGTTGAAACACAAAATAAGCTCAATCATCTCGTCGCTTTCTCAAAAATGGATACCGCCTCATCTGAAATTGATTGTCTAACCGGAATCGACAATTTTATGAATCTAGAAATTGAAGTTTTGGCTGAGCAAGTTCATAAAATTAATATGAAGTTCATGAGAGAGTGGAGCCCTCAGATGGATTACTCTTTGCTATATGAATCAAAATTCAACGAAAAACACATTTATTTGAATCCAATGGTCTTCAAAAATTCTACGAATGTACACTACCTAGGAAGGCTTTTGGTTTCACATCTTTTTTCTAGCAAACTAAAGAAGTCGCCAAATAAGAGAGCGGAAATTCTTTCTAAATGGGTTCATCTGGGGTGTAAATTCGAGAAACTCGGTGATATGGTTTCTTGGCTCGCCGTGGCTACCATAGTTTGCTCCATTCCTGTACTCAGATTGGGTACCACGTGGAAATTCGTAGAGGACAGTGTCCTGAAATTGATCTTCAAAGACTGGGTCCCAACCATTGTTCAACTTGATAGAAGACGAATGTCATCGAAATCCACTAATAGCGTTTTTATACTTGCTCCTCCTAATTTGGATGACACCTTCATCAGAGCGAACGTGATTCCATATTTCGGTGATCTTGCAATAAATGCGAACGATCTTCCAGCAGACACAAAATTCAAGTATCTTGAAAAGAAAATACATCGGACTAAGAATGCCTTCTATAAGTGGCAACAGCGCTTGGAACAAGCGAGCAAAAATGATTCAGGGGAATCTAAATTTGCTTTAACAGATACCAACACCAGTGAAGCCAACTCACTTCATCTCTATGATTACTTAAAATTCCATTTAGAGCAGGAACACATGAACATTGAGAAGATAATGGACCTGAGTCTGCAATTGGAGCCCCCAAGAGTTAATCAAAAGAAGTACTGCACGACCGTTCTACAACGAAGCTCACTATTAACTGGAAGTTATTTACCAGTGCTTTTCAATGATTTATTTCCAAATTATTCTTTATTTCCAAAGGATTCTCTGATTGGTGCTGCAGGGGTTTTCAACAGCAGATCATCCTCGGATAGTATTTCTGAGACTTCTTCACATGATTCCAAACTTCTATCGATTAGCAGTCCTGTCAGCCCCATAAACATCACTGACATTAAGGATAAGAACTCAATTACCGGTATAGATGACATCGACGAAACTGCAGCAAGGGAACTTTCTTCAAAGCTGTCAAATAAGCAAAAGCTTCTCAAGTCCATTCGTGATGCATTCAACATTGATATGGATCTCTTCCACGTTTCAGATGACATCACCTTTAAGTCAGTTTTTGACATTGATGGTAAATCCAGACCAGCAAGTGTTGTAATCGAAACTCACACAAGAGTGTCGCAAAATTCGTCGATAAACAGTTTGAGAGATTCACAGGACTTGACACGTCTCAGCTCCAATTTAGAGAATCTAGACTTTTTCAATGTTATCGGCAAATCAACATCTGCCATGAACGATCCTACGATAAGAGTGGTATTGAAATCGGCCACTCTTGACAGGCTCTTTGATCTTTTAGTCTTGACAACTAGCATCTTTTCAAAACTTGTGGATACAAAAGATTTCGAGAGATATTTCAATCATGAGAAAAAGCGGCTGCTCGCTCGCAAACAAGGAAAGGAAAATACTTCTATGGGCCCATTGGATTATGCATTCATAAAGCTAACAATGGATAATGATGTTTTCACTGACACCTTTTTCAAGACATACAAAAGTTTCACAACAACTACTGCTGTGCTTGAGAATTTGGCGAAAAGATTTATTGGTGCAATGAGCTGTGCTGTCTCCATTTCTCGCTTAATCAATAGTGGAAAACGCAAGAGCCCTGATGGTATTACAGAAAACAGGTTTTCAGGGTTGTTCGACGTATTAAACAGTTCAAATTTTCCTGCTTGGGACTTGAAAATTACCCATCAGGACGAATTAAATCTCCTTTACGTTGCGAAAATTCAAATGGGAGCAATGGAGGCTTTATTGCACCTCGTGGGACTTCACTATGCGGACTTTACTGATTCGTTGGTTAACAACACAACATTCTTGGACATTCTTAAGATTATGGATCAGGAGGTCAACGAAGAATGGACCAAAAGGTTACGTGTGGCACAGGAGACAAAGTTTTCTCGACCTGAATATCAAGATCAAGCAAAGGAGCTAGAATCTCTGCATACAATTTTGAAAGAGTTATTCAAGAAAATAAAGACATCTTATCAGAGACAGCTTTACCGTCCCTTGGCGGTTAGTGCTGTCGAGAGACTGATCCAAAGGGAGCTCGAAAAGTGCACAACCCGATCTTTGTATGATATGAATCAGTTAGTGAAGGATCAGCATCTTGATGATGAGTTGGTACTTTCTTTCCACGAACTCACATTTGACAATTACAGCGGTATTGCTGAATGGGTATACAATCTTGATGAACTAGTATCGACAAAGATGGCATTAATTTCAACCCAAGATTGGGTTGACGTATCGCAATTGCTAGAATTGTATTCCAACGAATCTCTGGTATCATTTTTCCAGTACCCGCTACACACATACTCCTACCATATGCTGTCAACGGGAGAAAATCGCTTAGACGAATTCGAAATATCTGACATTTTCAAATGGTTAACATCGTTATTATTGGAGAATCGCAAACCTCTATTTGACCGACTACCTCCATCTGTACAGCTAGTAATCAATTTCCACATGTCTCTGTCAAAGTTTTTCGTACTTGAGATAGCGCATTTAGACAAAACATTCACGTCCAGAGTGAATCATTGTGCTGTGATTTTGCAAATTTTAAACTTTGTAAGATGGAAAAACTCCTCGATGGATCTATTTCATGACAATAAATTGGATCGAGATTCTACAGTTATTTCTCCACATGTTCCGTCTTTTATCGAAACGTCTGTCGTTACCGCCTTGGTTTGTCCAGAATCTAGATACTTTGAGATGTTCTGGAAACTCGCATACAAGGACCTTGCGGAGCCAGATTCTCCTGAACTTAAGGACATTTCAAATATTCTAATGGGAATTGAGAATCAAATAAAATTCTTTGTGGAATTTGATGGTCTTCAAATGGCCAAGCCTAATAATTTGTGTCCTTGTCCAGGTTGGCTTATTCGAAGATTACTTGAAATTTCTGAGATGGTCCCCAATATGAGTATCGAGAACTCGAAAATGATCAACTTCGACAAAAGAAGGTTCGTAAACAATATAATTGTCAACTTCAAGGACATGCTGCCATCACTTAATGGGAGCGACGAGGCGGTTCTCATTAGCATCATAGAAAATCAGTCTAAATCAATTTTGTCATATCATGTATTGGACATTGGGAAAAGGAAGTTCCGCAAGCGTTGCAAAGAAGTTGCATCGAAGGAGGCTAAGCGGAAGAAATTCCACACAGTTGGACTTTTCAATAACCTTCTACTGGCAGAGGTTGACAAAGTCAAGAGAGATCAGAAGAAGAAAGAGCAGCTTCTGTCCCAAGAGACCGAATATAAACGAACGGACACGATAGAACGCATTACGAAGAGTAGAAATCGACTAAGCTCCTCGCCATCCTTGCTCAGTATCAATACCAGTAATTCAAAATCCACTTTCAGTTCCAGTGATAATACAAACAGGTCTAAGAGAAGCTCAGTTGCAGTGTCTTCATCTAGAAACTCAATTCTATCGAATTCCACCCATGGTAATGGTAGTATGGGAAGAAAACTGGGAGGTTTTTTCAAGAGACCGTTCTCTATTGGAGGTTTCAGCACATCAGCGTCGTCACATTCTCTAAATTCAATCCTTTTAAATGGTGTGCAAGCAAATGGCTCCGTTTCTCCTCTTGAACTTCCGGATGTTGGCTCAAGCGTTTTTAAAGAGGTGAAACCCTTGATTACTATCAAGACCTTCGAGATCAAATCTTGTGTTCCTGTCATGGGCTATAACAAACTTTTTTATTTGGCTAATTGTTTTAAGATTGTAATGGAGAACGGCAATGAACACCTCATCCAGGCTGCAAGTTCAAATGATATGTTCGAATGGTTAAAAGTTATTACACTATCCAAAAGATATTCTTTTCATTCTCAAAAGTTCAAGGGAAAAACATCAAATAAAATATTTGGGGTTCCAATTGAAGACGTATGCGAACGTGAAGGTGGTATTGTTCCTAACATTGTCGTAAAATTACTTGAGGAAATCGAGCTACGAGGCCTCGATGAAATGGGCTTGTACAGAGTACCGGGTTCAGTAGGGAGTATTAATGCCTTGAAAAATGCTTTTGATGAAGAAGGAGCGGTTAGTAATTCATTCACTTTGGAAGATGACCGCTGGTTTGAAATCAATACCATAGCCGGTTGTTTCAAGTTGTATCTGCGCGAACTTCCTGAGTCATTGTTTACAACTGAAAAGCTACCACAATTTGTTGATTTAACCTTAAGATTGAACAGCAATGAAATTGAGTATGATAGTTTTAAGGCAGAAATGGCTGAGATGCTGAGAAGTTTGCCGGTGTACAATTTTCATATGATGAGAAGGATCTTCGAGCATTTGAAGAGAGTTGACGAACATGTCGACAATAATCGTATGGATGCCACGAACTTAGCTATTGTTTTTTCAATGAGCTTCATAGATCAAGATGATTTAGCTGCCAGCATGGGTCCAACATTGGGCGCACTTCAAACTACGTTGAAATTGTTCATCAAAAAGCCTGGAGATTTTTTTTAACTCTAAAAAACTTGGTTTTCGTATTTCACAAGATTAATGACGACGAGTTTTATGTATTATAGACCTAAATGTTGTTTAATAATCTTCTAATCTCATCTTTTATGTCTTGCGCTAGAAATAAGGACTAGGATAAGAGATGAGGCCCTCTGAGAAGGATAAAAGAAGTAGAGCAGAATATTACCTACGGCATTTTACTACTTGATGGAGTTTTTTCAATTAATACAATTAAACTTCGAAACATGTACCTAACTTTCAACTAACTTGTGTTTTATGGTGCGAAAAGGTCTCAAAAAAAAAAGAAACAACTTTGGTAGGATAGAAGTGTAAGAACTGTCTAGTGAAATCTGAAAGTAATTACTATTGTTACGTCAATATCTCACAATAAAATCGCAATTAGAAAGTTATTAATTTTACGTATTAAATTTCAAAAACATCTCGACTCTCGAATTTACAGCTCTGTTTTGATCAGTGTTCTAACTTGAGAAAAAGCTTCAGACTGGAAATTCATATTGGCCCTTCAATTGATGCGCTGAAAGCGTCGAATGTCCAAAAAGATACCTTCAAATGCGAGGTGTAATCTTAATTAATATGTACGCGTTTCGATCGACAAACACTTGCGATTGAGAAACGCCTTGAGGCTAACCTTCGACTTCAAAAGACTATATACAGAATGACTTAACGACCAAAGTAATTACATGGATTGCCCTATTTTTTGGTTAGGGTGGATTTACGGACAATTTTGATTGCAGAGTTGGTTTTTTGTTCCTTTGCAATTTCTTGCATCTTTTTCTCATTTTCTTGCATTAATTGTCTTCTTTCAGCCTGTTCTCTTGCCTTAGCCATGTTTTCTCTGAAGGTCTCGATAATTCCCTTCTGAGGTCCTGTTGTGGTAGGCGAATGTTTAATAACATCAGCTATGTTCAACTTCTTTCTCACCCACTTATTTCTGAGTAACAGAGTTTGTACGACAGAACAAGCACCATTGACTGCGAAATACAATACCACGGCCGATGAGAGGTTCATAGTAGCTGGAATTGACAACAATGGTAAGACTGTGAAAACCTTCTTCATTTGAGGAGAAAATTGCTGAGCTCCCGTTTCTCCTCCTAATCTTGTGAAGGAGATAAAAACTGAGGCAGTTATTATTTGTAGACCCAGATATGGATCAGCTAGAGAGAGGTCATGGAACCAAGCTAAACCTTGGTTTGTGAAACCATCGACGGGAATATTAGCCATTTCTCTGATACCGGAAAAAAAACCAAGTGCGACAGGAATTTGAAGCATCGGAGCCGCAAGGTATCTGTTTTTGATACCATTATCTGCTAAAAGTTTCTTTCTCCGCATTGCAACCTTTTGTCCTTCCACCAAATCAGTTGCACTCATCAGATCTGCATTGATCTTATCTAATTCCGGTTTAATTTTAGAATTACGGGCCATAGTATCAGAAGATTTTACGTAAAGTGGGAACATTGCAAGACGCACTAATACAGTAGTTGCTACAATGGTTCCCCACCAGGGCAAGCCCGCGTAAACGTGAATATGCTCTAGCACATTTTGAATCAAGTCAGGAGGCCACCACCAGGATTTGGCAAGTCCCAAACTGCTCAAATAACCTATATGGTTGGATGCTTCGCCCACGAGTTGAGAAGATTGATCCAATAAGGAAGTAGCAGCATCTGAATTTGATAATTCATCAAAAGAAGGTAATTGGGTCTGGATCTCGGACAAATTAGGTTTCCCCGCGTTTGATGAACTGAATCTCACCGAAGTGATACCAACCACCTTTGGTTGCCAACATACGGTAGAGCTTCGACAAGCCTGTACGACACAACAGTTAGTAACGCGCACTCGGAGAAAATAACATTGCCGTAACATACAGCTTTTGTGCAACGGATAATTGAGGATTTGAGCATAGATGCGGATCCTAGTACCTTTGGAAGCGAGTTGCTGGTAGATATCTTAATTAAAGGAAAACCGAAATTTTTTGTTCATTTTTTTTCTCAATAATGGTTTAAAGCGTGAGCACTCTCAGGAGAAGAGGAAGCCCGTCGTGAGTTTCGATTATAATTTTCGCTTATGAGGCTCCTATGTATCTTCCAACATCAGTTTAGGAGAACCTTGACGGTTGACGTTCGTAAGCGGCTTTTTGCAAAATGTCTGAATCGGGAGTTCGACACTTTACTGGAAGAGGTTAGATCTATTCCTATCAAGACCTTAGAAGAGAGCTTTTTGAGTTTATACTTGACAAAAAGTGTACAATATGCCCATGTACCTTCGATAGATTATCTTTGGTACCGATGTATTATAAGACATAACTTACTTGTTGTTAAACCACAGATTCTTTGCGATATCGGCAACATAGCCCTACAAGAAAATAAGTTCTTTATGGTAGAACAATTGTACAAGCACTTCACTATATTTCATAGCAAGTGCCGAAGCTCAGAAGCCTATAAGCTCGAGCTTTTAAGATATAAAGTTGAGAGTTTCGCTAAAGGCACAGGCGACTCAACTACATTCCAAGAGAAATGGAAGGTTTTCATAGAAGACATCGATCATCAGATAAGTCCAGAGTGGCCTCTAAGTGTTCATAATTTTCCATATCTCACTTCAGCTTTGGAGGACCACGGAAGGGAACTACCTTTACAGCTTCTGCTGTCCGAAAAAAAACTGAGCATACGGAATAAATGGACCCTGCCAGTTCTGCTTAATATGATCATGTTACACAAAAATGTGGATCAAGAGTTCAAGATGAATTTATTTCAATTGTTTCACCAAAGACACAAACATTTGAATTATGACGAGACCTTGACCATTTTGTTCAGAAATTGTAAGGACGAGCCCTATCGAGCGTCCAGTTTGATGGATTTTGTGAAGAAGAATGGGCTGTCACTTACGCATCTTGCTGCTAAGTTTTTTCTGCGTAGCATACAGGGCACTGAGTATTCATTTCGATCGGCAGATTACATCAATGCCATTAAAGATCCCGACGCATTCCTAGAAAAACTCCACAACGGAAAAATAATCCTATAACAGCATTCAAAAACGACACCAGGCATCTAATAAAACTGTAAATATTCTTAATATATTTTCCACTCTGAACTTTTTCGCTATGGATTTCCTTTCTAAATCTAACGATTCTTCGTTAAAATCGTTCAGACCTTCCGATTACAGAAATAATCAGAAAGATCCAAGAATAACGGCAGCATTGGTGCACTTGGCTCACACTCTGATTTGCGATAATAATCTCAGTGAAAAGTCTCCATACAGCCGCCTTTCTGGTAACCATGGAAAATATCTCTTCAAAAAGCGGTCATAAAATTGTATAGATATAGCGAGGTTCGAGCTTCGACAAACACACCCTACAACAAATATCGAACACATAATGGCATCACAGGAGTGCTTAAATTTCTTTAAAGGCTATGCAACATTGAGCTTACTGCCCGCCAAAGAAATTATCGAGGCAACTACAGAGCTTTTATCACCAGAGAGCAGAGACTACGATCAAGATAGAGATAATCGGCATCCGCTAATTTATGGATCGGATGAAGGGTCACGCTGGGTCCGCCAAAGCATATGTGATTTAACCAATGATGCGTTCCAGTTGAAGGAATGTGTGAAAAGTAAGCCTGACTACATCAATTTAACATCCGGTGCATCCTATGGAATATTGAATTTATTGGCTCAAACCACATTACCGCATACCGGATATACCAGACAAGCATTCATCATTTCGCCTACATACTTCTTGATCAATGAAGCATTTGTTGATGCGGGTTTTGGTGACAAGATAACCGCTATTAAGGAGCTTGAAGACAGCATAGACCTCGAGGCCCTCAAGGAGAGATTAGAATATTTCGACTCAATTCACGATAAGGAGGACCACAGCAAAGATCACAAAATAATAAATGCACCTGGCGCTGAGAAATTAAAGAAGATATATAAGTACGTCCTTTACATGGTTCCCACATTTTCTAACCCAGGTGGCAGGACCTATTCCTTAGAGTCTAGGAAGCAAGTGATCGAGATAGCCCGAAAGCACGATATGCTTATCATTTCCGATGATGTCTACGATTTATTGAATTACGAACAATCTTTAGACTCGTTACCTCATCCGATGCCAAGATTGACCTTCTTGGATAGAGAATCATACGCAGGCGGCGATGAAGGATTTGGAAACACAATTTCGAACGCTACATTTTCGAAAGTTGTGGCGCCCGGCTTAAGATTTGGATACCAGGAGAGTGTTAATAAAAACCTGGTTTCCCAGCTTTCAAGAGGTGGTGCAAATGCTTCTGGTGGCACTCCATCCCAATTGAATTCCATGGTAGTGGGTACCATGCTAAAAAATGGCGAGTGTACCAGAATTCTTCAGCACTCGAGGGCTGTCTATAAAGAGAGGTGCCAAATACTATACGATTGCATTAAAAAATGTTTACCCAGCCAAACTGAATACACCTTACAGACAGGTGGATACTTCTCGTGGGTGACATTACCCGATGGCTACAACTGTCGGGAAATATGTGCAATTCTCATGGAAAAGCACAATGTTATCATTCCTGATGGTTCTTGGTTTGAGGTGGTTGGTGACCCAAAAGGTTGGGACACTAGATCCTGCAGACTTTCAATCAGTTTTTTAAGCGCCGATCAAATAGAAAGGGGCATCAAAATCTGGGGTGACGAATGTAAAGAATACGCCCTAAGTCATAACTTGAAATTCTAGTACATATTTTTTAGTTGTTTGATATTCGATAAAGGATACATAACTCATCAGCTTTTTAAGTCTTGTTTTTAGAAATCTAGGCGCGTACTATTTCTTGGGCATAGAGCGTTACTGAAAATTCCAAAGTATCGAGTCTCCCTAAGGAGCAATGACAACACGACAAAAATATATCGATTACTCTCAGTTATTTTCGCAGTTAATAGATGAAGAGGATGAGATGAATGAAACAGTTGTTTCGTTTCTTTATCACCTTTTTCCGAACGAACTTTTTGTTAGAGGTATATCTGTCCTCGAATCTGGTAACATGTTCATCTACGTACTTGAAAAAGATGGGAAGGAACTACATTCTAATTCGAGTTCATCTACTGATAACGATGCTCCCAGTGTTTCTACAGCTGAAGCTTCAGAACCATCCTCTACGAGTTTAAATGATATCTTTCAATCTAGCCATACCAAAGAGAATTCACTAGTGGAGAAACTATATACAGAACCCCATTCCTTGACCTACCGGCTCATTGTGAAGCAAGAGGAACTTAAGAGTCCACCAATATATGTTGATCTGCCGCACTGGTTTTGTTCATGCGATGAGTTCAACGAATTGTTTAAGCAAGAAATGCTTGAGAATGAAGAGCCGTCGCTGTACTCTCAGGCAGTGTTCGAGTTGATAGACGAATCCGAACATCTTGAGGATAAATTCGGTCTGTTAGCACCGCGTTCTGGCCATCAGCGGTTTTTTCGGCACGAACTTGTGATGTGTCCGCATTTGCTGGCATTTGGTTTAATCTTAGAAACAAGACCTGCAATGCTACGATATTTTATTGAGAAGAGATCTCAAGTATTCCTAATAACAATTCAGAATGTTGATGAGTGGCTGAAGTTACATTTGAATATTGTGGTATAGTCGTGGTGTCTCGTGTTTAAATTAAATCATTAAAAACGAACCGAAAATTTTTCAAGTGCTGGAGAATATCTGACAATTGAGAATAAGCTGAATTGATCAGCAGAGGCAAGGTACACAAACTAAGCTTCATTATCAATAATCGTGTGCCAAGAAAAGTTCTTTCACCTTGTCTACTTAAATTTAATTTTTGTGGCTCAACTACTTTGATCTGTCACCTTCTATTCCTTTGGCTTTCATAATCTATTGACTTCCAAGATTAAGGTACCTGAAAACCAATAGCAGTCATGTCTAATTCTTCATCGAAGGAAAATGGACAAGATACATCCTATTCAATGTATCCCCCAACCTCACCTGCAGCCCCACCAGCGAACATGCAATACAACATGAACATGTATGGAAACCCCGCAACATTCACTCAGTATGGTTATGGCTATCCGATGCCAATGGACATCTACGCAGGCCAGGGTGCGCCTTTCATCGGATACGGAATGAATCCCAACATGATGTATTATGGTGGAGCTATACCACAGCCCGGTGGAGGTCAGAAGAAGAAATATTATAATAATAAAAGTGACTCTGCTAATGGTAACAAAAATGATGCGAGTAGTCACCAAAACGGTCATATTCAGTACTACAACACCAAACCTTCCACACCATCCTCCTCGACAACTAACCCTGCCACACCCGCGAGCAAGACTGTTCCCATCACTATAAAAAACCAGTACAAATTTGAGGTTGGCAATGATGACTCCACTCTTACTTCTGAATCCATTGAATATCCTTTCTATATCAATACGACAGAAGAAGAATTTGCATCTGCGCGTGCTCAAAGGCACGAAATAACTTTAAAGGTACTCAGAAAGGAGATCAATAGGTTAGAGCTAGATGAAGCCACAGCTTTAGAAGCAACCGAACAAATAGTGCCTAAAAACTCGCCTATTGAAGAAGAACAGAAAAAAGTTTCCATGGACGCTATGCCAAATGCAAAGGATATCACAGGAGCAGAAACGAAGACAAAAGAAACTGTACAAGCCGAATCAACCGAGGATGAGGATTCGAAGGAAAATGCTTCTCCATCACCATCGGCTAAAGCAATCAAGTCATGGTCTGCAGTTGCTTCTAGTGCTTCTCCCAAAACCATCGCTCAGCCATCATCCTTACACGGAAAAAAAGATAAAAAGTATGTTCCTTCTTCAGTGAAATCGCTTGAGCCCCTCGGCTCTGTAGCTTTGAGAATGTGCTTCGACGAGGATTACATCAAATACACGATGAGCAATGGCGGAGACTCAGCTTTGGCTATTCAGTCTATCGTCCCCAGAGGGATTGTGAACTCAGGAAATATTTGTTTCATGAGCTCAATTCTTCAAGTGCTCTTAGTCTGCAAACCATTCGTAAACGTTTTGAATGTTATTAGTCTCAGGACAAGTGCTAAAATGGGCGCTCCAGTTTCCCCATTACTAGACGCTTGTTTGGATATCTATCGAAAGTTCGATAAGCAAACATTTGAAAGAGAAAAGTCGACAAAAGGCAATTCTAGTTCCAGCGTCTCAGTCACTTCATTCGGGGATGCAATCAAACCAGATGACTTCTATAAAGCGTTATCCAAACTTCCCAAATTCAAGGATCTAAGGTGGGGCCACCAGGAGGATGCCGAAGAGTTCTTGACACACTTGTTGGATCAGCTGCATGAAGAATTCATCACTGCTATCGATGCCTTGACAGATCTTGATATCATTGCTTTGATCAAAAGTCTAAATGATGATGACTTGAAAGTGAACTTCATTAAAAATCTAGCTAGATACAGGAATGCTGAGTTCGCAAAGAGTGCATCAGTTCAGCTCAAAGAGCTGTTGGATAAGTATGGCGTTTCAACAGATGATTTCGATGAAGAATCTGAGGACGGCTGGCACGAAGTTAGCAGCACCAGTAAAAAGGGCAAGAAAACCAAGACGGCGGCTAAAAGAACAGTCGAAGTGGAGCCTTCCCCAATTTCTGCTATTTTCGGCGGTCAGTTCCGCTCGGTTCTAGATATTCCTCAAAGCAAGGAATTGCAGTCCATTACTCTCGATCCTTTTCAAACCATACAGCTTGATATTTCAGATCCTGCTGTTAATGATCTAGAAACCGCTTTCAAGAAATTCAGTGAACCTGAAATGATATCCTTCAAGGCTTCGTCTGGCAATGACGTGGAAGCTAAGAAGCAAACTTTCATCGATAAACTACCTCAAGTGTTCTTGATTCAATTGAAGAGATTTTCTTTTATTAATAACACTGACAAAAACAAGATGGTCAATTATAATGCATATAATGGTCGTGTGGAAAAGATTCGCAAGAAGGTCCACTATCAGCATTATCTTACAATCCCAGAAGAATCGATCTCTTCCGTGCATTCTACTTTCTACAGCAGTATCGGTACCACTTACAGGCTGATAGGTGTTGTATATCATCATGGCATAAGTTCTAGCGGTGGCCATTACACCTGTGATGTCTATAACGAAGAACAAGACAAATGGTTCAGGATAGACGATGTCAATACTACTGAACTGGGTAAGGATGATGTTTTAAAGGGAGGTGAAGATGGATCAGATTCTAGGACCGCCTATATATTGATGTACGAGAAAGTATAATTGATATAAGTCAATATAATGAATAATTTCAAAAATTAAATCGAATTAAAGGGTGGTCTTAAGTGATCTTAACGCCCGTTTCACCTTTTTTTGGCCAAAAAATGATTTCGCCCAGGATCGAACTGGGGACGTTCTGCGTGTTAAGCAGATGCCATAACCGACTAGACCACGAAACCAATTAATTCGTTGAAGAACAGTTCTTTAGATCTCAATATACTCAGCAGTTGGATTCTGTTGACATGTGTCATGTGACAATAATATTATTAGGAGAATTTGAAACCGTATAAGGAACCTCAAACATAATGAGGTTAGCTATGAGCCCCAATCTATAGCTATAAATATGAGGAAGTCCTAAGCACATGATGGGGTAAAATAAAAGAAAGAACAAGAAGACAGAGCTGCTCCAGTCCTCATTCCATTATAATCAAGAACGCCGTAATTAAATACGACCTCTGGTAGCGCCGCTCGAGTAACGATCGGCATGGAGAAAGATAATGATATCTGGGTAGGAAGCGACACCCTGACAACGCGTCACCAACGGACAGAGCAACTTCCCAAGGCAGGGAACTAAAAGGGGATTGAAATAGGAAGACACAAGCAAGTGAAGATTAAAACTATTTTGGGCACTGGTGCCCCCAACATCTCTCATCCTCCAGAATTCAGTAAAAAGATTAGTGCTACAGTGTTTGCCAGTACCACTGCACAAATCTAAGGAAGCAAATACCACTTAATATTGGAAACGCACAAACAGCGGCTACAATAAAACTCGTTTATCGTAAGAAGCGTTTTCGAGTACATCACTCCGCGACAGAAGATCTCATTGCGCAATTGGTCAAGGCAGCGCGTTCTTGGAGGAGTTTTCCGAATTCGTAAGCACGGATGACATGGAATCGATTGACAAGGGAGACTGACAATTGAACCAATAGAAGACAATGACATACAAGATCGAGTCTATCTTTAATTTTCGATTGAATCATACCGTGCTTCATTAATATTGGCTTGGAACCCCCTTGATTTAATGGGCGGCTTTTGGATGAGTAGTGACATGGGACTTTGAATCTACAATTTTTTATCATGGTGCTCAACGCAGCCCCGTGTTTACAGCTTGTCAATATTTACCACTTCGACTCTGGCTTGTTACCGGATCTTCTATGGAGGCGAAATTCAATAAGTAGTCAGATGCGATATGTGCCTTTGCAGTAATCCTGTTTACCTATTCCTGTTTTTCTATTTTCCTTACCAAGTTAGTCTTTAATTCATCCCACCTTATGGCCATCTTGAAAGTAATTTCCAGTTGGCAGTGCCTGTGGCTGCAGAAGAGGTTTCCTACTGAAATCTGCAAACGGAGTGTTAGGCACATGCGTCACATGTAACTCGTATCTGAATATCTTCATCCCCTTATTACCTCGTTTGGATAACAACTTGAACGAATTCAGTACGATCGCTTCTTAGTAAGCTGCGTTAAGTCCATAACGTTTCCTTCTAAAGAACTTGAGACTCGTGAGACGCGCGATTTTGCGGCTGCAAGATGGTATCGCCCGTTACTCATAGGGGAAAACAGTAATGGAACTTTTCCATATGTAGACATAGTCAACAATTGTTTAATTGAGTGCCGTGACGCCCACGCGGTGAAGATTTTTTTTACAGACAAGGGAAGATTCAGATACAGATCTAGATTCTAAAGCGGTCTCCAATACCAAGCAATTCTCTGGCTAGGTCATCATAGGACTCTGGTTTATGAAATAATAAACGTGGCAGCTTACAACAAACAAGTTGCGCAAAGAGTGAGATATTGCTAGTAAATCAAATTTCTATGGGCATTTGCAGTAATATGGTAAGAATATTGCAAAGCAAATAATTGGATTTAATTAAGTAGCACTAGACCAGCATACAAGCGTAAAATATCAGCTTTTAATGACGCAATTATGAAAATGAATGTTTTAAAAATTAAAGAGGGCTCTCAGCCCCGTGACGACGTACTACAAAAGATTAGTTAAGCACCAGGGTTTATAACGATACCGGGTACTGCGAACTGAAGAAAGTATAAAGTTAAAGCGAAGAGGCTTAGATCAAGAAAACAGCGGCAGCTAGACCAGCCAGACCTCCGACAGTAAACTTGTTAGCAGCACCTGTAGAGACAACTGGAATGCTTGTACTTGTTCCTTCGATGGAAGATGCAGTCTCAGTGATGAACGAAGAATATTCTGGAGTAGAGGTGTTCTCAGTGGCGGTTTCTCCTGTAGTCTCTTCGGTAGATTCCTCAGTAGGCGCCACGGTAGTCTTAGGGATGGTGCATGGGCAGTTGGTTATGGTCAAAGTAGTTGGCGTAGTGACAGTGTAAGTCTCACCGTTAGTGCTGAAAGTGGTTGGCTCTGGGCAATAAGTAGTGAATTCGGTTACGACCTCGTACTCGGTGGTAGTCGTTTGCTTTGGAATAGTGCAAGGACAGTTGGTGATGGTCAAAGTGGTGGCACTAGTGACAGTGAAAGTCTCGCCATTGGTGGTGAAGGTGGTTGGCTCTGGGCAGTAGGTAGTGAACTCGGTCACAACTTCGTAATCAGTAGTAGTTTCGTTGTAGCCGTAGGTAGGAGTCAAGGAGGAGGTAGGCAATTCAGTAGTTGGAGCCTCGGAAGAAGGAGGTTCAGTGGTTGTTGTATTGCTTGGTGGTTCTGTTGAAGTAGGTGGCTCGGTGGAAGTGCTGTTGCCTGGGAGTTCTGTAGTAGGACCCGTTGGTTCAACAGAGGTGGAGTTATCAGAAGTGGTAGAGCTCAAGATAGAGGTACTCGAGGAAGTTGTAGTGTCAGAGGTAGTTTCATTGGAAAATTGGGCCAAAGAAACAGCACCTAGGGAACCGATTAAAGCGAGTGTTGTCAATTTCATATCTTGATCTGCGAAAGAAGTGCTTTGGTTCTTATCGAAATTGCAAATTCATTTTATCGATCACTCTAATTTATACCTTTAGATCCTGCGATCCAATTATTAATAGAAGTCTCCAGAAATGGCTAAATATCGCCTCTTATTTTTCACTATCCTCATAAGGTAAAGCTGCTTCGCCCGGCGGGCATCGCATTGCGTTCGAAAAAAGAAGAAGCGGCGACAAAATCAAAGGATCTCACAAAAGAAAGAAGATCGCTAAATTTGGAATTCGTCGTCAACTTACGAAAATAAGGCACAGAAAAGCCCTTAATGCCCTTGTTTCGGGCAGGGAATGTACCTGATTTACCGAGTAAATTTGTCTTAGTAAGTGTTAGTTAATCATCACTTGACTCGTAAATGGCAGGGTCTGGCAATGGTGCAGATAAAGTTTCTGCACTCGTCATTTTACGCAGCCGCGGGGTACATGGCAAATCCAGCTTGTGTCTTTTATTAGCGACGAATGAATCTTGGTAAACCTCACGATCTGCCTCGGGATCACTGGGTGCGCTAGATTCGTCGCCAACGTGGGCGTTGGAGTTTACTTGAGATTCGATTAGAGCTTCTCTCGGATCAGGGTCGTCCGTCGAGGTCGTGGAACTCAGATTATTTTGGACAAGACCAGACGGCAGCAGGCCCGGAGGCCCAAACATAACACAGTCAGTAGATTCATCATCAGAGCTGATAAAGTCATGAGAAGTTTCGTCCACGGTGAAACGCACGATAGGGTGCTCATCGTCGTCACGAGCGGCCATATCGAACACAATTGCAACGCGCGTCTTAGGTGGATATCGGGCAAACGACCGGCGTGTGTCCCAGCTCCAGAACAGCCCGATGCGATTTTTGAGAAAGACTTCCCACATGTGATCCTTGCTACCGACGCCGATGTTAGCCACAAGAGCACTTCTGAGCACTTGAACACTACGTTTTTTCTGTGAGCGGACCAGAAACTGGGACTCATCTTTGTAGGCTACTAGACGGTCTTCGGTGTTTTCTTGATATCCTGTGTTCATCGCGTCATTGAGTAGGACGATGGTAGCCTTTTTAGCGTGAGTGTACTTCGTCATAATAGTAAACAAAGTTATTAAGTTCTTGTTCTTGAAGCTATGTAGAGAACTCGTCCTGGAAACTTGTGTGTTAGCGTAGAGATAGTCCGTCAGGATTTGTGAGAGGCCATCGATGATGATAAGAGAGAATTCCTCCTCCAGTTCTTGGAAGAAAAACACCAGATGTGAAAACTTGGTTATCTTCTTCCTTCGAAGTTTGCCCCGTGAACATTCAGTGGGTAGCTGTGCTGCTTTGTGCGTGTCAATCCATAAACATGGGTTTTCTCTCTTTAGTTCATTTTTCAATATCTGAAGACCTAGCTTCGTCTTGCCTATACCTGGAGGCCCAAAAACTTCGTATATAGACCTGGTTTGAAAGCCATCCAATGTGTCATCTAATTCCTTGATACCGCTTAGAGCTGGTTTCGGATTTTCAACCAAGAGCTGTGAGAGGGATATGCCCAAAGACATGTCCTCTTTTGTTGTTGTTAATGGAAAGAACTGCGCTAAATTCTTCGCGAGCGATAATCGCGTCAACCTCGAACAACTAGAAAAAACAATCAAAAGTAAAAAATGCAAGTTTGGTTTAAATGCTATAGATTGTGAATATTGGCCTGTTTGAATTGCTTAAGCAGCCGGCAATATTAGCAAAAGATGGTGCTATACACATATTATTACACAGCGTTCTCCAGCGCCCTTCCCCTCCTCCATTTTCTTTATTTTCACAGGAAGTAATCCATCTGAGGCTTTTTAGTCGGTATTATTGCATTACCCACTCCATCCTGAGCCTGAACGGCTTCGAAAATCATGTAATTTCTGTCCAAATCGTCCTCCACTCGCAGAACTGCTGCGACGTTACCGCATCTGTAGCAGTAGTTTGGTGCTGACCATACGGTCACTAATCCACCATCAAACATTTCTTTATACCCTTCCATGACCAACTGGTGTGCCCGCGCTATCAGTTCGAATTTGTTCTTGTGCAAAAACTGTTCTACTTCGTTTCTCCCGAATAAGAATCCTGCTCCTCTTGGCGAAAGACTCCAGGTATCCACGTCATCGGGATCACTCCAGAGTAAATCACACATTGCTCCCTCGTGTGGCACCTCCTGTTTTCTGTCTATGGATCGAATTTGGTTTATCGTGGTGACATCTGGAGAAAGCCCTCCGTGAACACAGAATATACGATCATTAATTATGGCACCAAGTGATAAATAGTCAAATACTTCACAACAGTAGCGCCAAACATTACTATTCCCGTATTTTCGCACAATTTCATCGTAAAACCCATAAACTTTTGTGATCTGCCGAGTTTCATGATTGCCGCGTATCATTGTAATTCGATCTGGATACCTGAGTTTATAACACAGGAGCAGTAGAAAGCTTTCCAAAGAGTAAAACCCTCTATCAACGAAATCCCCTAAGAAAATGTATCTATTCTTCTCTATGCCCCCGCTCTTGTCGAACAAAGTAAGTAAGTCATGCAGCTGGCCATGAATGTCCCCGCATATCGTTACTGGCGTATCAACGTGTGTTACATTAGCCTCATTCATCAAAAGTTCTTGAGACTTTAAACATAACGAGTACACAGTCTCTTCTGGGATGTGCTTGCCCTGTCGTAGTGAGTCGATGGTGTCGTCTAATTTCATTAGCGTACCTGAAAAGAACTTAAAATGGCCCCCTAAAGATAACCAAACCCGGAAAAATATGGAGAAACCTGGAGAAAACAGTCGCAAGTCAATTAAAGCAATTCTAGGAGTTAAAATGCTTTCACGCCTGCTAAGCTTTAACTTTCGTTGATAATCGAAGGTCATTGAACGCGAAAAGAAAATTTTTTTAAATTATGTTGCGCGTTTCTTTTTCGTGTCAAGAAAACAACTTCATATCAACGCTGTCGTGCATAACTTTGATCCATCGGGCCTGAAAGTGAATGCATAGGACGTCTCAGATGTCTCAATTAAAGTTGCTACAGTCCGCGAATCCTATTTTATTTTCGGCTGAACAGTATGATAGATATCCCACAACTCATGTCGAATTAAAACAATACTTAGAGGCACCTCACGCGCCGGAGAGACCTGCGACAATTATAGATTACTTGGATTCAATCCTTTTCTGCGAAGAAGATAGTGAGATAGACTTGAAAAAGAAGCTAAGCGTAGAGTATGCTCTTTATAAGGCCAGCGGTCTTGCGTCTTCTGTTGCTTCCCTTGAAGAATTGCAGAACTGGTGTACACAAATAAGCAATGGTGATGGCCGCAATGTAGACCAGGAAACGAAGGAAAAACTATACAGCAGTCTCCTTGCTGGGCTGCAGTCGGTGAGTATTGAAAATGTGAGCGCCCTCGCGTTGATGTCAGCCAACTTGGGAAGGAATGGCGATGACTACGATCGAAGCTTATCATCAAGTAGACATCTTCAGCAGTCCCAAATGGAGGAGCTAACTTCCTATCTTATCTCTAGTTCTCTTCAAAAAGGCATTGATCTCAAACCCATAGAGAAGCAACAGCCGCTACCTGATGACATGAATTTTTTGAAACAATGTATTGATGACCTAATATCAAAATGTGAAGCAAAAGAGCAAGTAGTTAGGGTTCAAAGCCCAGTTAAATCCTCGAGCGAACTCGAATTGGCATTAAAAGATTTACAATTAGCACACAGCTTTTTGACTAAAAAATTCGAAGGGGACAGAAATGAATATATTCACAATATTGAAAGACTTTCGAAGACCAATAAAGAACTCTCGAATGAATTACAAAGCTTTCAATCTCAAATCAGTGACCTGAAAGAGAACTGCAAAAATTTAGAGGATCAACGGAAAAAGCTGAAAGATGAGCTGTCTCAAAGTTCTTTCGTCACCCCACGCGCTCAGTCTTCCGCAGATGTATCTTTTCCCATGTCTCCAACTTCTGACATGAGTTCGCCCTCAGGGAGTGGTAGACCATACTCCTTAGCAATCATGAGAGCCGAATTCAGGAAGATTTTGAGTGAAACTCAGAAGAAATATGAGCGAGAACTACAAGAAGAACGACAAACAAGAAAACAGCTTGAAAAAGAGCTGGCTTCAAGGCAATACTAGCTTCAAGACCTCTGAATTCGAGAGAAATGGAATTTTAAACGCCTGATCTCACCTATTAAACAGAAGTGCTAATTTTGACGCGTGTGTTGCATTCCATGCTTCGTTAACCATTTACAATATCTAGATTTATGTATTATATGCTCCTTACAGTTTTCTAAATTCACTTAATACCGGGTAGATAGCCTCGAATGCCTGGTAAATTTCTTCTCTTTGCTTAGCACCCGTTAGCACAATCTTGCCCGACACAAAGATTAATAGTACAATCTTAGGCTTAACCATTCTGTAAATCAAACCTGGAAACAACTCTGGTTCATAAGACGAGAAAGTACCGTGCGAAAACGCAAGGCCCTCCAGCCTTATAGGGAACTTAACATCACAGGAACCCACAATATTTTGAATCTTGAAATCGGTAAATTTCGCACTGAAACCGATCTTCTGAATGATTCTCGCATATTTTCTACTAGCTAGTTTAGAATCGTCTTCGGATTTGGCACCGATTACGACCATTTTACCCGATGCAAAAATAAGTGCTGTTGTTTTAGGTTCCCTGATACGCATAATTACAGCTGCAAAACGTTTAGGATTATACTCAGCATTACGCGCATGCAGTGCTACAGTCTTCAAATCCAGGCGACAATCCAAATTTACTGTGGCGACAATATTTTGTAGGGTAGGTACGATACCTGATGTAGTTGCGTTTTGTTGCTCATCATCCTCCGTTTTAGATGCCTCCAGATTTTGGGACTTATCTTGGGATTCCCATACAGATCTTGTGCTTGGGTCAAAAACAATCTTGTTAGCTTCTTGGAAGTCTTTCAAACGAGATTCCTCTGACATCTTTACGATGCTGTTAAAGAAGGTTAGTTAATAATGTTGATATTCACGGGGAAGTTTTGAAATTTTCTTAAAAATTTTCTTAATATAGTATACTTTTGTACGTACTAATTTAGGATAGTTACTCAGTCGATCTCATTCACACATCAATCAGTATATTTCGCGACTGTTCAGGTATTCACTTATATTTCCCTAATTGGAACATTTAATTTGAATCGGCAGGACTAAATTTTTACTGAATTCTGCAGCCCTACAGGGAAGATTGTGCTGCGATGGATGATCGAAAACTTCAAATTGGGACGCTGTACGCGCTTAGCCACGAGTACTCTGATCATGCACATAAGATTGCAGGTTCTGTGAGTACAGAAGATGAAATGAGACAGTACTATACTCTAATTTCAATGTCAATTAAGGCGTTGCAAGCTATTAAAGAACAGTTCCAGTTGACCGCTGAACAAGATGTAGTGGTCACGGTGGAATTAAGCGATCTTTTGATTAAAGAAACCCATAATTTAGATTTAGCAGAAATGTATCTTTCTAGTGTCAGAGAGAGGTTACGAGAAACCACACTTTTTCATGAAAAAATGCTCATCGAATTCTTTCTATTTCGTGTGGCTAAGGCAAGAGATGATTCACGGTACACCAGAGAGGCGATTCGAAATTTGACTAACTTGCTCGAAATGCTTGAAACCACGAACTCTCCTTGGAGTGATGTTTTCCGTTTCACATATATTCAGTTTTGTGAGCGTGAAGAAAAACCGGGCCATGTTGCCGCCAAGTATCTTGAAGTACTTGAGCGTACAAAAGTTCACAAAGCACTCCATTCTTTTCTTTTATGCCGATACGTTTGCTTTTGCCTAGAAAATTGGATTGAAATACGGGATGATTTATTAACTGAGTTGTTGGCAATAGAAAATTCTGAAGATTTACCCATTCAGCTTATACTTTGGAAGCAATTTGTCGAGCTTCTTGTTTTAATATTCAAAGATGAAAATATAACGTCAAAACTTTCGGACTTCAAAACTATCTTAAGCTCCCACAAGAAAGAATTGCTAGCAAGTCACTTTGAGCTTTCTGTGTCTCCTGAAATAATTATAACTGTCGAGAGCCCAATCCTTCAATATGCAGACGTGAAAAACATTTTACTTTTCTTACAGAGTGTTAGCTATCTTACAAATTGTTATGATAAACGTACTAACTTTTCGACAAAATTCATTCCAAAGGTTAAGAAAACGACGAACGAGCTTATCAAAGCCCCCCACTCTTCCAGTCTTTCAGATCAAGGATCAAGATGTTCCTTTTATGAGAGGCTTTTAGAATTATGTGCATTTTATGAGTCCTTAGAGGGGCTCATTCTCCATGCAAATTGTGAGGAACAGAGTATTCCAAACAAATATAAACCATTGGTGGATGGGATGAAATATCAGCTAGAGCTAGATTCGCAAAAGGCTTTGGCCAAGTTTTCTGAGATTTCAAACTTTGAGAAGGACCCTGAATTGGAATTGATCACTCTTTGCAATGTATTTAATATTCATTTGGGTACAATTAGTGCTGCTGGCCAAAATGTTTCGTTAGATCAGTATAAAATAGCAAATGACACATGGGACCGCATTCAAAAGATTTATCAAGGGTATGGGTTTGATCAAAATCATATTTGGCGATGCACCATTACAATTCTCTGGATCACAAGCCATTTTGAACCTTTCACAAACGTTCAGTTAGCTAAAACGGATAATGAACCATATATGGACCAATTGAAATGGTACTACTTGGGCAATAGACTTTCGGGGGGAGGAAGTGGAGATGGGAACAATGAAGAAAGTAACACAGTCATCGACAAAAGTCCACCGTTGAAAAAATCTTTACTATTGCACTTTTTATTGAACTACTTGGCAGGTTCAATGGTTGTTCACGACCTACAAGAAAAATGTCAGGTATCAAACACATGTTTCCACATGGGCAAGCAACAAGCGATGCCACTGATGAGGTATTTGGCAGGCATTTGGAATTTGATCAATTGCAGTTTAGCTATGAAAGGAAAGGACGTTGCCGTTACCAAAGCAAAACTATCCTCGCTGGTACAAAAATTGCTTGAGTCTGGATTTACCGAGACATGAAGAAGTTCGCGCATGCTAGGAAAATAATAAAATACTTGAATAAAGAATAATAATGGATTTACAGAGGTAGCATTCATGGTGGTTTGCTATTCTATTTTTTTTACATAAAAAACGGTACAAATAGAAAATTGCATGTAATTTGGCTGGAAAAAATCATTTTTGAGATGCAGTTCTTTTGTTGTAAGCAGCACCTGCTATTTCAGACTTGACGCTGCTTTCACTGTTAACAAGATGACCCCTATCATCCAAATCAACAGTACCACCACTTTGGAACAAAGAAACATCGCCAACTAACAAACCTAAAGTGTCCAGAACTTGTTGAGGGTCTGTCAAATGGGCTTTGGCAACGGTTTTCTTAGATGCCGAACCCACAGTAACTGGATATATACCATAATGACCCCATTCGTTTGTGTCCTTGGGGAATTTGGATTGCCATTGACTCTCAATACTATTGAGTTGCCTAAACATATCCTCATCAGTAGCATCATCACCGAGGCACAGAATGAATTCTGGAAGTTGATCTTTTGGAACGTTTTCATCGGGGGTAAACTCGTCATTTCCCAATTGCTTCTCACCATGAGGATGCCAAACCAATCTCTTGACGATTTCTCCCTTGTTGACGAATTTGGGACGTACCTCTATATTGGCTTTACCTTCCATTACTTCCAAACCCAAATCTTTTGTAAATTCTTCTAATTTTTCCTTCATTTTAGCTGCATTGAATTCACCGAGTTCCGGATCGGCTCTTCTGTAATGCCACGTGAGGGCGACCTTCTTACGTTCAATAGAGGAGCCCGGTGTGTGTAATGTGTAATGATCCATAACCTCGCTTACTTTGATTTGCCAGGACATATCAAACTTAGTGGTCAAGTTAACCCAATCCGTGGATGATACGTCTTTTAAGAAGCATCCGTGCTCTGCGCTTAAACCTAGTTGTGGCATGCGAGAACCCAACCATTTGGAAAGAAACTGCTGGTCACGTCCCGAAATGATCCAGATTTGATTTTTAGGATCGGCAGCCAATTTGGATAAGATTCTGTAAAGTCTGGCACTTGGAATAGCTGCGGCGGGGTCTTGTACGATAGGTGTTAAAGTACCGTCATAATCGAAAAGAAAGAGGCGACGTTTTGCAAGTTGGTAGTTTTTCAACAGGAGCGGTCTATTCAAAGCGGGTGTGATCTTGTTATCCTGGGATTCCTTTTCGGCAATGGCAATCATGCGAGCCAAAAATTTGTCGTTCCAGTCCTGAATGGTGGGTACACAAGACCAAAGCTTACACTCTAAAGAAACCTTTTCATCCGCTGGCATTAAAAGGGCTTTGTTGATCGTTTTCGCTACGGCTACTGAGTCCCAAGGGTTCACGATCAAAGCATCTTTCAAAACGGTGCTGCTACCAGAAAACTCGCTTAATACCAATGGGTTTGCGTAACAGTTTTCATTTGATTTTTTGCTTTTCACAGTCACATACTCAAGGGCGGTTATGTTCATTCCATCTCTAACACTGGTAATCACGCACAGATCAGCAGCCCGTAGTAATGATAGATACACGTCTCTTGGGATTCGCATGTGGTAATGCTGGACGGGGGAAAAATTGAGGTTACCGTATTGGGAGTTGATGGAGTTGACGAGATCGTTGACCTGTTGTTCCAATCTCAAGTCGATTTCGGCGGATCCGGGACTACTGGCCTGGATGAGCACGACTTTATCTCTCCATTGGGGGAACATGGCCAAAAAGGTTTCAAATGCTTGTAACTTCTGAACGACTCCGTTGACGGTGTCCAGTCTATCGCTACCAAAAATGATCTTTTTGCCCACGTACGCTTGTTTGATGGTGGCGACTTTCTGGTCTATGTCGGAGGTGAATGCTTCGGTGAGCAGGCCGTGGGTGTCGACGCCGATGGGGGAAGAGTCCACGACGACATCACCGCCGTAAGCGCTGATGAGCCACCCGTCGGTACCGTCGTCTTTGGATTTCATCTTTGTGGATGTGGAGTCGAGCAACCGTTTGCAACCAGACACAAAGTGCCTTGCGAAACCAAAGTTTTGGAAACACACGCGGTTGCTTCCGAGAATGCCGTCCAGCAACAGTTTACGCTTGGAGAGACAACGGAAGTACTCGTTACTGGGCCAAGGGGTGTGGTGGAAATAGGCGATCAGCGCATCCTGGAAGCGCATGCGCAGCAACTGGGGCAACAGCATGAGATAGTAATCGTGGACCCAGATGATGTCGCCGGGTTGGTATATCTGGGCGACCTTCATGGCGTAGGCCTCGTTGAACTTGACGTAGTCGTACCACCAGGTATTTTCCTTTTGGCCGTCGTCGGGGGGGTTTAGAATGTAGTGGAGAGCGGGCCACACGACGTTTTCCGCGTACTCGCGCCAACGGCTCTGGTCCCTACGCAGCAGCCACACGGGGTGGATGGTGAGTTTGTGCTTGGCGTCTTCTTCGTTTTGGAGCATTTCGGCCAGCACGCGTTTCTCTTCTTTGGAGAGGTAGAGCGGGTCCTCGCTGGCGTCGCCGCCCATGTACTTGGAGTCCTTGTCGCTGACGGGGGCGGGCTGGTCCGTGGAGGCCACGTACGCGAAGCCGTTGCCGGGGTCGATTTCGCCGGTCCAGCCCACGACGTGTTCCTCCCACTGAGAGCTGTCGCGGAGATAGTAGAGCGAGGAGTAGAGGGCGCTGTTGCCCATGACGGGGGTAATCTGCCAGCCGCAGCCCTTGGTGCCGGTTGCGGGGTCTAGCGAGTCATTTCTGCTGATCTTGTAGGGGAGTTGCGAGACGCAGTTGATGATGCGGCCGGAAACGCCATTTGACGGCTTGTCGGTAGGCATGGTAGGAGTGGCAGCGCGAGTGAATGCGGTGGGAGCGGTGGGGATCTGTGAGGACTCGACAGCGTTTTGTGAGACTCGACAGCGTTTTGTGAGACTCGACAGCGTTTTGTGAGAGTCGACAGCGATGTTTTGCTTCGGAGAGCGCGTTGCCCCTTTCCAGGAGCGGGCGGCGAGAAGGGTCGCGGCGTCGAGAGCGCACAGAACGAATTGTCACGCGACGGCGGGGGCCGTGCGCGGTGACGGGCGCGGGGGTCGCGGTCACGTGATCACCACACCTCGAACACGCGGCTCATCAACAGGTACAGTTTGGCCAGGATGTCCTGGGCGGGCTGCTGGACGGGCAATTGCGGGGGCTCGAGGATCGCGGGCTTGCAGCTGGGCTGGTTCTGGTTGATCTGCGAGATGCACTGGAGGTTTGCGTGGACGCGTTTGAGGTACTGGGAGGTGATGTTTTGTTGTTGTTCTGCGGGGAACTGGGAGGGCGTGTTGTTCATCTGGTTGATGCGGGCCAGCAGCACGCTGTTGATGTGGAGCAGGAGTTGGATTTTGTACTGTTTTTGTTCCTGGGTGGCGTCCATTGGTTGGTGTTTGGGGCGTGGGATGGAGATGGAGCGGAGGCGAATTTTTTGGAGGAGCGAGAGCGGGCGGCAGAGCGGGCGGCAGAGCGGGCGGGACAGGAGAGGAGGAGAGAGGAGGGGAGGAGAGAGGAGGGGAGGGGAGAGAAGAGCGAGGCGGGAGGGCGCCGGGAGGGCGCCGTGAGCCGGCGCTGTGGGAAGCCGGCGAGCTGTGGGAGGCACGTGACCGGCGCGTGGCCGGGTAAGCAGCACGTTGCCGCCGTTGTGTGTCGCCGCCGGGTAACCGCTGCCGCCGGGTAACCGCCGCGAACGCGCCGCGGCCCCGTCCCGTTTGCCGCCCGCCGCCCCGCCGCCGCTCCGCGGACGCTCCCGCGGCGCCGCCCGCTCGCGCCCGCGCGTCGCACATACGTCGCACATACGTCGCGCATGCGTCGCGCAACCCCGCCTCGCTCGTTCCCCTAGCGCCGCACGGCCGCTGCGCGCCGTGCGCGACGACCTGTTCCCCGCCATGACGTACGTGCGTCGCGGCGGTCTTCGCCGCCGCCGCCGTGCCATTCTCCAGCTGCTCGCAGCCCCGGGGCACGCCCGCGCTCGCGCGGGACCCCGGAACCTCGGATCCTCTGGCGGAGCCGGCGCCAAGCGCCGGCTCCAACTCCAATCTCCGGCAGCGCTCGGTGCCGCCGGGCCGCTGTCTCCGCCCATATCCGCTGCCTCCGCTTGTCTCCGCCGCCCCTGGTAACTGCACCCGTTTCCGGCCCCCCAAATACGCACATCCGTACACCCGCCTCGCGCACAATGCACACTCGGCGTTTGACCTGCATTCTGGCCGCGCGGTTGCCCCAGAACACGCCGCAGCGCGGCGCGCGTCGCGTCGTGTCGCGTCGCGGATTTCTCACGCCGTACGTCGGGCATCGCCCGCGGATCCCGGATCCTCTGGCCCAAAACCAGCGTTGGCCACCGCAAGGTTGGCTAGTCGGCGTCGCGGTGGGCGCCGTCCACTCCAGCGCAACGGATCCGTTGCGGTTTCCACGGAGGAGCCAGTGGATGCGAGTGTGAAACGTCGTAATACGTAGTGCGCAAGTGTGAGACCGCATCGCAATCACTAAAAGCGGGCGGAGAGCGCTAGGCGCGGACCGTACAGGCGGGCCGTACAAGCGGGCCGCCCTCGGCGGTAGGGCTCTTTTCGCGAATGCGGTGATTCTTGGAATATTAGGTTTATAGAAGAAGGAAAGAGTGGCGCGTCTTGAGCGGCGTCCAGCCATCCAGTTAGTGGCTGAGAATAACAGGCACCGTCGGTGGAAACCACGTAAAAAGCATAACACAGCGTCGGATTGTGATCAGAACTGGACTTGATAAGTAGTGGAGTTTGCTTCGAGCGAGTTGTCAGTGAACGCCAGTCAGAGAAGCTAGAGAACGTCAGTGAACGTCAGTCCGTGAACGTCAGTCCGTGAATTAGTGAACGTTAGTGAACGTTAGCAGTGAACTTAGCCAGTGAACTTAGCACCTACGCTAGTGAACTTAGCCAGTGAACTCAGCCAGTGAACTCAGCACCTACGCTAGTCCCCCATCCTCGTCAGGTCCGTGCTCAGTGCCACCCCCATCTCGCACGTTGTCGCACCCGACCCCCCCTCCTCCGCTGCTGACGCCGACCTCGCGGTCGGCGCCCGCCCCGCTGCGCTTCGCCGCCAGCGTCGTGTGCCGCCTCTACCGCGGCGCCACCAACCAGCGCAACCCGCTCACGCTCGCCCTCAACTTCTGCGTCAACTTCGCGCCCGTGTTCGTGTGGCTGCTCATCTTCAAAAACGCCGGCGCCATCCCCAACGGCGTCCGCCCCCGCATCCACAACCAGCTCGCGTTCCTCGCAGACCAGTTTCTGTTCGGCGACATCCACGGCGAGCTGCCCCAGCAATTCGGCGACTCCGACCCGGCCCGCGTCGCGCGTCGCGCCACCGCCTTCTCGGCCGCCGCCTTCGCGCTGCTGGTGCTGGTGTTCGTGCCGCTCTCGCTCTGGTACTACATCTACTACTGCCACCGCGTGTCCTTCAACGTGTTCGACTGGTACGACCGCGAGTTCCACGCCCGCGCCCGCTTCCGCCCCGCTGCCCCGCGCGCGCTGCTGCCCTTCCTGTTCCCGCTCTACGTCTTCGTAGTGCTCAACCTGGACTCGCTGTTGGCGTCGCAGGACGAGGTCAACTTCACCAAGTTCAAGGACCTGCTGGCGTGGTTCTCCTACGTGTTGCTGCACTTGCTCGCCCCCATCTTCACCGCCATCTACCTCTACGTGTTCCAGCCTCCTGGCACCCTCAAGGCGTTCTCCCTGGCCCTGGGCTTGCAGAACATCTGCGGCGTGTGCACCCACCTGCTGCTTCCGATGGCGCCCCCGTGGTTCATCCACATGTATGGCATCGCAGACACCGCGCACGTCTCCTACGACCAGGAGGGCTACGCCGCGGGGCTCACCCGTGTGGACACCCACCTCGGCACCCACCTCAACTCCAACGGCTTCCACAAGTCGCCCATTGTGTTTGGCGCGGTGCCCTCTTTGCATTCTGCCATGGCCGTCCAATGCTTCCTCTTTCTCATCACCAGGGCAACCTCCACCAAATCCCACGCCGTCTCCAACTACGCCGCGTCTAAGAGCTGCCCGGACCCAGACCAGGATTCAGAGGACAAAGACACCGAGGCCCTCGAGCTCGAGTCCCTCTCCAACTCCCTCGACAGCTCCGACACTCCGCTCGTCGAGTCCGCTGTCGTCATCCCGCAACTCGGCCTCAACAGCAACTGGCTTTTCATTTTCCACAAGGCCCTGTTGCCAAGGACCCTGGGAACCGCGTTCCCGATTCTACAATGGTGGAGCACCATGTATCTAGACCATCACTATCGTTTTGACCTGTTCATCGGCATGCTCTACGTGATAGTCAGCTTCACGCTCATCAACACCTTGTATTTGCAACGCCACGTCCTCAAAAGGTGGTGCGACGTTCGTCTTGGAAGAGCCCCAGACAACCGTCACGAGGGAAAAACCATGGGCATGAGAGTGTTTGAAGACACTCGCTTCGAATGGTTTTTCGACCCCTTCGCATAATGTGTCAATCTATTATTAAATGCCTTTTAACCAACGCTTTTGTATCTTCTTTTTTTTATTTCACTTTTATATGGCACAAATTAAATTACTATGTAATATCTAGACTGCACAGTCCAATCTTTTTGTCACGCACCTCTACTCTGGCTTGCCACCTGGCACGAGCATAGATATGTTGTTTCCACTCAGCAGCATCTTGCCCGCGTGTCTTTTAACTTCGTGATCACGGTCATATTCCACAACATCTTCCAGAACAATGTTCACAAAGTCGTCAAACCCCACTAGCGTGCCCGTAAACTCGCGATGCGACGTTAGCATCACCCATATAGGCTGTCCAACCGTCTTGTCGATTATCTCTAGAGGTAATATCTCCGCTGCTGACATGCCCGCTTCGTTTCCTTTTCAATTGGCCAACCCGGTGAAGATTTGAAATGCTTGTTGTAGTTTTAAGAAACTGAAATATCATCCCGTGCGTGATGATATGCTCCGCCCTATTACCAACCCTCTTCTTTAATATCCTCTCGCCTTCAATATCTACATCTTATTCCTTACATACAAACGCCCATGGTTTGGGGAAAGGTTTAGCAGCTCCTGTCCTCATGTGACGCTCTTTTCGATGTTTAAAACCACAATTTCACGAAATCATAGAGGGAAACTGGCGTTCATTTTCCCAATTTTGACTGCCTGACAAATTCAACACCGACCAGCCGTGGACCAACCGCAGTACTAGTCCAAATACCTGTTCAGGCTTTTCAATTACCTCTTCAAAGTAGCATTCTACCGTCTTTCAAAGAATGTCATGTTTGACGTACTATCAGAATACTTTGGTGGCAACAAGTTCTTCGCTCTCCAGAGACATTAGCTAACGTGAGTAACAGCCAACAACGATGTCATCCACACTGCCCCTGCATATGTATATCCGCCCATTGATCCTCGAGGATGCACACGACGTGTCCGAGCTTGAGAGTCGAGGGTTCCCCCCAGAAGAACGCGCTTCTTCGGAGACGATCGCCTTCCGGTTGACTGTCTGTCCTGAACTATGCTCTGGGTTGTTTATCCGTGAGGTCGAGGGCCAAGAAGTTAAGGGTGAAACTCTCATCGGTCACATTTTGGGCACAAAAATCCCAGGTGCCAACGACTCTAATCGCCAGGCTTTCATCACGCTCGAAAGTATGGGCAAGGTCCACGACGAGGCCTCCTCCACCGTCGCCATTCACTCCGTGGTCATTTCTCCTGAGCACCAAAAGAAGAACCTAGCCACACTCTTACTTACGGACTACATCCAGAAGCTAAGCAACCAAGAAGTCGGCCAAAGAATCGTAATTATCGCGCACGAGCCCTTAGTTCCATTTTACGAACGCATTGGCTTCCAAGCCGTAGGTGAAAACGAATCCGTCAAGAAAGACCCCGCATTTGGCAAGGCCAAATGGTGTGACATGGTCAGGGAGTTGGTCAAGGAAGAGTACGAGAGCTAGGCTTGTGGTGCCCACCGTGTCTTTGGCAGCTTGTGGTATGCCAGAGCTCCTGCATAGGTACTGCGATAGGCCTTGTGCAGTACGAAGCCTAGCATCCTCTTTGCTACGTGTTATGTAAGATAGTCTTCCTTCATATACAATATTGGACTTCGTTCCTCTTTTAACTTACTCTAACCAATTGCTTCGTAGCTGGTTCGTAGCTTGTTTTCAATCCAATTCTCAAAACCTATAGCAACTATGCAACGAATGCCTCTCTTCATACACCCAATTCCCATGTTTCGAGAAATCCCATGAATCCAACGTCTCCCCCGTCTTGAGAAATCACTAAAAGTCATCTGTAGAAATTTCTTTAATGTGATATTTTCCATTTCTTTCTGGGCAAAAATAAGGGATCCACACATCATATTACGCCTTGTTCGTTGCTCTAAGCGCAAACCGCTAAACAGTAATGTACCCCATACACCCTGACATGTACTCAAAGCTTCGCCTTCCCCGGGTCTGAATTGTATATATATATATATATATATAAGTGGGGAAGCAAGACAAGGGTGGGCACTCATTAGCACTTTTCCTTTTCCTTTTCCTTTTCGTTAATATCTAATTAGTAACAAATGTTGGGACAAATTATCAAGAATACAGAAGCACTGGTGGCGAAGAGCGCCCGTACAAATAACGTGTCCGTTTCAATGGTCTCTCAGAGCGTGTCTACTGGCATGGCTCGTAGTTTCGTGACAACCCCCGCGGCGATGCTGCCAAAATCAAGCGATGAAGTATCCCAGAGTGAACTCGACGCCAACAAGGCCAAGCTAGAAGAATTAGAGAAAGAGCATGTCAAGGGACAGTCTTTCTCTGGCACCTTCAAGAGACCAAGTGAGGAAGAGTTGAAGAAAAGAGGTGAAGATGCCCAAATCGAGCAACAGAGACCAGATGATGGTGTCTACTAAGGATCTAGTGATGTAATCACCATTTGGGGACGGTCGATGTAACCTGTCCTCTTTATGGCTACATATATACATTCATATTTTAACTATTTATTCGCATGATGTAAAATGTGCAATTCCTATCCACGATAGAATTCCCGGGGTGAACATTGGACCTCTGAATGCATCTTTGAGGTCATAGTCCTTGGAAACGCTTGATTTGCGAAGGGAATCACATCGGCTGCGATATTGTCGCCACTTCAGGACCCTGGATCTAGTCTTATCTAACGTCTTCTACTTAGTTGATCCTATCATGTGACTTCCTTTTAGGAGAACCAGAAATTCACCCTCTGACACAAGAAACCATTTGTGGGTAGGATGACTAAAACGATAGAGAGCGAAGCAGGAGGCATCCTACAGCAAGACTCTATGCCTCACAGCGATACTAATAAGCTGTTTTGCAAATCGACTACTCAGCTTTCTGCAATAGTAGATAGCTTCGTCACACAAGATGGTGACGATCATGACATGGAAACCCTATTGCAGGAGTGCGTAGATACACTCGTAAACTACCAAGAGGAAGTGAAAAAAATCAAAAGGATAGGAGCAGGACATGCAGTTAGGGCTAAAGATGTAGTCACCTGTTATGAGTCTGCGTTCGTGTACTACAAGATCGTGTCGCAGATCGTGCTCAATAAGATCCCAGGCCTCGAACAGTTTTCGAAAGCAAAAGTTGCTCCCAGAAATGATAAAGAGAAAGGTCTTATGGAGATTTACAACATGCTAGTCAAAACTTTACTAACAGACGAAAAAATCGCAGAGATTCGCAAGTTTATTAAAGATCACTCTGCAAGTTCAAGTCCGGCGTCAACGGAAAAGCACGAAAATGGGGTGGACTTAAATTTGAAAAACGGACAATCTATAACGTCAGAGAAAGCTCTTTCTCTCATGAAACAATCCAAGATACTTTGCATCGATGTGAGACCTCGCATAGAATTTATAGAATCGCATATCAAATGCGCTTCCATCATGTGTATCGAGCCGATCTCTTTTAAGAACACATATTCTGATGCTGAAGTTTCACGAAAGTCACTAATCACTAGCCCAAACTCTGAAATTGAGATTTTTCAAAAGAGGGATGAGTTTTCATTTATTCTTATTTACACAAATGAGTCGGAGAAAACCGGATTCTGTACACAACAGCAAGCAGCATTGCTAGACCTTTTGATCAATCGATCATTTGAAAAACCTTTAAAAAAAACAGTCGTGTTGACATTGCGAGGCGGATTTCACAGTTGGTGCCTAAATGGGGGTCCCTGCGAGACCTCTCGTAATCAGGACGACAGCATTTATATCAATGGTGACATATCTTCATTAAGCCTCCAGGAATTGCCTAAACTTAATCGGCGAAATCTTGATAACAGCTTTCAGCCGATGTTGACCAATCCCAAAGCGGATGTCGAATCAGGGCGGACTTCACTTTTCTTTCCGGATCAACAGCATGGAGGACTGAAGCGAAGCTCAAGTTTCAAAAATGCTTTCTCGACCTTGACTTCTCCTTCAAGGTCAAGCTCACCGTCATTTCAAACACCTGACTCTGGTGGAATGAAGTTTACTACATATCCAGAAACTCCTAAGCTCGTTACATCTAATTTGGGCGTAAAGCCTCTTCCTCAAATTTCGCCCATTCAATCCAGAGCGTTGACGCCACTTTCTAGGAGCTTCACTCCTCCTCGCGTATTTTCCAACAATCAAATAAACAGCCTTTCAATGGATGGGTCGGGCAAAGCTCGGGTCTTCTCTCCACCCCCAAGGCAGCCACTGCCCGTATTACCTCAAAAGCAGGCTACTGATGTTCACACTCTACAACACCCTTCAAATTCAAAGGATTTGGATTTTTGTGTAGGTTTAGTGAATTTGGGCAACTCGTGTTATATGAACTGTATTATTCAATGCCTCTTGGGGACTCATGAACTTTCTCAAATATTCCTCAACGATTCTTATAAAAATCACGTTAATTTGAATAGCAAGTTGGGTTCAAGAGGTGTACTCGCCAAGTATTTTTCCAATCTGGTTCATATGATGTATCAACAGGGCAAATCTCTAGCGCCAATAAAAAAGCGGACCAATAGTGATGAAAAGACTGCTGTGCAGCCCCTTCATTTCAAAGTCGCTTGTGGTTCTATCAATTCTCTCTTCAAGGGATCCTCGCAGCAAGACTGCCAAGAATTCTGCCAGTTTGTTCTAGACGGATTACACGAGGACCTCAATCAATGCGGTGGGAATCCCCCCTTAAAGGAACTTTCTAGTGAGGCAGAGAAAGTTCGTGAAAAACTGTCAATGCGGATAGCATCATCTATTGAGTGGGAAAGATATCTCACGACAGATTTCAGTGTTATAGTGGATCTGTTTCAGGGCCAGTATGCATCTCAACTGAAGTGCAAAGTATGTGGGCGTACCTCGACAACATACCAACCTTTTTCTGTTCTGTCCGTTCCAGTTCCACGTGGTACTCGTTGTGATATCCTAGATTGTTTCAAAGAGTTTACTAAAATCGAGACGTTGGAAAAAGATGAACAGTGGTCTTGTCCTGACTGTAAGAAGAAACAGCCTTCGACGAAAAAAATCACGATTACTCGCCTGCCAAGAAACCTCATCATCCATTTAAAACGATTCGATAATATGCTCAATAAAAACAATATTTTTGTGAACTACCCCTACACTCTCGATTTGACATCGTTTTGGGCTAATGATTTCGACGGAAGACTTCCACAAGGTGTTACCGAGTTGCCAACCAGAGGCCAAGTACCACCTTTTCGCTATAACCTTTATGCTGTGGCAGCACATAGTGGAACATTATATGGTGGTCATTATACGTCCTATGTCAACAAGGGTTCTCCACAAGGGTGGTGCTATTTTGATGACACTAACTGGAGAAAGGTCAAAAATGATAAAGAATGCATAACACAGAATGCGTATGTCTTATTTTACCATCGTGTTTACGGTATATAGAGTGGAGGCTTACTTAATGACTAATGAAATTACTTACTTACTCCCAATCGTCGTCTTCATCGTTATCATCATTGACTTCATTATCATCATTGTCAATCCCCGGCTCGCTCATGTCTTGAGCCAGTTTACTGTCGGAGGGAGCGATTGAAGTAGAAGATAGGTTCGCATCAGGCGGAATATCTTCATTGGCCGTAATTTTTTCCACAATTACTGGACTGTCCTCTTCGTCATCATCCCATCCAATTTCTTCGTCAGTCTTTAGTGTTTTTTCTAGGATTTCCTTCCTTATGTTTTCTTTTGCCAGTATTTTCTCTTTACTGGAAAAGTAGATGGCCCAGAAATCTTGATAACTGATTTTCTCAGGGACTATATCGTTCATAAGTTTCCGCAGGTGTTCATCATGCGCTAGCAATTCTGTTATGTCGGAGGTATAGTTGTCCGCGGCAAAAGTCTTTGGAAAGTCGTCTTTGTAGTTCAAATAAAATTCGGGATCACTTGACAGCTGCCTGAGTTCAGCCTCTGTTCTAGTTGCGGCTGCATTCCTGTATGCTGTACTTTGAGACTCTTGGGATTTTTCATTCTTGAAAGTGACAACATCGTCGAACTTAGATCCTAAACTATCTGCCATCGAGGACCAGAATGATTTACCGGACACTTTACTCCAATATCCTTGTGCTATAGTTTCAACACTCTGTAGATGACTATCTAGCGTTTTCAAAGCATCTTGAGCTTTGCCAGATAATTCGGAATTTAATGGCAGCTTTAGCTCTATTTCACCGTCCTCACCAACAAATTTCTTGATCGCCTTAGTAGTACGCTCGTACTGAACATCAATCCTATTTTCTAATTTATTGAAGGCTTCCTCAGTCTTCTTATCACGAATACCATCAGCTTCAGTTTTCTCACTGCTGGTAGCTTGCTCGTCGTAGAAAAATTCCATTGTTTCTATAGCTGACTCTCTTTTGAAATCATTTTCTGATAAGTTCTTGAAATTTTCTCATTGCAAGTAACCAAGAAAAGGGAACATACTCCCATAGGCATGTCTTTGGTAACTCCTCTTTGCTTTAGTGCAATACAACCAAACCTGTATAGGGGTTCATACCCTAGAGAAATAAATTTACCATTCCTAGAAACACTGAGGTTGAAATACATTGTCTCACTCACCCCAGAACCTTTAACCAACGACAATGTCATGGCTTCTTTTTGCACTGATAAAGAGATCCAAACTCTCCATATAGAGTGCAGTAATGAAAAGAAGTCTAAAACAAAGGTCAAGAGAAAAAAAAAGCAAGTTCCCATCGAGTATGATGTTGTTGTTCAATGTGTACAATTTTTGATTGACAAAAGACATTATCCTTGCTATATTCACTGCACTAATGGAGAATTAGTCACATCTTTAGTCGTGGCATGTTTACGGAAACTTTCTTATTGGAGTACGGTGTCTATATTCAATGAGTACTTGACGTATACCTCAAGTATCAACATTCATGAACGTTCCTTCATCGAGAATTTCAATCTGGAAATTGAAATTAATGATCTGGATATGAAGGATAAAGTGCCTTGGATAATCACCAGAGCCGGAGATGCCACAAAAATTGATGATCGCGAAGGTCTTAAAGAGTTGGCAGTGTGCCCTTGCTTCCGCGACTTAAGTTTCACCTTGCTAAGAAATTGGAACAGGGTGCATGATGCATTTAAGTATCCGGAGGAGTTTCAAATCAAGTTCTGCCGACTTTCTCATCGTTCTTCCTGTGCAATGTTTTACATTCTAACGAATTTTGGATGATGTTAACAGATTTCTGCTATCTTGATAGTCATTCAGTTCGAACACATGAGTAGTGTCCTTTGCCATTGCTCCGTTTGAAGCCGAAATAAAGGCTAAGAAATATCATTTGTTGCACATATCATTTTAATAATGAAATATTCTACGAGTTAATGCAATTTTTTGGAACGCACCATAACGATGGTAACTTACCAAACATTCACATATCCCAGTTTCGTTAGTTGGATATGCAAAAGTCGATTCATGTGCGCAATAGCTATACGTAAGGAGGAAGGTGTATAATAATAATACTGATGTGTCATCCTAAAATCGTTCGATCTCTCAGTTTATTCAAAAAGATGCATTATGTTATATTTACTTAAGAAATGTAAAAATCAGCGGCTTTTACTGAAATAATAGAGCGGCAGCGATATCAGGGTTACCATTTGCCTGATTCAATGCCTTGAGGACCTCATTTCTTGAAAATCCCAAACTCATCAGTTGATTCATAGTCGATTCGGGATATTGCCTGGTTGATGAGGGGTTCGCTTCCAAAACGGGCCTTGGATTTTCGGATGGTAGTTGACTGCTGATTTTCTTTTCGGTTGCACCAGTCAGTGCTTCCTCTAGCTCTTTGGGAATTTCTGCTTCACTTAAGAATTTTGTTTCTGCGCCTGCGATCTTCAGAACATTATTCTTCAGATCGATGCACGCTTGATGTCTTTTTAACATATCTAGTCCTAGCAGCATATCAACATGAGTATCCAAGACCGTAAAACTGCAAGGGATATACTGTGTTTCAATCTTTACTTGAGCAGTATGGATTCGTCCCAGTATATTGCTCGTCCCAACGCCTCGTGCCTGACCCTGGAATCTTTTATCGATGAGTCGAAACAATCCGGTTCTCTGAGCAAGCTTGGTAGATATTATTGTAGCTTGAGCACCGGAATCAACAAAAGCCTTAACCGGGTGCCCATTTATTTCTAGATTAATGTACAACATGTGAACTGGCGTGAAAACCTCGGGAGTAAACTCAAGAGCATTTCTCATCTGCTCATCGATTTCCTGTTGGTTTATTAATTCTGTGATTCTCTCTTGGTTTTTAGCATCATCTGGATTACTCATCAGTTCTCTGTATTCGTTTTGCGGAATACCAAAAGGGTTTTGAGCCTGTTTATGGTTCCTTCCCTGCATTAGAAAAGGGCCGACACGTTCACGAAATCGTTGGGCATCATTTATAATCTCCTCTATTCCAGGTGTCTGGCTAAAGAGTTGGTTACGCAAGGAGGCGTCATGAAGTAGCTCTTGTCTAACCCTCTCAACATACTCTTCCTCGCTGGGAACCTGTTCTGTGGAGCCTGTACGCTTCTGGCGTATGACCAGTAGCTCATCATCGGAAATGCCCACCTCTTGCATAGTTTTTGTCTCCCCCGCTCTCAATGGTTTCATGTTATGCAGTAGTTCATGCTTGTCTTCCTCAAAGCCACAATCGAACTGCACCAGTGCAAAGAAATCTTGCAATGGCATATCGGATGATACATCAAGGGGGCCATACACTTGATCTGTTATCTCATTAGAAATTGTAATCTTCATTTTCTTTTTGAATACAATTAAGCAGCGATGTTGTTCAAGTTGGTTGGGGGGAGGGGCGATTGACTTTCCTGATTTGCCATCGATAATTGCAAGCCTAAAATATATCACAAACATAACATGACTCAGCACACGAAAGAATTATCTAGTAAATAATAGATTTTAAGCATTTGCTAGAATCTCAAAACGAAAATCAATTATTCAAGTTTGTTTTACCGAGCACTAGCGAGGGCTTGTCCTTAATCTCCATATAGTGTTAAAATACTAGCTAAGTTTTTAATCATAGTGGCCACAACTGAAACCGCAACCCCACTGCGCCATGTAGCCTTTCCTTTCACTAATTCACTGCCATGCTTACTATCTTCATTAAATCACTTATGAACAAGATCAGCTTTTGGCGTAAGAGCACGTTGCGTTCCTACGTCGATGTATATATACTTTCTTCCAGTTATTTATGACAAGACAAATAGATTTATTTGACTAACTACTAATCTTAATTAAGGAATTTCTCATTAACGCAAATCATATCTTTCAGCAAGCCTTCCAAGGAATCTTGGTATTTTGGAGCGCTGATAATTTAATTCCAAAAATGACATTTTAGTCCCTTAATTTTGATTAGAACTTCAAATCAATCCCATAGATAGTTCTAATATCATGAAGAGGGAACGTGAGGAAGTCGTCTCATTACCAATAGATTATCAAAGCAAACATACTGAAGATTTCAATTCAGCATGTAAGACAATACTTGAGATAGATCCCTCTCTTCTCGATACAATTGTTTCTGGGGACTTTCCACTGTTTCTGAAAAAGGAACAAGAGCTCATGACCCTTAATCATCACTTCACAAAGCTAGCAAGCAGTATCTTATCCCAGCAGATAAGTGGAAGTGCAGCGATGAGCATTAAGAAAAAAGTGACTGAATTGTTTGCGGGCAGCTTTCCAACTTATCAAGACATTTCTAAACTTATTGCTAATGGTGATACTGCAAAACTACGTTCTTGCGGGCTATCAGGACGAAAGGTTTTATATCTGGAGTCTTTAGCAACGTATTTTAATGACAACGAGGATGCGATAGCTGTTCTTTTAAAACAAGATGATGATGAAATCATCGAGGCACTGGTCAAAAACGTAAAAGGTATTGGTCCCTGGAGTGCTAAAATGTTTCTGGTAACAAGTCTAGAGAGAATGAACGTGTTTGCCCCCGAGGATTTGGGAGTAGCTAGAGGGTGTTCAAGATATTTGGATTCTCGGCCTGATGTCTTGAAGGAGCTGCTCAATAAAAGAGTGGCAATAAAAAGAAGTAAAATCAAGCATAAGAAAAGCAACTGGAAGATATACGACGAAGATATCGTTGATAAATGTGGCCAACTATTTGCACCATACAGAACTGTCTTCATGTTCATTCTATGGAGACTCTCAAGTACGGACGTAGATGCCATGGCAAAGAACTCGACCTCCTGATAAACTAAAAGAAGCCTATCAAAATGCTACCTTCTGATAATTCAATTTCTGCCGCGGTTCTTTCAGGCCGAACCGAAATGGTGGAAATACAAAATTCCCCAAAACTCAAGGTCAAACGTTTTTAAGCAGTTAATTCCTCTAATTATAATTAAAATATGATCTCTGCGTTGCGAAGATATTTTAAGATCTCATCTTTTTGTCTATTTACTATTGATCTGTTGATAGGCCTTTGTCATACTTGTCACATAAGACTTTATAAATATATTTACAAGATTTTGAATTTCACTTTGCCAGCTTTGAAGCTGCTGAAAGAATTTTACTGCCATTTTGGGTCTGTTGCTTAGAAAACAATCCACCAATTAAAATTCTCATCGGAACTCTGGGCTTCCTTAATTGAGAAGCAAACACCAAAGCATTAGTTAATAAGGCAATGGCACCAGCTTGGTGTAATGATGCGAGTGACACCGGAACTAAGTATATCAGCGTGGCAATTCCTAGTCCAAGTTGCAAAGTAACGATGCCCATCATCGAATGCATTGACTTCAGGGCATTTCTTGGTATAAGGTTCTTTCTCTTGTTGCAGTACATATGAACCGCTAGAACAGCAAAAAAGGTGGAAGTGGCAAAAATTCTATGATTCAACTGCACAGTTGTGGGATTTTCCAGCATATTCCTCCAAATCAAGTCACTCTGGTCTTTTTTGCGAGCGAAATTCTTATCCATGAGTTCCCTTTTGCTAGGGATCCAGTCATCACCCATATGAGGAAAAGTGTTGTAGATCAAACCAGCATCCAAGCCGGCTACAAGCCCCCCCGTCATAGCGGTGGCAAATGTCAATCCCAGTAAGCCTAATGAAAGCCCTCTTAGCGGTTTCAATGCAGGATTGTCTAATTTCGAGAACAATTTCAAGGCGTAGTTTGGATCTTTAACCCACTTACTCTCCCTCAAAATTTCGAGGCCGGTCCATAGCATGCCCATATAGAGCAGGAAAGCAGCTCCGAGATGCGTTGTTAATCTGTACTGAGAAACGGTTGGTTTGGATTTTCTTTCGTCTAATTGCTCCTGGTCGAGGCCTGACTTCACCATCCACCACCCGATAAAACCTTGCAATCCTAACAAGCACGCTAGACCAAATAACCTTCTATTAACGTGAGGGGACGATTTCTTCGCAGTCGCGAAATAAATTGCCGGCAAAACAAAAATCGCTCCTATTGCTCGGCCCCATAGTCTGTGAACCCACTCCATAAAGAAAATAAACTTGAATTCATCTAAGGAAATATGGGAGTTCAACTGCTTAAATTCTGGAGATTCTTTGTACTTAGCAAACTCCTCTTCCCATTCTTTTTGATTTAAAGGTGGGATAGTACCTGTGACTGGTTTCCATTCCGTGATGCTTAACCCTGACTCAGTGAGTCTGGTAAGCCCACCCAAAACCACTATTCCAAATACAAGGCCAGACGTCCCCACAAGCCAGTACCCAACCCACTTAGAGGAATTCAAAAGATTTTTCGCCTGACCATTTTTGGCGGTGTTTTGAACTTGTTTCAGAATTGCGCCATTAGAAAATGAACGTACTGAGATACTTTTCTGAATAGGAATCTTCGTCAGCCATTTGGTTTTGATTGATGCCGTAGGGTTTACGAACGTCGATCTGGTTGAATTGAATAAAGCTGTCCTCGATGTAGCGAAAAAGTTCGAGGCAGACTTTGTAAAGACACTTCTTAGCATATCACACAACAGGTTAGTTGGTTAAGAGATTTTCAGAATGTCCTTGTTAACTGGGTTATTATATATTTCCGATACGAAATGAAATGCAAGGTTGCTAGTTTTTTTTTTTTTTTTTTCGGTCTTTGTAGTTATCGTTTAAGGCGAAGAACATACGATTAGAAAATTATAAGAAAAAACTTGAAAAACCTTTGTAGTGTTGACTATATCAGTAGATTCTTATTGCCACGATAAATCAAAAAAGGGATTATAGAAATCTGAAATTTGAAATGTTTGAATTTTTGAACCCAGAGTTATTCAATTCGATACCAAAATTAGTGGTAGTTCTTCAACTTATCTGCTCAGATCAATGTAACTGTCGACTGCTGTCTAAAATAGCACGTAGATTGTGATTATTTCTTCGAAGTATTGATTCTCATCTGAAAATCGTTGTGGACGTTCGGTCATGGGAAGATAAAGTAAGATTCTTAAAGGTAAAGTTTGAGAATTCAAGGATATTCAAGGTGAACTTCAAAGTATGACGGAAACCGATGGCAAAGCAACCCTTTTGGCAGAGGCGAGCGATGGCAGGGGTAACATGAAACTCCCAAAAGATGTGTACTCTAGCTTTTTTTTTATCGTATGCATTGCCATAGAATTGCGTGCATAATCGGTGTCTTTTATTTTCTGCTTTTCATTGCTGTCACATGGATAAGTTCCGTTAAGACTGTCCCTGGTACTTTACAAGTAATTTCTATCCTTTTTTTTGTCAGTGTTCCGATTGTTATAATCGCAATAATCGCTTTCATTTCAACATCTCGCGTCGAGCTGCCTACAACAGCTAAGGTGGAGCTTCTGAAACAAACAATCATACAACGTCCAGCTGTTTCTACAGAATTGTGGGATGTAGTGGCAGCACATATGAACGATTATTTGTGTGCTAGCGGTGTAACTTCCTTCCCACTTTATTACTATGATGGCAACGATTGCCATGATCATTTTAAGAGCTTGTTTCTAGATAGCAATGCACCATCTCCCGCAGAACTTCCAAGTGAGATTAGCGATAATCAACATGATAGTAATATTAGGAATGATCCTAACAGAGACATTAGGCCAATTGTTGATGAGGCTGTAAAGGTTTATGATCAGAGTGTGAAAGATTATTGGAGACAACAGCTTGGGGAAGCGTCTTCGCAGTTATCTGAGTATCCTGGACAAAACTGAAACCTAGGAGCGCTCTTGATTGTTGGAGCTTATTAATTTGCGTACTACATCATGAATTTCATCTTCTTGGATCCATGTTTTGTGATACCAAAATTATTGGCAGTTGTTCAACTTGTGTGCTTAAATCAAGATGACTGTTGGCTGCTGTCTATAAAATAGTACATAATTCGTGTTGATATGCACAGTGGTAGCTCCGACATGTTGTATTCCAGCGGGAAATCGTTGTGGACGTCGTTTCATGGAAGGATAAAGCAGGGTTCTGAGATAAAGTTTGGAAATTCAAGGGCATTCGAGGTGAACTTCAAAATATGACAGAAAATAACAGCAAAGCGACCCTTTTGGCAGATGCGCGCAATTGTACGGATGGCATGAAACTCCCGAGAGACTTGTACTCTAGCAAAATTTCCTATCTTATTCGTTGCCACAGAATTGCGAGCCTGATCTGTGTCTTTTCCTTACTATTTCTCATTGCTGTGACGTGGTTATTTTCCGTTGAAACTGACCCTGATACTATACAAATCATTGCAATTCTTCTTGATATTGGTGTACCGTTTGCTGTATTGGTAATGATCATTAATATCTCGAAATCTCGCAGGAACCTGCCTGTAACTGCTAAGGTGGAGCTTCTCAGAGAAATTATTACACAACGCCCAGCTGTTTCTTTAGAACTGTGGGATGTAGTGGCAGCACATATGAACGATTATTTGTGTGCTAGCGGTGTAACTTCCTTCCCGCTTTATTACTATGATGGCAACGATTGCCATGATCATTTTAAGAGCTTGTTTCTAGATAGCAATGCACCATCTCTCGCAGAACTTCCAAGTGAGATTAGCGATAATCAACATGATAGTAATATTAGGAATGATCCTAACAGAGACATTAGGCCAATTGTTGATGAGGCTGTAAAGGTTTATGATCAGAGTGTGAAAGATTATTGGAGACAACAGCTTAGGGAAGCGTCTTCGCAATTACCTGAGTATCCTGGACAAACTTGAAACCTTGGAGCGCTCTTTATAGTCGGAGCAAATTAATGTGCGTATTATCTCATGTATTTTCATGTTGTCGAATCCACAATTTGTGGCTGTAATCCTGGTACAGAAATCAGGGCTATTTCTATGGCTTCCCAACTCATTAAAAGGATCTGAATTGTACCTTACTTCCTTTGAAGAACGATAAAAACAAGTTTACAGCCCCCAAGATTCAAATTAAGATTAATTTTACCATAGTACTTTCATAAACATGCACGCCCCAGTCAACTATTCATTGTGCATTATAATTTATGAGTCCATTCTCTGATATGTAGTAGCTTTTGATAAATGCACCCATCCTTGTCCTGAACTATCATCGGACTTCCGAAGTCAAAGGATTACTGAACTATTAAAGCATTGTAGACGCTTAGTTGAGAAACGCTAGAAAAACCTGATATAGTTTAAGCTGAATGCTAGTTGAGTATTGAGTTATATGAATGATGGTGACAATGCAGTAAACTCTTTGCAAGCGACAAGCGCATCGATGGTGAAACCTTCTTCGTGACAGAATATATCAGCATGTTATCTACGTTAAAAAAAATAGCTCTTGAGCTCATTTATGATTTCAGTTAATTGGTAAAAGCGTACTCGATTAATAGAATGTCAATCAGCCGCGGATTTATGTTGAAATATGGCAGGATTATCATGCATGCTCAGTTACAAACTTCATACTAGATTGTGTCCGAAATGACACCCCCGTGGCCAAGTTAGGTCTTCTTAATAAAGTCTTTCAGGTAACGAGCGAATATCTCCCCTGCCTTTGTAATGAAAAAGTTCCATCGTGTTTTTCTACGATTATGACTACCATATGCGTTTAGAAACCATCTTGTAACGAGATACCTGGTTTAAGGAATGTGGATGCTTGGAATCTTTCTTCGATCTCAATTCATTTAAACTTGGAGGTAAATGCAATTTCTTACTATCACGAATACCTTCCTCTGGTTGAGACTTAGAGCTTCTCGAGTGTACTTTCGATCGCATTTCATCATCAACTTTACCCATTCCCGACGATAGCATCCCTGGAACGTAAAATTCTTCGAAATTTACTTGAGAATTATCGCTTTCCGCAGCCTGGAGAGCTTGTGCCCACTTCGCCAGGGCTAATTGCAATACAAATTTTGACAGCATTAGACAAATAAACCCAAGAACAAAAATAATCACAGTTCCAATTGGGGACGCTGATGAATCTTCAAAGTTCTGTTTTAGTGTAGGCCTTATCAGAACAATAAATAGGACCACAAGCGCAGGTACAGGTAAACCGATTCTAGTCTGGAATTTTTGTAAATTCGTTGAGTGGTCATGACATAAAATAGAGAGAAATCTGTCGTAAATTTTAGGTTTCATTCTATTGAATTTAGTAATGTACGCATGCTTGACCCAATCAACGACAATTTCGCTGCCAACAACTGTAATCATGGGTCCGCAGAGAACGCCTATCATGACTGAGGAAGTTGAATGAAGCGTCCAAGAGTTGGGCACTAGCGTAGAAAGAGATCTTCCTGTAGCGACAAGGTTGCGTATCGCAATAATTGTCAGTAAAATAAAAAGTTGAAATCTTTCGATGATATCCGCAATGGTTATTTGAAAAAGCCCTTCCTTGTCAAACCGCTTGAATACGGATGCTTTTATCTCTGCAAACTGCATTGACAGTAGTAATGTAAGAAGCGAGTTGGAATACGAGTTTACTGCAACGTTCAGTGCAATTGTCTCATATATCAAAATGAAAGCATGGCAAATCAAATATACTAAGGCAGCAAAGTTCAGCAAACCAAGCTCGATTTTGGAATGTCTTTTGTTTTTTGTGAGTACAACTAATATGAGACTTTGTCCCACGGAAGACAGCATTTTGTCGCACATCTCCAATACCCCAAACATCATGTATAGCTTGATGGCACTCTGGCCCTTTATGCGATGATAAACTCTTGATGTATCAAGGCCACTTAAAATTATTGAAGCGCCTGATATTAGAAAAACCATCGTGTACTCTTTGTAAGCATTCCGTAGCCCAGTCTTATTACAGCAGCTATAAATGATTCGTGCTGGAACAATAGTGAAATAATAGAGAAAGCAGTTTAGGCAAGCTAGCAAAGAGAATGCCATGAACTTTTCAAGATGTAAAAACAATCGCAACATGTTGAGGATTTGCTCTAATTCATGGTTGGCCTCGTAAATTTCCTGTTCATCTTCTTCCCTGTTCTGGCTCCCTCTTCCATGACCAGTGTGGATCTCGGTAAGTAAGAAATCTCTGACAAACTTGAACTGGTCAATCCTTCTTTGCTTTTTTGACTTCTTTACCCTTTGACACATTTCATTAGTACTTGTCCGCGTGTTCTTGTTGTGTGAACTTTTTGAAGTCAATATGCATTATTTTACGCTCAATCAGGAAAGGTGCATGGCGACAGGTTGAACATAACTAATAAAGCAAACCCCTAAGAAAGATAAACCTAGATGGCAACTATTGATGATATTAAAGTACATATTTTGAAACCTTATCAGGATCATCGGCAGCTAACAATAAAAGAGGGAGAGCAAATCTCATTAGAGCTTCTGGATTACCTCTGCCAATCATTTTGCAAGGACTTGGCTACTCTCAGGTATCTTGCCAATTTCTTCACCAAAGAAACATACCAGGATCTGATAGATGAAAGAAATCTGAATAAGAGGTGTGGTTATCCTATGTGCAATCAAAGTCAGGGCAGAATCCGCGATCCATATGGAGGGAATAGCTTTGCGACCAAGTTTTTACAGCAAAATAATCCATATGCATATCTTTCTTCATACTGTGGCAAGTTTCACTATCGCTGCTCTCAATTTTATCAAGTTCAACTTTCTGAAGAGGCGCTTTTCGGGAGAGTTGGTGTGCACTTAGATGACTATCATCCAAAAGATGATCGTTGGAAGTCGAAAATTACCTTATTGGAAGATATTATAGGAGAAAAGCGTTCAAATGAAGATGATCTTTTAAATGTCATTCATGGGATCGATCAATTAAATATTGGACAGAATAATCAAGAATCAAGAAAAGAACTCGAAAATGACTTGAGTGAGTGGCTTTCGCAGGTCAAGATTGTTGAGAATGAAAGTCCCCATATTTTGGGGGATGATGGTAAAGAATAGAATTGCAGCTAAGCTCGCAAGGAGGTACATAAAATCTTTAAGCAGGTTAAAAAAATCACTTTACAAATTTTCGACTTTTCAGCACCGAAGGTAAATTCTGACGAGCAAAAAAAGGTGTAACAAAGGGCAGATCTTGCTCTGCCATTATCTTATATCGTGCTAATCTGTTGGAATACATCTGATTGCTCTTTTGGTTGAAGAACTTTGCATGACCATCCATGAGGATCTTTCTTCTATATTGATCGAAGTATTTAGCTCGCTCAACGCTTTTCTTCTGTAAAATTTTCATTGCGCTTTTGATAGGATGTAGCCAGTCTTCGACCAAATTAGACCATGGTGGCTGCGATTGAACTGGGGTACTAGTGCTTATCAAAGTTCCCCCCAAAATTTCCCTAGATTTCGATGCATTTTCGTGAAAAAAAGATGTGAATTGTTCGTTCCTTAAAATCTTCCCGGTAACTAGGTAGTGCTCCCATACAGCTTCATGCCATGCCCATATACTGTTTTCTTGGCAACTGTCCAAATAATTAAGGATGTTTTGGTTTTGTTTCTTCTCCATTCGGATTAACCTTCCCAGTGCTTTGGATTGTCGCTTTCCTTTGTTAAGAGCACTTCGAATGAACCATATGCGTGACCTACCGGCAGATGTGTAATTAAGATGTATTTTTGGTGGCCCTTGGGCTAACTGTATTTGCAGTCGGTGCAGTTTTTTGAGAGAGTCATTATGTAGCGCTAACGGTAACAACAATTTTGATTTATATTCATTGGGTATGTTTAATGGCAGTTTCAATTCTTTCTGTCTTTCTTTGATATATTGGTGGAGAATATTCATTTCTCGAATGTGATTCGGATCTTCTGTCATTACAGAAGGTGGAGAAGGCACCTCTAGAATATTCTTCCTCTTTTTCTTTGCCTTGGCAGTGCTGCTGAGCTTATCCCAAACCCATGTGATGTCACCTGATATCAGACGCTCATTAAGTTCTTTGATTTCGTTTAGTAGTATGTACACACTCCAGCTTGACATATCTGCTTTATGTTTCTTGAGAACATTTTTGGTTATACGTCGTATTCTGCATTGCAAATGAGCAGAGGACGTGTATCTAGAGGAGTTCCTTAAAGTATATCGATACCAATGCAGAACATAGTTCCTGTGTTGCGCCAAGTTTTTGAAATGTAATGGCATATGTGCTCTGCTTATTTCAAACGGCCCGTCAGTATACTTTTCGATGCCAGGCTAAGTTTCAGTATAGAATCGTTATGTAACACGTGACTATATAAACAGGAAAACGGATACTCATCGGCGCCAAACGTTTGTCTAAGCAGTCAGAGAAGTGTGAACGAGGTTTTTCTACGATACACTGAACTTGACCCTCAATGTGCACGTTGGGCATATCACTTTTTGTCGAATTGCAGCCAAGTCGCTAAAAAGCGACGTCATAAAACTGTTCATGAAATAACACTCCCTCTATTGTACAAAATGCGACTAGAAAATTAACTAGAATCAATTCAATTAATACAAACTTATAAAAGATACGAATCTTTTAAAATCCCATCTAGTTAACCAAAGCGGAAGCAGTAGCGGATTCGTACTTCCAGTTTGGTGGCAAGACAGAGACAGTTCTGTAGTATCTGGCCAATCTGTGGATTCTAGATTCGATCAAAATCAATCTGAACTTAGCGTCCTTGTCCTTTCTGTTTCTTTCCAAGTGCTTTCTGACGGAAACAGCCTTCTTGATCAAGTAGTACAAGTCTTCTGGAATTTCAGGAGCCAAACCGTTGGACTTTAGAATTCTCATGATCTTGTTACCAGTGATGAAACGAGCTTGGGTGACACCGTGGGCATCTCTCAACAAAACACCAATTTGAGAAGGAGTCAAACCCTTTCTGGCATACTTGATGATTTGCTCAATAACAGCCTCTGGAGACAACTTGAACCAAGCTGGAGTGTTTCTAGAGTATGGAATAGCGGAGGAGGAGATACCTTTACCCTGTAGGAGACGTTAGTATTAAACTGTCCATTCTTAAAAACCATGGAAGCGAGACTCTCTCTTCTTCAAGGCTCTTGCCAGATAGACTTCATGTCTTAACATGTTCGCCTCTCCTCACTTAAATGAGGAATACAATCTCATCATGCAGCACTTCTTCATTTTGAAGATTGGTCTTGGCTTACATGTATTGGAATCACCCAGCTAAAACGTCGCAATGGATTGAGATAATCCATTAGAGTGGGACGTCCACGACCCAACTCTTGACGAACACCGGTAGAGAAATGTGATCCGACAAAAACCAGAAAGAAAATCAAGAATCTTCAGATCCTTTTAACATTTTTTCTGTATTTCCTTTGTAAGAACATACCTTACTGTGCATACGAGCCATTGCGACGGATTTATTTGATGGTTATTATCTTTCAAGAAAGAGAGTAATTCAGAATGGTTGAAATTTATCTATCACATACTTATGAAAAATCGGCGTCATTTCCAAACTATCTATGGGCCAATTTGTTCCCGAAAACTTTTCATATGATTCGTGATGTGTACGGGTGTTAAATTATGATTTTATTTTTGAAATGTACGGGTTTTGATAGTCGTACTTTATCGTCACGTGCGGATTTAGCTTTCTATCTGTTCTTTTAGTTCTTGGATATCTTCTTCTTCTTCAAGGCCAGATGTAACTTCTATCATCTTGCTTACTCCGCATTCGGATCTCACTTTCTCTAAAGCCCCAGCGTACAACATCTTCCATTCCTGTGATACCACAGTCATAGGCTTCCAATATATGAGTATAAGAGGTGTTTGCTTTCTTCCGTCACGAGTAGTCATCGGATAAGAAAGAAGCACATAACGTGGAGTGTTGTCCGGTAAAACCTGACCAAGTTCCTCTAAACTAGAGACTTCATTGACTTCTTCCTCGTCTGCTTCATCAATCGTGATTTCATACGATGGCTTTGGCTGGATCTTTATCACCTGAACCTCAACGGAATCTGATCTAGCCGTGGCAGTTCTGAATTTACTAATTCTTTTCTTGGTTTCGGTGCTGATGTGGTATAACGAACTCATTTCTCTTCTTACGCTCTTTAGATGAATATCTCTCTCTGTTATGAGAGTCGAATTATCCTTTTTTCATGGAGGAATTTGAAAATTACTGTCAAGACGGGATGGACCCAAATTGAATAAACATTCATACTTGCATGTTTAGTGATGATATAGCATCTCTATTTAATCTTACGACGTAGATTAACAACAAGAACATAAAGTACAGACTTTTAGTTTAAATGCAAATGGTTCGCTCATATGAGGAAGTACTTGTCATCCTTGCAATCAGTTGGGGTTCTTCTGATCACCTCATCGATGTCCCACCTAGGTGGACGGCCATCCAGTGAGCCACCGGCCCTACCTGTGCTAACTTTCAGAAAGAGTTTCTCTCCAACTTCGTTCACGTGGCGTAACAGGTAGTCAATATCTTCCTTTGTCAAGGATGCAGAAACACAAAATCTAACTCTTGATTCGATTAAAGGAGTTGCGGGATATGCTACAACAACGACAGCAATTTTTCTTTGCAACATCATTCTGGAAAATGCTGGCATTTTGGAAGGCGCATATAGAAGCATGGGGATAACAGGAGAGTCGGCGATACCATAGACAATAAATCCTAACCGTTGCAGGGCCAAACGGAGATATCTTGAGTTGAATGCAATGCGCTGAAGTCTTTCCTTACCTTCACCAGGTTTCAATTCACCCACAATAGTGCGCATAGAGGAAACAATCTGGGCTAATACAGGAATTGGAATTGATTCACCATAATTTGATGTTGTTAAATCAATTCTGAGTCTCTCTATAATATCTTTATCTGCCGCAACGTAGCCACCGGCCGCACCGAAAGATTTCGTCAGTGTTCCCATCAAAATATCGACTTCAGAAGGATCAATCCCAAAGTAATCACATACACCACGTCCTTCTGGGCCCATAGCTCCAATAGAATGTGCCTCGTCAATGAACAGATAACATTTGTACTTCTTCTTCAATTCCACTAGCCTTGGCAAGTTGCACATCGTTCCTTCCATAGAGAAAAGCCCTTCAACACAAATCAGGATCTTTTTCCAAGGTCTATGAGTTTTTGGTTGGCCCTGTACAATTTGATCCCTAATAAGCTTTTCCAGTGCATCCATGTCGTTGTGTTTGAAAATACGCACAGCTGCGCCAGATAATCTTAAACCTGTCCTGATCGACGTATGGTTTAATTCATCAGAAATTACTAGACACTTCTCATCTAAAAAAGAATTGAAAAAGTTGGCATTAGTACCATATCCCATGGAAAAGACCATTGCATCAGGCTTGCCCACGAAATTAGCAATGTATCGCTCAGCAAGCACATGGAGATCCGTAGTGCCAATTTGCGCTCTTGGACCACGTGATGCAATCCCATATTCATCTACCACTTTCAAAGCAGCATCTGTACATTGGCCTTCACTTTGAGCGAAGCCCAGGTAGTTGTAGGATGATAAATTCAAGCACATTGTTGTCGTCCCGGGGTAGGTAAAATATTCGTTCAAGTCATGAGAAATTCTATCAATACAGGTTATAAATCTGCCTGGTACACCGGTAGTAGGTCTGGAGAAACAATCGTCAATTCTTTTCTTCATTCTGCGGACGAAAAAGCTTTCAAATTTAGAGTACCATGGAGCAAGTCCATCTTTCTCGATGATGTCAGGATGCCTATCTTTTCTAAAGGTAAGACCTAAAAAGTCGTGGATGTGACCTAATATGATCAAAATCAAGTAGTTCAAATAAGTGATGACCGACACATAATATGGTGGAGCATCCAGGATTGGGTCGCGTAAGGGTTTTTTTTGGCGAGAACGAACCTCATACAAAAATTCTTTCGATGTTAATTGACCAAATTCATTGTCCTTTTTATCTTCCACAGATATTTCAGGAGGAGGAATGAAAGGAACTTTCGTGTTTGACACGGAAGCCATCTTGTCTTCTTGTGTTTATTTCTCCTATTTGAAATATTGTTTTCACTCCGTTAACGAGATGCCTCACTTATTTTTTATCATAACGTTCTAAGCGATGATTGCAAAATTTCTTACTACCTATAATACATATTTACGTCCTTAAATTGAGGATGAGGGAAGTACCGTTAAACATTTCCGACCTTATAGTCACCAGGACTTATTAATTTTATGAAATTATCACACCTTGGAGTTTCCTCATCAATGTGTGAAACAACAAGAACGGTGCCTGGCCACTTCTCTAGTAATGCGTGGCATTTTCTCATCGGTTCCGTTTCCATTGCCGAAAATGCTTCATCCAAAATCAGTATTTCTGGCATCTTGATAATACTTCTTATAAATAGCACTAGTTTTTGGTCACTCACGGATAAATCTTCGAGCTTCGTTATGCCGCTAATGTGGGATAAGCCGAAAAATTTCACATATTTCATGATGAGTTCCTTCTGAAAATAGCTGAGTTTATCAAAACAGGGCGTAAAGTTGTTGGTTCCTTCATGAAACCCCGTTGCAATAGTTTCAACCAAATTCAATCGTTTGCCCGACCTGTTTAATATAGTGGCGTGAAGTTCTGGTGATGACATTCCTATTTTCCTGTTGATTTCAAAGTAATTGGTGGAACCTGTTCGACGCGGAACACCATTCTCTACTAATCTGGAGTTCCACGATTGAGGATGATCTGCTGTTAATAATGATAAGAGTGTTGATTTTCCTGTCCCATTGTCGCCTCTTATGTGCCACTTACTTCCCGGTGGAATTTTCCAATATAGATCTTTGATTACGTCTTCACCTCTGTAAGAAACATTAAGACCGCGTAGTTCGAAAGAGTGAGGCATTTGAGATATCCTCGTACGTGGTATATTGTACAGTGCGTGAGTTGAAATGAGATCGTCAATAGTACTTTGCGAAGCGGATATCCCTTGTTGTTTAGAATAGTATTGATTTCCAACTTCTTTTAAATGATGCTCAACAGAATCACGTTTACCTTGAAAAAGAATTCCGTCTTCATTCACGCAGCAAATATGTGTGCACCATTCGGGAATGTGATCCTGTAAACGGAGGCCAATGACTATTGAGCTTCTGGAATAGTCTCTCATGAATTCTGATATGATTTTGGCAGCGCTCGGATCCAGTCCAAGAAATAGGTCGTCTACCAATAAAATATCGGGTTCCTTTAATAGGCTTCGGGCCAGTCGAGCTCTTCTCATTTGACCGTTGCTAAGACCCATCGCCCATCTCTTTTCGAGATCCTCAAGTTTCAATTCTTTTAGCAGAAAGCGATAAAGATCCATGTCAATTACCCTATCACTCTTTTTCACGTCATATTCAACTTCATTGGAGCCCACCGAATTATCTTTAATAAACTTCTCGCAAGTTTGATCGAACTCGTCTTTGAAAAACTCATACCTCGCACTGAGATGCGCAGTCGGCATGACACCTTGAAACTTCACTACCTCAACTTTAGGTAGACAACCTTTGGTTTGTCCATAGCTCAAAGAAAGTGGAGGTTCGCATAGATATTTGTTGCCTATAACATCCATGAACTTCGATTTTCCGGGACCCCAAAACACCCATTTCTCATGAGATAAGATTTCGAAGAAATTAATGGCCTTCGAAAATATTGGTGCTGCTGAACGCTGGAGAGATGATTTGAACAACCCACCTTTGATTCTCACTACATAATTTGACATATTTGGCCTATTGAACAAAATGTTTTTCGTGTGAGAAAAAAAATACTTTCCGTTCTTCATTTCTCCCACTCGACTGAGACATTTTCAATGCATACATAATAGACCTATCCGAACAGCTAGATGACGCGCAATCTAACAGAGATTGGCCTGTTTCGGTAGAATAAAGAAATGTGTTCAATGTGAAGTTTGTGTATGATCTGCTAATCTATCACATCGTTGGCTCTTGCTTCCTGATTTCTCTGGAGTGCATGTTGCAGGAATGAATCTGTCGTAAACACTGGAAATCAGATAAAAATAGCTTTTAAAACATATATTTCAGTGAATTTCCATTAGCATTTCTTCTGCTTCTCTCGTTATGAGGTATAGCGATCACATGCGATCAAAAGAAGACAAAAGTGAGGGCTTCATCGCCGTTGATTAATAGTCATTCCTCATCTCAGAACAGCTTCCATCTTTTTTTTAATCCTCAACTTGGTGAAAGGTTTCGTTTGAGTAAGCCTGTAATTTTAATTGATATGGGGTTTATAGCCGCTTATTCTTTAAGGTAGCATTTCTTCTTTCCACTATTGATGTACTTCTCGTGAGGTACGGTTTCTCTTACAACTCAAGACATATCTAATTCTTATTTCTTGTTATGAAAGTAGTGGTCACAACAGGTCGGTATGTCATGTCAAATAATTTTTGTCCCATACCTCATTTATTCTATCGTATTCAGCAATGAAATCAGACTTGATGTGAACCATACTGCCTCGTTCAATGATTTCATCGAACGTGTAGGGTCTTACGTGTTGCTCATAAGTGGCACAAACCAAATGACCGCTACAACTTTCACCTACAGTATTTAACGCGTCATTGCCAGCCACAGTGAAAATGCATTCTTTAGGATTTATGAGTGTTTTGTGAAGCTTGTTTAGTTCTTCGGCAGTAGTAAAAGCCTCTGATTTCAAGGTTTTATTGCCATCAGAATGGACGCCTTCTAAGCCACAATAATTGACTCCGAAATTTGCCCAAATGAGTTGCCCGCCTGTAGTCACATGAGATAAAGATTCACTGCATATCTTTACAATTTTATGGTTTAGCATTCTATCTGTATCGCTGAGCTCTTGACTTAGATCAACAGACTCTCCAACTACAGCAGGTTTGACATATTTTGAAAACTCATAACCGGTACTTGAGATAGTAAATCCCAGCCACAAGAATTCTTTATCTTCGATACCGCATTTCTCGCAAATCTTTCCCAGACTTAAGAAAGTACCAATCATTAGTGAGCTCATGCGTTTATACTTATCAATGATGAAAATTCCATTGTCAATGTTGTCGCGACTATTGCGATAAAGCAAGTTCTTGTAAGCCCTTTTCTCAGGAGAGTAGAAAGTTGCACATGTATTCTCCATGGCATAGTCGTCAAACCAAACATCATCAACTTCGTAGTAAGTTTCAGCCCATGAAGGAAAGAGGTCAGACAGCATATAGCGGCAATGCTCTAAAGCGCTACTATCTAGAAGACTAGACTCGACTGCTGCATTTCCCTGAAAAAACAATGCGCCACGATAGCTCCGAAGAGATTGTAAATTGTCCATCGAAATGTAAGGAATTATGTGAACATCCATGAAGATGTATTCATTGAACAGGTTCAATAATGCTGCTAGTAATTGCCTTCTCGTCCCCTTAAATTCGTGACTGTAAGAAGGATCTAAAGTTGGTGAAACGTCGACGAACCAAATCACCTGTTTGGGAGCATTTCTATTTTTCACCTTCACGGAAGGATCAAAAATATCATTTCCCTCAGCTATCTCATATAGTTTTCTTATAGATTCTTCGCTCAAGTCTCCCATCGTGATAATTTGGATCGGTAATTCATTCTTCAAATACCGAAGTGTGGCTATAAGTTTTGCTGCAAGGGTGACTTCGCTTTCTTCAAAACTCAGCACAATGCCCCTGCTTGCAAACTTACTACTCATATTATTCCAATTCCAAAGGAACGATTTATCGTCATCATACTTATATTCCGCGCTAAACTCACCTTCGGGGTGTCTGCTACCATCAAGAGGCAAGTGGCCTTGCTCCAATGGACCTGTTGATCCAATGATTATGGGCATTAACTTTGTAAAGTTTGCCTTATTGTAATATTTGATTATTGGCCACATCCGATGCTCAAAGTCCCACTGCTCTTCTTTGCTGGTCTGTTCCGGCAACCCGTTGGTCCCATATTTTGAAGCTCTATCAAATTCCAGTTCAAGGTGATCATCATTGTAAATACTACTTAATTGAATAGAGCCAGAGAAGCATGTTTGGTAAATGCGCATACGTTCCATCACCAATGCGACATTATTCAACCGTTTGTGAAACAAAATAGAGTCCGCACTTACCAACGACTGTCCGTCCTCGTCAACCACTTTGCCTACATCCATATCAGCCAAATTTTTTGGGAGAAAAGTCCATCTTTTGAAGTCATTACTCCAGTTGGGATTTAGTTTCTTCAAATTACGATAGTAAAAGTAGCATCTAGAAGGCATTTCGAGCGCAGGAAAGTATTTATATGGGCTTTTGTCACCGGATGTCTCACCAGACTGCCGTTTTTTGTCGGCGATGTCTTCGTTGTACTTATCGATCAAATCAAGTGGTGAAACTGCAGTCTTATGTATCGGTACTATATCCATGTTCTCGATGTGAACAAGACTTTCAGTTAGAACTATTTTCTCTAAATGTGCATTTTCATATTCCTTATAGAAGGGAATGAACTTTTCAATCTTAGAGTACTTCATTCTTACTGATATCATTAGTACTCCCACAAGCACAAGTAGGAATGGAATAAACCTTAGGGCCTTCCTGGAGCATAGTATCTGTAATCCTTTAAGTATCTTAGCCCGATCAACTAGCATCTAGATACACAGTCTAAAGTGCTAAGACCACAGCCCTTATCTGCTAGAACAAAATTTTCCCTGTATTCATATTACCGTTAAGGTAAATATAATATGGTTTTTTCCATGATATGTTGCCTAAGATAGCCCGCAGCCGTGACTACGAACTAAATATGGCGTTGCCAAGGAAATCCTCACTGCAAGTTCTGACAACCATCGGAGATTCACGTGATACAAATAATGCCAAATGTGCAGTGTTCTTTAGTTGGTACATAAAGCAAGCAAAGCCGTTATTACGTTTTAAGAAAAGGCTAAGGGATTTTTGTGCTCAAACTACCTTTTCCAGTCATGTATTGCAGCTTAATGTCTCCTTCTATCCACATTGCAAGACAAATTTTGCTGCGTATATCATCACCAACTCTTAGTCAATTTCAATTCCTTGATTCCATAGGGTTTCCAGTCCTAAGATATAATTGCCAACAAATGGTGGTTTTTGGTGGGCTTTCAACTAAAAGTTCAAAAGTTTTCATGAAATTTAACCAAAGTAACACTTTTGTAAGAAAATAATAAATTTTTTAACGATACATATTGGACAGAGATGTCTGTGAATATTATGAAAAACGCTTCATCGTGAAAGTTCATAAGTATTGTTATTAACCCCGATATTTTGGCAACTCATTAGCTGCAGACCCATTGAGTGGGAAATTTACTAATACGATTATTGCTGTACATTAATGCCCAGTGATTCCTCTAATGTTGCGCAATGAATTTCATAGGAATTAAAGTAAAAGGTATCACGTGAACATTTTTCGTTCCTTGTCACATGACACCTCCTTGCTCCTGTTTGTCTTGTGCAAGGGATGGTCTACTTAACATTATACCTCATCTAAGAAACAAGTGACGAAATGGACGAGAATTACGACGTAATTGTATTGGGAACAGGCCTCACTGAGTGCATTCTATCCGGATTACTCTCTGTTGACGGTAAAAAGGTTCTTCACATCGATAAACAAGATCATTATGGGGGTGAAAGTGCATCGGTGGCGCTTTCTCAATTGTACGCGAAATTCAAGCAAAACCCTATCTCAAAAGAAGAAATGGAGACAAAGTTTGGTCGTGATAGAGACTGGAATGTTGATCTGATCCCAAAATTTCTGATGGCGGATGGCGAGTTGACAAAGATCTTGGTACACACAGATGTCACTCGTTATATTGACTTCAAACAGGTCGCCGGATCTTACGTCTACAATAAAAGCAAGATCTATAAAGTACCTGCTAACGAAATGGAAGCTATCTCGTCTCCTCTCATGGGCATATTTGAGAAAAGAAGGATGAAGCGTTTCCTCGAGTGGATAGGGGACTATAAAGAAGACGACATCAAGACCCATCAGGGCCTTGACCTCGATAAGAACACAATGGATGAAGTGTATTATAAATTTGGCCTCGGAAACTCTACTAAGGACTTTATTGGTCATGCCATGGCTCTGTGGACAAACGATGAGTATTTGCAACAGCCCGCAAGACCTACTTTCGAAAGAATTCTATTGTATTTGCAAAGTGTTGCTCGGTATGGTAAGTCTCCATATCTGTACCCATTGTACGGTTTGGGTGAATTGCCACAAGGGTTTGCGCGTTTGTCTGCTATCTATGGTGGTACTTACATGTTGAACACTCCGGTGGAAAAGGTGCTATACGACGACGATGGGAAATTTGAGGGTGTCGTTACTAAAGAAGGTACGGCTAAAGCCCCAATAGTCATTGCTGATCCAACTTATTTCCCAGACAAATGTAAATCAACAGACCATAAAGTAATTAGAGCTATCTGCATTTTGAACCATCCTGTCCCAAACACTGGTAATGCAGATTCGCTGCAAATCATTATTCCACAGTCCCAAGTTGGTAGAAAGAACGACATTTACGTTGCGGTGATGTCTTCATCCCATAACGTTGCTTCGGCGGGCCATTACTTAGCCATTGTATCGACTATTATCGAGACCGACAAGCCTCATGTCGAGCTAGAACCAGCTTTTAAACTATTGGGTCCTATTGAAGAAAGATTCATGGGCATTGCTGAGCTATTTGAACCCAAGGAAAGTGGCTCTGAAGATCACGTTTATCTTTCCAAGTCATATGATGCTTCCTCCCACTTCGAATCAATGACGGATGATGTAAAGGACATCTACTTCAGAGTTACTGGCCATCCGCTGGTACTCAAGAAGAGAGCAGATATTGACGCAGAGCAGGAGTAGGAATACGAACCGTCATCGATGTAGATATGCACGTCGCTTCTTACATAGATTTTATATTTCTAGCCCATTCATTTATACGCTGCGAACTCACTATATACACTTTCCTCAGCTCTCGCGCGATCATCAAAGATGAAAAAAAAAAAGTTCAAGAACAGAAGTGAACAACAACAGCAAATTTTCGAACAAAAATGCTATTTTTCTCATTCTTCAAGACTTTAGTGGATCAAGAGGTTACTGTTGAAGTATGTCAGTTTTTCAATCTTTCGATGTGTCGTGTCTAGTTTCCCCACTAACTCTAACAACAGCTCAAAAATGATATCGAACTCAAAGGTACCCTCAAATCTGTGGACCAGTTTCTCAACCTAAAGCTCGACAACATTTCATGTTCCAACGAAGCAAAATACCCTCATCTTTCCTCTGTGAGAAACATTTTCATCCGTGGTTCTACTGTCAGGTACGTGTACGTGGACAAGAACATGGTTGATACAAACCTGCTTCAGGATGCCGCCAGAAGAGAGGCAATGAGCGCCAAGAAATAGACCCTCTATGTGTAAGAGTTATGTACATTAATAAACTACAAACGTTCAAAACAATGGCTTGCGCGGAGTCAGCTGTTGTGGCATCTGCTTCGCTCAGCGTTTCAGACTAGAAATGTCAGTAAGCAGTCTCTTTTGGCAATGTGCACGCGTGTGGCCCGTTTGATGGCAAAACGAGCATGGGATCTTGTTCTTCTTCTTTTTGCGAGACTTCTTGTTCTGTGTATCGCTGTCGATGTTCCCCTCATCTACCTTTTCTGGGCACTCAGTCAATGGGACGAGAAGGTATTTGCGACCATCACGCTCCAGCATCTGCAGCCCGTTCTCAAGCGTGCTATCGAGCTCTTTTCTATCGAGCTCATACTGTGCATTATCCGGTCTATTTTGCAGCCTGAGTACTGCATCCAGAACTTGTTCTAGGTGCTCCACTTTCCGCTCATACTCCTGCTCTTTCGGGCTCCTAACCTGCTGCCGTCTCTCAAGAATTTTCTTTGCTAGTGTGTCCATAGCCTCTGAAACCCGTGTGATATCCTGCATCCTGGTATTTTAAACTCCCTTAAAGCCTAATGAGCGCACATTCAATTGCCTGTATTACCTCAGAGACTAACTATTCAGAAATATTCGTTCAATGCCATGCGATGAGCTAGGAAAAATGCACGACATGTATGTTCTAAATTCAGCCCGTTATATCACGATTTGTTCCATATAAAACCTCTAAGTAGCTGTAATGGCTTGGTGGGACTGGATATCCCGAGATTTCTGACCTGGGTTCAAACCCTACGGTCGGACGTGGAGCAACAAAGTGCCTCGCTTCGTGCGTCGGCATTGCTCTGTGCTTAGCTCAACCGCCAACGAGTTTCAGACGTGTCCCGGTTTATATCGATCTTTGCGGGCAGTTCTGGGTGAGATATGAGAAGTCTGTCTTTACCCAGATACGGCAATGGTAGGCGAGGTCCTTAAGGTAACTCGTCTCATGTGCTCCTAATGCTGAAGGGGAGATTCATCCAGCACAGCAAGAGCAACCCGTGAGGAGGCGGCCGGGATGGCACATGTCCTCGGTGAGAGTTTCTCTCAATGCGGTGGGTTATGGATTCCCTCGTGACACTAGTCGCTGTGGATGTCCCTTGGAACTACCTTTTTTTTTCGTTTTTGAGTATCGATAGAAAAACTCTCATCTCAAATGATCGATTTTACTTCTAATCAGCAATCTCTCTAAGAACAGCTGGTATGGATAGATCGGTTTATGAAGCATGTGGTGACTTGATAAGCGAGCTCGGTCGTAAAGTTAGCGCAGATGAGGTTTTACAACAAAAAGTCGGCAATTTAGTCCCGATCCCATTCAAATCGAGGGATGAACTAGAGTTAGCCGCGCATCATGACAAAGAAGACGGAGTATACACAGGCGAGCTAGTACCCCAAGTGGATCTCAAGGTACTGCATTACTTCGCAACGCAGTTAATCGTACAGAAGTACCCGCATCTTATTAATTGTTTCGACGAGACGGCGCTGATTACGCTGGGGTTGATGATTGAAAAATGGGTTGAGGACTTTCTAAAGGCAGGCGATGCGGTGCAGGCGGGTCCATCCGAGGTCATTGAGAAATATACCAACTATCGTGACTCGCCAGCCAACATTTAGGATCGACGAGATTCCAGAGCTTCGATATAGCACGTGATCGTGGCATCTACGACGATCGAACTGTGGTCTCTTCCATTTCACGTGACCAGCGGTCCCAACTTTTTTCCCACTGGGCGGGCAGCGAAAAGGACGGTCACCAGAAAACATAAAAAATTTTCCATCTCATCTCATCAAAGCTGAATCCTACAGCGAGAGATACATCGCCATGGCTAGAAGAAGAAACAATAAGAGAGGTGGCAGAAAGACATTTGGCGCCAGAGACGACTCCAACGCGCAGAAAAACTGGGCCGAACTTGTCAAGGAAAATGAGAAGTGGGAGAAGTACTACAAAGATCTTGGCGTCATCCCAGAGGGCGAATGGGATACGTTCAAGCAGACCTGTCAGGCACAGTTACCTCTGACTTTTAGAATAACAGGTTCAAGGAAGCATGCACATGAAGTTCTTCAACTGTTTGAGCAACGTCATTTGCCCAGTTTAACCAACGTTGAGTTTGAAGGTGAGCTAATTCAACCTCCAAAGAACTTGCCATGGTATCCAGAGCATTTAGGCTGGCAATTGGATGTTTCCAAACAGGTTATTAGGAAAAATGAACAGTTTTCCAAGACTCAGAGATTTCTAGTGGTGGAAAATGCTGTTGGTAATATTTCCAGGCAGGAAGCCGTTTCTATGATCCCACCAATTGTTCTGGAAGTTGAGCCACATCACACTGTTTTAGACATGTGTGCTGCTCCAGGCTCCAAAACTGCTCAATTGATTGAAGCCTTGCACGCTCAAAACGATGAGCCCTCTGGTTTTGTAGTGGCAAACGACGCTGATGCTAGAAGATCCCACATGTTAGTCCATCAGCTCAAAAGATTGAATAGTGCCAACTTAATCGTTGTTAACCATGATGCTCAGTTCTTTCCAAGAATCAAGCTCAATGATGGCAAAAGCTTCTTGAAATTTGACAGGGTACTATGTGATGTTCCATGTTCCGGTGACGGTACCATGCGTAAAAATGTTAACGTGTGGAGAGATTGGTCAACTGCTTCAGGGCTAGGTCTCCACACTGTTCAATTGAATATCCTTAACAGAGGTTTGAACCTTTTGAAGGCCGGTGGTCGACTAGTGTATTCCACTTGTTCTCTTAACCCCATCGAAAACGAAGCCGTGGTTGCGGCTGCTTTGAGAAAGTGGGGGGACAAGATTAAACTAGTCAATTGTGACGATAAATTGCCCGGTCTTATTAGAAGTCGTGGTATTAGTGAATGGCCAGTGTACGATAAAGCATTCACCAAGAAAGAAAAGGGGGACGAAGGAACCATCGAATCGTGGTTCCCTCCCTCCGAAGAAGAAAAGTCTAGTTTCCACCTCGACAATTGTATCAGAGTATATCCTCATCAGCAAAACACTGGTGGATTTTTTATCACTGTCTTTGAAAAGTTAGGCGAAGAACCTGCAGAACCTGCAAAGAGACCACAAATTCCAGATTCGAAGGAAGAGGGTCCTGAGGGCAAGAAGCTAAAAACTGAAAACGGTTCGGCTCCTGCTCCAGCTGCTATTGCGAAGAAAGAAAAGCTGCCTCGTGACGCAAACGAGGAGCCTTTCGTATTTTTGGATCCAAATCACGCTGAGTTGGAGAAGTGTTGGAAATTCTACGGAATTGATGATAAAATAGACAGATCCTGCTGCTTGGTGCGTAACGCCGCCGGAGAGCCTACTAGAGTAATATACACAGTTTGCTCTGCTTTGAAAAACTTGATTCAATCTAATGAGGATAGATTAAAGATAATCTACTCTGGTGTGAAATTCTTGGTTTCTCAAAGATCAGATATAGAGTGTTCATGGAGAATTCAAAGCGAATCTTTGCCAATCATGAAACACCACATGAATCATCAAAGAGTTGCAACTACGAACATGGAATGCTTCAAGATGTTGTTGTTGGAATCATTTCCGAAATTTGAAGACATCGAAAGTAGTCATGTTGACGATGGATTCGTTCAAAAAATGAAAGAATTGTCAGCAGGCTGTGCATTTATTGCCGTCTCAAGGGGAGAGGATAAAGAAAGTTTATTCCTACCTGTGTGGAATGGCAGCAAGTGTGTTAATTTAATGGTCTGCAAAGAGGAGACTCAAGAATTACTTTATAGGGTTTTTGGAATAGAAACGATTGCTAAGGAGGCATCCAAGAGTGAGAAGAAAAATGAGAACGGTGAAGAATTAAAGGAAGAAACCCCTGCTGCGTGAATGTTGTTTATAATACTTACTAAGTATTTATGAACAGTTTTTTACTACTTCAGTTCATATATTGTGTATTTTATCAGTATAGATATTAACGGATGTTTTTGATTAGAGTACATGCCTATACAGGTCTTTAAAGAGTTTACTTCAAGTGAAAGACTGTTGTTGGCCAATTGTGTATATAGCAAATGATCTTTGTAATTGCCGGCGAACGCTAATCTTTTGAGCTCCGACAAAGCTATCCACTGTTACCTTGATAGCTCGATCCAAGTCCCAAGATGAAACAAACTCAGAAAGCCTCATCTTGGCGAATGATTCGGCGATTCTTAGGATAGATTCCAAGTGACGAACTGTAATAGGAAAAGAGCCGGTCGTAATACTTTCCCTTCTTAAATCCGCATACACTCGGCTAACTTTGTCCATATCCATTTGATGCAATTTCGGATATATTTTTGTTCTTGCATAATGAATATATTTCATCAGAATTTCTTGAGGAATTGGAGAAATTTCACCCTCTTTCTGACGCTCCCTCTGTATCCTTCTTTGTCTAGATGAAACATGCTCACCCTCATCATCAGTATCCATTTGTTCATCACCATACTCGGCATCATGTTCATCCCGTAATTTATCACTATCCGGATGCGATCTTAAATGTGAGTCAACTACAAATTTTGCCAATCTTTCGTCCGCGACTTCATCCACCAAATCCCTCACGACACAGAGGATATCGAAACGAGATAAGATTGGTTCCGTGAGATCGACATTCTGAGCTAGTGGCAATGAGGAGTTATAGCGTCCACCATTGGGGTTTGCAGCCGCTATTATAGAACATCTTGCTTGAAGCGTAGTGACGATACCAGCTTTAGAAATAGATATACTTTGCTGCTCCATGGCTTCATGAATTGATGTTCGATCTTGATCGTTCATTTTATCAAACTCATCAATTAAGCATACTCCCTTGTCCGCTAGCACTAAAGCACCACCTTCTAGTGTCCATTCTTTTGTTATAGGATCCTTCCGTACTGAAGCAGTCAAACCTACAGCAGATGCACCTTGACCAGTTGCAAAGACAGCACGATGGGCAGTCTTCTCGATGTACTTTAAGATTTGAGATTTCGCTGTACCAGGATCACCCAAAAGTAGAACGTTGATGTCTCCCCTAATAGAGTGCTTACCATTAACATTCTTGGGTACACCTCCAAATAATGAACACGCCACGGCAGTTTTGATGTCTTTGTGACCATAAATAGAAGGTGCGATAGATGAGATGATTTTGTCGATAATACCTCGATCGCGAGACATTTTCCTAAATTCACGTTCCTCTTCCTCAGTCCAGCCAAATACGTCAAGGCCCTCTTCCTCGTCACCAGTACGGGGTCCACCTTCTCTTCTCTTTACAGAATTGGCTTCGATTATCGTAGCAAAAACCGGAAATCCATTTCTAGCATTGAGATTTCCATCATACGTGTTCTTGTAAACACCGGTAACTTCGACTTCCTCACCGGGTTTCGCAATATCTACCAAATCCCAAAGCAAGATTACCTCTCTATGTCTTGGCAATCTACCGGCAGGAACTGTTCCTGGTGCCTCTTGAAGGGTGATTCGTTGGTAATTTCTATAAAGAGTCTTTTCGGCATTTGTTCTAAATGGACCCTTGGACCTACAATTCGTGCAGAAAGAAATCTTTATCTCTTCGTTTGAATCTTGGAAATATGGCCCGAGAATGGATCCACATTTCAGACAGTCAAACTTGACATATTTTAATTGTGGAAAAACCCCTGTTCTCCTAGTAACTACACCGGTGACACGAACAAGAGAGTTCAAATTCGATTCACGTAGTTCACGTAGATTCAAGACCGCGGGAAAATCTGAGATCCTAACATGGATTTCAGAGTGAATACGAGAGTAATCGGGGTAATGTAGTTGGGTTGCATCCATGGCAACGAGATCAAATATCTTGAGCATCTCTTCGGGACATTTGGCTAAAAATAGAGCAAGGATGGCTTTAGATTCAACTAAATGCCGATAGTTTACTTCTAGCGATTCAGAATTTAGTTCACCGAGTGTTCTGATCCGGGCACCATACACAGATTTTCCCGATTCGTCTGTGTACTCCAGCAAGAAGGACTTCAGCTCACGTGCGATAGTACGTGCTACGTTGGGCTGTGTTATCCATTCAGTATAGCTGGACGCTTTCACATCACTCAGGGACTCCAAGGTCAACTCTTCTGCGAGAGGATCCATATCAATATCAGATAACAAGTCATCATCATCATCATATTGGCGCCTTCTACGACGAGGTTGGACGGGAAGTCCCATCTCATCAATTCCTTGTTGTTCTTCATCATCTTCATCATCCATATATGCCTCATTTCGTAGAAGCCTGTCCCTTTCGTTCAGTTGGGCATCGATCCTGCGGCGCTCTGCGGCCGACAACTCTCTTTGATTGCTATCATCGAGACCATCTCTCTCGTATGTATCTCTTCTAGCATCGGAATCATAATCCTTGTACATGTCGTCACCCATTAGATCCACTTCATTCATCTGTTCCTCCAGGTCATCCAGATCTTGCTGTTCTGGGACCACTTCACCATCTGGGTTTTCAAAGTCGATTTCTTCGGGGCTGCCAAGAGGTGGTGGTGATGAGCGACCCAGGTTGATACCTTGAGGAGACGATGGTGGTATATCAGCCTCACCATCGCTATCGTCGTCTCTTCTTCTTCTTCGGTCGGCCATTGATTATTCCTCTGTTGAGTGCTAATGTCGAAGTGAAACTTGACATTAGATTTCCAAAAGAGGATAAAAATTATGGCACGTGACCAAAATTCGCGAAATTTGATCAGGGCTTATCATTCATATCTCTGCTACCCCAGATCCAGTAATATATCCATCCATTCAGCTCTTTGTGGTGGTTCATGGACTACTGATCTGTGTCGTACATAAGGAAGATGCTAGTGAAGCTCATGAAATGTTTTAAAGATTCACAAGTTGAATATCTTAAACTGTAGGCCGAAAAGAGACTGATTGGTTACTCGTTCACATGAGCAGCATGGCCAATTCTTGCTCTGCGCTCTGATTCTAGGATACAAAAAGCAAGATCTGTATCTCTCTACCGATGGATAATTGTATTAGAAAGAGAAGTGACACTACACATCAAGTTCTTTTCACCGCACTTTTGGGACAGCTGAAGCTAAACGGCAAAGTATTCCCTCCCCGGAACAGGGCACATAATCAATTATTCATCTACGCAATGAACAAGATATAAGAATATGTCTAAATAAAGCTGGCTGAGACCTGATGCCGCTCTTTGTGATTGGCGAGGAGAATCGCAGGGCATCTGACCGTATCAAATTCTGTCACGTGGCGGTATCAGTTTGTATTATCTGGGATCACGAAGAGCCCTTAGAGGTAACGAACAAAACCACACACAATGTCTGAAATCAGTGTTTCCGAGTATATAAGCGAGCAAAATGCGCTTGAAAATGAGGCTCGCGAACTAATGCCTTGGGATCCAAAGCATTGCACATATACGGACGGGAGCTTGAGGCAACCTATATACGCGTGTTTGACGTGTGGAAATGTTGGCGTGTGTTACTCATGCTCAATTCAGTGCCACTCACAATGCGAGTTAGTGGAGCTATTTTCCAAAAGGGGCTTCACTTGCGATTGTGGTACTGAAAGACAGAAGAAAAAATCCGGAGAGTTTTGGTGCCAACTAAGGCGAAACACAGTCCAGGACGTATGCTGTCTGACTAACAGATATGGACACAATTTCAAAGGCCTGTTCTGCGACTGTAATACGCAATTCGATCCTGACTCTGATTCGGCAATGCTGCAATGTTGCCTGGGGCTTGAGTGCAATGAAGACTGGTACCATGACTGCTGTATTGTAGGAAGTCCAGCGACCAGCGTGCCGACTGAAATCAACGATTGTGATAAGAAGCTGAAAGATTTTCCAGATCTAGAGTCCTTTGATGTATATATATGTTGGAAGTGCATCTCACGCCACCACGCTATCTTTGAGCATCTCTTGTCTCATGAATTGTCAGAGCAATTGATTGTGAAGAAACTTATCCACCATGAACTTTTGGATGAAATAAAGACGGATAATCTGATAAGCAGATCGACAGGCTCTAAAAAGAGGAAAGGTACCGATACGTATATGCCTTTTTCACTTTTTCTGAGCCATGACTATTCTTCGATTTTGGCCAAAATAAAGAACTCTTTGGAACCTACAGACCGACTTTACGTGTTTCTCTCGACCATAGCACCCTTTCTAATTGATGATGATCCAATTTATCAACCACCTGATGACTCAGATGCAGCATCCACGTATGAATTGGGAACCCAAGCCCTATGCAATTCTGTTGATCGTGAGATTGCTATAAATGGTATTCTGGCTATGGACAATATCAAGGCAAAGCTATCAGCATTTTTGAAGCCTTTTGCTGAAGCAAATGAGGTCGTCAAGGAAGAAGACATTAGAACTTTCTTTCAAATGCAGCAAGAGGAACATAAGCGCGATAACATAAAATAAAAAAACCTAGAAATAATAAATATTCTTGTATATTATGGTTCCAACACAATGGATTTCAATTCTGTGTAGTCTTCAATCCCAAATGACGATCCTTCTCTCCCCAGACCAGAATTTTTAACACCTCCAAATGGCATTGCAGCATCGCTTATGGAGCTGTTATTAACACCCACCATGCCAACTTCAAGTCTTTCTGCAACTTCAAATATCTTTCCCACATCTGAGCTATAAAAATATCCTGCAAGACCAACGTCAGTAGAGTTAGCGCGCTCGATTACTTCATCAACTGTTTTGAATTTTATCAAAGACGCGACAGGGCCAAATACCTCTTTATTGAATATTTCCATCGTTTCATTCACATTCCCTAGGACAGTTGGATGGTAAAATAGTTGACCCAGGCTATTAGCACGCGTTCCGCCAGTGAGCACTCTTGCACCCTTATTTTTTGCATCTTCTACTAATGAAGAGACTTTTTCAATTGCTTGCTGATGAATCAAAGGCCCATGAGTGACTTTCGGATCGAAACCATCGCCTAAATGGAATGTGTTCTCAATGCGCTCTACAAGTTTTGTAGCAAATTCATCATAAATAGATTCATGGATGAAGATTCTGTTGGCACAAATGCACGTTTGGCCTGACTGTCTGAACTTACAGCTAATAAGCCCATCAAGTGCTCTCGATATATCAGCATCCTCGAAAATGATGAAGGGTGCATTACCACCCAGCTCCATTGATACTCTCTTGATCACAGAACTACTTTGTGCACACTGTCTCATTAATTCTTTGCCGACCTTTGTAGACCCCGTAAATGTAATCTTACGAACTAAGTCATGAGAACACACATATTCGCCGACAGCTTTCGTGTGAGTTGTGGGGAGAATATTACAGGCACCCACGTCCAACCCTGCCTGTTCACAAAGCCAACCTAATGCGAGTGCGCTTAGCGGAGTTTCGTGCGCGGGTTTAATTACACAAGTGTTCCCCGTTGCAATTACTGGCGCAAGTTTTCTAGCAATCATAGCACTTGGAAAATTCCAAGGCGTTAGAATTGCTACCACGCCGAGTGGTTGCCGTAAAGTTAAGATCTTTTTATTATTCGAACTAGAACTTGGAATTATATTCCCGTAAATGCGTGGGGCCTCTTCAGCGAACCATTTAAAATAACTTGCCGAATATTCAACTTCACTTAGCGAGTCGTTGAGTGTTTTACCGTTCTCCAGGGTAATTAATTTCGCTAAGTCGGCTTTATGCTCCTGCATCAAATCATACACGTTGTACAGTATTTGAGATCTCTGCTGTGGAGAAGAATAGCGAAAGCTCTTAAAAGCCTCGTGTGCATACTTTATTGCCTCGTTATAATCCCCAACACCACAATCCACTACTTTGGATATTTCTTCTTGATTTGATGGATTTGTCAACGGATATGTATTCTCAAAGTTTTTCCATTCTCCATTTACATATGCGGCAGTCTTGAATATGGACGAATTATTGAATGAAGTTGAGAGCCCTCTGATTGAGTTGAAAGTAAGCAGCCTGTTCTTGAGGTATCCTGCTTTCATTTGATGTTGTCCTATATATGGATTAGGGTTGCTGATTCAAATCGAATATTGATCGATCGTTCAAAGTCATAACAATAAAACATATTAATGAATAATATAGAGTGGACTATTTAAAAAATCATCAGTTCTTCTCCTTCGTCTCTCTAGCATCTATCTTTTCGAATTCTGCTTTCCAAACTGAATTTCCCTTCTCAGGTTGAACATCTGCAAACAGCCTCTCGAATATTTGGTCATACCAGTCGGCTGCTAGTGGCTCTAGACCTTCTTTGACGTTAGCAGGAAGATCAGCCCAATCACTGAGGTTATCTTTCGGAAATATGATAGTTTTTGCACCAGATCTTTTTGCTGCTACAGCCTTTTCCCTCAGACCGCCAATGCGGAGGACCTTACCAGTAAGAGTTAATTCACCTGTCATTGCAACAGTAGGATCGAGTGACTTGTTGAGAGCAAGGGAAATGAATGAGGAAGCCATCGTAACACCGGCAGATGGACCATCCTTTGGTGTTGCACCTTCAGGACAGTGTAAATGGATTGCAGCCTTTTCAAAAAATCTATTATCTGGGAATTTCTTTGAGAGATACATCTTGGCAAACGAATAAGCCAATCGGGACGATTCTTTCATAACATCTCCAAGTTGACCTGTACGCTCTAAAGTTGGTTGAGAAGTGTGTGTTAAAGGTTGCTCTAATACTGATTCGACGTACATAGAACAACCACCCATACTTGTCCAAGCCAATCCCATAACAACACCTGGAGGAGTCGTCTCATAAAGTCTGTCTGTAGTGAAAACCGGGGGGCCAACGTAATCCTTTAGGTTATCTGCACTTACTACAACGTTGATAGAATCAGGCACTTTGAGTGCTTCCTCGTTATCATGAGTCTTTTCTACTTCTATGGTCTCACTCTTATCGGCAAGATTTTCCTGTGTTCCCAATGTCCTTTTTTCGATCACTTGGGTTGAGTCTCTCGTATTTCCGTCAATGGCAGAAGTAATTGCTTCTTTTCCTTCTTCAAGAGGTTTATCATCGATGCTTAGCTCTTTCACAACGTTCAAAGCTGCTTTTCTGTAGATCTTTTCAATTTGTTTCTTGAGATTTCTAACTCCGCTCTCTCTACAGTAATGTTTCATTAAAGCTGTTATAGCATCTTCGGTGACCTCGACATGAGCATTCTCCAGTCCGGCAGCTTTCTTTGCATTTGGGGAGAGATATTGCTCAGCAATTTTGATCTTCTCTTCAGCGACATAACCCGTAAGTTCTATAACTTCCATACGATCAAGCAATGGTCTTGGAATAGTATCAAGGGTATTGGCCGTACACACAAAGAGCACTTTTGAGAGATCGATTGGGATATCTAAGTAGTTGTCTAGAAAACTGTTGTTCTGCTCAGGATCAAGCAATTCCAATAATGCTGCAGCTGGATCGCCATGTATCCCACCATGTCCAATTTTATCGATTTCGTCAATCAGAATCAAGGGGTTTTGAGTTTGACATTTTTTCAGAGCTTGCACAACTCTGCCAGGCAGCGCACCAATGTAAGTTCTTCTATGACCTTTTATTTCAGCAACATCGGTCATACCTCCTACGGAAAATCTGAAAAATTGACGACTCAAAGATCTTGCAATTGATTTGCCTATAGATGTTTTACCGACACCAGGGGGGCCAACAAAACATATGATTTTACCGTCAACTTTTCCAAGCAATTTACCTACCGCGATAAACTCCAGGATACGGTCTTTGACGTCGGTCAATCCATAGTGGTCTTCATCCAAAATTTTTTTGGCCCTTGGAATTGAATATTGCTCCTTGGAAGTGACGCCCCAAGGTAAAGAAGTAATCCAGTCTAAGTAATTCCGTATGACACCAAATTCTGACATAGAAGTCTCTAAAGTAGCCAACTTATTTATCTCATCATCGAAAACCTTTTGAACATTTTCAGGCAACTGTAGCTTCTCAACTCGCTCCTTGAATGTATCAATTAATTTATCGCGTCCATCATCAATACCGAGTTCACGCTTAATTCCCTTCAGTTGCTCCATCAGATAATACTCCCTTTGCCTTTTCTGAATTTTTGTCTCGACATCTTTGGAAATTTTATTCTGAAGCTCAGCGTTCATCAGTTCTTTTTTCAAAACAACGAGGGATTTTTCAAGACGTTGCTCTATGTCTAAAGACTCAAGAATTTCCTGTAACTCTTCTTCTTCTCCTGCTGACACCGCAGCTGCAAAGTCTGCCAGCCTTGCAGGTTCCTCAAAGATATTGGTTGTGGCCGATTGTATCGATGCGGAGAATGTTGCAATTTGTTCTCTGAACATCGTATTAAGTTGCGATATCTCCTTGAAAACTTTCAATATTTCCGACGTTAAAGCGTTAATTACAGGAGATTTTCTATCAAATTCCTTGTCTTCTAGATTGGAAACGTTCACCAATGAAACGTCATAATCTTTCAAAAATTCTGTTGGATTTGGCTCATCATCGTATTCCTCTATTTCTTCGCTAGTTTTCTTTTGAGGTATGGACGACTCAACTACCTGTTTTGGTTCATTTGCACTCACTTCTTGGGACGCCACTTCAATACCATCACTCTTCTTGTTTGGTCCTATCAATTCGTCGATCTTAATCCTTCTGTGCGGATATAACAATGCCGTCATGGTTTCAGCGCCAGTTTTTTCGTCTTTACTGGGGAACGCACTGGTAATTTGAGCAAAGACACCAACATTGTATACCTCATCGGCACTTTGGATCACATCTGTATCTAAATCAGAGTTTTTTAATAGAAATGCACCAATATACGGTTGTTGACGGTCAAGCATGTCCTTAATAGCTCTCATCACATTTTCATCTGAGATTACCACTGCTTTGTAGAATCCAGGAAATAGAGGGCGCCTGGATATTGGCAGTGCTAAAATTTGGGGATAGACCTCAGGAATATGCGGTTTCTTGGTCGAGAATTTTGGATCCTCCGAATTCCCATCGCCATTCGAATTGCCTCCGCCCGAAGGAGCAGATGGACTACCCGACGAGGAAGCTGAAGTTTCGCTATTAACTTTCGATTCAACACCTTCGCTTTTCTCATTTGTGGTCGGTTCTGGCTGCTCGGGAGTGTTCTCCTCCTCCCTCTCATTCTTCTCATTGGGTATTGTTTTGTCAGTAGTGTCTTGATCGTCGGACTTCTCACTTTTCGTAAGCAACTCGCTGAACCATTTACTTTCGAGCTTTTTGAGCTCATGAGCAATACTTGGATTCTGTAGTTGTTTTTGGTATAGATCCCAATGCCTGGCGGCGTCCGGCAGATCTCCCCTTTCTAAAGAAAGTGACCGCCCAGTTAAAGAGCTTGCAAATCTAACCTTTGCAGCACAATGCCGCCTAAACAGCAATTTGATACTTCTGGTGCCTCTCTTACTCAGCATGATGAGACACAAGGTATCTTGTACAAATTGTACTGCAAGTGTGGGTGGCAAATTTGTAATCTTCAATTGTCCTCTAAAAAATAAATGTTCCCCGTAGATTAGAATTTTAATACAAGACTCCAAAAGCGCAAACCTACCTACCTACATATATAACTTTCCGTCTTGTTTTATATAACCTGGCGTAGGAGACTTATCATTTTCACCGTATATTTCTAATACATTTTGTTGCTCCTCATCCACTTTCTTAGAGTTGTTGCTGACGGTTTCGTCCTCATGGACTTTTTCCTGCGCTGAGATTTCGAGACTTTCATTCGAAACAGCAGTGTCCTGTTCCTGAGGTCTATCCGTATCACTACCGCTATCTCTTCTTGTGTACATTAATTGATTTTTCAATGCTTGCTGTTGACGATATTTCGCTAAATAAATCTTTAGTACTTCAGCATAGTTTTCGAATCCCAAGGCGTGTAGTGAAATCAAGATATCTTCACCATTTATGGTCTTTCTCTTATCAGCAGCGCATCTATCATTCGCTTCACTGGTCACAAATGAGATGAACTCGGAAACGCACTCCTGCATACACTCTTTAGCATCCTTAGAAACTTTGGCCGTTACTGGCAGTGTGTTCTTCATCAGCCTTCCCACATTATTAATCGGAAGCCACCGATCTTGCTCTCGCAATTCAGTCACAAACTGATTATGCCTTTCACCTTTTTCTGCTTCTTTGTCCATAGTGATTTGTGATTGGAGAGCTTTTCTTGAAATGATTTTTAACAACTTTTGACATCTAAAATAACAGCTACAGATATCTGCGAATGGAAAAGAACACTGGATTAGGCGATGATGAGACCATCCTTAAAAAATCTACGAAGGGTGTGACTTTCCTGATGTTCGGTCAGCTTTTCGGTAAAGTCCTTACTTTTCTCCTCAATAATATGCTTGTGAGGTTTCTGTCGCCAAGGGTATTCGGTATCAACGCATTCTTGGAGTTTCTAGTATCGACAACGTTATTCTTTAGCCGGGAGGCTGTACGATTGTCCACATTAAGAATAAAGACACCCCGAGCAACAGAAAATGAAAATGATACACAAGACACACATGGCCCTGTCCTTCAAATGGCTTTAAATTTCGCCTACATTCCTCTGTGCATAGGAATTCCTTTGTCCTTGTTTTTGATAGGTTGGCAGTACTCGAACTTGAATGATTATTTCATATCATTGCCTTATTTCAGACTGTCGATCTTAATGATATGGTTAAGCATCATCTTTGAGCTCTTAAGCGAGCCTTTTTTCATTGTTAATCAGTTCCTCCTTAACTATAAAGTAAGAAGCCAGATTGAAAGCTTGTCAATGATATCAGCATGTGCAGTCAATTTTGCAATGGTATATCTATATGAAAGTAAGATTAATGGTTCTGGAGCGACGTTACACAATGTATCAAAACAAGAGGGAATTGCCATTCTGGCGTTTTCAGTGGGAAAATTGGCTCATTCTGTGACACTCCTAGGGTGTTATTACTATGATTATTTAACTAAATTTGCTCCTACTAAGCAGTTTACTGTAATCCCATCAAAAATTCACATTTCCTCTGGCACTACACCATTTTACCTCCAAAGCGACATTTTGCAGCACTTCAAAAAAGTATACTTCCAGCTCTGTTTCAAGCATCTCCTTACAGAAGGGGACAAATTAATCATCAACTCAATGTGCACCGTCGAAGAACAAGGAATATATTCTTTACTATCAAACTATGGATCACTGGTTACCAGATTACTCTTCGCACCTATTGAAGAGTCATTGCGCCTTTTCTTGACAAGACTACTTTGTGTGACTTCGACAAAAAACTTGAGGCTCTCTATGGAGGTTTTGATCAATTTGACAAAATTCTATTTGTATTTGTCGCTCATAATAGTTATTTTCGGACCTACCAACTCACCTTTTCTGCTACAGTTCTTAATCGGCTCTAAGTGGTCAAGCACAAGTGTTTTGGAAACTATTCGTATCTATTGCTTCTATCTTCCCTTCTTGTCCATGAATGGTATTTTTGAGGCATTCTTCCAGAGTGTTGCCACAGGAGAACAGATTCTTAGACATTCATATTTAATGATGGTATTTTCCATTGTGTTCCTCGCAAATTGCTGGATTTTTATTTCATATTATAAAATGTCACTAGAAGGTTTGATTTTGAGTAATATTTTGAATATGGGACTAAGAATTGCCTACTGCGGCTGGTTCATTAATGGATTTTACAAGAACCTATTTGCAGGTTCTCATAATGCATCCTTTCTCGTTAACTTTAAAAATTTTAGATTGATTTCGGTTATCTCCTGTGTTTTAATCTTTTTCAATTGGTACTTGTTCGGCACAGTGAAGAATTTTAGACAGTTTACTTTCAATTTAATACTGGCAACGGTCTTGGTGATTTTCATTCTTTACAAGGAAAGAAAACTAATAAGAAGCTACATCAAAAGAGAGGATACACTTGATGTCAAAGGCGTTTGACATGATTATTTTTCGTACTTTTTTAGTTTGCATTTTCATAGGCCCACTTTATTCTTAGGCTGATTTTTTCCGCACGTAACCTTTACCCAAGAGTTCATGGATATTTGACAAAAGAATGGTCCATGAAGAATTGGAACCAAAACACGACGAAGATGTACGTTTCGTAACGTTCAATGTAAACGGTTTACGCACGTTATTTAATTACCATCCATTCAGTGCAATGGAAAGATCTTTATCTCGGGTATTTGATTATTTCAAGTCAGATATCATAACCTTCCAAGAGCTGAAGACAGATAAACACTCCTTAACAAAATGGGGTAAAGTCGATGGTTTCTATTCATTTATCTCTCTTCCCAAAACTAAGAAGGGATACTCTGGTGTAGGATGCTGGGTAAGAATTCCACGCGCAGACGACCCAATGTTTGGGAAACTTACTGTCGTTAAGGCAGAAGAAGGCATCACTGGTTGGTTAAAGGTGAAAATCGGAAACGAAATGATAAGATATAAAGATGACGAGTCCCAGGGAATTGGTGGCTATGAGTCTCTTGGAATACAAAATGAGAGTGAGGCAATGGATTTGGATTCTGAAGGACGATGCGTGATGGTTGAGCTTGCTTGTAACTTGGTCGTCATTTGTACTTATTGTCCAGCTAACTCGTCGTTAACAGATGAAGGGGAAGTCTTCCGTTTGAAATATTTAAAAGTGCTCTTTAGAAGAATACGGAATTTACATTTGATGGGAAAAGAGGTCGTTCTAATGGGCGATATAAATGTTTGCCGGGACCTGATAGATCATGCAGAGAGTTTGGAGAAAGCACAGATCAGTCTGAACAATCTTAAAAGTGGGACAGAAATCGAGAAACAGAATGTCCAAAAGGTGAAAGAGTTCATTTACAATCCTTCTAGGCCTGCGAGACGTATCTTGAATGAAAATCTGGCCGATTCGGTACTGCAGGATTTATCTGAGCATGGAGAGCTTGTTGATACAACGAGAGTTTTACAAGGTAGAAGTCGTCTTAAGATGTACACCGTATGGAATACGTTGAAAAATTCAAGGCCCATCAACTACGGTTCCCGCATTGACTTTATTTTGGTTTCCTCCCGAATGAAGAGTGAAGTGAGGCAGGCAAATATCTGGCCACAAATAATGGGATCAGATCACTGTCCTGTTTTTGCGGATCTAAGACTAAATAAATCAGCTGTCATTGCGTCAGGTCTTCTACCTAGATTCGAAGCTAGATACAAGTACAACTTGAATCAAGGCGATATTCTCAGCATGTTTTCAAAGTCTATGAAAAAGAATCCGCCCCTTTCGCAACCTAGTCCAAAGAGTAAAGTGACGAAGAAGTCAATGAAACAACCAAGAGATATACAAACGGCACTTATGTCCAACCCAGAATTGGAAGGCCACCTCCATAATGATGCTCAGAAAACGTCAAGAAGAGAGGACAGAAAATCTAAAGTACTCAATACCAAGGGCTATGGTGAGAGCTCAAATGAAATAATTAAGAAAATGTTCGGAAAGCCGCCATTATGTAAACATGGTGAAGAAGCTATTTTAAGAACGTCGAAAACCAACCATAACCCAGGAAAAAGGTTTTGGATTTGCAATAGACCAAAGGGAGAGGCCAAAGATAAAAGTTCCTCGTGTGATTTCTTCCAATGGAAATAGGCGGTAAATCTTGGAAAATGTTGCAAAATTAGGTTGTGCACTCGCGTTCTTCTCGGCATTCTTCAATTACCCTTTTCAGCCATAGCTGATCTTCCTCGGCCACTATCAACGATTCGATTGTGTCTGATTCTTGGATGATAGTAGCAACAAGGGACGTCCCTACAAGCTCTTCGCTGGAAATGTACAGAGAAAGTCCTGAAGAAAAATTGTCCTTATCGAAGCGGTTGACTTTCAGGTAAGCTATATTATTTTCCTGGCTAAGAAAGTAATACTCGATAGCCTCTCCAAATACTCCGTGGCAGCGTCTCATAGCATTGTGTATGAATTGTCTCCAAGTTGTGTTGTCTAGCATTAGTTGCCCATCGACTGCACTATTTTGGGATGAGCTAAGAAAAGTTAGTATAAAGTGCGAGAACCATAAGTTCTGTAAAAAACGTCATACAGTTTGATCTGGTAGAAGTGCCAATCCTTGCTGCGCGCCCCACATTTATTCAGTGACATAATACTGACGAGAAGTTTCAGAAATATGATTATCATATTGCCCAAACATTTAAAAAAATGACACTCGTACATAAGCATCAAGTACGAGCTAACATCTAAAAATCTTGTAGATGCCGCCTTTTCAAGAGATGAGAAACTTTTAAAATGTTTGAATCCATGCACAAGATTGAGTCTGGCTTGTGAAGAATATTCTATATCTAAACAAATGAAATTTTACTGTCCTTTGGACTAATTTTCTGGAGCGCTATCGTGCGCCTCGTCGACATGGTCTGAGTAGGGCTCGTGAGCCGGTGTGCCGCTGTCTTCTTCGGTATCAACATCGAAACTGGTATCATCGTTCATAAAACTGGCCAAGTCACTAGCATCTTCGTCATGACCGTTTAGTAATTCGTCAGCCTCATCCAAAAATTGATCGTGAGTGAGCGAAGAGTAGCTGGGACCATTTCTATTGCGAGAAAATATGGATCTCAAACCTTCGACTGCCCTTTTTCTTTGTCGGTTGAAAAATTGAGCCACTGCAGACATCCCAGTAAATGCAAAAACACCAAACTTCACAATTGAATTGACAGCACGGTCAGTTTGATTTTCTTCAATTAGCTCATCATCACCAAGTCTAATCTCACCAAACCGAGCGAAACCACCGTTTCTTCTGATTCCCCGATCGTAGACAAACCATGTGGCGAAGACAAAAATAAAAAGCGGCACTCCAATGATGAATACTAAGGAAATCCTGTTAACCTTGTACTTTTCATTAAACTGTTTTTCTTTCCCGGGGCATGCCTTTGGCACGGTAGCTTTGTCCAATTCTAAGCCCTTTACACAAGTTGACATTGGAACCTTTCTATATCCGGTAGGATTGAAATATTCTATGGCATCTGTTTTCTTACAAATATCACTAGGTTCAGATGGATCCAAACCTTCGACCAATTTACAGGTGCCGTCTTTAGCCTTATAGAAGTTGTAATCACACTCGAAATCATTTCTGGTACAGGAACAGTTTTTCACAATTCTTACCATTTCCTTGAGTGGAGCGGCACCATTGTAACAATCATCATTTATTTTCTTCAAGTATTCCGCCTGGTGTCCAAACAAACACTCGGACCCTGGGTTGGCAATAGGGGCATAATCGTAATCGTCATTCCTTTCATTTTCGAAATCGAGGACACATTGTCTGTTGAAGCAACCTGAGAAATCTAGCGTGAATGTCTTGGTTTTTTGACCTTTAACATTTGGTGACGTTGCAACCATCATAAATCTCATCGCAGAATCCTGAGGAACAGTGACGATATCGTCCACGAATACTTCTTCTTCAGTGAATTTAAAGTCCTTCCATGTTTTACCTGAATCCGTAGAATACGTGACGGCGTCAGTTTTCTTGCTGTCCGGTACTAACACGATGATACTACCATGGTCACCATACTCCCATTGATATGGAGAATTCTTAACTTCCTTCCATGTAATTCCACCATCTGTGCTCATAAAAGTGGAACAATCTTCATATGGCAGAAGATATTCGCCGACATTTCCGACACCGATCATATATCCTAGAGCTGAACCTGAAGAATACGTGTCCCTGATGTCTTTCCTTTCGGTGAATCCATGAAGATTTAGGGAACAGTCTTCTAATGATTTCGATTTACAGGCATAGTTCTTTCCTTCAGAATTTTTCGAAGGTGGATATATGTATTGCCAATCGGCACCTTCATTGAATGTAATTTTTGACTTTAACCTCTTGCTATCTTCTGAACCATCTTTGATTCCCTCGGCATTTGAAACAACGTTCACCAATACAATTCCTTCTAAGCCTTGAAGTTTTTCAAAATCAACATAGCCGCGAGGACCTCTATTGACTGCCCTCTCCAAAACCACAAATGATGTTCCGTTAGAGTTGGATTTCATCAATGCCCCAAACTCTTTGTCACGGGACGATTCAGTTGTCAAGTGGAAGAAAATTGCACCCTGTTGGGAGCCGAGAACCGTGTAGGCTTGCTGTTTAATGGAAAGATCAGCTGGAAAGACTGCCTCCGCAAACTCTTCACCATCAATTGTTACGTAAGCTCTTAGCTCATCAGAACCACGAGGGACCGCAATGATAGTGTACTCACCAGTAGAGACGTAACCAACTATTTCATCGAATACTACTTTGCGATTATTTTTGAAAAAATCGTTACTGGTAACCAAGGATCTCTTGTTAGTCTCTTTATCCTTAATCGCACACATAATCATGTTGTCGTCAGAAGGATGCTCATAGGTCGAGCCAACAAACTCGCAAGAGTACGCTCCCTGTGCGAGTTCTTCGAAATTACTACCACCATCCCGTGTGATGAACGCTACCGCGTGACAAGCATCATCGTATAAACTTTTGCAACCTTGGCCACCATAGAAAATGAATGTTTCAGAATCCTTAGCATGAAACGAAAGTGGGAACCCCAGTTGTCTTGCGTCGGGTAATTCAACAGATGAAAACGATCTCGCTCTATCATTTGTAATGTAAAGCTTACCACTCTTCCCAAAGAGATATGCGGATGAATTGAAATACGGATTGAACATCACTTCTATAATGGTATCATCAATTCTGAGCTGGCGGAAGTTTTGACCGTTGTCATGTGACAAGTAAACGTCGTGTTTGTCGGAAAGGGCAATCACAGTTTCATCACCAATAGTGTCAAAGTACTGGTAGAATGTCATTTTAAAATCTAATTCGTTTTCGACAACCGACACATCACCAGTTGCACCCTTATCGTTGTTCCCAGTGCATGACACATCGACTTCATTTATTTTAAGTGGTTTATTGCATAAATTTCCTCTCTCAAGTTGCTTTGGGGCCAATTTAACATGGGATTTCCTTGTGCTACAAGCGCCTGAACGCGATAGTAAAGTATGATCAAGTAAACAATTCCCAGATCCATCTGGTACAAACTCAGGTGCACATTCGTAGTCTTCTTCATCACAGGGACATGTTTCCTCTATTATTTTGGCATTCTCGTAAAGCTCCCGAACGAGACACTTTGCATCTTGCTTTCTTCTTCTGAACTTGCGCTTTGCACCTTTCAGGCATTTGCCATCATTCAAATACCAGTCTTCCATCTCGTCGTTTGAGCACTTTTTGCTTTCAAATGCCGAGCTGAAATCAATGGTGTAAATAAATCCCTCGCGATCTTCCCAGTTTACGTTATCGTTGACCTGAGTGCCAGATATTATGAAAGTCAATCCAGATCCATCCAGAGAAGTGGGTGTGACCTCATGGATATACATTTCTTCATCGAATTCATATTCTGACCAAGTTTCACCTTGGTCGAGTGAATAATAAAACTCACTGGCAGGATCGCCGTCGGAATTCGAATCATAAGGAGCTGCGACTATAATATTACCCAGGTCTCCAAAAGCCACTGTAGCTGAAAAGTCTAGGATTTTCCTCCAGGTTGCACCTCCATCTCGAGATATGAACGTTTGCTGATTGTCCCATGTGTAGTCATACTCGCCCCCCACAACACCTGTTAGGGCAAGAATACCGGCAGTTGTTGGGGAACCCACAATTTGACTTGAGCTGGCAAAGTTGAACCAAAATGTTCTTACGGAGCATGTTTCTGGATCGCTGACATCACAAGAATATTCGTTGTTTGGATCATCAACTTTTAAGTACGACCAGGACTGACCATCATCGAAGGATATTCTGGACTTCAAAACGGCTTTAGAAAAGGGTCCAGCGCTCACGAATGCGTTAAAAGTACTCAAAACGGTGCCCTCCAGTTCATCTACCGATTGCAAAAAGTAATAGCCCACATCGTCTGACAATAGCGATGACATTGGCGTGAACTTCAAACCGGTAGAGTCTGATAAAAGTAGATCCACACCACCAAAGTCGCCTTTGTCAGGTGAGCTCACAGATGCAACGACCTTCTCCTTGGAGCCACCTAAGGATTGGATCACCAAGTCTGAACGCAATTGCGATGGAAAGTAGGCCTCGTCGAAGTTTTTGCCATCGCGGGAGACCCAAAGGCGCCTCACGGATTCCGAGTTGAACTTGTCCTCTATGGTGGTTATCACGCAGTAATCGCCTACTATTCTGAGATCTGTGGGTGTCATACCTTCGAAGTTGTGCACAGTTGAAGTTGTTTTGCCGTAATCATTTGTTGTGACGATAGAGGAAGCCTCAAAGAACATCGACCCATGCCTATTGACCATGGTCCTTGAAATGCACACGACCTCGTGGTCGCCACCCAGTTGTGATTCCTTGTATTCTCTGAAGAATTCACAGTCGACAAAGGAGTAATCGTTTTTGGAAGATTTTTCGGGCTTGGGCAGGTCCAAATCGTTGAATTCTTTGCCGTTCTTTGACAAGAAAACCTTTTGTTCGCACGAGTGGGATTTGTTTCTGCAAACGTTACATGAGACGATGACGTCGCCTTCGAACTGAGGGTGAGTTTTCACGTCACAGAAACTGAACCCTTCATTCTCATCGGGAAGATCATCGCCCCAGGGAAGGCTGATCTCGCTCCAGGTCTCTGCCTGGTCATCTGTAACGTAGATCATCCCCGATGACCTCGTATAGACAAACGCACGCTTGCTCGGGTAGTTTCTGTCCACTTCGAAGTACGAGGTATTCCCTTTGATCGAGTCGATGGGTTCCCAAGTCTTGCCGCTATCTGAGGAACGCGAGAGTTTCGAGTTTTCCTCCCGCAGAATCACGGGGCTGTCGTCGAAAGGCTGGAGCATATACGACATGCCGGACTTTTGTTTGGTAACCTCGGGCTTCCATTGCGCGGTAACCAGCTGTAGCAGCCACACCAGCGCAAGTTTCGTTGTCCAGCGCATGGAGGATTTCATACGGGAGTTTGGTGAAGAAACGTGAAAACTTGGCAACAACAGCCCCTTTTGTTTCGGGGTTTACGCACGTGACGGCCGCCGAGCCGCAGCGTTTCAGTTTGAAACGTCACGTGACCCGCGCCCTTGCACCACCGTCTTCGCCGCGCTGCCCCAAAACCTGCGTGGATTGGCATATAACGGCCGCGCGATCGCACGGGCCACAGCCAGCGCAGCCTGGCACCTCTTGCTGCGGTCTTTTGCCTCTCCGTCTGCCCTCTTCGTCTGCCCTCTGCAACCGCTCCGCGCCTCCGTCCTCTCTCGATCCCGCCCCCGATTCCGCCCCCGTTTCCGCCATGGGCAAGAAAATCGTCTTCAACATCTCGTCCGAGTTCCAGCTCAAGTCGCTGCTGGGCGAGGGCGCCTACGGAGTAGTGTGCTCCGCGCTGCACGTGCCCTCGGGCGAAATGGTGGCCATCAAGAAAATCGAGCCTTTCGACCGGCCGCTGTTTTGCCTGCGCACGCTGCGCGAAATCAAGCTGCTGCGGTGCTTCCGACACGAGAACATCATCTCTGTGTTCGACATCCAGCGACCCGCTTCGTTCGAGGCGTTCAACGAGGTGTACATCATCCAGGAGCTGATGGACACCGACCTCCACCGCGTCATTGCCACCCAGACACTGTCGGACGACCACATCCAGTACTTCGTGTACCAGACACTACGCGCGCTCAAGTGCCTGCACGCGAGCCACGTGATCCACCGCGATCTGAAACCTTCCAACCTGCTGGTAAATGCCAATTGCGACCTCAAGGTTTGCGACTTCGGACTTGCCCGAATAGCCGCCGGCGGCCCCGCCGCCGTCGGCGATGACGACAGCGACGATCCCTCCCCGTGCAACATGACGGAATACGTCGCGACCCGCTGGTATCGAGCCCCCGAGGTGATGTTGACGGCCGCGGAGTACACCTCGGCAATGGACATCTGGTCGTGCGGCTGTATCTTGGCGGAGTTGTTCCTGCGCCGCCCGCTGTTCCCAGGCAAGGACTACCGCCACCAATTGTTGTTGATTTTTCAGATACTGGGGTCACCCGGGACCGCTGACCTTGATGCAGTACGCTCGCGTCGCGCACGTCATTACCTTGGGTCGCTGCCGCGCTTTGCGCGGCGCGACCTTCGCCAACTGTTCCCCAATGCCAATCCTCTCGGTATAGATTTACTTTCTCGGATGCTGGTATTCGACCCGGCCCGGCGCGTAACCGCCCACGACGCGCTTTCGCATCCGTACTTACGCTCGTATCACGACCCTGCCGATGAGCCGGCCGGTACCCCACTTGACGCGGCCGCATTCCGCTTCGACCAGTCTAAGGACCGGCTGTCCACGTTGCATCTCAAGCGGCTGCTCTGGGACGAAATCTTTTGCGGCGCGCGTGACGCCGTCCCCGGAGTCGCGCCCGCCTGAGCGCTTGCGCTCTGGCGGGCGGGGCGGGGGGAGGCGCCTGGTCAGCGGCAGCGCAGCGCCGCGACTGCGCGGCGGCGCTGAGGCCGTCTCGGGCTCGTGAAAAAAACCGCTCGGTCGCGCCAGTCACGAACTCCGTGCCGGGCTGGACGCGATCTCCCTTTGTCCGTTAGGGGCGCCGCTATATAAGGGCCGCGGTGGTGCTTGGGGTCGAAAGCTGGAGACCGCCCCACCAAGCACGGAACAGCGACCCCTTTTCCTTTTCCTGCCGCCTGTTCTCAGCCCCGCGAAGGTTCTAAGTGGATTACAACGTCCCCCCCTCACGTTTCTAAGAAGACTCTGCCAGTATTGCCCACAGGTGTTTTTGTGGCCTCGCAGATCTCGTCAGCACCTTCAGTCAGCAAGGTCTCTACGTTTTTTCGCCCCCGTTCGCCGTCAAAGTCAGCCAATAGCCGCTGACCCAAAACGAAACAGCGTCCCGAATTCGTCCGAGCGACCCTCCCCAACTTTTTTTGGTTCTCCCCCCTAGGTTTCCCCCGGCAGGCCCGTTGGATTTCTTGCGCCGTGGATTTGCCGTATCCGTGTCAGTTATAGGTCACGTGCCACACGCCCCTCGGTTCCCTCCCCTCGGTTCCCCTAACAGCTCGACGCACATCCGTCCGTTTCTCGCGTGCGTGTTCCAACCCTCCGTTCCCGTCCACGTCTCTCGAGCCCCATGACCGTTTCCAGTCTACTCAAAAACCACGTACGCTACGCGCCCTACCTCTCCAAAGTGGTCAACCCGCAGGAGCTTCTGCCCCTGTTCAAGGACGGCCAGTACATCGGGTGGTCCGGCTTCACCGGTGTCGGCGCCCCCAAGGTCATCCCCCAGATGCTCGCCGACCACGTCGAGCAGAACGAGCTCCAGGGCAAGATGAAGTTCAATCTGTTCGTCGGCGCCAGCGCCGGCCCCGAGGAGTCCCGCTGGGCCGAACTCGACATGATCGCGCGCCGCGCTCCCCACCAGGTCGGCAAGCCCATTGCGCGCGCCATCAACGAGGGCCGCATCCAGTTCTTCGACAAGCATCTCTCGATGTTCCCACAGGACTTGACCTACGGCTTCTACACCAAGGACAGAACTGACGGCAAGATCCTCGACTACACGATCATCGAGGCCACCGCCATCAAGGAGGACGGGTCCATCGTGCCTGGGCCCTCCGTCGGCGGTTCTCCCGAGTTCATCAGCGTCTCCGACAAGGTGATCATCGAGGTCAACACTGCGACGCCCTCTTTCGAGGGCATCCACGACATCGACATGCCCTTAAACCCGCCTTTCCGCCAGCCTTACCCCTACACGCGCGTAGACGAAAAATGCGGCGTTCACTCCATTCCGGTCGATCCTGAGCGCGTTATCGCCTTGGTGGAGTCAACCACCCGCGACAAGGTGCCACCAAACACCCCATCCGACGACATGTCGCGCGCCATTGCCTCACATTTGGTGGAGTTTTTGGAAAATGAAGTGCGTCACGGCCGTCTACCAGAAAACTTGCATCCTTTGCAATCTGGTATCGGCAACATTGCAAACGCCGTCATCGAGGGCTTGACAGACTCGTCTTTCAAGCACCTCACCGTTTGGACTGAGGTTTTGCAAGATTCGTTCTTAGACTTGTTCGAAAATGGCTCTTTGGACTACGCCACTGCCACGAGTATCAGACTCACAGAGGCAGGCTTCGAGCGTTTCTTCGACAACTGGGATACTTTTTCCAAGAAGCTATGTTTGCGTTCCCAAGTGGTCTCTAACAACCCGGAGATGATCCGTCGTCTAGGTGTCATCGCCATGAACACTCCAGTGGAGGTGGACATTTACGCACATGCTAACTCTACAAACGTGTCAGGATCACGTATGTTGAACGGTCTGGGAGGCTCTGCAGACTTTTTGAGAAATGCCAAGCTATCTATCATGCACGCTCCATCTGCTAGACCTACCAAAAAGGACCCCACAGGTATTTCTACTATTGTCCCAATGGCATCACATGTGGACCAAACCGAGCATGATCTGGATGTGATTGTGACCGATCAAGGTTTAGCAGATGTGAGAGGGATGTCTCCTCGTGAAAGAGCTCGTGAAATCATCAAAAACTGTGCACACCCAGACTACCAACCAATCTTGATGGATTACTTGGAGAAATCAGAGTTCTACGCTCGCAAGAACAAGTGTTTGCACGAACCACACATGTTGAAGCATGCTCACAAGTTCCATGTTAACCTTGCTGAGAAAGGTACTATGAAGGTGGACTCCTGGGATTGAACTTTAAACTCTACCTATACCTAATACTTGTGTACGCAGGATTGATCTTTTATGTATGATTTTTGCACGACTGTAATGAAAAACATGTATACATTGGATATTCGTACAAAGTATTTATTTCTTTGAAACAAAAAAGAATGGTCTCTAGCGGGATCGAACCGCTGATCCCCGCGTTATTAGCACGGTGCCTTAACCAACTGGGCCAAGAGACCTTTTCTTGTTAAATGGCTTTATAAGAGGCGGTTAATAACCTAGGTGGGCGGTCATATTTCTTTCTTCTCTTACAAATCTAACTCTGTCGGAAGTTTACTGAATGGAACATTTGCTTTTAAAAAGTGCGCTCGAGAAGTATAAAATGTCATACCCTGATGTTGCCGCTTTCGATCTAGATTACACAGTTTGGCCATGTTTCTGTGATACCCATCTTAATCCTCCTTTTAAGCCTGTCCCTGGATCTAATGGCGAAGTCCATACGTTAGTCGACGCCTATGGTTACGAACTTTCCTTCTATAAGGATATTCCCCGCATTCTGGCAGATCTCAAGTCACATGGAGTTAAGATTGTGTCAGCATCCAGAACTTGGGCTCCAGAAATTGCTCGGGATCTATTGAAAGGTTTCATGGTACAATACGAAGGAAAAATAGTTCCTATGATATCTCTTTTTGATTCTTTACAATGGGGCGAGATGAGTAAGGTAAATCACATAAGGAAAGGTATTAAGGACATTTATGGTAGCAACGCTGATATCAAGAACTATAAAATTTGTTTGTTTGATGATGAAACTAGAAACAAAGACGTCGAAAGATACGGCGTAAAATACGTCCATGTCAAAGATCCAGAAAACGGGACGACTTGGAAACTTTACGAGAAATACCTTAATGGGAATTTGTAAGTAGAGGGTGGCCAACAGGGCATGACGCTATCTAGTTAAGAGATTTTATAAAGCATCAGATACTACTGTAAAAGCGAAAATTCGATTAGTTCCTTGAGAGCACCGATAGCGGATCTTTAAAATACAGCACAATTGTGACAAATTATGGCCCGGCTTTTCTCATATCTTTACAGCCATCTCGACCGACATCATTGTCAGAAGCAAATAATCCTATAACGCGCGACATGACTGCTGATGTTAGTTTAATGATCCAATCTTCGTTCTTCCTTCAACGAATTAAGAAGCCTTGTTGGCGCAATCGGTAGCGCGTATGACTCTTAATCATAAGGTTAGGGGTTCGAGCCCCCTACAGGGCTTTCTTTTTTGAAGGTGAAATAAGATGTTAAAGGAGGTTTTTTGAATTATCGATCCTAAAATCATTAATAGAAATGACAATTGGTGAGATTTGCCAATTGCTGCTACCCTTCTTCGTTAGTTCTTTTGATTTTACAGACTTTACGGGATTCAAATTAGTTTGGCAAAAACGCATATATCCTTTATTTTCCTCACGTCATGCGAGTTTTCTCTTCGAGGGCGTGTGGTCTAGTGGTATGATTCTCGCTTTGGGCGAAGTCTGGGCTAAACCCGGACTCTAAAACCTAAGTATGTGAGAGGCCCTGGGTTCAATTCCCAGTACGCCCCTTTTTTTATCACGAGACTAAAAGTCTGGTACTACGTAAAGTGAATCTTGAAAAGAAGCGTTCTCACATCACTACAATGGTGCTAAGCTAAATTTGGATATCCAACTCTGCTCGAAACAATATTAATGAACGTTTAGAATCTATGGGCGCGATCATGTAATATTCAACACTGTTTGAGACCAAGACTCGGCTCAACATACTATGATAGACATCACAGCTAAAATGGATAAAAATGATGACATGGTTTAAAATTGTTTAATTCTGAATTTGACCTCATCGTTGTGCCTCTACTTGAAAGTGTACTTTGATAGCTTGTCCTTATTTCAAAATTGACTGTTTTGAACCATTCGAACAATTTGCGACAGATTAATTGCCAGGAAAACGTAAAACATGAACCTTCCCTGGCCCAAGAGAAAAAAACACCCTAAATGTTAGGTCTTTGCGATTCTTTCTTACTCTACTCATCGCTTCCCTAGAAACCACAAAGAGTCGTATTGGTATAATCCTAATTTGAAGTGCAGGATGGCGGTATTGACATTTGAGACAAGAAAAACACATTAATGGATGAGCTGATTGAAAATATTTACGGAAATACAAGTGTGAGACAAAAAACAATTAAGCGAAGATAGTAAAGTTCCAAAAAAAAATTTGCCATTTCCTGGAATCGAACCAGGGTTTCATCGGCCACAACGATGTGTACTAGCCACTATACTAAAATGGCTAAATCTCAAAAACAAAAGGTTAACTTTAATCCATATTCGATAGTCAAGACAAACACCATCGTCGTGGCACAATAATAATCTGAAACGCTATAGTTGAGAAATGGGTGAATATTGAGATAATTGTTGGGATTCCATTTTTGATTAAGGCTATAATAGTTGGTATATGGTTATACTAGAAGTTCTCCTCATCTTTCTAAGAATCCAGAAAGAAGATTTGATAATTCTACTCACAAATATTCTTACTCCTTCTGTTCCTTTTATACATCTTTATTCATTATCCTATTACATTATCAATCCTTGCGTTTCAGCTTCCACTGACTTCGATGACTGTTTCTCATTCTTTATGTCATCTTAAAACACCATGTATGATAATATACTAATAACACGAATACTAGTCGATGGTCATTAGTTGTATTTCGTTCCAACATACCACCCATAATGTAATAGATCTAATGAATCCATTTGTTTGTTAACAGCTTGAAAGTTTTTATCGGAAGAGGTTTCGTCAATGTATCAGCAATATTCTTCTTGGGCTCAATGTAGTATAAGTACAGATCATTGTCCGATACTTCATCTCTAAGTCTCATTGCTTTAGTGCCGAAGAGTCTGTTCCTAAATTTCTCTTCATTTTTGGATGTAACTGTACTGATTGTAGATCTGCTGTCAGTAAGTAAACATTTGATGATTGGTTTCTTATCTAGTTCTTGTACGAGATAACTTAGATTGTTTAGCAACGGAACGGCTTCGCTGACTGCGTGTATTTCTGCTTCTGTGGTTGAAGTACACGTTAGTGATGCTTTTGTTGATTTTCCTCCAATGACTTTTCCATTCAGTAAGAATATGTTACCAATCTGGGATTCGCAATACGGTTGGTTTCCGTACGAAGCATCGCTTATTACAACTAATTTGTTTTCTGATTTCGTAGATCTGTTTTTGTGCCATATTAGTTGCTTATCTCTGGTGTCCCATATGAATTGTATTAATTCATATGTCATGTCTAAAACTTGTTTGGACGGGAATAATATATGTTGTGCCAGAGTGTTGATGTAGTATAGTAGGTCGAATCTGAATTTGTATCCAACGTACGATGCTAGGCCAATTAGCTTTTGCATTTCATGCACCTTCATTTTATAATCATCCTCTTCCAGTTCTAACTCTTCTTGGTCTCTGTAAAGACCAGAATGCCCTGGAGCGGCAAGTTTCCTACCTTTCGGATTTAAAGGTACGTTTAGGTTTGGTAATTTCTCAGTTAATGAATTTTCCATGCCTAGTTTCATGTACTTACCTCTCTGGTATTTAATTTCTAGTCCAAGAATGTCATATTGGATTTCTTCATCACTTTCACCCAGGTTTATGATCTTAGTGTCATATTGTCGTTTTAGATTTTCTATGATTCTTTTGTTTGAGTTCAAGTCTTTGCTGAACAGTATCATGTCATCAACGAATAAGCAGATTGTTACTTGACTGTTTTTAAACACACATGACCATCCACGTACTTCTTCCATATCACATTTATCTATCAGATATGACTTGATAGTTTCATACCAGTTTGCACTACTTTGTTTCAAGCCGTAAAATGATTTTCTCAATCGTATTAACTTATTGTTCATACCTACATGCGGTGGGGGTCTTATGTATAATTCTTCTTTGATGTCTGCGTACAAGTACGCCGAAGATATGTCCAGTAGTGTGACGTAGTGGTCATTGTCTAATGCAAGTGGCAGGGATGTCATCAATCCATAATGATGTACAGTGTTAGACTGCATTCCTGAGTCGTACGTATCAGGATGTTGAATGTCGCCTCTAGCTTTGTGTGTTCCATCTCGTTTCTTGTTAAAGATAAACATTGAGTTTATCACCTTTTTGGTGTCTATTTCATTTTTGTCATAGTATCTGTTTGTGTCCCATGTATTCATCTTTAGCAATTGATTTACTTCTTTATGGTATACTTGAATGTACTTTTCCTTTTCCTCGATATTCTTATTATATGTGATTGCCTCATCATATCTTAAGGTTGTTCGTATCGGTTTGATTGATTTTGCTGCTTTTACAGCTGCGATCAGATGTATACGTTTCTTTGATTTTGGAGGCTGTAAACTACGCATGTTCTTGTTATTCCATGTGTCTCGTGATACCTCAATTTCAGTTTCATTATCTTCTATTGATCTTTTCTTACTGTTGATAGTAGCATAGATATTAGATTTACCCATACCACCCAAACTGGAATTAGTTTGACGAGAATTGATCGGTTGAATTTCTTCAAAAGTTCGGGGAAACAGGTAGGAGATTCCGGAGGTAAGTCGGGAAGCGGAAGATCTTCTGTAGTATATTCCTTGACATCATGTTCAGAGTAGGTGTCTGGTGTAACAATAGGAGCATTATAGTTTGGTATCTCACTTCCCTGTGGGGGATCACCTAGTGGAATTGGATAGTTTATCGATCTTTTCTCGGTAGCCTGATCATTGAACTCTGAGATGGTCTTGTTGTTTGTACCACACAAACATGGTGTTGTGTCGCTTGTAGGATTGGTATTGGTTTTGCTATGTGAATCTGAATCGCTCACTTTATCGTGATCATGGGATTTATTCGATTGTTGCGTGACAGAGCCGTGCACGGGGATATCGATTGATACATCTGATCTATTCATACCACCCGAACAGGTATTGTCTGGATCAGGAATAT